TCTTACATCCTTATCCTTATCATAAATGCTTCCCAAACAGATTTCAATTTTTTTGAAATTACCGAAGACATTGGAAGAGATTGTTCATCCGCTTCGCGCATAACTATATGTCAAATCACAAATTAGGCACAATCAACACGTCCTTTCAAATAAAATCACCAGATGGCATACTTTACCGGAAATGCAACTGCACTATGGGGCGTTCTCTTCCTGAATGATCAATGATGATGATTTACGCTTGAAAAGTCGAACGAATGGCTTGCATTGTGTCTCCGACTATGGAAAAGCCACTAAAGAGCGTCACAATAACGGACGTCTACGATATAGCGTCCGCTATTGGAAATGATTTTGAACGACTTATTGAGACGTTCGGCGCGGAACCACTTTCCGGTTTGGTACCGAAAGTTATTAATGTCCTCGAACAGCTGGAACATCTAGCTGCTCAAAACCAAAAGGAACAGGATCAAATGGCAGAACTACGATATGCTGTTGAAAAGTTACAAATGGAAAAAACTGTTAAAGCTGAAGAACGAGCTAAATACGAAAAGGTTCTTTTTTTAAGTCGTATTTAAATTCTCTATAGTTCTGATAAAGGATGTTTACCGTCTATATTTAGAATGCCTTTCTAGAAATAAATATTTTTTGGAGCGTTATCTATAGGTAAATAAGAATTGTGATTCTTTACACTCTATTTGGTAAACATCTTATCGGAACTCAATAAACTGCGTTACTTCGAGAATAATTACGTCGCTCAAAGGTGGCAACCAGAGTTTAAGGAAACACTTTAAATCGTAAGCTGTCATGACATGGATATTTTTTCTAACAAATGTAGCTGACATGTTTATCTGCTATTAAGTAACAATAGCCAATCTTTTATTTAAGAGTATCACGTTCATGTTAATTTTATTGCAGGAATTAGAAGCAATCGAAGAATCATGGAGATCTGAAACCAAAGAGTTAGTCACAACAGTAGAAAAATTACAAAAAGATAATAAGAAGTTAATGCAGCAGTTGTCAAATAGTCAGGCAGCTTGGGAAAATAGAAATACAAAGGATAATGAAAAAGATGCTGGAGACCAACTGTTAGGAAAAATGACTGAAATAATTGATAAGCAACGAGAAGAAATACGCAATTTGCAAAAAGAAGTCAAACAAAAAAATGTTTACGTTGAAACGGTTGGTTAGTCTAATATAATAAATTTCCTTGTTTCTTCATTCTTTATTGTACAGCTGCAAGGTCAGTTAGAGAGATTGGCTCGCTTAAATGCGGATTTTAAGAGGAGAAACTCTTTGACTCAAAGACACGCTCAAAGTCTCATCGCCGAGAAGGTAGATTTGCAGGTAGGTAGGTTTATACTAAAATAAATTTTCTATAATAAGATGTCAACGGGGTTTAGGCTCAACTTCATGACAAAGAGCAACAGATAACGGTCATAAGAGATAGACTTCAACAGGAAAGTCTAGATTCTCCAACTTCACCAGTAAGTAATTTTGTTATAATTACTAATCGACTCTCTAGTGTTTGTTGGATAACCCTTATAGATTTAAATTATATTAATAATATATATATATATATAATATGTTCTGCTTAATTGCTTCTTACAAATTTATACATATTTAGGCAGTATATATTTATGTATAGATTTATATTTCTCATGCAGTATGTATGACACATATGTGAAGATAATCTATTTACATATCATCCGAATTCATATATTATTTATTCATTAACATATTATATCTATACAGAGGTGTGATATGTTGATATACATATATTTTCTCCTAACAATTCTTTTTTTCCCTTTATATATTTCCTTGATATATTAGGCCTTTAAAAAAAGTGTTTCCATCTGATATGCTTGCTGTCTAGACCCGTCAAAAACTAACTAGTTATATTGTAAACTATAGCTCTATTCAAATATTGCATGCCAGACATTGGAAGACATAGATCAGTGGCATCAAAAATTAACATTAGAAGGCAAAATGGTAATTGACTTGAAGGATCCAAATCGACCGAGATTTACTATGAATGAGCTCAGAGATGTGCTCCAGGTTCGTTTAAATTGTTGTTGTGAAGAGGCTATCACCACTGGCATGTCCCTATTTTTGATCATACTTGTGTAGTTTTTCCCTTACATTCAAATGTAAATGTCTATAGTTCTTTATTGTAACAAAGAAGTTCCTTAACTCTTTCTTTCATTCTTTACAGTTTTCTTTTGAAATATTTTGAAAGAAATGCAATATATAATTTAATCATAATTTTGACATTACCTATACGTTATTTATAAACATATTTACCTTTAAAGATGGATTGGTTTTGCTTTTGTTTTTATTTTTGTATTCGTGATTACGTATTCTTTTCAAATGTATCTAATTGATTTTCAATATCTTTTGAAGGAGAGAAACGAATTAAAGACAAAATTAATTGAAGTGGAAGAAGAATTGCTACAGTATCGCCCACCATTGAGGTTATTCAAATTAATTTCTAGACTGTATTTTCCTAATCGAATAAATAAACAGTGATGAAGAGGAAGTCTTACCAGTTCAAGGTCCTATAAATAGAGAGCCTGACGACAAATTGCATCCAGATCGTTTTGACTCTGGTATTCGAAAACTGTAAGTATGAAACACTAATTGTCATATAAATGTTTATGAAAGTGTAGTAAAGCGTCAATCGACCCACGTCGTTTTACTTCTTGTTGCATTTAGCTGTTTCTCCCTCACTTTCCATTAGAATTTACAGTTGAAAACACAATTTCTATCGTCATTTATTTGCATGAGTTCCCTATTAGTTTCGCAAAGCTTTACTAATTTTTACCCGTTCTAAAATATAGGTTCCACCGGTTCATGGAAAAATTGAATTAGAAAACCTGTCGGCATGGATAATGTGTTGGAACTTGGAGTGTTTAATTTCAAATTAACATTTCTGTAAAAAAATAATCAAAACAAAACATTAAATTTTTCAATGAATTGTATTTATTAGAAAAATTCTTTCTTTTGAAAAAAAATCCTTTTCAATAGAATTATTTAAAGCTTACGGTACATTGGCCTTATATCTATGTGACTTGTCAATTATAGCCGGTCTTGTCGATTACGAAAAAAAGTCGTTCTACACTAAGTTAACTTAAAGCAGAGTGTAAATGCAATTTTTTTTAATTAGAAAGCTGACAATATTCTTTTACGATTTTTTTTTTAGTTTCAAAGCACTCTTTCGCAAGAATACAAAACGTTAATTCTTTTGTTCATTCGGTTGGGACAGAGAAAAAGGTATTGAAGTGGAAAATTGGTAAGTAAAATGGAGTTGACATTGGATAACATCAATATTACAAGGATATAATTAGTATTTATAAATACTATCTCGGCTGATACTCAGTGCCATTTTTATTTAAATTGTCCATTATAACAAGCTATTACGGACTTATGCGCTTAACAGGTGCTTGAATGTGATATTTTTTCTAGATGCATGTTTTTTTATTGGTTACTCATTTTAAATAAATATTTTTTTGCACGTTTTCCTATATTCTTAGTACTGTCTAATTTCGAAGAAACGCATCTAAAAGCCTTTAAAAGGTCCTAAATAATATTATTCCACTAACGTTTAATCTTCCACCATCAAAAAAACTAATTAGTAAACTGATGGCAATTATTTCAGGATCGACTATCAGCCAAATATAGACTAACGTTGAAGTACCCTTATAGGAATAAAACAGTACTTAAATAATCAGAGACATTATTCCTTTAACTATTAACTAACAGTCAATCAACTGAGAAATTTATTACAAATATTTATAAGAAACCTAGACAATTTTGGAAATTTATTGCATCTCTCACGTAATTTTCTTAGTGGTACTATAAATAGAAATTTTTTCGAATGTCCCCAATGAATTTATAACAAATGCATGGCCTACAAAGGAGAAGAAAGAGCTAAAATGTGTTTTTGCTGATTTTTCATTATATAAAAATAAGATTTTCACTAGAAGTCCATGTATACAATTAGACTAGACGGTTAAGGCAAATTCGCAAATTCCTCAGAAACCGAAGAGGCGTGATGAATGAATATTAGGCTCTGTAATTTATTTTCATAATATATATCCCCACGGATCGCCTTATTTCGTCATTTTAAATTTATTATAAATAAAATCGTATGACCGGAAGTTGCTGAAGGTTACGTTCGTATAAAATATAAAAAATACAGTATATGCAGTATTCCCTGGTTCCCAGTGACGTATCGCCCAACAGATAGCTTATTATTTAACCTTCCAATTATTATAGAGCATATTACTCGCTTTCTGTCAGGTAAAGGTCATTTTTGTGGCCGGCTGTTGCCACGTTTTGCATGAGGTCTATTATTACATCGAAACTAAAGCTTTATAGAAGTGTTAAAAGTTCCATTAGGTATTATCATTCACTCGAAAGGTGCGTATTTAATCATCTTACGACATTTCTCTCCTTACAAATCGTTCAACGATATTCCATTATTAGTATAGCAGCATGGAAAGAATAGAAAAGGATAGTTTTGGTCCTATGAGCGTCCCTGCGGACAAATATTATGGCGCAATGACCGCACGTTCCTTGCAAAATTTTGATATCGTGGACCAACTGAAAGAATGCCACTTCCTATTATTAAAGCAATGGCAATTTTAAAAAGAAGCGCAGCCACTGTCAATAAAAAGTTTGGTTTAGAAGACAAAATTGCGGATGCAATTGTAAAAGCAGCTGATGAAATCATTGAAGGTCAAATGTGCCACGACAATTTTCCCCTAGTTATTTGGCAAACTGGCTCGGGAACTCAAACAAATATGAACGTGAATGAAGTAATTAGTAACAGAAGTATTGAATTATTAGGGGGAACAATGGGTTCAAAGAATCCCGTTCATCCGAATGACCATGTGAATATGAGCCAATCATCCAATGATACTTTTCCTACGGCTATGCATGTAGCTGTTGCTATTGAAATTAATACCCTTTTGTTACCAGCAATGGAACAACTTTCATTGGCTTTGCAAAACAAATGCGACGAATTTTCGGATATAATTAAAATAGGACGAACGCATACACAGGATGCTACTCCTTTAACCTTGGGTCAGGAATTTAGTGGATATGTACAACAAATGAAAAACGGTTTGCTAAGAGTAAAGTCCACTTTGCCGAGAGTCTATGAATTAGCCGTTGGGGGAACGGCTGTTGGGACTGGATTAAATACCAGAAAAGGCTTTGCAGAAGATGTTGCAAAAGAAATTGCTTCCTTTACAAGTTTACCATTTGTCAGCGCTCCAAACAAATTTGAGGCATTAGCCACTAAAGATGCATTGGTAGAGGTATCCGGTGCTTTAAATGTCGTCGCCTGCAGTATTATGAAAATTGCTAACGATATAAGATTCCTCGGTTCGGGACCACGTTGTGGTCTTGGTGAGTTAAACTTGCCAGAGAACGAACCAGGGTCAAGTATAATGCCAGGAAAAGTAAATCCTACTCAATGTGAAGCAATAACTATGGTAGCAGCTCAAGTAATGGGAAATAATGTAGCGGTTACTATAGGTGGTTCTAATGGCCACTTTGAATTGAATGCCTTTAAACCTTTAATAGTTTCGAATGTTCTTCAGTCGATTCGTTTGTTAGGTGATTCCTGCTTGTCTTTTAAAAATAATTGCGTGGATGGTATAACAGCAAACAAGGAAAGAATCGATAAACTATTGAACGAAAGTCTTATGCTAGTGACGGCTCTTAATCCTCACATAGGATACGAGAAAGGGGCACAAATAGCTAAAAATGCTCACGAGAAAGGAATTACTTTAAAGGAATCAGCTATTAGCTTTGGTTATTTAACAGAAGCCCAATTTGACGAATGGGTTAGACCTGAGGACATGTTAGGTCCAAAATAAATAGACACAAAACCGAAAGAACAGAAAACATTAATAATATATACTGTATGTATATATTAATATGTCGTAAAGCATATACAGAAATATATATATATATATATATATAATTCATATAGACAGTATATACTGTACATACAGTTTATATATAATATATATATTAGTATAGATTGTATAGTGCATATATATTAACATATAAGAATCAATAATGGTAAGATATATATTGTGCCTTACATTTTTTACAATAAAGTAAACAATAAAAACCTATATTTAGTATGAACAAATTTATCCCATTGCCACAGGGAATAGAATAGTAAAACCAATTGGTTAACATCTATTGTAGAGCAAACATAAATACAGCATAAACATCTTTAGGGAAATGCTTCTGTTTTTCTTCTCGAATGACTTTCAGTCCGGCCTCCTCAAATAATTTTAATAGAGCTTCCTTTGGTCTTGTATAACTGCTATCAACTTCGTCAAAGTCGTAGTCTTCACCGCCACTGACATTTTCTTTTGCCACTATAACCCCGTTTTCTTTAAGTCCTTTTTTACATCGTTTGAAATATTCTACGAGATCTTTATCTGTTAAATGTCCTAGGACCCATTGATTCCAGATAACGTTGTATCGGCCGGATTCTGGAGTGAAACTTTGTAGTCCAACCGGAAAATAATTTCCTACTTTTGAAGACAATTCTCCTAAATAAGTCTCAGCAGTTTTTAAGAATTTTGGGTTTACTTCCACTAAATCTACAGTGTTAAATACTGGTAATAATAAACGTTTTGAAACTCTTCCTATTCCAGCCCCACAGTCTAGAGCTACCTCTGGTTCAGTTAGAGCACCCGGTCCCTAAAAACGTAAAATGATCAATTACCTTCATTCGTAGTTAGTTTTAATTAGACCTGAATAATTTTCTTCAGAAAAGTCATAGATTGTCCCACATCAGAACTTGATAATCTGGCAAATCCTCCTAACATTCCATCAATAGTATCCGGTATATTTGACCAATAGTTAACGGCATCTTTATAAAAATCGTCAGTCTCCTGCCCGGCCATGTATAGTAGTTCTGAGCGATAATTTGAGTACAAGCGTAGTCCCTTTTCGAATTTGGTTGTGTCAGTTTAATCTTTCTTTCGTAAAAAAAACATTTGTCTAAAAAGGAACTTTAATTTTTCTTTAATTTAATTATAATAATAAATTTTTCCTTTAGAGAATAGTTTTAAAACTATAATGCCTAGAGTTTTATGTCGTTAAGGTAACGTAAACAAATGGCACCGTGACAAACAGTATAAGATAAAACTGCTTTACTTTTGCTAATACTTCTTATATAGGAGTAAGTAAGATTTCTCTGAAATAAGAAATTTAATTATCAAATAATATACTACTTTGATTGTTCAGGATATGTTAAAATAAGCTCTTAGATTATATATATTCAATTATTTTCAAATGAATATGCGGTATCTTTAACCGAACAATTTTAGAATTGTTTTAAATGATAGCAAATGATAATTTTACAATGTTATTTGTCAATAATAAAGAGATTAATTAGTTATAATTCATAAATTGTATCATTTAAATATATGAAATTAAGAGGTATCCTGTAGAAAAAAAAACAAGAGAGAGAACTCCTTCGAGTTGGCCTTGACCTTCTCAGGTACGTCTAAGGGAAAAACTTTTTAAAATCCAAAATTCCACAGAACGTCGAAGGACTACTTAATTAATGTCTGAGAAAGGCGAAGAAGGAGTTGTAAAGACACCTCCTGTGTCAGGTCACGGTTCACCACGGCCAGCTGAAACTCCAAGACCATCTGAACATGAAGAAGAGGATGAGGTAGCTATCAGCCGACCTCAGTCATCCCTTGCCTTGGTATAAATATGCATAAATAATTAAATACGCATTTAATTGGTTTTCTTCCATTCTAATTTCCGCGAACTATAGGCTGAAGAGAAAAAAGAAGAACTGATTGCGCAATCGTTAGATACTCTATCATTGGTGGAAAGAGATGCAAAACAAGCCGCCAGTAGGGTAGAAGCTATGAGCTATGATCCGTTTGATGAGGATCAATCGGAATTAAGATTTCTACTTTCAAAACCTGTATGCTTTCTTGTAATTGGAAAACCTGGATCTGGGAAAACGTCTCTAGCCAAGTTAATTGCACAAGAGTGGCGATGCATACTAATCAATGGTACTTTATATCATAAGAGCATCTTTTTACTCTAAAATAACATTAACACCTTTTTTAGCCACTGAGGTTATTGAACAAGCAATGCAAATGGAAACAGAATTAGGGTATAAAGCTAAAGAAATTCTTCTAAGAGGAGAATCTATTCCAGAAGAATTAAGCGTTCGTATGATAGAAGAAAAAATATCTTCACCGGAAGTTGCTCATCATGGTTACGTCTTAGATGATTTTCCATCACTAGTTGAAGATTTTGCTCCGATATCCGACCAAGTACAATTAATAAGGAATTGGAAACTTAAACCAGATTTTATTATTAACATTAAAATGCCTGATCAAGATATAAAAAACCGTCGAATATTTCAAAGAGTTGACCCTGTTACTGGAAGAATCTATACTAAAGATATTTATGACCCTGACAAGCCTAAAAAAGAAGAAAAAAGAAAAAGCGAAGATGAAGAGGAAGAAGAAGAAGAGGAGCAAATTGAAGAAGAAGAAGAGGAATCAGGATTGGGTAACAAATTGGATCCTGAGATTATTCAAAGACTTATCAAGAGACCTGAAGATTTACCCGATTATGTTAACGATCATATAAAACGGTATAAAGATAATATGTTGAGAATTTTAGAAGATTTCATGATAGATCACGACCAACAACGACTTCTCGAGTTAGATGGAAATAAGTCTTTAGATGTTCTATTATCAGTGAGTACTTAAAAAGATGTTAATTAACTTGATTATTTATTTCATACATCTGTTTCTTAGGAAGTTTTAAGCAAATTACGCTGTTTTTGTGTCAATGGAGCCGCCGTCCCGATTCGTTTGCAAGACCAGGAAGGCGAAGAAGCTCCAGAAGATATCGATACAGACGAATTACTTCGTATATTGGCAGCAAGAGAAATGCCAGCACCTCGTTTTCGCTGGAGGAGGTCAAAATGGCTAAGGAATTGTCCAGTCTCGCTTTCTGATGGTGATATTTCATCAGGAAGACCAGAATATTCTGTTGCTTTCCTGGATAAAATGTATATAATGGCAACGGAAGAAGCAATGGGAAAATTCCTAAAGAATCCAAGACCATTTTTGTTACCACCTAATCCAAGACCTCCTTGTAAATTATGTGTAACAGGACCTCCCTATTCTGGAAAAACTTCCTTATGTCATATGCTAGCTCAGAAATATGGAGCAACAGTCCTCGATATTAATGAGTTAATGAAAGATCGATATGAGGAAGAGAAAATCAAAGTGCTGGATCAAATTCGGGCTGAAGCAACTGAAAATGCAATTAATACCATTAAAACAAAGATACAAGAGGAGAGAGAAGCCGAAAGAGCTGCTAGGAAAGCTCGAGAGGAAAAAGAGAGGGAAGAAATGGGTGAGACGGAGAGTGATGAAAAAGAAAAAGGTGAAGAAGAAAAGGGTGAGGATGACGAACAAGAGGAAGGAGAAAAAACGGAGGAAGGTGAAAAGAAGGAAGAAGAGAAGGCGCCAGAATCTGAGGAGAAAGAAGGAGAAAAATCTGAAGAAGGAGAGGAAAAGAAAGAGGAAGAGGGAGAAAAGGCTCCAGATGAAACTACCGAGAAGGAAGGGGAAGAAGCTGCAGCCGAAGACGGCGAAAAGAAAGGTATACAATTTCTTCTAAAGTAACAGACATAATACATTAATATAAAATGAACTGTTAGAAGGCGAAGGAGAACCAGAAACAGAGAGAAGCTCTGATGATTCACTCCCAGCGGAAGCTGAGGTTAACGAACAGCATCCAGAAGTTATAGAATTAGTCGAGGAAGCAATGAAGGTTTGTAATCAATCAAACAATTCTGATAATAACCTAGAATATTCCTTCCTATTAATGCAGCGTAATGATAATCCGGAAGTTAATCTTGGCCCAGAAATCTACGTAGAAGTAATGAAAAAAGAAATAGAGAAATTAGAGGAGAGTTATAAAAAATTACAACCCAAGGGACCATTGTAAGTAGTAACTTTAACATCCTTCCTTTTCCGGTCCACCCTTTCGCCCGACTTAACAAAACCTATTCGATTTAACCTAACCATAACAATAACTTAAAATACAATAATGGTATATCTTAAAATAGATCCGGAGGTTGGATTTTGGATAATTTCCCACAAAATCGTGACCAATGGGCAGTTATGGTTGATGGTAAAATATTACCAGATGAGGTTATTGTTATACAGGTGAGTAAATTAATTACAATTGATTTAATGACATAATAAATGCATCATAATATAAAAGGATAATTCCGACAATGGAGAATTTCTACTAAAAAGATGGTATTATCTAAATAGAACAGTTATTGATAGTCAAATTCAAGAAAGATTAGAAGAATTAGCAAAAGAGAAAGAACGTTTAGCTGAAGAAAACAGGTAAAACAGAATGAAATTCTGTTGTAAGATTAATCAATTTTATCTTTTATTAATCCTTTAATAGAATAAAGCTTCTTGAAGCTGAAAAGAAGAGATTGGAGGAAGAGGAGGCAAAAAAAGCCGAAACCGAAACGGAAGCGGAAGAGAAGAAAACCGAACGTAAGTTGTTTTACATTCTACTTTTAATAAGAAAGTTTGAATTCGGAAATAATTTAATTGCACATAATCAAAATAAGCCATGAGAAGTTCCACAGATAGAAAGTCTCACTCTTTATCTCAATATTTTAGTATATATCTCTATTTATCTGGAAGATTATCCAACCCATTCTTTTGTCCCAAGAAACGTGTTTATTTTTGTAAAATTAGAATCCAATTTTAGTTTTTTTAATAGAATTATCCTCTTAAAATGTTTAGTTGAAGAGGGAGAAAAACGTAGCAAACCACCGACTCCCGGAATTCGCATTGAAGACGAAAGAGGCGTTTCAGGTAGACGCAAAAAACTGGCGTCGATTTTTCCAAAAAATAGCTATATTTCATTCGCTTCTTCTCTTTCAATGTATCTTCGTATATTGTTTATTCGATTTTCTTAAACTTTTAACCAAAAAAAGGCAATATCTATTGTAAATTTATATCTATAAGAACATTCTTTAAAGAAGACTATTCGATTTTTATCTCTATCTGAAAACTTTCCCGCCTTTTTTATCATAAGAACAAAGGATGCTATTGATTTCAATTCTTTTTTTACACCTATTTCTCCTTGTTTTCAAATTTTGTTTACACATATATTTTGTACTCGCTCTTTTTTAGAAGTAGAGACTGATGAAAAAGATGATAAAGAACAGAAAGCTGACAATGAGGAAAGCGAAGAGAAAGACGATAAAGAGAAGGAGATAATTGCTCCATCCACTGCAACCCCAGAGGGTACGAAGTAGTGGATATAACTCGCTTATAATGCAGTCACAGATTAACTAATATAGCCAATGCTTTCTCTTTACAAAACAAAAACGCTTTTAACATTGTTCATGATACTTTTATCTTTGTGTGCAGCTTTTTCTTAAGGTTAAAAACAGAAAGAAGAATGAAGATCGCTATCTTTATTTTCCTGATATTTCATTTTTTGTTTTAAAGCTAACCAAAAGTTATTTTTCTCAATCACTATTAAGATATAATTGTATATTTTTGCAGTTATCATTCAAGAGCAACCTGCCGAAATGGGAACCCCACCTCCGGAAACTCCTGATGATGTAATATACTTAAAATAACTACTATTAGCCTGTGATTTTAGAATATAAATTAAATATCGATAATTAATAAATTCTAGGAAAAAATGCCACCAGAATGCCCAGATGTCGAGGCATTACGAGAAAAGAGAAAGCAATGGGATTCCGAATGGAGTGCTATGCACGTAAGGAATAAATCGATGTTCCATTACGTTTCCTTAATAATTTCCTGAGTTTGTTTCCCGTTTTAGTCTGTTATAACTGGCAACACTGCTATTGATCCTTTCCCTGTCGATTTACAAATTAAAGATATTGAGAATGATGATGGCGTTATCGGAAAAAAATCTTTAGAAGAGGTCCTTGAAGAAACAGTACAGCACATCGAAAGTATATTACACGTATTTTTATTTACTATAACATGTTCTAATTCAGTGACTTACAACAGAACTATTCCAATACAAACCATGGATTTACAGTGGTACAGATATCGATGAAGAGGAAGAGGATATCGCCACTGAAAAAGCCCTTTTAGCTGAAGAGGAGGAAGAGGAGGAAGAGGAGGAAGAAGAAGGCGAAGAGGTGAGAAAAATCGACATTTGTTTTTTTTATTATTTGTATTATTTAAACAATTTAAAAAGGAAGAAGATGCCAATCGTTCAGTTAAGAAGCCATTGGGCGATACTTCTTTCTTCTGTCCAGTTGCTCTAAAGGAGCATGATGTTCTTTGGCCGGGTGACCCGGAAACTGGAGCAAAATATCGGGAAAAAGTTTATTACATTTCCAGTAACGATTATCGAGAGAAATTTCTTGAAAATCCTATAAAGTATCTACCAACAAATGAACCATTCAAAGTAAAATACACTTAAAAAATTTGATGAATATTTTAATCCTAATTTATCACTCTTATTTAGCCTCCTCCTCCGCGTCTGTTTATCTTAGGGCCTAAAGGATCTGGGAAAAGTTTGCACGGTAGACAATTGGCAAGAAGTCTGGGAGTATTCCATATTCAATTTAGGGAACGATTACAAGAGCTCATCAGGGCTAAATCTAAAAAGAAACTTGGACCTGAATATGCAGATATTGAATTAAATAAAGAAATTGACGAATTAGAGTAATATTAGAATTAAATCAATTTTTAAGGAGATTTTAAAAAAATCATGTCATATTACAGAAAAGAAGATGAAGAAGAGGCTAAATCATTCGAGAAAGAGCTTGGAGAAATATTAAATCCAGCCACTCTTGAAACAAAAGAGGAATCTGACTTGAAAGAAGACAGTAAACTAGGAGATGAAAAAGAGGAAGAAACCGTAATTATATTTTGATTATTCATGCTTTTTCGACTAATTAAAAACTAACTTATTGCAGGAAGCTGAAGAGGAAGAGGAATGGACTAAGGAGGAAGAGGCTATAAAAGCTTACTTGGAAGAAGATGAACCTTTATCTAATGAGATTTTAAATTCAATTGTTAGGGACTGGTGGCATAAAGAACCTTTTAAGAGTAAAGGATTTATTCTTGAAGGATTTCCAAGAACGAAAGATGAAGTAGACTATGTAGAAACGAATGGCCTTTATCCCGATACAGCTTTGATATTGAACGCTGAAGATAGCGACATTATAGCTCGCCTCCTACCTCCTAAACTAGAAAATTGGAAATCGAGACGCGATAGAAAGCAGGCAATTAAAGATAAGAAAAGAAATAGAAAACAACAAAAGAGGGAAGCTTTAATGAAGAAAAGAAGGGAAGAGATTGTAAAAGAAATCGAAGAGAAAAAGGCGGCAAGGAAAGCAGAGAAAGAGGCGGAGGCGGAGGAAGAAGAGGAAGATTCAGATGCAGAAAAGGTAGAGGAGGAAGAAGAGGAAGAAGAGGAGGAGGTTGATATCGATGCTATGTTAGCTGAAGAATTTGAAGAGGAAGAAGAAGAGGAAGAAGATGAAGAAGAAGAGACGGAAGAGGATGCTATAGAGCATATGAAAAACGAATTGCACGAAGTTTATGATAATGACGTCAATACTTTATCCGATGTTTCGGAGAAACTTGCTAGTATTCTCATACCACGAGTCGAAGTAGACGCTGGTCGTAAACCTCATATTGTTCGTTATGTTATAAACAAAAAGCTTAGATCTATTGTTTCAAATCGGAAGTCCATTTTTGAAAGAGCTCAACCAATCCCTGAAAGATTAGCTGAGAGGATGTTAAAACTAAATTACAAACAACTAAGTAGGTTTGGAAGATGGTGTCCAATGAAGGTAACATTTTATACTATAAATCCTTTAAAAACCAAATCTTTTATATAAAGAATGAAAAGCATGAACACTCTTTTCTCCATTTGGAGAATAACAAACTTATATATGAGAATGTTAAACAAAATTTACACTCCTAACCCTCCCCCTATTCAGCTCTTGGAAGGCGAATGTATTCAACCAATGCACAATCCGACATCTTATCCGGTCGTCTATAGACAGCATGTCTATTTCCTATCTAGTAAGAAAGCGCAAGAACAATTTATGCTCGAACCCATTAAGTACCTTCAACAACCATCACCGAAACCAGTTGTTCCCATTCGACTGGCAATTATTGGACCACCAAAATCTGGCAAGACAACTTGTACGTTGCAAAATCCCTTGTCATTAACTTTTTTAAATAGTCCTTTTTTGTATGCAAACATAAATAATTTACTTTGTTTTCTTAGTGGCAAAGAGATTCGCTCATGAATTTGGTGTTGTGAAGATTTCGGCTGGAGATGCCATAAGAAATGTTATTCAAAATCAACCTAAGACACACCTAGCTCAAGAAATTGAAAATAATCTAAAGCAAGGTAAAACAGTTCCTGACGAGCTTACTGTTAGAGCAATAGAAGTATCCCTATTGGACATGAAATGCCAAACGAGAGGATATGTACTTGATGGATATCCATTAACTAAATCCCAAATTGAACTTATGACGCAAAGGTCATTGATTCCTCTACGGGTCATAGAGTTAAGTTGTTCGAATATCGAAATTGTCGATAGGGCAACAAGGGATAGATTTGCAGCAGACAGACCTTATATTATGCACGATAGTTCAAAAATTTTTGCTGTCAAATGTGCAGCTTTTAAAAAGGAGATACCCGGAGTAAAAGAATGGTATGCCGGCAAACACGACAACTTAGTTACAATTGATGGAGACAGAAGTAAATGGTGGGTTTGGAATAATGCATCAGAGATAGCGAGAAAGTCGGTTAGAAGAGTACAAGATTATCTATCCTGTATTGGTGATGGAAAGGCAGCTTCTGTTGCTGATTTATGCATAACTCCATCTGAATTTTTGGCTAGAATTGGTTCGTTTGGTCAGTATTGTTGCGTTAGCCTTGGAGATAAAGGAGAATTAGTGGATTGTTCGGAGCATCGCAATTTTGAATTTACAGCAGAGTTTAGAGGATACTACTATAGATTGGGTGGTAAAGAAGAACTTGATTTGTTTCTCTCAAATCCTGAGAAATACGTCCCTCCGTTGGCTCCTCGTGAATTGCCTCCAAAAGATTTATTGCCAATAAGACGAACTTTTGCCGAGGCGAAAGCCCTTTTCCCTATGACGGTTGATCTAAATGGTTATTGTCCTGTAACCTTCCTAGACGGAAGAAAAAGATACGAGTCTATTGTTCCTGGAGATTCTAACTTAGTTGTTGAATATAGGAATAAATTGCATTACTTCGACAATGAAGAGAAACTAGACAAATTCATGAGACTACCTGAAAAGTATTTCAATTTGACCCTTCCACACAAACTACCGCCCAAGAAGGAACCCCTTCAAGTTACATCTTTACCAATGCTCGGTTATATGGAACAATCAGCGGCCGATGGAATAATTAAAGCCCTAACGGCGGTTGGTAACGTAAAACCCAAGTACCCATTCCTCACAGTTACCCAAAGTTCTCTCATCTATATGGGCTATCATCTAAAAGGTACTTTTAGAGCTTTTGTTAGACAAATTGAATATATCATACATTTGTAATAAAATCATTTCTACAGCTTACAATCCGAGAAATCCAGAATATATTCGAAAGAAATATCGAAAGAAGCTAGAAGAATTTGAAAAAACGTGTAATCTTATTAAATATCTTGGTGATAATATGGGTAGAAGATACAAAGCACCAGCAGATAGGCCTCCAGATTTTGATAAAAAAATGGAAGAGTTTATAGAACTGAAGAACTCTGAACACTCTGCTGACACATGGGTGTCTTGAAATATGTTTAAAACGATCAGTTTTCTTTAATTCTGTATTAGCTATACTGCAATTTTTGATTTAAGTTAAGGGATTTATATATAAATAGAAAAAAAAGGATTTATATGAATAAAAAATTAAAGGATTTCTATAAATACACAATAATGAGAGGACTTTAAAGTATATACAAAACAATTTAATACAATACCTATAGTTTTTATAGTTGTTGAGAATAAAAGTTTGTATCGCAATAATGAATATCGAACACGAACCACACTTTCTATGTCGATGGGGACAAGAAACCTTGCTATTAGATGGCAATGTTTACGTATATAGTTTTAACAAGAAACACATTTTTACTATTATTCATTAATTTATTATGTTTTAAATGCGAGAGACCTTCTGAATTGTATTCAAGAAATGATTCAGTTATAATTTTCACTAATTCGACTTTGATAAATAATATTCATAATTCGAAATATGTTTGGTTCGTAGAGTTCTTTTCCAGTTGGTGCGGTCATTGTATTCAATTTGCGCCAACTTGGAAAAAATTTGCCAATGATATTAAAGGTAAGCGATAAATTTTGAAAATCTTGTTGTTTGTGATCATTTTTTGGCTGATCTGTCTATCCTATTATCTCTTGTTGACTAGAATGGAACAAAATTGTCAAGGTGGCAGGAATCGATTGTGCACAAGAATATAATACAAAGATCTGTCGGTACTATGATATTTCACGTTTCCCAACCTTAAAAGTGGGTGTAGACTTGTCCTCTATCCATTCTCTATAATTCTCTTTTTTAATTTTCTTTTAGTTCTTCCCTCCAAATTCATCAGCATCATTCCTAGGAAAAAAGCCTTCAGAGGAGATTAGTTGGGATACTGATACTTTACGTAGTTCGGTAATTCCAGTATTAGAGTCTTATATCTCCAAAAATGGTAAACCTGCTGATTGGCCAGACTTTAGTCCTATAAAGTATGTTAATCCAACTTTAGAGCCACGTTTATGTACACAAAATTGATTTTCGTTATTGTTTTTATAATTTTTAGAGATGCTAAGGAAGAAATAAAGATGAATTCTAGGACAATTAATAAATATTTTCTTGTTATTGAGAATGAAAACTCAACAACAGGAAGAGAGGTACAGCTGGATGCTGTTTCTGTGTCAACATATTATGTACGTAGGAAGATAGATAACAAAGTTGTCGAACCTAGATTATATCTATTAAGCTCTTCAAGAGCACCTGATATTTTTTTAAAAGAGTAAGTTGAAATAAAATACTTCTATAACCTTTTATAAGTATTAGAAAACTAAAATTATAATATCATTATTATTATAGATCCAATTCACATTCCACCTTAACTTCAATTATGATGAAAATGTCAGGAACTGAAAAGAGGTCACAACTTAGCGAAGAAGAGATTAAAGAGGCTGAAAAACCGTTAAATTCACATCAAGTGAATGATGAAGCGGTGCATGCAGCTGATTTATTACAAGGATTAAGATATTCATTCTACAACGAAATAGGTTTAAAAAAATTCATCAAGGACAAAAGTTTAATTGCTCTGAAAAACTTTATACATCAATTATACTTACATTTAGACATTGATAGTGATCTAACATCATCCCTTAGTCAATTAGATGATTGGATAGAAACTAAGCTTGATGAGAACTTAATTACGCATAATGAGTGGAGGGATAAAATTCAGATAATATTTTATAATATCTTACCAACTTCAACCGAGTTTGTCGGTTGTGCAGGTAGCAAGTCTCACTTAAGAGGCTATCCATGTTCCTTGTGGACATTATTTCACGTAATGACTGTTCATTCGTCATATATGTCGAAGCTAGCTAAAAATGATCCTCCAAAAGTTTTAATGGCTATGAAAGGCTATGTGAAATATTTCTTTGGTTGCACAGAATGCTGTAAGAATTTTTTAAAAATGGCCAAGAACGTTGAAGATGATGTTAGAGGAGATCAGGAAGCTTTATGGCTTTGGAGATCTCACAATAGAGTTAACAAACGCTTAAAGGGTACACCCTCAGAAGATCCTACACATGTTAAACTGCAGTTTCCATCTCGTATTTTATGCTGGAGCTGTCAAAAGAGAAGCAATCAGTTTCGCGTGTCAAATGTTGTTGAATATCTCAAAAAGAGATATGCTAAAGCACATATAATTATGGATCATCCAAAGCGAAAATTATTTATTCACAATAGCAAAAGTGTTCTTTTCTTATCGCAATTTGACGTTGGTTTTTGCATAGTATTTTACATAGCAAGCGTCTTCTTAATTGTATGCGTCTACATTTATTTCTGGAGGAAGAGAGCATGCTGCCGAAAAGTTCTACCAAAACGAAAATATCTTAGTCAGCCTTAGTAAATTCGCTGATCTTATATAATTTCTATATATATATATATATATCAAATTCGAAGTACAAGAGGTAAATTGAATGAAATCGAGGCAATTTATCAAAAAAAATTTTGCCTATAGTAAGAAATCTCTGATTGAGGTAAATGCTCCAAATATGGAAAATATTAGAGTAGCTATTTTATAAAATTAATTACTATATAGCAAATTATCTAGAATGTTAATATAAAAATTTCTTTCATTGGAAGATAATTAGAGGATTCTAATCATTCATTCATATTTTTAAATGCCTCAATATTCATTCTATTACTGCTTTGTACATTTACAAGCATTTAAATTTATGTTTATATCATATATATATATATATTTATTTATATATGGTTTTTATTGGAGAGCAAAGACTAAAGAAAAAAGAGACAAAAATTTTTGGAAAATTGAACCATTGAGTGGCTTTTTCAACAAAGGACTTTATTTTTTTTGTTATCGACATTACATATATATATATATTTAGGTGAGCTTGGACAATTTTAATTGCTTGTACTTTCCTAATCCGAACAGAAAACTTTCTCTGGTGTCTCTTCCTAGGCTGTATACAAATCATTGTTTGGTAATCAGTAAAGTCTATACTCTAAGCCATGAGTTTCTTTTTATCAAGAAGCTTGCGATACCTTTCTTCAATTTATCTTAAGTCTTCACCATCTACTCCTCTGACATAGTCCTTAGCCTGTCAAGTATATGAAAATAAAATGTGCCATTCAGAGCTGTAGCGAGGGTGAGGACATAAATACTGACATTGTTTTGTGATAAAAATGAGTTGCATGCTGGTGTGTCTATTATCATACTGCATAAGTCTATCTTTATAGATGAAGTTATTTTAATATTTTCTTGGCTTCCCTAGAGTTTCTATAACTTTATATATATATAAATTTGTGCTAAGAACTTCCTTATATTCCATAAACTCATAGAGATGAAACTATCCCTGCCTAAAATCTTCCCATATTTTCCTTCTTCTTCTGATATGTGATTTAGAACTCACGGAAGATTAACTTAAAAGCATCATCAACAATTTTTAAACATATGCATATGAAGAAAGCAATTAAAAAATAGGTAATAATTTTGTGATTGATTAATAGATCTTAGTTGCAAAAAATAGAAATTTCTATCAAAGTTCTTAAGGAAATATATACAAGCGATTAAAACTCAGTTCCAACTTGGCGTTTATATAGTTCATATATATATATATATATATAAATTATACAGTATATATATATATTTATATAAATTTATATGTATTAGTTTATCCAAATTTTATCTGTTTTGTTTATGTCTCTTTGAGAAAGTAAAAAAATTCAAAAACTAGTCAACAAGCATTCAAAAGAAAATATACATAATTGTCTGTAGACCATATAGACTTTTCATATCGTTAAGATAACAACATTGGCCTTATTTACCGTAAAGAAATTCTAAAGTTTTTATCTATGATTTGTACGATTACAAGATATATTATAAAAAATAACAGAAATATTCGTTTATTTAGTCAACGTGCTGAGCCAGATATGACCTTCAAAGTTTTAATCGCAATAGACGGTAGCGAACAATGCCGTAACGCTTTTGATTGTATGTGAAAGTTGCTCGATATTAAATTGTGTGTAAATTATCAGAGGTGTAAGGTTTCAATTATATTTCATTAGGGTATTTGAAGATGTTACACAGCAGCAATAATTCTGTCGTCTTGGCAACTGTTTCAGACACTCAAGTTCAACCTGCTTACGCATTTAGAGGTATTAAAAATTTCGAGACGCCGAATTTGTAGCGTTTTATGACGACAATATAACGTTCTGTCAATCTATTTAATATTCCAAAAAAAATCCTATATAAATATTCAGCCGGATTAGCATTACCTCAAGAGCAGTGGAAAGCTATGGTAGCTGAGGATGAGAAGAGGGTTAAAGACCTACTTTCCACCTATGGAACATCATTGAAAGCAAATGGGGTGAGCTTCTATCACTTGTAATCGATGGAATAAAAAAAAACAATTTTTTAAATGTCATTAATTTTTAGATTCCGTACAAGACTAGAGCAGAAGTTGGGAGTAATGCTGGACAGCATTTATGTCATATGGCTAAGAAAGAAAAAGCCGACATGATAGTTATGGGGACGCGTGGTCTCGGAACCGTACGAAGAACAGTTTTGGGAAGCGTGAGCGACTACGTTCTTCACCATTCTACTGTTCCAGTATCTATATGTCCGCTTTCATAATAATATATATGCACAAATTCCGTCACTCTTTAACTGTATTTCTTAAAACAATACAACTTTTAGTTAGATGGAGTGAGCACACATATGCCGCCGGCCTTCTTAATTTTTTCTTCGGCTTTTCGGCTGAAGAATCTAGCCTTAACAACGACTGGCTTGCTTGGGAGTTTTCCCTTGCCGAGTACCTTGAAGAAACCAGATTTAACTACGTTGATAACCGGGGCGGTCTCCTTGTCGGGTTTTTCCCCAAAGTATTTTTCGCGGTGTTGTTCGCTCAATAGGGACCATAATTTATCGACGTTGACAGTAGGGCAGAAGAACTTGTTATTCGTCTTGTGAAAGTAACGCATACCAACTTTTCCGAAGTAACCAGGATGGTACTTGTCATAGTTGATTCTATGGTGGTGTTGACCGCCGGCATTACCGCGTCCACCCGGGTGCTTACGGTGTTTACCAACTCTTCCGTGTCCATGGCTGACGTGGCCCCTCAATTTACGGGTCTTCTTGGTCTTGGTCGGCATATTTTTACGATTTTATGCGCACACGTTTTTCTACAGATCAAGTCGAAAATGGAAAAGACCGGATATCCGGTGCGTCAAACGCTAGGCGGCGCTGACCGAAACATGGTTCTTATCCATTTAAACTTGGCGCTTTTAAAATGTAAGTTTAAACATTTCAAATATAATAATCATGATAATCTTTGTTTATTTTGCTTAATCTCGTCGAAATAATAATTTAATAATTAAATATTTAAACGGTAAATTTAGCATTTTTGCTATTAATAATCTAATTCAGCAGTTTTGCAAAAGTTCTAAATGCATATTATAAAATAAATACTTTTGTCATTTGTATCAAGAATAAATCTTAAATCATTCTGAAGAATTTAAGAGAAAAAAGAACCATGTTGCATATTTTCTTAATAGTATTCTTTAAAATAAAGGAAAACAGTGGAATTTTTACAGAGAATCAAATAAAGAATTTAGAACTTTATAAAAATAACCTATATTACGAATATAAAAGAAAAGGACTTCCAAATAGATTTAAGGTATTCAAAATAAGCGGATATAGTATATATGTATATATTATTTTAATTCTATTTGTTTAGCTTGCAGAACCACATGCAATATTTTGTTGTAATTATACCGGAAATTGGAAAGGCTTAGGCTTAACTCATTCAAATTATTATAAAACTTGTCAAAAGGATAAAGCGACTACGAAATGTACAGTTGAATTTGTTGAAAATATTAAAAAACGATGGTTGCAAAGGCATAGAAAGTCTATTATGTTAAAAACAATATCATTTGGATTTTCTAGCTTAGACGTTGATCTTATGATTTATATGCTAATGTGTAGTACCAATAGTATCTCATCAAATTGTCAAATGAATATATGCTCCGAGAATCAACCTTGTATCAATCTTCATAACATTAAAGAAACTGGTAAATGCCAATCAAATATGTCTAGTCTATATAAATATGAGTACGAGTGTCCATGCGACGACAAGTAATTACAAAAATTGACACATAAAGTCAATCTACTCTATTTATAGTTAATATTTCTCTTTTAAAGGTCAGTCTGGAAGAAAGATTTAGGGGTATGCACTTCGAAGAGAATTACTAGTAGAATAATAGAACCTTATTACAACAAAGTAAATGTTCGTTGCTTTCTTCCATTTATCAAAGGATTTCGACGAAGAGCGACTTCAGATAATTTTGATTGTGAATGTATTTCTGGCCTGAAAGCTGATCCTATGGATTCTAACGGTGGACAGACGTGTACCTACCCAAATGATGTTTGTAGTCACGCAGACGGTGAAGGATTCAAAGCTTGCGGACCCTATGGAAAATGTATACAATATCCATTTACAAACAAATACGTATGCGAGTGCGATAGCAATCACGTTCAAGATCCACTATACAAGGATTCCCAGGATAACTGTCGTATGAAAAAGGTTTCTTGTATATTTAAGATGTGCATTCATGGAAGTTGTGTTGAAGGAGAAGATTCAGTGGGTTTTTGTATTTGCGACGAAGGCTATACCGGTGAATTTTGCGAAAAGAGAAGACCAATTTGGAGCAGTTGGTCTCCTTGGTCTCCTTGTAGACCACAGTGTGGTCCTGTTAGAAGAAAAATACGAACTCGTTTCTGCGGATTAAATAGAACTAAAGAAGAAGGTCTAGACTCTAGAAGGTGTATGTCTCAAGTGGATTCTTTAAAGAATTTTGAACTCGAAGCGGCTAGAATGGAGGAAGATCCTTGCGAAGCAAGCGCTTGTTTCTTAGACGGTACAGTTGGGGAATGGGGTGAATGGTCCAAATGCAATCAGACATGCGACACAGGATTTAAGTATCGATATCGTTCTTGCTTTATGGATTATAACATTTTTAAACAAGATCATATTAGGAATCATATGAGTCGGCTCCTGAGAGATTTCTATAAAAATCACTTTCACAAGTTTACTCCAAGACTTCGATACTCTTCAGGTATATGTAGTGGAGGATATCTTTCTTCACTGCCAAACGACGGTCAGTTGGGTAATTGTACAGAAAAAATAATGGATACTAATATTATTTCGGAAGATATTAAAAGAATGACTAAATCCTATTTTAAAACAAAATGCTTAAAGAGTACAAAAGAAATTGCCTACTGTAATCGTTGCCCTTGTAATTTTATACCAGGAAAGAAATCTTGTGAAGAGATACTAAGGGAAAAAACTGCTGTTTGGAGGATTTTACCACCAAAAACTCAAGAGAAAGTACAGTATGAAAGCCTTCAGGAAAGTATAGAGGTCAAAGACTTGGATTTCTTTGGTAGTCGTTTAAGCCCTCAATGTATTATTGTATTAACAGTTACATTGTTAATTTCTTTTTGTTATATAACTCTTATTTCTTGCTTCTATTTTGTTGTTAAATCCAATTTGAATGATCATGTCAATAACATTAAAAGTTCAATGAGAAGAAGGCAAAGTAAAAGTTTAAATAGGCTTATAAGAGCGTCTAAATCCTATATGTAAATAATAAATGAAGAAAAAATGACTAATTCTCTTTTTCTTAAATGAAATTTTATTCTTTGGATAATTAAAAATATAGTTTCATTCCAAGATTGTTGAAAATACTGTATTGGAAATTTAGTTCGTTTTCTTTTTCAAAGGATCACGTTATAACGGAATAAAAATAAAACCGGTGCAGCAATGTGATTAAAATTGATGTTCTTAACGAGGTCCTTGGTATCCTTGGAGCTGCAATGTAGATGGATATCTTGTACGGGTGGTCATACATTTCTCTCTATCGATAAAGAGAGTGTTTTTCTTGATAGAAATTTCCTTCTCTAGAAGCATCCTGTTATCTTGAAGATCTTTTAGACCATTTTCGGCATCGTTTAAGCGTTGCATTAGAGCATCAACAGAGCCAGCGATCTCGTGAACTTCGTTTACGAGAGCGTACTGAACGGGATCTCTACACAATTCAACTCCAGGCCTATATTCCCTACTATGAAGTCTGGTTTGGGCAACCTTCATAGGATCTTCCTTCTCTTTAATCTTCTTTTTAAGATCGGCTATCTTGTTTTGTTGTCTTACAATATCGTCAGATACTTTTTTAAGGTTATCTTGTAGTTTATGCAGGGCATCGTGAACCTCATCCGTTCTTCTCTTGAATGAGACATCTACTGCGTCGGCTTGTTCACGCATATCGCGAGACGTATCTTGTAAGACATTGTCGACAAGTGATCTCAGCTGGATTGAAGCCATTCTTTCGTGCTCTGCCCTAGTTATATTGTCGTGTGTGAACTGAGCCCAGCTTTCGGGTGTCGACTGAACCGCTTGGAATTGGGCGGAACCAGCGTAAAATTGCTTATTTGTATGTTCATTTCTCAAGCAAGCCATTGCTGTATCAATTTCGAAAGCTTCTTTCTTATCGCTCCAATCCATTTCTAACTCTCTTTTACGGTCTCGATTACGCTTTATCTGCTCGTCAGTTTCCTTTATGGTCCTTTTCAATAAATCTTGTACGTTATTGATAACCTCCACTTCCTTCAATAAGTTTAACTCAACTGGATCTTGAACAAGGTCGATACCTTGTCTACGAGCTCGGCAATTTAAATTATCCGTTGAAATGTGTAGAGGGATTTCAGTCGATCTTAAAGCAAGTTCCAATCTTTTCCTCTGGTCGACCAACATGTCGGTTTCGGAGATCAAGTCGGATATTTCCCTCTCCAGCTCAGTTTTCCAAAAGTTTATATCCTTACTACGTTCCGCTAACTTCTTGGTAACGTCATTTTGGGTATTTACTGTTTGGGCATCAGTTTCCTTAATTGTCCTATTACCTTCGTGTCTGGTATTCTCAGCATTATGTAGATTAGCAAAAGATTGGTAATATTTTGAATAGTTGTGCTCATGCCACTCTGGTGGATTGTACTTTTGGGATCGGTAGCCCATAGTAGAAATACCCATGTCGTTACCGACGTTTCCAGAATAGCAAACGTCGAAATCTCTAACACCATTTGGTTTGTTAGGTAAGGCTTCAGAAGCAGCCAGAGCCGGATTTATTGATGCAGTTGCCATATCTAGCACTGGTTTTCTTCTAAATAAAAAATTAGACACACTTTCAATCGCTTAAGAACGAGAAACACTATCGCCGACGCTTGTCGCTAAGGCGCTCGTTACCAGGATATGATTGTTGTCATAGCAAGGTAACCGGTTAATTTGGGTCATTAAAACAAACTCGAATAATTTACCGGTTTTATTTTTTCCATTTATGCAGAAGTTTAAATGTATTCTTTTATATTAAAAAAAAAATCAAACTATATACGTCAAGTAAAAACACAAAACTCGGACCTAATTAACTTAAATATCCACCTATTACTGCTTAATCAAGTTTAGGATAGAGTTTCTATAGCATATATTTCATAAAATCTCTTATGTATTAAAAAAACTTTATCTATATCTATCTCCATAGTAACTAAACAAAAAATGTTTTAAAAACAATTTTCTTGTTAAAGAATAATACAACAAGACAGATCTCTTCTAGAATTCGAATTTCTTCTAATTTCAACTTGTTTCTCCATTTCTCTCTTATGAACGTTTGACTGTAAAAGAAAAAAAAGCAGAGAAACGGAAATAAGAAAAAGTTATTTTTAAAGGTTAAAAAAATAAGTAGACAGCTTTAAAAAATTAAAAACTTAACCTACTTTTGTACTAAGTATTACAGTGTGAAAATCTTGAACTAGGACATGTCTTGTAATTAGAGAAAATAAGAAGGTTATTTTTACAAACCGGTTGGAAGGATATTTTATCAGCGTAACACTTAACAACTTCCCCTTGAATAACTTCTGTTGATTCTTTAGTAATAGGTTCAGGACCTTGCTCAAAATTATCCGTTAAATTAATATCCGTTATCGCATCATTCTCGTATGTTAGAGCCATGACATTATTCCTTAATTTTTGGTTCCTTTACCCTTCCTCTTCCCTTCCTATCTTCGAACTTTGTCGTCTTTTTGCGAATAGAAGGAGAAAAAATACGAAATTTCCATAAATAAGACACAAAAATGTGAAATATTTATTTGTTAAAAACTTTTTAATCAGTCTCTTATAATTTCTTGGTAAAAAATGAAAAGTTCAAAAAAGAAGGCTTATGAACGTTACTCAATAGAATGGAAAGTTTGAACAGTATCTACTATTTTTATTAGGTGGGAGGTTGGTGATGGCAGAGGGGTGGGTTATAAATACTCTCATTAAATATAGATTAATATATACTAATATATATACTATATATATATATATTATATTCATGAATACAACTAATACTAGGCCTAAATTACAATGCTTTATTCTTCTTTTATCAGAGTTTGATTAGCTTAGAGAAAATATTGTCTATTTTGTTTTCGAGATTATTAAAAGTATATTTAATTTGCATATTGTCTTTTTTAAGAGATTGTGGATATTAGATCTTAAACGTTAAGTTTCTGTATACAATGCCCTCTACCGTATTAAAGTTGATTTATTTTGCAAGTTGTAGCAACTGTTCAATAAAACTATTGATCCGATTGGCTACGCAAATACTTTGTCCTTTTTTTTGTATTTATTTCTCAGCAGCGATATTTTGCTGTGCTTACGTTGCTTTGTTTAAGTAAATGGTCTTATAGGAGCAGGAAGAGGGTTTAAATTGTTGATTTGCTGTAGTCTTTTTGTGAGCGGGGGCTGCAGAAGAGTGAAACGATATGAAAACACTAGAAGAGATGTTCGATATTCTTGACGCCAGTCGTAAAGGCTTCCTTACGGCTGAACAAGTCAAAGAATTCTTTGAAAGAGCCCATATTTGCAGTGTGAATTTTAAGCATGTTGTTAAATCTATTGAATGGGTAGTTGGACCTAATGGGAAGGTTGTTAAAAGTAAATTTTCTCAGGTTCTACAAGAATTGTCGAGGAGGAAGGATGTCGAAGATAAGGCCCAATGGGATTTTATTGGTCTTGATAAGTTTGGTTCGTCAAGAATTTCTGTATCGGAGGCTCTACTCCTCTTTCAGATCACACATGGTAACGAATTCCTTATAGATTTCTGGCATCAATTTATTGACAGTAGGGGAGACCTGGGAACTACTGTTCCTGTATCGTATGACGAAATGCGAATGTGGCTTTGCGATCATCCTTTCGAAAGACCTAATAAAGATGAAGACGAACCGGATACTGCAGAGGAGGAATTGGCTAGATTAGCAGAGGATTTCGAAATGGCACTCGACAGTGAGATAGCTAAGTTAATTCAGAAAACGGACGAAGAACTTCTGGCAGATAGAGATTGGAATGAGAAGAAGAGTAATCGATTGGCTAGACGAAAATTGGGAAATTGGGAAAAAAATGGAGTTTCTGGACTCTTTGATGATGATGGTATTGATGATATAACTGAGGATATTGCTCAACCATTGAAGAGAGGCATTTCAGTCGTATTCGACCTTCTTAACCTGAAATATGACATTTTAAGAGAGAGAGTTATTATTTTAATGGCAGAAGGTGATATGGGCTCTGGATTATGGATAGGCTCAACTCCATCACAGCAAAAAGCAGTTCTACGGAAAATATCTACAACTGAGAAACAATTGAGAAGAAAGAAACAACTAGCTTCATCCAGCCATGCTATTCCAGGATCTCACATACTCTTGAGAAACTTTGATGCCCTGTTGGGAAAGCTTGGAGAAGAGCTCACTGCTGATCAACGGTCCTTAAACATAAGGCGACGTGACATGAAAAAGAGTGGAACAAAAGAAGTTGAAATAGAGCAAACTCTGAAAAGACTTTTTGAAGAATCCTTAGATTCCAGAATGAAATGTGGAGATGCTTTAGTGATACTAGAGGAGAGACAAGAAAAGGAGCGCAAGCTACTTCTTTCTATGTCACCGAATCTGTTAACAGAAAGTCATGGTCGCTTGGCAGCCCAAATAACCTCTCTTAGGCGATTCGATCATCCGGAAACATGCGCTCTTAGTGTAGGTCTACTTGAGAGGAACCAATTACCAGTTTCATCTTTCTTTGAAGCAGATTACCTAAGACAGGAGAGATTAGCTAAAATCAAAATGAATGATGATTTTAGCAAAAGTACAGATCATGTGGGTGACGACTACATTGGTTGTTTAATAAAGTCGATTAGCCTCCGACACTTGAACGAATATGAAGAATTATTATCTCTTATCAAATCTCTTCCTGAAAAAATCCCATCAACAGATAGCAATGAAAGGGAAAAGAAGATGACTATTTTACAGAATGAGCGTGAAAATTTAAGAGAATCAGCTGATGATTTAAGAATTAAGAATAAAAAGAAGCATATTGCAATTTTCCAAGAAGCTTGTAAGCTTTATCTTATGGATCTAACAAGAGAGTCTGGAATTTTAAGATTGCATACTGAATTACAATTGCAGCAGCATTTAGACCTTGATAAGATTGTTAGAAATCTTGGAAATCTTAATGATAAAGAACTAAAAGGTACGTTTTTTTGCTTGTCATTTAAATATTAAATTAATATTTAATTAATTAATTACAGCAAAAAGTATCGAGGAAGAGAAAAAACTGAAGCAACATGATATGGATAATATTGCTGCTGTTCTCTTAAATCAAGGCAACATAAGCGAAGATGAGAAGCCATACGTTGTTTCTATAGAGGTCAAATATGCTGCCCTGAAAGATGTTGCTATTCAACACAGTCTCGAATATGAATACGGACCCGATTGGGGCAGATTATCTCAAGACGAAAAAAAAAATTTGAGATTAAAACGAGCCAAGGAAGAAGCCGTCGCTCGGGAAAGGGGAGAACCCGATGGATTTTCCCCGCTCATGGGTAAACTTGGTTCAAAATTATCCGATTTAAATTTCTACATGGGGCCTGTTAGGGAAGGAGCTTTACTTGATTCCTCAAATATCCTTTATGACTTAACAGTTCGAATGAGAATTGAGAAGGAAGCAGTTCTGAATACTTTACGAAAGAATGGTCTGAATGACGTTCTTCTCGTTGCTATTAGGCACGAGGCTTGGCGAGCTATAAAAGAAAGTGATACTGGTGTATCAGCTCTAAGTGTAGGACTAGTTGAACGTGTCTTCTGTGATTCCGATCCCGAAGATGATGCGAGACAATTACTTCTGGCAAAATTGAGGTATAAACTTCGACAGAAACGTCTCGAACAGGGTCAAATATGGTCTAGGGAAAAGGATGAAGGTGGAAATATTGATAACGATCTTAACTCTTGGCGGAGAGCATTTCTAATCGAGATGAGTAAAAAACATAGAGAAGAAATAGAGGTTATTCTCTATGTCTTACAGGATCCGTCTATGGATTCTTTGGTTGACGCAGCATTGAAAATGGGGGATATTGAACGAACAAAGCGTCTAAGCGAATTAAGCTTTAAGAGAAACGTTGTAAATGATGATCTTGACCAGCGTATGGAACTAATAGAAGAGGCAGCTGCCATAAGAATAGCTTGCAAATTAGATGAAGAGGACCACGTGCAAAGTTCACATGAGGAAATAGCTTATGGTATTGTGGCTGACGTACAGGCTGCTCAATATAAAGAGTTAAGCAGTGCAATGAGAACATTAGCAAACCAAGATCAGAATGATTTGATGTATAAAAGAGGAAGAGAAATTGATAGCAGGAATGATCAAAATGTTCACAATATACTCGACGTTTTAACAAAATATGTTGGAGAACTCTCCGATGATTCTATTCTTCAGGCTTTGGATGATAGGCAAGCAGCTCTGGAAGCCCTTTTGGATGACGGCTGTCCTCAAGATGTTCGAGATAAGCTGAAGAAAGATTTCGAAGAAGAGAGACGTCTTCTATTAGATAGGTTAAGAGGTGGTTGATCATAAGTTTTCTTTACCATTCATTGTAATAATTGTTTCTTTCTTTAACAAGGATTCAATCGAAAGTACATGTCAGAAAGGGAACGTCAAGCACTCCTTATGAGATTAAAACGCCAACAACGTCAGATTAAGTCTCAAGAGCGCTTAGACGATGCTCTACTGTTGCTCTCTACAACTTCTGATTATGAAAATTCTTTAATGAAAAAGTAAGACTCTCTCTCTCTCTCTTAGATGAGATTTAGAAATAGAATTTTATTAAATAAACTCATTTTCATAGGCAGCAAAGCGAAAGAGAAAGACAAAAAGAACTTGCACTTAAAAGATTGGCGGCTCTCAAGGCTAAGAAAGTCGGGAAAATCCCATGCCCTGAAATAGATAATGATAGAAGGACTATGAAAGACACAATACTAAAATTAGCTGATCAAATGTTTGAACAGGAGAGGCAATTACTCGTTGAGATGGTTAGTAGGGATGAAAATGATCGAATGGCAGAAAGCATGTCCAGCGAACAAAGGACTAATCAATTGGATGAATTATATAAAAACTTGAGGAATTTGCCTCCGGAGAGTACACAGTCTCGATTAGATCTTTTAAATAGGGCAGCATTTTTAAAAAGGGCTAACAGAATGGCTTCTTTACGAAGATCTAATCAGGAAAGTTCCTTACAGGATATCCTAGCATCATTACTTCTCGATTTAGAGCAGAAACAAAACCAGGAAATGAACGTTCTCATGGATACTTTAGCTTTAGATAATGATAAAGACGCTATGCAAGAGCAATTAAAATATAGCTTTTGTATCCAAAACGATAATGTACCTAATCTGGAACAGATCATTTGCTCAGCTGAAAGTTCATCGCCCCAAGAATCGAATAATGAGACTGTCGTAGATGCCCTGAAGGACAAATATGACGCTTTGAGAGATACTGTTCTTTTAGATATTCTTTCGGAAAACGATTCTAAGTTTGATAGTTTATCAAAGGAGGAAAAAAATAAGATACTTCTGGAACTTAAAGCAAATGACTCAAAAGTTAATGAATTAATTCAAAAAGGAACATCTGGAAATGACGAAAGAAGCAAGAAAAGAAAGAATGTCCTTGAAGATCTTAAAAATGATTATGAGAAGGTCAGCCACAGATCATTTGTATAAAGAATTGTTTTTAATCCTGTCTTTTTTAATACTTTTCTTAGGAAAAAGCCGAACTGCTGGCTCTTTTAGGTAAAATGAAAGACAAAGAAGATGCAGACAGAAAACTTCAATTGGAACTTGCTAGATTACGGCACGAAGAAAGGCTGGCTAGAAGAAATGACATGTACTTTACAGCATCTCGTCTCCTCACGCAATCTGAGTCTCTTACAAAGAACTTAGATAAGGAAAAGAAAAGGCAGATGGAAATTGCTAAAGCCCGATTAGAGGCAAGGAGAAAGAGGAAAATTCAAGGACAAGAACTGGAAGAAATAACTCCTGATTCCCATGACGCTTTAATACGTGGACTAGAAACGAAGCATGAAAAGGAGCGAAATTTCCTGATAGATCTTCTTGAAAATGTCACGAACAGAGGTATTAATCCTATAAAAGAGAAGGAGTTTCGTAATTTAGTTGATATACTTACACACACCTGGGATGAAATTATATCAAAAGAAGAAGGTAATCCAGATATTGTTCTTGAGGTTGGTAGTTAGTTTCTCTTTGGTTCTTTTCCTTATCTTTTCAATTAGATAAAGTTTATTGGTTGTTTCTTAGAAAGCTGCTGCGGCCTACTTGGGTGTTTCTAAGAATCAGGAAGAAGCAAAAGTTATTCTTGTTGCCAATTTGCAAAAGCAACAAGACGAAGAATGTAGAAATCTCCTGCACAATCAAAGCAATATTGTAAATGATCTTGAATAATTCGAGTATACTTACTGATATCCTTTTTCGTTTATCAGGAGAAAGACACTTTACAGAAGTTACTAGACGCTCAAAATAATAATTTTAAAAGTAAGGAGCCAATAGCGTCTCTACTGTTAATCATGCCGGAAGTAATTATTACAATTTAAATAATTCCATTAATTCAAATAATAAGGAGACGCTTTTTCTGATAATTTTAGAAAGTTGAAGATGAAATGATGAAAGTTTTAGATATGAAATATGAGAGTATGAGAAATAAGATTTTAGTAGGTGCATTAACAGAAAAAGTAGGAGGCGAAGAGGCCTGGAACAAGTTAAGTGACGAAGAGCGTCTAAATCTATTAATAGAAGTTAAATTAAAGGAAAAGGTAGGATTTTTTTCTCAACTAATAAAGGAAACAGTGATATTTAAAATTGAAATGAATAGCAATTAAGAAAAGAAAAGAGGTTAAATGAAGCTGAAGAATTAATAGGTAACATGGATATTGAAGTTGGAGACACTTGGAAAGAATCAAAGGAAAGGATTGAAAATAGGGCTAATAGGAGTAAACAATTAATAAATCAAAGAAAACAAGAGGGACTTAGTACAAATCCAGCTCTTATAGATGCTTTATTGGACGAAGAAGAAATTGAAGAGAAGTCAAAGCGACGTCGGGTAAAAAAAAACACTTTTTTATACATTGTTTTAATCATTGTATTTTATTTGACTTTTCTTAGAATGTTCTCGAAGATCTTCAAATGCATTTTGAAGAAGAGCAAGCTGCTCTTCTTGCTCTACTTAAATCTCAAACTGTTAGAGCATTGACAGAAAAGGAAAAACAAATGTTATTGGCAAGACAAAAAGCTGAGAAGAGACGCTTACAAAGAGAAAACGATTTAAAAGCTGCTGTTTCTGAATTATTAACTGAAGGGAATAGGGCAGAACAATCCATAACAGCAGAGAGAGAAAGACAAAGAGAATTGGCGACTAAAAGATTAGCTGCTATGAGATTAAAGTATAGAAATAAGACTAAGGATGAAATTTATAATGAACTCTTGGAAGAGGACAAAAAGATAGAAGAAGAGGATTCACGGGCTTTATACGATCTTAAGAGTAGAGGAATAGGACCTTTGCATCATATATTTATGGAAAGGTTAGAGAGATGCCATGCAAATGAGCGAAAGTTACTGGGAAGGCTTTTAGCCTCAGGAGCCTCAGAAAAAGACCTTATAGCTCAACTAATGTCTATGACCACTCCGGTTAATTAGCTTTTGCCTTCATATGATACCTATTTTTTAATCTTTACTTCCGTTATAATTACAACTTTCAGAGTATAAAGTCTGATTTAGAGAATATGCAGGGAGAAAGAGCCAATTGGAGGCAAGAAATGGAACAACTGTCCACAGACAATTTATCCGAATTAGAAAAGGAGGTCCACTTGAGAAAGGTTGCAGATGAAAGAACTAAGCAATTTTCGATACTAAAGAAGGCTGCTTTACTGAAATCTAGAGGTACTACGCTAAATTCTTTATAACTAATCGTGTAAGAACTGACGTTTTATTAGGCCTGTTTTTTTAAATTCATTAAATACGAAAGAGAGTGTAGACTTATCCTATATTTGTCTTTTAAAAGCTGAACTGGATAATTTAGTTAATCCAAACGAGGATACAGAAAAAATACAACAGCAAATTGCCATTAGCCTCTTAGCCGACTTGCAACAATTGCAAAAAGCGGAAATTATGGCAATTAGTGATAAGATGGGAAAGATGCATGGCGATGAAGTGATAAGACTTTTAAAACATCAGAAGAATACTAATTTAAAAGGATACTTTGATAATCTAACTTCTCTATTATTTAAAGTTAGAGAGGAAGAAAAAGTTGAAGCTGGACTTTCACAGACACAAGTAGAGGCTGCAGAAAAAGATTTGAAACAAGAATTCGATGATAAAGAGTCTAAAATAAGAAAGAATATGAGTGAAGGAGTTGATATTGATGCCGAATTGGCAAAGTAACGTTTTGTTTTCTTTTCTCTACCTTTATGCCTTTAGGACATGTAACATTTTTTCTTTAAATTCTATACGTTAATTTAGATTAAAAGAAGACTATGAAAGAAGGAAATCGGCTTTGCTTAGGAGTATTGATCGTCAGAAGAAAATAGCATTGAGCAAATTAGATGCTAGAAGATCTGAAAGGGAATTAAGACGTAATATAATCGTTTATCTGTTAAACTTTGCCATCTTACGAAAGAATCATTGAGTATTACTAATTTTCTTTATTTTTTACAGTGAGACAGGAAGAAGCTGTTGCTTCCGTTTTAGAGGCGTCGAAAGAGGACGAACAAAAAATTAAGCAGAAAATTTCGGAAGAGAGGAGTAGACAAACCGAACTTATGCGAAAGAGGCTAGCCGAAAGGAAACGATCAAGAAAACAATCTATTGAAGATCATGGTTTAATCGATTCTAGTTCGATAAAATCAAAGAGGTCCACTTCAGCCGAAGTCCAAATTCCTGGCCTTCAAAGAGAAAAGACTGTTATACCTACGAAATTCTCCGATAGCTTGGCTGAAAAAGAATTCGCTCGTCTCAAAAGAGACGTTGCGTCTAAAGCCGAAGCTCTCGAAAGGGAAAAGACTCGACAAGAAGAACAGTTTAAAAAACGTCTTAGGGGCCAGAGGAGAAAGTCTCAGAGCGAAGTACAAGAAGTTTTGCTTCGTGGTGAAGAGCAACGTATACAATTGGAAAGAAATCTTCAAGAGGAGAGAGAAAGGCAGAGAAAACAGACGAGAGATCAACTAGAAAGAGCCAGAACCGAAAAGTCTGTTGTTAGAGAAGTAACGCCGGTATCATCCAAAAAACCCAATATACCTCAAAACGCCGAAGAAATGGAACGTTTATCGAAACAACTAGACGAAAGATATAGGATAGCTCTATCAACTGAGGTAAACATTAATCGTTTAAAGTAAAGTAAGAATTATAATAATATTTTACTTTTATATAGGAATCGATACAAAGGGAAGTTAAAGCACCACCGGTAAAACTGGACGATAACGAACGCCTAAAGAAGCTGAAGGATAGAAGAAAATCAAGAAGTAAATCTCTTCCCGCAGAAGATAATTAGAACATAAAAAACCGACATTATATTTCATACATTTCGTGCTATAATTTCAATGTCTTCCAATTATTTTTACAAATCTTTAATCCTTCCAGTTGTTCTTTAAATCAAATACAGAATATAAATATGGAAAATAACCCAAATGAAATATTTTAAGTAGTTTGCAATTGACAAACATCTATACTTTACATCTTTTCCTTTACATTCGTAAAATGAAATCTCTATATAAAACATCAACTGTATGAAAATTCCTCAGTGTTTCATTAAGACGATTTGGGGGATTTTTTTTTGTTTTGTCAGTTTGTCAGTTTGTCACTCTGATTTAGAGAGTTTGAATTATGAAAAATTTATTATTAATTAATTGAATGTATGTATTAAAAGAAATTTTTTTTATAACGCCATCTATTGAAAGAATAGAATATGTTTGTCATATTTATTCAAATGATGCTATTTCATTGGAAATGGTTTTTTTTTGGTTGTATTTGACTTGTTATTCTCTTAGGAATATATTTCATATTGAAAAGCACAAAAAAGACGATTGCAAGGACACGGCATTACAAAGATAATTTACCATAGTTTTTTTTCATAGGGGAATGTTTGATTAGGAGAGAACAAAGATAAATTAAAGAACGATAGATCTATGCGTTTACGACCATATTTTTCAGGTGTATTTTATAAATTAATAGCGTTGATTCGTTATTCAAACATTGATCGTAGTACAAAAACGATAAAAGGTTATCTTTTAGGCTAATTAATAGAAAAGGAACCAAAAGCTTGGCAAGTTGAATAAGATAGAGTAAAGGAGAGATTTTAGACAGAACTATGTCCGTATTTTATGTATTTTTCATCTAAATATCTCGCTTTCATCAAAATAAAGGGCTAGGCCAAAAGAAATTCGAATAAATTACGTTCTAGTGATATTTATAACCTGAAATTTTGTTTTATATGTAGAAATAGCTAAACTATTACATATCTCTACTGTGCAAGTGTTACGTATGTAACATGTACATGTTACATATTCTCCCGCCTAAGGCGGATTAGGCCTGATTATCTCATTGACTTTTTCACTTTTCTCGGTTACCTCGACGATCAAAGGCTATGTGGGCTTAGTATTATTTCCTTCTGCTTTATCCTTCTTTAAGACATAAACCTCTTCAAATTACCTTTCGATTCTTTATTAGCAGTTGATGCTTTTCTTCTCGAATCCTGTATAGAAATTCTTATTCTTATTGAAAATACCAAGAAAAATAACACTAAATATTCATTGGAGAAACGTTACAAGTGAGATTTGAGAAGAGACAAACTGTATGAATTTATTCTTCAATGACTGTGCTTTAATTGCTATAGCTGGACGAGAAGCAGGAAACCTTATCGAATCTTCATGGAATCAAATAAAGAATCATTGTAAAAAATATTGAAAAAGTATGGAAGTATGAAAGAATAAGCATATATACTATATATATATATGAAATAGTGTCTATAAGAGAACTAGCTATAAAGAGACGCCTGGCGTCAAACGAATTGTACGAGTCTAGTATTGTTTGTTTGAGCGTGGCCAGAAGCGTTTTCTATCTCTTGCTTTTTTCTTTCTCACATCGAGTTATCAAGATCCCCTTTTCTTTATGGAATTTATCAAGTTTTCGCTGTTGGGTCTCTTCCTCATGGAGATGGAGATCGGAGCCGATCTACACGCTCCTTGTTACCATTGTGAATTTATGAAAATGCGTCTACTCCACAAAAGTTTACCGAAAGTGAGAAGTTTGTCAAAGAGATCTCATCACAATCCAAGCGAGGTTTGTAAATAATTAACAAACAAAACGGTAAAGGAGAATTAGAGAGTAGGAGTTTATAAATAGTTAATATCATTATTGATCAATTAAAGAGGTTTCTGGTACAAATATAAAGCTATTCAGCTAGTAGATTATACTGTATATACTGTATATAAATAGACTTGAAAACATATTTCATAATTGCGACAAGTACTCAAAGATGAAGAGTGTGTTCTATGAAAAACTTATATATGCATTACTATCGAATGATATTACGCATCTGCTTGTGATATTAACTTATTCCGTTTCTTTCCCTTTAGGTAAATATGGTTATTTCCGAATTTTTCATAGCCAAGTAAACCTTTACTTCATACTTTGACATATTAGCTAATAGTATTAAACAGATATATGTTATTTATACACTTTTGGTTTTACCTCTTTTTTTTTATATACGTCTAATTCGAACTAATAAAGTAACGCCATTATCAAATTCTATCTTTATGTAAACAAACTCTCATTGCGTTTATTCTCCTATTTAACTATTTCATCGTTTAACTTGGTTTATCCTGTACTATCTCATTCTTTTTCTCTCTCTCTCTCTCTCTCTCTCTGTCTCTCTTTTCCCTATACTCTTCTCTTTTTTAATTTATCAATATTAATTAACTTTGCCGTAAACATTGAAAATTAATTTATTAAAAACTAACTAGAAGCGTCGACGTATTGATATACACCAATAATAGGTCACATAAAAGTATTATTTTTTTACACCGTTGTCGACGTTGACAAACGACTTATAAGCCGGTTTGTTAGCTTAACAATCTCGGTAACTCGGTATTGGAAGATAGTTAAAATGAAAATGAGGAAAAATGAGGAACGAGGGCAGAGTTACGCTTCGTGCGTTACAAATAAAGAACAATGGATGAATAAGAAACTTAATACGTTATTAAAGGGTTTTATTGTGTAATTAAGGAGAAAAAAGACGATTACTTTCTTTTGTCAGTTTCCGTTAAAGATACACAAAAAAAAATAATTTAAAAATTACGTGACTTAAAGGATATAGGAAATCACGTGATCAGCGTGTTATTATCTTGTACGAGGTTGACGCCTAATTCCGCACTTCTCTTAGTTTGGAAAGAGGCATGCAAAAGGGCGTCTCTTACCTAAAAATAACATATAGAAGCAGAAGACTTGTGAATGTTTTTTCGAAGCGAAAGAAAGAGAATTTAGACTAATAGTTTTTTTTTTATAAAGTAAAAGTAAAGTCTTTAAATTAAAGAAAAGCCTGTTTAAATACCACAAACCACACTACGATTTATAATTAAGCGTTACCCCCCGCAAACTTGGAACTTTTTATCGAAGTTATTCTTCTGTTCATAGGAAAATAATCAGTTCAATCAACTTTTTCCCTTTGCTTAATATCTTTTACAACTCGGGGAAAAAATAACAGCAGTTTGCTCTATCTGTATGTATAGGAATTTAGAAGGAAAACAGAGGGAAAGAGAGAGAGAGAGAGAGAAAGAGAGGAAGGCATGAGCGGGAGCTATGGGTTTATACAATTAAAATAATACGTATATGGGTACTAGGCCTAAAGAATAGACCTACCTCATAAATATATGATATAGATGTAATAAATGTAATTTCTTTCCCCCGTACTAAATAGAGTTGTCTAATACGTATTAAACAATTTCCTTTGTAAATTTTATGATTTTATTGAATTTCTATTCCATCCCAGTCCATTAATAAGAAATAAAATAGCTAGGGAAAAAGGCGAGAATGATAACAGTGTAGTAGACACACACACAGAGAGAGAGAGAGAGAGAGAGAGAGAGAGAGAAGAGGGAGAGAAAGAAATCAAGTTGTAAAAGATAATGATTGAGATAAATGAGAGATGGTTAACACTTTTTTTTCTCTTTTATCGTAACAGTTTGTTTCCTTGATGTAAATCTGTAGATCCTAATTAGAGGAGAGTCTTTGATTCTGATTAATTGTATAGGTAAATGGACAAATAGGTGACATAAGGATGGAAAAACTAAGAAAAGTAGGGAGAAGTGGGGAGGGGGTTTCCTATCGATTTATGGACAAACAACTGTACTCTTTTCGTATTCATGAACTAAGTCCGCGTTGGTCAGCGCAGACTAATTCGCGCCACTTCACAAGCGATTTTCGCCCTGCATTTTGATTAGGCTATACCGTTTATTTCCATACATCACGCTAAAGTTCCAGTATTAGTCGTATAATTGTGCTGCCTACTAACCCAATTCTTTAAAAAACTAGTCTTACAGGCTGACCTCCAAAGCTCGAAAGATTTCTAAAAACCGATTGTTTAATGTAAAAGTAAAGAATGAATAATGTAGATTATAAATAGCAGCTTAATTTTGGTACAAGATGAAAGAATCTTTAACGCCCTTTCAAATGGCTACTATATACCCTTTACTATTTCTATACCCCCCTTTGGCTAAAACAATTAAGCGACTAGTCGTTTAATTCGTAGCGACCGAATCGATGCATTGCATAAAAAGGAGTAAGAAAGGGGAAAAAAATCCTATCTCTTTTCTTTCCTTTGCCGTTTTCCTTTTCTTCTCACTAGAGTATCATTTACTCGGTAAATTGCTGCATTTTACGACGCAATAGCAAATATCACCCCTACTCCAGGCTGCAGACATCCAAGGCTACCCTTTTGCTTGTTCTAGCTTCCAACTTTTTGATATCTATAAATAGCAGTTGCTATGTGTATATAAATTGAAGATTTTCAATTAAGACAACAAGCGGCAAAAGTCCATTAGGATTTGCCAACCGTGAAATAATATGTTGCCGTCTATCGGACTTCAAAAAATCCCTCCCTTCGTCCCTCCCTCTTCCTCCCTTTTTTCTGTTCTCTCTAGTCGATCAACGGTATCTATTCCTCTTCTCAACTTATTTGTTTTCTTAATAATTGATAAGAATTAGATATGAACCCATTAATATTTATACAATTTGCATATGCACGAAATTTTTCCTTTATTTATCCTTTTCCTATATACAATACATATTAGTCTAATACTATTTACAAATTGTTTGTAGGTATACTATATACAATAGGCTATAAATAGGCGTCTAAGCGACTATGATATCTATGTATGTCAACATTGACGCCTAGATATATTCAGTATACTATATATTTATTAAAAATGAATTATAAATGGTGTAAATAACAATGATTATGACCTATCTTTGCCGCTACCAAATTGATAATAAATTCGTTTCTCTCACGAAAGCAGTTTTATGGTATATTTACTCACATTAAGCTAGGGGAGAACGACTTGGAATATAGAATATCTATAGGCCTATTATATTTCGAAATTATAGACGCTACTCGCAGAGTAAACAAACTATGATTTTCGTAAAAAAAGAACTTTTCACTCTTTTCCCATCCCACTGTCCTGGTTTGGTGACAAAATTTCCTATAAGAAAAATAATAAAAGCAGAGAAAGATAGACAAGAATATAAAATATTAGATAGAGACAAGGAAGCAAGGAGGGGAGGAACGATAGCGTCTTTCCCTGATGAAAAATTTTTGAAGGGCGTTTCCTTAAATTGTGCGAGGCATTAACGATGGAAATAAATAGAACGAAGAAGCAGTTGGGAAATAGGGGTTGACAAACTCAATACAGTTATAATATGGTATACATAGAACTAATATATATATACACATAATATTCATAGATACTCTGGCTAATACACAACGGAAAATAGACGCACGAATAAGCGTTTCCAGTAGCGATTTTTCAAATTTTCTTTTTATGTTGCCAGCCAGTCATCCGGCGACAATGACTAATGATGAACACAAACATGACATGTCTAAACAGGAAAAAAATCCAACTAATCACCATCCCTCATTCTTCCCTACCCTTCTTTATCCCGCCCATAAATCTATTTATAGAATTCATAGAGGCCATAAGAAATTCTTACAATATTCTCATAGTTTATCCCAAAGAAACAATTAGGGGAACATTTTTCCATCCCTAAAGGTTTTCCACCGAACTTTTTATGATTGGTGTTACTCTTTTCAAATTATTATTTAATGAAAAAAAGCTTTGTCTCGTGGATGTTTCTTTAAACTACTTACTCTTTATCGATTACAGGAGGCAGGAAGATGTACAAAATACAGTAAATGCGACGAATGTCAGGTCGAAAAATGTATGGACGGTATACGAAAGGTGAAAGATGGTTGCGGATGTTGTCAAGTTTGCGCCCGACAGTACGGAGATTACTGCGATTACAAACACGTCTGCGATGAAGAGAAACACTTGTATTGCGATAATGAAGAGAGGAGAGAGGTTAGAGGAAGGTGCAAAGGTGAGTTGACATATAGGACTATTGTTTGCGGATGTAAACGGAATTTTTATAAATTGAAAAAATTACAAGAATTAAAGGGAAACAAAAGAATAAGAATAAACATGAAAAATCAATAAAAAAGAACTTGTACTAGCTATAATTTTACAAAATACATGCAAATAAGTTACGAAGAAGAGAAAGAGAGAGGATAGAGAGGAGATGAAAGTAACCCAGCAAATATAAAAGAACGATTGATAATATGAATAGTAAAATGGAGCTTAAAGACTAAATGCTCCTCAAAATAATGCTATTTTTAGCTCGTATAGATAAGGTAGAATTGTTAAACTCTCTGTCCAAAAACTTTTGAAGTTGACACATGATTGAAATTCTACTCTTTACAAATTAACAACCTTTGATTATTCTTTGCTGGAAATCACGAAAACTTTTATTCCTTCTCTCCATCTCTCTACTTTCGTCCTTTTCTAATTCTCTTCCTTTTCTTCTATATATACCTCTTTGATACACTTTTACATCCTTTTCTCCAGTTCTTTATAGAAGTAGTCGTAGTTGTAAACGACTGTTTCTTGTGTTTCATCTTAATTGAAAGAGAAAATTCGTAGAATCAACAGAGAGTGAGCTTGTATTGAAATAGACTCGCAACCACATACCTGATGAATGATAAGGTTACTTAATAGACGCTCCCTAAAATAAAAACATGTCGATCTATTGTCCTTTTTTATTGCAGCTGTAATAAAATTCCTTTGAACTTAGAAATTAAATATGACAGAAAGACTGCTTCTAATTTCATATCAAATATCTCCTTAATAAATATATATATATATATATATATACTGCAATTTTCCATTGCAGTTTCTTTATATTAAAAATATAGAGTGGATGTATATTACTTTGTTATTTTCCGTTTCTTGATCTAAAAGTAAGAATTATTGTGAAAAAATCGATAAGAAAACAATTAGAGATAAATCTCTAAAGAGGGTCTCCATTAAAAAAAATCTGGAATTGCTGTAATTTTTCTGCAATTTTTTTAATTTAATGCATTAATTTAATAATTATTCCCTAAGAATCTTGCTATTATACAACAGTCGGATGGAATAAGGTCATTTATTCTTATAATTTAACAAGCAAAACCTTAAAAAAAAGAAAAGAATCAATTTATCTGAAGCTTTATAGAGCACAAAGAATAGGAGAAAATCTTAAGCGTTTAGAATTAATTATAAAACAGAAAGCAGATAGTTGAGACTTTTATTTGATAATTACAAATTAAGTTATTCAATGAATTTTATTGATGTTTTTATTTCTCTCTTTTTCAGTGAAAAGTCAATACGCAAAAAAGTGTAATTTCAATGGAGTATTTTATAAGGATGGTGATAAATTCGATGGTGAATCTTGTCGGTATAAGTGTACCTGTCAAAATGGTGTTGTTACTTGCGTTAATAAGTGTCTTCATGAGGAAAGGGCACCACGTTCTAGACACTGTAGAAATCCTTTACTTATTAATATTGGTAATAAATGTTGCAAAGAATGGGTTTGTCCACTTATTTTGGATCCTCCGTCAAATCCTGAACCAACTCCGTCGAGAGTACCCTGTCCAAATGTAACTTCCGTATGGTCTCCCTGCACAAAATCGTGTGGAATGGGTATATCGTTCCGTGTTCGGAATGATAATGAAAATTGCGCAAAAATAAAAGAGAAGAGACTGTGCATGATAAGAACATGCCATTTAATAGACGAACATATGAAAAATAAAAAAGAAAAGTGTCCAGCTACGTGGAAGTTTCGTGACGAAATCAAATATTTAGAGTACAAAGGATGTCGGAGTGCCGTCAAATATAAACTAAATTACTGTTCGAATTGTAAAAAGAAGAAATGTTGCTATCCAAAAGATTTTGACGTTATAGATGTCGAATTTCGTTGCCCGAATCAGAGGAGATTTTCAGAACCATATATGAAGCTAAATAGTTGTACTTGTAGACCTAAAAGGCATAGAGAACAATTTTGCTAGAGAGCGACGTTTTGTTTCCTATCAAAGATAAAGAGAGAAAGAGAGCGAGATTGAGATAGAAAGAAAGTACACATCTCTGTATATCCATCCTCGTGTTTGTACAGTTAAAATAACATGTTATTAACGATAAATAAAGATAAAGAGAAGATATGTTAATTGTACTTTTGTCTTTTAATGAAATCTCTTTTTTTAATACTTTTAAATATAGAATATCTATTATAAAACGTCAAAAAACCCGACATATCACCGTCAAATACACTATATAATAATTAGTTATTTGGTGTTGATATGAAGGAAATAAAAACGATTTTACTTTGAATTAAAAGAACGCCTATCCTTTCAAGCTACAAAGCTTTCAGGCGTTTCTATTGCAAAATGATATATGACTAGTTAATAACTGTTCGGAAATCAATATATTTTAGTTGTTTTTGGATACTTTTTGTTTCTTATCGTGTCTTTGTGCACTTAGGAAAATCTCATTATATGAGGTGAACTATAGAAAGTTCAAATGCGCTCTAAAGTAATTACGATGAAAGTATGACTTTCTTCTTTTGTAAACGAATTTTTGCTTAATGTATTCCAAACCGGTTCTATCAAGCACACTTTATTTTTATCATACCTATTGCCGGCTTTATTTAAGAATGAAAAAGTTAGTCCGGAATTAATTTATAATTGACTTCTATCGTCTTGATTTTACAACAAATGTTCTCCTTAATGCATATCATAAACACTTTCGGATGCAAATTCCGGTTTATCATAGCCCATTTCTTCTGGGGTGGAAATTCCCAATTCTGATAAGGTTGGTTGTAATTCCTTCAGCATATATGGCCAAATTTCACCTTGTTTAGGTCCAGTTTTGTCCTAAACCAAAAAAGATTATTATTCTCTATAAAACAAAGCATACAATTTACCTTAATAGCTTCCAAATAACGAACGGCTAGAGCGTAATCATTAATTCTACGACAAGCTTTGAGGGCCGCAATAACAATCTTGGGTTCTGGGACCAAATCGTCGGCGTGGATGTCGTTCATGGCTTTTCTCACTTCCCATCCATCGATATCTGGACGGTTGAAGAAACTTTCGTACCTGGCGTCGAATTCTTCTTCAGACTCGACTACATGTTTCGACATACAGCGTCTTGAGACTGTAGCAAATATAACAATATAACATTTAATTAGGACATAGTTCTTGTATACAAAATAAACTTTGCTTCTAGCCATAATTCTACTTCAATAATAACAAAATTATGAAGGTTAACCAAGGATTTACGTAGGCCTATATTTTACACGAGTTTCTATATTGATAAAAACATTAAACGTTTCAATTTGTGTGGTTTAGCGTATTCTTTCAAAGTAAATTATTCTGTGATTCTAAATTATTATGTATCATGACAAGGGCAAATTATCAAGAGGACCGAGGATAAGCCCAAGCAATCCTGCATCAAATTTTCTCAGTGGATAACAGATATATTTTAAGCTTACAATAGCGATATCTACATTCTACAATTATGATTAAAATTCATTAATAGATAAATATAGAGTTTTTGGAGGTTAGTATAACGTATGTCAACTGTCTTGCTATATCGCCCATACCGAATAATTATTTACGCTTGTATATTCAGAAGCAATAGAAAAAAGTAAAATTAACCGATTGATGTGGCACTCAAATTGGCTCTCGCTGCTGTCTCAACAACAGATGCTACTCTGGAGGTGAAAATTCTCAACATTATTCAAAAATCCTTTCTGTCCTCTAAGTTCAAAATGGCGGAGGAGAATGGCAATTTTGCTTGCTTATACCAGTTTTCTTTTTCAACCTATAATAGTCCCGCCCGTAACTTCCTGATTAGTTGCAAATATTTTCGAAAATATATTTAAAGACTAAAAAAAAAAACATATGACAGACTTTCATTGATCATAAATATTATATATAATTATATACATATATAATATATATAAATCATGGTTGATATTATAAAATTCGATTGTAATTTATCATAAACCAGATTAGATCTATGGTTTCCCAACAGGAATAACAAATAATAATCTATCTCCAGCTTCGCCCCAATCGAGTCGATATTTTTGATAGACAATAGCCCATGCCACCACTATTCCTATACCAAAAAGTGCAAGGATTCCCGATATTGTTACGTACTGACGGAGTTTCTTTTGCTCAGGGAATGTCTCTTTTAAAAATGCATCTCGAAAAAACCATACGAAATTGACAAGCCATAATACAGGTAGAAGACCAAATCCACCATAAAAATATTTCCTACATATGTTAAGCTTCTCTCCATTGCTTACTTTAGCTAAATCCATAGCGTTGAACGATAAACTGTGTATGAATCACGAAAACATAGCTCATAAGTATTCGAGTAAAATAGACATTTAAATCAAAAAATTAATAATCTAAAAGGTACCTTGAATTTGAATTTTACAAAAATAGATGACGTAGGTTAACAAACAAATAATAATAACTCAATGATAAGCTTAGATTGACTTATATTATTATTCTAGGCGAAACAGTGTTATTTTTTATATGCGCATGCGCATAGTAAGCAAAGACGGAAATCGTTCTATTTTGAACAATTTTCAGTTTGTTTTCCCGCCTAATTCGTCTTTTAATTTTAATTACTATACAAACAGATAAAGTATTAAACTTCAAACATGCAAAGTTTAATTACAGAATAATGAAGGTTTAGAAATATATTTTTCAGATTGTGACAAAAAATCATGGAAATATCACCATCAAAACGATTTTCCCCCTCTCACCCCGATTATTTTCATTCTGAGTACAATTCCGTTGTTTAACTTATATAATAATATTATATATTAGCTAATACATATAGCTATCTATTTATTTTACTAATTTATTATATAAAATCAAATTGTTTTGTCAGGTAATCGTTATTTACAACAACAATGTTCAAAGTGTATTTGCTATAAGTATAGCAAATTATTTATTAGTTTAAAAGTAGGTTTAACCCTATCATCTACATCCTATTTAGTCTTAATTTAATATACAATGTTACAATACTATTTGAAAAAAAAAATAACTATAAAAACTGAAGATATTATTCATTTAAGACATAAAAAGCACAACATCCGATATTTCTATCTCTCTCTTATTATATAATAAAATTGACCTTTCTACTCTTTAACAAGAGCAAATTTACACTTTGAATAAAATGTAAAATAAGTTTGTTTAATATAAAATTGAAGTATTTTATTTTTACTAGGACAACAGAAGTATTCAAGTAGAATGTACTGAATTAAAAAATAAATATTTTAATAATATTTAATTCTTTATTTTGTGCCTTTTTTCTCTATAATTAAAGCTTTTTTACTTGAAATTTCATGCTTTCTATAGAAATATTTAAAGTTTTAGCTATATTACTAAGATACTTGTAGATCTTTTATTTTTAGTATTAACTATAGCAAAGTATTGGGTGTCAAAAAAGGGTCATGCACGCACACAATGCTGTTAGTCAGGTTTCTGCTCCGTGTAGTAATATGTCCCAAAAAATTTGGATTTAAAAGCAGAGCGGAAAAGGATACCTTGGAAAAGTGTTAGCCAGAAAGAACATCGCTTTGTTTCGAACCGCTAGATAGGTACCTTATCTTCATTTTCTGATTGTTTAGAGCATATTTTAAAAATATTGAAGTTTATTATTGTTATCTTCCATTCTCATGAGGAATTTGGAAGAAAATTTTTCGTGAAAAGAAGAAATATATCGAGTATTTTTTTATTTTCCCACTCTTCAGATTGTTGGAAACATGGATAAGATTATTGGGGTAATAGGAGGAATTCCCCTCTCCAAGTCAAGGAATGATGATACTAGCGCTGATAGACTTTCGCATCGTTTCACCTCAGCTATTTTGGTTGTATTTGCCGTAGTTGTTTCTGCTAAACAGGTACATGACGCTTTTTTTTGACAACTTTTTTTTTGTGTATACATAGCCACCAACGCGTTCTTCCGAGTTGAAAAGTTCAAGTTGTTTTTTTTTCCTTATATAGGCCTATTATTTATCTATTGGAAAATATTTAGTAAAGAACGTATTAAAAAGATCTGAGAAAAAACTTTCTTAACAACAGTTTAATTTTTTTAGGTTATAAAAAATTTTTACCAAACAATAGATCTTTCAAAGTGCCAGGGATAATATTTCCTATTGTTGAGAATAGGCCTACTTGTCTTATCAATTATAATTATGTGTGTACAGTATGTATGTGTACTTATTTGTTTAATAGTTGATGTAAATTAATTGGTGGCAAATATCAAGATTACTTTATTAATAAGTTGTACAATATAAAAGAAGATATTGTGCATTAAAGATATCTTTCTATCAATCCCAAGGATATAACATTACATTACATATGATAAAACAAAAAGAAATACCTATCCAAACCTACGTAGAGAAGCTGTAGTATTATTTCATTCGTAATTTGAATATTATTAATTATTCCCTTTTTTTTAAGTACATAGCGTATTATTTTACCAATAGAAGAGAAAAGTATGTGTATTGTTTAATGGCAGGTTCTCTATTTTTTTAAAATTATATTTGAGGTCTTTAATAAATATATAAACTTAGAGGAATATATTGATTGATCGTGATTTTCTTTTATTTACTTTTTCACTTCTACAATTGTTATTATAAGCCAAGAATGTTTATATTTATTACATGACTATCTTTTCCTTTCTTATAGTTTGTTGGCGAACCTATTAATTGCTGGGTACCTGCTCATTTTAGTGGCGGCTGGGAAGAATACACCAACAGTTATTGTTGGATTAAAAATACTTATTACCTACCATTTGATGATCACATACCAAAGCACCATGAACATGAAAAACGTAATATTATCCCATATTACCAGTGGGTACCTATAATATTCTTAGTGATGGCCCTATTCTTTTATCTTCGTAAGTAGTAAAATCTTAAGTCAATAGAAAAGGTCAATTTTTATCTTTTTCAGCGACCTTGATTTGGAGAAGCTTGAACAACAAATCGGGTATTGATATCAAATCTATTGTTGAATCAGCCGAATCCTTCCAAAACACAGAAAAGATTGCTAACAGGGATAGTACATTAAAACATATGACGGAACAAATGCATCGCTATCTTAACGCTCAGGATTATCTTAGTAGTAAATTGACAGTTTCGTTAAAAAACTGCCTATCTGTATTATGCGTGTGCTGCGGTAGACGGCAGGGGACTTACCTTGTGTCCCTTTATTTGGTTACAAAGTTTTTCTATATTTTAAACGCTTTAGCACAACTGTTTATCCTTGATGTCTTTATGGGATCAAGGTTTCACGCGTACGGTGTGCAAGTTTTAAAAGAGCTCTCTTTGGGCCAAGATTGGACAAACTCTCCGAGATTTCCGAGAGTTACTATGTGCGATTTCTTGGTAAGAAGATTGGGAAACGTTCAAAGATATACCGTTCAATGCGTATTGCCTATTAATTTATTCAATGAAAAACTTTTCCTTTTTATCTGGTGGTGGATTATTTTCCTTGTACTTATTCAAGGAGTAGCTCTAATCAAATGGATCTTAAGGACAACGTCTAGCGTTGACAATCAACGCTACATCCGTAAACACCTTAGACTGGGTGGAATAATTAAATCTGGAGCTGACGATAAAGAAAATGTTAAGAGATTCAGTAACGACTATCTACGACCAGATGGAATTTTTATACTCAGACTTATTGGTTGTAATACAAATACCATAACGGTCACCGACTTTGTCAGATCTTTATGGGAAAAATGGATAGAAGATAGAAACTTACGTCAACCCGAAAAATTTCCCGATGGTAAAAATTATTAAATTAGATATTAGTGAAATATACGGTTTTGCAAAAGAAGAAAAGAATAACAAATTTAAGTAAATCTCAGTTTTTGCGTATGCATTGTAGTATGTATACTTGGCAATTAAATCTATATAGATAGATTTTGATTATTTTTATTGCTTATTACTTTTAATGCTGCACTGTTATCAGATATTTACATTCTATTAAACAAAATAAATTTTAAAGTGAAATCTTAGAAGTTTAAAAGTTAAAATTATGCAAAACTAAAAATTAAGTAAGAAACAGCTGTATAGATAGTAACGCGAAAAGTATTTATACATTGCATATATATGCATTTATACATGTATTTAAAGGAAGCATTTTAATGACAAAGGAGATGATAATGATTGTTGTTAAAATAAAATTACTTGATATATAATTTGCCAAAGAGAACACTTTAGATTTTATGCACAGAGTGATAAATGAACGTATTGATTTCTCTTTTATTTCGGTACGAAAGCCATTTCAATTTGGAAGAGTTCAACAAACTATTCGTCGTAAATTTCAAGAGGAATTTAACTATTGGAAAATCGTTACAATTATAATAATATAGAATTTTTCTTTAATTCTTTTATCATTTAATTAACAAATACACAAAAATTTCAACTTTTTTTTTTATTAATCATTGTATATTTAAGGCCTATAGCAGGAAAATTTTTTAGAATGATAAAGAAATAGTAATAGGTCGAATTCTTTTCTTTTTGCGATGTATTTTGTACCACTCCCAAAACTTAGACTATAGACTATTTTTAGAAATATGATTCAATTAGTATACTTTTCTTTTTTCTCTCTCTTTCTATCTCTATTTCTTTTTTACTTATTATACTATTTATAAAAATAGGTTCTGTACGAAAATTGAACTAAAATCAATCAATAATACAAAAATAGAATAACACTTTATCATTTTTCGTTTTTTATCGTATAGAATTAGTCTAGACAATCTATTTAAAAAATGTTACATAACTACGTATACTGTTTTAATGTATTTTTAAGAATGTGTATGGAAAGCTATAGAATTTGGAAGGAATCTTTTTATAAAAGATATATATATTCTAATTATAAAATTTACTAGAAAATTGTTTTATCGACTTTAACCAGCGAATAAGAGAAATGTCTATAGTATAGTGTATGCCTTTTCATATTTTTATAAACTTTGGGAAGAAAAATGAAGGAAATTTTCCCCGTTAATTACAATTGTTCTATCATTTTACTTGTCATCTATCTCTTACACAGATAATATCTAGTATACACATATGGTATGTTGTATACACATACACACACACACACACACACACACACGAACATACAACATTTATGATAGAAAAAAGTAATACTAGCAATAATACGAAAATACCCTAAAGATTGGAAATTGTTATAGAGATATTGGAGATAAAGAAGTACTATTTTAATTATAAAGCGTTAAAGATGTTATAATAATATATATTTTTGTATATATAATAAATACAAGTTAAAAGTCTTTAACATATCTAATATTACAAGCAAATGCTTTTGATAATGGCGTAAAACAATGGAAGAATACAACATTCGAAACTGATCAACCTATTTTACGTACTATTACGTTTGTCTGTTAAAAGAAAACTATCACGTGATAGGTAGTTTCAACCAGTTATTATTAATTAAAGTTTTATTATTATAATAATTTTTCTTAGCCTTGTAACTTGATTATTTGAAAACTATTAGGAGACATTTTCTTCTTCATTTTCAAAGCCTTTTTATGACGTTCATACGTAGTTAGTATACATCAATTTGATAATAATTTTCTTCTTTCTGCCTATAACATGGTTTAGATTTTTATCTTAGTAAAACCTGATTTTATCACTTTTTCGAACTTCTTTAAGACATGTCAATTTTGTATAGAAACACCAGTTTTTATTTGTAACCGGAAGAAGTTTAATTTTCGAACAACCTTGACCTTTCACGCATGTTATACCATTCCAGATAACTTGTTAGAAAGGAATCATCTCGCTATTTGTTTTGTTAATTAACTATCGAAGAACTTGCCGATTAAAATGGAGTCTGATAAAGGTTGTATTGGTAAAGAATTTAATTAATCTATGCTTATAATACTACTTTTTTTCTTAAGGAAATCTAAGTGAATCTGTTGCGGAGTTCCAATTGGTTTGTAGGGAAAAAGTTCGTAAGGTTTACGATGAGAACGATTTAGTAAATTTGGCGAATCAGATTCAGCAGGTTTGACCATTAATACTCACCTCAATAGTATTTCTAATTAAGATTTCTTTAACTCGAAATACAGTCCGATTCGAAGGTGAAGATGAGTGTCAATACAAAATTACAGGTTATATTAGAGCAAATGAATAACTTGAAAGAACAAGCTTTTAGGGTACGTTTTCAAAGATATTTAAGAATTATTTAGAAAAAAAACATTCTATTCAATAGAAGGTTCACTTTTACACATATAGTACTTTTTAAAATTACATGTATATATTTATATTTATTAGATATTAGAAGAAGCAAAAAGAGACACAGACCTTAACCACGCCGAATGCAACTTGATAAAGAAACCAGGAAACATATACTACGTCTATAGAAGGGCGGATAACAAAACTTTCTTATCTATTGTTTCACCAACGGTAATTTTCTTCTTTTCGAAATGGTCAAAAGATTTTTTCTCTGAAATTGCAATCGCCCTTATTACCGGATTGTAAACATTTTAGTATGTGTCGGGCTTCTGCTCGACGAATATCAATCCATCTGCGCCTCAATCTGTCCATTTTCGCTGGTTGTTGTTGGAAATAAGTTTCTAAAAATTTAAAGAAAAAACAAATTTCCATTTTATTATTCTCTCTTATAGAAGGCATATTTATTACAGTGTTTAGTAATATATGGAACATTTTTTAAAGGATTAACATTAAAGATTATTAGTAATTATTTACTAACCACAACTTGTAAAAAGTAGAGCTGAAGAGCAAATAAGGAGAATGAAGAATAATTTAAACATGCTTGACGATGTTCTGATGTTCTATCACTCTTTCTACTATTATTTATAGCTCTATGCAAATGAGCTATTAGACTTATTTGCATAATTTTTTCATTACACACGCCCTTATGTGTCTTATTTCTTTCAGGAGTGGGGTAGTAGTAATCCACATAAATATGTCGGAGCTTATAGATACGAGTACGATTCAAGTTGGACTCCAATTGATAAGATAAGTCAAGCCGATGAAACTCGTGATAAGATTGATCGGATTATCAATGATAAATTATCAATAACAGCTGAGGGGTTTAATCAATAAGAAAATTATATTTACACAACAAAAATTAACACAATTTGTAGCGAATTCTAATAAAATGACTGTTCTATTGAATTGTTTATGTAAAAAATAACATATCTTTAAGACAAAACAAGGCGAACTTTTTCGCTATTTGCTATACTTGTTAGTAGTTTATGGGTTAATTACTCAACATTTATTATCTTAAAAGTAAAGTTAAAGACAATTTTCAATACTCTTGCCATATTGCTATCTTTCTTTTAACTTTTCATTCTCTCACAAACATATTTTTCAACTTCCTCCCCCTCATCCCACCCACAGTCGCCCTCTCTTTTTTTATAACCTTCATCTACTATTATATCCTTTTAACTTTGTTTTTTTTTTGCATTCTATTAATAAACATACATTTTTTGTTTTTCTGAAAAAAAAAAACATTAAACAATAAATAATAAAAGACATAGAAGAAAATAGGCGAATAGTTGAATTCATTTGATCGGTAAAAGCGTTACTTTTTATTATTATTTTTAAGTACATAGGACTATTGAAAAGTGTATTTAAAAGAAAGTTATTAAGGAGAATAGAAAAAAAGTCTACCTAAAGTTTTTCCTTCTATAAATAATATCTAAATGTTTAAGTGTTGCGGAAACATAAAAGAGAAATCTTTAATATCCAAATGTATACATTAGAATGTTCTATTTGTTGGAAGAATTAGGGAAGAAACTATGGAATAAAGTGTTATATTTATAATTCTTCTGTTTATGTACTTATTTATTTGTGTTAGATCTGCTTGTTTGTTTATTGTTTGTAAACGCTCTTACCTATTTTTAATTGAGTATTTAAACTTATAGACGTTTTGTAGTAGAATACTTTTTGCCTTATTTGTCTTGTTTGTAAAAAATATAGAGGACATAGCGTCTATGTTTTTAAGACATATAAGATAGAAATTAGTCTATTAATAGTGCTTGAAGTTTCTTCTTTGCCTTTTAATTGGTCTGTTCAATTACGTTTCTTTCCTTTACAATCTTTTATCTCCTTTGAAATTTACTACCTAAGCTATTTATAAGATTCGGATGTACTTCTATTACATAAATTATATGTTCATAAAACATAAATTAGTGGCTATTATCCAATAATTTGATTACGAAGAAAATTTTCTTATTTTCTTAAGGCGTCATAGGTTTCTAAGCCTATTTATACTGTATTGTTCTCATTTCAGGCTATTAACTTTTTCATATAAGCGACGCCTTCCATTTAATGTGAAAAGTCTATTTTAATCTCTCATTAATGCAATGTTTTTTTAGTAACAAAAACGAGGCATTAGACGAATGCGGATAGTTTAAGGAATAAATAGAATGTGTATAAATTTATAAATGAATAATAAAAAAAGAGCCTCTCCTGCCTCTCTTCTAAATATGTAGATTATTAAGAAACACTTTAAGATATTACAGCTATGTTCTTTTCCTTTTAAAGAGATATATTATACACAGCATATACTTCTTATCAATTTGGAGATAAACTCCTCAAAGTCCCTGACTTGAGGTATTTTCAAAAAATGAAGAGTTTTCGATGGAATAAATGAATGAATGAATGATGATAATGTTTTAGAAAGAAATACAAATATATATATACACGCAGAGATATATGGGCAAACTGAAAGTACGTCATAATTCGTTATTTAGCCCTAAGTGAGCTTTAGACTTTTTTAAGTAATGTTATTTTTGTCTTGTTGGATTGATACGTTAGGAATGACAGAAAGTGTGAGAGAGATAGAGAGAGAAAGAGAGGGGGAAGAGAAGTAACTTTTACATAAGTTTAATCTACTTGGAGGATTTACACAATTCTTTCTATATAATTAATATCTTTCAAACTGTTTCCTCTCCTTGTCTAATTCGAGTTCATTAGAAAAATTTTTATCTCCCTTTTCATTTCCGTCCTTCTCCGTAAGTCTATTATTATTTCTTCATTAAGTTAGTTGTTATCATATTTAATTAATAAGAATATCATAATGCATCATTTCAGAACCATATTCTTTATTTATAGTATATAAAAATATCCGGAGAAATAATTTATAGATATGTTATATATAGAATAATTACAGCTTATTGCCGTAGGTAAGTATTTGATAAAAGCACTCCATGTCATCTTAAGCTGTACTTTTCGTAGAATGTTATCATATTTTTATGATGTATCTTATCAATTAAGGTAAAGTTTTGAAATGGTGCTTCCTTGATTATTCTTGAATGAAAGATTTCTTCTCTGTTCACTAATGAAAACTCATCAACAGTCTATATAATAAATATACTAATTAAATCTATAAAATAAGAATTCAGTACCAAATCTATATTAAAATTCTCATTTTTAAAGCAAAATAAGAAGAGTAGCTTTATCTTTCATTCAAATAATTATTTATAGATGAAAATATAAAAAGTATATAGAGGTTTTCATTTATGTTTTTTTAACTATCTTTTACCTTTCCTACAAATTATCATCATTAATGTTTCTATATTTCTATTATTAAACTTTGACCGTATATACATTTGAAGTCATTTTTTTTCTTTCTACTATAAATACCTTTATTCTGTAATTATTCTTTAATAAATAATATACATTTATCAGTTGTTTTTCTTTGATTTTTAATAATTTTATAGAAACTATTAAACTCCATCTTTTTTTTCAAATCCAGTATTTGTTTTTACAAGTTTAAAACACTGAAAAAAGTAAAGAGACATCTGTCGGTAAACGAACTAAATAGAATAAATGTTTGTTTGAAGTGAAAGATGGAAGGTTTAGAGTATTCATTATCTGTTGAATAAATTTCAATATATTAGTAATCACTCTTTGTACGTATATGGTAAGTATCCTATATCAACTAACGTGGCTATTCCTTGAATAGAAACTGTCAATATTCAATTAATATATCATTGATAGTTTAATGACAGAAAACAAGTAAAACTAAGATACTTTAAACATTTATCACTTACAAATTCAAGAATATTCATATAAATCAACTTAGCAAATTAGACCTATTACACTACGACTACTACTAGGCATTCCCCTCCTTTCAATAACAATTACAAACGCAATTTCAAAAATCAACGTGCTGAAGAAATTTGTCTTCTATATATATATCTGCACATTCATAAATAGCAACATCTTTTTGTGAAATTTTATATAGATACTATACAGATTCAGTTGCTATCTAATACATAATCTAACAGGGGTCATAAAAAATTGACGTAACTACTAAATGAAACAGACATATTGTCGTTATAATCGAATATATATTTCTTATTTAACCTTCTTCATGTAATTTTGAAGGACATGTTCCACGTTATAGTACTATAGGCTTTTTCGTCTTTACAATGGCATTAAACTAGCAAATTTTTTAAACGAATTTCTCTTATCAACGTCTTGTTTTTACAACTCAAAAGTTAGTTGGAAGCGTTCTTCTCCATTTTTGCCTAGCATCCTCTCGAACTTCATCTATTCAACAAATTTTCCTTCGTAAGGAGAAATACCGCAGTTACAACACAAAAAACATCTTTGAATATCTATGAGAAAATTTTTATAGGTTAAAGAAAATGAATAAATTAGTATAGTTTTACAATATAAATAAATATATAGTGTATTTCATTTGTTAAACTTTATTCCAGATAATTGCTGTCAACATTGTCAACTTATTACATAGTGTTCATCTACTCTCTTACAGATGGCGTTATTTTTAAGATTTTCAACAAGTTTCTTAACCATCCAATCCCTGTTCTTATCTTATCGGTTTCTTTTGAGAACTATTTAAATATTTATTATCCACTATAGAATAAAATGTTAACATGACAACAACGTAATAGAACTAATAAGTAAACAACAGTGGAGGGTTTAATATTTCAATAACTGTTTAGGTTCAAAGTTCATTTTTCAAAAACTTATTGTTAACTAGATTAAACCGGGTTTTTTTGTTTCTTTTAATTTATTAAATATATCAAATTATATTCTTTAAGCCTTTTTATTTGTTTCTTAACGGCTATATAAATAAACGATTCTCGATTTTTGGTTACACAGTCCAATATGGAGATCTAACCAGCTTATCTTATCCACTTTTAATGACGTCTTAAGAGAAATAGACATTTTAACAACTAAAAAAAAATGATCGAAAGACCGAATTAGCTCGTAGATACATTAAACGAGGACTGTGTCAATTTCCGAGATGAAGAAGATCTCTTCTTGTACCTTCGCTAAGTTCTAATAATGAAAATATTAACAATATTTGGATTAATAAATGAATAGAGTTGGACTACGAAAGTGTTTCTTTAGATATTTATTATATAATAAAGAAGATATAGTATAAATTTTGTTATCCTATACTGCAAATAATTGGTCCAGAAGTTAATTGTTTTATAAAGTTATCCATGATAATTCATAATTATGTAACAATGTACTAATTTAAGAATATTCTGTAAAGTTTATATATATATTTGTATCCTTTTCTGCAATGATTCCATCATTTTTAGAATTGATTTATTGCTAAATTCGTTTGTCTTAAGAAACTATATTAAAAACAACAAAGCAATGATGCAGGTACAATATTGAGTATATTAATACTCAATATATGGAAATTTAACAATTATTGTATATAATTTTTTTTCAACTTTGTGTAATTAAGTTTTTTTTTTCTTGTAAAAACAAAAATTAATGTTTTATTAATAAACGAAAAATGGGAACGCAACAAAAAAAGAAAATGTATTTATTTAACTTTATTTAATTAGTTTTATTAGTTATTTCTTTTTATTTAGTAAAAGAATATTATATAAATCTATGTGGAATGTCGTATAAAACATTATAGAACATTTATTCAATCGACAATATGTCGGCATATTTAGGTCATATTTCCAAACATTTATACATAAAACGTTGTGTAATGTTCTATTACTATTGTACTATGTAAAAAGAACATTTTTGTTTTTTATACTTTAGAATATTTAATTGAATTTAATTAATAAGATGTCTTTTAAAAAGTATTAAAAGATTATTTTCTTGTTATTGTACAACCTTTTATTTTAACAATATTAAAATAAAGTATTTTATATTGTTGTAGAATTAGCACTATACTATTAGAATATCTTACAAACATCGCTATAGTCTGTTTAGTATAGCCATTCGAAAATACGCTATGCACTAGGAAATTATTAATGGGGGAATAACCTTTGTTATTGGTATTTGACCTATTTCTTACCGGAAATAATTTTCGACAAATGAGCCGTTAAAAAATTCAAAATATCATATTGTCATTACGTAACACCAAAAAGTAATAATGAAGAACACAATAACTATAAATATATTAAGAATATAAAATGGTATAGTTTATATATTGATGTTTAATAGATTTTTATTATCAGGCTGATAAGAAAAGAGCCCAATAGGTAATGTTTCATAGAAGTTAGTATCTGATAAACGGTTTTTTTTATATTGTTATATTTTTCTTTTTATCAAAACAGAAATCATTTTTTTCTCTAAAAATCGATAAGATAAATAGCATCCAAGACAAAACACAATCACAGAAAACTTTATCTCAAACGTGAACAATATGTGCCGCGAGAAACATCGAACATTTTTGCAAAGTGAACATAGTAATGTTATTTTACATGAAAAACAACCATTTTGCAATTTTGTTCGATTATCCTTACGGTTCCGTACGACTGTAGAGAGAAAAAATCTTCCTTTAGTTTATTGACCTTCCAATAAGAAAGTATTAAAGAAAAATTAATCGAAATGGAATTTCGAATATTTATATTCTTCATATTCGGTGAAATAGGCCTTATTCTATCACGAATCCCCGCCCTACACGCCCAAAGTACGAGAACTATGAAACGGTAATAAATGTATTTTATTATTTTATGAATCTTAACTTAAAGTATCAATTCCCATTAGCAGAACTTCAAAAGAGGAAAAACTAGAAAATTAATTCAGAAATCAAAAAACTATACAATTGGAAAGAGAAAGAATTTTAAAAAAAAATATTAGCTTAATATTGCTCCGTAGTAATTCTTTATACGAAACCTTTAATATCATTTTAATAATAAAGGGTTCGGCCTTAAAGGCAGGGCGCGACTGACATGACTAAAATGAATTCGATACTTATAACTACACTTTTCTTTTGTTTTACGATTTATAGTGAGTAGTTTACATTAAATACTATACTAATTTATTCATATTTCTTTACTTATCAACATTTTCTCATAGATGTTCAAAGCCAAAACTGTGATAAGTGCTTAAATGGAATTTGCAAAGCTGGCACTAATAATCAATGTGACGGTAAGATTTCGTCAATCTTATTTATGTACTCTTTTTTTCCTAATACAAATATACTTTGAAACAGACTGTAAAAGCGGATTATACGATATACCATTTTGTGAAAAATTTTGCTATTGCCGTGACAAAAAGCCATGCGATACAGGTACAGGAGTATGCCTTAACAATGAATGTGCCGAAGGTTTTGCTGGTCCAACTTGTTCGATTAGCTGTAGTGTTGATCCATACAAAGGAAGATTTGGATTTGATTGTTCGAAATTTTGTCACTGTCATGCTTCAAGCAATTGCAACCCTTTTATTGGTAGATGTACACCACCAAATTGTGAGCCAGGATGGAAAACGCTTCCGACTAACCCCTTAGACAATTGTCAAACTCGTGAGTTGTAATCATATCATTTATCAGAAAATCGAAAGCAAAACCTATTTTAAACTATAAAAACAGCATGTGCTGCTGATGAATGGGGACCTGACTGCACGAAAAAGTGTTTCTGCAGAGGAGGAGCATCTTGTGACAAAGCTATAGGAAAATGTCCAAATGATGAATGTGCAGCTGGATATAAGGGAGCAACTTGTTCAACACGTACGTTGATATAATATAAAGATTTCGCGTAATAAATGATGAACTTGTTAATAATTTAATAGCATGTGAGACGATCGGAAAGGGTGAATTTGGTCAAGATTGTAAGGGAATATGTAAATGTAAAGACGGAAATGGAGCTTGTAATAGCATCACGGGATTTTGTATTGGTGGTTGTTTACCAGGATTCCAATCTGCTGATTGCCAAACACGTAAATTAATTACTCTAAAGATTCAATTAATTCAATATTGCGATATATATAAATTGTAAAATTATATTTTACAGCTTGCCCTGCCGGAAGATGGGGGTCTGGTTGTACAGAACAGTGTGGACAATGCGCAAATACTGATATCTGTAACCCGGAAACAGGCAACTGTCCAAATGGTTGTAAGCCAGGATATTTAGAGATCAGATGTGACAAAGGTAAATAAAATTGGAGAAGTAGAAAATGTTTAAGAGCTGTTTAATCATTAATAGAATGTGCTGATGGTAAATTTGGAGATCTTTGTTTAAAATCGTGCTTTTGTAAAAACCCTCCTTGCAATAAAGAAAACGGAGTATGCGACGTAAATGGTTGTGCCGTTGGATATGAACAGCCGCCTACATGTGAAAATGGTAATAAAATACATTGAATGTGAAATTATGCATTTGAAGAGTATATTCTAATAATCAAATTATGACTTTTCATTGAAAACAGCTTGTGGAGTGGGAAAATTTGGTGTTAATTGTGCTACGGATTGTCATTGCAAAGGCGGTGTAGATTGTAATAAGATTAACGGAACCTGTCCTGCTGGATGTGACCCGGGATGGAAATCGCACTCATGCTCAGTACCTTGTAATGGAAATGAATATGGTGAAAACTGCGGTGGTGAATGTCACTGTCAAAATGGAGCGACTTGTGTTTCGACTACAGGTAATTTCAATTCAGAATTTCTAGTACTGAATACAATACAAGAGCGTATAAACTAATATAATGAATGTTATAGGTGAATGTCCAAAAAATGGAAAATGTGCTCCCGGATACAGAGGAGACGATAAACGCTGCGATAAGAAATGCGATGTGAATACATGTGGACAAGATTGTTTGACTGTTTGTAACAAATGTTCCAACCAAGCCTGCAATCATATTGATTGTACTTGTTCAGGACCATGTTTCCCAGGTTTTAAAGGAGCCAACTGCAACACTCCGTGTGACGATGGAAAGTTTGGATTAGGTTGTGTAGGAACATGTAATTGTCTTACACAGAATGTTTGTGAAAAGGCAACAGGAGGTTGTCCAGAATGTGCACGCGGATTTGGTGGTTCTAATTGTTCTATACGATGTGATCAAAATCTAAATGAATTTGGTTCAGGATGTAAAAAGATATGCCATTGTGAAAAACCTGACAAATGTCCCACCGATACAGGTATATGTCCTAATGAGTGTAAATTGGGATACAAAAAATTGAATCCACATACTTGTTCGGAAGAATGTGAAAATGGAAGTTTTGGTCCTTACTGTGCTGGAGTATGCCATTGTAAAAGTGGTATAGCTTGTAATAAAGCAACTGGTAACTGTGTTAATGGATGCGAAGATGGCTATTCAGGTCTAAATTGTTCTATACCTTGTCCACATGGTTATTTTGGTCACAAATGTATAAAACAATGCCATTGCAAGGATAATAAACCTTGTGAAACTACATCTGGAGCTTGTCCACTTTTGGCGTGTGAAGACGGATGGAAACTTATATCATGCAGCGTAGAAGATACCGGTAAGAATTCCGTTATTTAACTCAATTGTAAATTTATACTTATTTTGTTTCTAGATGCTTCATCATCAAATGATGATTGGAAAATCTATGGTGGAATTGCAGGAGGTATACTTGCAGCCATTCTGTTAATTATTATTGTTGGCTGTTGTGTTTATCATATTCGAAAGAAGAGGTAACTTAAAAAGAAGTACTTTGTTTAATTTTATACGCTCTTTTTTTTTAATAGAAGAGCATCAAGGGATAAAGGAAGACTAATAAACCCAAAAAAGGAAGCTTTACCAGTGAATACTCCAAGGACTATTCCGGCAGATGCTATTTCAACTGTTTCGCATTGTTATTTTGGTCCAGACTGGGATCCAAAGTATGTGAGAGATATGAAGGAGCAGGCAAAAAGAAAAAATAGTGGTCCTTTTGAACCAGAACCGGAACCAACTGAGGCAACACCGCGGTCTGAACCTCCTGTTATACCTCCAAGAAAGGAATCAGAATCTATCCCAACTCCCCCTCCAGTACAGCCGTCTTGCTTAAAACCTAATACAGGCAATCGCGAAGAAGACGAATGGGCAAAGTTGGAAAAGATGAGAAGAAAGCCAATTATTGATTCGTATTTCCCTGCAACTAAGCTTGAAAATAGAAGTAAAAATAGAAATTTAGATATACTTCCCTTACAAGAGCATCGAGTACCTCTTGGCGACAATCCTGTGTCTGATTACATCAATGCTGTATTTGTGCCTGGTCAACACAATTCTAAAGAAATGATTGTTACCCAAATTCCCACCCCAGTTACTATTGCGTCATTTTTTAGAATGATATCTCAGCATGAAGTTAAAGTTTGTGTCATGCTTAATCCAGCTAGCTTATACGTTCCGTATTGGCCGCAAGATAAGGAGACAATATCTTTTCATCCTTTTACTGTTTCTCATATAGAAACGAAGCAAATTCACGGTGTACCAATTAGAAAGATGAATATCAAAAATGTTGAAACTGGTAAAGATAATGTTGTAAGTCATATTCAACTCCCAGGTGACCAATGGGAACAGGGTACGTCTACACCAGGAGATGTAAAATCAATTTTGCATTTGTACCAAGTAATGGAAAATCATAAAGCTAAAGATCAATCTCCAGTGTTAGTTCACTGCGAGGATGGAAATGAGAGAAGTGGATTTTTTACAACCTTAACACATATCCTTGACAAAGTAAAAGAGCAAAAGCAGTTAGACGTGTTCAACATAGTTAACTCTGTTAGAGCTAATAGACCACAATTTGTCACAAACATTGTAAGTACAATATAAACTAATATATTCGATATTATTTCAATTTTTTCTTCTTCTTTCAACAGGAACAATATAAGTTATTGTACGAAGGCGCCGAATTCTACATGGAAAATATGGGCCTACGTCTAAATGATTAATTTATTCAAACGAGTGCTTTTTTTTTATATATATATATATAACTATTCCATTTTCTTATATTAGATATATTAATTATATTCTAGCTTAAGTATTTTTCTTTCTATAGGAAAAATTTTGCAACTATTGCCGACGATCTTAAAACGTTTTTTATTTAATTTTGACTATAATTAATACATCTTTATTGATCAATTTTTACAATATACATATATATATATATATATTTGCAGTATATATATATACATATAAATTTATACAATATCATAGCAATGCCATCTAGTTTTTTTCTTCTTTAAAAATAACCTTATTTTTTTTTTTAATAAAAAATAATCTATTATTCAAAAAGAAGGCAATTTCGCAATAGGATACTCTTAGTATTTTCCTTTTTATTTTAAAAAAACATTGATCGTTCAGCGTGAAGTTTGTTAAGTGATTTCTTTTAATTATTCAAGCAAAGTACATTGAGCGCGTACTATATGTGAACAGTTTACATCTTGAACAATAAAGCATATCAACTTCATACTTGTTGGACTGAATAGATATTTTCTATTGAAAAGAAAGTTAAAGTATTGCTAATATGTATTTATTTATTATCCTCTTACTTCAGATATTATATGCTTCAAAAGCGGATAAAGATGTTTTTCCATCTTTGGTTCATGTTTCGTGGGGAGCTTTAAAATCGAGTTTTATTATAACTTGGAAAATGAATGAAAAAGTTCCTTGTCAATTATTTTTTAATGGAGAATATGAAAGACAACAAAACATCGTTTTGGCAAAGAATAAAATTTTGACTTCTAAAGATGGAAAGAACAAGGAGTACTGGTATAGGGCAAAAATTAAAGTTAGAGGCAAGAAAGCAGTAGCTAAAATTTCTTATAATATTGCTTGTAAAACTAAAACTGCCAAAGTAAGCTTTAAATCTACTTTTAAAGCGGATAGCCTTGAAAATGTACCATCTTTTATGATATTCGGAGATTTAAGTAGTAGATCGAAGTATATAGAAAAAATAGTCAAGGTTGGAACAAACTATGACGCAGTATTTCATTTAGGAGATATTTCTTACAATCTTGATTCGAATAACGGCAAAAATGGAAATGACTTTTTAAAATTAATTGAAGATTTAGCTTCAAAAGTTCCTTATTTAACTATACCAGGCGATCATGAAAGAGGAGTTGATGGAAAGTACACTCATTATTCATATAAATTCGCCAATCCAGGCTTAAGCTTTCCAATGTCTTTGGATGAACTAAGCTGGTATAAAGATATCGAAGATGGAATAATGATTATAGGTCTAAATTCTGAACAATTCATGAACCCTGTTATTGATCGTATTGATTGGTTGGAACAGATACTTTCAAGAAAATCATTTAAATGGAAGATAGTATTGACCCATCAACCTCTCTATTGTTCTCAACATGATTGGAATGACGACTGCAAGGAAGAAAATTCTGATTTAAGAAATACTCTGGAGGATGTGTTCATCAAATATCACGTTGATCTAGTTATTTCAGGTCATATTCATGCATACGAAAGATCCTGGCCCATAATTAAAGGCAAACCTACACAATTGAATTACCAAAATCCTAAAGCGCCCGTTCACGTCATTACAGGATCAACAGGTAATGATGTCATCAGTGATGTAATAACCGAAAAATCAAGTTGGTCCGCCTTTTCTATGTCTGGACCTGACACTGATTCCTATGGAGTCCTCGAAATATCAGAAGATGAATTGAGTTATGAACAAATATCTTTAAAAGATTTATCGAAGATCGACAGTTTTACTATCAGTAAAGGAAAAGTAAATAGAAAAGTTTACGTATCTGCAGATTTAAAAAGGAAAAATATAGTTGTTGACAAAACTCCTGTAAACATGACATATTTTATTCTTGTACTAGTTGTTTGTTTATTTGCTTATTTATATAAAAGACGATTTCGTAAATGTTAAATAAAACATACAAGAGAACGATAAGTATACATATAATGAATAAAGAAAATTCAAATATAATATCTTTTGATTGATTAATGAAGAAAACATTGTCCTTTATGAATTGATTCAACTACATTTCTTTCTCATTTTCAGGTACAAAATTGAAGGACAAATTTCTCGTTTCATATTTTAAATGAATAAATTTATTAATAAAGTGCAAACTTTTACAATTCGATATAATGCAACATTTCTTACAATATTGATAATCAATGAGCTTAATTATTTAATTGTTACAGTTTTTTTCGTTAGAATTGCTTTATATGAAAAATTTAAGGGAAAAATGTCAATCTAGGCTTATATCAATATAATATAGCGGAACTAAAGTACTATTACTCTATACAGTTATAACTAAAATTGAAATAGATTATGCAAATTACTCTAAAATGTTGTGTCATGAGTTGAAGTGCTTAAGTAATCATTGTATGACGTATTTGTATTTCAACACCCAGGACATCCTCTCCGTTTTCGGCACTAAAAAATTAAAAATGTTTATTATATATTCATTAAAAATTAATAAACAAAATACTACTTACAAGTTTTCCCAATTGTTCACGTTTAAATTTCATCATTGATCTTGTATCATCAACTTTTTGATGATAAGTTCCTAGTTTGCATAATAATTTCTTAAATTTCCAGTAAATCTTTAGTCGATCTTTATAAATATTATGCTCATGTTCATTTGATGATGACATCTTGAAATGTTGAAAAAATTGTATATTAATACCATTTTAATCATTTAAATTATATACAAAATTGTTCTTACCAAATCAACCGTTAAAACAACTAATAGAAGAATTAAAACAACTGTAAAAATGATAAATGGAAACAGAGGATAGAGAGACAGAGACAGAAATTGAAAACGGAAGAAAAAATTGTTTGTAAAATATCTTTAAAAAACCGAACAATTATAAAAACTCACCACGACAATCCATTGGAGAAACATTCAATTGTTACAGTATAATTGCATTAAATGAACATGTATACGCACTCTCAATTCAATAAATACTATACATTTTAATCTTATTACACAAGATTTATAGTTTCATCTCTATTTTTTTCCATATAAATCATAATCATTGTTAAACCCTAATAAAGCTTTTTTTCAAAGGATTAAACTCCAAAATTTATACTATAATAAATCAGTTAATTTTATGAATGAATGAATGAAAAAAATAACAAATCTCTTTTTAAGTAAAAGATTAGGAATATTAATTTAAATTTACTAGATAAAAATCAATAAAATAATAAATTTTATCATAAAACAATCCACTTTCCTAAAAGTGTATTGACTTTTTTTTAAAAAAAAAAAAACATTCAGTTTAAACATCTGTAAATTTAAAGTATGTTTTTATTAATTTTTCTTTTAAGGAAGAATGATTAGATTGCACTCATTTTTTGACAAATATATGAAGTTTATTAGTACTTGTCTATATTTTACGTATTATAAAAGTATATACAGAGTTAGAGAGAGAGAGAGAGAGAGAGAAAGAAAAACAGAAATTTAATATGAGTATTAAGTACATAGAAAAAATAACGATCCTACCTTCAATTTCAAAGAAGATATACTGCTTTTTTTTACATATATTTTATAAAAAAAATTTACATTAAAGGTTAGCTTTTCCCTTATATTTGTTATATTTAGCTAAGACTGTTGATCTTTACTGGATTGATATTCAATATTTAATATACTAATAGAACGTGTTGTTAGCCGTAAAAATTAATCTCTTATTGCTTTTAATCGTAAGACATACCAAGGAAAGTTTATTCAATAGTGCCATTTCTACATATTCTCAATATACAGATCATTATAGTGACACATTTCTATTATTTTTCTTTTTGATACGTCATTCGCTCAAACTATAAATAAGTATGATCGGACAAAGGTAGGAAGAGATAGAGAGAGAAATAAAAAAAAGAAAGACGGCGGGAAAAGAAGAGAAGTTAAAGTTGATTGATAATTTCAATTTTTTTGTCCAAAATTTTTAAAGCGTAACTTTAAAGTTGCAAAAAAAAAAATGTAATCTTTTTAAGAATATTTAAAATTTCTTTCAAACCGGATATAATTGAAACTATATCTGTTATTAAAAATACAAGAGCTTTCTCTGTTGTTATTCTCCTCTCACTTCTATATATTTCAAACGTAGAGGGAAACAAATTTTAACACTCTGGCGGAAAGTAGAGTGTAAGAGGAACCGGAAATTGATTCTTGAATACGCCACCTGGGGAGGAAATCTTATTTCTATATATAAATATATATATACAGTTTTTATACTGTTCTCAGCATCTGTTATCGTCTTTCTGGATTGAAACACAACAGTTATTTTCAGGAGCAGCAAAAGAATCGACTATAGTTAATATTTTTTGTTATTTCATTCATACCATTTCATGCGGCTAATAAATGTCTATAAGAGCCTAGTCATTGTTCTTTTTTTCGCCAAGAACCTTTTAATCGGAAACATATGATTTAGTCATGTTCAACTTGACTGTTTTCTTTTTCTTTTCAGTATGATATCAAAGTTCTAGGACTGTTAGAAATGGATAATACTGAAAATAAAGAAAATACGGAGTCTAGTCCAAAAACAGAAAATGAAAAGACAGCATCGGTGGAAGATACTTCAGAGATACCATCAGAGGAAACTGTCTCCTTTACTGTTATGTTCAACAAACAAAAGTATTCTATTACATTCGCCTTAGAGAACCGAATATCAGATTTAAAAAAACATTTGGAAAATCTGACAAAAATCCCTGAGGGAATGCAAAAATTAACGTATAAAGGTTAGTTAAATTTATCATTAAAACATATATACTATAGCATAGTACTAAAGTGCAAAATACCATTCTTATCGGTCATAAATGTGACGGCCTTAATCAACAAATACTTTTTTCTTTTAAACTTACTCTAGAAACAGTTACGCAATAAGAACTTTATTTTGAACAGTGTTTATTAGATACTACAACACTGAAAAAGTAACAAAATATTAATTATTCGAAAATGCGCACTTTGATCGGTAACAGCTAAAACAAAAATATAATAGGGCCATATTATTTACTTTTATGCACTATTTATGCAAGTTCATACACTTATTCTTTCTCTTCTAAAGGTATCCTCAAGGATGAATCAACTCTTCGCGAGGCTAAAATTACAAAAACGACGAAAATCTTACTTATAGGCTCAACTGTTAATGATCTGTTGAAAATTGGGCCCCCAGATGGATCTTCTACTAAATCTGGAACAGTAGAGAGTACAGGAGCTACAGCTAAAGAACCACTTAGTAAACAGAAACCTCATTGTAACATTCTAGAAAAGTATGGAAAGCCAGATGATGCTATGATTGGAGTGAAAGGCAAAAGAGAACGTCTCCCCCCTGTCCCGATAACGGGTATGTATAACAGTAAAGGTGCTAAAATACGACTAACATTCAAAATGGAGCAAGACGAAGTTTGGATCAGTACAAAAGTAAGTAATAAACAAAAAACACCAATAAAAAGAACATTTATCGTGTATTGTTTGTATAATGTTTGAATATCTAATATGAAAGAAATTATGTTGTTTACAGGATAGAACAAACAAAGTAAAGATGCAAAGTATTCATAATGTATCAAGTGAACCAATTAATGGAAGTGAAGAATATCATATGATGGCAATTCAATTGGGACCAACTGAACAATCAAGATTATGGTTATATTGGGTACCATCTCAATATGTAAATGCTATAAAAGATACCATATTAGGTCAATGGCAAAAGTTTTAATAAAAAAAAATAAACAAACCTACTTTTCTGTGTTTTCTTGTTTCTTTTCTGGTAATAATAGTGTTACGTATATTTTTTAAAATATATTTATACAAACTAAAAACTTGGACGTTATCATTTTTAACAAGAAAAGAGAATAGATGAAATTTTAGGATTTAATTATCTCAGCTTTATTCTCTTGACGAAGAAACTTGTAAGTATCTAGATTACACTATTGTTCAAATCTCAATAGAACTAGTTGAAAGTTAGAGAGTTCAGTTGATTTGTTTACCTTTGGGATTACACTAAGGATTCTATTGAGAGATTTTTTCGTTTTAGTTTTTAAATCTTAAGAGAAACTTAGCGACTATTGAATATTACTCTATTCATAGTGGAACTTGAGAAATGCATATGAAGTTAAATTTACATTATTCATATTTTTTCACAAATAAAAATACTTTCTTAGTATAGTTTTATTTGAGTATTTCTAGGAAATATATTTTCAACTCTTTAACCTTATTTTAAGAAGTCTTTTATCTTATAATCATATACGCTATACTATAGATGGCAGGGCAATAGTGTGAAGGTCACGTATGGCTGTGGACTTGCAACATTCTACCCACTTTTGAAAAACGATCAGAAAGTGACTTGCTTATGTGCTTATCAAGTTTACAATTGAATGGTATTGTAACAATATAATAAATCTATTATATACGATAAATATTATGAATTTTCAATTACGGAAAAAGCAGAAAAGCTAGGATTATTATCTGTCTATAATTTATGTATAGAATATATAGTCGAAAATAGAAAAATACATCTATTTAATTTGTTAAAGATCTGGATTAAATAGACAAAGCTATAAATAAATAGTTATGCGCTGTCGTTTTTTAAATAAGCGAAAAAAAGACTATATAATTTCCCTTATCTAAATTAGAGACAATTTTCAACGGTTTATATCAAATGAGATTTAAAATCTACTTAGCATGAGAAGTAGTATAAAGAGTATCTAAGCCTACTAACAACAAAAGATGATCTTCTCGTAATAGCCCCCTTTTCTTAAATTTAAATAACAATTAATTAAAATTAGTTAGTTATTTGAATGGACTATACGAAGATAATACTTGCATATACTAATGTATACCCCAATGAAGGTTTTAAAAATTAACGTATTGTACCTATAATCTAAACTAAAATAGAGATAATGAATATTCATAATCTAGATTAATTAATATTAAAATACGATAATTTATTAACTAATTATTTTATGTAGGCTTTTATATCTTGAAGCTATCGTTCATTTATTTCTTATTATTATGTTACAATTGAACAAATAACACAACCTTTAGTTGTTTTAATAAGAGTCTATTGAATTAGCTTTTATCTAAGTTTCTTTAAGAAAAGGAATAATTTGTTTATAAACAATTACAAAGTAAAAATAAACTGCAAATAGCATCATTTTATAATTTCATAACTCCTTTTCATCTTTCTCTTATACTATAAATAGTACTAAATTATATGTAAATCTTCTGTATTTATTAGTACTAAATTGGAGAAATAGTTACTTTATATCTTTAACGGTGTGTTATTTATATTTAGGAGCGAAACTACAAATTGTTTGGTCTCACGTAATTTTTTTTACAGCGCCGTCTACCGCCATCAGGATTTTGCAATACATGTCGAAATATTTTGTGGATTTTCTGTTAATAAGGAGGTCTTGTGAAATACTTTGTTAAACTGTTTGTAATTTAATGGTAATATATAACATATTTCATTTTATTAATAATAAGTTTAACGTAGTCATAGTCGTTTATTATAAGCACGTTAATTGGTCTAATTTTTGTCAGGATCATTTAACTCGCAAATGAAATGACGAAACTTAAGTAAAGTTTACTAATTTGTTAATAATAGGAAATTATCTACAAGAAAGAATTATCAATTATGGACTCTATCGAAAATAAAGAAAATACTGAATCTTCTACAAAAACGGAAAAAGAAGAAAAGTCTATTAACGTTGAAGAATCGACTGATCTCGTAAGAGACAAGACAGTCTCTTTTACAGTTATGTTCAATAAACAAAAGTACCCGATTACTTTCGATCTCGATAAAAGAATATTAGATTTAAAGAAACACTTAGCAGAATCAACATCAATTCCGGCTGAAATGCAAAAATTGACGTATAAAGGTTTGTATTGGTTCTCGTATTTGTTTTTCCTTTGATAGAAATTCATTGGTTTTCGTGTTTAATTCTTTTCCTAAACGTAAACTTAATAGAGCAGTTATTTAAATAACGTCAACTCTTGTACTCTATTCAAGACAACATGCTGAAAATTACCTGCTAACCACTCTATATCTCTCTTATTCTCCCTATCTCCCCCTTCTCTCCTTCACTCTCTTGCTATATATATAGAATTAGAACCCTATTAAGTAAACATCCAATGTTGATAACGTTCATAATGCGCTAATATAAAAACAATATATCATTAAATATTAATCTAGCATAATAATCGTTTTTTACAGAATTATTAGTTTGTTTATAAACAAAATATCGATGATAAATCTAAATATTTATAAAGACGACAACATCTTTTATTATCTTATCTTATATAGGAATTATAAGAAAGCTCATAAAAGCTTAGCTTTATTTATTCGTCTTTTCTTTATGTTCTGTTGTATCTTTACATTATTTCTAATGAAATAGATTAAATGAACCGTAAAACTTTGTACCAGTGCGAACTTCATACTTCCAATTACTCTATGTAAATAATAATTAGCTGTTCTTATGTATATAAATTTTATATACACATATATAGATATACATATGTATAGATACTGCTGTGTATATGTAAAGAAAGAGAGATTATAATCAAAGAAAACTGAGTAAAGAGCGGAAAACAGAGGAAGTGCTGCCAAATAATATCTTATCAGAGAACTTCCGATTATATATTTACCTCTCTCTTCTATAATATAAGGCAATTAGTTTTGAACTAAAGGATAATGTGCTGCATAAATAATACGCTCAGTATCTCAAACAGCTTCCAAATTATATTGAATACAGTAAGGGGTATATTTTCTTTCCCGCTTCTCATTCCCTCATTTCACTCTCTCTCTCTCTTTCTCTTTCACTACCTGCTTCGCATTGAGTTTCATCGGTTAATTTAGTTTTTACGCCCATCTATTTCGATCAACAAAAATATATGGCAAGATTTCCCTTCAACTAAACGAGAAGTGGTTTAGAATTTTAGACATTGCAGTATGCTCTCTCTGTTTTTTATTGTTAGCATTTTTATCTTGTATTATTCGAAACCTTTCTTTTGATTTATGAACTTTTCATAATAAAAATGCACTTTTATAAATATATTTACCATTATTCTAATTAATAATGTTTCATATTGCATTTTTCATATTTTCCCTCTATATTAATTTATGCAAAACTGAAAAAAAATTTTCGAAGATTTAATCTGTGTAGTTTTTTTTAACTATTCTACACTTGACAATGTTTATGAATAAGAATAGCTCAGTATCATCATTATTTTCTCTTAAATGTCAAAATAACGATGTTTTCCTATTCATAATATCTATTAAATATGTACTATTGAAAAAATATATTGCTATGGTAGCTATTATCATTGATTATATCTACGTACTTCATATTTATGCCTAGTAGTACGTTTTCTTTCTTTACTATGTCCTGTACAATTTTATATATTTGCATCTAGCGATTACGTATGTTTGAACTAAAAACTATACTTTGGAATCGCTGTAGAAAAAAAGATAACTCTCCATTCTTTTTTATTATCGAAAGGTATTCTTAAGGACGAAATGACTCTTCAGGAAGCAAGCATTACAAAAACGACGAAAATCTTACTTATAGGCTCAACTGTTAGTGACCTATTGAAAATTGCGCCGCCACTTAATGCTTCTAATAAGTCTGGAACAGTAGAGAGTACAGGAGCTACAGCTAAAGAACCACTTAGTAAACAGAAACCTCATTGTAACATTCTAGAAAAGTATGGAAAGCCAGATGATGCTATGATTGGAGTGAAAGGCAAAAGAGAACGTCTCCCCCCTGTCCCGATAACGGGTATGTATAACAGTAAAGGTGCTAAAATACGACTAACATTCAAAATGGAGCAAGACGAAGTTTGGATCAGTACAAAAGTAAGTAATAAACAAAAAACACCAATAAAAAGAACATTTATCGTGTATTGTTTGTATAATGTTTGAATATCTAATATGAAAGAAATTATGTTGTTTACAGGATAGAACAAACAAAGTAAAGATGCAAAGTATTCATAATGTATCAAGTGAACCAATTAATGGAAGTGAAGAATATCATATGATGGCAATTCAATTGGGACCAACTGAACAATCAAGATTATGGTTATATTGGGTACCATCTCAATATGTAAATGCTATAAAAGATACCATATTAGGTCAATGGCAAAAGTTTTAATAGATTAAAAATCAAAGTATCTTCTCAATGTTTTCTTATTTAATTTATTAAATTACTGAAAAAATCTTGTCGTTAATCATTGTTTTCTATAAACTTGGCTGTTACATTTCAAAAAGTCTGATACATTTATAGGGTTTTTGCTTAAATATATTTCTGATGTAAAGTATGTTTGAAGCCAGCTATTAGTTTTTATTTTTTTTATTTTTAGCTCTGATCTAAATATTAATTTCGAAAAAAACCTTAATTCCCATAAATAATTGGTTGTTAAGGTATTCTAACAAATTACTTTTGAGGTTCAAGTGGTATTTCGAACGGGATTCAATCGATTTCTGTTTGAAAACTAAATTCTTAATAATACGCTGTCTTGACTGTAGATGGCACTATACAACTGTGAAGGTCAAACATGGCTGCTGACATGTAAAATATCTGTTAAATCGGATAAATAGTTAAGAAGAGTAAGTATGCATGGTATTTTATAGTTACATGAGTGAAAGGGATGTAAAATGATTAAGTTTGGTAGAGAACCGATTTAAATAAATCTATTTTTTTATCAATTTGAATTCGTAAATGGATATGTTTACAGAAGTGAAATGATGTTTTGTTAATAAAATTGACATTTTATACTATTTTAAGCAACATTTCTTTTTACTACAGTTATTATATATTTTAAAATATATTTTCTTCTTTTATCATGATGTTTATAAGATGTAATAATAAATTATTGAATGCAGAATTGTTTTCATTCTAAATTGCGATGTTCTTTTTCGTGTTATACTATTTTATAATTCTTCTATTCTAGAACAAATTTTTCATTAACCATCAATAAAGATAGCTTTATTTAAATTTTTTTTAATACTAGTGTTAATATATGTGATATATTTTCTTATTACCAAAAAAACTTAACTATTTTCAAAACAGAGTGAAGAATCAATAAAATCGAACATTTTCAAGTTTTATTGAACGTATTAAAAAATAAAAGAAGTTTTCTTTCTATATTGTAGGGAAAAAATAAAGAAGAATAAATTTGTATTTTCTATTTAGCCATACGATGGAAACGGAAATGGTAATTTATCACCATTATTTGTTTGTTTTCTATTAAGTTTTATCTTACTTTTTAAAACTTTTCAGGAAGTTGAGGAGAGTCTTACTGTTGTTATTCACCCTTTAGACGGTATTATGAGCAACGACGATTCCCAATGGTTGGGGAGTCTAAGGTAATACATTTTCTCATTAACGAAATAATCCATTTAAAAAGATTTCTTTTATGTTTGTCTTACAGACGTCTTAGAGATGATATAATAGGGAATAAGAGAAATAAAAAGAACTACTTAAAAACACGTCTCTTATTTAGGTAAAAATATAATTTTGCTGTTACAGTAATTAGATTTACAGGATGTTTATTAAAAAAAGCTTACTATGTCTTATCCCTATTCACTTAGATTACACGAGTTTTTAGCAAGTAGTGATACTGATGAAGATATTAAAATCATCTCGGCTGTTATTATGACAAGTTTGGCTCTAGGAGGTCAAGAGAATGCTCAAATATTAATTGAAAATGGTTCATTTGAAATTGTGGTTAAAGGTTTGTTAGCAGAAATATTATCTGCAAATAAATTTTTTATTATCTAATTAATTTTGTTATCGTAATATAGCTTTATCATCGGATAATGTTCTTTTGATTGAAAATTGTCTAAGATGCTTGAAATATTTACTGAAGCATCCTTCGTGCCCAAAGAAATGCTTTTTGGAGGTGATTTCAATTTACATATTCTTCATTCTTTCTCTACTTTAACGGTTAATTATTACTTCTCTAAATAGGAAGCATTCGTCCAAAAATTAATAGATCTACTTTATAACTCAAACACAATAAAAGAATGTGTTACGGATATAATGTCAAGTTGTTGCAGTGTAAGTATTACTTCTAATCTCTTTGTACAGTGAATATATAAAGTATATATACAAGAGGTACCACTTTAAGATAGGTAGAGCAAATAAGGTATGAGATAAGTGGATAGTTATTTAATTGAAGTTTAGCGCCAGTGCAGGACTATATTTAATGTTTTTGTAAATTAGTCTTTTAGCAATTTTATTAAAGAAAAGGCAAAAAATTTGTCGACGCGGGTGGGATTCGAACCCACGCGTGCAGAGCACAATGGATTAGCTGCCGAAATCTATTAGCAGTCCATCGCCTTAACCACTCGGCCACCACGTCTCGTTGACTTTATAGAAAATCTGTAAAAGTTGATGGGCATTTAGCAATCAAGAGTAAGAAAAATAAAAAAGAAAAAATTATCGACGCGGGTGGGATTCGAACCCACGCGTGCAGAGCACAATGGATATCAATTTAGTATGAACGAATAGCAGTCCATCGCCTTAACCACTCGGCCACCACGTCTCGTCGATCAGTCAGGTTGTTATCTGGAAAATTATTCTAAATTTACTGCTTTTCGAACAAAAACCGGAATAATAAATTCAAAAAAATTATCGACGCGGGTGGGATTCGAACCCACGCGTGCAGAGCACAATGGATCTCTACATATCTTGAATAGATAGCAGTCCATCGCCTTAACCACTCGGCCACCACGTCTCCTTGATATTTGAAGCGGCATCATCAAAACTTGGATTCAGTCTTCCCAAAGTGGAGATTTGAAAAACTGTAAAAATTAGGAAAAAATAGCGACGCGGGTGGGATTCGAACCCACGCGTGCAGAGCACAATGGATTAGCTGCCGAAATCTATTAGCAGTCCATCGCCTTAACCACTCGGCCACCACGTCTCGACATCTAGTGAACCAAAAAAAAATCGAAAATTCATAATTCGTTGTATAGGTGAAAAAATCCAAATTTATAAGAAAAAAAAATTATCGACGCGGGTGGGATTCGAACCCACGCGTGCAGAGCACAATGGATCTCTACGTAGTTTGAACAGATAGCAGTCCATCGCCTTAACCACTCGGCCACCACGTCTCACTGTATATTTATGATTAAAATAATCAACTTACTCTTGAAGTTGTTTGTTTCAAAGACTTATTCGTTTTGAATTTATTGCAGAATGAAGAATATCAAGATTTCCTATGTAAGATGGGCGTCGTTGAAAATGTCTGTCCTCTTATCACATCTCCCGTTCGTCGGGTAAGCATTCGCTGATAGATATAAACTCTTTATTTTCAGCATAGAGAATGTTGTTGTTTTTTGACTGTTCTATTTCTTGTTTTTTTAGGTTCAATTGTCATCGTTAAAGTTTTTGGTTTCTCTTGTTTCTAATAATGAACGCGCTGCAATGAAAGTCAATGAAAGTAAGTTATTATATAGAATAAATAGGTAAAATTCTAATTACTCTATTTTTGTTAGCAATGTATGGAAACGAATCTATAACATCAATAATTGGTAGATCTATGTCAAGAGGCGAAGAAGTTGAATTACAAACTGTTAAAGCTAAATTGTGCGGAAGAAATTAGTCAAGCGGTGTTTTGAGATTAATTAATCTTCTTTTTTCTTTTCAGTCTTACTAACATGTACAGATGCAAGAGTCTTGAAGCAAATAATCCACTGATTGTAAAAAAGGCTTTAACTACTTTGGTTCGCATGTGCCAATCTGATAAAACTTGGGAACAAAGGGTTGAAGGAGCTGAAACCCTGGCTCACTTAATTGAAGTAGACACCGAATTGCAGAAGACTGCAGCAATTTGCGAAAACGTCTTACAATCCTTATCACAGTATTTTAAATATCCTGGCAGCTGGATAGACAAAGACTTAATGCCGAAAGAAAAAGTATAAATATATATCTGCTGTATATTTAGCAGTACATTTTAACTCAATTTGTTCAACTAAACAGGATGGTATCATAGTTGGAAATGAGCTAAGACAAGCTGCGTTTAAAGCTTTCGCTTCATTGGGTGCTAATGATGAAGAAATAAGAAAAAAGGTATGACTACTCTATACTTTATAATATAAGATCAAACCCAATTATTTTCAGATTATCGAAACGGAGACTGTCATGAGACACATTGTGCAAGGCTTGAGTGATCCCGTTGCAAAAGTTCAATTAGCTGCAGTTCGATGTATGCTTAGCTTATCGAGATCTGTGCAGTTGCAGAGGACAACCTTTCAAGACTATTCCGTTTGCCAACCCTTAATGAAGGTTAGATGAAATGATTTAAAGGTTCTCCTGATGTAAATTACTAAATTTAACAGCTAATTAAAAATGCATCGGATGAACTAATGACTGTTGCATCATCAACTCTTTGTAATTTGCTTTTGGAGTTCTCTCCAAGCAAGGAACCTTTGATAAATCAAGGTGTTGTTGATGTACTTGTAGATTTGAGTAAGAGGGATGAATGTTCACTTCGTCTTAATGGAGTTTGGGGATTGATGAATATAGCTTTTAAAGCTGAGCAATCTACCAAAAAATTAATCATTAGCACATTGGGTACGGAACATTTGAATAAACTACTGTTGGACTCTTCGGAAGTTATTATGAAAACTTTGGGTTTAATTCGAAATTTGCTTTCTAATCAACCTGTAAGTCAATTATTTCTGCAACCTTATAAATTTCTATATATCTATCTATATCACTATTTAAGCAGCATATCGATGAAATTATGCACCAGCATGGTAAAGATATAAGTGAAGCTGTGTTAATGATTATCAAGAGTGATCGTGGATCAGAAGTGAAAGAACAAGTGAGAAATCATAAATAATTATAAGTACTCGTTTCCTTAATTTTATGTTTGTTGTTTTTTTGTTAGGCTGTCTGTATACTTGGAAATGCAGCTGACAGTGAAACAGGCAAAAATTTCATAATGACTAACGATGATATTTTAAATTCTTTGAAAACGTATATGAGTAATGATATAGATATAAATTTACAAACTGCTACCGTTATCTGTCTCGGGAACTTAGTCCAAACGGATGATGGAGCTAAAGGTAGACAAGAAAAGTTACGCAATATGGGATTTGAGGAATTATTGAAAAAAATGTTGGCTACTGATCATCAACAATTATATGAAAAGTTCGTTAATTTTATATTTAAATTTATAGCTAATTAATTAATTTATATAATTTGTTTTCTCCAGGGTGAAATCAACACTCAGTCAATTTCAATCCCTTTGATTGATTATTATATAAAAGATTTCATTTTTAAACAATGATATATTGACTCTGAACTTTTTATGTTTGTCAATAATAATAAAAAAAAGAGAATCGATTGATTAACAATTCCATCTGCCTTTATTTCATTTTATCATTTTATCTTCATTCTAAATGAAGCCTAAAGTAGACTGGCTTTAAGATTATATACGATCCGAAGCTGAAACAGCAGAAACTCTAGACGATGGTTCTTTTTCTTTCATAGTTTCCATTAACCGTCCAGATTCACCTTGTATTGCAGAATCAGTTAAGCAACAATAAATAGCTTCTCCGTCTGCTAGGTTTTTAGCTATTTCGTCGTTGAATCTGAATTTTTTATCGGATATGGTCAACATATTACTTTTGGAAAGACGTAAACTGTCTCTTCTCTCTAATGTTTTCGCTTGTTCGTCCTTAGCATATTTAAGCATAGCGACGAGTCCTTGATTTTCAGCTTTCGTATCTTCTTTCTTTTTCTTGAGCTCTTCTATCTCATTAGTTATATTTTTTAAGTCATTTTTATAAAATTCCAACTGATGTTCAACAGCTTCAACTTCTTCTTTCCTCTCATTTAATGCTTCCTCTATTCCGGACAGCATAGCTGTACTAACTTTAAATCTACCTATAACGGTGGAGCATTCTTGCCTTAATACTTCAACATCTCCTTCCATCAATGCTTTAGTTACTTGTAGATCATCGTCCGATGGAACATCATTATTTAAGGGATCTCTCAATTTTGAAGACATCCTTTCGCAGGATTTTCTTCAAAAAGACTATATGAATATAAGATATTTGAAAAAGACCAAATATTTATTTGAACAATACTAATCACGTCAATTATTATTATAATAACAACGGGAAGAAGTGATATTTTTTACTAATTCTAAAACACCGTATAGATGGCAGTAGTTATTTATTTAGAATAAAGAAAAAGATAGCATCGTTTGACTTTAATCCTTTTTCCCGTAAATAGAATTTATAAAACTCTAAGCAAATACAACAATTCGCGTCTAATATAATAAAAAGTAATAATAAGAACGAACCCCGTTAAATTTACATCCTTAACGGATAGATTAAGTTCAAAAAAAGGCTCCCTTGAATTACATACTTTTAGGATCTTTGAGAAATACAACATAATCCCTCAAGGGTCTATTTTCTTTCTTAATACCTTTGAAAAAATTGCTAAATGCTTATTAACGATAGAGAATTTTAAAACGAACAAGGAAACGTTCTATTTCTATGGAAAATAATCGAAATAGAACATTCGAAAAATATATCGAAAAATTTGTTATACAATATTTTTAATTTACGAAAATTAGTTTTTAATTAAAAATATATGAAATATTATTTATCAAAAGTGATTAATTAGAAAATTACGTCAATTAATTTAATGAATTTTGAATAGAATATACAAGTGTCGCCCTCTGTTTCGATAGTTAGTTTATAAATGAACAATACAGAGTAATACAGATTATATACTAAACTATAAACAGCTTTAATAATGAACTATATATAAAAAAGAAATGATAATTTATTAAGAGAGGTTATAAAGAAAAAAAGAAAGAAATAGAATTTATAGAAATATCCAAATAAATAAATTGTTCCATTTGCTCATATTGTTTACGTTGATTTATGTAGAGTAGGAATTCTCTTATTTCTTCTTTTGAGGAGATTATCTTCAGAAACAGGTTTAATATTGTTTCCATTAGTGATTCCGACCGATTCGCTTTTCATCTGGGAAGTAGATAGATTTGTAAATGAGTCTAGAGTTGAACCAGGAGTGTTCACAATCATCATGATGTTTTTCGAATCAGATTCGTATTCAGAACAAGAATCGCTCTCTTCCGAATCGGAATTAGATGCATAACTATTCTCGTCGTATTCACCAGTTTCCTTTGTTGTACTATTCTTTTTTGGTTCTGATGCTAAATTTGTTAAAGAATTATTTGGAGACTTGGCTTTCTTATCCATTTGATTTATTGAGTCGTTTGTTGCATTTGGTTTAGTTTTATCGGAAGCCGATTTAACAATCGATGGAGTTGTCAATTGCAGATCATTGTTGAAACGATTTGAGGGCTGCTTTGCAGATGGGGGAGTGTTGGCATATGGAACTTGGGGATCAATTGATTCCGCTCTTGTTGGCGTTTCCGCAAATTGAACTTCATCATTCATTTGAAATGTCGATGGTTGAGTCGAATGCAAATTTTGCGATAGAATTGGACTCAAAATATTCCTGGAATCGCTTTTTTCTATAGATTCAGATTGAGGTTCATCTGATCTGGAATTGATATTTCCAGTAGCTTTCCTCATGTATTCGCATGGAGTATTATCTCCTGTGCTATTCAATTCTTCAGAATATATATCTTTGGCTAACAATCTATGTCGATTCCTTCTTTCGTATTGCTTTACTATATCTCTTATATTTAATCCTAGCAATAGAAATAATAATGAGGCAATTCCTAAAATTGGACCCCAAACAACATTGGGTGGTTCATCGGCCAGCAAATAGACTGTTGCTTTTCCAATAACTTCCAAAAGTAGACGCAAAAAACACGATAAACCGAATGTACATCCTAATACTTTTCCAATTTCGTGAGGTTCTACAATACTAGTTGCGTGAGATAGAATTGAGGGTCCAATTAACGAAGTGAATACACCGAGGATGGCAACCATTAAATAAGGTTCATGAGACGCTTCTGTTACGAGGACAGGTAATATTTGCAATAGTCTGAAAGCTAAACCGATTAATATAAACTGAGGTTCTCGAAAACGAGAAAATGACGATTGAGTTATTATATTCCAGCCGACACCTGAACCCACTAATAAGGATAATTCGCAAACTAAGCGAAATTCACCAACAGTAACCGAATCCCAGTTCAAAGCCGGATGTTTCATGGTTAGAACTGTTGTTATTTCCGTAATGCAGTTACTTAATAAATCGTTGAAAGCGAATAGGAGAATATAAATAAGGAGGTGGCTTCTGCTATTATATTCTCGATGTTTGGTAAGTGTGTGATAAGCGTCTCGAAAATGCCAAGAAAGTTCATACAAACTACTTTTCTTAGATTTAGTTGAGTCTTTGAGTTTGTAGCGGATAGAACCAGTTTCAGAACTATATCCGGTAACTGCTGCCGCCAGCAAACCAATATTTATACTTGTTAATAAGATAGGTGAAAAACCTATAAAAGTAAGAAATAATAATGAGGTTCCAGCCAATATTGTAGAAATTCGAAAAGCGATATCCAATAGAACATAGCGACCTAATCTATTCTTTTGTAACGTAACATCGGCTGAATATGAGTAAGCCAGCGTATAAATTATTACATAGTGACTTGTTAAGGATACTAGAAATCTTGCAAGAAACGGAATAATTGGCTCATGGGTTTTTATGACATCATAGTCCAAAGCATTGAAGAAGTTGAAGAGAACTAAACCAATGGAAACGATTGTCATTCCAGTTCTACGACCTATTCTATCCGACCATGCTCCATAAAGAGCACCAAGTAACAAACCCCATACTAAATAGATATATTTTCCAATTGGTTCATGGATCATTGAGTTTATTTCCAGTGTTGAATTTATAATTTTATTGTTTGAACGAAAGCAAGATATCATATCTTTATCATCGATAATAGAACATGGTCTATAATACAAATATGTATGAAAAGTAACATCTGACAAAGTATGAGCAAAGTTAATAAGAATCGCCCAAATCTCAGCTAAATTAAGATTAATATAAGTTATAAAAGCCATAATTTAAGTATAGCTGTATATTTAGACTTAGATAAACATGTATATAGATATAAACCCATATATATATATATATAAATGTATATGTCTATCTACTATGTGTTTGTTTTGTGGACACTTTTATAAATAAAGTAGATGTAGGCCTACAGAGAGAAGATATTTAAAACTTGAAATGACGTATATATTTTTATAATTACTTAATTGGCTTAACTTAGGCCTAATCGGATTTGTTATTAGTCTCTATTAAATTTTTTTTATGTCAATATAATACTCTCATCCATATATTGCATATTCTCTGTTTATAAAGTATATATTATTATATTAAACTTGATAATAATAACAAAAAAATTTTCCTTTATGAATTTATTCTTTAAAATCTCTTTGTATTTTATTATAAAATTGGTTCGCATGAGTTTAACAAGTCTTTTCAAAATATTGAACGAGAAACGTACGATCACGTGATGGTATACCAGTTTTCAGAGAAAATAATATGCAAAATAATCCCAAGTTCCGGTTAGGATTCTACCTTCACACGTTTTATACTGAATCCCTAATAAATTAGACGCTCATATTAAAAAACGTATTCCGATACTGAAGGCAGGATTGTACTATATTGTCTGAGCCTTTATTAAGGCATGTCGCATAAGCCAAACATTGAAACTGCAAATAATACATCATGGACCAGCTGTGGTGTTTGTGAAAACAAATCGACTTTTTTTAAGGCTCCTCAAGAATTTATCAGACATTTACGAAATTACCATTCAAAAAAGGAAGGGGGTTCCTACGTATGTCAATATTCCAAGAATGGTGTATGCGGAACGTTACCTATCGAAGGGGTTAATGATGATGACTATCAAATTCATATAATAAAACATCATTTAGGAGCCATGCTAGACCCTAGTAAGTTGTTTAGCTTAAATTTTTTAAATAAAAACCTATATATACATTTAAGAGGATATTTCAATTACAGACGTACTATCAAAAAGCCATACCAGTCCTACTACACAAAGTACTCCAAGTGTGGTAGAAGATCAACGAAAATGGACAGTGTACAATTCAAAAGTGAACTTACCTGCTGCGCTAAATGACCCAAGAGTAGGTCGTAGGGAAAGAGATATTTTTAGTAAAACATGGGGACCAGGATTTGAATCTACTGATGTTGCTCCATCACCTCATTTACCGGTGATCACTGCCGTTCATTTTCAAAAATATTTAAAGAAAACAGATAATAAATATAAAAAACATTTAAAATTGAAAGAAGCCAATATGAGAAATGACGAATTAAGCGACGAAGAGTCACCGTTGGCCCTATTAAAACCTAATGTTCGCCCAAGAGTTGATTTAGAAGGCATTCCTCCAATCTTTCTTAAATCAAATTTCGATCTTGAAAATTCAGAAACGTTTAATTCCGTCTTCCCATGGAGTCAAGTTACAAGTGGAGCTAGACTCTTGCAAGAAAAGGTAAGGATAAAAAGTTGTTTTACCCTTTCAGTTTAGTCTAACGACAATCTCTTCTTTTTTTTTTTTAAAAAAAAAACAAAAAAAATAATAATAAAAAAAATACACAGTTAACGCATTACTTGGATTGTGTTGAAGTTCAAATAGCCAAGCAAATATCTGCAAAAGCTGACGCGTTTTTTCACGCTATGTCATCACATGACCAACTGCAAGAAGATATGAAAACAACATTGAATAAAATCAAGTCTTTAAGGTTAAAAGGAAAAATGAATTAACGTTACGTTCTTCATTTAATAATTATATATCTAATATTATTTCTTTGAACAGAACAAAAATTAGCGATTTAAATAGTTTATTTGCTGAAAAACCATTGGCTATTATGAAATATAATAGAATTAGAACGAATAGGGCAGTTGTTCTTGATAAGGTAACAAAATTTAAATATATATTCTATTTGTATAATAATAATAATAATATATTTTGCGTTATTCAAAAAAAACAATTTAGCTGAAGTTAATGGCTACTGTACATCAAACTCAACCAACTATTCAAGTACTATTGGCTTCAAGCGATTATATAGGAGCATTAGACTTAATTTATACAACGCAAGAAGTCTTATCTCAAGAACTACGTGGAATCTATAGTTTTAGGTATTTATACGATCTAAAAAGGCGAAAATGATTAACTAAAATTAATTGTCCTTTCTTATTTCATTTCTAAAGACATCTAGGCTCTCAACTATCCGAATTAGCTAAAGTAATTGAAAAGATGATGAAACAGGAGTTTGTTAAAATAGCATCAAACGATCTTAATAAACCATTAAATGAATCTGAGGATATCGAACAAGTTTGTAATCTTGATTTTCTAATAAAGATAGATAGATATATAGTATATTTATATATTCTATATAATTTTTTCGTTTTTTGGTCTATTCTCTTTCTTTTTTGTGTTTTTTATTGGATAAATTTTGTTTGTTTATTTGTTTGTTTATTTGCTAAAGTTATTATAACACAAGCACAAATACTATATAAATTCTACAGGAATATGAATTAGTATCGTTAACTTATCAGGTATAATTCGCATTTTCAATTTTTTTAAGCTTAAATTGTTTGAAAATAGGTCATATATAACTTTTATTAATTTAAGTTATGACCCCCATATATAAAAAAAAAAGAATGGAAAAAGTTTACTAATATTCACTAACAACTGTTTAACTTTCTTATTGTCATTTCTCGGCTTGGTCCCTTATTTTATTTCACCCTTAATACTATATATTATGATTTCACGGTTAAAGGAGCTAGACGAAGAAATATTAATAATTTCCTACTATTGCTATTGATTATTGACATTTGTTTATTATTTATTAAATATTTAATGTTTGTTTGTTTATTTTTAATAGGAGCATCTTATTGCTGTTTTATCTGGTATGGTTAGAGTTGATAATTATGATTGGATTACTACTTACGCCGACGAAGCTGAAGTTGCCATAAAGGCTTTGTTAAAGGATATTATTGTTAAAGCCGTCTCTCATATTGACGATAGCGACAATGAGTTAGGATCATTAGCCGATCAGATGAGGTATATAATAATTTTTGTATTAAATAATTAAAAACTAGTTTAAACAAATATTTTTCAATTTTATTAGACTTTTAGACTATGAAAGATGGATGGATTTACTTGATGTTGTACTAGAAAAAATGTTATCAATGCTTAAACGAATTAAGGTAATATTTTTAATAATGGGAATATATATTAGCAGACGTAAATAATTAATTAATATTCTTTGTTCTTATATAGATAATTAGTGATATTATGAAAGACGTATGCAAAACGGCTTGTACTAATACTCCGAGGAAGATTAACGTCTCATGCGAATTAGACGCGTCCATAAATCAGACGGAAACTGAAGATGTAGATGACAAAATCAATACTATGTTCTATACTATTGCCGAATGTGCGCATGATCGGGTCGGTAAATTAGTAACGGCTAGGGCTAAAAATGGATTTTTAGAAAAGCTTCAGCCGTCTGAATTAGTTGAGTTGTGGGAGAAAGTTCAAGTTTGGATGAGAAGTTCAGCCAAACTGGTTGAATCGGAAAGGAAAACGGGTATAGCACTTAGTGCTAGTATGAAAGCCCAAGCTACTAGCTATATAAACAAGGTCCATGATGAAAAAAGAACCAAATTGTCCCTGATACTTGACAATGAACATTGGAAACAAGCCGAAGTTCCTCTTCAATTTCAATTACTCATAGATCATGTGATAAGTAGTGGTACACTGACTAGAGAAGGTTTACCTCAAACGAAAAATTCTGTTGAAGAAACGAAACCGGTCCTAAAAGTAGCTAACGAAGAATATGGCGTTGTTGGGACGGTGCTTTTGTTATTTAAAATAGTAATTGAATATTGCGAATTGGCTAAAGTTGTTAAGGCCGTATCGTCGGATATTTCTATAAGACTATTGGAATTATTAAATATGTACAATTCAAGAACTTGTCAACTCGTACTTGGTGCTGGAGCCGTCCAATTAGTTGGGTTGAAAACAATATCCACTAGACATTTGGCTCTAAACTCCAGATGCTTACAGTTTATAGTTTTTCTTCTTCCTTTAATAAGACGACATTTCGAACAACTGATTCCGGAAAAGAATAATAATCAATTACGTCATTTTGATAAAGTTACTCGTGATTATAAAAATCATATTGAGGAAATTGACAATAAGCTGGTTTATATTATTGAATCGATGTTTGATGCTCAATTCTCAAAGTACGAAGTGAAGGCTCCAATGCCGTCAACTCACGTCCGTCAAGCCGTTTCTCAGATTAGCAAATTCTATCAGGCTATCAACAGTTTACTTCCCGAAAAGCATATAGCACAACTTTTGTTACGAGTTCATCAAGCTTTCAAACGCCATATGAAAAATGCCTTAGCCAGACTTAGAGTTTCTAATGACGGTGGTCCTCAACAAGGTCTGGTAACAACCGACTTGGCCTACTACAGTGGGGAGATACGCAATTTACGTCCACTGTCACGTGTTGATCATAATATGGACAGTGTATGGCCTTCAAATTCATAATCTTTAAAAATTTTTGTAATTAATCACAAGAAACAAACAAAACTGCTCAAGTGATCAACTTTCTCTTAATTTTGTGATCTAGTCGCTTCTCACTCCCCATTCCCTTCTAATATATATATATATATTTAAATCCCAATTTAATTTGTCATTAATTTAAAGAAATTTATTCAATTCTAAAGAAATCGTATATTAAGAGATTTTCTTTATGTTTTCTCGATTACAATTTTATATGATTTATTTAAAATTTGCTATTCAATGATTAATTTTTTGTCCTTAAATTAGAATTAACTTATTAATTTTTGTTTATTTTTAGGAATTTTCAAATATTACACATAAGACGATAAATACGCCAAAAATCGTTATCATTTCTTCCTTTTTTTGATATCATTAGCAATTTGCGTATAACTCAAACGGATATTCTTGTACACTGAGCAACAAAGTAAAAAAATGTTTTTGAGAGGGAAGTAAATTTAAGGAAAAATAACATAGTAAAGCGAAAAAGATCTTCGTCTTCATAAAGCTACGAGTCTTTCATAAATTGATGTACAATTGCATAAATTATCGCGGACAACATCTTGACTAGGAAAGAAGCCAAAAATTGCTATTATCTCAGCACCGGACTAGTTGTTAGTAGGACAAACCACTGTAATATAAGATGAAGATGAAATTATGAAAAAATGAATTATCGAAATATTAAACCTTTGAGTATGTAATCAGTCAGTAAAGTAGGGACAACAGGGCTATCTTCGTTCATTGCCTTCATAACTAAAATAAGCAATGTCGTATTACTTATTATTTAATGTACATAATCTTAGGAGTTTAATCGAAAATGTCGTATTTACTTACTCTTAATAAAAATTTGTAATTCCTCGTTGGTTGGTGGGCCTACTCTCTCCGCGTTATATGGTATAGACATTGTCAGATACTAAATAAAAAAAAATGTAATAGAATGGTTAGGATGTAGTGTTTTATACTATAAAAAATATTTACTTTTCCAAAACCGTCTGGGCTGATGACTTTTTTAGAACCAGGAACCTTAATACCGGACGATGAAATCGGTAATTCTCTTCTTTTTTTCTATGGAAAATATTATTTATTAATTTTAGGTTAAAAAAAAAACAACAAAGAATAAAAATAACAATATATTGATTGTCAAGAAAAAAAAAGAGGAAAACAGCTGAATATATTAGGTTTGACGTCATTGTAGTGTAGATAAGATTTTATATCCGCTAAAAACTTATTGATTCAGGGTCATAGTTTGCTTAAGATACCCAACGATGCATAAATTCCCCTCAGATCATTAATATTAGGTAGGAGAAAAAAGAGAGAAATATATCGTTTACCTGCAATGAAAGAAGAAGGGATATGAATTGATTTTTTAGCTCTTTTTCGTATTCTAATTCGTCTCGGAGAGCTAATTGTTGTATTAGAGTTTCAGATAATTCTTTTACAGTTCCCTCTAATTCCTCGTATAGTTCATTCAAAGCCACGGTCGATAGGGATTTCAGGGCTGCAAAGAGAATGACGCAGAAATATTATGAATATTTATCAACGTCAATGGTTCTAAATGGATTCTAAAGCGAAACAACAGCTAGATTCGAAATATCTACAGTATATCTTCATAATAGTGGGAAGGGAAATTTTGTGAAAGGTTATAGATGAAAGGTAAAAAGTCCAGGGTATGAATAAGAATGATAAGATTATCGATTTTCCTAACAAGCATTTCTGAATTCTATTTTTAACTGCCTTATTATTCTCTCTGTTTCTTAAAAAATGTACAAAACAAAATATAAGTCTTAGCCAGAAACCAGAATAAAATCTAATTTTTATATGTTATAAAGTGGGTAATAAAATTCATTCGGTATATAAATAGAAATTGTTTGCTAAGGAATGGTCTGTCTTAAAAAAAAAGGAAACCTACATTATTCTAATATTTTCCTCCTTCCCTTCGATCAATAAAAATCCCTTTGACATATTCATTAAATAGAACTCAGAAATGCTCAATAAGTTATACCTTATAGTTCGGTTATTTTTTTTTACAAACATGCATATTTACAACGTGATGACAAACTGCAATAACAAGAAAAAAAAGAATACAAAATTTATGTGAAAATTTACCAGATGTATCTTCTTTTTGAAACAAATAAAAATAAAATAGGATTATATTCGTTTTGTTAGTTGGTTTTTTTTTAAAGTAAAGAAAAAAATTGTTACAGACTAATTGAAAGAAAAGTTTAAAAGTGTACTCACTTCCTTCTATATTTGACGGTGTTATATCTGACTTATATTTTAATTGTAGCAATTCTATGGAAGTTGAAGATCTATTGTTCATAGCAGTCTCTTCTTCAAAATCATCTGCTTCCTTCATAATTCCTTCTATCTCATTGATAACATCATCAGCCGAAAAAAGAGGCTCGTGATGAAGAGAAGATACAATTAGTGAGTGCATATCAAATGCAGCTTGTAATTCTTCGTCGTCTGATAAATCCAAATTCAATTCTTCTTCGTCCTAGGAATAAACATTTGAGGTCTTATAGAATGCAATTTTTTTTTTACTTGGTCAACAATAATGTTCGTTTACTGATAAATTTCTAGCGAATCAAACCATAAATAACAATATTTATCATTAATCTATCAAGGAGAAAATTAATTCCATAAAAACATCTGTTTCACTATGCATTATTATTTCGAAAATTTCATCAAATAAAGTACATTGAAAAGCGTGAGAGAAGTACATTTATATTAAATTCGTAATCGTAAGGCGACTAATTTTGTCTCATGCTTAAGATCTTTACACAGACCAATTCGTAAGGAAGACAATCAATAAGTACTGGACGAACTTGATAATTTTCACTTAAAAAAAAAGAAGTAAACGTGGATTTGATTATATTCATTGGTCCTTTTTTGTCTCGTCTCAAAAGTCTCAGCAGGGTATATACGCTTAAATATTAAGTTCATTAAGTTCTTTTTTATATCGTTGAATTCCGTTATTATTGAAATTAAACAATAGAAAAATGCTATAAAGAATGTATTATTATGTATCTATTATAGAATTTATTGCTAACGGTGAATCGTGAGAAATAAATAGAAACAGCGTTTTGCTCAATATTGATCGCACATGGTGCATTGGGGAGGGTTTTATTTATTAGCCTTTTTAAATTATACAAATGTATATATCTCCCTTTACAATCTAATAATGTAGCCAATATAGAGTTATAATTAAAGTTTTTACCTTTTTCTCTTCAAGATGCAAGGCCTCTGTATGTAGTTGACGAGCGTAGGATTTTGACCAGTCTATGGGTAGGACATTGCCATAATTACCCGTAATTGTCCACCACATTCTGAAAGAAAATTATAAATAGGATTAGATTTTTGGAAATATTATGATAGAATAAAAAATTCAAAAGTTTATAGTTCAAATATTTTGATGTTTATAATAATGAATTATTCATCATTTAATTAATTTTGTTACTCAGAAATTATAAAAGGCAAATGAGTAATTAACGAAGCGTGAAATTTTCTATCAAACACACGTTAAAGGTGCTCGTTTGTGATGAAGTAGAAGTAACGTTTGTTTTCAATAACAGGTTATTTGCTTGTATTAGAGAATAAATTACCATAGGACAAATCTTTTTCTTATACATACTGTACTTAAAATGTCTTTCTCCCTGCCTGTCTATTTCTCTTGCTTGTCCCTCTCTGTCAGTTTTACAGACATTTGAAGTAAAATATACTGGACAGTTTGTCTTTCACCAACTTTATCGATTGAGCTCTGTTATTCGGTCAATGACGACTAATAAATAGGAACGTTAAACGAAAATTTAATAAAATTGCTAAATAAGGTGGGTACGAAGTTGAAGAGTTAATTTTTGTCCCTCAAGTGAATACTATTGCATATAATGGATTATTACATTATTATAAGTTTACAAATGCACAAGAGAAAGGAATATTAATCCAATAAGATGGAATGTCTAATTGAATTATATTTCTACAAAGACATATAGAGTAAAGTGAGCATTTTAAAAGGAGTAGGTCGTTAGATAGGCTAAGAATTGTACCCATCTGCTCTAAAAACTATTATTGTTTAAGAGAATTTAGTGAAATATGACTTCTTTTGTTGCTACCAGTTGGCTTTAGAAATTATATTGATTATCACAAATTTTTTAGCAATTAATTTTCTTTATTGTATCCCACTTAAACTAAGTTCTTAAGAAGCTAGCACAAAAATATAAAGAATAAAATATACATGTTACTCTAGAGATTTTACACAACATGTCAATATTTAGGAGTATAACCTATGCGTGTATGCTTAATTAATGATAATGCCTTGATTGGCATCTAACGAATTGCAAGTACATCCAGTCTATGGTAGTCATTTACATATCAATTACCAATCAATTTCAATTAAAAATATGCAGAAATTTGTTATGACTTACTGGCAATCATTTATTATTTCTTCTTGCGTTTTAATAGTTTGATGACTGTTTGTTTCCGGCTTTACTTGATGATTTTTAAAGCATTTTGTTAATTTTTCGTCGAATGTATTCACAAGATCTTCTAAAGATGTTGATATAGTTTCATTGAAATTGTCCATTAATGAATTTCGATCATCACTTGTGTCGCTTTTAACACTTGGTGGACCAGTTTTTTCAGCTGCTTGGAATTCATTGAAATCATTCCATTCTTCTCCCTCAAAGTTTGCAAGAGGAGCTTCGAATTTTAGCTCCGCCATTTTGGGGAAATGATATTCTCGCTACTGAATACGCGAATTAGTTTAATGTGGTACCTAGCTGCGGGCTCAATTTTCTAACCGTTGAATCGACGCGGTAACGCAAACCCATTAAATTACGCAATGCGATCGAAGCGCCATCTATCTTACGATAAAATCTTAATTTAAATTCCCTAAAGTAATTTTCCCTATAGTTCCAGATAAAGATTTAAAGGGAAACAGGAAATGAAATCAACTATAAAAAAGAAGGCAGTTCTATTTTTATTAATTTTTTACAAATCACTTCGAATGTATTAAATTTTTAACAAAAACTTACATGCACCTCACTTTTTTTAGGAGAAAAAAGAAAACCACCGTAGTGTGTAAAATAAAAAAAAAAGAGAAAATTGTAAAGGAGAATATTTAAAATCGGAACAAAATGTTTAAAAGATTTTTCATAGCACGCTTAAAATATAAAATTTTTGCAAATAATTTGAAATATCACGATTGTTTTAAGACTTTCTTTGCTCTTGGAGCTATCGGCGGTTTATTATCCTTACTGTAAAAAAAAAGAGAAAAGGAGCATAAGTATATAATTAGCTAGGTATTTTTTATTTATTACCTAATTTTGAAAAAACTTCTAATTGATCCTTTAATTCCATTTTTCTTTTTTAGAAGAGAAACATCTGCTTCGGATGCAATACTTGAATCTATTAAATGCCTTTGTTTTCCTTTCTTTCTTTTACCGTTCGAGGTCAACGAATCATTATTACACATTGTTGCGCTTTTTGTCCAAGGCATTAATGGAAACCGATGACGTTTTTTAGATGACGCTGATACATCCATTTGCGACTGAGAGACTAAAGTATTCTCACCAATATTACTCGAATCATTGAAGGCTGACGCTAATCGTACATCCGATTGGCTAATGCTTTTTCTAATGCGTCTTGAAAAGTTACCAGCAACGACTTCGTCATTTGCGCTAAATGAATTCGGTCCAGGATCAACGGTGACAGATGGTGATTTCAAGGGAACCGAAGGCGTAGCCAGATAACCTAACTTTTGCTTCAATTTGTTTGGTGTGTCTGTCGAAACAGTTGAGGAAGGTCTACTCCCCAAACGAGGTGTATGTCTACCCTCCCTAAACGAAACATTCCTTGCCACGCTATTTTTAGAATAAAATAAGTCGATACTTATTACGCAATCAGAGTGTTACGCAAATACTTTACTTTGTTATCTTTTGAACAGTATTAGAAGCGGCTAATTTCATGCTCTCAACGCTGCTATTACTTGAACGAAACGATGAACTTCGACTAGTTTTACTATTTAATGAAATAAGATGCGTGTCAATAAAGATTTGAAGTAAACCCGTTAAATAATAAATACCGTTTAAGTTTGGGAGATTGGGCAACTTGAGAAACGAGTTTCATTGAGTATTGTATCGATTCATTAAGCTGAGTTAAGAAAGCTGCCAACTTATGTAAAGACAATTGAAGTTGGTAGTGGTCTGGGTGATCTTCCTCAGTACACTTTAACATTTGCTATACAATAGACAGATTGAAACAGTGTAAACGTAAATTTCTTTTTAATGCTTTTTTAATTACCTTTAATAAAAGTACATAGCGAGGAATTCTTTGTACAGGCGTGAGGAGAAATGAGCCCAAATCCAAACCTTCACAAACTGGGTCATCAAGTTGTTGCTAAAATACATACAGTAAAAATTTTATAAAACTTTGATAAAATAGTGAGAATACAAACTCGTAGAAATTTTCTAAACTTCGGGCAGGTCCTACAGGACTTTTTTATCTGAAGAATAGCATCAGGAAATTCCCTTACGTATTTTTGATAATGCTGAAATAATTCACCCTGGAAAAAAAAAGAAAAGAGTAAAATTAGCCGTATAAATTTGAATATATTTATATATTTGCAATTACGTCTGTATCAGCGATAAAACGAGCAAAGATATCACCAAACATTCCTTTATAATTACTCGAATGAGATACTCGATCTTCCAACTTTTGAAGTATTGTACAATGACTTTGGTATAAAGTTATTAGTACTTGCGGTAACATTGTCCTGAAAGAGATTGTGTATTTATTACATTTGGCTTAGCTATGGTTTATTTTCTAATAAATATACGAACGATAATTCCTTTGATGAGATTACTTCCGATTTTCTAATTGGCTCAGCAAAATGATCCAAGAGAATCCATAAATTATTGCAATATTTTTTTTCCGTTTCGTAGAGTTCTTGTGCAACGTTGTTTCGTTGTATCTGTTTAATTCGTCTTTCGTGTGGTGGAACTTTTCTCACGGGTGTTGTAGGTTTTCGAAATGGCGACCTAGCCGCACCGTCCGCATCCGTTCTTGGTGAAACCGGAGGTGTATGCTTTTTCATTTCTTCTTTCTCAGTGTCCTTTCTAGTGTCTTCTTCATCGGATGATAATTCTATAGCTGTTACTTCAAGACAATTATCTCCCAATGATCGTGAGAGATCTAGACTTTTATTAGCGGCAGCGGTTATAGAGCTATCACTGTCATAAGCCGAAGCTTCAACGTCGTCGACAGCTATATAAAAAAAGAAAGAGAATGCTATTACATACACTTTGAAATGAAAGTTTTATTCCTACGGGATGGTGGGGGTGGAAGGGTCACGATGTAAGAATTTTCTTGGTTGACTGAACGAGGAGATTCGGGTGAAACTGATGAATCGGTTGTTGTCACTCCTGAGTCTTCTTCACTTTTACATGACAATGATATACCAAATACCATTCTGGCTTTCCGTAGTAGAAGCGATAGAGGTTCTTGATCGCTCTCTTCTGAACTTTCACACGCATTGTGTTCTTCACTATTCAATAAAAGGACAATTATAAATCGGTCATATATCTGATGAAAGACTGAACACGAACTATAAGGAATCTGATATAGCGCCTGCACGGTGGAGCTCCTCAAGAAGAAGCTGCCTATCACTTTGTAAAGCAGAAACTTGTTGACGTAAATTCCTTTGTACGTGGGATTCGATGGTTAGTTGATGAAGAACAGCCCCAAAGTCATTCTTTAGTTAGCCAGAAACGAATTTGAAAAGGTATGAAAAGATTAATGTATATCTATTTACCTTTAACGACAAAACCATTCGAACAACTTGGGATAATTGCCTCTCATGCTCTTTTTTATGATCATCAACTTTCTGTTGAAGTTGTTCATCGTCATTTTGCATAGTTTTCAAGGCTGACAAAGCCGATGTGAAAACATCTCTCATATCAGTCACAGCCGTTTCGACCTGAATTTCGGACTGGAATTCGAATAAATTTACTATATTTATCAAAGGCTTACTTGTCGGAGTTGGTTAGGTAAATCTTCATTTTCGTCAAAACTTTCAACGACTGTTTCATCATTATCCTGTTTCTGAATATCTTCATTGCCCTCTAATGAAAAAGAAGGAATTCTTACTAGAGTAAGAAATCACAAAGAATTTTAATGAAATTTATAGAACATTATAGAACATTGGCTAATACGGAATAGAGAAATAGAACTTTTTATTATTTATCTACCTAATAGAATGGCTAGTCATGTTCGAATAGGCGGCCTGTTTTACCGTTTACAATTGACTTTTTTAAAAGTGAAATAGTATGTTTGAGGGTCGGTTACGTGCATCAATTATAAATGGACTGCTTCGTTGAACATTATGTTTTTTTTATATTTAGCTTGTATATGATAAGAGAGTAAAAATTTAACCTTATTTCCTAATTAGTTATGGTGTTGTATTATTTATTTTCAAATAAATGCAAATAAATGCGCATTCTAATACTAACCGATTAGGTAGTTCATATTAGAAAGGTATACTAACCGATATCACAGAGATCGTCTTCATTCGGATCCATCTGGAAACGTTCTCTAATTTAAGAACATGTAGATTACTTTAAATAAATATTTTGAACATTTACAATTTCCCGTTTGATGACTTTGCGCCTCGAAGCTCAGTTTTTATTCTAAAAACAAACGATCAGGTTCAAATATTTGTCACTTTAACGCCATTGTAGTATGGTTTCCTGTCCGGTAGCATAATATGTAGTGAACAAATCGTAATAGACATCGGTAGTCAATGCCAATGCTGCGCATGCGTCTTGGGGGTATGAGGTTAATTCTGCGATATATAATGTGTTTTCTACGATTTTAGAAAGTGTTTTGAAGGCAGGAATGAGCATTAAGGAATTACAAGTTGGGGTGTTTTATAATAAGAATCCTATTGTGAATTCTAGTACGGATAATACTAACATTGAGGAAGATCGTTGGACTTTCGATGTTAGCAATGAATACCCGCCAACAGCATATAAAGTATTTGCTGAATTTTTGGAGAAATCGTACTTGACTGATGTGGAAGTAATATGTGGAGAAAGAACACTAAAATGCCACAGAATCGTTTTAGCTGGATGTTCTCCTTATTTTAAAATGATGTTTATGTCAGGAATGGAAGAAACTCGCTCAGACTCAATAACAATCAATGATGTTGATGAAAAGTGTTTGTTTGATTTAATTAAATTTGCCTACACGGGAAAGGTAGACATAGATATTGAAAATGTACAAAATTTATTATATACCTCAGATATACTGCAAATTGAATCAGTAGCCCACGCTTGTTGTCGATTTATGAAACATCACCTGCATCCAAGCAACTGTATAGGAGTAAGAGCCTTTGCAGAACAGCATAATAGAGTTGAATTGATGGAATATGCCGATCAATACGCCCGTGAAAATTTTAATAAAATAGTGAAATGTGAAGACTTTGAACGTATGACCGAAATGGCTCTGGTTCAAATGATTCGTAGTGATGATACAAACGTTCCATGTGAGGAAGAAATATATAATGCCGTTGTTAAATGGGTGAAATATAAAAGTAAGGAACGTACTGTGCTATTACCAAAGCTTCTGAAGCAGATACGTTTACAATTGTTAAGTATTAATTTTTTTTTGGAAACCGTTGAAAAGGAACCGATTTTAAAAGAAAATCTAGAATGCAGAGATATTTTAGATGATGTTAAGACCTTTCACCTCCAAAACAAAACCTCATTTATTAGGGGCTATAGAGAAAGGCCTAGAAAATCTTATTCAGGCGTAATTTTCTGTGTTGGTGGCAGAGGAGCGGCAGGTGATCCTTTTAAATCGGTTGAGTGGTATGATGTATCGCGAGATCAGTGGCTTCCAATACCGGATATGTCTACCAGACGACGACATGTTGGAGTTGTAGCATTTAAAAGTAAATTGTATGCAATTGGCGGTCATGATGGTACAGACCATTTATCCAGTGGTGAGGTTTACGATCCCAAAACAAATAAATGGTCACCTATTAATCCTATGTCAACTATGAGGCGTGGTATTGCCCTAGCATCTCTTGGACCAAACGGTCCTATCTATTCAGTGGGTGGCTTAGATGATAATACTTGCTATCCAAATGTAGAAAGGTATGATCCAGTCGCCAATAGTTGGGAGCAAGTGGCATCAATGCTGGTACCAAGGGGAGGTGTAGCTGTGGCGGCCCACAATGGGCAACTTTACTCTATAGGAGGAAATGATGGCCAGGCATCTCTCGAAAGTTGTGAGAGATACGATCCCCACTTGAACAAGTGGTCTTTCGTAGCTCCGATGAGCATACGAAGGGCAGGAGCAGGAATTGCCGAATTAGATGGACTTTTATATATAGTGGGGGGCTTTGACGATAATTCTCCATTGGATTCGGTTGAGGGCTACTGCTCTGTAAAGAATCAATGGACAGAAATTGTCTCTATGTCTAGTCCGAGAGGTGGGGTCGGGGTAGCCGCACTAGGAGGTAATTGAATTAAAAGGATTTTATGTAAATAACGACTGATTGTATTAATTTGCTTTTATATTTATACAGGTGTGCTATTTGCTGTTGGAGGACACGACGGTCACAACTATCTAAGAAGTGTTGAAGTGTACGATCCCGATCCCAAAGTTAATAGGTAACAAATAAAATATATTATTAATATTTATTTAATTAGTTATTTCCCTAAACTCAGCTGGAGACGTGTAGCGGATATAGCAACACAAAGAGCTGGTGCTGGAGTTGCAAAGTGCGATATAAGTATAGAATGCATGGCTGCACACGCTCATCAACCAGCAAAATACGATTCCTGCGTCTAGCAATCGAAAATAATACATTTTACGAAGCCAGTTTCTTTCCAGAAAAAACCAAACTCTTCATTATCCATTGTTGGAATTATTCCTTATTTTCGTCGGCTCTTTTCTTTCTCTTTTCCACCATTAGTTCGACTTCTTCTTATTAAAATTTTTTACGTTATTTTTTGACGTGAAAAATTTCGAACTGAACAAAACAAACAAAAACAATTACAAACAAAAAACCGAAAGTAAATGTGCTACTTTTGCATTGATTTTATGTTTTTCTTAGCAAATTTATTTTTTAAAAAATTATTAAATATTTTCTTTTCTGTGTTCTTTTTAAAAGATTCTTTTTTTCTTTTTTAGCCTTTGTTTAATGATAACTCGAATAGAAATATCAAGAATATAAAACTACTATATTATATGCTTAATGTAGACAATATTTTTAAAATTTTGCATAAATATAATATTCTTTTTTTTAACGTTTCGCTAATTATATTAAAAATGAGGAATAGGCCTAAAGATTGTTTATTATATTATAATCTGTTTAGATTAATGAAATATGGTTAAGTTTAATGTTCCTTTATCGAAAGTTTACGAAACTGTAAAATCGTTTAAGAAAGCAAAGATTTTACTTGAAAAAGATAAATATCGATTAATAAATGAGAAGAAGGCAAATTTAAATGTGAAAAACACACAAATAACACATCGATACTATTATAGTGAAAACTCTAAAGGTTAGTTATTTATAAAAGGAAGAAAACCATCTATATATATATATATATATACTATAATGTATTTTTTCAATGGTATCATCACCTATCTGTTTCTTGTAACAGATGTTTTACGCTTTATATAATTATTCAGTAAATTTTTTTTATATAAAGTGAACAGTTTAGAGAATAGTTTCCTCTATTTGAATGATTTAAATAACTTTTATCAAAGCCTTCCGTTAAACTATCACTTTTATAGTTTTTTATTATTTGTTCAATATTTACCCGGCCGTTGCACTTGAAAAAAAATTATCAATCATAAATTACTGTCATATTTCTCGTTTATTACATAATCATATGGGTTTTGACTTTATATATCTATATTAATTTAATTGACTACTTTATAAAAAAAGGTATCTATTAACAAGAAAGACAAAAGATAGAGTGTAGGTGGAGAAGGTTGTATAGATTTCCTTTTGGGAGAAGTGCTATCAATATTTACACATGTATGAATGTTTATGTATTTTAAGGTAAAAACATGTTTGTTATATAAACATATTGTTACATATATAATGTATATATTGAATTTATAAAAGACAAAGGAAACGTAAAGGGTCAAAGAGGAGGAGCTTGAAGACAAAAAAAAAGAGCATGAAAACCTCTTTAAGACTTAAATAGTATGTTTCATTTGTTTATATTTTGCATATTCTAGTTTGTTACAATAGGTTTTAATTTGCTGGAAAATGAACTAAAAATTGTTACATATAGAGAAATAGCAGACAAAATGGATGATAATGAATTTAGTAAAGTATATTAAATGATATCATCCATTCTGGTTGTGTCATTTATGAATCTATTAATTAATTTCTTCTATTTTTAAATTTTTCGCTCTCCCATACATTCTCTATTTTCCTATGATAATGCTAAATCAACTCATTCATCACTAAATTACGTGCATATTGTAAATAGTGTTTATTTCTTGTTTTTTTTTGTGTCTAATTATAGAAAATATTGCTTCAAATTATTTAGATGAGAATGGTAAATGGAATAAAAGAGGATACTATGCTGATGAAAATGAAACAGACGAAGGAGAAGAAACGAATTTGGAAGAAATTGATGATAAAGATGATAAATTATTTTTACAAAGGCGTAAAGTGAAAGGAAGAAAATGGAAAATAAATAGACGAATATATAGAACGTTAAAATCACAAGATTTTCAGGTATCAAAAATATTGAATAAACATAAAATATATTTAGATATTCTACGTCATAAAAATGAATATTCATAAAGAATTTATATTTGTTAATTAACTAGAAAGAGTTAGTTCCTTAATTAGTAGTAACAGATAAATTTATGGTCGTAACTATATATACTGTATATATATATAGTATACTGTATAAAAATGGTACTAATATACTGTATACAGCGTTTTTTCCATTTAAAATAAGATAGAAAATAGTTGTTATTTAAATGATTGCATAATTAAGTTTTTTTGTGCAGTATAAGCATACTGTATGTTTCGATATGGGCTGTTTTTTTGTAACATAATTTTAATGACAGAAATGTATGCGTACCAATTGAATTAGTAGCATATATGGTCAATATGTTTTTAACTCGTGAAACAGGTGTTACTAGTGAGCTTTACGTCGTACATTTAGTTTAATAACTTTCCTCGTTGATGAATGAATGATCAATGACCGGAGCAGGGGATAGTAAGACCGGTGATGAGAAGGATAAACCTTCGGAGGAGGACAAAACCGAAGAAAAGAAACCAGCCGCTGAAAAAGAAGATACTTATGTTAAGAAACCAATTGATAAAACTAGCACTAAGAATACCGATTTTCAGGTAAAACTAGATAATTTTGTCCACTTCCCAAATTCATCTTCGAAGGATTATCTCTAAATAGTTTAATTTCACTTCTAAAATTTATTATAATTTATTCATTACGTTTAGATACTATCTATTCCTCATGTGATTAATTAACAGGTTCGAATAAAAGTAATAGAAGGTCGTCAATTACAAGGCGCCAATATTGATCCAGTTGCTAGAATAACATGTTACAATCAAACTAAGCAGACAAGGGTTCAAAAATCAACTAATGCACCTTATTGGAATGAAATGTTCTTCTTTAATTTCGTCTGTTCTCCAGCCGAACTATTTGAAGAAACGATTAACTTTCAAGTATTTCATGCCAAAAAGCTTAGATCTGATTCGCTAGTTGGAAATTTTAAGGTTTATTTAGTTTTCATTTTTGGCTATTACATTAATGCATATTTAAATTAAGTGCGATGTTAGTATGGTTTATGACGCTCCGAACCATACGTTCCTCAATAAATGGCTATTACTCAGCGACCCAGAAGATCCGCAGGCCGGAGCTACGGGCTATTTAAAAATATCGGCTACAGTTTTAGGTTCAGGCGACGAAGCTCCTAGCTTTAAGCAGATTGCTCAGGATGAGGATGACGATGAAGATATTGAATCTAATCTCCTCAGACCAGCGGGTGTACAATTAAGACCAGCAACATTTCATTTGAATCTATATAGGTGCGAAGACCTACCTGTCAGTAAGTAGTAGTTCATTGCGTAATGTCCTTAAGATAAAATATTAACAGTCGTTTACAAATAATTCCTTTAGTGGATGCCGATTTAATGGGAGATGTCAAAAAGTTCTTTGGATCTAAAGAAAAACGAGGTGGAAGAGTTGATCCATATTTTGTATTTTCGTTCGCAGGAGCAGAAGTTAGGTCACAAATAATGGAGAAAAACGATCATCCTGAATATAACGAAAACTTAAATTTGGGTTTAAGGGTATTTATTAATACTAATATCAAATTAGGCCACAGAACTTAATAATTAATAAAATACCATATTTTAACATCTATAGTTTCCATCAATGTGTGAAAAAATTAAATTTCAATTAAGAGATTGGTACGTTATTGTTATTTATTTTGAATGAATAATAGAAAAATACTATATATTTCGATCTTGTCTTAATAAAATAAAGGGATAGACTATCGGAAGATGATCCAATTGGAACGGCATTTGTTTATATCTCACACATATCAGCAACAGGAGAAAGCGGTAATTACTTTTGATAATTATATCATATTTAATATTCGTAATATTCATACTATTCATATATGAATATATTAAATTAATATTTAAATTAACTTGAAGAAAAAAAACATTCTCCAAAGTAAAAATGCATAAAAACTGCAAAAAGTACAAATATACAATTTTTTACAGGTTCAGGAGGTAACTAAAGAATTATAATAACAATAGATAAGCTAGATTATTACTATAAGGTCCCTCCCCTCCTACTAAAACCTCTAATTCAACTATCCCAATAAATGTTTATTAATTCAATTATAATATTCATTTTTTTATAATTTATCTCTGACTTTATTTATTCATTTATTTATTTCTTATCTTCTTAATTTTTTATGATAATTTCTGTTATCTTTTTTTTGTTTTCTTTTTTTTTCATTATTTTTCATGTTATCTTTGTTTTATGTAACTTGAACAACCTTTGGTTTTATCTTCCTACTTTTTACGTTAATTAGAAAAAGGATCTGTTGGTAATTATTATTTTATTTTGTTCTTTTTCTTTTTGTTTTAGATATTTCCATGGTTTTAAAATCAAAAAAAAAAAGAAGCAATTAATTTAATAATTAATTATCTAATTAAATAGTTAAAAAAAGTTATAAAAGAAATTGAACTTCCTGCAATTTGGCTTTTTTTTATAGGCGTATGAAGAGTAAAAAAAATGTTTTATAATTTTTAACAGGCTTTTTACCGACTTATGGACCAACTTATATAAATTTTTATGGATCACCTAGAGAATTTAGCGCCTTATGTGAAAAATATGAATATTTAAATACTGGCAAAGGAGAAGGTGTTGCGTATAGAGGAAGGGCACTACTTGAATTGACAACAGTTGTTGGAGATCTACCGGAAGAAGCTTCAGAGGCACTAAGTGTTGAACAAACTTGTAAAGTTGAAAAATATATGGCTAGACGTAAATTCAAATTGAATGCTGCTTTTATGAATGCAACAATGATTTACGTTCAGAGTGCAACTGTTCAATTTGAAGTTTCTATTGGTAACTATGGTAATATACTTGACGAATCTGTACCACCTAGTGCTTCTACAACTCAAATAACTAATCCCGTATTTGATGGATGCTATTACTACTTCCTTCCGTGGGGTGAAACTAAGCCATGCACATCTGTTGACTGTCAATGGGAAGATATATCTCATCGTTTGGAGGCGTTAAATTCAATTTTAAAAACTGTAGCAAGACTAGAATCAAATATTGAGAAAATAAAAATGGCTATGAAGGCTAGAGTTGATATAAAAGGTAAATTTTTCAACTGTTTTCCAAGTCTTTTGCTAATTTAATGCTGAATTTATTGTAGAACTCGCTCAGATAATTATAAGTACATTGGATAGTTTAGTTAATGATTGTCAAAAACCTTTACCAAAGATTATCGAGGGGCACACTATTCAAAACGATCTGGATCGTGAACTCAGAAGTTATAGAGAGACTGAGTTGGCTTCGTTGCAAGGCTTGGCAAGCTCTTTGAGAACAACTGCAGATGATCCTGAAAAAGCTCTCGGTGATATTGAAGGATATTTAGCCCAGCTTAGGAATCTTGCTATTGAACCTCAACAAAGTATTCCCGACGTAATCATATGGATGATTTCGGAAAATGAAAGAAAAGCATATTTTCGCTTACCAGTTCACCATGTTCTTTATTCTCCAACTCCTGATTATTGCGGTAAATTCTGCAATAACTTAGAAACGATACAATTACAATTTCCAGGAGATTTGGCTGAGAAAGATAGTAAGTGGGAAATTCCCGCTCTGCTTAGAGCAAAACTTTGGTTTGGATTAGAAAGATACGAAGAATCTTGGCACAAGGACCAAACTGAAGGAGAGGTCGCCGTCTTTGCCGAAACATACGAGAACGAAGTTAAAGTTATGAACACCTGGTCAAGAAAAATGCTTACTAGGCCAAACTTCTCAGATAGCTCGGGTAAAATGAAATTAATGAAAGAAGATTTCATCATTCCAGACGGTTGGTCATGGGATGGAAATTGGTATATCAGTCCTGAGTTGAGTATGCTATACGATAAAGATTCAGGTCATACTACTTACATCGAAGAAGTTTACGAAATGCATGCCAGAACGTTTGGTGGCAATTGGGATATGGATTCCAGTGCTCCCTGGACTGATGTGGTATGTTTCAAGCAAGTCAACGTATTTTAATGATTATTTACAAATATTTGTATTTGTAGAAAGGCGATAAGGCTATTGGAAAAGGAGACATAGAACTACCAAAAGGTTGGGAATGGGATAATGCCTGGGATATTGATAAAAATAGGGCCGTAGATGATGATGGTTGGGAATATTGCACTGAAGTATCGGTAGGAGGTTGGGGACCAGTTGAAAAAATGTATCATCTATGCCGTAGAAGAAGATGGCTAAGAACAAGAAAACTAGCGGCTGACGCAATTTTGAAAGCTCAGAAAGAGGAAGAAGCTAAAAAGCAAAAAGCTCTTGCTGAAGGCTGGGAATATGCCCCAGTGTTTGATATGAAATTTCATCATACAGAAAGAAAATTAGATATGGTTAGAAGAAGAAGATGGCATAGGAAATTACAAAGCAATGACTCTAAGAAACCTTGTTTCTTTAAATTCAAAGATGATGAGGTAAGTGATAAATGAATTTATTAAATGCAGTATCTATTGAAAGTTTATAAGTTGAAAATTAGGTTATAAACTTATATAAGATTTAATTTAATATATTAAACCTTTAAAGAAAAAGGAACAAAAGAGGGAAAAAGTAAGTTTACGATATTAGAAACTTAAGAATTCAACTATTTATAATACACCATAACAATACGCACATATATACAGTATATATATATTTATAATATACAAGTATAAATTATAGATATGAATATTTATAGAGTTATTAATAGAAAAGATTATTACTTTCTTCTACACTTACACAGTTATTTATAGATATTCAGTATTTATTTATTTGTTTATTTGTTTGTTTATTTTTCAATGAAAGTTTACAAACAACAACAACAACTACTACTACTACTAATACAAATTTTTGCATGATTGTATATTGATATAATTAGAGGCAATATTCTGTTCATTTTACTTTATATTAAATGATTAAATTATCTAATTATGTATAATTATAGAATCTATAAAGAATTGACTAATTACATTGTTCTTTTTTTACTTTTTTTAAAAAAAAACAGGCAGGTAAAAAGGTAAGTTAATCATCCCTGATCTATCATCATTCCTCTTTTGAAATGTTATATAATCTTTCTATATATATATATATATATATATATATATATATATATATTTCTACTCTTTTCTTTACCTCTTTCATTTTCATAGTAACTATTTACTCTGTTCTTTGATATATTAACGATATAATTACATTATTATTTAGGATGGTGAAAAATCTAGAGCAAAATTGGCTGCACCTAGAATGTTTTTAACCTGTCCAGGTAGAGAGTTATTTATATTTTGTGTTTATAGAGAAAATATTTATTGTTTTCTGTGAAAATTTTAAATAGAACCGACAAAGTATCAACTTAGGGCCTATATTTATCAAGCCAGAAACTTGTTAGCCGCAGACGCCAATGGATTATCGGGTATAAAAAGAAAAAAAAAGAGATATAGAGAGATATATTTATCCTACTATATTCCTTTCTTCTTTATTATTTTCTTTTAGATCCATTTGGAAGAGTAGCTTTTCTTAACCAATCGGCAGTCACTGAAAGACTTGAGAATACTCTTTGCCCAACTTGGGACCAGACGCTTATTTTTGAGAAAGTTTCTATTCACGGTCGACCCAATCAAATTTTGGAGAAGCCTCCTACAATTATAATTGAATTTTTTGATCATGATCAAATAGTACGCTATTCTTCATTCTCCTCAAACTCTTTCTTTCTTTTCATTTAATAAATCGTCTTTAAAAGGGGTCACCGGAGTATTTAGGCAGAACGGTTGCCTATCCTTTGGTTAAGTTAGATGTTAAATCGGATACAAGAATACCTAGTTTGCAATGGTATAAGATAAAGAAGGGATTTCAAGATGGAGGTGAAGTTCTTGCCGCTTTTGAACTATTAAGGGTGAGTACCTGAATAAATTACCCTTTAACTGAAATGAAATCCGCTTCGCTTTAAATAGATTGATGGTCAAGAGCTTCCTCATTTTCCTCCGAAAAGAAAAAAGCTTTATACAGTTCCGCCAGAAGTTCGACCTCGTCTAAGAAGAACTGGTGTTGAGGTACTGTGCTGGGGAGTTAGGAATATGAAGAAATACCATCTCCTAAGCGTTACCTCTCCCTCTATTGAATTTGAAATTGGTGGCCATCTCTTGAAATCAAAGGTTATAAAAGATACAAAGAAAAATCCCAACTTTGACGAACCTCTGCTCTTTTTTGATATTGTAAATAAAGTCTTTTCACTTAAATAGCTTATCATTTCTAATCCTTTGGCATCTTCAGATGTTACCTGAAGAGGAATTGTATACTCCTCCAATGAATATTAATGTCAGAGATAATAGACAGTTTGGTAGAAAGCCTTTGGTAGGAATTCATGTATTACGCTCCTTCGAACGTTTTCGTTATAAACCTCCACCGAAATTAGAGGAAGTTACATCCGAAACTGAAAGTAAGTTGACAAACCTTTTATGTTTGTATTTTCTCAAACATTTTAATTTTCCTTTCCCGCCAAAATGTACCTAACTATCTATTTAATTATAAATAACAAAAACTTGTACAAATTCTATTTTACAAGTCCGAGAAGTCGGCAATGAAACAATTGGAAATTTAGGTATTCAATCTAAACTAAAGCCCTTATTCCACTTTTGTTTTTCAATTTCCCAGAGTTCAAGCATTTATCCGATTTTACATACCTTAGAACTGCTGGTATTTCCTTTGCATAACCTTTAACCTCATTAGATTAACTAATTTTACCTTTTTTTTCAATTTTTAACGTTTATAGATGCTATTAAATTGCATAAACTGGGTTATAATTTTGTTTAAGTGTTGAAAAATTTATACGACTATTCTATTTCTATTTTCTTTATATATATGTACATATGAATATATGAATATTAATTTGAATAATGTGTTTATTTAATTAAAAAATAGGTGTTTTGAACGCTGCTGTTGAAATTCTTGAAGATAAGCCGCCAGAGAAAAAATCGGTAAGGATAATCCATTTTTTTTTTTAAATAATTTGAATATATGAATATTTATTAATTTTATCTTTAATGTTTCTTTTCCCCTTTTTAAAACTTCAATTAATAGAAAAAATATAAGGTAAATATTAAATAAATAAGCTTCATATGTTTTAGAAATTGACCTAATTAAGCATATATTAACAAAGTGATTAATCATATGTGAATAGTTTCTTCCGTCTTCACTTACGAAGAAGATATCTTCTAGTATGAGATTAAAAATTAAAAAGATGAAAAAAGATGATGATCGAGAAGGGGTAGATGAACTCTGTCTTACTGTCTTATCAAATTTTTATTTATCAATCTTATCTTGTTTTTCTCTCTTCTCTAATAATTGTTCATTAGCTTGCTATTTTTCCTTCTCAATCTCTATCACTTTCTGCGTCTAATATTATATAATAATTAATATATTATCTATTTTTCTCTCTTGGAATACATATTTATAGAAGATAAGGATAAGATTTTTCCAAAATGTTGATCTATTTCGATGTGATGCTTCTTTCCTTTCTTTGTTGAGAGGTTCTATTCATTTTTGAAGTTGATTGTTGATTTTTAAATTATTTATTACTTTATATTAATTAAGAATATTTTATTTAGAATGAAGCTTTATGGGAAGAAGATATCGATTGGTGGTCGAAATATTATGCTTCTCTCGGAGAGCATAAGAAATGCAATCATTATTTGGAAATGGAATTTGACACTTTGCAAGTTTTCCCAAAGGCTTTGGAAAAAGTTGAATCAATAGAAGAATTCTCAGATTTTTGTAAAACATTTGAGCTGTCTAGAGGAAAAAATGTTGATGATGAACAAACTGCTGTTGGGGAATTTAAGGGGACATTCGTTGTCTATCCACTTCCGGATGATCCATCCGAACCTCTACCTGATAAAGTTCTTTCGCATCTTCCATCGTCAGCTCCCGAAGAATGTATTGTTAGGGTATATATTATAAAGGCGTACGAATTACAACCCAGCGACCCTAATGGCCTGGTAATTATGATATAACTATCAAATAAAGTTACCAATTTTTAATGAAAACTTTACAAACAAACAAAATCTAGGCTGATCCATACATCACAGTTAAAATAGGCAAGAAGAAGGTAAATAACCGAAAAGAATATTTACCAAATACCCTTGAACCAGTTTTTGGAAAGATGTTTGAATTAAAAGCCAATATTCCTATGGAAAAGGATCTTATTATTAGAGTGAAGGATTACGATTTGCTTAGTACAGATGACGTAATAGGAGAAACTGTTATCGATTTGGAAAATCGTTATCTTAGCCGGTATAGAGCTACAGTTGGATTACCAAAGACTTATTGCACGTATGTAATTTTAATCCTATTTGAAAAAAACTACCGTGAATACTAATTAATACAATTTCAATAAATTATAGTTCCGGTCCAACTCAATGGCGTGATTCGCAAACTCCAAAGGAGATTCTTAAGAACTTTTGCGTAAAGAACTGTCTTCCAGATCCAATATATACGAGCGTTAATGATGTTGTAACTGTAAAAATTGGTCCTAATTGCAGTAGTCTAACAGATTTCGGTAAGAGAAATATTTATGTTTATGTTAACTGACTGTTTTCTTTGTTTAAATTCTAAATTTTTGCAGAGAAAGTTCCTCCAAAACATTCCCATTTAGGACCAGATGAGGAAAGATTGGCTCTCTACGTTCTAAATACTTTACCAGCATCACTGAACAATCCTCTTATTGTAGAACATGTTGAAACAAGACCATTGTTTAATCCTTTGCAACCAGATATTGAACAAGGCAAATTGGAATTATTTGTGGATATATTTCCCGTTAGTCTGGGACCACCAGGACCACAGGTGGACATCACACCAAGAAAACCGAAAAAGTAAGTTTTAATAGCCTTTACCTTTCACTTTATAATGATCACAACTTAAAAGATTTGAACTACGTGTCGTCATTTGGAATACAACTGATGTAATTTTGGAAGAAACATCAATAACAGGAGAAAAAATGAGCGATATTTACGTTAAAGGATGGCTACAGGGAGTTGACCAAGTTCAGAGTACAGACGTTCATTATAGATCTTTAGATGGCGATGGAAATTTTAATTGGAGAATGGTATTTCCATTCAACTACATCCCCGCTGAGGAATGCTTGCACGTGAAAAGGAAAGAGCATTTTTGGAGTTTAGATGAGACAGAACTACTCTTACCTCCCGTTCTCGTTCTACAAATTTGGGATAATGATAAGTTTAGTGCGGACGATTTCTTGGGAACGGTTGAATTAAACTTAAATAAAATGCCATCGCCAGCAAAATCTTCGAGAAAGTGTAATTTAAACCAAATACCGGATCCTAATAAGTTACTATTCCAATCTTAAATTACCTCTACTTTCTTAATTAAACCTGTGTTTTCTCTTTTTTTGTATTTTTAGTCCTGATTCCCATTCAATAAAGATGATATCCATCTTTGAACAAAAACGAATTTCGGGCTTTTGGCCATGTTTTAATGATGAGACTGGAATAAGAGAATTAACTGGTAAAGTTGAAATTGAAATGGAATTGATACCATCGCAAGAAGCTGCAGAAAAACCTGTAGGTCTTGGCCAAGAAGAACCAAATCAATATCCAAAATTAGATCCTCCTAAACGACCAGCTACGTCATTTTTGTGGTTTACATCACCGTGGAAAACTCTTAAACTCATTATATGGAAAAACTACAAATGGTACTTTATTTCTGGATTCGCAATACTACTTTTGATCATATTTTTTGTTCTATTTATATATACTATTCCGGTAAGTAAAGAAACATTTCATCCCTAATAATATTCTTAACCTTTCTATACGATATGTTAATTTGCATAATAATGAGTAATACTGTTCAAGTTATTTGAAAAATTGAACTTTAACGCCATCTAACGTGATTTCTCTCAACATTATTTTAGGGCGCTACTGCACGAAAGATGTTTGGAAGTTAAATTAACCTTTTAATATGTATATACTTAAGGAAAGTAAAGTTTGCCATCCCTTCCCCAACCTAAACCCGATAATTTGTTCACGCAACTTTCCTTTTCATTTCATTTTATGCTCTGCTAATTAATTTCTTTCCCTAAGTTGCGCCTGTAAAATTTTCTTTTTATTTTTATTAAAAACTGGATATAAAAACATCATGAATATTTAATATTATTAAATGTATATTAATTAGATTATATAATTTTTATAGGGAGCTTCTGTGAATGCTATGTTTGGTTAAAAGAAATACAGTATATAGGGCTATGAAGAATAATTAATTTAAATAATTAATTACAACAATTCTAGTACGTATTTAAAGACTTATCACAACTGGGGAAAAAGTTTGTTTTTGACCTTCCGGAAGATGTATGGACGAAAATCTAATATATGCATATTCATTATTTTAATTTATTCATATCGTTTATAAAAACTGATTATATTTTATTTGTTTTGTTTCAAAACAAGGAAATGAAGGGCTATACTCACTGCAAGATTTTTATGATAATATGATATTGTCTTTTTTCTTCTCTTCTTTCATCATTAAGAGATTATAATGATGCTTAGTTATAGTATAGTTTAATATAAACTGTATTTTGTCTGCTAGAGAAAGAGAGAGAGAGAGAATAAATTGAAGAATTATAGAATTATAGATATGCCTTTAAGCACGCACGAACATACAGATAGACTATATATATATATTACAATTGAACATGATCCATATTTTTAATCATGTTAATCAATTAATTGATTTTTTTGACCTAATTACGAGATCCTGCTAAACGTTTATATATATATATATATATATATATATATATATATATTATTTTCCCTCTACACAGCGCGTCATATTCGTACTAGAAAGATAGAATAGTAAATATACACAAAATACATTTTGATTAAGATAAATATTGTATTTCTATTGAATTATTAATCAAAATAAAGTAATTTTTAGTTGGTGATTTAGTGTATTTTGGTGAAAAATAAAAATGGAAGCGAAAAAAAAAAGGAAAAGAGAATCTACTTCACAAAAAAAAAAACAAAAGAATCATAATCTAAGTTGGCGAAAGGAATCTATCTTCTCTTATTCTTCTTCTTATTCTTCTTCTTCTTCTTCTGTCTTCAAAGACTAATAATATTAATATTAAGATTTGTTTAAAGGGTGGGTTTTTTTTTGTTTTTTTTTGTTTTGATAAGATATTTTAAAATTCTCTGATTGTCTTAGAAGATAGAGCTAAAATTGCTGCTCTTGCGTATGCTGCAGCTGCTAATGATGCGTATGGCTGCCAAACTTTATCGGTTGTTCCATCGGCATAATCTGAAATACCTCTTATAACCGCCCAACTATTGGCTTGCGAACCCTCTAGAGAGTCTAGAACTGCTTCCAAGTTCTGATCGAACGCTTTAATGCCGTATCTCATACCAAAGTCCATGCGTAGCTGGAAATTATAGGGAATATATTTTCCAGACGCTATCGATCCGTATTTAACTGAATTTTGGTTCCACATAGACTGATCATGTGGATCCGGATGCTCAACTTGAACAAGAGCATCGTCATCAATAGCAAACAATTTATCGCTCTTGAGTTCAGGTTTATGGAAGCTACTTTCCTCCGCTTGCAAAAGCTCAAGACCACGTGAAATGGATTCTTTCCAATCTTTGTTTTGATCAGAATGTCGAATACGGGATAGGCACGCCGATAGGGATCCGTGCTGGGGTCTCCACGCTATAGTATTATAAGTGAAACCGGAAGGATCACTATCAATTTTTACGCAGTGCAAATAAGCATCCTTGGCTCTATCGTTTACTGACACGACAACGTCTCCACGTCTAACGTGTTGCATCCACGAGCAGAAAGACGGTACACCTCCGCCAACTCCCACAACAAGTACATGTTCTAATCTATTAAAAGTTAAGAGAAGACGGGCTGTTGCATTACCGTCCGAAATCATACAACGTTCTCCAGCCAGAGTTGCGCTTCTGGATAGTTTCGTAGCAACAACGATCAACTCTCCTATTTTACCGATTGTAAAGACGCTTGATTCATTGTCTCCATTTACAATAAAAGACATCTTATGATCCATCATAGCATCTACGGCCACTTTTTCGCAATAATAAGTTGTTATGATGGCTACAGTAGGGCTTTCAGTTATATCAAAGGCAGGTAAATGGCTAACGAATCTTATTTCTGTTAAACAAAAAACAAATATATATATATTTATATATAGTGTATATTTTGCACTTCCCCTTCCCACCCCCTTCCCCGCATTTGGATTTGTCCTATACGAACCATGACTACTTCTAGCATCTAAGCCCGAGGTAGTAGGTATACGAATCCAATTTCCAGAATTCTCTAATACTTCATTTATAAGCCTTTTCTTTTGCAGTTCTTTTAGAAAAACAATAGCTTGCATGACGTCACTTTGCTTGACTTTGCAAGTTCTATTTAAAGCATATAGGTATGGATTATCGAATTTTTCAGGGAGTATTTAAACAACGTATTGATTAGCTTACATAAGTAGCTCGTCCGTAGTTAAAGTGTCTGGGAAAGCATCTTCTAGAATTTGTAACATTCGTTGTTTCTTAGCAAACCATAGAAGAAGGAGGCGCATCTTACTAAGAACTGCTGCTCGTCTTTGACTATCATCCTTTGGTCTAGTGTCAATCATTTCCACAAATTCCCAAGTACCTTCTGAATTTTTATCGGTGGATACAGATAAGCAATTGATCGAATGTCTGTATTTATCAGCAATCGCCCAAGAAATCAATTCAGAAGATTCAGTCATTTCTCTTCCTTCTCCAACCACTAGCCTATTACCTCCCCAAGATATCCAGAAATCTTTAAAATTATACTGATCTAGTATGTTATAGGTCACACTTTCCGTCATTATGGGACCTTGTCCGCCATATCTTATTTCGCATCTAGTGTTATTCTCAGTGCCAATGACCACTTCATAAGTCTTACGTAAAGTATCTCCGTAGACAGATGAAAGGGCAACGTAAGCACCAGCCTTCGCTTTTACACGAAATCCAATAGATGTTTTACCGGAAACTGCAACTTCCGTTAGGTACTGGTAATCATAGACGGCAGGCGTCAAAACGGTAATAAAGTTCTCTATAACAAGTTGCGGTAATTAAAACATCTTAAGTTCTCTAAGTATCCAATTATGTACTTACCAATAGTAGACAAGATAGGACTCGGCTTCGGCTCCTCGGTGGTTATTAATTGGGCTGTTTCAACTATAGGGCACTCTTGGACATGCATAATTGCAGTTGAAACGAATTGCTCTTCTTTCGGTGGCTTAGGTGGGGGCAATTTAACCTCCTCTGTTTTTGGAGTTGGTGGTGGCTTGTTCACTACAGCCCTATATGGTCGGAAGTGTAATTCAACACTATCGATAAAATCTCTTAAATGGGTTAATAAAAGGGTTCTCCGAATGAAATAGGCGTATTCTTTAGGAAAAGTTTCAGGGGTTGTTAACTTATTAAAGAATTCTCTGCCCTTTTCCTTTCTCATTTCGAAAGGTAGAAGATCACTAAACCAAAGTCGAACCTCTCTAGACTCTTTATGCTCATTAGAATCCTTTTTCTGCTTTGGAGAAAGGTAAGCTACAAACTTGAATCGTTGATGATACTTCTCAACGTATTTGAGTGTTTCTAAAGGAGATAAGATAAAAATAAAGAAAGTCAAATGACTAAGCTTCTTTTCTATAGAAAATTTCAAATCAATTTACCGCTAGAAGTAGGTTTATTAATATAAATCCCAGTATATGGTCCGCTAGCCGCATGGGCGACTTTTGAATAGTCGATCATATCGGCTGGAATACGGTCGATTCTGACAACGGTTTCATGATCAACTTTACAAGTGGTAACAACCAACTCTGAAGGAGGAGAATGATTTTTAGTTCGTACAGTAACGTTTAATTGTCCTGTATCGAAGTTGTCCATGCCGTTCACCCTTCAAGTCAATCCGAAGAAAAAGTGACTATTAAAATAAAAGATAAATTCCACCCCCGTTCGAGAGTCTGTTATTCCCCTACATTCCCTCTTGTACTTTACCTTTTCCTCATCGTGATCGTGCATAATGAATTTACAAAGAGATTTGCACCCGTACACAAGCAGAGCTTTATAACAGTATCGTGACGAAATTATTAAAATATTGTTCTCTATATACAAACATATAGGGCAACCTGTCCTAACCCTTAACCCTATCACCAGCCTTCTATTTTGTTTGATAAATCTTACTCTTGTTTTCCCGGCCCATATCGTTGCAATCAACGTCTGCAAGATTTCCTCCACAGCACCAGGGATGTCGACCGCAAACAGGTAACAGATGCTTTTGCGGCATTTGGCTTTTTATGTGGTTACGTTTTAAAACTAGATGTAAAGAATATTCCACGTAGGTATATATTCTTTGCTAAAAGAGAGGAAAATATGGATATCAGCTATCTTAATGAATCGCTTATCTTCCGTTGATGATAGATTATGCAAGAGAAAATGTATCAATTAAGATAAGTTTTTAATGCAAATACTTAAACTTTAATCCGATTATGCCTATCAAAATTGAATAATTAAAAGCATTTAAAAGTTATTTAACTTACCGAGTGTAGAGAGAATTAGACGAACTGATCGACTAAAAGCACAAGGAGAAGATATAAAGAGAAGTTAGGGAAGATAACTTACAGAATTTTATGTTGAAAATTTCCTCTTTATTTAATTTTTTTTATTATAATTTATTGGCAATTGAACACAAAATGAAGCAATTTACAGTCAACCCGGTTAGACCGATTCAAACACTTGTGCTAAAACGGCACCTAGTTTTTATAACAATTCCATTAAACTAGGCCTTTTTATTATTAGCTAGCTGAAAAAAAAAACGTTCTATAACACGTGTTACGGTTAAAAATTAACTGAATTCATATTATTCATGAGATGAAAAGTGAAACAGGTCGAGTTTTTTTTCTTTATTAGTTGTTTAATATTGTCTAATTTTTCATTTTTCCATTTCTAATGATTTAACATTTCCTTTTCAAGAACAAAATAGTCTAACAAATATTTTTTTCTTCTCTTTTTTTCGGCAGTTAAGAGCACCAGGCTTAGTCCAGAAAAAACATATAAAAGCTTTTTTTAGTATATAAATATAAACATATATATATATATATATACAATATATATATTTATACATATATATATATTCATTCAATATTTCTTTCTTTTCTAGCAAATAATATCAAAAACAAATTCGATTTAGTACCTAGGTTGAAATGAATTATCACACAAAAAGATATATAAAAAACGCAAAGTTTCTTGATTAGACTCATCGTTCCTTTGAAGAAAACACAATACTTATTTTTCGATATATTAATTTTTTTTCTCTTTTTTTGTGGGGGGAGGGAGAGGGGGAAGGTTAATGGGAGAGGAAAGGGTTTAAGTCTTTCATAATTTGTCTATTAATTTTTCGTTTTTTATCATTTAGTTTATTCCTGGTGATCGTGAACTCCATTTGGCGTTTCATTGTTTAAAGTTGTTTTACCATTCTGCATTCTCTCTATTTCGAATCTCTGTACGTAAAAAAACAAAAATAAAAAAAAAATAAACGATGTTTCGTGATGTGAAAAGTTTTAAGAGATAGTGGTAATAAAACCTACCTTGTCACGAGATCTTTTAGCGATAATCGCACAAAAGTAGACGCAAATTATACTACTCAGCAACTATACGAAAAATTAAAGATAAGCTTGGAATATAATATTTGGGTGTATAATTAAAATACTTACTAAAAATGTTAACCAATAAATTAAATAACTAATTTCTGTTTGTTTAAATATTTCTAAACCAAACTTTAAGCAAATTATGGCTTCGCAAAGAGTTATGGCAATGAAAACCCAACATTGTGTTCCCAATCTTTTACACTGAGTATCCGTTGTATAGGTATAATACTGTCTTAATGATGGCCCTCCTACGAGTGCAATTAATAGAACCCGACCAACGGTCAATGGATGATCGGTTCCAATAACAAATATATGTTTAAGGAAGAAACTATTTAATTCTACAAATTGCCATACAACGACCAATATGGCAACTGATATAAATCGCATGTAAGTACAATTCGGATCCAACCATCTTACATGTGTCCAACTTGCTGGTGTAAATTGCATAACAGCTCTTCTAATTTTACCCGTTGTCGAATGGATATCTTTTATGCTTTCCCAATGATAATTTCTCATTTCTAGAGTTCTACATATGACCATTCCTAGCCAAATTCCTAGACCATTACACACTATTACATCCAAAATAAATGCATCCCACCAACATTCATTAAAATTTGGTAGTAAATGAGCAAATGCCATTTCTGTAACTTCCCAGGTAACTGATATTGTCCAGCAAATTCCATAATGTCTAATGAGAAGAGCTTTCAATGCCCATCCCCAGAAATGGGCAACAGCAAAAACATCACAATGGGACCATAGTCTCGCCAAAGTAATTTGCGAGCAATTGATAGCATACTCCTTCTCATCTAACGTATAACTTTTTAAATCAGGAGCAACCCAGTGTATCATTAACTTAACGTCATTCAAATTTTGAAAAAGGACGAAAACTAACAATAAAAAGTATATAACACTTATACCTGATTGACGTAGAAAAAGAAACAATTAGTTTAAAACTTTAACTATTAATTCTTTTTAATAATTACCAAATACTATTCGCCATATCGCAGGATGGGGCCTTGTAAATGGACCTGCGAATAAAACAATATTTAATTAGCAATAATAATAAAAAGAATAGCTATTCTTTTACTTCATTAATTATTTAACTTTGTACGAAGTTAGTGTAAGTTTGACATGATCGTGTTTTCTATACAAAACTTACCATTTGGAAATGCCAAAACGCTTATTATTAGAAAAAAAAAGAATACACAGCACAATCCATTCCAAATATTACTTTGTGAGCTGGCATCTTCCCTATTAGAGAAAAAAACATAATAAGAAAAACAAATATTTCTTAAGAAAATGAAAAATAAATAATGGCTCAAATACAAGCACACGTACTTAAATACATCGAAAAACATCGTGTATACTAAATATGACAAGTGGGTAACCTGAACGAGCAGTTAAAACTTTCGGTAATAACAGCGAAACCTCATCGAACTAAATGACGTTTGGGAATTTAACGCCGTTGTGGCGTTTCTATTCGAGGAACAATACTCCGTTATTTGTTTATATTTATCGATATTTTGCGAGAACTTTTTCTTGTTTTTTTTCACCGATAGGAAAAACGTAGCGTTCTATTATATTATGTTCCAATGACATAGGAATTTCATTAAAGACTTCTAATTTTGTTTTCAAAAGCATATATTTGTTTTTAGTGCTCCTATTTATGAAGAACTAACTTTATGCTAATTTGCTTACCCCGTTTCGCTGTAGGAAGAGGTATTAATTGAGTTATATGTCTCATATAAAAATCACTAGATCCGGTCAAATACAAGGATATACATAAGATAGTTTATAACATTAATCAAATAATATTTATAGTCGTGACTATACTATATTATAACATATTAATTACAAAGAGTATTGATTTTCTCTAGAGCATCTTCCAGAGAGAAACACACGTGATAGATATGATACCTAACCTTGTAAATGCTGTGTACAGTAAACCGGCAATTGATACCGTAAGAAGTGTAATTGTGTGAGGCTTGTAGAAGAATTCTAGTGATATATCGTCAACAGGGTGTTCGTTTATAGCTGAGAAATGATCAAAAATTCTCGAATTTTCCGCCTTTGTCGTCCTGTCCTCCGCCATTTTGGATATCTAAAAGTGCATATCCATATTATTCCAGAAATACGAGAGGACTTTTAGAGTAATTGACCTTCACCTCTAGTAATGGTATGTAAGGTATGGTTAAAGTCAGCTGTTCTAGTCAAAAATCTTTCGGTGAATGAACTAAATACTTGAAGAGATAACCAGGATACTTTAGCACTTGATCAAGTATAGTACACACGCTCGTATCATGGTTATATTAAAAAGTAGTCACCCTTTCTCTGATCAAACGTCGCAACTTGCATATCAATAGTTTTACATTAAACTGCCATATTGACGGAAAGTAGAAAACAAAAAAGAAAGTATAGTTCCTTCGTGTATGAATGACCTAGGAGTAACGATATCAATAAATCTAATATACGTATGTTAAGTACGAGAACGTGATAAGACGAAATAATTTACACCGATACACGATGTATCGTTAAAGAAATAATGATACTTGAGGTTATGCTATGTCGCATAAAAGTTTACTTTCATTATATGTCATTTTGTTAGAAGCTGAAATGATAAAAAAGATCTTTATTTAACGATAAGATAATAAGAAGGCGAGCGATCGAGACATGAAAGAATTTTATACTTTCGTAATAAAAGAAAAATCAAATAACTTCCAAAGTTCACATATTACTTAAAAGAAAATATCTTTTGATAATGTTTGATATTTTATCACAAAATTAAATAGAATAGAACATTTTTATTCTGCAGGAATAAGAAAAAAATAATACAATTTTAAGAACAAATAAAACAAAACAATAATAAAAGAGTTAATATTTTTATTACAAATTATACAAACTTTCCATTCTCTTCTTTTCAATTTATAGTAAATCTGGTAGATACAACAATTTAATAAACTTTTTAAGCATGAACGATAATAGAACCTCTTTTCGGTTAGCTCTATAAACATAAACAGCCATATGTTGATAGATTCTTATAATATTTTAACAACAAAACAGTAATTAGCTATTATTGAATAATTTAATCATTTAAACTTTAGAAGAATCCATATGAGAAAGAAAACGAATAGGCAAAACAATAATAAATACCAGATATATCTGTTATGACCAGAGTTTGCTAATTTTGTAACCCGGTTAATAGTTGATCTTAAAAATCCATCTGAATTATCAAAGACATTAGTCTGAAAAGAGTATTTACTTCTTATTATATATATATATTAAGTAATTCTATTATTACCAAATCATTAAGAAAAGTATTTTGTCTTTTAATTTCATCTCCCATCATTATAGACACCTATGGAAAAAGTTTTCTATTACGTTTGTTACATTTTATTGAAGAATCTTATCAAAAACACATTTTTACATACCTGCTTGAGATTTTTAACCTTTTCATGGAGACTGTTAGTCAATTCTTCGTTTTTCTGTTCAATGATATCAGTACCTGTTTGATGAAAAAATATAATCGAAATTAAAAAACCGCACGAAAATATTAACTGATTTGAGGGGGAAATATTACTAGGAAATCAATATAGTATATATTTTGAGATAACAACCTCCTAAATTTTTCCTTTGTGTTGTACCAAAAGCCATCGTTAATATTAATCAAAGATTGTAGTTTAGGCTATTATTCATAAAATGTCAACGTTGCAATAGTTCCGCAATAAATAAATAAAGCAAATGATCGGGTTAAGTGTATGTAGAATGATTCAACTTTCCAGAAATTGGAATTACTTTAGATATTAATGGTTATTATAAAATTAAATATTAAATTTAATCAGCGTTAGAATCGAAATAATGATTTTTTCATTCGATTTTTATGAAAACTTTTATTTTTCATTGAAAAAGTTTTTAAATAATAAACAATAATTCAATAAACTAGTATAAAATAAAGATTACGAAACTACGTTAATAAATAAATTTTATACTTTAAATTAAGTTATAAAATTTAATAAAAAACATTGAAAATTATGCGTAATTCATTCATCCAATCTCTTAATGGATAAAAGTTTCTTATTCTCTTTTAAATAGTATTGTTTAGCACTAGCAAGTATAAAAGAGAATATAATTCAAAAGTAAAATAGACATAGACCTAGTTTCTATTAGTTTTTAAATTTTTGAATATTAAGATATTATTACATTATAAAAATGAAAAAAGGATCTATTCTGATAATTTATACAATCTTATTTCTTAAATATAGATGCTATGCAAAACTTGAAAATACTGCTCAGATCTGTTTAATATACTCTCCAAAATTGATTATTTGCAAAGCATATTCAATCAAGTATAAACTCTGATTAAAAAAACTAAAAAAGTTATTCAATTAACGAAATATTGTAAATTTTTTTTAGCAGATTCTCTGATTCATTATTAATTAAATGTAAGAATTTAAAGAATTCTAGTGATTATAAAAGCAATTCCAATTGTTTCAATTCAAAGAACTTTGAAATAGATTGTAGTAATGTATTGATAAATACAGAGGAAAGTTTAATGACGGTTGTATTTTCAACAACTAACGATATGTCTAACGGTATTTTAAAACCGAAAATAGACTTTGTAAACTGTTTTAAAATGAATATTGAAGTTTTAAGTATCAGAATTCAGCCGTATATTGTGAAATTCTCTTTGGAATTTAATTATTTGAATATAAAACCACTAATTTGTATAAAGAATAATATAACTGTTAATAATATATTAATTGAATATAAAGCGGATAGTTCTCTTTGTTTAAAACCATTAGAACTATTTTCCATCTTTTCTAACTGTAATTTCAACGGTATATGGAAAGTTGAAGATAATTTGAAAATCTTCCCTAAGGAAAATGTCTATCTTCCATACGCAATATTCAATACGGGATTCTTTAGAAAATTTACATTTCATTCACTTTCAAAAGTTCTTATTGAAGGATTTATTGATTTTAATTTTATGAACAATGCTTCTATTTCCAATTGGATGATAAAACTAAGAAAACTGTGACGAAAAATAGATTTTTACCTTAATTTTCATTATTTAAAACACTTTATAATAGTGTTTATTTAAATTTATGCAAATCGTCATAGTGATCTTGAAATTAATTCGATAGTCTTTCATATTATGGAAAATTGTCAATTTATCAAAGACTTACAAATGTATTGCAGAGGAAATTTCTCAAATGTTGTATTTATATGGGATAACAATCAAACGTATTGTCCTTCTATGAATAATTTAAAATTAAGTTCCTATCACGGAGAGATTTCCAGTAGAAACAGAAACATATGCCAACAGATTAGCGGATACAGCCGAACTATTCATGTAGAGAGATACATTAATGATAGAAAGCGTTTTATCAAATGGAAATTAGAATCAAATTGTCCAGGTCCTACAAAAATCCCACTATTACTACCTTCTTTAACGAATTATAGTAATCTTATAGCTGTAATATTCATCGTTTCAATAGTTTTAATGCTTTTTCTAAATATATTTAGTTCTATATTAGACTATTTATGTTGGAAAGGAACAGATACAGAATTAACAGAGCTAGAACAGAAATCCTCTTATCAGATGACTATAGATTTAACTGCCAATGACTTTTCAAATTAATAAGTTAATGACTATGTGAAGAATACTTTAAATTCATAAATTACTACTTCAAACATATTAAGATTTTATACTAAATTCATTCTCAATACTTTTCTTATACTTTTAATAAAAAGCAACTATTTTTCAAGTTTCCATCTTTACATCACTGTTCAACAATCCTCAGTTGTTAATCTAGACGAATCGCCTTCTTTTATAACGATGTTGATTAATGAGTTTATAAATTTTACGGAAAAGAACAGTGACAGTTTCTCTTGATTAAAGAAATATGCCGATTAGATTTGCAATTCCGCACGCAAATATAGCTTTTCTTGTGTAGTTTTTAAGAGTTTGTTCAACACGGTTATTGTTTGTCATTAATGGATTTATATATTTAATAACCTTTATTCTTTTATCTAGTAAAAACTCTTTCAACAATAACTAAACAATATAATCAGTCTCTCTAGTATTCGTAGCCTAGAGTAGACTTTCTCCCATTAAAATGATATTTTGGTTGAAAGGATGAACCAATATACGATAAACTACTATATGATTGATTAGAGTATTGACTTGAGGATATTTCAGATAGTTTTCTTGACCTCTTCTTATGTCTCTTTAGATAATAAATTAACCCACAAATTGATATAATGATAAAAAAAGTTGGTGAAATATAAACAAATGCTTTTATTAAATGGGTTTTTTGTTTTAGTTTCTTCTGTCTCATAAACTTTTCTGTTGTCTTGCCAATTTCTAAATATAAAATAGAGAAGAACTAAAGAGAAATAGTTTTCCTACTTTCGTTTTTAGATTTATCTTACCTCGAAAATTTGTCTTTTTATCGGTAAATTGAATTTCTTCGTGAAATTCAGGCTTATCTGTACAAGAATGAAACGACGAATCGTAGTATCCTTTTTCGCAGACAATAGTACCATTTTCTAAACATTTCATTCCATACTTTTTCTTACCGATACATTGGCAATCTCTACCAAAACTTGCAAAAGGAAAGGTTTTTGAGCAAAAAAACTAGATTAAGAAGATATAGGCTGAATTAAGGGAATAAATTCAAGAATAACATCATTTGCATACCTTAAATTTAAACGTAACAAAAATTTTACGATCTACACTTAAAATTGTCATTATTGGATTTTTCCTTAATTTTTCAATAGAATATAATCGATCAATTGAATCAGTTTGGATAAATGTTTCGTAAGGCTTTTCGAAAAGTTCCATCTCCATAAAGATATTCACGTATTTTCTACTTCCAATATGATAATTAACAAATCTATACGTTTCAACAATATATTTTCCAGCCACCTTCTTATCGGGAATAAAGAGATATTCCGCACAAACTTCATCGTATCTATTAAATAACCTTAGACAATAAACTGTTGCTTCTAACTTACATGCACCCGGTTTAGAACATTTAGAAAAGTTTGCAAATTGCGTATAAACCGCTGTCGTTGCTATCATTAATGGAGATTTTCTAGTATCTATGCACTTCTTTTCGATATATGTATAAGGTTTTCCAGTTGATTTACATAATACTGTACTATTTTTCAGACATATTAAATCGTTTCTTTCTCTACCAAAACAAGAGCAGTGATTTCCAAATCGATGACCAAGGCAAGAGACCTTGATTTTAATAAATAAATTATGTTTGTACAGTTTATATATGTATAATTATTAAATTAATCAAATTACTTTTAACGTCAAGTAGATGATATATGAACCGATTTTAAATTGTACATATGAATCGTTTCCACTTCTAACACGATCAGTCAAATTTTCAATATTCACGTTATCAATAAGTCTGTAAGAGTTGTCCTTAAAGTCTTTTTCACTTTCTGCTACACGTAAAGCCATTTTAAAATAACCACCGTTGTATGTCATATTTATCGATGATATAGAATCATAGGGAATTGTATCTTTTGTCATAGAGATTTTTGATTGTTTTGGATAAATTATATAAAATTTCCCTTCTCCTTTTCTAGCAAATAATATTTCTATAATTTAAACATAGAAATATATTTTAAAGTGTTTCTTTAAAAACTTTTACTTACTTGAAATATTACACATAAAGGTATTACCTAATAAGATAATTAATTAATTAATTAATTAATCATAACAAATTCATAAATATATATATATATATATATATATATACTGTATATATATACCATTTTGAAAACCTTGTAAACAGTGATTATCTGTTCTTATCATTTTCGTAAAATTTAATTGAAGAGTGTATTTGTCATACCAAGAATGACTAGAAAAGTATATATTATAAATGATAATCATTGAAGTAATGTAGTATTTAATCATTGTTTTGCTTCTTATTCAAATTATTCAAATTTAGATATATATATATGCAAATTTATGTATGTATATGTTCGTGTATGTTTATGTAATATCTATGCACGTATGCGTGTGTATGTAGGTATGTTTTTGTAATATTTAAATATTTAAATTATAGATGAATTATTCAGCTTTTGAATATAGAATAACCATTATCTAATCATATTACGTAAAGTATCAGGAGGTAAGATTATTTGTTTCTTACAATTATCTTATGTGAGGAATAATTGTTCCTGTTTAGATTGGATGTAATTTGGAATTTTCGTATATCTAAACTCTAACGTTTGAAGTATAATCTAATTAATAATAAGACAAGTTTTGTATTAATTGAACAAGATTTTTAATAGGTTAAGCTTCCGTTGTGCTTAGACAATGAACTACTTTCACTAGCACGATTTTTCTTACTAAGTTCTCTAACAATTCGTTCAGCAGATTTTTGAACAGTAACATTTGAGGCTTTCCTTGAGATTTTATGCAATTTTTCACAAAGTTTTTGACTCTTGAATACCTTTTTAGAATTTTCGTAAAAGGATAGAGTCCATAAGCAATCTAATGCTAATTTCTTGTCTCTTATTTTCGTAGTATCTTTAATGAATCTATATAAAGCTGGAATTAATTCTGAGAATAATTCGTCGTATTTCTCATTTTGTGCTATTTGATTAATTGAAAAGAGTATTTCGTCTGCTTCGATATAAAATGATTCTTTAATTAATTTCTCATCTTTGCTTAGCGCATTATAATGAGAACTTTTCTCTATTTCAATAAGATTTTTCAGTATGAAACAAAGACTATTAGCATTTGTTAGAAAACGATCATCTTCTCCCTCTTTTATTAAATAAGATAATGTCATTTTACTAATTGCTTCAAATAATTTTAGTTCATCGCTATTATCGTAGTTAATTCTTTTTAGCGGGTCAAGTTTCTTACTTATCTCGTCAAGTGCGCCAATATCTCTAACAGGCATTCTTAAATCATCGTGTAACATAACAATATTATGAATAGCTCTTATATAGAAAAGTATTATCAAAAATCCACAAGGTTCAACGTCATCTTCAAAAGATCCGATTGCAAGTTTATGATGAGGAAGTACTGTTTTTATAAGAAATTCAACGCATTGTTGATCATAGAGTAATCTACCAAATTCCGACGAAACGCTGGTACCTTTTTGAAGAAAAATACCAAAATCCCATAATGGATAAATGTACACTTCCTCAGATAGTAAACAAACGTTAATTAACTTAATAAATAACTCTGGTAAGTCTTCAAATATATCTTCATCTGCATAAATTACTTCCAAGGGTATTGAATTTTTCTTCCAATTGCAAATAAACTCTAAAAATATAAGATTATCAACCAATTCACCACCATAACTTCTTATCCAATCTTCTCTTCTCCAATTTAAAGCTTGTACCATTCTTCTCTTGAATGCGCATTTCGTTTCCTCGTAATATTCAATATCATATTCTTCTAATGAATTATCATCGCTGTCGCTAGGCTTATTTAAATAAATTTCATTTTCATACTCCGATCGTATTCTTCTATTTCTAACCATACAACTAGTTGCCAAACCCATAATAAATATTTCAAAATTAACTAACTTTTCTCTTTATTAAAAGTGTTCTATTAAAATAACCTATTTTTGTATGTTTTTTCTTTACAGATTTAACAATAATCACCTTTTGTCTTCTAACTTGTTACAATGCAAGTGTGGTAACGCAAGAACACAACACGCATAAAATAAATCTAGGTGCCAAAATTGAATCTACTCAACTACGAAATAGGCCTATTCTTAAAAAAGAATTAATAAAACAATACTCAATTGATACTATTCCTTCTGTATTTATATACAGTATAATGTTTATACTGAATATAAAAAGTGTCTTTAATCAGTTTTTAACTGTCTTAAACTAGTTGAAAATTTCATTGCATTTTTAAACGGGATTTTCAAATCGTCTTTTAATGATAAGAGAAAATTGTTAAGATTTTCTTGGCATAGAGTTTTATACGTTAATAATTCTGCGCCAGTAAGATCCTCGAAGCTATGATAAATGATCATCATTTTACTTATACATGTATAAATATATTAATAACTCAACAACTTACTGATAAGAGTATTCCTTTAACCCGCAATCGTTTTTAATAAAATCATGAACCTTATCTTTAGGCCACTCTAAAGGATTGTTTGATTCTATAGGTGAAGGGTTAGTGGTAATCGGAATATTGCTATGATCTTTATGTTTCAGGATATCTATTTGATGCGTAAGACCTTTAAAAGATGATTGATATTTCTCTAAATCTGAAAAATCTACCCATAACTTATCTCCAATTATTATTCCAAGCCATCCAGTCCCCTGATAGTATTTCTCCATTCTTAAAGGAATTATCACCTTATTTAGGGCACTGGCGTATACCGCTTCTAAAAATCAACAGTCTATTTCATATTTAAGCCTATTTAAGAAATAATAATGAAAAAATCATAAATGGATATATAGATACCTCTTCTACAGTTGTTACTATTTTTGTACGATCTCGAAAAGCACATAATAAACATCGTTGAACTTTCAATACCATACGCCATAGCTTCATTTGTTGAACCATCTTTATTTATAGTATTATAATTATTGATAATAAGTTAAATATGTTTACGATTACTTACTCATTTGTTCAATATCTAACCAAACCTTATATCCTAGTGATTTGAGAGAATTGCTGATTTTCATCACAACCTTTTGATATTGCCATTGATAACTAAGCATAAAATCAAATTTTTTCGATTGTTTATTTGAAAGTGTCAACTCCTTTCTGTATTTTTCATCAATTTCCCAAAGAATTGCTTTAACTATATCTTTTCTATCAGTATTTGTATGATATTCAGACAACTTCTGTAATATTCTTATATAACCTTCTTTCTTTATTACAGTTTTACATTCATCATCAAAAGAGAGAGTATATAAACAATCTAAAGCGCATCGTTCCTCAACATCATTAGAATGTTCTATCACCCTAAACAATAATGGTATATAACCTTTCATTAATTTCTTATTATCATCATTCTTCGCCAATTGATTTATCGCGTGTAGAGTTTCATCAACATAAAAACCATATTCAGACTGATGGTCAGCCTTTTCAAGACCTCTTTTAAGCATATCCCTTATAAAATTTAAAGTTTGTAAACAAGTTTGCATGAGATTAACTTCAGTTTCATCCAATAAATATGCTAAAGTTATGTAACAAAAAACTTTAAGGAACCTACTAGCTTCGGACTCTGTATAATAAACTGATTGATGTATCATATCAATCATTAAATCTAATGTACCAAGATTTTTCACTGGAATTCTTAGATCTTCATTCAGTCTGAGTATATTATGTAGAATACCAATATAACGAAATATCAAGGCGCTTTTAAAATTGAGTAAATTATTATTTTTTACTTTTTGCGGATTTAACAAGTTATCAATTGATAATAATGAATGAGATAATACTTTTTCTATCATATATTCAATACAACCATCTTGAAAAATTCTTTTACAAAATACACTAGAATAATGTGTTGCCGATAGAAAAAATATACATATATCTTCAATAGCTGAGCATATAAAATCGGTTTCCTTAATCAAAAATCTTTCGTGGAGATCTATGAATAACGTTGGTAAGTCACGAATTAAATCAGTATTAGAAAATATGTCTTCAAGAGGTAGCTGTCTAGTTTTCCATTCCGTCAGTAAAGCTACGAATAATCCATCTGTCGCGAAATTCTTTATCTGTTCCGGCCAATCTGATTTCGTGGACTGTCTAGCTAATTGAATTTTAAATTTTATGGTATTCTTTATTTCTCTAATATTCATTTCAATGTAAATATTAATACTTCTTTATAAAAAAATCTTTGTGAAATCCTTCGTGTTAGAGAGAAAAATACGAGTGAATAAACTGTGTCGTGGGCCTTAAATGACTATATACCGACATTACAAAGAGGAATTCCGATTGCTTATTTTCATTTCTAACATTGTTGATAATGTAATCCTGCTTACAAGTTCAATAATCAATTGGATGACTCACCCAATTAATTATTTATTATTCTGACCAATCAATAGACTAATAGCGTAATTTATATATATATATATACGGTATATATACTTAAGGCAGTGAGTCATCGATTGAGTATTCTATTTAATTATATGAAAATATTAAATATGACAAAAAAATTTACATTATTTATAATACAATGAACAGAATAAAGAAAAGATTACTGAAAAAGATAGTTAAATAACCTTTTATATTTCTTATCTGTTGAAAAGAACTTTTTTATTAAAAAAGAGAAAATTAGCTTCCTTATTAACAGAAGTAATTATCTTTTTTAACAATCTAATCGCTGTAGATTTGTTGATAATTTTAAACCGTCGATTAACGGTAATCCTAAATCGGTTTTTATAGAAGAGTAAAACGATCCCGGACTTAATTCACTTAGTCTTTTTAGCTCTAATAATTCGGGACCAGAGCAATTTTTGAAGCTGTTACGAGAATAATTACAGTAAATTTATATAAACTTCTAATTAGTCGGTTTGTTTAGAACGAAACTTACTGATAACCATATTTTTTCAATCCACATTCATTGATAATAAAATTTTGGACATCTTTTTCTGTCCAGTCTTTTACACTTTTTGTTTCAGAATTGGTGTTGGATTGGTATGAAGGTTCAGCTTTAATCTCTTGTATTACCGCTTTTCGTGGGACGGCATTATTATTTCGCTTTCCTTTAGATCCTAATTGATTTAAAAGTTTTTCATACGCAACGCTGACCTCTGATTTTGTAAAATCAATCCACAGCCTTGTATTTACTATAAAACCGAGCCATCCATCCGCTTTATAATCTTTCTCAACTTTAACTGGAATAATCTCTTTCTTAAGATGATAAGCATATTCGGCTTCTAATAGTATAAAATGAAGATATTTATAGAGACGCGATCATTTAATCATTTATAAGTTCAACCTTACCACTTCTACACGGCGTACTCTCCTTATATTTGTGCGAAAAGCAAACAATAACAATGCTGGAATTTTCCACAGCTTCAGCCATACAATCAATCGTTGAACCCTCTTTTATAGGAAGAAGGAAAACTATTAAAATATTAATAATCAAAAAGCTAAATTTACTACAAACTCATAGAATCGACATCAATCCAAACATTGTATTGTTTGCTTCTTAGAAAATCACGAATTTTAAAAACGATTGATTTAAATTTCCAACTATAGCTCAGCATAACATGACCTTTGATCTCACCAGCCTGTGTGTTAATTTCTTCAATAATTTTATCAGCTTTTCTCACTTCAAAAAGGACATTGTTGGCTAATCGTTGGCAAGCTATACTTTTTCCCTGTTTAGACACATTCTCTAAGTTTCTTATATTTGTCGGTCTTTTAATATAATCTCTACATTTTTCATTGAATGATAGAGTCCAAAGACAATTCAAAGCATGTTGTTGTTCAGTTTCATTTAGAGCTTCATTCATTGCCTGAAATATTAATTTAAGGTGTCCTGCCAAAATTTCTTTATTTTTATCACTCTTAGCTAATTGATTGATTGCTAGAAGAGTCTCCTCTGAATCGAAACCGAAATCCGATGAATGATGATTCTCATATTTTAAAGCGCTTGAAAGTATAGTTACAATATATGTAAGAGTTAGCCGACTCGTCTCCACAAGATCTTGCTCACCTTCCGTAATCAAGTACGCCAGGATAAAATAGCAACTAAGTTTCAAGAATTCTGCAGGTGCAATAGATTTTATTTTATTCAAGCTTTCAATGCACGTGTTCACCTTTTCCAAAAGTCCCAGACTCCTTAATGGAATTCGGGTTTCACTATTATGTCTTATTACATTATGAAGTATTCCATAATATCCGAATAGTACTTGAAATCTATCGTTAATACTTATGCCACACTTTTCGTTAAAGTCACTTTCAAAGAGAGTTTCAATGGCTAATCTCCAATTTGAAATGATTCTGTTCATGATAAGATCAACGCATCCTTCATTAAAAATCATCTTGGAAAATTTTGAAGAAAAGTGTGAAGCGTTATGCATAAATCCTGTGAGATCTTTAACAATAGGAAATGAAAAGTTGTCATCATCTAAGAAGAACATTTCGAGCACAGTATTAAATAATTTAGGTATATCGCTCACTATTTTTATATCATTAAATACATTTCGTTGAGCCTTTACGTTTTGTTCCCATAGAATCCTAAAATCTCCAAAAACGGTTTTACTTTGACTGGCATATTCCAACCAAGCTTTTCTATCAAAAGGTTGAACTAGTTTGAGCCTTTCTATTATTGGAATTTTTTCAGCCTCATATTCGTCTGGTCCTGAGTCAACAGCAATATCTGTGATTGAATCTAAATCTTCTGGTTTGTTATTGTCACTAGAATCGGAGCTCGATTTCGGTTGTGTGAAATTTTTTTTACTGGGAGCTGAGCCCATAACGGTGTATTAGTATTTGTTGTCATAACATCATCAAGCGCCATCTGTATTTTTTTCAAATAAGGCTTCGCCGAGAATATTAGATTGCATAATATCCTAAATTGCCCTAATTATCCTAATTTTAGCGTCGTTAAGACATTAAGAAATAAAAGCATTATTCAAGAAACTAAATAAAATAATGGATTATCAAGAAATTGAATGCAACAAACATTCTTATCAAATAGTAAATCAGAAGTTTTAAAGATATTTGTCGACCAAGTAAGAAATACTAAATGAAGGAGAGAAGAACATTTGCACTAAGTAGATTTACCACTGTTGTAGTCTGTTTCTTAAATTATTATATAATCTACATTGTTTTCGGGAAACGATTTCCCTATTAAATTAAAAAAAATTCACAAGTTTTTGCTACCGCAGCTCTGTATTTTTTTTTAAAATGCCACAATTATTTAATAACAATATATACATATAATTTTTTTTCACATATATATCATTGACTCTGGTTGCGACAGGAAATACATCACCTGAATTCGACGATATGGCCGTTAGAAGCTACTTTTTTGGCTCTTTCTCTAATAACCACATGTCAACCGTTGCCAGCTAGAATACCTCAAAAAGCAAATCTTCAGCCTTACATAAGATTGCACCCTCCAAAGAACAGGACTTATAATCTTAGAATGATTTGTCCACTTCGAAATATACTTATCTTCGCTATTACCAAATTCCCCAATTTTTCCGAGGTGGAACATTTTACACGTTCCACGCAGAAAAATTACCTTATTACATCGAATAACGTAATCATTATACTTTAACAATCCATAGATTCATATGTAATATATTCACAAGACCTTTTGTATTCCTCTACACTCAATAGTTTGTTTTCAGCAATCTCTTTATAGATCTACCATTCTATGATTCATGTTGTTGTCGTCGTCGTTCCCATTTGGCTTTAGAAAGGCTTTGCTATTCAAGCTTTCCAACTGTGTTAGACTTTTCGTTGCTTGTTTTCTTTCTGTTTTTTTGGCATTCGCAAATTGGCAGTTCGAAGATGACACTTTCAGTGATCGAAGATTCCTTAAAGTCTAAGCAAGCAAGTGCCAATACTTCACAAACAACATCTTTAAAGCCACGATACCACTTTCATGTCTATTCGTCCATCTCCATTTCGAACTGCACTGACACGTTGCGTTATACCTCCTTATATACCCTTAGACGTGGGCAGAGTAGATAGAACTCATATAGAGTACTTGTAAGTGATTTTGAAGAGAAGTGTCAATTATGCGCTTGTCTTTTGTGTTGTTTTATAAAATAATTTAACAAATAGGTGCAAAAAAAATAGTGAAACGAATAAAAAGTCTTTTAAATTTTATAAATCGAAATAAAAGTGTTACACGAAAACATTCAAATAATAAAATTATTTTTAACTTCATATCTCTATATCTTTCTATATATTCAGTTTATTAATATATCTTTAATATCGTTCTTTATTTATGTTTTATTTAAATTACCATATTTTTAACAATTTAAAAGTTTAAACATTGTTTATATTAGTTGATTAAAAATCTTAATAAATAATTTTTAATAATATATTTATTAAACTATATGTAATAGATATTTTATCCTATAAATAAACTGTAATGGAAGATTCGACTAATATTCATGTTTATGGAGGTAGCGAGGTAATAATATCCAACAGAATCTATTAAGGATCTACTTTTTTTATGCCTTTCTTCTTATTATTTTTTAATATTAATTGATTATTTCTATTTATATTCTAATAAAAAATAAACATAGGGTGATGTTCAAAATAGAGTTGGAGGTTTGAGTAAAATCTTAGCGTTCCGTAATCAAAAATATAATGAGCTTAAGAAGAGACTACTTTCTAAAGGAGAATTATTTGTTGACCCAGAATTTCCCGCCAATAATAAATCAATGTTCTACAGTAAAATTGATACAAGAGTTGAGTGGAAGAGACCGAAAGAGTTGTGTAAAGTTCCAAGATTAGTGGTTGACGGTGCTACAACAGATGATATACACGAAGGAATGTATGGATCTGGATGGTTTGCATCCTGCTGTTGTGCCCTATTAACTAATCAAAAGATGCTTTATAAAGTATATTATATATCTTATATATTCTAAAATGAAATTGAATGAAACTATACAGGTAATACCAGACTGTAAAAAGCAAGAATGGACAAATGATAACGAATATGCAGGTATCTTTAAATTTAATTTCTGGAGATTAGGTAAATGGTATCAAGTTGTAATTGATGATTTACTTCCTACTAAAAATGGTAAGCTGCTCTATTGTAATTCAAAAAGTAGAAATGAATTTTGGGCGTCACTTTGCCAAAAAGCCTATGCAAAGTAAATTAATAAATTCATATATCCCTCCTATTTAATCTTCAATCCTTTATTACGTTCTTCTAGACTTTATGGAGACTACGAGACTATGCACTTGAGCAATCCTTGTAATACTTTGGTAGATTTTACAGGTGGTGTTGCTCAATCTATACTTTTCGAAGATTATAATTTATCTCAAGATCAATATCGCCACCAACTATTTAGAATTCTTTTGGATGCTAATAGGAACAATGCCCTTATGACAACATTAATAGAATGTCCTCAATCTGAAAAATTGAAAATATCCCCAAATGGTTTATATAAGGGTTTTGGCTATGTTATAACTTCCGTCGTAGAATCATTTGTTGATAAGAGATTACAAGATCCTCTTCACACAGATACAATTTATCTAATACGGTTAAGAAATCCTCTTGGTAATAGAGACTGGAAAGGTAGATGGTGTGAGCAATCAAGAGAAATGTCGTATTTATCTCAAAAAGATAGGGATGCAATGGGTATATTGTATAATAATGAAAGTGAATTTTGGATGGATCTAGATGATTTTTTAACAAATTTTACTCATGTTTATATTAATCATTTTGTCAATACATCATTTTTAACAACAATCAAATCATATAAGGAAACTACATTCCATAGTAGCTGGACACACGGAGCAAAGGGAACCAAATGGGATAGAAGCGGTGGTAATGAAAAGCATAGTTCATTTCTTGACAATCCTCAATTTCTATTTGAAATTGCGGCTGTTCACGAAGGAGCAACATTCTCCTTAGAGGCTACCGATATAAGACCTGATATGAGTGTTGGAGCTTCAATCAGAGCTATTGGATTTCATATAATGAGGGTAGCTGATAACCAGTAAAAAAATGAATCGAAAAGTATTATTAACCTATAATAACCTTTACACAAATCTCTTTTCAGAAAATATAGAATACACGAGAAAGGTGAGACAATAGTTGTTACCAAATATAGAAGAGTTCGAAGCGTTTATCTTAAAAGCTCATTACTAAGAGGTAGATATATCTTAGTACCAAGCACTGTTGAACCTAATATTGTTGGCAAGTTCCTTTTAAGGATTTACACAGCATCTGGAATGACACCAAGGTAATCAAAATACAAACATAAGATATTCTCTTAAGCAATCATCATATTAAAACTAGTGAATTTATTATTTTAACAACAAAAGAGAATTAAAAATTCCAGTTCCTGAACAATTAAATTGCTGTACAGCTCCATATAATTTGGCGACAAGAGTTATCATTAAAGAGGTTGATGGTCTAGAGATACCTGATACGAGTAATGCAAGAGCGGATAATTTTATAACATTTATTGTTGTTAAGAGCGAAAAGGATAGAGTACAAGGAGTACCGACAAAAGCTAAAGAATTAATGAGAAATTCTGGTAAATTCAATTGTAAATACGATATTCGTTGTCTCTTCTATCGTAGAAAAGTTACAGAACCAATAGTTATTCAGGTAAGAGAAAAGTATCTTTTAACAAAGTTAAAGTGATACTATTTCCAAAAATAAAAGATTCTAGAACATGGAACTTTTCGAAGTACAGTCATTGGAGAGGGAAGAATTGATGGACGTGATATAAATAGCGAAGATATGAAAAAGAAAAAATTAGATTTAATAAGTGGTGAGAAACAAGGTTTTCAACCTATACCGGGTCATCTTATTGTGGAATTTTGTTGTAATGACGATATACAGGGATATTAAATCTGCAAATTGAAACTGATAGATTTTAATTATTGCTTTAATTTGAATAGGATTAAATAATACAAAAATAACATATTAAAATAGTAAAATACTCTTAATATTCTATCAATGTTTAATCTTTAATTTCTGTTTTTAAACCTTCATATCCAAGTTGTCCTAATAAACTTTCAATTGAAGATTTATGATCATTATCATCCGAAAAATCAATAGTTGATTTTAAGTCTAATACTCTAGCTAACCATCCACTTCCAGAGTAATTTTTCTCCAATTTCAAAGGAATCATATCCTTGTGTAGTCGGAATGCATAATCGGCTTCTGTTTTTTTTTTTTAACATTCCTGTAATGATTGACTTTTTCTATCTATTTAAAGCATCTTACCACTTCGACAGGTATTACTCTGACTATACTCTCTTGAGAAGCATACAAGAAGGACACGTGCATTTGTAATTGCTTCAGAGATTGAATCGAGCGGATGATCTCCTTAATTGATACATATAATAAATAAACTATTATACTTTACGAAAACGACTCACTTATCTCATCAACATCAATCCATACAGAGTATCCTTTGGATTTCAAATAGTTACTTATCTTTAAAACAATTTCTTGGTTATTTAAATGATAGCTTAACATTATATGACCGTTAATTGGTTTATTAGGAATAGTATTAATCTGTTGTACATTGTTTCGTCGGTTAATCTCGTAAAGAACAGTTTTCGCAAGTTGTTTGATGTTGTCACTTAAACCCTTCTCGCAAATTGTCTTTAATAATCGAATATTCCTTTTTAGCTGAATAAGCTCTTCGCATTCTTCGTGAAATGATAAAGTGTAAATACATTTTAATGAGAGCCTCTGCTCTCTTTCAGTTAAAGCTTCCTTAATACATCTAAACAATAGAGGGATATATTCAATCATTAATTGTTTCTTTTCATCGTCAATGGCCAATTGAACGATTGTATGAAGAGTTTCTTCAGCGTAGAAACCGTAACTTGACTGGTGGCATTCATGATCAAGTGCACTTTCAAGTGCGGCAGCCATAAATGTTAACATTTCGTGACTCGCTTTAAGTTTTTCCCTTTCTACATCGTCAACCAGATAAGTCAAAAGCATTAAGCAAGTAGCTTTAATGATAAGAGGACTTCCAATTTCTTTATACTTGCTAAGTTGTTCAATTTTGTTGTTTATTTCATCGATTGTACCAAAGTTCCTTATAGATTTTCGTAAGTCTTTATTTAATCTTAAGATATTATATAACGTTCCTAGATAACATCTAACTAATTTTATCACCTGTTTAGATGATAGAGTAGAGGATGAGTTTACTTCCGTGTCCAGAGCGCTCAAAGATAAAAGATCGCTCCCCAATATATTTTTAACAATAAACTCTATGCAACCATCTTCAAAAATCTTTCTTCCAAAATAATTAGAATAATGCGTTCCGTTCAATAAAAATAACGATACATCATAACAAACAGTAAATACGATGTTTTCGTTGCCAAGGAGATATTTTCTATGAATATTTAAAAATAATTCCGGTATTCTATCAACGATTTCTCTATCATTGAAAATCTTTTCCTGAGGAATGAAAACTTTGTTACATAGAAGAAGAAATTGTGTGAAAATTCCTCTATTAAATTCCATGTTTATCTTCAAATCTTCTTCCTTTAACTTTTCAATTTGTTCAACTTGTATTCTAAGTGAATTTTTAACATTTGAATAATAATTTTTGAATGGATTTCTACTACTCTTAAAGATGCTAATCTTATTTTCCGATCTTATAGAATATACAAGTTTTTCAAGTGCCATATTGCGGTTTTCTTCAATAGAAAAATCTATATAAGGTTTAATAATAATTAGAGAATTTAACCATCCAATAGGTTTGTAGTTTATTTCTAATCTAATTGGAATAATCTTCTTCTTAAGATGAACAGCGTACATTGCTTCTATTTATAGAATTATGTTAATATGTTGTAAAAGTTTATTATTAAAACTTACGTACCACTTTTACAAATATCGCTATATGTATATTTATGAGAAAAGCAGACAACAATTACATCTGCATTTTCAATGGCCTCCGACCTGCATTCTACTTTATTTTGTTCTTTCCCCATTGATTCTTTATCAATCCATACATCATATCCTTCGGAAATAAGAAAATTTCCTATTTTTTTGACAGTTGACTGATAATCCAATTGATAACTTAATAATATCCTATCAGAAGAATTTAATTCTTCGCTATTCCTTGCCAGTTTATTCAAGTTTGACCCCATTCAATATCTGATTAAAAATGACAACAAAACAATAGAAGATGTTGTTTATCTAAGGAGAAAAATCCAACAGAACGTATTGCCAGTTTGTAAATACTTTTTGTAATAATAGCAGAAAATTACAATGACAATAATTGCATAATTCTGATAAATTGACTTTTACGTAATCGGTAAAATTAATAGTTATTCACTTATTTTGAACACTAGAAATTGATAAGATAATTTGGATAAATTCATATTTTCTTTGCACTATAACACTTGATATTTGAAATTTTGGATACTTGGAACAAGAGAGAGAGAGAGGAATAAAAGGGAAAATAAGTTGGAAAACAGCTCTCAAGGAGAGATAAATCATTTAATATTACTGTAATTCGCAATAAAAAATAAGTTGATTGGAATGATTAGGTTGAACTACCGTTCCACTGACATATTTCTCACGTTTATATTTAGAAACAGTTGATAATTGTAAAGTAATTCAATCTTCTGAAGATTTTCTTAATTGATAATTGTTCACTTAATTCTTAATAAGAATACCCAACTTTTTATAACAGTTAACTGTGCTTCAACATATAATACTTTGTTTTATTAAGAAAGAATGAGAGAATAAAGTTTTTACAAATTTCTCTATTGATATTAATACATCTTTTTCAACGCTGTTGCCAATTTTATACAATCAGTCAATGGCATGCTAAATTCCTTTTTTAATGTTGAATAAAAGAATTCTAGGCTTATTTCTCGAATTTGTTTCAGTTCCAAAAGACCGCTACCATTACAACTTTGAAAACTGAAATGAAAAAGTGACAATAAACGAATAATTCGATATTTTCAATTATTATAATAATAGTAGTATTGGAATATATACTGTGTTGCATATTTCCCCAAACCAATATCATTAAAAAATGTTCCCACTTCCGCTTCTGTCCAATTTTCAATACTAGAACTATCGGTATTTACATAAGATTTCGCTGGTTGACTCTGTAAGGTAGATGTAGTTTCTTTTGCAATTGCTTTTGCTTTTTGAGGATGCTTTCCTTTGCTCCCTAAAATTGCTAATAGCTGCTCAAATGACGCATTTACTTTTTCAGGCTTTGCAAAATCAATCCATAATTTTGTTCCCAAAAGTATACCCAACCAACCGTCAGCTATGTAATCTCTTTCCACTTTAATCGGTATAATTTCCTTATTTGTTCTATAAGCGTACTCTGCCTCTATTTTAGTAATATTTCAGGAAAAAAGATGCAAAAGAGATGAATGAAATTTATAAATCATACCACTTCTACAAGCCGGACTATCTTTATACTTTTGTGAGAAGCAAGCTAAAACTACGGAAGAATTTTCAACAGCTTTCGCCATACAATCAAGAGTTGAACCCTCTTGTTAGAAAGAAAGAGTGATTATATGTTGAATGATGGAAAAACAGAGATTATAAATAGCCTACCCATAGATTCAACATCAATCCAGACGTGAAATCCATTTGTTTTAAGAAAATCTCGTATTTTGAAGACAATTGCTTTATAGGCCCATTGATAACTTAACATTATATGACCCTCTTTAGAATTATTATTAACTTCTATATCATCTTGTTTTTTATTTTTTTGATCTATTTGCCATAAAATACCTTCCGCTGAACGTTTTATAGCTGCATTCTTACCAGTTTTCTTTAAAGATTGAATAGTTTTTAAATTTTCTTCCGATTCAAGTACACGTACGCACTTTTCATTAAATGATAATGTCCAAAGGCATTTCGCCGAATATTCTTGTTCTTTAGGATTATGTGGATGTTTTAACACTTCTATTAAAAGGGGAATATGATCGGCAAGAAGTTCTTTATTATTTTCACTAATGGCTAATTTATTCATAGCCATTAGCGTCTCATCAACAGCAAATCCATATTTTTTGAAACGGTGAGTTTCACTTTTGAAGGCGCCGTCAAGTAAGAATGATATAAATTTAATTACCCTACTATTTGTATCGACTTTATCAGCTTCATCCTCTTTGATAAGATATGCCAGAATAATATTGCATTTAGCTTCTATCATTATATCTAACTTATCAGGTTCATCAACAATTAACAGTTTTTTGAATGCTTCAATTCCACCAATATCTCTGACAATCTTTCTCGACTCGTCTTCCAATCTGAGAATGTTATGCATTATTCCTAAACCACCTTTAATAAATTGTAGTCTCTGCATAGTAGATAAGCCAGGAGTTATAAAACTTTCATCAATAAGAGTTTTTGATTCAAATCTCCAATGCGGGAGTATTTTTTCAATTATTAAATGAAGAACTTTGCTATCTAAGGCTACTTTACAGAACTCTTCGCTGACATCCGTACCATTCCATAATACTGTTTGAATGGAGCGTACAATGTCATACACTGGATCTTCTTCACAAATTGCAAATTTTTCTATTAATTCAATATACATTTTTGGAAGTACTTTTGAAAATTTAGAGTCATTTATTATTGCAGCTTTAATTTTTGCATCGCAATATCCCAGCCATCTCAAGTGTAATTTTATAGAAGAACTCTTTGAAGATTTCCATTCTTCGTTAGTAAAGGATTCAGCTGCTTCCAACACCAGTTGTAGATCTTCTTTAGACTTTTTTAAAGACTGAGTATTATATAAATTCTTAGATTTACCAGGTTTATTAGCATTTTGAGTGCTTGCTCCACAACCCATTGATAGTTCAAATTGTTTACTTAATAACCATAGCAAAAGTGTTTTTAACGCCATCTTCAGTATATTTATTGTTTATGATTGTAAATTACACTATTCAACAAAACATTGTATATTCTCATGTAATACAATATGTCTTATGCTCTTTTCAACTATAATATAAACCTCTGCAAACAACAGTTAAACCCTTAATAATTCTTCCATATTTCTCTCAATGTAGATTCTTCAAATTTATCTCCAACTTCATGCAATCAGTTGTTGGAAGGCAAAGGTCATTCTTCCGCGTTGAGTAAAAGAATTTTTACCGTTACATTTTCGAAAGCTAATTTATAAACAAAATCGAAGATAAAGTAGAGTAAACAATCAATAACATTTTATATTTACTGTTGTTTATATTCTTTTAACTCGCAATCAGTAAGAAATCTCTGAACATCCTCTTCCGTTCAATTAGCCACTCCAAAAATCTCAGTTTCCAGTTAAAATCTAGTTTTTTTTGTTTTCATTAATAGGCTTATTGAATACGTCATTCAATCTCATTTAAAAGAGAGTAAAAAAAAGTAATAGAGAGATAGATAGATACATAGAGAGAGCTGGGAGAAAATAAAGCAACATATACTTTAACAATTCTAGCAGATGTACATATTTAGAAGAGCATCTTTTTTAGGAATTATAGGAGTTAGCTCTCTCTATTATCGGGCAAAGAGAGAATCAAAGGAAAATAGAGGTTATGGAATAACACAAAGAATTTGTAGATGGGAACAACTATGGGTTAATTTTAATATCTTTTTAGTGTTATTATTGATATTTAATACATAATCCTATCAATTTGTATTGTAGCAATTCGCGAATAAGCCCTCGATATTACCAACTGTAAAAGCTACGTCGATACCAGAAACCCTTCATGAAATACCAATGCCAAATCGTCCACCAGTACAGCTTTTACTTCGTCCACACAAGCACGAAAATATCGAAAAGTTTGCAACAAGTGGAACTCTATCAGAAGATTGGAGTTCTGGATCAGTTTGGGATTTAAATGGAGAGAAATTTCGTCAATTAGCAACCAAACCATCAAGGCATATTTTTGTTATGTTCTATACAGCTGGATGTACTCATTGCGAAAAGATGAAATCCATTTGGGAGAGTGTAGGAGAGCATTTCGCTAACCGATCAGACGTCGTTATTGCTAAAGTAAATTTGAATGAAAATAGTTTATTAAACGAAAGTGAAGTAAAGGTAAAAGGAAAAAGAACATTCGCATCTTTTTCAATTATTTTTACATGCTTTTAGGTACCAATGTTCGTCCTATACCCAAAAGGAAATATAGGAGGAGGTTATAAATACGCTGGACAGAAATCTGTTGAAGGTTTTACTAACTTTGTGGAAACTAAAGGACAAATAACAGTATTATCCGAAAAGATGGTTGCAAAACTTCAAAAGAAAATTGAAGAAAAGGAAAACAACGCTTAAAAATTCTAATTCATTTCTATTGTATTTTTCAACAATATAACAATAATAACAATAATAATAGTAATAATAATATTTATAACAAAACTTGTAAAAGAAAGAAATGATAAAAATTCAATGTCAAGGTTATGTAAACTTGTTGCTTTTCAAATCTATCTTAAAACGTTACGGTGTATGTGTGAAAATAAATATGAATGGAATGATAACAATTTATATTAGTTTTCTATTACTCGAATTAAATTTACTAAAAGCAGACGACTTTAAAGTTTGGAGTTATGGAATTAGTAATTCAAGTTTAAATTTTTTGGTTCTACTTCCATTTCATCCATCAATTAGGGATGTAAGAGATGAAGAGAATGATATAACTTTTATTATTGTTTCATTATTATTATTCTTTGTAAATAGCCTTCTAATAAGACAATTAATTATCAATTCGAAGAATGGAATTCCGCAACTGGTTTTAACTACGTTCCTGGTTCAGTGCTCTACGCTTTATCTGAAATTGAAAGAGATAGTGGACGCTATCGAAATATTAGAAAGAGCGGATTAGGTTTCTATATTGCTGATACGCAATGTTTAAGCGATAGAAGTCTCCTCGCATTCTGGAATGTATTTCTGTAAGTGTTTTCCTAATGATAATACATCAGTTAATCAATGAAATAAAAAAACATTAATTAGGGATAATTTAAATGCAAATATTAAATTTAATATTCATGGAATTATTGGTCCAGTTTGTCTAGAATCTTGTAAACAAATTGCTAAAGTAGCTAGAGAATTTCACATTCCAGTCATAACTTGGAGTTGTTCAGAGTTGAACGACGAAGAAAGATCACAAGTTTTCCTATCAGTTGCCGAAGATGTTCAACAAACTTCTGAGACTGTTGCCAAACTTACAATTGTAGGTTGTATTGGAAAATAGGCTGCAATTTCTAATTCGATATTAATTATATATTAAGGATTTTGAATGGGAAAATCTAGGTATTATTGGTAACAAACTCTTTAGTGCTAACGAATATAAAGAAAGCATTGAAGAGTCGTGTAAATATAGTGGAAAAGATGTTAATGTTTATGTAAGTCAAGTTCAAAAGTCTCTACCACCTATTAAAGGGCTCCTAGTGTTAAATGAAAGTAGTCAACTCAGAGAATATGCCGAACAAGAGGAAATTGAAACAAATTTATTCAATCTCTTAAGTAAAACTAACGGTCAGTTTCATATTCTCAATTGAGATATTGGCCTATTTATACATACCTTATATATTTCTAGTGATATTTGTCTATATGAAGAAAAGGGAATCAGTTCATCGCTTTCTTCATATATTTAGAGACAGCGGATTAACTGTTGCGGGAGTACAGGTTATTTTATTTGGATTATCGTGTAAGATTAACATCTTAAGTACGCATTAAAATAATTAAATAAAACAAGGCTATTTTTAGCGGATTTACTCGAATATCCGGAAAAGAATAGACACCTTTTAAAGATATTAGAAGGGCAGATTGTCATCCTATCCGATAGAAGACAACAATCAACTTGGAAAGATATTGATAATTTTCATAAGAAAGTCAAAGAACTTTCAGAAAATTCATCTTTCTCTTTCCGTGACAGGATTGATCCTATAACGGATGTTGTAAGTGTATATTTACTATATTTAGACTTTAAAATTCTATATATATATACTTTTAGAATATTAAATATATAGAGAAGCAAGCTTATGAGAGTGCGATGCTCTTAGCAGGAGCTTATGAAGCCGTAGGTACGGAATTTATTGCCCAAAACGGAAACATGTCTCGCGTGATAAAAGACTTAGTACAATTTTACAGTCAGTATAGCTAATTTAATATTAATAATGTCATCTAATATATTCTAATTTATTCAAAAAAATCTTATCGATAATCACTAGCAAATGGAAAAACTAGAGATTTAGTCTTTACCAATCAAAAGTTAACGTTAAAGTATTCAACTTTTTTCTCGGATGGGAGAAGATTAAGATTATTAAAGGATAAGAATGGAGAATATAATCAAGCTTTATTTAGTGGTTATAGACAATTTCCATCTCCGGACGTTCATTGTCGATTTTTAAGAAACTGCACTCAATCAGGTTAAAACACGCCTACTAATAATTTATTTTCCTATTATAGCATTCTCTGGTCATTTAGATAAACAAAGAAAAAGCTATAGATTATCTTTATGGATATTTACGGCATTAATCCTAGGAATAGTAATCATTTGGTTAATGAAGTGATTAAATAGTTTTTATTAATTAATTATGATAAATAAGAAAAATAAAGATATTTTCTAGACGTTTTGTAGAAGATCAAAGTTGGTATGGAATATCTTCATGGCTATTAAGAAGTGCTGATTTATTCTTCATTGAAAAAGATGAACAGAACTCTATAACGAAATCTGTATATAGTTTCATTCACTCGAATTAGTTACTAATATTATAAAATACTCTAGTCAAACAGCGATATTTCAAGTCTTATAAATTCATCCGAAGACCTGAAAAGGTACACTGATATAGCAACGTCTGAAAAGGTAAAAATAATAACTATAGTTTAGAAGAGAAAATATGATCTTTTTCCTTGAAATTCAGTTTGGAATGTTAGTTGTAAAGCCATTAAATAAAAATTTCGATTTGAATAATAAGAAAATATTGCAAGAATTAAAACTGGTATTGAATAAACATGTTCTTGCATAAATTTGCATTAATTTTATATTATATTTTATTTAGGTTAAAAATATAGAACATGAAAATATTAATCCTTATCGTGGAGTATGTATAGACTATAGATATCCTTGTTTACTTTTGGACTATTGCTCAAGGGGAAGTTTGCATACAGTATTTAAGAATTCAAGATTTAAATTGGATTCTACATTTGAACTATCATTTTCAATAGACATTTGCAAAGTAATTCAATTAAAGTGTAATTCAACATTCCTACAATACTTTAATTCTAATGATTATTTCATCAGGGTTTAGATTATTTGCATAATAGTCCTATAAATTTTCATGGTAGATTAAAAAGTGAAAATTGTGTAGTTGACACTAGGTGGACTGTAAAAATAACGGATTTTGGTTTAGATTACATTCGTACAAACTATTTGATAAGTGAAAAAGATCATTTCATAGAGGGAATAAGTTAGAAAATATACTATTTATATAAACTATATAGACGAATAAGATCTACTATTTTATCATTACATATAAGAGCGATTTTGGCAATCTCCCGAACAGTTAAGAGGTAAAAAACCAAAGGGAAGTAAAGAGGGAGACATCTATTCATTCGGTATAATTCTCTTGGAAATAATTACAAGAAAATATCCATTTTATCTGGAAAGGGAGTATATGAGACCTAAACAGATAATAGCCGCAATAATAGATAAGAAGCGTACTCCAAAATTTAGACCTAAAATTGTAGAAAAATTTCAGAATACCCATAAATTAATTACGGAGATCATTACAAAGTATAAGTATATCATAATAAATAATAGGCTTAATATATTACGTTCAAATAATCAGATGTTGGAAAGAATTGCCTAAGGAGAGACCCAGTTTAAAAGCATTAAGTCAAGAACTACGAGATATGGTTCAAGGAAAGTAGGCATTATTAGTTTAAATTATATCTCCTTTGACAATTTGAATATTTTCAGGGAGATAAGCCTCATTGATAATGTTACCAAAGAGATGGATGCCTATCAAGATTCATTAGAAGATGAGCTATTTAAAGCTCATAAGAGATTAGAATACGCTAAGAGCGATACTCTTGATAAAATACAATATTATTCTCCCAGGTAGTAACAACCTATAATAATTTAGTAAAGAGATTGTTCATTTATGATCATTTAGGGATTTAGTTAAGAAGTTTGCCGAGTCAATAAATCCTAAAATTCCAGTTTATCAAGAACAAGAATGTTCAATTTGTTTTATTGAAATTCATAGATTTCACGAAGAATTTGAATCAATGAATGCTAATAAACTTATTGAATTATTGCAAGATCTTCACAAAAGAATTGATAGATTATTATCAAAGAATGATAAAGTTGATAGAGTTTGTTATATTCTTTCTTGTTAAAAACTATTTAAATATTCCAGTCTTTATTATAAAGATTTATCATTCTTGCTACGTTTATCTTCTTGTTTCTGGATTAATTTGTCCAAATACAAATCACGCGTTAGATATTGCTAGAGTTGCAATATCGTTGAGGAACTCTCTAAACGAAAGACCAATTCTTGAGGACCAATCGTACGAAATTAAATTGAATATTGGAATTCATTCGGGAGAACTCGTTGGTTGTATGACTGGAGGAAAGATGGATAAATTTATGGTATTTGGTGATGCGGTTCATATAGCTCGACAATTACAAAAAAAATGCTCACCTGGTTCTATTCTAGTTAGCGAGCCAACAAATGGACTATTAAGGAAAGTTGGTCTATTTACAACCATTCCAGGACCAACTGTAACCATTGAAGTAATAAAGATACTATAATAAAATTTATATATTGATAACAAATTTTTTCCAGAATCAATATACTATGACATCTTATGAATTAATTAAAAAATTTGGTTATCTGCGTAAAAGAGAAACGGAAACGTTCGAAAGTTTTCCATTTGGGCGTCTAATGCAAGCGAGATGCGGGTATATGATATTATCTCAATAAACCTTATTAACTATATTATTTTACGAATAATAATAATAGTTAATCTATATTTGTATATATCTAGGGGAAGAGTATCAAAAGCTCAGACCAATAGTAAATCTTCTCAATTCCTGTCTATACCAGATATTAGTCCTAATATATCGACTTTGAATAAGGTTTGTTATTAAAAATGATTCAAGTTAATTCTCTTATAAAACTGATGAAATATTTTTTTTAGCAAATACAACCAAATGATTCTGATAGAGATGATAAAAATCACAAGAAGAATATTGCCTTTCAAGCCGTAGAGAGGAATAATGAAAAAATCTTAAAAAATCGATTATTAAAAGAAACTAATCGTTTTGTAAGATTAAGTAAAATTTAAATAATTCCTGTATTTTAACTTTAAATGAAATAAATTTGGAAAAAAGTTTAAAAAATGCACAAAAAGAATATTTAAATTATATAGCGATAATAGGTTGATGTAGTTGATTTATTCTAAAGTTTCTAGAGCTCCTAAACAGTAGAAAATTATATCATATTATTATCAATATATACGTGAAATATGTATAGCTTACCTTCTAAGAAAGCATAGGCATCATGATAATCAATTGCGCTATCTAATAATATTCGAAATAAGGAATCCAATGGTTCTACAATACTAATGAGTATATTTACCTATATCTTGTCTCTTTAGCGTTTTTCTTTTACCCTGAGTTGCAAATCGACCACAATTTTTGGCAAATTCTTGTAGGAACAATTCCTAAAATATATAAAAACAGTAATTATAATGTAATCGTCATCTGACAAGCGTACGAAAAAAAAGATTAGGACGAACCGTTGCTTTAGCTATCAAAAAAACGGCTTCCGATCCTGCTAATGTTACCTCAGGATCCATCTTAATAATCTGTTTGATTCGTGATAATGGTAATCTAATTAATTTTTGATTCTTTTCCTTAGCAATGACACTATCATCAACTTCTATAGTCTCGAGTACATCCATGTCGTCGTCGTTTCGCGCCATTTTAATATTACAGATGGCGCTTTCAATTGAAAAAAAGTGTAATAATAGGCTTACGAAAAGGAAACATCTGCCAAAAGAAGAGAACCAAAATCTAAAAATAACCAGGCGCCAAACCAATCTTACTCACGTACTTGCGTGCAAAGTAGTGTACAGTACAGTAATACTGTTTACAAGATGAAGACAACTATTTTCCTTCTTGTTTTGATACTATTTATCACATTTATCAACTATGGATCATCTCAGGAGTAAATATATTCTACCCTCTTGACTTTAACATATCTTTTTTATAATACCCTTTAACAATATGTTTAAAAAATATAGATGTAAATCATCAAAAGTTTGTAATCGATTGAAACTCCAGAAACGTTTGGCAATTGGATCGGAAATTGTTAATAATCTAGAAAAACAGGAAAATACTTTCCAAAAACTCGCAAACTTATTAGAAGTATTGAAAAAAAAAATAAACAATCTTCTTTTATTATTAATTCTCTTCTTTTTCTTCCTTAGCAGGCTAGTAGTTTGTACGAGGATATTAAATAGGTCAAAATCGTGTAAAAGAAGTAATAAGAAATGGAAAAACACAATGAATAAGAAGGAGTAAAAATGTTTGAATATTCATATACGTTTATATATATGCAGTCTATAGCTTTTTTATGCTGTTAAAACTAGCTGAATACAATACCTAACAAAGGCTTAATGATGCGTATCGTTTAATACATATGGTATGGCTAGTGTCCAATCACGACTTTCAATAAAAAATATGACTAGGAGTAAACCTGCTAGTCTTATTTTAATTATAGTTTGTCAAACTTTTATGATAACTGCTTTACTTTATAAAAACTTTTACTTTACAAGGAAAGGTGTTTTTTATAGAAATGGTAGGTCATATGACCTATCAACATTTGGAAAAATCTTTTATAATCGTGTCCCAAAGTGCGGTAGCCATAGTATGATTGATTTATTACATTTATCCGCCGAAAGGAATGGATTTCAAGTTGTTAGAGATCCCCGTTATATGACGTTTTTCGACAGTGAAGAAGAGAAGAGAAAATTGGCAAGTTGGATAGATAAAGCATCAGGACCTTTTGTCTACGAAAGGCATTATCATTTTATGCAATTCAAAAAGTGAGTAAATCATAGTAGAAATGCACGATTTTCTATTTAAATAAACGTAAACTTTGAGTAACTTTTAAGCTACTTTATACAAAAAATATCCTAATTGCTTGCGAAATGATTTCAACTGAACCAAGTAAAATAAATCTAGTTTACATTGCAAATATTATAACAAAAGTCAGCCTATTTTTTGGAATTATACAGCATATATAATAAATATATATACTACTGTATATAAATAAGGTATAAATTAAAAATTATTATATTTTCCTACTAAATTTTAACGTTTAAGGAAAAATTTAAGAATTTTAAGACTATTTATGCAAATTAAATAGTTTGAAATTGTTAAATACACATGGAATACACTTTGACACGTTGCAGGTATAATGTCACTCAGCCTATCTATATCAATATAATAAGAGATCCTCTGGAGAGAATGGTCTCTTGGTATTACTTTCGACGATTTCAGCCAGGACATGAAAGAGAGATGGAGAGTATTAAACGCGATAGGGTAAGGGCAATTATTACTACTAAATACAGTAAATACAGTATATATATTTGAATAAATAGTCTTTCGACGAGTGTGTAAGTGAAAAGCATGCCGAATGCGTTGAACCAATGGGAGATCATCCCGAAGAAGGATATTTTAAAATTATACCATTCTTTTGCGGTCAAGAAGAATTTTGCAGGTAATTATTATGATTACGTAATAATTAGATATTACTTTTATTTCAATTATAGAGAACCAACGAGGAAAGCTTTAAATACAGCAATCGAGAATGTTAAAAATTATTATACTGTTGTTGGACTAACTGAGTATTTTAAGGAGACAGCCGAACTTTTGGAGTATTTCTTACCTTCTTTCTTCGAAGGTTTACAAAGTATTTTTAAGGAACAATGTAAATATTTATATAAATAGTACTTTTAATTATATAATTAATTGAAAATTCCTTATTTCTTACTCTCTTCCTCTCTCTCTTTCTCTCTCAACAGCCCCAATTCTAAGAATAAAACATAAGACTGTAAAAAAATTCAAGCCGTCCAAAAGAACCGTCATTTTTATGAAGGATTTGTTATCTTTAGAATACGAATTCTATAATTTTGTACGCAAAAATTTAAAGAAACAGTTGCAAATTACCAGAAAAAAATCTTAATATTGAAAAAACAATAATATTAAAAAAGAAGAAAAAGGAAGACTAATCAGGTGTTATAATTTTTGATTTTTGTTTATTGTTATGATTTGCATATCTTCCTTATTATCGTTATCTAATACATGAATTTAATACTCAGTTTAAATCATTACTAATCTAATTTTAGTTGTGTTAACTACATTGACAAAAAAACGATACTCAATCTGTTATTTCTTTGTTCATATGTATCATATTAATGTTTCAAGTCATTAAATAGTTGTCACTTCTTAATATTATTCATTACATCTGAATTTCAAAGAAGAAAGATTCGACTGTTCCTTTGTTAAAATTACATAGGTTATGGTTAAGATAAGCAATTATATTTTGACGGCAGTTCTTGTGTGTCAAACGTTATTGATAATTGCTCTGGTATATCATAATTTTCATATTTCTCTCAATAATATACACCCTACTAAGAAGAAATTAAATCGATCGGTTCTTACTCAACCAGTCTTGACCTTATCGTCAGCTAAACGCACTGACAGAGGGACGTTACAAAGTGTAAACAAACAAGTGCAACTAAATAAAATCTTCTACAATCGAGTTCCTAAATGTGGGAGTCGGACTATAATTGAATTAATAAAGACATCTGCTGAAACGAATAAATTTCAAGTACACGAACTGAAGGAGTATAGTCCTTATTTCCATGAAGATGAATATAATTATAAAACAGTTGAAACTTTTGAGGAGAGCATTGGCCCTTTTCTCCTTGAAGGACATTATCATTTTCTAGAATTTTCAAAGTGAGTGAAGCAGGTTTCCAAGTTAAAATTCAAGAATATATTTTATTAGGTATAATGGAACCCAGCCTACCTATATTAATGTTATACGAGATCCTATAGAGAGAATGCGTTCTTTCTATTATTTTCGAAGATTTCAACCTGATCATATAAGAGATATGGATAATGCAACTCGCTATCGAGTAAGATCTATCTTGTATATTCTATAATATTGATAATTAATTATTTTCTTACAGTCCTTTGATGAATGTGTTAGTAAGAATATCCCGGAATGTGTTGAACCGTTAGGAAATAGTGCTGAAGAAGGATATTACAAGATTATACCTTTCTTTTGCGGTCATGAGCCCTTTTGCAGGTTAGTAATTAGATATTACACGTTTACGAATAATATTTGTGAAACATTAAAGAAAACCGACAAGAAAAGCTCTAGATAAAGCAATCTACAATGTTGAAAATTATTTCGCTGTTGTTGGATTAACAGAATATCTAAAAGAAACAACCGAAGTACTTGATTATTTCCTTCCATTATTCTTTAGCGGAATTTACGAAACCTATTTAAAAAAGCAAAAGAATGTCGAAGTAAAATATAAAACAATAAAGAAATCAGCTTTATTAGATAAAACTGCTACTTTTATGAGAGATTTATTAGCAATAGAATACGAATTCTACCAGTTTATTCGTCAAAAGTTTATGAATCAATTAACAATTGTTAGAAAATCTTATGGAAAAAAACTATCTATTTAAAATTTCAAAAATATTCTATTTAAATGAATAAATAACAATAAATATTCATATAAATTAGATTGTATAGATAGTTTGCCACCACTAGTTTTCTTTGGTGATAATGGATGTTATAAATATAGAAAGATAGAATTATAGATAGAAAGAATGATCTTAATTGACTGTTATTATTGTTATTATTATTGTTACTATTATTACTATCTAACGTTAATGTCTCTAATTACACTTTGTTATGGAATTGACACAAATAATCAATTACAAAATCTAAGCATTTCTCAGGTTTTATTAATAATTATTATCATAAATACTATATAACTATATCTTTCTACTATGTAATTAATGCCATGTTATTTATCTATTTTTAAGGATCAAAATAAGAGTTTTTACTTTGTTCAAATAGCTAGTTTAACAGGTTTTTATTACTAGAATGACCCATATCAGCAAAATAAATTACATTTATTCTTTATATATTTTATTAAAGGAAGAAAAAAGACGATTAGGAGTTAACTATATATATATATATATATATATAAATTTTATTTCTGTATATTTAATATATGCAAATATAACTAAATTTATTCATTTTTCATATAAATAAGGAAAGAGTGATAGCGATATTATAAAACTTGGTATGTTTCTCCTTAGTACAAAGTAAATATAGATGAAGTTGTATATTTTTCTCTTGCTTAGGTCAAGTGCTAGAGTACTTTCCTGATAAACAAACACCGGAGGGTATAATATTTTCCATGCTGTTCAATATTTAATATAATTTACTCTTACAATATGCAATTTTAGACTCTAAAAATAAATACAAGACTGCTCCGAATACGAACAAATGTATCATTTTATCTTAAAATTTCTTATATTCCATATATATATATATATATACATATATATAAACACAAAGATAATTATCAAGAGGATTATAAAAACTTTGACAAAGCGTCGGATGAAGGATTACCACTTAACAAGGCTCTTTTGAAAAGGTTACAAAGAAAGAGATACATAGGAATAGGTTAGGAAATATATTATATATTTAGAAATGTTCACTTTGTATCGATTTCTAGAAAATCCTTCGTTTTTTCGAAAACCTTCAAAAGTTGATAAAGAGGTTTCATTTATGTTAAGAGACTTATCACTTGATAATTATCATTTTGAGATGCAGAGAGAATATGATACCAACTATCGAATATCCTCCTTGATTGATACGTTCTTTAGTAAGAAATTAAAGGATCAAATAGTTGAAAATTATGAAAAATGCTTTAGAGCTTTTAAGAGTTCAATGTTAAATATCTTATTTTTTCTTTAATCTTATTCTTAAATAACCTCTTTATTTTCGTAAATAAAGTGAAATTTACGATATATCGGAATCCTTTAGATATTCGCTTAAAGAACAAGGTTCATTTTACATTAGCCAAATAAAAACTGGTTTAACTTGGAGATTAAGAACATCTGAAAAGATATCTCAAGCATTAGATTCATTAAGTGCATTATATTTTGAGTAATGTAAAAAATACATAAATTAATTCTCTGTTTTAATAGAGCTCTTTGTTTCTTTCCTTTAATAGAAACTTTAGAAATGATGCTAAAAAAGCTAAGAAAGATTTAATACTCATCAAAAATTTAATTAATCGTTTTGATTCATTTTCATCACTTTTAAAGAGAGGTTATGATGCTATTGAAGAAATATTTCCGGAAAATGATATTCCAGATTTATCGTAAAATATAATCAATTTATTTTCAATATTATAATAAAACTTTTATCGATTTTTAAGTGATTTTAACAAATTTAAAGAAAATACAAAAGACTTTGTAAATATTATGAATAAAATGGATAATGAATTAATAAACTTTGATTTTGTTAAACGTCTGGCGTCGGATGAGTTTAATAGTATTATTCTTCATTATAATAAAAAGTTTTGGCAAGATAGAGAACCTTCCAAGTATATTCTTAATTTAAGATCTGAGCGATTTTATGGTATAAGTAATTATATTAAAAAAACTGACATAAAGTTCATAAGTTCATTCTTTCAGAATTGTCTGATAGGTTTTTGAACAAAGGAGATTTATCTACATTTGCAGATGAAATTAAACATATAGATAAGAGAATTTTTGAAGATATATTTAAAGATGATAGACTATTCTTTTATTATGATGATATTCTCTTTCTACCTCAAAATATTCATGAATCAATATCAAATCTTTATGATAGTGCGGATAAACTGTTAAGAAAACATAAAAGTAAATAAAACATTTGTATTAATCTTCGTAATTTTACAGATCTTTAAACCAGTTAAAAAGTTATGTAAGAATGACTATACTATTAGTGAATTTCTATTACTATGGAATAAAACATCTAAGTTCAATAACCTTGAAAGACAAGAATCTTAAAAGGTAAAAAAAATCACTTTCATTAACTTTTTTTTAAAAAAAAAAACAAATAAACAAACAAATAAAATTCAATCTTATTTGCTTTACAGGAGATTTAGAACTATTAATAATATTGATAATGAATATGTATTAGATAGGTTAATACTTAGAATTAAATTGCTACAAAAGAACTCTGACTACATTCAGGATAAGGTCAATGAAATATTACCGCTTTTTAATAAGCTAGTATTAATTAAGTTATACAGCATTTATATATATATATTTATGTCTATAAACTAATTACTTTATAAGATTCGATGAACAAGAGATAACTATTGAAAGTGTAAAGGATATAAAAGTTTTGACATCGGATCTTTACGAAGAAGCTTTAGTTCCTCTAGATAAAAAGACAGATAGTAAACAAGAATTGAAAGAATTTGATGGTGATGATAATGATGTATCTTTGGAATTGATAGAACATGCTAAAAACGCAAAGATGCCAAAACGATTCAGAATTGACCCTGATAACGATGATAGCAACAAATGTTTCTGCTGTAGATGCTCGAAAAAAATTAACATCCTTGCCGGTGTTATAAGTGCAATATCTATTTTTGGAATAATAGGTGGAACCATATTAGTAACAAAAGATATTCTCTTTAATTCATCGAATTCAAAAGATGAAATTTCATATAAAAGCGATTATTATAATAATAAATATACATTTAACACATTATGGACTAAAAGATCCACTGGGAAGTTTAGTACTAAAATGGAAGACGATCCTAAAAAGACACTTCATGAGATTTCCAATATTTCCAATACTTATTTAAACATCCTCATTAGTTTACTTTGCATAGCTGTCATTTTTGTAGTTTTTCTACACTTTTATCGTCGATATATAAGAAAATATCTCTTTTTTAATAGAATGCTTAAGTCAAGTAAAACTAATAGCGACGTTGTAAAAGATGGTTAGTTTTTTCAGAAGAAAATATAGGGTTAGAATAGGAGGGAGGGCTGGGGAGCTTTTGTTAATATATCCCCACATTCATAACTAAGCAGAATGATCTCTCCCTTTCCAGATGAACTGGAATGAAATCTTATGAAATTAAAATACATATTCATTAATCTTTTTTGTTTGCAGCTTCCGAATTTACCAATAGAAATTCACAAGGTTTGAACAAATATATGAATTATTTATAAACGTTCCTTTTATATGTGTATCCATTTTTAGAACAAATTAAATTTACATCTAATTCAACTCTTTCAACAAAATGTCAAGAAAAAAGCACCTAATTATGAAAACTTGTGCTTTTTTATGTTGCATTTTTCAATAAATAAAATAATTTATGTGATTCTAAACATTTAAAATTTATAGTTCCATGATAAAAATAGCAATTGTTCTTTTCATTGTAAGATTAATTATGAGAACTTGTGAATTTAATATGCAAATTTATTCATATATAATAAAGAAATTAGTTAATATGAAGATTATTGTTGGTTATAAATATTTTACTATTTAAATTAGATTCGTATGTAATTATATTAATTATAAAGGTATTAAAATCCCCTTATTTATAGGCTAATTTAGGAAAATAGGGATGTATTTCAAAGTCATATTAATTGGATAAAACAAAGTTATTATTATAGTCAAAGGTTTCAATTGGAAGTGTTGTTAAATATGGGAAAAAAAGGTTTACAACGTCAAATAGATTCAAAGTAGAAATAATAAATCAATGGATAACAACAAACAGAGAATAAAACTGAAATATGGGAATCAGAACTTCCTAAAACATGAATATCAACTTTAAAAAAGTGAGAGTAATAGCAATAAAAGAAAATGAAAAAAAATCATCGGAAACAGGTGTTGTATTTGATATAGGAAATGAAACAATTCTAGTTCCTATTTTAAATGATAAATCAAACTTTAACATTATAATGGGCCTATTCATATCAGCATATATAGTCTACTATTGTAAATTAACATTTCTACTCTATTTATATTTAAGAAGGAAAGAAAAATGTAAACATTCAAAGGAACAAGGGAGCTATTCCAATTCAGAAGCTTTCACCTCCAAAATCTATTTTTATATAAGAAATATATTGTCTATATTGTGTATAATGCTATATGTAATTTTATTAACAAAAATAATAATCCTAATCTACATTTATTTGCATATATTTAAATATTAATATATATACTTTCCATGTTAAATAATTAAATTATGCTCTCTACTAGATGACATCAATGAATCTTTAAAAGTAATACGATATTTGTATATAGAATTCGTTCATTGTGTATTTTTAAAAACAAGAATATCGTAGTTAATCATGGAAGATAAATGCTTTCGACTATGTACAACAAAGGAGAAAGTTGTCTTAGTTTTCTTATTCTTTCCAACTGGAATTTGCTTAGTTTCGGCGATACATATTTTCTTTTGTCGTTTTTACATCTTTATTAAGTTCTATTTTTGTCATCAAAGAGCTTCTCTGTTCGAGGAGGAGATTGGTAAAGAACGAATAGAAAAAGGAAGAAGAAAGGAAGAATATATTAGAGATAATAAATTGAAGAATGATGATAAAACTGACAATGATATTGCACAATTGTAATTATAAGTAATATAATTAATTTTTCCTTGATTTAATATAGAATTTATTATAAAGATTACAGAAAGAAAGTCAAGAATCGTTTCACTCAGTTACAGATTATAGTTTAGAAATGGATTTGTTATCATCATCTATCAATCATATGTCGACTTCGGTTGATATTCTAAATACAACTGTCTAGTTTCTATCAATATTTTATTATGGTTGATTTTTTTTATATGTAAAATATTATCTCATTTACCAAAACGATCAATGAAGACTTTACAGTAGTTTATACAGCATATTATTTCAAATAGGAAGTTGTTGTTCTTTCTCAGTGAGATCCGCTAGATGGAGCTCTAAGATTTTTTTTCTTCTAGCGCACTTCCGGTGTGACATTGGGAGGTATAACTTTACCCTCGTATTAAATTAAATTGCTGAATTATTTACCAACTCACTTGAATAATATTCTGATATTTCATCAAGGCATTGATAGTGTTTTCAACAATCTATCGGAAATACTAGGAAGATTACCCACAGTTGAAGTTCAATTTTCGTTTAGATCTTTAATTCGTGTTTTCTCTGTCAAACAGAAACGAATGGAACCCATGCAGGTGGACGTTATTCCAGAGGAAAATGACAATATGAACTTTGAAAGTCATATTGTCGAAAATCCCAATATTGACTTGGAGTCACTGATTTCAAATTTTAATGGATTGGCTAAAATGTACCGGTTACAATTTATCGCTGAACATTGTCCACCACTACGCGTGGAAGCTCTAAAGACGGCCTTACAAACTTGTATGCAAACTTTAAATACCATTTTTTATCAGCAAATTATACGGCATATAGAGTTGTCGGCCCCACATGCGCTCCCAACTGACAATGTTTGGCTAGAGATGACCACCAAAAAAGCCGCTTTGAAATTAGAAAAGCTGGACACAGATTTGAAGAACTTTAAGTCTAATTCGATTAAAGAAAGTATTAGACGAGGCCTAGATGATCTTGGGGATCACTACTTAGACTGCGGTGATTTGAATAATGCTCTAAAATGCTTTTCAAGAGCAAGAGACTATTGTACCGGCTCATTGCATGTTATAAATATGTGTATGAATGTTATTAAGGTGAGCGTGTACCTTCAAAATTGGTCTCACGTCCTCAGCTACGTTAATAAAGCCCAAGGATCTTGTACCAGTGATATAGAAGATAATCATCGAAATGTCGTTACCCGCCTGAAATGTGCATCCGGTCTAGCTGAACTTTGTCTTGGAAAGTACAAATCGGCAGCAAAATCTTTTCTTCAAGCTTCGTTTGATTTTTCTGAGATGCCTGATTTAATTAGCGCTAACAATATAGCCGTTTATGGCGTCCTCACATCTTTAGCTACCTTCGATAGGCAGGAATTGCAAAGACTTGTCCTAAGTTCTGCTTCCTTTAAACTCTTCTTGGAGTTGGAACCTCAGCTTAGAGAAGTTCTCTACGACTTTTATAACTCCAAGTACGCCCAATGCCTAAGCACCTTGGATAGGATGAAAGATGGGTTGCTATTAGACTTGTACCTTGCCCGTCATGTCGACGTTTTATACAATGAGATAAGAAAGCGAGCTTTGAAACAATATTTCCGACCGTATACGAGCGCCAATATGCACAAGATGGCAGCAGCCTTCAATACCACTATCTCTGCTCTGGAAGATGAGCTTATGAAATTGATATTGGATGGTCAAATAAATGCTAGAATAGACAGTAAATTAAAGGTATTATAAGCATATCTATTTTTCGAAAGAATTAAACATGCATGTTATTTTATATTCAATCAGATTTTGTACGCTAAAAGTGTTGATGAACGAAAGACAACTTTTGAAAAAGCTCTTCAAGTAGGCAAAGAATACGAATGGAGAATGAAGTCTCTTCTGGTAAGAAGTGCAGTTTTAAGAGCTGGTTTGCAAGTAAAAAGCGGACAGGGAACCAGAGATTGTCCAATAGGTGGCGATATGCATATTTCAAGCAGGCATTAAACTATCTGATTATTAAACACTTATCATTTTATTTTTTTGCAATTATTTACGCATTAAAAATAAAAGTTGCTTGTAATGAATAACAAAATACTGCTTTTATCCTTCCATTGGAAGAAGGACGAAAATACTATTAAATATTAATATGCGCTATCTTCATGCTTTATATATTGAATCGATTCAATAGAAAAGTATAAAGCATAAGTATATGATTATATTTCATATCGGTAATGGAAAAATTTTTTTAGCCGACTCTTTCTATGTCACTTGAGCAAAAGAATTCAAAGGCCAGTCACAAGGAGTTGCTTTCTTTGCATATGTTTGAAAAAAAGTGTTACCTTTCATTAGTTGGCCATTGTTGAGCAACCAGTGGTGTCTTCAACTCCCCTGATATTAGAAATTGTCAAAAATTTTTGAAATAAAATGGAAGAACGAAATCAATCAATTAAAATTAGAAAGACACCTCGATTGAAATGTTTTGAAATTTTTCGTCAACTTCACTGTTTTCAGTTTAAGTATATGGGAAATATGTCATCTCTAGATTATTATTTAAGCGAAAAGCATATTTTATTACGAATACCATTTTGGATATTTCGGGCCATGAGTCAACCCATTTTTGTCAATAATCCTTTATCTGGTTTCCTAATATTTTGCAGTTTATTAATTTACAGTCGATACGCTGCTGTTTGTGGATTAATTAGTTTACTAACAGCTATTTTGATGGCTTTATTAACAAAACAAGATCGTTCAACTATATCAAGTGGTTTAATTACATTTAACGGGCATTTAGTTGGCCTTCTTTTACCGTTTGTTATTGATAAATCTGAATATTATAAATGGATATTTTTACTATGTATTTTCGTGGGAATAATCAGGTGTGTATTGGAATAGAATAATTATATGCACAATTGATATTAAGATAAGTAAATTCTCCTCTTTAGCATATACATATCATCAGGATTGAGTAAAATATTATCATATGTTAATTTACCACCTATGACTCTTCCTTTTTCTGTAATGTTAATCTTGATCGCTGGAGGAGGGTCAGCCAATCCTTTAGCTGAAAATATTCCAATTATGTCATCGGAACACTCGAATTTCACGAATGTTAGTTATAAGTTTGATACTATTTTCACTGGAATACCCAGAGCAATATCGGCAGTTTTTGGGCCTTCCGATTACAAGATTGGATGGTTTGTTATTGTTGCAGTGTTTATCTCCTCACCCATTATGGCCTTTCAAGCAGTGTTTGGTGCTCTTTTAAGCATTCTGACATGTAAGACTTTCCATAATCACCTTAGTAGTAGATTCATGTTCTTTTCTATGTATTAGGCATTGTTTTGGAAATTCCTCAAGGAGTAATAGAGTCTGGTTTATGGGGATATACGTCAGTGCTTTCTTGTATTGCAACAGGAGGATTCTTTTATTATCTTACGCCCCAAACCTATTTTATTTCACTAATCAATGCTATCGTGACTTGTTTCACACATGCAACCCTTTCAATATGGTTGAAACAAGATAGCGGACAACTTCCGCTCGGTGCCTTTCCATTTGTGCTAACTACGTTTGTTTTCCTGTCGTTCAATTCAAAAAGTGTATGGATAAAAAGAGTAGAGCTTAAGGAAGTAACCTATCCAGAAGATAACCTGATGAGATGGATGCTTGAAAAAGAAAACGGAAATGAACAAGAATTAGAAGCTACAGTATAAAATTTTCCGGAGTAAACGAAGCGATAAATTAATTATTCATAAAGAAATAGCAATTAAAAGATAATTATTTTTTGTCATTCGTTTTTTATTACACATGATTAAGACGCTGATAAAGAAGAGTGATACTTTTGGGAACAAGTCAGCGAATCAGAAGTAGGAGATGCTAAAGTATCTCCAATATTAAAGTTTCTATGAGAATTTCGGTACTTTCTCGAAGATATTACAATGATTAAAGATGATATAATTGAAATAATAGAAAACAACGGAAATATAATAAAAATAATTAGAATAAGAGAAGATTTACTAGCTATTTGATTATCTCTAATAGGTTTCTTTAAAGATGTATATGTGTACCGATTTTCGATAGAATGATAGTCTTTAAGAGGTCGTAAAGTCGTCCATTTATCCATTTCCTCATATTCCTTGCTAATTTCCTCTTTTTCCTTTTCCATGATGTTTAAATACTCTCTTTTAGTCATATCAGGTAGTGATTCATCAAAATACTTTAAATACTCTGGTATATCGTCGCTATATTCCAGATTATCTAAGTTTCCATCATATTTCGATGTACCATTCTATAATTGAGAATATAGAATATATATCTGATAATTAGATACTACTTTACTATGTAAAATAATATATAAACAAACATATTTAGTCCTATACTTTCTCTTTTTTCTAGGATCATTCTTCATTTTATACAAGCCATTATCAGCGTTTAAAAGAGATCTTGTCTTTTCTTCCTCTAAATTTAAATAAGTAGTACTATAACGCATAAAATTTTCTTTTTGCTTTATAGTCCATAGTCTGTTTGTTTGTTATATGTTTTTAATGGGGGAGTAGAGAAATACTAATGTGTTAAAAAATTGTAAAGAAAATACCAGGTTTCTATTAATTTCCAAGTAAAAGTACTATTTTCTATTTTATATTCTAACCTATAAAGTGATCTTTGAGCTGATTTTTCTCCCATAGCCATCATACTTATAGAACTGAAAGCTGATGCAATCGTTGCAACGAGAGTAGCTAATGCAAGAATAGCTCGTTTTTTACGAACTTTTTCATTAACATTTGATGGTCTATCATCAAACGGACTTAAATCGTTATTCCTCAATAAACTATATAATTGCTTCCCTCTAGTTTTGCCTTTAAAATGCTCGTTTGTCAAGCAATTTTTCAATATTATCAACACAAATATAGTTACTATACATTTATTTTTCATTTTGTTCTTTTCTCTCTTTGTTCGTTATTAAAATTGTAGAAATTTGAATATGTTTATGATGAAAAATATTAATAAACGTAATAATTCATCAATTGGAAACTTTTTAGATAGAATCAACGTAAAGTTAGCCGTCTAATAAAAAAAACTCTCTTTTTCACTCTTAGATATTTATAAAACTTCACTTTTTCCCAGTTTATATTTACCATTTAAGAATATTTCGTTTAAAGATAAATGTCAAGGTTTAATCTTACCTATGTATTGATATATACAGATTTCTATTTATTTCGAAATCCTTTCGATAATTGAGTTCCTACATAGTAAAAGATGATATTGACTGCATTTGCCTAACTGGTATGATATGCTTTATGATTTACCAGTATTTGAACTTTCTCTAATTTCCATATAGTAAAAAAAAAACAGTTTAATTGATAACTATTTATATAGTTAATAAAACTAAATAAGCATATCATTTGTTTCGCTCTTTATCCATCTTTTTCATTACTACAGAAAGGCTTTCATAGTCTCTTCAGGATTTTAAGCAAATAATATTTGAGAGATATTAAGAAAGAATAATTGCAGTATGGGTGTTCAGGGTCTTTGGCAATTAATAGATGCTACAGGAAAAGCTGTAGATCTGGAGAGTCTTTCCGGAAAAGTATTGGCAATAGGTTTATATTTATAAATCATTATACGAATAAGTAAAATGTTAGACCGATTTAAAAATATTCGCATTCTTCAGATGTAAGTATCTGGATAAATCAAGCTCTCAAGGGCATGAGAGATAGAGATGGAAATCCTATACATAATGCTCATCTTAGTCTACTTTTTAATAGAATTTGTAAATTATTGTATTATAGAATAAAACCAGTATTTGTATTTGATGGAGCTGCTCCAACAATAAAAAAGATTGCTTTGGTATGATACTGTTCTCATCTTATCCTATTATTGTATTCACAACGATGCATTATAATGTATATATTTACGTGTAAAATAGAATCAAAGAAAAGAGAAAAGAGAGGAAAACTTAGAAAGAAAAGATAAAATAAATAAAAAACTGTTGGAAAACCTATTAAAGCAACATGCTATTGCTGCAAGTCGATCCCAATCTGGCGATAATATTGAATTACCATCGTTAAATTCAAGTTTTGAAACTGATCTGTTTGAATTAAGAGGAGAAAGTAGAATGCCAGAAACCATTGATGAATCATCTGATTCGAGTGATGATAATCCATTACAAGAATACGTAAGTGGATATGATAGCGTTTAATTTCTTCTTATAAAAGATTCTTTATATATCTAAATTGTTAGGTTGAGAATTTAGATCAAATTGATATGGAATCTGAGCAATTTCGCTCTCTTCCGTATGATATGCAACATGAGATTTTGATTGAATTGAAGGAGAAGGAAAAAAGGAATAGTTGGAAAACCATTGATAAATTACCTCCCGTTGCCGAAGACTTTTCGTCCTTTCAAATGGATCGTTTAAAGAAGAAAAGTAGAATTAACGATCGTATTGAACTTGTTAGAGACGAGTTGAATAAACAAGGTTCCGCAGTCATAGAAAAATACGGAAATAGTAAACTTTTATCCAAGAGGATTGTCTCGGAGGACGACAGTCATGTTTATTTAGTTAAAGGTTTAAATAGTAAACCAGAAGAGAAGAAAGAAGACGAGAAGATAGATTATACGAATATAGATGTTTTTGAGATGGCTAAAAAACATATGGAAACAAGAAGAAAGGCTTTAGAGAAGATCGAGGAAGAGGAAACTTCAAACATTGAAAAGACACGACCGAAAAGAATAGATACCTCTGGGGGCGATTCACAAAATGTCAAACAAATGACTACTATTCCAAGTACTGAGGAGAAGAGAATTGTTGAAATACCCCTTGAAGGAACATCTGAAGTGAAAGGTCCAATAAAAATAAAGGAAGTTAATGAAACCGAGAGTAAAGAGGCTGTAAAAGATGATAATAAGGATTCTACGGAAGAGACTAATAAACCTTCAACAGAAGATGGAAAAATTAAAGAGTCAGTTGAGGAAGTATGCGAAATGATGAAACAGAAGAAACCGGTAGAGAAGGATGATACAACAACAACAATCGACGCGATTATACCATCACAAATTATTGCAACGGAACAAGAAAATTCTCAGATTTTCACATCTTCAATTTCGACCGAAATGGTTAAGGTTACTGATTCTAAGAAGAATAGTACATTACCGGAAATAGAGGAAATTAGGGAAATGATGTCCACGGATGATAGGAAGAAAATGATAGATTCAAAGGAAATGGATGTTGATGATAAAATCACAGGAAGTCCTACTTCAATTAGTAGCGGTACGAACATTTTGTAATTTTTGACTAGTAAAATCTTATTGAAAAATATTTATTCCTTAGACGACGAAGATTTTGAAATTGTTCTTGATTCAATCCCAGCCGATTCTGAAGATGAAAGATCCGAATTGGGAAGTCAGTTTATTAAAGCATTGAATGAAAATGAATTTAACGGAGTAACCGAGGTGAAGCTTATTTTCTTTCTAATTCCCTTTTAAATGAAAACAAATTATTAGAAACAATTAGATGATCTAAGCGAAAAACTACAAGCAGAGAATAGACTTTTGAGTAAAGAAAGAGGAAAAATGGATAGATTAGCTATAACATTAAATGAACAGATGAGAGTTGAAGCTCAAGAATTATTAAAATTATTCAGTTTACCATATATTAATAGCCCAGGAGAAGCCGAAGCCCAATGCGCTTTCTTAGATTATGAAGGTTTAAGTCATGTAAGTATTTAATCATTTTTTTTTAGACGCTACTACCTTTCTTAAATTAGTATTCTTCTAATTATCCTATATCCAGGGTACAATTACGGATGATAGTGATATCTGGCTATTTGGAGGACAAACTGTATATAAGAACTTCTTTAATAGCGATAAATACGCTGAAGTATACAAGTTTCAAGATTTACATGATACATTATGTAAGAGCTATAAATCAATTAAATATTTTATACGCAAATATAATCTGCTTCTCTCTCACTCTTTCCCTCTCTACCTCTCACTTCACACAGCATTAACCAGGGAGAAATTAATCAATATAGGCTTATTAAGTGGTTGCGACTATTCTGTAGGAATAGAAAATATCGGCCCAGTAACGAGTATGGAAATTTTAGTTGAATTTGAGGGAACTGGTTTTGAAGTGCTCACTAATCTCAAGTAGATATTTTATATATAAAATTAAATTATTATCTGCTTTTCTTTTACATTTAAACTTTATAATTATAAGAAAATGGTGGGAAAATGCTCAAAAGACAAACGATGATAGTATCTATACAAAGTTAAAGAAAAAACTGAAAAAGTTTCATTTTCCAGATAGTAAGTTAATTTATATATATTTTGTTTGTCTTGTTTGGCTTTTTTTTATGAAAGTTATTAGATTTACAATTATTATATTGTTATTATTCTTGTTGCAGATTTCCCCAGCGAAGTTGCTTATAAATCTTTCATGAATCCAACGATTGATGTTTGTAAAGAGCAATTTCATTGGGGGATTGCTGACTTTGACGTGTTAAAAGAGTAAGTTGTATAAAGTTTATATAAACTTCCTTTCTATTCAGGCTTTTGTCCTTAAAAAAATCAATTAGGTACGCTAGTAAAAAACTCGGTTGGAGTTCTATCAAAGCCGATCAATTATTGCTTCCAGTATTCAAAAGGAGAAAGGAAGAGCATTCAAATCAATTGAAAATTACCTCATTCATGCCAAAATCATCATCGGTTGTTTATATGACGGAGAGAAAACGTAAAATCAAGAGCAGAAGAGTAAAAAATGCCCTATTAAAAATGAATAATAAAAGTGCAAAGAAGATAAACACTGTAAATCTATCAGAAAGTAGCGATTCTGACAACTGAATAAAGTATACTTATTCTAAATTCTATGTTTTTTTACTGTTATTAAACAAGATTTGCTTATTGATAATACAAAAGAAGAAAAAAAATACAAACAACACTATTCAAATAAAATCTATATAAAGCCTCTTAACCCTTTTGTTAACTTTTTTTTCTTTAAAAAAAAAGGAAACAATGATGATAAAAGAAAATAAAAAAAAATTCCTCGAAAAGTTTATTCATTGATTATTAAGATTATTGAAAGAGGAAAGGGAATAGAGTGAACAACATCTTTAACACAGAATTAAAGGTACTAAGAAATTAATTATAATTTATGAACTATGAAACTTTTCTATAATATTCTATTTCTCAGGTGAAAGACAAAGAAACTTTACTCTTCTTATTTACTCTTTCTTTTTTCTAAATGTTTTTATAAACACTGTGTGAATTTAGATGGGAGTAAGTGTTTTTGAGATTGTAAGAGAGATAATTTGCGTTAGAGTTGGTGTACTGTAGAAATTAAACCAATGAAAAACTATTTTTAATGAATACTTTTATCGATCTAAAATGATCCAAATGCCTTCGTAAAAATATCATTTGCTTTATCAACCAACGAATCATTCACTTCGTAATCTTCTGTTGTCAATTTGAAAGTTTGCAGTTTATTAAAAATTTTTGGAGGTGGAGAGCCTTGTTGTCCTTTAATAATATTAACAAAATATACTGGAACTCCTAAGGATCTTAATTCTTGTCGATCCAATAGTCGTAATTGTGGAAAGTATCTAAAAAGCGCATATATCGATAGTTCTTCTAAGGTAGGCAGTTGAACAGATAAAGAACAGAGGCGGGCAGTTCTGTTTTGTTTTTCGAATTTAAAACTGGCGGAAGAAAATTCTTGTAAGCTGAGATTACCACCGTACCAAAATAACCTTCCGTTATTTAGCATCGATGCTGCATGAAAATTAACTTGAACATTTAAGCTCCATGCTAAGAGCTTCCATGAGAATGTATCTAAATCTAGCTCCCAAATATCGTTTAAAATTCCTGTATTGTTTTTGCCTCCTAGTATATAGCATTTACTTTTCCATTTTGACACTGAGTGACACATCCTTTCTAGTGGATAGCTCTGCTTTGTGTGTTTAGAATCAAGTATGGTCATCACTTTCGACCAACTCCTTTTTTCCAAATCGAAAACGTCCAAGCACTTCAAAGAGAACACTTCTTCTTTCGTACCACCTCCAATCAAGATAAATTGACTATTATGAATTACTATCTCGTGACGATACCTAAGAACGTGATTCGATATTTTTAGATTAATTAATCATCAAAATATTTACTTTACATAAATTTGCATAAAAGTATCTATAAAACATCATTGAAATATGATTTAGAGTGTAATTAGGATACTTTGATGGAGACCTTCTAGATTGATTGCTTCACTGAAAATAGGGAACATTGCTAATTTTTTATAATACTACATTTTCCCTAAACAAAATGTAATTGATCAGTTTTAATAGCCATTTTAACTTTTACTTAGAATATATTTTGAATCACGTTCCTAGTTTGAGGTGCGTTCAATTCTGTTGTATATTCCTCCCATTCAAAAGTTTTCAAGTTTAGACAGCATATGTTATTATGATATATATAACCGCTGGTTCCAAGTACGAGCCAAAGTTTATTTTTTTCCAAGGCCACAGCCGAACCGTAGGAAGGCATAGGTCGTTTTCCCGAAGAATTAACCATTTTCCATGTAAGAGTTTTCAAGTCACAGCAATATATTTCACTATTAAGTCCATAACCAAAAGGGAATCCCGTTCCTCCAATCACCCACAATTTGCAATCATAATAAAACATTGAATGAGATGCACAATGTTGAGGCGCATCACCTTCCGTCTCTAGAAAAGCCCATTCTCTTGTGATAGTATTATACCTCCATAATTCAGGAAACAGAGGATATTTTGGATTTGTGCAGGCCATAAAGAAAGGGTTATAACCCCCATACAAATACAGCGAATAATTATTGTCAGAGACCATCTGATGACCGCTTCTCGCCCATGGCCAAACAGATTCCTCATCAATGGGTATATGACAATTTATATGACTACGAAGATTTTTTACATTAGACATATTTTCTAATAAATTACTCGTGCAGCTATGGCAAGTCTCATCTGTAACACAACTCGACTTCTTATTCCATGTTTTCGAAAAATTGTCAGTTATATACCAGTTTCTACTAGGCGCCACTTTCAAAACAAAAGTATAATCAAATAGTCTAGTTGCTCGCGTATTCTATTTGTTTAGAAATGTTAACGAGTTCAAGACATTTGATATTCCAAGATATTTATAACTGCTATACAATTTAATAGGGTCTTTGTATTAAAAGAATATAGAATTGATTTTCTTTTTTTTATTCAAACACTTTATCTAAAATCTAGGTAAGCAATAGGAAAAAACAGGAAAATTCAAGTGATATAAAAAAAGTAAGTTAATTATTTATTTATGTCCTTAAAGACCAAGGTCGAATAGGGGAACCGAAAGCTGTTAGTGCCATAGCTTGTAATTGTTTTTCTCTTTTCATCTTTTGTTCTTTACGATATTCAGCTAAAGAGAAAGAGAATGTTAATTAATTCATGAAAATCTGAAGTAGGCTCATTTATAAAGTCGATTCTTGGTGATAATTGCGACAATTCTTTTGTTTAAAAAAAATAATATTGAAATATTGACAAGATGACAATACCTTTTCCCAAGATATTACTTACCAGCTAAAATTACCATGTAAATACCCCAAGTTAAACTCCAGAACCATCCAACCAGAAGAAAGGTTACTGTAAACAACTGTGATATTCCAATACATATATTTACGCATAAAACTGTCATAACTGCGTCGTCTTTACTTGCCAATCTTGATTTTCCGCAGCACAACAAACACAGTCCGCTCAAAATTGTTCCTAAGAATACTTAAGATAAGCAAAAGTTGTTGAAAGATATCAAAATATCCTTATTAATTAAATAGGATAACGTCATATAAAAAATATGTCAGTTCTTATTTATATTATTTATATAAGTATAGCAAAAATGAAAAAATGAAAAATCTTTCAACCAACCTGTTCCTGGGACTACGATGTTGAGGATTAGACACAAAACAGCAACGGAAGGAGGTAAATAAGGTATTGCTGTTCTTATGAATGAATCAGTATTCGTTACTGTTTTCCCCTTATCTTCGTCTTCTTTCTTCGTTCCGTTATTCTCCAACTTTGAAAAGTCAATTGCGCTTACTCTTGATTCATTAGATCGGTTACTTTCTCTTCTTGAGCCTATGGAGCCCCTTTGATTCGGACTATCCCTTCCCGCCTGATCTGTTCCGGATTCTACTTTACCGGGTATATTAAGAGACTCTTTTCTTGCCAAACTCGCCCGCCTTTGATCATTCGGAATAAGGTCCAAAGTTCTACTTACGGATGGCCATCGACTGGGTCGACGTCCTCCAGCTCCTTGAGATTCCGATATTAAGGAAACAGTATCCTTTGCCGCGCTCATCTCAAGTTAGCAATACGATAGGCGGAATCAATAATATAGGCACGCACGCCAATCCTCCGTCATATATATTATAATGATAATGCAAACGCTGCGGCGTTAAAAGCTAGACTGAGGCGTTTTTCAGCTGGATCAATAGGCTTAAATTGCCTGACCGATTTGAACAGCGATTATTGATTAATATTGAACTATTGAGAAACTTTCAAAGTACTTATTTACATATTTTTCGTCTATTAACGTAACTTATTGGGTCTTACATTCTGGATTTTCTCTAGTGGACGACAAATTTGCTACATCTACTACTTTTTTATATTGCTTTCTACCTTTTCTTTTTGAGGTCTCTTCTTTCTCTTCAGTTACTCTTTCTTCCTCATCATCTCCTCCTTCCGACAGTCTTGAGAACGATTGCTCAGGAGTGTAATTATGCACCTGTATATTTAGAAAATTGGCAAAAATAAACTCTAGAATCAATTACTACAAGCTTATTATCATCCTTAATTGGGTATGTTAAAATTTTAGGTGACTCTTACTTGAACTTTGTCCGAAACGGAAACAACTTTTTTTCTTTCTTTTAAAACTGGATTTTCAACTTCAGGTTCAGGTTTCTTTACTATTTCTTTTGGGCGAATTTTGTCTTTGTTTTCTTTATTATTCGGCTCTTCAAATATTTCATCGTCCGATAATTTCTCTTCAAAGTATTGCTCTCTTTTTTCTTTTTCTTCTCTCTCTTGAACCACTTTTTCTAGTAGAGGATACGAATTAATCAAGAGGTCTTATTAATTATTTTTTCTAATTAATTTACCTGGTTCGTACTTAAGCCGGATGGTCCTCAATTCAACGCTTAATTCAAAATACATTCCTTTGTATTTTTCGCAATGACTCTTCGCTTCGTACAATCGACGTTGAGTCTGAACTAATTCATCCGACGTAGCTAAACGAAATGTTCTTTCCTGAGCCAATTTTTTTTCTACCTCTTTCTTCTCTTTTCTTGAAAAATAAAAAGAAATTAATGATCAAGATGATTTAATGAGCGAAAAGAAAGTTATCATACTCTTTTGTTTCAATCAAACTTTTCAAGTATTCAGTAAAATCCAATAAATTCAATTCTCCTTCCTTTATAGCACCTGACATTGAAAATCCGTCAAAAGGTGACTTTGATTCAGCTAATTTTACGTTAGTAATCTCTAATTGATGTGCCAGTGAGGTTATTTCCGAATGAGCTTCGTGCAATTCATTTTCTAATTTTCTCATTCTCTCCTTATCTAAATTCTTTACTCCGCTATTTAATGTCAAAACATTCGATAGTTGCATTTTGAATTTTTCAAGAGTTTCCGATGTTATTTTATGAGATCGAGCTAAATTTTCATATTTCACGCGAAACTGTAGTAGTTCTTTTTCGGCTTGAATTCTTCTATCTTCAACCTTCATTTTAGCATAGAAAAATGATTAATACGTATTTTTATGTTTACAATAACAAAAGAGACTTTACCTCAGCAAATAAAGAATTTCCCTTTTTGTTATGTTTGTCATATTGCAGTTTTATGTCATCCATTTCGCTTCGTAGTTCTTTAACCTCTAATCTGCTTTTCTAAAATTAAAGAAGAGAATAAAATAAAGTAAATTTAGCTGTCTAATTCCTCTCTCTGTTACCTCCAAGTATTGACTATACGATAGAGTCTCGTTCTGAGAATCTCCTAAGTCAGTTTGCAGTCGGGATACTTTTCGTATAGCCTCTTTTAGCTCTTCTTCAATTTTCATTTTATTTCTTTCCAATTCGTGAATTCGATTATTTTGCATTAACTAAAAAGGAAAAAGAGAAAATTAAATATTTATCTTAATCTAAACGATTTAAATATAAACTGACAAGATCTTCTTTCAGTTTTGAGTTTTGTTCCATTAAAACAGAGGTTTGAAGACGACCAACAGGCGAAGATCGTCTTTCTTGTAGTTCCAAGGTTAACTCTTTAACTTGATCTAGTCAATCAGATGCTAATTATTTTCAAAAGAATATAAAGTAGTTGATTATGTACTTTTTAAGTCTTTTATTTGCTCAGTTTGTATAGAATTTTTCTTTTCAGCTTCATTAATTTCATTCTCTAACGATGAAACCTTTTTATTCATTTCCATGGCGTGTTTTCTCTTCAGATCATCGAAGTCGTTAGCAAACTCTTCCTATTTTCATAGACATATAAAGGCAGATGTGATTAAGTTCTCTTTCTCATTATATATGTAAAGCTAAATAAAACATACATCTTTTGATGATAATCGATCTTGTAGAGACTCAACCTCAGTTTCCAATTCCTTTTTAGTTCTTTTACTACATTCTAATGATTGTTGGAGAGAAAATTTTTCTTGAGAAAGTTTCTGAAAGGGAAGATATATTCAGCTGCCGACAGAAAGTCTATAGAACGTATATTTTGATATCAAAACCTCAATTTCTGATGTAAATCTTGTTGATTCATCCTCTAGAGTTTTTTGAAGACTATTATTACTAGAAAGAAGCTGTTAATTAATAGTAAACATATACTTATATTTCTGTCATTTATTTGTAATATTATTTTCAAACCTCTAAGCCGACTTTCCCAGCTTTGTCTAATTGTTCATTTTTGTCTTTTAACTTTTCATCAAGTAAAGCTATTTGTTGACGAAGCTTTGAAATATCATCATACGACCCATTTGATTGCAACCCAGCTATTGATTCAGAAATATCTGATGATATGCCGTTTTCACTCATTTTATTTGAATCCCTCGTTTAAAAATAAGCTTAAAAGATTAAAAATAAAAAACAATGCCTATCTATGGCCAAAACCTTAAAACTGTTTAAGTATTTTCAAAAACACCGCAATCACACAGTTAAATGTGAGGTGTGTTATTCCTGCACATTTTGTCAGATTCTCTAAGGTTTTTCGATAACGAGCCCGTCTATGTCGTCTGCTGGAGTATTGCTAAATTTTACAACAATTGGAACAATATTGACAAAAGTTCGTAATAAAGTAAAAAATTTGGTAAATTTTACTGTTAATTTACTAAAAAGATAAATTTAAATAATATATGATTACAAAAATCACATGATGTGCTTAATTTTACAGTTGATTTTATACATAGTGAAAAAAAAACAAAGGCAAAGTCAGTCGTAACAAGACCCTTGCAGCGTTTAGAGTGTTCCACTTGCTTCCGTTTGCACGCGTAAAAATTCGATCTATTTTCATCCCGAAATAGGTTTGATTGTACAAGAGAATGTCGTTGAAAGAATTTTCAAATCTCAAGGTACAATTTTTCAATGATTTTCTTTCGTATTACATCACTTTGTAATAACAAATATTTAAGAGAATACAATTAACTGGAGAAGTGCTGCAGATGTTGAAAACATCAGATTATATTCATTATCAAATACTGTTTTAAAATTAAAATATTAAAAAAACACAAATATATTGTTTCAGTATAACACCGGATTTGGTGGAGAATTTGCTAGTGAAGATCCAAGATGCCCCGAATCTCTTCCTAAAGGACAAGTTTGTATTTTTACTCTTTTGAAAAATATATTCAAGATCAGACTGATAATTGGGATAAAAAAAGGTTGTTAATAGATCAGGTGTCCTTCATTTAGCATGTACGAACGGCACGTACACATTTCATTGTGTTGCCGGTATGGTACGTTCTCGTATGGCTATGCAAAGGTGACCTTGATCCATAATTTCTGATAAAGTTGTATTGATTGGTTAGGTTCAAGTCGACTGGCAGCATCTGTATATAAAAAATAGCCTTCTGTTTTTATTTTGATATCAATTCAATGTTTAACATTTATAAATACTGTCAATACCAAGAAGATTTACTTTTGTTTCTTTTTCAGAATAATCCTCAAATATGTCCTTACGGTCTCTATGCCGAACAATTATCTGGGTCTGCTTTTACCGCCCCAAGAAGCTATAATGTCAGGACGTGGTTTTACAGAATTAGACCTGCTGTTTGCCACAAGCCCTTTAGTAGAATTGACCAGGGAAATATGTCCAACGACTTTTCGAGTACTGTACCCGATCCTGCTCAGGTAAAAAACATGTTCCTTCAAATAATTTAATAGAATATTCAATCAACCTAATCGAATTGATTCTGTATTCGAATCTCATATAGTATTAGATGGTAGAAAGATAAGTAATGAAATTAGATATTCAGTTAAAGTCTCTTAATAGTTTCATGATGCATTATCTTCTCAAAATAAGATCAATTCTTATTTCAGACACGTTGGAAACCGTTTGATTTCCCCAAGAAGGGAGAGGAGATCGACTTTGTTAACGGTTTAGCAACTATTTGTGGAGCAGGAGACCCAAAATCGAGACATGGAATAGCTATTCACGTGTATTCTTGCAATATCTCTATGACGAACAAGTAAGAATTTTATAAATAATCAATAGAAATACAAAAATTACCATAGAATCTTTTCAGAGCCTTCTATAATTCTGACGGAGACTTTTTAATAGGTAAATAGAACAAAACTTATTTCGTAAACTTGTACTAAAAAAGAATTATAGTCAATAAGCAGCTAACGCCATCTGTAGATTGTATAAATTGTATAGATTCTACTTCATGATATAATTTAGTATATCGAAACAAAGCAAAATTAGATATGATAAATAAACATGTAAATTATAACTTTATCCAATAATAATCGCATAAATATTCTTTAACATTTTTGTGAGAAATCTACTAAATAATTAACTATTTTATAATGGATTAAATAAGTTATAAACATAAAATATTCCCTATTTTACAGTTCCGCAAGAAGGATCTTTATATATTAAAACAGAAATGGGAAAAATCGTTGTTAATCCAAATGAAATTTGCGTTATTCCAGTTGGTTCTAATTTAGAAATGAAAAATCCTATATATTTACTAAATCGTTATATTTTACACAGATGGGAATTAGATTTAACGTAAGTGTTAGTGGAAATACAAGAGGTTACATACTTGAAGTATTTGACGCTCACTTTGAACTACCAAGCTTAGGCCCAATTGGTAAATAAATAAATTAATACGAACGAAAAATAAAAATAGATGTCTAACCGACAAAACAGTAAATATAGTAGTGTAATGCTTTGTTTTTTATTAAATAAGGTGCAAATGGGTTAGCTAATCCCAGGGATTTTGAATATCCAACGGCTTGTTATGAAGATTTGGATATTAATGGATATAAAGTGAGTTAAATGATCTTGAAAATGAGATTTTGTATTACTTGAATAAGACTGTTAATGTTTTCTTAACGATTTTAGGTCATTAGTAAATATCAAGGAGCTTTTTTTGAGGCCCTGCAGGATCACAGTCCCTTCGATGTGGTCGCCTGGCATGGTATAGTATCTATTCTAGAGTTGTTTATATATTCTTTCATTGATTTGTCTTTTTTCCTAAACAAGGTAATTATGCGCCGTATAAGTACGACTTGTCCAAATTTATGGTAATTAATAGTGTGGCCTTTGATCATGCTGACCCTTCCATATTTACTGTTTTAACTTGTCAAAGTGTTAAACCTGGCGTTGCTATTGCTGATTTTGTCATATTCCCTCCTCGTTGGGGAGTTGCAGATCACACCTTTAGACCACCTTACTACCACAGGTATGAATTAATAATCCTAATACCAATTTTCTATAACTGCATGGAGTCTGGTACATTCAATATATTTTTCTTTTTAGGAACTGCATGAGTGAATTTATGGGATTGATATTGGGAAAATATGAGGCCAAAGAAGGTGGATTTTTACCAGGTGGTGCTAGTTTGCACAGCATGATGACTCCACATGGACCCGATTCTGAGTGCTTTAATAAGGCTTCCACTGAAGATCTAAAACCGGTGAGAGTAGCCGATGGTACAATGTCATTTATGTTTGAATCGAGTTTGAGTATGGCAATAACTGATTGGGGTGCTAAAATATGCGAAAAGGTTGACGATGAATATTACAAATGTTGGCAAGGAATTGAAAAGAAATTTAATCCAAACTGGAGAGACGAGTAAGTAACAATTTGTATTGTTATCAAACGTTTTCATACTCTAAAATCATCAATTTTCATACGTTTCTATTTCATTAATTAAAAATCTAAAATAAGTGATTTTAATTAAGAAAAACAACAAGTAAACATAATTAAAGTCTTTCTTCTTACTCTCTTTTTCTATTACCGAATGACTTTTTATGATTTAAGATTCTCTATAATTCAATTATAAAAAAACAATTTAGTTAAAAATAAACTAATGAAAGAGGGTTTAAACATAGCAATTTGTCTTACAATTATTTTATAACCCTCTTTACAGTTTTTCATCACAAAAGTAAATAGTTATAGAATATGACATGTAAAAAAAATTCCTAATTTGTTTTGAAGGTATTGATAGTTTTTCTTATTTTCGCATAAATATCAAGCATCAAGCTTAAGTATCATTTTATAAAAGCACGTTCTGCGATGAAATCTTTAAAAATCTATATACTGAAGAATTGTATTTAAAAAAGATATCAATAACATAATTACTAACATCTATTGATATTATACTATATTATATGCTAAAAATGCAATATACAGTATATTTATACTGTATTTATTTACTATACAAAAGTGTATTTATAAAAGAGCGTTAGTATTTGAAGTCTTTTATTTCGTCATGTATTTAATAATTTATAATTAAAAAATCCCTTAACGAATTAATTGACTTGAGGAAGATAATTAACATACTAATTATTTAATTACTTCAAACTAGGTTTTCGCATGATTGCTTTAATTATTATATGAGATAGATATAAACGCTGCAAATTTACATATACTGTATATAAGCATATTTATTCTTTTATTTCCTATACAGAACAAATGGTGAATCAGGTCCTCCAACCAAAAAACGTCGTTAGAACTATTAACAAAACAATAAAGAAATAATCCTTGAAATTGAAATTATTTTATCTTATTACATGATATTTCCCTTGCACCTGCAATAATCATCTAAAAACGTGTGTGTATATCTATATATATATATATACATATGTATATGTATGTAGACGTCCCATATTTACTATAATACGTATTTGACGTCTTCTTATGTGTACATGTACCTTTTTTTTTCTTCTTTCTTTTAGCGGGATTTTAATTCTATAATTTCTTTTTATTGTGTTTTTATTCAATTCATAATCTTCAGTTCTATTAGAGTACATATCTATTGATAGAGTGTATTTCATTAACAATAAATAACTTTCAATATTTACTCTATACCAATATCTTTGCTAAATTTACAATGCGAATGATGCTGTTAACTTCATTAATAATGAAAATATACAATTATGAAGCACAAAATAAAAATAAAAAAAATCAAATAAACAAGCATTCACTCTGCTATCCAAACAAGCTAACATTAAAATATTAAGGACACAGGAACTTTATCTATCGATACTTTGAAGATTTAATGAACTAGATAGATATTTTGCATTAAAGATAGTTCGACATTTGGAGAAATCTATTAATGTTTTACAATAAATTCAATATGATAGGAGTAATTAAAGTATTGTTATTTTCCTTGTTCAAACTCTTTGTGCTATAAAAAAGTGTCCGTTATTTTTATTCTAATAAATTACTAGTACTGCTTAATCAATAACTATATATATATTTATATTCATGAAATGGTATAAAAATTCATAGTAGGTTTTAGATTACGCAAGATAATCTTGTTCAATGCTTAATAGTTAATCTATTTCTACTGTTTGGCTTATAAAATAAATAAATTTACATGTACAAATATTGAGATTAGCTGTTAATACTGTCCACATTGGCAATGTTAATCTCGATTATTACTAAATAAAAATAGATAGTTAATAGTAACTATAGTAATATTAAGTAACAAATATTTAAAAACACAACTCTCAAAGACTTGTTTTCGAATGATTGAACTTTTGTTTTTAATGAAAATATATTTATTTTTGCAGATTTAATTTTCTTCTCTTTATTTTTCAACTTGATTAAATATTGATTAATTAGTTTGAAGCGTTTTGATATAAAGGAAGAGAAAGTGAGAGAGAGAGAGAGAGAGAGAGAGAGAGAGAGAGAGAGAGAGAGAGAAATAAAATAAATCTTCTATGATAAAGTTACTTACCTACCTTTTTTTTGAACATTTATATGACTAATTAAACTGTATAGACCATTTTCTATACTAAATATTTAATCATGTTGATATCATTAATGTTTACTAACAATGTATTAAATATATAAATCTATCAGCGTGTATAGTTTATTATATATATATATAATCGGAACATGTATGAATATATAATTAATATTAATATGGAATTTAGGTCACAATATATTTTATATTGATGCATCATTATTCTATTGGGAATTCTTTTTTATCTTATTTTTATTTCAACCCGCCAAGGGCGACAATGTGGTTTTTTTCCTATATAGTTTTGTTAGAAAAATGAGGAGGAATAACACAGAAAAAAAATAAAAAATTTAGGCCTATTTGCAATTATTATTTTATATTTAGAATGATTATAAAATAAGATATCTGCATGTATTTTAAAAATAAGTAATGGTGTATATACATTTAAGTTATTTATATATATTTTTTAAAGATTAACATATTTTTTTTCTTTTCTCATATACAAACTATAACGCACTGTAATGTTCTCATTGCATAGTTTATAATGAAACATTAAACGAAATAGCCATAGTATTTTAATCTGCACGACTGAGCCCCATTATGACGTATACAAGGATATACAGAATATACAATGTATATACATAAGTATACTTGTATACTATATATATAGCAGATACATACACACATACATACACACTTACACACACACACACACACACACAGACACACACATAAACTATTCGTCTGCAGATCTTTGAAAAAAAAGCAAGAGAATGATTTGCTCCTTTTTCCAATTTAAAAGTCAAAACAATCGAAAACATGGCACAGTAATTAAAAAAAAGAAAGTTAAATTAATCTCATTTACTATTTTCTTATTTTTCCTTTATAATATAATTAAGATTAATATGTTTAGAATAGATTTTGTGCACTACCGGACCAAGTAAAAATTTCTTTGACCCATTAACTAAGGTCATAAAAGGTTATTGTTATAGAATATTAAAAGTGTTAAAAGTTTTATACAATATTTTAATAGTAATATTAAAGGAAAAAAGATAGAGGAGGATGCTTTTTTTTAGAAGAAATCTTCAACTTTCTAATTCAACCTATCTATCTTCTTATTCTTATAATTTTTCTCTTTCATCATCATTTTTTATCTTGCAATTTCCTTCTTTTACATTTTATGCTTTCTTCTTCTTCAAAGTGCCAATCGAAGGATCAGGGCGAAGTTCTCTGTACATTATCTATTGGAAAATAAACAAATAAAGTATAGACAATTAATGAAATATTTATATTAATATACCAATTCTTTGTCGGAAGGCACTCTCGATAGATAATCCATTAATTCATTATTTGGTATTGCATTGGGAGCACGTAGTTTCTTAGTGAATTTATTGATTCCTGAATTTCGATAGAACGTTTATCAGATACGTGTAATAAATATAAAAGATTAGCTATTGTTATTTACCCCAGGCCATAATTAGGTATCTTACAGGCACAAGGTAAAGTACAGCAGTACCAATCGTCAGTACAACGATAGCCAACCAAGATAACCAAGGAACAGTCCAATTAAACGTACTGTTTGAAATGATAAAGGAGAGGGGAAATTTAATTATATCTTTTGTTGGAGTCGCGAAAGAGCTAAACTGTAGCAAACAGTTTTGCCTTCGTATTAAATAACGTACTTCTTTACTCTTTCTCCCATGGATGCGGCCATATCCATACCCTCTTGCACTTGCAAACATATCTCTTGAACTTGTTGAATTTTATCTTTAAATGATTTCTTTTCTTCCTATTAAATATATACAGATATTCTTTTTAATACTCTAAATTCATAGTAGATTTTCCTTTATCCAAATATAATGAATGTATATATGCTAATATATATATATATGTATAAAATGGAATAAAGATATAAATTCTATCTAACTCCTCCTCCTCCTCATAATCATCATCACCATCATCAGTTCCCTTCTCTCAAATTACTTTTTAATTCATTTTTTGAAGTCAAAGCATAAAAAAAGAAAAAAACTCTCCAACTTCCGGTAGAGAATAATAATTAAAAATGATTTTTATTCAAAACCCCGTATAGCAATTAATTTTCCATAGAAAATTTTTTTAATTAGAAAGAGAAGAAGAAGAGAAATAAATCATGCTTTCCTCTCATTTTACCTGCTTTGGTTTAGATTTCTAGGTAGAAAAACGTATCAATTAAAGATTTAAACAAAAGAGACGATCTAATATAAATATAACTAATTTTAAGTATATTAATAAATCCAAACTATACTATATTTTACTATGATTATAAGATACAGTAGAATTCTCTTAATCCTTATCCTTGGGAATATATGTATATATATAAACATACAGATATATTGCGTAAAGTGGTCATCATAACTATTATAAATGGCTAAGAAAATTATTAACATTCGTAAAATATGAACATACAGATAGATAGTCCTTAGCATCCTACCAGAGATGGTAGAATGATAATATTATTAGATTTGATAAGACTAACCAATTGTGATAGGTAAACTATAGATATTATATATAAAATTTTAGATGTATCCATCATTCACTTGATGTCATTTTTTATTAATAAAATTCTCTTTATAGGAGAATAATTTCTGTAATTTTAACAAAATTACTTCTGTAATATAAATATTAAAATATTAATATAATAATTCTAGGCCTATGAATTATTTTTATCTACTTTCGTTTAGTGACCACAGACGTACAACACACTCTATATACAGTATATACTCTATATATAAAATTTATATATATATATATTGAAAGGATTTCATAATAAAGACATATAAATTATATAGAGAATAATTTTTAAGTTATATAGCGCACTATGCTTTAGATAAGAGATTTCAATAGTTGCAAAGAAAAAGAAATTATCCCATTTCCATTTATATTTTTTTACCTTCTGTAACGTTAATTTGCGTTTTTATTTGCGGATTGGAAGAGAAAATTGCAAACAATTTTAATATAGTAAACGTATTAGTATTATTAATAATATACTGTATATATATAATGTATATAGTATATTATAAATTTATATGTATATATATATATATATAAATTATACTTTATTAATTAATATTACGTAAAGATTTTCCTTTAGTTCTCTTACCTTTTCTTTGTCATCTTCATCTTCATCGTCTTCTTCGTCTACGTATTCCTATTTGTAATCAATTGAAATGTTTTTTTTTTAAAAAAAGAATAGAATAATAGACAACCTCTTTAGAAAGTAAATTCTCTAAAGAGAATGCAATAAATTACTCACGTCGTCGTCTTTGTCCTTCATGAGATTGCCTACTATGTGGACAACAAGTAGGTTCTTTAAAAAGACTATGAGGAGTGTTATTGGTAACATATATAATTCAAAATTCCAGACAATAATAAGGAAGATAGCGAAAGCACTAGCACTGCGAAGTCTTGATTCCCAACTGAAGCAACTCTGGATGAATTTTCCAGATTCTACAGCAGCTTCGCCCAATTTCGATACTCTATCAATATTCCTTTTTAAAACCGATAATTTGAACTTCGGTTCAGGTTGCATATATTTATCTTCTCTTGGATTAAACGTTCTTATGGCTGCCTTAAACTAAAAGAAATGAAAAAATAAGTGAAAAATGATAAGTAGCTTAAAAGAGGTAAAAAATTAATAATTCCACAGATCATCTAGACAGACAATATAGATATACAAAAAGAGAAAATGTATATATAATAGATAACTGAAATAAAGAAAAAAAAATTCTAAAGAGTAAGAGACTTCCGCCAATCTTTAATTTCTTTCTCTCAATATACTTTTTGACAACTCTTACGTGATTAAAGACAAAATCGAATTCCAAAAGAATTCCTCCTTTAGCCCTTATCATCCCTTTCTTATCCTTTAACTGGTACCATCTCTTCTGCTTGTTTCGAATCTAAATAATAATATTGAAAGAAAAAAGAAAATTTTGATAATAAAAACACAAAATGAAGGAAACTAAAAAATAATATTTTTGAATGTCTTGTTTAGTTTGAATTCTTTTCAGAGGCAGATGGTGAATTTTATTAGTAGTCTCATTGTTTCCTTTGAAACAGCTCTTTGCATCTCTCAAGAGAGGAAAAAAATGGTTACTACATTGGTTTTTAGAATGAGGATGAGGAAGTTTGTAAATTGGGAAATTAGGCAACATTGGTATTGTAAGACAACAGATACTAAGCAATAAGACATTACTATAAAAATACGTGTTGGGGTTACGTAATCAATATATTCATTTCGTGCTGTTAATACTACATATAAAATACTCTGTGTAACGTGACATAAATTTGACGACGAAATCTAACTCTAGCTCTCTTACATTATTATAAATTACGTCCATTTCCAATTCGATAGCCCCTTTTGTTCTACGAGTTAATTTCTTATCTTTCAGGGCAAACCACTTTCTCTCCGACGGATATATCTGTACATTTTTTAAATTAATTTCGTTTCTTTCTTTTATCTATATCATTTTAATCTTGTTTTTCTTTATCCTTTATTCTTCATCTTTTAGTCTACCGATTGTAGTGAAAGAGAAGAGAAGATTTGAAGGAAAAGATATAATGTGAAAAGGGAACAGGGAAATGATCCAGAAGGATAGTTCGTATCAAAGAAAAGTCTAATATAGTCGGATTTTTTTATTATCTTTGTTTCGTTTTCTCTTTCCCTTGTTTCTTTTGTCCTGCTTATCTTTTTGTACACGCCTCTGGAAAAATTAGGGAAAAAAACTTACTCGGATTAGGGGTATAGCCACTTTTCCTAAGAATTCCACTTTCTTATCCCTATCTTCGTCATAGACAGTAACTTCTAATATAGAATGGATATCTTTGACGTTACTGTTGGGAAATTGGGTTGTTAAGAAAAATAAATTAAAATGGGCCGTTTCTATCAATAAATAAAGAAACTTACAAATTGAAAATCTTTCCCCATTCTGGACAAAGAGTCTTGTATTCTGTGTGCGTCTGAAGACGATCATTTACCAACTCCAGAACACAAAATGGATCACTTTTTCCTCCGATATCGGCAGATGCTAGACCCTGAGCCTTAAGAACTTTTGTTAAGAAAAAAAGAACAAAGAAAAAATCATTAGGACTGATGAATAACACGAAGAAGTTTGCATCTTTGATACCTTTTACTTGAAGCCATCCAACGTCTTTAATGCCTTTGAGACTATTAATTGCTCCATATTTTCGAGAAATTTTTTTTCTATCGTTAGGATCTTCAATGTATTTTGATAAATCAGACGTGGTGTCGGATCCAACCATTCCACTTATAGAGAGGAGAATCTTAATATAGCCGTCCGTATCCTCTAATTTACACTCTAAAGCATGCGTCGTTTCCGGTGCTAGTGTTGCTAGATCAACAACACTACGACCCATAAAATCGTCTTTACCAGCAGCATCATGATCCCAAACCGACAATTCCAATAACGTACTCTGGTCCTCGTATACTCTTAAATCGAATTGTTCCAACCATTTGGGCGACAGAGTCTTTGCCTTCCACTTGGATTTGTATTTTTCATTACCCAAACGAAATTTTACATATGGATCGCTTAGTCCATTATCATCCATAGCCATCAAATCCTTTGCCTCTACAAGTACAATAGTCGCTACAGATGCCCATAATTGAGTCTTAATTTTCTTTGTGTCAGACTGTCGGCCACTTTTTCGGAAATACTGTTGACAAGAAAACTTATTTAAGGGATTAACAGCTTCAGTCCAATAGAATGAAGACATCATCCAACTGTTAACGAAATATTCATATGTCTCCACATATATAAAATTTGTATATATGCGAAGAAGAGTCAGTACAAAATATTTAAGGGAAAAGAGTGTAAAATATGATGACCTTGCCAGTGCTTTTTGAAAGAAAATAGATACATTTATTTGATTTGTTTTATAAAAAAAAAAGAAAAAACACCTGCCGTGCATAATAATAGTAATAATAATTAATTGAACAATGTGGTAGTTAATTCTGTTAAACAAAATTCCCATAGTCTGAAGTGTTTGCATCCCCCTAAGTCTCTATTGATTTTAATAAACAATCAATCAATATATATATTTAGTGTTTAATCGAATAAGTATAGAGAAAAGTGAACTTTGCTCCCATTAAAAGTAATAAACTGTCGAAACCTTTCCTAAACTTCCCGTTGCGTCAACATTCGCCAACTCCGTATCACTCAAAGCCTTTTCTGGCTTCTCATCGTCGTGCTTCTCACTTTCGGTAGACCCCTGGAGGCCATTGGACGATGTACTCTTACTCATTCTCCATTTCTTTACAGCTTTCTTCATTTTTGATATTCCTTCCGCTTTATTAGACTCAATTTTGACTAATTTTGGAGTTTCAATCGCAGCTCAACAAAATCTCTCTACCGGGTGTTTTCGGACGGGGATAGAAAAGTCCAAAAAAAACCGATTATAATGGGTTTTAAAAAAACCGGGGGCGCGGCAGGTGCATTTACGGTGTAAACAGCAGTTTAAACGGTGACTGGTTGTTCCAGATATAATCGGAATTCGCGATCGGGACGGTCGATCCTAACAGCTTTTCTTTTTTTATCTAGAGCTTACCAGTTTAATAGAGTAGAGACTGGCTCACTAAAATACTAATATACATATACCTCTATTTATACTGTAAATAGCTTCGATCTATTGCTTTTCTTTTTTATAAACTATTTTTAATTTATTCATAAACTATAGGCCTACGAACGGTCACTTAAAAATTTTGCATACAAACCTTCAACTAATAAGTTGAAATGTGTAAAAATATTAATTAACTAGAACAAAAACAGGTGCAAACAGAAGCTTTCTTTAGCAAAAAAATTACAAACTACTAGAGCTAATCGTTCTCTTGTGATGAAATAAATTAAAAGCCTAACTTCCTTAAAACAAAAAACAGAGACAGCAGACAGACAGAGTAACCTTTTAATATAATTCTAAACCCTCTTTAAAGCATATACGTATATTAGTGTACATATATATATATATATATATATATATATATATACAAATGCAATAGATCATTTTCTCTTCTATCTAGAGAATGAAAAGACTTGGATTAATAACCAAGTGAATAATATAACATAGAAGAAGAAGAAAAGTACGAAAAACAAGCAAAAAGTCAAACTCCGCCGAAACCTCCCTTTAGGACGCATCTGCAACAAAAAATCGATTTCGGGAGACTATTTTTTCCTCCTATTTCTATTTTTTTTATCTATTTCTTATGCAAAGATACATTATGTACAGAATGTATAAACATATCTCTCTATGCAGTATACATAATGTACAATATATACACTTTATATATAAATATATATATATATATATATATTTATATATTTATATATAATATAATGTATAATTGGATATGTTTACAGTAAAAAGAGAGGTTATTATATTCCATAGAAAAGCGATACAACCTTTTAACTATTACAAGTTCAATATGTAGGACTAACTTATTTGATAATAATAAAAGCCAAATTATCATTAACTGTTTAAGTATATAAGAAGACTAAAAAGACAGAAAATAGACCAGGAATAGAGTTACAAAGTGTTTACCTTATTGGTCTGACAGGCCATAATCTGATAGCAGATTTATGAGTATTAAATTATTAATAATTAATAAATAAGATGACAGAAGTAAAAATAATAATTGTAAAGGATGTCAACTACGAAGACGATCAAGTAATAAAATATATTGCTTCCTACCTCTTCCTTTTCCTCAAGGCTTTTAGGTATCAACTTAACTTGTAGCACTAAATAACCCATATAATCTTCCTTAACCTTTTCTGGATTCTCTGGTTTAAGGTTTAATTTGAGCTCGGTTAATCTGTTTCATTGTGATTTTCAAAGGAAATCAAATTAATCATTCTATAAGAGACAAAATGAATTTAATTCATCTTACTTATTCAAATCTAATAGATTTAAGTCTATAGTAACAAATCCCATTGGATCATCTCTCCTCAATCCTCGATCGTAATCGAGGACATGAGCTGTTATAGTTGCCGATGGATCCTCAATTGGGAGAGTAAATCGTTCGTCCCATAATGGGTTCAAATTCTTGCTAACAGTTTTGCTCTTATATAATTGTTTCTTTCCAACTTTAAATATAACATACGGATCGCTAGAACCTTTTTAAACGTTAAAAGATAGTCATATTATAAATAAGTAAAATCAAAAAACTGAATGAGCCAGCATACCAGAAGAATCCCTAACGACTAATTGAGCTCCCCTCTTTAAATGAACTTCTAAATGATAAAAAGGATGGTCTAAACATTTCCTTTGTGTTAGATAGGCATCCTGAAAAGAAATAATAAATCGTTTACAAACTTATAAGCTAAATAGAGTATATATGTAAATCAATCTATATATATATATATCTTAAGTCCACCATTGTCGTGACATTTAGAAATAATTTATATTCTAGAGTAAATGAAATTATTTAAAGTTAAACAGATACAATAGAAAATGTTAAATGTATTGCGCGCATACTACGTAAAAATATTTTATCACATTTAAATTGTCTTTTTCTTGTATAAATCATTTCTTATAAAAGAAAATTACTATAAGAGCATCATTTTCCATCCTGTAATGGAATTGGAGACATTTTAAACTCCCTAAGATATATTTTAATAATCTTTGATGGAATAGAAATAATGTTTGATATCATCCTATGGAGTAAGCACGGTAATAAATTTTAAAGCTTTTGAGTACCAGCTGTTACCATCAACAACATGACTTATACATTTATGTATATATACTGTATATCTATATATTCTACTTACGAGTGTACATATTGTAATACATACATATATCATCTAATTTATACGTTTTCCATATATGGTATGGTGTATAAATGACCGTAGTTATTATGTATTTTATGGATTGTTAGAACTAATAAAGAATATCAAATTATTTAGACATACATGTATATACAGTATACTATAAAATGTAGACAGTATTTTTCATACAGTATATACATATATATAGGAAAATATTGGTAAATATATAATAAAAATTAAGATACCGAATTTACTCTTCTCATTCTGAAGCAATGATTTGAAAAATTATATATCCCAAATATCTAATTAATTATATTTTTCATCACTTCTATCCAGATCTTTCATTTCTATTTTCCCTTACTTCCGCTTCATTGACTTATATCTCTTTAATCATCTTTAAATTTTTCGCACAGAAATATACAAGATAAACTCTTTATCGTTTCTTCTCAATTGTATTTACTTTAGTTTTATCACTTATGTTTTTCCTATTACTGAGACAGAGAAACCACCTCAGTGGAGACGTGTAGGCGAGTTTCACCAAGCATCTAATTGAGGCACGTTGTCTATAAAAAGTGCTTAGGTATAGGTGTCCCTCGCTTCGGATTCTATCCATCCGCCGCGGTAGAAATCAATCGAGTTTATTAAGTCGACAGAATCGATCGCTTTATACGTCTCTTTTTTTCTTCGTTTCCTATATTCTTTATATTCCCTCATTCTATTTTCTCTTCCTTATCACTAACTAATCTATTTCTTTTGTTATTCATTTATCAATTGACTCTTGATACACATATATTTTTTGTTTCTTACGTTTGTTACGCCAGTTACGCAACAACTATAGGCTAGTTTTTATTCATTATGAAACGTCAACATTACTTGGCGATTCTAATTTAGTTAATAGGCCTGTGAAACATATATAAATATTGCATACAATTCCAGTTCGTTGTTAGGACAAAAAACCTACAAAGGAACGAATATGGGCTCTAGTTTTTTTTTAATAAAGTGAGGTTAAGGTTGGGGTAACCATTATCAATAACAACGCTTCGTTGGTAACTCAATCATGTCAGTAATGATCGGGTTATGGACCCGAAAAATATGGAATCTGGTTATTATCGTTAGGAAGATTTTTAGTTTATTTTGCGGAAAGAAGTCGGGGCCGTTGTATAAAAATCGATTAGTGCAGTTGACGGTTGTGGGAAACGTAATACAGGAATTTTCATTCATGTTTTCCTTTCTATGACCAACCTTTTTTCCATACTATATGACAACAGTATATCTTTTCTCTTTTTTCCAATTTTCTCAGTATATTTCCTCGTTCTTTCTACTTGTTTCACTCCCTTTCACTTGTTTTTTTCATCAATTAGCTATACCCTCTTCTCTCTTCAAGCTCTATCTGTCTATCACTTCTTCTCCTTTTTCTCTCTCTCTCTGTCTCTCTCTCCTCGCCCCCTCCCCCCGTCTCTCTCTCTCTTTTTTTTTCTCTATCTTTCTATCTATCTCTTTTTTTTTACTATTTGCTCCTCTTTGTCGTTTGTTCTCTCAGTGCTTATTTATCTATACCATTTCACTTCTCTCCATATCTGTTCCCTTTTATCATTAGTTTGTCCATAAATTACAAAGGAAAAAAACAACAACTGACAAACTAAAGCAGATAAAAAGAGTACGAGCTAGCGCCATCTGTTTTTAGGGTACGTCTTTAACCCCTTCAGGCTATATTCGCCGCTTCTTAAATTATTTATTACCTGATCACCGACGCCGCCTTCGTAACTCCCGCCGCCGTCATCTTCATCGCCATCGCCGCCGGTTTGGACAAAATTATCTTTTCCACAACCGGAACGACCTGCTATTGGTTCATTAACGGACGCCTCCGTCCTGCATTGTCTAAGAAGACGCCTTCTCATAGTTGGCGTTTCCTCCTGGCTCGAAGTTGACCTGCCTTTAAAATATGACAATCCGGACGTAATACGTCGAGTAAGCTTCGTTATTTGTGAGGACGTAATGCGGAAACGGTTGTTGGTCGGGGTACTCGGTGGACGTTTGGTCGGAGAAGGGTTACAATCCATAATTAATAGCATAATTTCGTAGACTACAGAGGGTGAAGGGAAAAAAGGGCAAAACGACGATTCGACGCCGGCGCGTCGTTTTACTCTGACGGCCAGAGTAAAAAAAAATCGACCGGCGTCGAACGACGCCGCCAGCCGTCCATATTTATTTCTAGGCCTACTATAAGTTCAGTTTTCTACACAATACTATTACTAGAGGTGGTGTGAGCATGCATGTTGAAAAGGAAGGAAAAGGTATTTGTTTGTAAACTTACCATTTGAACACCAGAATCATAAGATATATTCTGAAGGGTTGTTAACTGTTCTTCCCTCCTTCTGGCTTCATCGAACAAGGCGTCAAAAGTCTCAGTAGTTGGACAAACATCATTAGTTCGCCCGACAAATCTGGATAATTGTTCTTTAGAGAAGGCTCGTATTCGTCTTGCTTTGTTTCGGAAGGCTGATAGTAATTTATTCTTTTTCCTATTAAGCTGAACAAGCTCATTGACGCTATCCTCATCGACCGATGAGACGTTGCATGAACTTCTCGATATATAATCATTTACGTAGCTGTGTGAACCTATCAACGAATTATTAATATCGTTAGAAGGTCGTCTAAGTTCTACGCTGCGCGAAAGATGTTCAGATTTATTATGTCGTCCCTTCGTGCCTAAATGACGCTTTCGTCGTCTAGGCTGAATATGTTTATCTTCGCGCATTTTTTGTAGAACATCGCCAGCAATGAGATCCATAATAATCTTCTGCCACTGCTCTCTTTTATAATTAAAAAATGACTAAACATAAAATCTAACTGGCGCTAATAAAGCGTACAAGTGCACTTGGAGGATAGTAATTTTTAAATATATTTATAGAAACAAATTAATATATATATATACATATTTAAATATATTTAATATATATATATATATATATATATATATATATAGATACTGCATTTTACTGATGTGTATACCTAAAATATGGTATACGCATATAAATTGTGCACAACAGCATACGCGTCTAAACAATTTAAACTCTTTTAAAAGCTAAATCGATGGAAACGTATAAATACGTTGGGGGGGGAAAAAAGAAAAAAAACTGTTCATCTGCTCTCCAACATTCGTTCAATTTCGATTGAGGCGCCACATATTTGTAAATTCTATTATTTTTCTTTTCTCTTTCTCTCTCTCTCTCTCTCTCTCTCTCTTTCTTTCTTTCTGCTTAAAACGTTAGCTAACTTTTTAGTATTTGCTAAGTTTTTTTATCTTACACATTTTATAATAAATTGTAGTAATTTTTAATCAAGTCTCGGATCTCTCTCTTCTATATATGCTGAAAAGATATACAGATGGGAGAGAAGGAGAGAGAGGCGGATGAAGGAGGGTATACATATATATTGTATATACATATTTATACAGTATATATGTTACCATGTACAAAAACCTTAGAAAATGGAAAAAAAAAACCTGTTGTTAATGGACCATCTGTCCGAGATCTTTGACCGGTTAATGCCGAACTATATAAATTTGTCCACTTCTGTTCCTGTAAATCCCGACCCTTTTTACATCCTTTTGACCGATTCTTTGCCGCCATACTGTAAAGCGGAAGAGCAGGTCGCAGTGATATTAGCTGAACACGTGTATTATTATTTGTTGCATTCATAACGTTAATCGTACACCTGTTTTTTACACTGCTGTTATTCTAAATACTTGGCGTTCTATATTGATTTAATTTTTCAAAACACTTCTGGTCGTTTCATATAGTCCTTAACGTTTCTGAAATTATACCAAATCTAATTTCTCTTATCCAAATTCGATACAAATCTCCGAGTTTCTTCCCTTCGTATACAGTTTCCCTTTAAAAACCTCGTCGAAAAAATAAAGATATGACAACACGACTATCGAGCGGCTGCATTGATTTCCAACAAAAGTCTTGGCGTTCCGAAAGGCGCGTGTCTATTGGCTCGAAACAGTTCATAACACTTAATGTTTATGTAATAATATTTCCTCTGCCAGGTTAGCTAGTCTTTATTAATCTTACGTCGAATCAATAGGCATCACTTTGCGAGCGTCTGTTATAATAATATACATTAATGTGGTCATCACGCACTTGCTACGAGATTGTATTCTATACAAGAAAATAGTCTGTGATATGCTATTTAATTTATTTCTGTAGACGGCATTATCGTTTAATTTCATATATTTTCTGTTCGTTTTTTTAAATAAAATCACCAAAATGTGATTTTTTTTTCTATCTTGTAATGATTCTACATCTTTGTCCTAAAGAACAAGTTGAAGAAAAAAAATCAAATAAAAAAGTGTTTAAACAACAAATCCTCTTCGATTTCAATTGCAAGTTCACTTAGAAGTTTGAGTGCGCTTGTGTACTTGTAGAATAGCTTTTGAATTGTTGGAATCTTCGATTTGATTTGGCAGTTGTTGAGAGTAGAGTAATCTCGATAATTCTTTTAGTTGGACTGTTTGTTTTTCCATTGATAATTGCATATCGGCTACTAATATCTCTAATTCTAATAGTCTATCATTCTGTGTATCTTCCTTTCGTTGATCGTTTCTCGATTGTCGCTTATATTCTAACCAAATCGTTGATGCTGCTACTGAAAATACAACCAATTCACCAAGCATCTCAGCTCCAAGGTCAACTGCTATTTCCGGTTTCAATGGCTTTATTTCGTTAATTTTTTTTAAGCCTAATAACCTCATCTTGACTGTTGTCTCCAAGCGATGATAGACTACAAAAAAAATGATTGTTATTTATTTGCAATATCGCTCGATTGTGTTGCAATCAACTGACTTTGAGCTGGTGGGATAATAAACCAGTCCCGAAAAGTACGAGAAGTTTTAGCCCTATGCTTCATATATGTTGCTAATGGCTTGCTGACCTGTTTCATGACTAAATAAGCCAATTTAAATACTGGGAAAGGCATGATCGACAGGTTTTGATAACTCTAGAATGAATCTATTTCGATAATTCGAAACGGCTTCGGCTCTATACAGTGTCCAATATCCACTCGTTGTGCAATTTCACTTAAGTCACACGTACCATTCAATTCATTCCTAGTTGCCGAATAATACGGAGATAAATTATGTCTTTAGCTCTTGATCAGCAGTTTCTCGAGCAAAGCGAAGGGAAAAATCTTAAACTTCATTCACAGCAACCTGTTCCTGCCATTGTGAGTTTGAAAACTTTGATTTATCACTCATTTTAAACTTATGTTCAATAATTTTTTGACAATTTCACCAGCACCCAACTCTGAAAAAAGATAGACAATTTCTAGTTTATTTTAGTCCACCCGTTCGGAATTGCGATGAAGCAGAAAAAGAAGAATGGATGGAATTTATTAGGTAACAGATTTTTTCTTAATTCTATTGGTTTAATTATTAAAAAAAATGTACATAGGTATTTTTTAATTCACATTATCGATTTTTATAGATATATTATCGAAGATTTACAATGGCTGTTAAAAATATCACATCAACAGTTCTGGGTTCAAATTATCTTTGATGTCACATGTCAAAAGCTAATAGAATCTTTCCTCTGTAATTCCCCAAGACCTTACGACAATTACGAATATGCAGACGAAACTATACAAAAATTACAACACCGTGTTTATGAGTTAGTCTTCAAGGTGTGCCTTAGATTTTCTACACATAAAGAAAGTAATGAACATTTTCTGACCCCAAAAATATTTGGTGATATTTTATATGAAAACTTTATTTGGGATATACCAAAATTGTTCGATTTTTGCTCCATTTACGCAGCATCAAATGAAAAATTAGTAAATAAAGTAGTTCATAATATATTTAACAACCAAACGAAATACAACGACGACCTTAAAGAATCTATAAAAGGAATAGGAAAAGCTTTAGATAGAGTAACAGAAGAAATATTTGGCTCGGAAAACGAACCATCTACAACTAACGTCACAGCAGAAAATAATAAGCTAGAGGATATTATACATTATTTATTAGATACCAGCAAAAGTATCGAATACTTTTTGACTTCTCACGAAGAGTCGAGTATTGAATTTTTTCGGGAAGAATTTCATTATAAGTATGTTCACATAAAATAAATTAATATTTGATAAACTATACAGAAAAAGATAAAATTTGTATTTCTTTTATTTTTCCAGAATTGCAGATTTCTATTCATTTGTTTTGTGTAGTTTAGCAAAACATCTTGCAGAAGACGAAAAGAACACTACAATCTTACAAAAGTTATCAATTGTAAAGTATAGTTTTATCATAAATTTTCGAAAAATTATTTATCATGGAAATTTGAAAGAACTATCGGACGAAAGGTAAAGAATGTTTAAATTAATTAACTTTGTTAAATATAGATCGTTTTTCGACAAATATCTTTAGAAATTTCATGGTTGTGTTTTTCATTATTTCCAGTAAAATGAATAAGAAGACGGCTAGAACTGCTATAGAAATGTTTCAGTTTATTTTAGAGAAGGATGATTTTGCAAAGGACTACTGTGTCCTTCACGATTTTAGCACCGATAGTCTTTTGTTATGGAAATACGTGCAGAATAAAACAGTGTAAATAATCGATTCTCTCGTTATTTTCCAAGTGTGATCTAATTTTTTTCGTTTTTTTTATCGCTTATTCTCAGTCACGAAAGGGAATTGGCATTTTTAACATCCGGATTCGACTCCCTGACACCAGTCGGTAAATCGTCACAAGAAAATTTAGGGGTTCCTGTAGGCGATGTTGATGGTGCTATGGCGGGGGCGTCTAATGCAGGTGAAATAGAGCCGTCTAGTTTTGGCGCCGAAGGCATCGACATAACTAGCTATTTGAGGGAGGTTAAAGAAATTTTACCAGATTTAAGAGACAATTTCATCAGAGAGCAACTAGAAATCTACGATAATAACGTTGAAAGAGTAGTACAAGCTGTTTTAGAAGGAAACGCAGTACAAAGCGAAGTTAAACAAGCAGCTCAACAGGAAACTATTAATGTTCCGGAAAACATTAGGCAAAGAGCTAATATATTTGATGGTGATGAATTTGACATTTTCTCTCGAAACGATATCGATGTCAATAAAATACATAAGGGAAAAAAAGAACACTCTGTCAATGTAAAAGATCAAGAGGCTACAGAAACAACAAAAACACTTGCAGTCATGTACGAGATAGACAATGGTGAACCTATCGAGAACGAATATGATGACGAGTACGATGACACGTATGACGCTCATGACGTTGGGGCCCAGGATAATGATTCGGAAGATGACTATAGAAGATCTTTTGTTATCCCACGAGTTTTAGCTGTTGATGAAAAGGTTACGACTATTTCTTTTTATAAAATTGTTGTCGTTATTGAATGGAAATGACTATTTTTTTTATAGAAACCAACAAAGAAATATGTTGAAAGTGACGATGAAACCGAAGAAGACGTTATGAAAAAGAGATTAAATTTCTGCGAAGATCCGGCTGTTCTGAGAGAGCGAGCCGCTGAGAGGAGAGCTTCTCAAATGGTTCGTAAATTAGTCGTTTGACGTCAATCGTACAATAAAAACAAAATTAATCTTATAGAAAAACCGTCAACCTTATCGTCCACCGAATCCCAATCCCCAAAGCCAAGAGAAAAATCGCTCATGGAAGGAAAAACATAAATCAAGTCAAGGCAATCACAATAGAAGATTTCTAGCGGATAAAAAAAGAAAATTCTGATAGGTTGACAACACTTGTTTTCAACTATTGATGTTAATAGAATAAATTAATTATGATTAAATAGTGAAGTTTCGATTGTGGCTAAGAAGTCAATATCTGCACAATTCAGTATTCAAGCAAACGATTATAAAAAATAACAAATATATGTATATATATATATATATGTATATTATATATATATATATATATATATATTATGTTTTTATAAGTCCAACAAAAAGTGTGTTACATAGATAAGCAAATGGTATTATCATAAACTATTTCTTTTGAACTTTTTTCCTTTTTGGAGCTATCTAAAAAAGTACAAACAGAATGAAATTTATGAAACAGGTTTATGTCGATTACTTACAGATTGATTTAGCTTTCGTTTCGCAGCCTTTGGTTGCTCTGTTTCTCCATCGCTCATATCTTCCCAGTCGGAATCGGAATCAAAATCTGCATCTATTTTTTTATTTGCATTAAAAAAGAATATCAAATTAAAACACGCTAATTAAATTCTCATATCAATTACTAACGAGGATAAAGATCACTCAGGTTTGATCCATCACTTTCATTACCATCATCATCATCTCTTATGTGAACTTTTTCAAATTCACCATTTAAGTCACCAATGTCTTTATTCTTATTCCTATGTGGTCTAGCTTCAAATTTGGTACCAGTTTCCTGACATCTTTTCCCTAGAGTCATTTAGTTTAACAGTATTTTATTACAAATAAAAATTGTATAAAATGTTACTAACATCGTGTAAGTTGTCTCTGAAATCTCTTTCCCTGAACGTGTCGTAAAATGTCTCCAGGGACGTTATTTATATGTCTCCATGTTAATTTGCAAAATAGCTTTCCTCTGTCCAATGAAATGAATACATAATTTATAGAATTTATTAATCGACAACTGATAATACTTTGACTGAGCTTTTGTGCTGGGTTCTAGATGATCCTCAAACTCTTTAGGTATTTGCATTTGAGCGGCTGCGATTAACTTCTTGTATTTTTTACCTTTCATGTATGCTTCAACTGCAGCTATATTTGGTGGCATTTCGTGTCCACTGAGATTACATTTTATCTATATATAAAACGAAATTAATGATCCTCACAAAGTTTTGTAATTTATCATTTAAAAACAGGTAATTGAATATATATTTATCATTTTACCCTTCTGCCTCCTTCAATTAAAGAAAACTCGGGATATTCCTCGAATAATTTTTTCAATTCTGGTGATGTTTCCATTGGTAAAAACCTTTTGAAAACTTAAACGTGGTGAATTGTTGGTATCACGTGTAATCCGGGAACTCTTGGTATTGCTAAATAGCACGTTGACTGTTAAAGAAGTTAGGATGTGTGTAAAATAAAGTTTTCTTTGTATTTTTTTAAACTGATAATAGATTTCTCTTGAAAACCTGAATGATATGTATAATTGTAAAATAAAAATCAGAATGTATTAATAAAAAGAACTAAACCACTTTTCTTTCAATTTAATTGCTGCTATCTTTTTTAATTTGTCGTAAACTCTCAAAGACTGTCTTTGTATTATATTATTAATAATCTTTGTAGTATTTGAAAGGAAGAAATGTATGAAATTAATATATTTGCAATCTTTAATTGAAGAATGAAGTCACAGCGCCCCTTTATTTTAAATTATGTATGACCAGGGTACCAGGTCATCATTTTACTTCCGCATCCGTTCGCCTGTATAAGAAATGCTTTCGAAGAAATGATACATTATTGGCTATATTCAATTTTTTTATCATAAAATTGATCCTAACATCATGGTAAATTCTATAACTTTTTATTGTCTGCCGATTAGTAAAAAATACTGTTTTGATAATCGCTCCGATACTATAATTATCGTAGTACGCTATAGTTCCTTTCGTTTATGTTGTATATATTTGTTTTCTAGTAAATAAATGATCAGATCACTTACGATCGATCTATCTGCTATTGCATTTTATTGGATAAAAAGTAATTTTTAAATGATTATCTATATATAGATTGCATTTTTGATAATCCGATCGTACGAATGTGTTTTAACCGTGATAGATTTTATATCGTTTATGCAAGGTTAGATAAAATTCAAGGTAAAATCGTTATCTCTATGAGTAGGTCTACTACTATTTTTCAATGATTTCTATCAAAATATTCACTAGATATGCAAATAGATATATATTCTTAAATGTATTATCTGTTTACGATACGGCTTGCATACATAATCATAACAGGATCCAATAAATATCAATTAATTAAATTGAAATTAACCTACAATGTTTTTTATCAACAATCAATCATTCTTACAGAGCATGAAAGTTAGTAGATCGGACATGGATCATATTCCGGGTGGAAATATTCCATACATGGGCAATCAAGCACACGGAGGAATGAGTGGAAATGGACAGATTGTATCACTCTCTAATCTCCTTGATTTGATATTGCAAAGAACTTACAACGAATTGCTTATTTTGAGTGAAATGTAAGTTGAATAATTAAGGAAGTGAAAGATCATAATAATATATTATCAACTATTACTTTATAGTTTACCCAGAAAAACTGATCTGGAAAGGAAGACAGAAATTCTACAATTCGCTTCCCGATCAAGGAATCTCTTTATTCGACTTCTAGCACTCGTAAAATGGGCGAATGGTGCTTCTAAAGTAGAAAAATGCGGCGCTATCATGCAGTTTCTCGATCAACAATCGGCTTACTTTGTTGATAGTGCTGATCAGTTGGCAAGAATGGCCAGGGAATCATTGGTTAACGCTCGGTTACCATCTTTTGCATTGCCGATTGCGGTTGATGTTTTAACTACTGGAACTTTTAAAAGAATGCCGACATGTATAAAAGAACGGATTGTACCTGCAGATCCAATTACAATGGATGACAAAAAGAGAACTTTGCATAGGCTATCGCATATTATAGAACAGCGCTTGGTTTCTCAGGTTTTACCAAAAAGGATGAGACAAATAACATTTGGTAAGTGCATTTAACAAATATACTACATACTATAATATTTAATGTTTGTATTAAATAACCAAAAAAGTAAAACATTCGCCTGCTCCAGATGATGGTATTGTGAAATTCATTGTGAATCATGAATTTCGGGTATCCTTAACTTTAACCGGTGACTCTCCAACCGTACCCTGGAAATTGTTAAAGCTAGAATTCCTTGTTCAGGATCCAGAGATTGGAGCTTGTAGATCTCTTGTTCATCCCTTACAGGTAAAACAAATTGTTTTCTAATTTATATATTACTTCATTAAATATTCATTACACTCTAACATTCATATAGATTAACTATCTGAAGGATGTAGTTCAATCTCGATTAATGGATACTACAGCCCCTTTACACGATTTATACAATACTTTACATTCATTTTGTCAAAGTTTACAATTAGAAGTTTTATATTCTCAATCATTACGTTTGGTACAAGATAGATGGAAAAATTTTGTTCATATTGAACAATATATGCTAGGACATAAATTAACACTAATCTATTGGTGGTAAGTAACAAAAAACATTGAACATTGCCTGATTTAAAGATAATTGTCTTATTTTCCTTATTTATTCATTAGCGAAAAGAATAGGATGAATTTTTCAAAAAATGGTTTGTAAAAATCTCTATATATTTAATATTTTATTGAATATTCACTCCAATTAGATAAATTGTTTAAATTGATGGTTCATATTGACGAAAAAGATCCGTCTAAACCTTTGAAAATTACCCATATTCCACCTCTTCAAGGAACTGAATCGACCTTAGTATCAACAGCTATCAAAAGTGATTATTTATCGATAGACAAATTGTTTATTCATATAGTTCATGTCAGGTAAATATCTATATATTACTCTTCATTTCTTTTATATCCAAGTAGCTTTTAGTTATTAATTACAGCATAGTTTTATTAATTTTTATATTTTGCAGATCAATCACAAAACTAAATGAACTTATGAGAGAATTTACATTATTCGCTAGTAGTCCGTGTACCGTTAGCGGTATACCGATAACTTTACACGTGCCTATGACTCCTAATTCAACGATAATTGAAAATTTATTAGTTGGAATCGAAGTTCTAACCGGAAAATATATTGTCTCCTGTGAAGTTTTAAGTCATTCTAGCTGTAAAAGATTACAACATTGCGTTAATTCAACAACAAGAAATGGTTTTAGCGAGATTCTTACTGATATAAAGTATTAATTATTAATAGTTTTCTTTTCTTATTATTCTGTATTGGCTTATATTTTATCTTTCTTCTTATTTCAAACAGATATGAAATTATACGTAAACGATACGAATTAGCAGCAAGATCTTTTGGAAAAGATTTTATAACAATTCTACCAGTTTATTCTCCTGATGAATTAAAGTCTCACTTTACAAAATACGCCTGTTTTGTTCCAATTGCTATGAACGCCCTTAGAGGGCAATATTATTTGGCTGTTGATTTTATTGCTGTTGATGATAGAACTATTAAAACGTCTTATTTTCTTCTAAAAACATCAAAGGAATCAGAAGATAGTTACTATATAAAAATTGAAGATGTAACGAATATTGATGAAATTTCAGTAAAATATATGAAAAATCGATTCACAGCTAAAGAACCTAAAAGAAAAGCGACAGACGATCATGTCTTTCGGCACTACAATACAGAATTTGCTGATGTTCTATCGGATATTCAAGATAGAATACTTTTCACCGCATTAGCCGAAGAATTGAGGAAACGAAATGTTCATCATAGTGGCGTTATTTTAGACGATTCTCAAACTCATCTTACTCTTGGAGTCAATTCATTCCCATCTTTGCCTGATGTTGATAAAGAGAGTATGGAATTATTTCAGAATAACATTATTCAATGTAAATTTCATATACATAAACGGGTTAATGAAAAATGGCTTGTTGAGATGACTTTTGCAAAGAATGTTTTGAGAGATATTTGCAGCGATATGACTCACATGGCAAATTATGTTCAAACTTTATACGATTTATCTGACACCATTGAGGTGGTTGCTGACTGCTTTCTCAAGGACTTATCCTGTTTAGCCTCCCTCTACGGACCTACTCATAAACTAGCCGTTGCGTATAAACAATGCCCCAGCTTGCAACAATCTATACAGTTCAGCAGTTTCACTTTTAAGAGACTTCAATTCTGTTATGGACCGTCAAAATGTTATTGTGCCTCTATTATGAAAGCGCCTAATAGTTCTTTGAAGTTAAATCTTGGCTGTTCTGGATCAGCAACATCATCCAATCCTCATATTCTAGCTGCCGTTCATTTACAGAAAATGTTACAGGAAACCTCCGATTTAGTCGAATTAGCACGTGTTCTATCCGATACATGCGAAATGTATGCATCAGTGTCCAAATTGAACACTTCGTTGCACTTGGTAACAACAAGTGAAAAGCCCTCTCCAGTATTCAGCATTATAGTACAATCAACGCAACAATTGCGAATTATGTATAGAAATATATTCCTTTTGGATGTTACTGCAGCACCCAACAGCCAAGCTGTATACGTGAGAGACGCAAAATTACATCAATCGCTACTCCAAACTATTCAAAGCATACCTCAATTATATTCCTTCCTCAACATGTACGTCGACGAAGCAGTTTTACCGAATCGGCGTCATTCGGTTGCCGACGATGATCATCCAATGAGTCCTTTAAATGACGGCATAGCTAGAATATCTAATGATCTAACAATACCAGGAGCATCACCGCAGGATCCCAATCTTCCAGCATCTCCAGCCCTTTTACCAAGTCCAGCCACAGCATGGAGAACTGAAGCAAAGCCTCAAGTTAACCAAACTCAAGTCCAAGGCGGTTTATCAACTCTCCTTTCCTATCAAGCTCTCTCTAGGTTAATGACGCCTGGCCCACCGCCGTCCGGTGTTAATCCAAGTAATACAGTGTATTGCTCTGCTCTCGAAAGGTTTCTGGCTTGTGCTGCTCAGAGGAGGAAAATTGCGCAATTGATCAAGGAAAAATGTGGAATACTAACTCAGTTGCAAAGTCCAGATAGGCTATCGACTGTTTTTAAAAGTGACTCATTGACCTATAAAATATCTTTGGATGCCCAGCATATGCAGGTTTTACGCTTCCAAGTTACAAGTGATCCCGCTATGCCAGGTTTAGAGAGAGATGATGCCTTGAACTTAGAAAGAATTTTTGATGCGAAAGTCGCCTGCCCTCCTTATAAAATGTCAGTTCTCTCTTCATTTATAACTCTTCTTTGCGTTCCCGTCCGTATTCTTAAGGATCTTATTCATCTTATGAAGTTGGAATTTCAACCTAATCACAATCATTTTCATTTTAAACTTTTATTGAGCTATCCTGTTACTGACGCTCCTATACAATCACTGCCCGGTTATCCCACGTTTATTCTCTCTCGAGATCGAAGAAAGTGTATATTTATGATGGAGTTTTCTCTGACCCCGGCTCAAGGTACACCTAAAGAATTGGCATTTGTCCTCGCCTTCGTCTACGATGCTCATTCGAATAAGCTTACAATGTTACCCCCTCAGAATCGTCAAGCGATTCAAACAAGGCCGAAAGTTTTAAGTATAACAGAACAAGCCAAAACTTTGTTAGAACAAATGAACAATATGCATCCAACTCCTAGGACAGAGTGTACTTTAGCCCAATACGTGCGAGACGTAATGCACCATATTAATATTAACTTGGTACAGTAGCTGTTGTACTTTCTCTTCTGTTTTTTCATTTGTTTATTTTTCTTTTGTCCTTTCAACGAATATTAAAAATAGAACATTACAAATTGTATTATATTAATTAACTTTCTTTTAATTATTGTTTTACCGTTCAAAAGAAGAGGGAAATTCAAAAGGAACCGTGTAATATAATAAAAAATTTGATGGGACAAAATATGATACATTACATCTTAAAAGAGCGTTTTTTTAGATCATATCATCTCTATTTTGATATAAGTCAATGACACTGTTTAAAATGGTCAAGTTATCATCCAAAACATCTTTTTCAAGAGTTGCAAAAGCTGGAATTCTTCTATAGTCAATTTTACTAGTATTAGTTGTTAACTTCTTTAAGAAATCAACATTATTAGCATCGTTTGTTAATTCTCCTTCAATATTTAATTCATAACTATTAGTAGTTTCCAACACATCGTTCAAGATCTTGTTAACTATTAACGGATGATTATGAAATTCGTGGGTTTTTGTTAAATTTGTATCTCTCTTTGTAAGCTTGTCGAATTTTCCTCTTTCAACAAAAACTCTCGAATAATATTTATCAGTTGATGGGCCTTGTGGTGATACTGAAAATCCAAATTCATTTTTCTCCGTTTGGAATTTTATATAGCCAGAATGTAAACGTTTTGTTCCAACATTTACATCATTAATATGATCGATTAGTGTTAAACTATTCTCTTTTCTCCTTATTGGTAAAAGAGTTGTATCAATAAAGCTTGCAATGATTGAAGAAGTTCTAGCATCCATATTCAATTCCTTTGACAAGAAAAAAATTGTCAATTATTCAAGGACAGAGAATAGTATTAGAAATTAAGAGACTTACGTTGATACCATTGGATTGGAGAAAGTTGAGAATCATGGAAGATTCCAAAGATAATACAGACGAACTATTTTGAAACGTTGAAGACAGGGAAAAGATATTATTTAATAAACTACTTCTATAATCCTCTCCAACTGAATTATTCCATATCGGCATTGAATAAATAACGGGTACTCCAATTTCATCTGTTAATAATTCGTTAATTTTTTCTGATAGACCTCCGAAAGAATTTCCATCAGACATTAGAATAACTCCTTGCATATTGTCGCATTCTTCAACAAAAAAATACAAGGAATCTTCAATATCTCTAAGATGTTTTGCATAAAGTTCGTAGCCAAATTGGTAAGGTATAGGATTTTGATGAGCATTGAGTGAAATTAATGATTTTGGATGATATCGTGTAGATAAATATTTTGTCCAAGACTCTTGAAGAACCTCCTCCTTATGAACGTCAGCTTTACCGTCGAAACATTGATTTAACTCAGATTCTTGTATTGGTTTTACACGATACAGATCACTTTCTGGTCGATGACCGATATTTTCTTTAAAATCTAAAGAAATAACTCTTGGAGTGTAGGTAATATCACCACTAAGGGTTTTGCCCTCTCTGTGAGTAACATCGGGATTGATATCCTTAAATTTTTCAACTTTGTCGTAAGATGTTGCATAGTGAAAAGCTATTTCCTATAAAAATTCTCATTACTATATACTCAACATTTTCAAATTGAATATCTCAACTTACTTGTAAACTCCACCATTGACAGCCTATATAATTAGCATAATTACCGCAATGAATAGTAACAAGTTCTCTACATAAACTTGACATTTGTATTTCAATTTACTTTTGAACAATTGAAGAAACTGGAAATTACGAAATAAAAGTACCCGCACATGTACTCTCCGGTAATACTAGATGGCGACTGTAGAATTTGCAATTTGTTGGTCATAGCTCACCTCATATTTAAGCGAGGCCGTTAGGAAATTGTCAGCGCGCCAACCGGAAAAGCGGATAGTCCGAACTTGTTTGCTATGGACGACAATAATACATATATTGCTCAATTAGCTACCTTTCTCGGAGCAACAGACGCATCTTTGCGATTATTGTTTTCACTAATAGCAGGTTTTTAAATTTTTATTATATTGCTTTTTAAAATATACTCAAAATCAGTTTGACATTGAATATGCCAGATGGTATCTTTGTGACTTTGTTCGAAACACGTGTGTAAACAATGTTTTGCAATTTAAAAGTGTCTTCCAAAAAAGATTTTTTGACTATCGAAGTATTTTTATTACTTTTACAGGTTACCCCTTGGCTTTTGTTTACAAACGTTATATTTATGGAAAAAATACCAACTTTCAACACTTCTATTTTATTTGTTGTGGCTTGTACCTTGCCTATTTCAATTTCGGTAACAGTCTATAAAACAATTTATTTTTCATATTTTCAATCTCTTAAGATAAAACTTATTCCCCTTTAGGATTGTTTGAGTGTGTCCATTCGATAATTGCAATATTGTTTACGTACTTCTTACTCTTGATTTTTGGTGGTACAAATACATCAGTATTAATATGTTTCGTTTTCCAAATGGTAAAAAAAAATTATACTCAATTCATCAAATTAAATAATAATATAATTTGTATTTCTTCTTTCTTTCTGCTTTTTTTTTAAAAAAAAAAAAGACCTATTTGTCTGTTGGTTATTACTTAACAATGAAAAGCGACTATTCCATCAGCTGGACAACACCTCAATGTGTCCTTACATTAAAATTAATTGGTTTAGCCTTTGACGTTATGGACGGGAAGAAAGTATGTCTTTTTTATGTGTAATAAGATATTTTATTAAAAAATTTATGAAAGATAACTTTTATAAAATTACGACCTATTAACAGCTAAATACTTTATAAAAACCTTTCAGAAATCAAAGGGAAATACCGACACAGCATTATCCAAGTTGCCATCCATAATTGCAGTATTTGGTTATACTTATTATTTTGGGGGTTTTCTTGTTGGACCCCAATTTTCTATGCATAGATATTTACAACTTGTTAATGGAGATTTTAACGATAAAGTATCTGGTACAATACCAGATAGGTATATTTATTTGATATATATATCAATATATAACTATATTTATTTTGTTAAATGTTTTATTTATTAAATTGTTTTTTTATTGATTCTCTGACAGCACAAAAGCTGCTTTACTGAGGCTCAGCGCAGGCGTGACATATACGTTTATCTTCCAGCTGACTGCTATTTTGCTACCAAATACGTATTTGCTGTCTGAGAGTTTTGCTGTAACTATTTAAACTTTTACTTTCCATCTCTCTTTCTCTCTATTTTTATCATTTTCACTATCCGATCCTACCTACATTATGATTAATTACAAGCATAAGCCAAGCAAAATAACTGTAACTTGAGATAAAACATTTTATAACTTGACCTTTGCACCAGACAATGTCATAGACGCTGCTTTAATTTAAAAAAAAAAAGCTTTTAAGTTACTCACAATCTAAATATAAACTTTATGATAAACATACTAATACTTATATATATATATATATATATTTATAGAGAGGAAGATAGCAGTTACACTGTTTTTTAAGTAAAGCTTAATGGGCAAATTATCTTTCGACAAAATTATTGATTTTACTTTGTTAAAGACGATCTTAGATAATAGATCTTCCTAATCTATTAAAAGTAAATCGTATAAATGATCAGTAGTAAAGTTTAATGTAAATTGTGTAAATTTTGTCCATTATTCACATACTGTGTATGCCAATATACAGTAGTATACTGTAACTAGAATCCTGTATTGTTATAGTTTATTTTCACTTACCAATTTATCTTATTATATCTTTGTGTCAAGTTTTCGTATTTAAGTACTTTTATCCTTCTACAGCAACATTCCATGTTAACAAAATTGGTTATAATCACTATTTGGGGAAAGTTTATGCTATATAAATATATTGGATGCTGGTTAATAACAGAAGGAAGCTGCATGCTGACTGGTCTCACTTATAATGGTAAAGATGAAAATGGTAATATTCTATGGAATGGCTGCGCTAACGTACATGTAAAAAAATACGAAACCGCCTCAACAACAACACAAGTCATTGAATCGTTTAATCAAAAAACAAACTCCTGGGTTGCAAAGTATTTATTGTTTTAACCTTTTTATTTTGTACCTCAATCTTTGTTTTCTATCCTCTTCATAGGAATGTTTACAAAAGGCTTAGATTTCTGGGAAATAAGACTCTATCACAAGTTTCTTCCTTATTCTTTTTAGCTATATGGCATGGTTTACATTCAGGGTATTTTATGAATTTTGGCCTTGAATTCTTTATTGTTGGTTTTGAAAAAGATGTAAGTAGAAACTCTTATTGCTCAATACTGTATAGTTGATAAAGAAAATTAGGTATATACATTATATATTACTTTTATTACTTCCCCTTCTTAACTTTTCGCCTTTATACTTCCCTAAGGCTCAGAATTTGCTTGTCCATTATAGAGCAATACTGCTCAATCCTATAAATAATATAATCTGTCTATCTTATTTCTCTTTTCATTTTTTGTCTTTCTACTGTATTCCCTTGTCTAAAGATTACGAATATTTAAAGTTAAAGAAAAAGAAAACTATATTCCAGTGACAATTTAATCCAACTGATGAATAACGTATATAAAATATTAGTCTTCCTATAATTAAACTGGAAACCTATACCATTAGGAACATCTATTGGGGGACGAAGAAGGACAGATCAAATTTACGCACGCCATATAGTTTTCCCCTGAGTAATTATCTCCCTCAGTAGATTGGGTAGGCCTATTTGTTTAACAAATTGCGTAAAACGAATAAAGTCGTCGAATATTAAGTACAAAAAAATTTTTTTTTTTATTTTCTCTTTCTGTCTCTCTCTCTCTCTCTCTTTCTTCTTTACCGACAACTATTTCTTTCTTAGTTGTTTCATTTTGAGAGATTTGTTTTTGATCCACCGTAAATATCGAAAAAGAAAATTAAAAAAATTTCGTGACAATTACATTGTTAAGATCGATTTGGCACTTTTTATAGGCTGAAATCTGTCTATTTATCTAGATATTCCCAATATAGTTTAATATATACTTTTTTTTATATATTTTTTTAGCTTATTAATATCTGCAAGAGTAATTCTATGATACGGCAAAAGATCTCAAATCCTAGTTTTGGATTGTGCCTATCGGTTATAGGAAAGATATATACACAGTTTGTTCTATCTTACGCCCTGGTTAGCTTCGCTTTGTTCTCTGCTGACAAATGGGGAGTGGTAAGTGTTAGGGGATATTTCCCAATTGAACGGTTGAATAAATTTCTTTTTTTCTCATTTTCAAGGTTTACTGGGAAGTTTGGTATATACTACACATTATGCTGATTGTCTGGTTCTTGGTAAGAGGCAAACTAATTAAACTTGCGAAAGACCCACAATCAAGTAATGGAGAAGTCAACAGGTTCATTCTTTTTTTTTAACAGTTTTAATTGACAAAATTCTATTATATCTTATTCTTTTCTTTTTTTCTTACAGGGCTGAAAGCAAGAAAGATGATTGACGATATTTTTTTTACTCTTTCTTCTTGTTCTTTGATATCCAAGTATAGCCATATCTTCAGCAATCTTTTTTCCCTTTTACAGGTCTTTCATAAAGTTTGCAAACTAGGTTGATAAAAATTTTACAATTCCAAATTGTTTGTTTGTTTTTTTTTTTGTTAATAACAAGATAGAATTAAATATAAAAAAAGTTGATTTCGGTTACACTTTTACTTCGTTTTCTTACCTGCAAAACTCCTGGAAATATTAAATATAAATATTTATATATTAGTATTATTATGCTGTAGTATCCTTTATCTTTGCAGTGCGCTGTTTCTTATTCTATATTAACTTTGTAAACTTTTCGTTTTTGCACTATATGGACATATACAGTTTAGTATTATGATATAGTGTATTATTCTGTATATTTTTATACTATATTTAAAAGCTGAAGTTAGCAAGATTTTTTTCTATATTTATCAATAATATAAGAAATATGAAGGTGAAATCTTCAAAAAGAAAAATAAGAAAGCAGAAACTGATGTTTTAGTATTTTATTGATATTATTTTTATGGGTTTTCGTTGAAGACTTCCGGGTTAAGGAAATAAATCCTGGATAAGTTCTTATATCTTATCTTATCGCGGCAGGAGGGTGGACAACCAGGGCAGAATCTTTTATCCTTAGGTTTTATAATTTTTTTTTTAGAATATATCATCAACAAAAAAGAAAACTAACTTTTTTAAGGCTTTTCCAACAATTATAGCAGCATACGTGACCACATTTGTTTTTCAGAGGTGCAACAGCGCTCTTAGTACACAGATTACAGTTGTAACCTTTTAAATGTACAATAAAAAATTAATTTGCAAAGAGAAAACAAAGATAAAATGATCATAGAATCCGTAGAAAGTCGAAAAATTACCTTTGCTTATTTTAAGCTTATCCCTTTCTTCACTCTTTTCAACTTTTAGTCGACACAATTCCTCTACATTTGTATTATTATCACCTTCATTATCTATAATCTCACAACTTTTTACTTCTGTCTCGTTAGCCTGCTCAACATCTTCAACTTTGCGGTTTTCTTCTCCGTCAGGTTCCTTTTTAGTTTCTTGACTACTCTGGCTATTTTCATTTTTCTTAATTTTTTGAGGATCAATAGCCAGTCTTTTTCCAGTAATGCTCTTGAATAATTGATTGTATTCTTCCCTAAATTCCGTTGGGAAAAATGAGAATAACCCTTTTGAAAAAAAAAAAGCAGAAATTTTGTATAAATGGGTCTTCCCTTAAAATCTCTCATCCCCACGGAAAATCATGGTGACAATTTAGATATTGCTATTACCCTTAAACACATCAAATAAGGCGTTATTTCCAGTAAATATCTCTCTAAGGACATTTGAAAAGACTGAAAAGTCTTTAGATTTCGTAAAACTATCCAGCTCACGTCTAAATTTATCGTAAGTTTCCTTAGCCAAGTTATCTTTCAACTGTAAAATGAGAAAGAGCTATGATAAAGAGATTCTAGAAATAATAACAAATGCAAATTATTCAACCAACAGCTCCTAATAAACCTTCGGCAGTTTCGCAATTTTTAGCCCTTTTATCGGTTCTCTTTAAAGAAATATGGGTCAAAGGTCAAGCGATATTCTTAAGGGGAAATTTATTTATAGTATACTTTAATGACAATTTTTGTTTTCTTGGTTCGAACTTGCTGTAGAATTTCCTGACCCTTTTAGCAGGAGAAAAGAAGAAACAACAGAAATTAATTTTCGCATTTATTAGCCTAAAAAGATAAAAATAAATGTTTACTTCTCTCTTTCTAGGACGGTCTCTGAAGTTGATAACATCAGTCGAAACCTAAAATAAGGGAATAATAAAGGGCATAGAACGGAAGACGTTACAATTCCACTCGGTTTCTTTTCAATATACCTTGTCAGTAAATGGAGAAAAGATAGAATCAGATGATTCGCATCTGAGCCCGTGTCCGTAGCTTTTTGTAGCATCGTTTAAATCAACTCCTTTGAGATGATCAACATTTTCAAAAGCACCAGGCAAATTGGAAAATTCTCTTTTTATTTTTTTCTCAACAAGAGTCCTATTAGCTCCAATATCTTCATTGCTAATTGGAACAGATCTCTTTATTTCTGTTTTCTATATTAAAAAAATATTAATTAAAAAGAAAAAGAGAAGGAAGGAAATAAATTTTATTAACTATTTCTTTAGTTTTTTCAAAAAAGCTCCTTAATTCTTTAACAACAGTACCAAAATTATCGATAACCTGAACTTTAGGTTGAATCCATAATGGTAATTGGGACCTTCTTGACTTATCGGCGAATCTATTTAAATAATAGATCTAGAAAAGAGATAATAGACAATAATATTTTGAATAAATAACCTTTCATCGCATAGAATAATAGCGCCAAAGTCATTTTTATGACGAATAATACGACCAATAGCCTGATTAACAGCCCTAGTAGCCTGTAAATTATACCAGTCGTTTCCGGTTAAGCCCTTCAATAAAGATAAATAAAAAGTATAAAAAGCTTCAAGGCTAGTTGTTTTTTTGTAACTACTTGTTTCTTTGATATATTTGATTCGTCCAAATACTTCATTTTATGAACGACTCTTGGGTCGTTTTTTGCAGGATATGGTATTCCAGTAATGAAAACTGCTCTGCCATTATCATTAGCAAAATCTAATCCTTCGCTGACCTTCATTTGAATAGGCATATAGGAATAAGGTGAATAAAGGTCAAAATTTCTATAACAATTCAACTAACCTTACCACGACAAACGGCCATAAAGAGACCGCCAACCTTATTATTAATATGCTCGTAGTAGGAATTCATTGCGCTTGTTAGCTCATTTTTAGTTCGTGGTTCTGTGTGGATTTTCTTAATTCCATCGAGTTTTTGAAATGAATTCTCTGCCTTTTAAAATTAACATAGTTAATTCATTTATTCATTCATCATTTTGGTGTTTGTTTATTCCCAAAAATTACTTACAGTCCAAAATTTAATATTTGATTCCATTACGTAATAGCTTGGAAAAAAAACTAGAGCACCATGAGGAACCAGGCGACAGCAGTTTGCTAATAATTTCAATAGATAAGTATTTAATAAATAAATCGTGATAAAAAGTTTTAATTATTCAGTAAGCTCACTTATAGTCTTTCCCAAAGAAGACTTATACTTGTCATTCTCTCTATTTGTATATTTAGAATTTAGCTGAATACTATCCGGTCCTCTCGTTACTACAGATACGAATATTTGAGATGAGTCTATGACGTGATCGTTTTGGAGTTCAATTTCGAATGGTCTATAGAGGAGAAAAGAAACGTAAATTTTAGCAATAAATAGACAAAGTCTAAACAAACATAGCCATCTCCGTTTTAAAAGAGGATAGAGGAGAAAGCGTTCCGCTTGTTAGTATAATGCATTTAACTTCTCTATCAACAAGCTCTTTCATCGCATAACCAGGATTAAAGCACCAGTATGATATTGTTCTACCACCTTGGGCGGAGTTCATAGCACTAAATCCTTCTCTATTTTTCGTTTTTACCTTCTCACAAAGGAAAACCTTCGAAATGGAAATGAAAAGCGAAAAGTACTCATTAATGAACATCAGTTACACCCTGAATATCAAACAGCCAAAAAATTTAGAAAAGGATATTTACTTTGTAATGAGCGGAAACTCGTTCCTTTAAGCTTTTATCGTTTTGTTTAATTGGTGAATCGTTAAATACAATCTATAATAAAAAATTATAAAAAACAATTCTTTTTTGATATTTCAATGATTGATAACCTTTAAAAAATCACTAAATTTCCCTAATCCCGTACATCTCATTTGACTCTTCATACTAACTATAAAAACAAATACAACAATAAATATATATATATAGATATTAAAAACAAGCATATCCAATCAATAATGTTTATCATAGATATACAAAGTAAAGTACTAATAGTTTACTTACAACTTGGAGAGGAAGTATATGTTAAAATACTATCAACAAGATTTAGAATAGTATCTTTTGATTCTATTCTTATGTTGGCGTATTCAAGAAATTCAAAAATAAAACTGTGTTAATAGGATAAAGATTTATAGAATAATTAACTTATTAGATTATTTATATATAAATAATAATAAATACTTACTAGGATCCCTTAATACATTCATTATCTCTAGTTAAATTGACATTTTGTATAAATTCTTCCAATTTTAGCAATTTTTCTATATATAGATATATATACATGTATTATTTGTGAGAGGTCTCAGTTTAACTTTTATTAGTAAATTATCTTATTCAGAGCTATTACCTTTGATATCTAAAAGGTCTTTCAGGTTAAAATTCTCTTCTACAACATTTTAATAAGTATATTATTAACTTGGTACTTCAATTTAATAACGTCCTTACCGGAAGGCATAGGAAGTTCGGATGAAGATATATCATCTCTTTCACTTAATGTTGCAAAATCTTCCATTTGTTTAAATAGGTTGGAAATTTCTCGAACACATGCGGCAATATCAGTTGAACTTATTTCAGTAGATGCACTCGATTCACAAATAGATTCCTATGTAAATTTTGATTGTTGGGTTAATTGCTATTTTAAAGAGAAAAAAAGGACACCAACCAAATTATGAGCCTCGTCAAATATTACTATATTCCCTGCCAATTCTACTCCATGCATCTTTCTAAGCTATTAAGAAAATTACAGACATTGAAAAAAGAAGAGTTGGCAATAGCCATTAACCTAATGATTACCTTTGGATCTAGAAGATAGTTGTAAGGCATGAAGATAACATCTGCATTAGCTTTTAATTTCTTTGCAGTATAATAAGGACATGTTCTGCAAGACTTTTTATATTAGTATATTCCTAATTGATTTGATGAGTAGGATCTCTCTACCTATATTTTTTTCCCATTTTAGTCAAATCTTCAATATCCAGAACAGTTTTTGAATTAATAAAATGTGATTCGTTTGCTAAAAAATAATCTCGAATGTTGTTTTTGTCATTGAAATATTTCATAATATATTTTCTTACCATCTACATTATTATAGAAAAAGCATTGCTTATTTTGAACCTTAGCTCTGCACATGTGAACTTTCGCAGTATTACTTTGCTCTTGAGATACTTGAGGATGTATACACAACTGATCTCTGGAACCTAGAATAGCTACTTTCAAGCTGGAAGGATCAATTTAATTATAATATTGGTATCTAATTAGCCAAGAATGAATTATATATATACTGTTTATATGCTGTTCTTTTGAGTTCCTGAATAGCCTGAGCTAATTGAGAGTGGGTTCTTGAAGCGAATATAACTTTGGGAGCATCTGAAATGGTTTACAATGAAAATATACTGATTTTACGTAGCTTTCTTCTTCTTTCTTATGTTTACTTGTTTCCTTATTCCAGATCCCTGCTCCAACATCTAAATCTTTTTCTAGTTGAATGGCTCCTTCATTTAAAGGATTATCGACGCCATTCCTCTTACTTTGAATTTGAGCCTTCTTCAATTCAAGCCAAGCCAAAGTACCACATAACAAACATAGAGTTTTACCAGTTCCCGTTGGAGATTCTAAGATTCCATTATATTCCTGTAAGGGAATATTCTTAAGTAATCATAACTTTTGTAAAGAAGAATATGATAAACACCTTTTGGAGACATTCTGTCAATTTTTCCATATAATTTATCTGACAAGAATATGGTTCAAATGGAAAGTTAATTTGAACACCGTTTATCGAGATTAACACCATGGCGATAATATGTCAATTTTTTACTCTTATTGAAATCAAGTGATAAAACTCTCTTTATAAAATTATTACTGATTTATAATTTCAATTTTTAAGTATACTGATAACAGAATCATAACGTTAAATATATCTTTTTCGGCAAATTTAGTGGTCCAGTGGCAGTCAACTGTATCGCCGAAATTTGTTCAAAAGTGTAGTGTCCATAATCACGTGACCAGTAGTTTAACAAATTTTAAAGGGAAAAAGGTATTAAGCTTTCTTTATAGATTACTCAAATAACATTTATGTAATAAAAAACTATATTTTATATCATAGAAGATTGTTTGTTTCAAATCATTTTAATACAATTCAATATAATTACAGATATAAGACTTTCCCGCCAAAAAATTACAGTAAATTTTAATGTACTCAATAGTCATCAACTAAAAAAATGAAAAAGTAATTTCAAAACGTCAGTTCGTGTTTCAATGATGTGATTTGAAGCTGTCTCTTTTCTAATATAAAACTTATATAATTATCTTCTTGGCACGTGAACGTTTCCACTATTCAGTCTTGTCCACAAGTAATCGGTCTGAGTGAAAGTATTACAGATAACAAAAACATTAGAGAATTATTGAAGAAATATAAGATTTAATTACCTGTTTAGGGCAATTTATTGCCGTAACCTCTTCAATTTGTACATCAGGTCTTTTTTGTCCAACCTTTACCAACTAAGAAGAAGAATTGGATATACAAAAATAAAGAATACAGAAACTTTATTACTACGAACCATTTGATTCCAGAGGCCTACTGCAAAGTACGAATGTCCTTTTTCATTTGGATGAAAACAATCAGGACTAAAGAGAGATTTATCATATTCTCCTGTATTAGGCTAACAAAGTAGTTTTGATAGTTATTCAGATACAATAACAAATGTAATAGTATACTTACATCTCTAGGTGGTTTCAAATCTCTCAAATAAGGTTGATAAACGACGGTAAAATCATTACGAGTATCGTACCTTCCAGAGCTAATAAGATTTCGTAACCCTATAGCGTATGCCAATTGCACAGGTCGTAATTGAGGCCTTGTCTCTTCATTAATTCCACAAGAGCACACAACACTATAAAAGATTATATACAAATAGATTTATGGCGTTATATAGTACAAACACGCAATTAGAATGAATAGAATAATTATATACCTATGGAATATATCGCAGATAAAGCCAGTACTAAGATGGCGAATGGGACTGACATCAAACATGGGTACAATTTGAACCAAAGCTCTTGGAACTTCTGCGTGTAATTTGTCCAAGGCAACTCTATAATCATCAACAAATTTAGCTGGACTAGAACTTTCCTGATAAAAGGAGAATAAAAATACAAGTGATAAAGTTTAAAGTAGCTTTTAAGTAATTGCTTATTACGTTATTAAAGCAATACTGGCACAGATCATTTCCACCAACAAAGAGGGTTATTAATTTCCAATCATTGAGGTAATCGATTCTTGAATCTCTTTTGAATCTTTGTATTAATTCATCAGCTTGATCTGGGAAATCTCTGTAAATATTTTAAATTAAAGATTTTATCTACATTTAATATACTATATACAGTATATATATATTATATTCTAAAAAAAAACCTTGCTTTTCCTCCAGGAACAGCAACATTTAACCACGAATTTTCTTCCCAATCCCATCCAATACCAGTTGAATATCCCTTAATATTTGGATTGTACTTTTTTAAAATATCTGTTTAATTAGAAATCATCGATATTATCGGATATAATATTCATATAATTAATTACTTGTGATTGTATACACATGCTCTTCGAGAGACTTATCTCCTCCAATACTAAATAGTACGAAAAAGATTACAAATTCTTACATAAAAGATTTCAAATATTGACCTACCTCCAAGACACTCCGCGAACTTGTAAAGCTACTTCTGGTAATATTTGAGCGTGAATGCCATTTCCAGCCTATATTTAAAGTAGAAGAAAACAATTATTAGAAGAGTAAATAGTTTAAATTTCATAAGAAGATATTTACAGTAACAGAATCACCAAAAGCAGCAATAGCATTTATATCTCCAGGTTTTAATTCGTGAACTGCAAAAAAGAAATAATTAAAGCTTATTTTCCCTTATTCAACTTAATTTACTACCATTTTGGGGATTGCCACTCATATTTTGAGTCGAACATTGAAATGGAAAGTTGGGAACCTGTCAATAAAAAAAAAAGAACAAAGAATTTAGTTGAGCATTGTCAAAAAACAATTTTCTCTCTTGTAACATTTACTTTATAATTCTTTTGCATTTCAACGTTCTGCTTCCATTCTAGCATCAATTTTTCATCACTTTCAATCGTTGCAAACGCCTTTATCAAATTTTCTTCATAGTGATTCAAAGTTGCAACATTTGCAACAATAACTAATAAAATTAGTAGAATGTTCCTCATACTTAATGCAAATACTGGATAACAAGTAAAATTAGCACGAATCATTTCTGATTTTTATATGGAAGAGGATGGCTATCTTATCATAAGATGCCTGCATAACATCCATAATCTGATAAGAAATTCCAAATTTATCAGGACCAAAATAGTAGGTTATAATATATGACAATTTCTAGGTAAATATTTGTGACGCAATTACATTCGAGATAATTTAAGAGGAATTTATAATCAACCTATATATTATTCTCTTATTCGACATACATATATAAATATAAATATATATTAGTATATATGCATATATAGATAAATAAAAACTGTCAATAAAAGAAGGAGAACTCTTCTTTCTATTTTAATAAAAGTGTTCGATTGTTGATTACTTATCGGCTGCATAGAAAATAGAAGTTTCCCTTGAACTTGTACTTTTGTTCTTAAATTAAGAGAGATCTAGAGTTTTAGACAATCGATAATTGTTTCGTGTATTCTACTTCGATTTATTATAAGCCTTTAAAGGATTTAACGTCATCGTCAAAATTATAATCGCTCGCTGAATATCTAAATTCTACAACTGAAGTAACAACTTCGTTATTGAATGATTGTACTCTTTTCACTTGAATGCATAGGTAGAGTGTAGCAATTATTTCAAAACATACTAATAACGTAATTGTTACGATAGATATTAAAAAGGGTAAGGCGATTATTGTATTTATCTTCTCTTGTATCTTTATAGAGCAAGAGATGTTAAAATAGTGATCTGATAATATATCTGTTTAAGATGACAGTGATACTTGAACTGAGAGTGTTCCTCTAAAATTTCAGTGAAACAAACCGTTATCAATAAGATCAAGAATAGCCTTTTTCTTTATACTAGACGTTTCTGTTTGATAAGCATATTGCTTACTGCACGAATCCGGAACAGTTGAATTACCATATTCTTCAATAAGGGACTTGAAGCCGCAACATTTTAATGAATACTGCAAATAATCTATGCGATCCCTCCACAACTTTGCGCCGTGCTCATCCCTCCACTTTCCGTAAATGTTCTTTACTAATATGCTAAATGGTTCTCTAAGGGGATGGATTAGATTGCTGATATTTATAGTTGCAATAATCATAATCTATTTGAAAGACGAAAAAAATTGGCTTTATAAGATTTTTATTAATAATTTGCAAGAATTTGACTTTATCCCTACCAACGAGCACGCAAACAACGTATTTGTAATAATGGATAAGAGAAGCACTTTAAGATTAACAGTAACCGATCCAACTACACTAAATAAACCGGTCATGAATAAAATTAATCCAATAATAGTCACACAAACGCCTATGACTTTTATTGAGTTTGATTCACTGGAATCAGCTTCGTTTGATGCTTGAATTAAAAACTTATACTCCTTCCAACCAATTATTAAAGATGCCAGTATAAGTATTGCAAAGCCAATCAATAATAAAGGTATATTAATAACTAATAAACAAATCCTTATTAGTGTCTTAAAACGGTATCTCATAATAAATTATATCATATGTTTTTTTTTATTGTATTTATTATGTTAACTTTTCGAATTTTTAAATATACTACCAAATTTCCAACTAAGCAATTTCGTTTAACATGTTTACTAGTTTAAAACCCGAACTATGTGCCAAAGAATAATTGCAAAAAGGCAAAGAAATAGATCTTCGATCGTTGATGACCTCTGTACACGTTTTATGTAGAGAAAGCAAATGATTGCAATGCTTTCTCGTCAATTCTTGAATCTCTTTTAAAACTGTTTAATAATAAAAAAACAGCAGTTAATAATTAATAATCTTACTGAAATACTGTATAGTATGCTAATATAAAAGTAAAATTATGCGTTTACCTTTAGATATATACGGTTTACCGTCAGAAGCAGTATTAACAATATCTGTTAAAATTGATATCATAGCACCTTCGGCAACTATTCGTTTATCCAAAGGTAATTCCGTAAAATATCCTCTATCTATCTCAAATGGATTGATTGGTGGGGGATAAGTACAAAGCCGTACAATCTCTTCTACGCAATGCCATGGTTTAAAATCTAAACGTTTTTTTTTAGATTAAAGTATGTTTTATTACAGATATTTACAATATAAAAAGTTTATATTGTATACCTTTAGAAAACCAATTACTTGTTGATTTTAACTTTAATGGCGAATCCTTATCCGATTGTTTAAAGCCGCTAAGACTTATTAGCCTTTCGTGGTTAGTTCGAATCCAAACGTATGGATTATTATATCTTACATAGGCCCCCAAGAGAAAAAGTGTTGTATTTTCTTGCATTGATGTTTGATCATGATCACTGGGAGATGCTGGCGGTAAGCCCACTTCTTCATCCCTTCTACCAAGCTTTATTTGCGTTGCAGCAGAGAGCATTAACGATCTTTTATCGTATGGTAGATTTCTAGACGTAATCGATGACGAAAAATTTACCGAAAAGCTCGTTCGGCGTGACGTCGAACCACTTGTTAGACTAACTGGACTTATTGGTGGACTCGTATATTTGTTATCTATATCTTTTGGTTCGTTTACTACAGATATAACTAACTCCTCTTTACCTCTGGAATACATGGCAAAATTTTTGAAACCCTTAGTGGTGCCAAAACGTTGCATTTCGTCAGAAAAATTGTTTAATCTATTCTTTATCTCCTCTTCCAGTTCTTCCGCCATGTTGCCGTTCCTATTGATCCTATAGTTACTTACGTTCGATACTATGATTTACTATTTATAAGTAGAGCAAAACATATTCAATCTACCCTTCTTGCGATTACTGTATATAAGCGCCATCTGTTTTATAATTTTGTCATTCTTATGAACAAAAGGTATTCTTTATTTTTAATTTTAAAAAAGTGTATTTCCGGTTATAAAACGTATAACAAAGCTAACTCGAACGTGTACAAATATACAGGCTATCCGAGAATTTATTATTCATGCCCGTCTAGGTTTCCATGGCTTTAAATATTAAAGTTATATTATTAGTATATTTTGTCAACATACACAGTATTACTAATGAAATCACTTACCCTCAACCTTCTCCGAAAACATATATTCGTCATGATATTCTTTCAAATATTCACTTGATCTCTCTTCATCCAAAAACATCGTGTAGACTTTTTGAACATCTTCTTTCTCAACTTCAGTTCCTTTCCTTTTCTTGCAAACCAAATCAGCAAACGTTATTAATCGCATAGCATAACGAAGAGAAGTATCTTCACCAATTTTCGCCAAAATAGCAAGCGATTCGTCGCTAAGCATAACGTCCTCCTCTTCAGCTCTATATATAGAATCTACAATAGAAATATCTGCTTGTTGATAGAAATATTTTGTATACCTTATCTTTAAGATTTCTTCTATTTCATCGAATTTGTATGGAGATGTCGATATAATAACTAAACGATCCAAAAGATCTAAAGGAAGGCCGTGAGGAGATTTATGATCAGCTCCACGTATCCTGTAATTAAATTGTTTACATTGAATAGTTTCAAACATTGTTAATAATTTATAACATTATTACATACCAAGTAATACCACGATTGGTAGCCATAACAAGAACTGGAGCATTTTCACTTTCTAAAGCTCGATTTAAGAAGGAAAAACATTCAATATCCAACATATGAACTTCATCAATAAACAAAACTCCCGGGATAATTTCAGCTTTTCCCTCCTCTCTCCACTCGGTTATCTGTCAATATTTAACTTATATTTACAATAACTATTAATTTTATATCTTACTCTTGTGTTGATTTGTTCTCTAACTTCACTTTTTATCTCTCCAGTATCGCCAGCAAATAAAGCTAAAAATCCTTGAGTCCTACTGTTGATGACGTCAATTTCGTGTAAACTAACAGTATGGACGACTTCTTTAGTCTTTTGAAGTTCACCTTCGGGACATTGTGCAAATTTAATTTGCATACCCGATGCATCGTAATCTCTTGCTCTAGTGAAAGATCGTCCAATTTTCGTTATTTTACCAGAAGATTTATCGATGCATATAATGTCGCCGGCGTCAACTTTCTCCTTCATAAGAGAATCCATCATCTTTTGACCAATATCGTATGATGTTTCCATATCAGTTGTTTTTAAAGTCATTTTGCCCAATTTCTAAAAAACAAGAACGTACTTTAGTATTGCCACAGTGATTTAAGAGCTCTTATTAATAAATAATTACAGTTCCTGATGGATGTTTGTCAATATTTAATTCGATAACTTCTCCTTCGATAATCTCTGCTTCTTCTTTAATTCGAATACCGATAGACTTTCTGAAAGCTTGCGTCAAAGCCTCAGTTTTACTCATTTCCAAGGAGAAAATTTCACTTCCAGCCATGCTCGTGAAAGGTGTATTTTCCCCCAAAGCTTGTGCCATAGCTAAAAAAGAATAATAGACTTGCTACTTTTGCTTATCAATGAAATAATCTTTGCATAAAATACAAACCCATTGCTAAAGCGGTTTTCCCAGTTCCCGGTTGGCCAGCAATCAAAACTGCTCTACCAGCAATTTTGCCCTCGCGGATCATTTCGACAATTAAGCCAGCCGCTCTTCTAGCAGACTTTTGACCAACCAAACCTTCAGAAACTGATCTCGGTTGTAAATCATCGTCTAGACCAAGTCCCCGAATATGACTATGGGCCCCGATTCTTTCTATTCTCGTAACTAGTCGAACATCTTCTGATTCTTTTGAAAGCTAAAGTAAAGGCAAGTGTAAAATTTGAACTTCATTTGTAAAGTAAATTTGTATAGAAAAAGATGAATAAAAAAAAAAAATTCGGATATTGCCGGCTTTTCGGCGTAAGGTATGTTAGTGAGCGGTATTCCAATTGGTATTTGAGGTATTATCGCTCGTTGTAAAAAATGGCATCAAATAATACTCTTAATTTATATGTTTTGTCAAATGTTGACTTCAGTAATTCTATTCTATAAAAAAATTTCAATTCTTTAATGGGTTTATAATTACCTGGATATCAGTCATTTCTCAAATTTAAAGCCGCTTCTTGTGGGATTGCTAAAGAGACTCAGCCTAGTGAGTATTTCCCTTGACATTACAAAACAACAAAGCCTTACTTGTGCTGAATGGAACAAAACATCAATTTTTTCATTGGACTATATTCAACAGCCAATCAGCAGTCGGTTCATCAATTTTCGGCTTTGTGCCAGATTTGCGGCACTTGATTTTTTATATATTTCTTATTAATTTTTAGGCTTCACTATGTCATCATCTGGTACTAAACAAAAGTTATTATCACTCATCGTTGATTTTGAAATCATATCAAAGTAAGCTTATTGTATCTTATGTTTTATACAATTTCCCCTAATTTATTGTATTATCGCTAACTTTTAGAGAACTACTAGATGTTATATCTTCGAAGGGTCAGAGGCATTCCAGCATTGATACCGGCCAACTAGTCGAACTCCTCGTTAGCAAGGATGAAGAATTACAAGAAACCATCAAAACTGCTATAAGACAAGTTGAAGTTCATAAAAACACAGAAGAAATAAAAGCGAAGATTGCTCAGCGTGATTACGAAATCAGACAGTTGCAAAATAGCTTAAGGGAAGCTGAGTCTCTGTTGTCGGTTGCCATTTATGAAGGCAAACAGAAATTAGCTGTTGCCAAAAGAGCAAGACACAACAAACTGCCAGTAGATGACGTTATAAAATATGCTCACAAAATTAGCGCTTCTCATTCCGTCGTTGCGCCCCCGAACTGGGTGCAGGGAGATCCTCGAAGACCATTCCCAACTGAGAATGATATGAGGAATGGTTGGTTAGGAAAAATTCGAGAATTACCAGCCAATTTGATTCAAACCAGGGGTTTAAGTGAGGCTCTAGCAACTCGAGCCCCTTCCAACTCTCAGACTGGAGTTTCCAGCTGGCCAACCCCTGTTGAAAGCACTCTAACACCATCTGTGCCTACAAGAGGAAAAGAGCCCGACGACGTTGAAATAATGTCGAGTGAATCTTCTAGCAGTAGTAGCAGTGAGGATTAACTTTTAAACTACTAGATTTATAACACAGGTAATAAACAAGGAAAGAAAAACTATTCAAATTTATTATATATTTCATTTACCATTTAATGAAAAAAACCCAAGAGCTATAGGTCTGTTTAAATACACTTAACATTTTTTGTTATTTAGGCCTAATATATATTTATATTTCGGGATTGTTTATGACGGACGGTGCTATCCGATATATATTGTTTATATACATTTAAGACCGTTATAGCTATTCTGTTCATGTATACTTAACAGAATAATTAGTATTTGTAAATAAATGTTTAACTCAACTAACTTTTTGTCGCTCTCTCATTGTTTTTCGCATTTAAATATTGATATTATGTTATTTGATGTTTAATTCTGTACTATACACATTCAAGTTTGGATTGGAAGAAAAGAATTAATCACAAATCAATTTATTTTCCCTCATAGCTAAGCCTTGCTAATAAATAAACATTTTGCGTGTATATAATACATATTTTTGTATGCACATAGTATACAGTTTAAACTGTACTTTGCATAGTTAAGTCGTAGCAGAAGCAAAAAAAAAGTTAGCAACTCAAAAAGCACTTATAGATTAGAAAAATACTTAAAAATGCAACAACGTTGAAGAGCGCAAAAGGTAGAACGCTCATTTCGAGAGAAGAGCCTAGAACACCGGAAATAAATATAAAACTGAAGAATATAAGAGAAGGTAAAGACGATAATTTTTTTTTCAGGAATTCTTGGTATTCTCTTGACCAAAAACTCCTGGTTGTCGATTTTCTGGCAATTTCTTCGCGACTACTCTGTAAAATGTTGGTTGCAACTTCTTCAGTATATTCCAATAAATTTTCGGAAACTCCATTATTTGCGTCAAGTTGCTCAGGGTCCGTTAATCTCGTCTGAAGGGACTCTACATTTAATTTTTTATCAGGATTAGCTGACATATCGCTATAGTGACTTGGCACGTTTTCGGTTTCTTCGTAGCATTCGAATTTTTCTTCGTTTTCCAGATTGTCCATGATTTCTTCTTGTGGAGAGGATGCTAAGAGTTTTCTTTCCTCGATTTCTACAAAATCCTCACATTCATTTGTTTCATATGATTGAGGCATACTTTCCTCCAGCTCAATTTGATTTTTCGACATTTCTTCGATTACAGGTTCTGGATCATTGCTATTTTCTCGAGAGAATTCTTTCTCTGAGTCGATATTTTCTTCGTCTTCTTCACAAGGAGTAAGCTTATCTGTTGAGAAATTTTCGGTCTCTTGTGGAATTAGAATTTCTTCAGTTACAGAATCGGACACTGGAAGATCTGTATTTTGCGAAAGATTTTCTTCGAGAGAGAAGGGCTTTTCTTCTATATTTTCTTCTTTTTCCTCTTCATTTACTTGATCGGCTGCATTTTTTGACTCTTGATCTGAAGCGATCTTCATATCATCTAATATCAACTCCCTTTGGTTAAGAGCAGATTGATTTTGTTTGTCGTTAGGTATACTTCCTTCACCAACATCAATAAGAGAATTTTCAGAATTTGACTCTTCTGTGTACTTGTTGATGTCTTCATTAGGAGCGGAGTTTTGACTAAAAGCATTTGATGATTGATCTTCTGCACGAATTTCCTGGTCTTCTAATGAAGGGGATTCAAATCGGTTATCTTGGGAAGCATTAGTATTTGATTTTTCTGTAGAATCCAATCGATCTTCATCTGAGGTGATCCTCTCTTGAAGGTCTTGAGGCAAATCGGCAGCCCTATCTTCAGACTTTGTTGCGCAGAGTTCTTCTGAATCTGGGGCTAAATGTTCTTCAGTTTGAGAGGATAAAGGCTCGACGAGTTGAGATGACGGTTCTTCTGGTTGAGGAGCTGTGAGCTCCCCTGCGCTTGTATTAAGAGATTTATCAACATCTGTAGTGGATAAATATTGATCTTTGGCTAAAGACTCCACATTTATTAACTCTTCTGAAGTTAGCATCTCTTGACTTCCAACTATAGGATCTTCTATCAGTTGATGCAGCGTAGTAGTCAGCGGAGTGGAAGTAACTGTATTACTAAATTCTTCGGTAGGCGATGGAATATCATTGGGTGAAGAAATATTTTCTTCAGCAGAAATCTGTGGTTGACCGTTTAGCCTGAAATCTTCTTCACTGGCAGCTAGACCACGGATTAACAATGTTTCATCTTCTACCCCTTCGTTGGTAAAATTTAGAAGATTGCTATTATTTATTTCTTGATTTGATTCCTTATTTAGCGATGGTGGATTATCTCCTATTGAAGGCTGTTCAGTAGAGATATCATCTTGTACATCCTCGTTTGACGGTTTTTCCGATGGGAGATCTTTTTCTAATTCTTCTGAAGAAGATACTTTCTCCATTTCTGTTTTCTCAATTTGAATATTCTCGTTATTGGAAGACAATTCTTCGTTGTCGCAAGTATTTTTACTCTCCTCAGAAACATACTGTACAGCCTGAGAATTATCATCCTTCTCTGAAGAATAGCTTGGTATTTGATCTTGATTTAAGTCGACTTCACTCGAAATATCATCTACTCGCTTTTCAACGCTGTTTTCGTTGTCTTTGTTTTCTTCTTCGTTTGAGTTTTCATTTAGAAGAGCAGCATCGTTTTTACTAGCATCTGTAGCAGGAACTTTCTCTGATTTATTTTCAATATCTTGAATTTCATTTACATTTATGTCAACGAGTTTGTCTCTATCCTCCTTTAATTCTTCATTTCGAGGAGTTACGTGTACCTCGTTATCGTCATTTCCAACATGAACATTATCACCCATTAGTAGTTCTTTCTCCTTGACTACATTATCATCCACCGTTGTGTTGGAACTGTTTTCGGACATACTGTCTAGGGTTTCAAAATTATGCACTATTATTACACAATTTCATCATAAATAGACTAGATGCATAGTTAAATAGGAAAATTATTCGGATCTATATCCTAAAGTATGTATAAAGCTAATAACTGGAATAAATTAGATTTTAGATACGTTTTCACCGCATCAATTGCTCATTTAATATTTGCTTATCATGAAAATCGCTCGACAATTACTAGGCTAAATATAATGGCCTATATAGGAAATATATATTTAAGCATGCACACCATTTCTCAGGAAGAGCATTGTTCAAACATTAGACCTATAATATTTTCTTTAGAGAAAAAAAATCGAAGGTAAATTTCAGCGTAAGGAATATACTTATTTTTCGTTGATTCTTGTGTAATTCCCTAAGTATTAATAAATAAGACTATGTCTTGGCAATATTCAAAGAATTTTACTTTTGTCTAGACATTTCGTCCTAGAAATTTAAAATGACTATTTATTCAGTTAAATTAATAAAAAATTCAAAAAGACTGCCATAACCACTAATATACGCCTAGCGCTACTCAATCTAAATATATTATTCTTACTAAATAAAGCATACAATTTCGAATTAATACAATTTGTAAAACGTAAACTTAAAACAAATAGAAAGAATTATTTTACGAGAGAAACGAACCTATTTATATATTTTGAAAGAATATACACTTATAGAAAGACAAGGAGAGACGAGGAAAAAAAAAGCTAATTCTATATATCCTCTCTTCGAATGTGACCTAAAAACGGATGTACTCTAAATAAAATATTAATTATATCTAAGAAAATATTATAATAAAATAGATATTGTTAAAATAATTTACTTGTTAAGTTATTCAAATGATAGTTCCAAATTTATTTTCAGTAATACAATGTAGAAATTTCTAACCGGCTGCTCGTCGAGAAGTTGGTGAGCTGAAGGCTTAGACTGGAAAAGCTGGTTATGTATTCCACATGTCGGGAAATAGGACGAGTAACCATGCTAATATTATCATCAATTGTGTAATAATTTCGTTTTTACTCGTTTGTCCTATGTAATCTAGACTAGTCTAAAGTTTTTGTTTATTGACAGACGACAAAGTTCAATGAAATAAACACTTTTTTTATTATACTATTTTCAATTTTAAGTTTAAATAAGGAAAGAATTCGAGCTAATCGTAATATTTTTATCACTTTGCTTCACAGTTAGATATTTAGCTTCTCCACGTGCTCCAAGTCTGGAATGGACTTTTATAAATAGTAGAGAACTTTGCTCTATAAAGAGACAAACAACAAAAATGTATTATCTTTCATAGATACTGTTTATTACTTAATGTTTATTTCGCACTCAATATTGACAATCAAAATGTTTGGTACTTGGTACAATTTTTCATCATCTTAACCTTCTTATTTATCTAAACCTATGTCAGACTTATTTGCTTAATGATTAAACAAGCTTTTAAGTAAATACTTGTGGCTGAATAAATAAAGAGGTTGACTTTTTTTATATTTATTAGTCAGTTATTTTCTTTTTATCTTTCCTTCCTATAACTTTTTTTATTGATTTTTTTATAATAGATTTCAAAATAAATCAGTCATAATTTGATTGTTTCAACCGCGTTTTGCTTTATCTTATCGTTGTATTTGCATATTATAAATTCTATTATTAAGATACTATCTATTACAAAAGAGAAGGAATGTGTATTAGATTCAAAACACACAAAAATCCAGTAGGGGCGCTAATATCGTATCAACAATTCCTGCATTATCGCTCATATCGACATGGATCCAGAAAAATTTGTTCAGTTCCAGCAACAAATGCGAGAAAACTCTACTGAATATCAAGATTTTCTTAAAGATTTAGATGGATGGACTGACGATATTAAAAAGAAGGATGAAAAGTTAAAAACTGTTAATATTGAAGAAAAATCGCAACTACCACCGATTAGAAATAGTTTGAGTAAGAAGAAAACAAAGAAAAAGTCAAGGGAACCAAAGAACACTAATAGAATAAGCGGCTTTGATTTTAAAAGCTGGGATAAGTACGATGTGGTAAGTTCTGAAGTATTATATTCTACTTTAATATATTTTTTCATTTATAAATTGGAATTTGTATTTGAAGGACAAAGCCTTGGAAGAAGTTGACCATGAAGAGGACGAAGAAGAATATGAAACAGATGAAGAATGGGAAGAAAAAAGAACAAAGGAACAAGCAAATTTATTAAAAGAGCAAGGAAATCAACGATTTAAAGAAGAAAAATATGTCGAAGCAATTGAATGCTATACAAATGCAATAAGGCTGGATCCTCAAAATGTAGTCCTTCTCTCAAATCGCTCAATGGCTTTGTTAAAGCAAAATAAATTTGGAGCGGCTGAGGAAGATACATCCGTTGCCATAGCTATAGACAATACATTTGGAAAGGCCTATTATAGGTAGAGCTCTAACTTAATTAAATTATTTTTACTTTTAAACTAATTTTGAATTTTCCTTTAGACGTGCGATGGCCCGTATAGGCCTAAATAAACTAGAAGCCGCCAAAGCGGATTTGGAAAAATTGTTAAAACTAGAGCCAAACAATAAGTTAGTAAAAAAAGAATTAGAAAAAATTGACAAACAATTAAATCCAGAAGATTTTAATGACGTTGGAATAGTTAAACCTATTACAAAACCTCCACATAAAAGATCTAAAGTTTGTTAGTCTCTTTTAACTATAAAAATTATTAATTTATTTGTTATTGTTTATAGAAACCTTTAAGAAAGATAAAAATTGAAGAAATTGGCAAATCAAAACAAGATAAGCCTGCTAAAAAAATTCAAGAAATTAGTCCAATACAATCAAAATCTCCACAAATTGTTAAAGAGCAACCTAAAGTTACACAAATATTGACAACCAAATCAACTGAAAAAGAGAATATGGTATTAGAAGCTCCAACTTCATCATTGCAATTAGAAAAGACTTGGAAAGCAATTAGAGACGATAAAAAAAATTTACACAGCTATTTTGAGGTGCTTTTTTTGATTAGTCTTAAATAACTTTTTTAATTGAATTCTAATTTTGCCTGTTTTTAGAAAATCGATAAAAAGTCTTATACTAAATTATTTGGATTCTGGTTTGAAACTTGTATTTTGGAAGATATTTTAGAAATATTAAAGAAATTTTACAAGTAAGAATTAATTAATAATGTAATTATTATAGATAAAAAATTAATAACTTCTAGGAATAAAGAAGCCTTCTCTACATTATTAGACATAAGTCTAATCAAGCGCTTTTCAACGGCCTATTCATTCCTTGAAAAACCCTATAGAGATTGTAAGAAAATCTTTATCTTACATCTTAATTAAAGTAATTAACGTTATTTTTACTATTTTTAGATATAAAACAAATAACCGATGAGTTTTCAAATGATAATGAGTTTGATAGGAAGGTCGTTGAAAGATTCATAAAACTTCAAAGATAATTAATTTCTATACCAAGAAAATATGGCAAAAGACATATTCCCTTTACTCTCTCGTAATGAAATGTTATAATATTTTTTATCCCCATATTCGCCTTCGTAAAAATACCAATAAATGTATTTTTACACTGACTTCTTAACATTATACATTTACATATATAATACTTACATTACTTACATATATTTATAAGCAACAACTTTAAACATTATAAAATATAGCAGAATAAAAAAATGAAAAAACCATTAAATCTCTAATTTAAAATATAAATTGCAAACTCTTTTAAGCTTTAAAAAAGAAAGAAAACAATAATAAAGCCTTTCTGGTCTTTTTGATTTATACTTTTTAATTTTGGCAATAAAAACGCTTACAAGTCTGACGTAGAATATTCTTAGTCGGAAAATTTTGATTATTGCTCCTTTCCTAAAAATGCTAACTAAAATAGAGAAATTGATGAGTTAATTACTTTTTCTTGTAATAAAATTTATAAAGAATGTACCTGTGAAACAAATTGAGTGGCATCCACTAAATCTGAGCATCCGTAGATTATTGATTTCTTAATTCCACTATTTGCTTTTTTAGACTTGCAATAGTCTATTAAATTCTGATATTCGATGTAATTTCCACCACCTACGATAAAAACAACTGCTTCTTGAAAAGGAGTTCTGGTTCTTTGAATACTTGTCCTGTATTGATAGGGTATTGATTAACTTATTTTTAAATTTTATAAACGGTTATACGAACGGATCGGTTACACGGAGTATTTTAGGATCGAAATATCTGAAATTATCAGTTTCAGGTGTTGACTTCAAGTCCATTAAGGCGTCTACTATCTTCGTTACTAATAAATTATGTTTGTCAACAACCAAATTTTTAACCCCTTCCATCGCAAATTTCGATGCCTTTCCTAACAATTTAGAAAACATAGAATCGGTACGAGTCCCAAAATGATCGGAACCACCGTAAGCAGCGGCAGCCATAGTTATATTTGTGTAGGCCCTGCGTAAAGGAAAAGAGGTAGAGATTTACGATTTAATTATATTTAGACACAACTCACTTCCAGCGTCTTATATATTTTACAGGTGCTAAATCACAATTAGCTGCCTGTAAAATTTCATAGTAATTGTTCATATCACTTTCTGATATATTCTCTTTTGTGCAAAGTAAGCTTATAATGAATAGTCGTACTTTATCTTCAGGAGTACCAGCTGAAAGCATTAAACTTTCAATATATAATAAAACATATATAATAAGTTATCTTTACCGTTCGGGTCTTTTAAAATATCCAGCAGACTTTTATCTCCTAATGAAGATGATTTACTCAATAATTTTTCCTCCATCTCAAAGAACGTGTCTAGTTTACGCTCTTTGATTTGTTCTAATAAGGAAGCGGCAATATCTATGTGCATATCAACCGTTCTTTTTCTAGCAAGAATTTCCGGGAGTGACGTAACAGCCATTGAAAGCCTAGCTGTTGTACCATCAACGTCTTCACCTTCAAGTCCCATAGCAGATTTCAACCTCTTAATTTCTTCTTCACTTGATTTGCATCTTTCTAATTCTTCTTGCACAACTTGTGCTACTTCGGGAAAAGGTGAACCTCTCTGCTTTTTCCATAAACTATCATTTTTGCTATCAAGATTGAAGTTTTTTTCTTTTATTTTAACACTATTTAAAGAAAGATTTAAAACATCGTGAACAAGCGCTTGATAGGTCCATGTATGATGGAGTGGTGTTGCTAAGTCAACATCCCTATCTAATATTACAAGAAGTGGTCGATATAAAAGGGAAACATCTAATCCACCTCCTGCGAACATATGAGCCCTTGCGTCTTTCATTTGATCCCTGAGTTTTCTATCCAATAATTCGGCCAATTGTTCAGCGGCATTTCCTGTTGAACATTGTATTATTGGTACCTGGCCTTTAGAAACGAGAACAGAGAATAGGGTATCCGCTAAGGTTTCGAGAATTTGCTTCATCTGACTGTCTGTCATATTTGACTTATGAAGACCATAATAGGACAAATTATGACTTTCTCTATGCTTTGCAATAAACATTTCATCTTCTATACAGATAAATTGAATATATTGATCCATTACGGAGGTAATGGCTTGTGCATTATCAGCAGTAAAAGACCTGGAGGCTATCGTTTCCAATTTCGCTCTCGATATAGGGCTAGTAAAATTTAAATAAAAACTTTCATACATCTTGTTCGAAATGTCACTGCACAGTTTTTCAATATTTTCCTCCGTAGGGGATAGAATATATATAGCTGGAACATCGTTTATAGATTCTCTTTCACTATTAATATTTCTGAAATAGTACATATATTTAATGGAAGAGAGAGATAGACTGCTTTCACTGATCTTAACTTACAAATGTAACGTTACACCTAAGTCTCTTAACTCTTTTACACTAAATAACGGAGATATTATATCTTGACCCCAGTCGTCGTAAATGAGTACCTAAGTTGAACAAAACATTAGTTACAAGTTGCAAAATCAGTTGTTACTACCTTCCATTGGGGTTCTGAGGCAGAGGTTTTGCCAGCAACAGTATTAAAGTTAAGAATCCTTTTCAATGAATCTGTTGTCAAACAAAATTATACCTATTACTGATGAAATATTAAATGCAAATAAAATGTACATTAAATACTAGAAATATATTTTAATTTCTTTATAAAATGATTTAATAAAGAATTTAATTAACATGAAGGAAAAATAAAATATAAATTAACCAATTTGTTTATCTCGTATGGAGGCTGACATTTTGTGTCGTCTGCTATACCAGTTTAAAATAACTTTTACCCGCTTTTTAATTTTAGAATGAATTCTCAATTGTTTCTCACATCTATCAGCTTTATTATTAACTTTGAGGATTATTATCATAAAGTTTATTCATAAAAAAAACAAGTATAAAAAAAACAAAAATTCAAGTTTATTAAAATAAAACGAATAGGAGACATTAATTATTAATTTGACCAGATTCTTAATATTGTCTTATTTTCTTCGTAGTCGTCGAATAAAAGTAATTTCGCTACCGTCTGTTATGCCATATCTATAGGGAAATTGTAGACATTAATAAAAGATAAAGGATATAAATTATACATAAACATACTACTGTAACTTACTGAGAAATTGGATGATTATCGTCAATTAGCTTTTGTCCTTCATGAATTAGCCAATACCTTTTCCATACGTATTTCCTACAATATTTCCCGAAGAATTATTACATACTAATCATGTTTTTGTTATTATTCAAAGTGTTGTCTTACCAACTTATATGTACTGAACCGGCTTTCTGTAATTCCAATAGTGTTTGCTTTTTAATACCTGTTTTTATATCTTTAACTTTACCATTCAGTGGGACGACGATAACTAAAACACAAACTTATTGATTAATATTAAAGTCAAACAGTCTTTCACCATCTAAAAGCTTACTTTTCCGCTTTCCATCCAGTTTTTTTACGAAAATGTTTATAGCCTCACCATGCTCTAAGTCTATTAATGACTGTACCTCATCAGCAGTTATTGATACTGGTATATCTTGAAGCAGAGGCTCCTTCTGTATTTGGTAATACATATATTACACTATTTTTAGATAGGAAATAGACTGTTATACCCACTTGAATTAATTCTCCAATTTTCGTTTGGAAGACATTCATCATTTCATTATGAGTCGAATTCTTCAAGTTCTCAATTGATTCTTCAGATAGAAATTGGTCCTTGTGTTCTTTCTCATCTCTATCGTCCATACTTTTTGAGGTACAATCTCGTGATTATTGTTTTTTTTATGTAAGGTATCGAATTTGTAAGAGAAAGAGAATAGTCGAATGTCTATGAATAGAACAATTCAAATAGGATAAGTATCTTCATCTACCAACAATTAAGACACAATTATAACCAACTCAGAAGTAATTTAATATGAAGGAAATAATAAGTTTTTGTTAATTCTAATATTATATACAAGAAAACTACTATCTTTTGTAGCTGAGTATTACTAAATACTGGAACGGAAGTGCAAATGCAATCCTTTTTATATTAACAAATAATTTATCGAGTAGAGTAAAATTATATAAATATTAATCCATACTGCATTATTTGATTTATAGAACAAAGAGAGATATTTTTTATTTATTATCTACTTTATCAATAAAGATATATTTACAATTTGTTGTTTTTGTAAGTGCTTCAATGAGCTACAGAGGCACATTTAAACATTCGTATATGGAAAAAAAAAATCTAATCAAATAAATAAGAGACAATCAGTCCAGAACAATAAAAAGAAATATGAATAAATTTTAAAGGGAATGACTTTGCAACACAAAGTGCTATGAGATACAAAAAGTAACATCAACTTCGGCAAGAAACGCTATAGCTGGGGATGAAGTAACCTTTCTTGAATTTAACTCATTTTCTTGTTTTTTTATTATTAAGTCATTAAATAGGGCGCGTTTCATTAAAGTTTATCTAATAAAACACCCTCCAGCTGTAAGTCGAGTAAGAGAAGTCTGTTATAGGTATAATACAAATATTTCTTTTTTAAACTGGTAAACTCTCCACACCATCTGCAGTAAAATTTGATGAAGAACTGGATGGTTTTAATTCACTTTCGTAGGAAATAGGTGTGACTTTAGCAGATGGAGCTATCTTTTTTAAATTAACTAAGCTTTTATGCATCCACTCACTCATAGTTTCTTCCTTCGGTCGTCCTTCTAAGACCTGCTTAATGCAAGTTTTTAATAGACCCGCCAATTTCGTATAATCTCTCTCCGCTGCTATAGCATCCCTAAAAAGGGCTATTACTTTTGAACACTCAACAGGTTGAACCTGTCGCCCAAATTCCTCTAATTCCATTCTATCTATGTGTGATATTTCGTAACGTTTAGGAGTAGACGTAACCAACCAACTATAATCGACACCTGTTTTCTTACGTCTTTCCTGCTTTTCTTGTTCTCTTTCTTGCTCCTCTAGTTCTCTGATGTGAAATTCGAGTTCCATAAATAACGATTCCATAATGATAGTCGATTGAGGTTTTTCAAGACCGATGGACTTCTCGGTAGAGAAAGATCTCAGTAGGTTAGTAAGCGGCATTGCTAAGGAAAAATTTAATACAAGCCTTTGCCAGGTTTAACTGTAAATGACGAATCCTAGATTCTTTATAATCCTTTTAAATGTATCAATGATTACTATTCATTAAACTGGTAATACACTCCTGAGAAAACTGGTATACATCTTACGAAACATACAGAATTAGCGCAATATTGGTATACTATTTGTAAGTTTGAGGAAACAACCGATAAAGTAAGATAAATTGATCTCACAGCTTGAAATCTTTGGTATATATCATTATTTAGATAAATTTTCATGTTTTGAATAATAAATTACACTGATTTTCTCAGCTGTAAGCTTACAAAATGTCAGATTCCGAACTGAGCGATAGTGAAGATGGAAATCTGTTTAAAATTCTTTTAGCTACTGATATTCATATTGGTCAAGGGGAAAAAGATGCTGAAATTGCAGATGATGCCATAAACACGTTTGAGGAAATTCTGCACATAGCTGTTGAAAAAGAGGTTTTTAAAGACTTTTTATTTGCTTTCTGTTGAAAAAAATGCTTTAATATGTCGCTTTTTGCTACTATTCCTTATTTTACTTTTGCAAGTTTTAATATAAGAAGTTTGTTAGGTAGATTTTGTCTTACTGGGGGGAGACCTGTTTCATGAAAACAAACCTTCTCGAAGATGTGTTGTTAAGACAATGGAGCTACTTAGAAGGTTTTGTATTGGAGATAAAGAAGTTAACTTCAAAATGGTTTCTGATCCATCTTTAAACTTTTCACAATCAAAATTTCCAGTCGCTAATTTTGACGATGAATCCTTAAACATTTCATTGCCGATTTTCTCCATTCATGGAAATCATGATGATCCAACTGGTGTTGATAACCTCTGCGCTCTAGACGAACTCTCAACGGCTGGACTAATCAATTTATTTGGTAAACAGACAAGTTTAGAAGAAGTTAACATGTCACCTGTATTACTTAAGAAAAAGAATTGCTTATTAGCCTTGTATGGACTTGGAGCAATGAGAGATGAGCGTCTCCATCGTTTATTTACACAGCAAAAAGGTAGCTTGACAGAATAATATAATTTTTATAATACAAAAATATACTACAGTGCACTTTATGAGACCAAAAGAGAATATGGAAGAATGGATGAACGTTTTCGTGATACATCAAAACAGAGTTTCACACGGCCCAACCAACTATATTCCTGAAAAGTTTTTACCCAACTTTCTTGATCTAGTGTTTTGGGGTCATGAACATGAATGTCAAATAAGTCCTATGTTCAACAGTGAGCAGGACTTTTACGTTATACAACCCGGATCCTCGGTTGTTACGCAATTGGCTGAAGGAGAAACTGTTGATAAGCACGTAGCATTAATGCAGGTGAAACCTGGGCGTAACTTTAATATCACACCAATACCCCTAAAATCAACAAGACCTTTCATAATGAGAGATCTAGTACTATCTGAAACAAGAATAGAACCTTTCCATCCAAAAGTCAATGAAAAAGTTGAGAAGTACTGCACAAAAGTAGTAAATGAAATGATTGAAGAGTCTAGTAAGTGTAACTATTTTCTAATATTAATGTTATAAAATAATGATTATAGAAAACAAAATAACTGGACATCGCAAGCAACCTCAAAAACCCCTCATTCGATTGCGTGTGGACTTTTCTGGAGGATATGATCCGTTTAGTTTTCCTAGATTTGGTCAAAGATTCGTTCATGAAGTTGCAAATCCTAGGGATATTGTAAAATCTTTTAAGAAGGCAAAAGAAGCAAAAAGAAGAGAAAAAAACTGTTAGCATTTTTTGCAAAAGCAGTAATAATGTATTTTTATGTTTATCCTGCTTTTTCTTAAATAGCTGAAGTTAAAATTGATTTGGAATATAAACCAGAAAAACTTGAAACAGCTACAGTGGAAGGCGTAATAAAAGAGCACTTTCAAAAGTCTGAAGTAAGTTCCTCATTATTGAAATTATAATACAGAAATCTATTGAAAAAATCCCAACACAGAAAAATCTATTGCTCTTGACCGAGAAGATGATGAATATTGCTTTAAATGCTTTTGTTGTGAAACAAGAAAAAGATGCTTTGATGGTTACAATAAATCACGTATTAGAAACTACTGAAAAGAAACTCATAGCAGATGATGCAAATCTTGCTAACATAAGAAATGAATTGGTTAGAATGAGCAAGAAGAAAAAGAAAAAAAAGGAAACTGATAGCGAGGAAAGCGATGCCAATGATGAAAATGACTTAGAAAAGTTATTACAGGAAAAATCGCAGAAGGGATATGCAATGGAGGACAGCGACATTGAAGTGTCTCCGGAGATGACCAGTAAAAGAGGGGTGTCAGCTAGAAGAGGACGGAGTAAATCACAGCGTTCGCCTGATGATGATTTGTTTAGCGAAGTTGTGGAGCCTCCAAAGCGAGGTAGAAGAGGCTCAAGAGGTGGAAGAGGAACAAGAGGCCGAGGAAAGCGAGGAGGTGTACAACAACGCCTTGATTCTATGCTGGGTACAAGTACTTCCAGTGCTACTCCCCCAAAAAGGTTAATAAACTTTTAATATAAAATATTATTTTTGAAAATTAGTTTTACTAACAGGAAAATTGTGGACATTGGAGACAGTTCAGATGAAGATGATGCCTTTGCAGGCGTTCAAGTTTTGACCAGAAAAAAAGGAAAGTAAGCTGAAATTTCACTCTTGAAAGATAAACTATTGTTAATTACTAAGTCAAGCATCTGAAATAGTTTATTCTTTTGAAAATTTAAGCAAAAACTGAACGTCTTACTGATATAAAAATATACAGTTAACAAAAAGGAGACAAATAATAATCGTAAAAACTGAACAATATTTTCTAAAATGAATGTTTTTCATCTAATCTCAGAATTATTTGATTTTCATTCATCAAACCCTATGATCATTGACGCCATTAATATTTAGGTCGCTAAGTATTGGTTCTGAATTGGTTGATTTTAATGGATAAGTTTCAACGAATTCCTCACTCTTTTCGCTAGGTGACCATTCCGAAGAATGTATATCCTCTTCGCTAGAACTTTGTTCTTTATTACAATTTCGCATGAGATAATTATAACTGTTTAGCGTAACAGCATCTTCAAAAAAACTTTCGTTTAAAGGTGGGCCTTTGTATTGAGTTTCTTCCTTTTTCGAAGCCGGTTTAACGTTTTTAAAAGTTCCAAAATGTGGTCTGAACCCTACGTTAGGCGGTCGGTACATACAAGCGGCGGCTAAAGCAGCGTTTTGATATTGCGTTTGAATACTATTTGAGCTATAACTTCTGTAGTGTAAATTTTCGATTGTTCTTTTTTTGGGTTTTCTAAATAAAACTGTAGGTTTAGTTATTGCAGGTAAAACTGTATAGTCTTCGTCTTCAGAATATTCTGGATCATTTGCTGCAAGGGCAAGATCTGCTTGTCTATAACCTTCTGCTGCTGCATATAGCTGATGCTGCTGATAAACGCTTGAACTACTATCGTATTGCAGAGCAGCTGAGTGAAGGCGTCCGCAGGGACAGTTTATCTGATCGTCTGTTTTTTTGCTAAGTTTCTTCTTCGACAATTCTGATACAGCAGATTGACCGGAGCATGAGATTTCTTATAAAACAAAATATTAATAGAAATGTCATGAACAGTCACAAAGAATTATACCTGAATCAGAATGATGCCTATTGCCGTATCTACAGACTGTTACTGCTAACGCGTTTCTTCTCATTAATAAGCGAGGCATTGATGCTATCCAATTAGATGAAACTTCGTTTGATGTAGCCGAATCTTCCATATGAAGTCCTATAAAACTCTTTATATAGATAATGACATAAAATTTTTATAATTTACCTAAAGGATCATCATGTTTTGAGTAATAAGAAACACTTAGTCTACCATTCTGAGCCATAAAGCGTTTATGAAAGGCTTGCGCAATCATTCTGTGTTTTTTTACTTTCTTTGGTACTTTCTCCTCTTTCTTTATTTTCCTATTCCACATTCTTAAGCTAGCTTTGGTCCATGTCCAAGAAGCTAAGAGAATACTTGCGCCGAAATTCAACAGAACATGAACTTTCTTTAAACCCATATTTGGCCCTTCGGGAATTTTACAATCAACCTTATTGACGCATCTAAGTGAAGAAAAATAAATTATACATTATACGTTTAGGAATTAAAATAGGCTCAAAAAATTATTACAGTATATAGTCCCTTAAATTCTTGTGCCAGAATCTTTCGTTCATCCATTCATATATGTGAATACCAATAGAAATTCCCAATATTATTAGTGAAAGAAACATGAAAAGAGCTGAACGAAGTGAAAAAAATTGAATTAGAAAATCACCTTTTCAACAACAATGAATACAAACTTATCCTAATTATGGTGTCCTGAATTCTGCCAGATGCTACATCACCTAAAACTGCGGCAGAACTTTTCCTTAAACTAATTAAGAGCATCACTCCCTTTATCAGAAAATAATTTCCAAGAAATGTAGCAATAATAACAGGAAATAAAAGGAATAGAAATCTGTATAGCATTGAAGTTGTGAGGAAGCAGATTCCCTCTAACGGACGACTATCAACAACTGAGAAGAGTAGACAGAATACAGTAAAAATTAAGGCTATACTCCAAACTGCAATATGCATATGAGTTTTATGTCTTGTAACCTATAAAAATAAAATATTTACATTTACTTAAAATAATGGTAAAGTAAAATGACTCAAATTCGTTTATTGAACGTGATATAGATTACTAAATACTGGTTTAACTGATAGTATTAAATTTCTTAGAACCTTACTACTGATGAACAATGAAAAAATGGCTTCAAATGAAAGGAAGTTGATCTCTTGGAACGCAAACGAAAGATATATAGATACATAATAGACATTTAGACTACATATTGAAATTTTAATCTGAATGAGGTATATCCGGTATAACAACACCCTTAAGATATGGCCATCACTCGTTCTTTACACTTTGAAATTGACTTCTAATGAATGATGCACAAATTCGGTATGACTGTAGCATTTTACTTTAAAAAAATCACTAGTAATTCTAAACTTTTCTGACTTGAAACGAATAATTCCAAGAAAATCCGATTATCCGAAGATCACGAAGCTTCCGATTAGTCATTTTGTGCGCATCTTGCAGACAGGGATGGGTTAATGAGATAAGTAAAATTATCTCTTAAGAGTGACAAATCTAAAGGAAAGGGGTTTTTTATACTTATTTGTAACAAATCTGATATAACAATTAATAAACTCTATACATATTATTTAATAATTTGAAAATGATAAGAGATGGCTTATCTTAGATGAATAAGCAAAAATTTTTCAACGTTCTTTTCAGTCAGTTATTAATTTTGTTCAATCAGCTAATTGACTTTGTATATACAGTATATACATATATATATATTTCATTTAGAACTAATTAGCTCATAGGTCGGAAGATATGAAATGACCATTAGTCACAAAATATACTTTAAAAGAAATGCCATAGCGATCTATCCTCTTATTCATGTAATGTAAATGCTTTAAATAGCAAAAACATAACTATTAAACAGAGAACAACAAATAAAGATAAGTAAAAACAGAGATATAAGTGATAAATAACACAATAAATTCGTGACACTAAAAGGAATCTTACAATGTTACCTTTTCTCTTCCGTATCCGACTCTTTTATGTATTAAATTCCATGAATATGCAAATATAACAAACCAAACAAGAATTGCTATTATTGGAAAATATATAAAAATAAATACAACAGTACATGAGACTGTTTCCTCAGATCTGAAAGAAAAATAGACGTTATTTTTACACAAAATATCATTTTACACAGTATGAAAATTATCATTACCTTACACGAGGCTCAGCTTTCCTTAAGCTACCATCCCTTTTGCATATGATATCTTTTCGAGCATTTGGTGCAAACTGAGCTAACCAAGCAAGGTTATTTATACAAAAACATATACATATCCAAAAAATGATCATTGCTGGATAGCGACTAGCATGTTTCCAATCAACTGCAAAAGTTGCCTAGGAGTGTTTAAAAATGAAAAAATTAGTAGACTAACTTTAAAATATGTTTATAGAAACTTACCAGACTGAATATATTAACTAATAGTGAGATAATTGCAGCAGTAGCAATCATTATTTGAAAACTATTTGTTTCCTGAGGAGAAATAAGTGTACTATTGCACGATATTCCACATCCGTCTATCTTATCGAAAGTATCTATTCCTTCGTTTGTTGATACAAGTGGAGGAGGGCAGCTACTTTTGTTTCGAAATCTTCGAAGTTCCTTTTATAGTAAATATTAAAAAAATAAATTCAACCATAATTAATGTCTAAAATCTTACGTATAATGTGGGACAATTAGTTTTGAAATGAGGATTATCACAGCGCAGATAATCTGGCCATCCACCATAATCTGTAACAATTCGACAGGGTCGCTGACTGATTTCGCATGGTTGACGACTTGGAAATGACAATATACTATTGTTACACTTTGGTAAATAGACTGAACAGAGATATTGACGTAAACTTTTCCAGCATTGCGGTATGTTTGATAGAAATGTCCATTTGTTTAGCTCTTTTAACGATTCATTCAAACTTTTAAAACCAGTTAATTCAAGACTGATGCTATCGTATGGTAATTTCTCTCCAAGGCAAATTGAATTCTTCAAAGTTTGGCAAGATTGAGATTTTTTGGAGCATGAGTTGTCTTTGTTAAGAGATAACGTTAAATGTAGCAAACTAATGTAAAAAAGTATGATTGCTTTATAAAACATAGCACCAAAACGAAATTAAAGAACTGCACAAATTTTTCGATTAAAGTTAAAATAGACGTTATTCGCCAGTAAAAATCTTGATTGATGCATGAGGACATAAGTTAATTAAGTTTTCATTCCGTTCCTAGTTGCTTTTTCTGTTATTAGGGAAGTGAAGAATTCTTTTATTATCCAAATCTCACAAAACTATAATAGGCTTTAACTTTCTCGAGACCTACCGGTACGCTTCCTGCTGACGCTTATCGAACCTCAACCGATATGGATCATTTTGGTATTTAAACTTTATGATATCGAAACTATTTCGATACCATAGAATGTTTTCGATATTTTAGACTGGTCAAGTTATACCGCGTATATATATTCACGGATTGGTTCTAAACTGCCATTCGCCGATTCGAATCTCATAGTCAGCACTAGAAGAGATACAATCTAAGCGCCCTCTATATTAGAAAGTAAAACAGTCGTGTCACATGACCTAAATCCAAGATGGCATACATATCTTTACCGTTGAAAAAAACTTGGGAAGTAGACTTTGAGAAGCCTTTGCGTCAGTTCATCAGTCAAACCTTTGAAAATATTCAAGAGAGCGATTATAAATCTCCTCTGCAGGATTTGAATCGTTTAAGGCAGAATGTTGTCTCAAAATGGAATGATAAACACGAATCAGCGTTAGAAGTATTATACAGGTTGAGTCATCATTTTATCCTTTCAAATAGTTAGTGGAAAAATTGAGTAATTTTTTTCATAAATGAAAATAGATATTATGATCAACTGAAGGCGATTGAAGCGAAATTTCCAATAGCAGAAAATTCTGTCAGAATAAATTTTAAATGGCAGGATGCTTTCGATAAAGAATCGCTGTTTTCGGGGAAAAAAACTCTTAGTAAGTAGTGTTAACCTATTTCGTTACATATTTTTAGTAAACATGAATTCATAAGGGAGAAAAAGATATGAAACTCTAAAATGTTCCTAAAAGCTTCTACGAGTAGATTAAAATTCAAACAAGAATTTATTTAATAATTAGGTTTGGTTAGTGAAGCGTTTTATTGTAATTAATATATTTATTAACATTTAGAGAATTGGCATCAATTAATCTGGAAACTTATAGGCCTAATTATCTAAATATATCCTAACGCTAGTGTATGACTCACAGGCGAAATGCCTCTGATCAATACGCACGTTGTTTTAGTCATCAAATACGTATGCGTGCTGATATTTCAAGTTATTAATTATATTTAGTTCACATCGTGTCACGTTTTTAGTTCCTGATAGTAAAACACAAATAAAGTTATCTACCAAACATCAGGGACCATTGTACTAGTACCTTCCATATTACAATAGTTTGAAGTTATATTTTTATTCTCTTTAGCTATAGCATCTGCAAGATACGAGCAAGCTTGCATTCTTTACAATATAGCCGCTCTGCAAAGTCAAATTGCTGCTTGTCAAAACATTTCTAGTGAAGATGGATTGAAAACTGCAGCAAAATTTTATCAACAAAGTGCTGGAATTTTGAATTATCTTAAAGACAATATTTTGTCAATGCTGCAACGTGACCCAACATTGGACATTAATCCTGATTCTCTTTTAACACTTTCTAATATTATGCTTGCCCAAGCTCAAGATGTTATTTTAGCTAAAGCCACCGATAACAAAATGAAACCCAAAGCATTGGCAAAGTTGTGTATGCAAGCTTCGGATTTATACGCAGAAGCTTTGCGCATGTTACAACTACCCAGTTTGAGAGATATGTGGAATAAAGATTGGATTAATTCAGTTGCTGGAAAACAGGCAGGATTTCATTCCTTAGCTGAATACTATCAATCTCAAGTTGCTAAGGAGAACAGAGAATACGGAGAAGAACTCTCTAGGTTGAAGCAGGCAAAAAGTTTAATGATGGCCTCTGAAAGTAGGGCAGGAGCAGGTCTTTTCCCCTTTGGTTCGGATTATCAAAGAATATCAAAAGCTCTTAAAGATGCCGAAAAAGATAATGATTTTATTTATCATGCAAGAATTCCAGATCATGGAAATTTAGTAACAATTGAGAGAGCTGCGGTTGCTAAACCAACTCTATTTAATGACTGTGACAAACTATCAGAAAGATTTTCCGATTTGTTTGAAAAAATAGTCCCATTAGCTGTCCATCAAGGAATTGTTGTCTTTGAACAAAAGAAAGATACTATCGTTCATGCTGAAGTTTCAAAATTAAGAGAAGCTACTAATACGCTAAATGGAATTATGGCTTCTATGAATCTTCCGGCTGCATTAGAAGACTCCGGTGGATCGAAGTTACCTCAATCTGTATCCGAAAAATCTGCAAAAGTCAGAAGTGAAGGTGGTATCAGTGGATTAGTTAACCAAATGAATGAGCTACCAAAATTGTTGACGAGAAATAATGAACTTCTGGAAGAAAGTGTCAGAATGTTGGATGAGGAAGCACAAAGTGATAAGCAGTTACGGGAGCAATTCAAAGGTTTGTAATATATAAAAAAAAGTCTGTATATCATATTGATGCATTTATATTCCATCCAATCTTAGAAAAGTGGAATAGAACACCGTCGGAACAATTAACTAAGCCACTGAGACAGGAAGCAGACAAATATCGACTAATAATTGACAACGCCATAACAGCTGACAAGACAGTCCGAGGAAAATTAGCCAGATATGAAAGAGCTATTGGTCTACTAAGTAAATCAGATGCAGAAATTACTAAAGAATTGCCAGCTGGAGGATCCATGTCCCTCAAAGATTCCCCTGTTGTCAACGAAGTCAGACAACTATGTTCAAAGGTTGAAACGTTGAAGGCGGAAAGACAAGCAATTGAAGCAGAATTAAAAGAGGGCAGGTCAGACATTGTTGACCAATTTACCAGAGCCCTTGCTGAAGACGGAGCCATCAATGTTGAGTCACTGTCAGATTCTCAGTTGGAGAAAATATACTCTGAATTGAGAAATCAAGTAATAATATATAGCTCAAATGTTAAAAGATAATTTATTGTATGGTAACATTTCAATTTTCAGGTTGAAGCCAGCATTAGAGATCAAGAAAGGATTGTGGCGGATTTGCAGAGAGTATATTCATCTGCAGGATCTGGTAACGCCGGAAGTCGAGAAGAAATGCTAAAAGAACTGGCGGCTGGATTTGATCTATTTGTTGAGCTCAAAGGAAATTTGGTGGAAGGAACCAAATTTTACAATGACTTAACAGAATTACTAGTTAAATTCCAAAGCAAAATTAGTGACCTGTGCTTTGCTCGTAGAACTGAAAAAGAGGATCTTATGGCAGATGTACAAAGGAATATAATTCAAAGACCAACCAGCGCTAATCCCCCTGTTCAACCTAGTTATCAAACACCAACAAGTGTTGGAGGTGGGTATTTTTCATAATATTTTTTTCTCTGATTTCCTTTTTTTTAACATCTTACTCTAATCAATCAAATAACGCAGCTATTCTTTAATTGTATTTGTCGAATTATATGTAAGAAATTAAGCGTTTTATGATTCTTCGCGTTATGATTAGGTGAAAGTAAACCTCAGGCGCCGGCTAGACCTCCGCCGCCTAAATTTCAAGGTATAAAATATATCGCTTACGCTTATACTTGAATTTTTGATTTACTGGCTTTGAATAATTAGTTTACGTTTTCTTTTCTACTAATCAATCTTCTCTGTAGCCCCTAAACCACCGACTAGGCCAATCCCCCCCCTCCCAACTGAAACTACGACACCTCCAGGTATTAAAAATCTAGGCGTATAAATTTTGTTATTAAGAAGTATTTCACATACAAAAACTAATTACTATCAGAAATAAAACCTCGACGTAAACCCCCTCCTCCTCCTGTACCTGCAGCTAGGGGAGGTGAAGGTAAAACAAAGAAAATCATATATTTTCTGTGACACCCAAATCAAATATTGCAAATGATTCTTTACGCTTTACTTGAACCCCTGGTTAAATTGGCTTTAAGAATAACAAAAATTTTAACCTACCCATATGTTAATCAAAAAAGGCACCTATTATTGAATTTAGTAAGCATTTCTACATATTAATATCAACAATCCAGATTGTGATCGTTTAATTTGCAGAAATAGTATGATTTCCTAATTGTTGGCCTTTTTTTTGACATTATTATAATTTTACGTAATAGATTATGTTATTTCATCCTAATAATATGATTCTTCTCTTCCTTGTTTCGGAGCATTGCATTATTTATTTTAGAATAGTCTTTACAATGATAAAATAAAATTTTGTGTTGTAGGGATGCCGCCAGCTTCATCCCAACCTCCACCACCGCAATATCCTAATCAGCCGACGGCTCCTCCAACAGCTCAGCCAGGAGCAGTTCCACCATACGGCTATCAAGTTGGATATGTGCCTATGCCAATGCCTGGAGGATATAATCCGTATTATCAACCACCACCACAACAACAACAACAACAACCACCTTCATCCGGATATTTACCATATCCTACCTACCCTCCTCACCAATAGGATTCGTACTAGCAACTTGAAGTTCATTCCAAGTGTAACGTTATTTTGAGCAAAATATTTATCTTCATTTTTTTCCACAAATGTGATCTATTGAGAAATAGTCTGTACTTGATATGCGCATTTTTACGATAAAATAAAAATATTTTGGATCGTCTATTAGCTAAAATTACTTTTAAGAAAAATTAATATTGAAAAAATAATAACTTGAAAAAAAATAAAATTACTCCGCTCTACTCTTAGGCCAACCGGCTTTACGAAATTAATGTACCTAACGAAATTATTTTTAAAAACGTGCAATATTAACGCAATTTTAGAAAAATAGCCTGAAGTTAATGTCAAAGTTGCTAAAAAATGGCGGATTTAAAGAATTTGAAAATCAGTTCATTTGAACCACTGATTTGTGTGAAAGATCGTGAGAAATGTTGCAAATGCAAGAAAAGTCGAAAATATTTCTGTTACAATTGCTATCTTCCTATGAAAAGTATAGAGAAAAAAATTCCAAATGTCACTCTACCATTGAAAATAGATATAATTAAACATTCTAGAGAAGTTGATGGAAAGAGTACAGCTGTTCATGCAAAAGTACTGTCCCCAGATGACGTTACTATTCATACTTTTCCATCTTTTCCTGACTATGATGCATCAGATTGCGTATTGGTATTTCCTTCGGATGATGCTAAATGTCTAGAAGATATATACTTAGAAGGGGGAAATAATTGTTCAAGGGATGACGATGAGCCTGTTGCAAAGCGTTCCAAAAAAAGGATACAAAAAGCTGTTTTCATTGATAGCACTTGGAACCAAGTAAAAGAAATCATACGAGATGATAGATTAAAGAACCTTGCACGTGTACGCATACCAGATAAAAAAACACTATTTTGGCGACCGCAAAAAGGAAAACCAGATACCTTTTTGGCAACAATTGAATCTATATATTATTTCGTAAAAGAATTCTCTAAAGTTTACCGTTTTAATGATGAAGATACAAATTTGGATGATATTTTGTATTTCTTTATGTTTTTCTGCGAGCAGATTAAAGATAAATCATCGTTTAGTAACTTGAAAGCTTAAATTTTTCATTGAACTTATATTTCTTTATATATATATATATTTTTTTTTTTAATTTAGAATATCTTCGTAACTTACAAATATTTGTTTTGTAATAAAATCGAACTAATGTAGAGAAATATCTTTTTTTATGATGAAATATTCTATTTACAGGAAATGTAACGAAAAAGAGTTGAACATTCTATTTAGTACTGGTATTGCGGGAGCGATATTTAATTCCTCTTCCTGCCAGACTCCTAATGATTCCTTCAGGAAGTTCTCCTGTGACTGAAATAGCATATATTCCTTTAGTCATTTTATCTATTCTTTGCCATTTGGCAACCCAGCTTTCTTCTGGAGAAGTCAATGCTATAATTCTGCAATTACAAAATATGTATTTCTTTAGATATGTAGTTAATATATATAAAAAAAATACCTACCCATCAAAACTAGAGCTCGTGTAGTCTAAAACTCTATCTCTATCCCCTTTCATTTCAAGAAAATCCTCACAATTTTCACAGCCGTCGTATTCAAATTGATCTATTGACTATAAAGACAAATTTTGAGAGGTTTCTATCAATATTACATAAATTAATATATCTTACCTTTACCAGAGAGCATAATAAACATGCTCTAAGTCCTTTTAAATCCTTTGGAATAGATTCTAAAGACATTTTCACTAAAAACAAGAATCGGCTCCTTTCTACTGCGGCTATTTAACGGATATTTACAATAGGATACTTTTTCGTAGAAATGGGTAGGTCTAAGAACGGCATCTAGTTGATAAAGTATTTTCAGAATAAATATATATTGCATAAATAAATATATAATTTTCGATTTATTCGTTACAACTTCACATAAAACAATTATAATTCTGAAGTATTTTTTGTTCTTCTTTTTTTCTGAAAGAGAAAACTTTTACACTTGTAATCTATAAATTTAAACACTATTCTGTTTAGAACCCGATAAACATGGAGATTTTTGCGCAAAACTCGTTTATTAATGATAGCTATATCATTTCTTTAGTACTTTTTAACAATGTATCAAATAGTTCAGAGATAAGGAATATGGCTATAAAAAGGGAAATAAATGCTACATTATTAAAACCTCAGGCAGTAAGTCTATCCATTATTTAAAAAGATGAGCGATATTAAGGTGCTTTTCAATTTCAGATTGTTGATTCTTTTCAAGTTCTCTTAGCAGCAAATAAAGCTTTAAGTAATTATCTCGGGAAAACTATGTACACAAAATCTCTTCATTCTGAAATAATATTTTCATTATCTGCTAGTAGAAGCGTGAGAATACAATTCCTAAAAAATACTAAAAATTGTCATTATAATTGTATGTATTATACAGATTACTGAAAGTTTTAAAAATTTTGGTGTCGAAAATGACGCTAATTCTATTCTAATAGTAGAGATTAGCGAAAAGGACAAATCTTCAATTGATGAGATATGTTCCAGAGTAAGAGGTGATCCGGTAAAAGTTGATTCAATAGGAACATTTACAAATATACCAGTTATTAAGCAAGTTAGTGGATCTATAATATATTTCTTTTGAAAGGAGATACATGTATAATGTTATATTTTATACAGTTATACAAAATTGATGAAAGTGAGCTTGCACACTCGAATCTAAATGACGTCGTTTACTCAAGAATGGCTGCAAAAGAGTTTGTTAACTATTAATAAAATTAAGAAATCAATTCAAAAAATAAAATACTATATGTGTATTTATTAATTACACAGTGTATAGTTATACTGTACAATCTTAAATACTTGAACATTTTAGTCAAATCCGGCTTTATTGGTGGTTTTAAATACGTTAAATACTAAACTACTATAGAATACGGCCATACGACGTTACAAGCACCGGTTCTCGTCCGATCACCGAAGTTAAATGACGTACGGCCCAGTCAGTACTTGGATGGGAGACCGCCTGGGAACACTGGGTGCCGTATTCTTTTTGATTTTTTTTCTAAACACGTCCGTGGCTCAAAACAAGAATGTTTACATTTCATGATAGTATATAAGTACGTGGTACATTTCTTAGAAAGTAAGAAATAACACTCTAATATTATTCTGTAACTGATAGAAAATGAACAAAACTCTTCAACAATAAATCTTAAAGAATTTAATAAAAATATGAAGAATTTTCATAAGATTTCTCATTTTTTTCATCTTTAACCGGTACATCCTCTTCCTTTTCAATTTCTTGAGTAATTAATTGTTCGAGTTGTGCCATAAAATCAGCTGTTACATCAATTTCAGGCTGTTTAAATTGATCAACAGTTAATCTCATTTCTCTAATATCGTCTGGCTTAAAAAGTTTATTAAATTGAAGATTCCTAATATTACGTATTAAAATACCAATTAATAATAAACCAATGAAATGGATGAGCACTACAAATGATATAGCAATAAGACTAAGCAAGAATTCATTTGAACTTTCACCTAGATAATCTGCTATAGTTAATTCTTTTCTAATTGGATCTACTTTAATATCCACTTCTAGCGGTGGTAATACTCCGTCAGTAGATTCAATATCAATACTTGTGCCTTGTAGTTTAGCGGGGCAAAAGTGTTCATTACAAAATCCAATTTCCGTATCAGAGCCAACACATTTTGTTAATTTAGTCTTTCTTGTAATGAAATTACCGTCGTAATTACAATCTCTATATCTTGCTTTTCTACCCCCATTGCACGAATGGGTGCATTCTGTCCAAGGAGACCAATTACCCCATCTTCCATTTATGATACAAGACTCCTCATAACATAATCTGTATTGAATATGACTCCCAGGACAAGGTTTTCCCCTTGAAAATCTACAGCTTCTCGTTCTGGTTGATTTGCTATTTGCTCCGCATGTTGGAAAGCAAGCTGACCATTGTCTCCATGAATTCCAGTTAGAATTTGGTATACTGCAATCTTCACCAGTCCATGAGCTAGGGCAAATGCACAATGCTCTAATGCCATTTGTATAGCATAGACCATTGTTTAAGCACATAACTTCAAAACAAGGATCACTTTTCATAGCGCAATTTGGTTTCATAATTGACGGATCGTGAGTATAACCTAAATCGCATTTACATCTATATCTTTTTTGACCAAGAATTGGTACACAGACTCCTGTTGAGCCACAATAATAACTCCCAGGCTTTTCTTTTTTATCAGATGTATAAGTGCAGTAATCAATAAGATGATGGCATGTTGGCGGCATATATTTGTCCTTACAAATGCACTCTATGTTACCTTTTTTTCCAACTTGGCAAGATTTCGTATTCAATTTACTACAAGGATTTGTATCTGAATCGCATAGACTATTGAATGGTTCTATGGAAATATCCACTATACATTGTCCACTATCTTCCTTCATTCCTATGAAAAAGGAGCAATTATCGACAATCAAACACTGTAAACAATTCATTTTTATTCTACTTGCCATCATTTTCCCATTTAAAACCCTTTTGACATTTGCATGACTTTTGTCCTAAGAATATACCAGGTAAAATGGGAATGGGCGCTTTCTTATTTTTCTGATAATCTATTTTTTCAAATCTACATCTATCGTCAATACTTCCAGCCAATTTTGAACATGAATTTTGTTCATTATCACAAACTTTTGGACATCCGTCAATCTTTGGCCATTGGCGACAAACTAAAAAACGATGAAATTCATTTAATGTTTTCCAGCTAATCCAAGTGACTATTTCATTTCTATGTAAAACTTTATAATATCCATTAATACCAGATTTCAAATCCAAAAGAATCTCTTTAAACCATGAGATAGTTTTGAATTTTTCATATTTGTTAGTTTGATTGAACAAGATAGGAACGTTAAGAATTTCTTTATACATTGAGTTAATATATCCATCTGACAAGTAACTTTCATTCATATTTTTTCCATTATATTTCTTTTCTCTTTCTTTACTTAAATCTGAGAAGAAAGAGTGTAACGCTTTCATAATATTATCGGGACGATCTCCTTTAATATGTACATTTGGTATATTTTTTAATGCTGAATTGGTAAAATGTTGGGAGCTTACGGCTGACTTTAAAGCATTTGATATTCTATTTTCTAGATAAGAAGTTTCAATAGGAAGCCAGGATCCATCTCCGAATAATTTTGTAAAATATAAGAGAACTTCTCCGTCATTTTTCATATTTTTATATATAACATCTGGATACCCTTTTGGGAATAATGTATCTGTCTTCCATTTTGTTACTTCCGATTGATGAATATTAGCAAAATCCGATGGATTAATTGATAAGCATCTTTCCGACTGTTTAACAAAATTATCAGCTAGAGATAGAATTATAATATTTATCCCAAATAAAATAGAAATTATAATCATAATGTAATCAATGAAACAGCATATTTTATAAAAAATGCTTTTAACTTCCTGTATTGAAATAGTAAAAATAAAAAAGCGCAAACAAAAGCTTTATTCCTAGTAAAGTAACATGTTATAGCAAATAAATATACATATATATATATATATATATATTAACGATACTTGTTATCATAATATACAAAATTGTAAATTTAAAATATCTAAGGTACGTCATAATCGTTATCTGAGATGAAATTCACCAAAAGACAACAAGGTTATAGGCTTTTCAAATTGTCATTAATACATTTGGTGCTGAATTTCTTTGGCAAAGATCATACATACTATTGTATTGAATCTGAAATATACGTGAATCTTTTATATCTGTATCTTCCGCTTGAGTATACTTTGAATGTTGCCATGGTGCTAATGATTTCCTTATTTGAGGTATGTCTTCAAAATCAGCACTAGATGCTATTAACCATTTATAACATATAAAATATAAAGGAAAAATAGTTAAAGCTAAATTATCTAGATAATTTAAGACTGAAATGCTTAAGGGATTTCCAGCTAGTATCTTCTTAAATATGAATGATGCATTAGTAAAAAATAGAACATTTAAGACGCATGATGCCAGATGTTTTTGCTCATCTAAAGCGCAAGTAGCACGTCTAAGCAGATAGCAAATGAACAAAATACTTAAAAGTAGGCACACTCTACACGCAATAAGAAAATATTCATATCTATTGGTATAGCATTCTAAGTATTTTAGGCTATTCGAAGTCTCTCTTTCGATAACTAACTTCTTGCCAGATATGGTCCAAATTAAGAGAAGTAGTAGGAACATTCCTACAACTGGGAATGTTAAAAGATTATTTATTCCCATAGATGTAGTTTGAATCCTAAATGTGGCTCTTACAGGTCCAACTCTAGGCGTAGAATTCAACCTAAATACGTTGATAATTCGACGTAGTATAGTAGAATAAGCTATTGAAAATCCAATATTATAGACCCAAATTGACCAACTACAAGTCCGGTTACCAGGTTCATAATAAATTGAATAGAGTTGAGTATTTAATATTGTTAAACCAAAGTTCATTAAGAGGGTGAGATTAATCTGATTTCCTTGAAAATCTGAAATCTTTATATAGGACTTTAAAAGGAGTAGAGATGCTATGACGCAAGCTATTTGATTGCATATTGAAAAACATAATAAAATCCATTTTTGAGTTTTACTTAATTTAATAATACAAATTGAATTGTCAATACAAGTTTCACAACCTTCTGAGCAAGGTAGGCAAAATGTTCTATTTAAAGTATTTAAGGAATTTTTGGACGAATTAGGGAAGTAAAATCCCTTTTTACATATACACTCAAAAGTTCCTGTTCGAAATCCTAAACCTTTTATAGGTTTGCAATCTGTACTATTTCTATCACAGTTATGGGTACCTCTAAATAGATTAACAATAACGGATGAATTGGATTTATGCTCCTGATCGCATTGATTAACGTCAAAATTTGTTAATCCAACGTCTACAATAGAAGATCCTAAGTAATAGAAAGTACCATTTTCGTATTTGAATACAGGAGAACTGTATGTAACCATCCATATATCTGTACCTCTACAATCATAATAAGGTTCTGTCCATTTTCCGTCATTATACGTTATCACAGGTTCCAGTAAACCTTCTACATTTCTTTCAACATTTGCCTGATAGCCCGGCTTTATATTAAGATACCAGGCAGCCCATCTTTCTTTACAAGAGTAATCGGGTCTTATTCCTAAATTAACAAATCTTAACCTATCTGGATGTTTTGAAAAGAATAGACAAATTCGATCTCTATTTAAATATTCTTCTTCCAAAGCTAAAGATAAAGCATAGATATGACGTAGGTCATCCTCCGTCTTCGTAGTTAGCATGGCAGTATAAAACGACGTTTCATTTGGTAAACCATTAGGTCTGGTACTTAATTTTGACAATAAATTAGCGTTACGGATAGCAGGATAAGAATAAGGTTTCAATTGTTCATTATCATAATATCCTTTAATAATACAATCATCACCGCAACCTTTTGTACTCTCATTCCAAAATAGCTTACAATTAGTCGAATTAATCGTTTCTAACTTCTTAAGACCTCTATCTACAATTTCATTATAACAATATATCTTATGAATGATAAAGAACCGAAATAATATTTGATTAAACGTTAAGTAGATCATCATGTTTTTCAATTTGAAAAATTACATTCGTCTTCGATGGATTTATTTATTTATTTATTATAATTTAACAAAAAATATTCTAGGCCTATACAATTAGTAAGTATATACATTTATTTTTAAATAGTTTTAGTTCTTAATTGTATATCTTCACTGCTCTTTTCCAGGAATTTCATCCAAACTTTTAAATAGTCTGGACAAGATAGTTCAAATGTATAATTTTTATCCGTAGAAATTGCTTTTAGGACATCAATTGGTGTACTATTTACAATTGCTAATTTAAAGAACATAATCGTACTAACAAAATCATCTTTTAAAGAAATTGCTCTTTGTTGTATATATAAATTCTTTTCGTCGAAGTGAACAAGTTCAGTTTCTAATGTGAACTTTTCAAATAATTCTAAAGAACGTCTATAACGAATAGTTGAGGCGGCAACTAATGTATAAGCTTTTGGTTTCAAACCTTCCATAACTTCTAACATTCCTTTCGAACGTAAAATATTTTAATTCAAAATTAGTTATAATTAACTCTTACCAGTTTCGGCTAGAAGTTTCAATCTTCCGAAATCACAATGCCAGAAATATCTTCCATTATTCATATGAAACTGCTCATCCATATCTCTTAAGCCAACTTGATCTTCGATAATAAACTTTGTATTGTAACATTTCCTTTTCTTAGGTTTAATCGCCGTTGAAAATGTTCTTACAAAATGAACAATATCGAAACAGTGGTAGAGAATACATAAAAAGCAAAAGAACATTATTGTAAGCATGTTCTAGAGCTTTCTACCCTCAAATGATGGTGAAGAATCGCTGTTCTGATCATGTGATCAATTAATTATTTCCCACTTTATTGCCAGTGTACTAACTATTGTTATAGATGTAAAATTTGAATGTACAAAGTGAGTTACATCTGTTCGCCAACATCATAGATTGACTCTAAATATAGAATTAATATATTTAAGCAGTAAAATATGTGACATTTATAAGAGTATTTTTATTAAAATATCTTCTTTATAAAGACATTATTGTTTAAAAATGGTATGCAATACGAATAAAGCTTTATTAAATTAATATAATTCTTATCAGCATTTTTTGCTATTTCATTTGATATCGTTATTTTCTATTGTAAAAATAAAGAATTGAGCTTAATTATTTTAATATAATTTGTAGGAAGGAATAAATTTAAAAGTAGACCAAAGTCTGGCGTCTTTATCAATGATCCTGATTGGTTAAAAAAAATCTGTGTGAAAAGAGGTCCGCACGGAATTCGTCGGCTAGAAAACGTCTGAACGACAATTTTGCGATAATCAGACATAGAAATTTGAATAGGGAGTAAAATGAATCCCCTAACGTAAGTTAACTATAAACAATATATTTCTACAGTATATTTCTTAATATTTTTTTATTTACAGTAACGTGAAAAACCTTAATAAAATAAATAAAATAGAACTTGAGGCCGGGATTGCCGGAACTTCAGGATCTTGGCATAAGAAGTATAAAGATTCGGCATGGATATTTATAGGTGGACTTCCATACGAATTAACCGAGGGTGATGCTCTTTGTGTGTTCTCACAGTACGGAGAAATTGTAAATATTAATCTAATCAGGGATAGAAAAACTGGAAAAATGAAAGGATTTGGTTTCTTATGTTACGAAGATCAAAGAAGTACTATTCTTGCAGTCGATAATTTAAATGGTATAAAAATATGTGGAAGAACAATCAGAGTAGATCATGTTGAAGAATATAAAGTAAAACTACACGACGACGTAGACGAAACTACGAAACAGGTAATAATGGAAGGCTGCGCACCAGTAGCAGTTATTCCCAGCGATGACGAAAGGAAGAAAAAATCAAAAAAGAAAAAAAAAAAGTCAAAAAAATCGAAAAAGAAAGCTAAAAAAGCAGAAAGTTCCGATGATTCTGCGACAACAGATAGTGAATTCGAGTCAAAGGCAGACGTTAAAGCTAATATAAAAAGGGAAAATAGCAAATGGGATGAAAGACCTGTTAAACAAGAGAGAGACGCTGAAAGTAGACGGAATTCTAAATGGGATAAAAGGCAAACTGAAGAATTTGAATCTGAAAGAACTTTTAAACAGGAGAGAGAGTCTCATTCAAATAGAAGAGGGACTGGAGATAGGCGTGAACATTATAATTCGAGAGATATCCGTAGGTCTAGATCAAGGTCCGGTGAGAGGAGGTATGATGGAAAGCAGAGATTTCCAAAGAGAGAGCAACGATCTAGATCACGCTCCCCAGGTATTAGACGAAACCGTGACGAATACAGAGAAAAAAATGATTCAAGTACATCAAAATTGAGGCACGATAGGAATTTTCAAAGTCGAAAATCAAGATCGAGATCGGCCGAACGAGGAAGAAACAATAATGATAAAAATTCCAGAAGAGATCGTAGAGTTAAATCTCGATCTCATGATAGGCAAACTAGGAGAACGCGATCCAGGTCAAGATCCCCTAGGCGCTACAAGCGATAGCATACGTTTTTAAGCATTTTAACTTTTCATTGTTGTTGTACAGAACTTCATTAAAATGAAAACAATTTTTTTTTTATTGTTTAATCGTAATTATTACGTATATATAAATTTTTAATAACGCTAGTAAAGCACGTTAGTTGTTTGAAATTGATCATAAAATTTTGCAGTTTTTCAATTTAAGTAGCCCATGCAGTGAGTTCAGCCATTTCGTCTTCATCTTCTTTCTTTGTCTTTCGCGGCACTGAAACAGTTTGCAAAGTTTGTACTTCCTGAATCATTATTTAAACAATATACATGAAATTATTGTTTAACTATTGTTAGTTTATTTTAAATGTGAGATATCTAAAAACGATTATTCAGTTTAAACAAATGAGTTAAAATTGATTTAGTCATTAGCCTTTGATTCAGTATTAAATAGGTGGTTATTCTGTCCGTTATAAAAATTCGAGCACATGAATATTACTCAGATTATAATTTAAAATTATCGATAGTTCACCTTAAAGATAGTGTTATGAATGAGTCATGATAAAATATGACCTATTGTGAATCACTTGAGACAGAAAATCAGAATTCCTTTGGTTTTAAAATTTCTATAGGTATTTTACTCTAACTATTGTAAGACATAGTTTCCCAACTGCTCTACTATTTTTTAGTTAGGATTCTATAACAATTGGAAATTCAATAAAAAATGAAACAACCGGGAAGTTTTAAAAGAAACTCAAATTTGTCTTATTTCTACTAGGATCTCACTTAAAGGTTGTTGGGAAGATCCTTCATGAATATCAATAATTTAAAGTTAATAGAATGTTTCCTAATGTATATATATATACAACTAGACGTGAATTTTTTCTAACCTGCGACAGGGACATCACTTGGAACTTCAGGCATGTCTTGTGGCTTAGTTTCAATCTCTAATAGTTGATTATCAAGATCTTCTTGTGCCAATTCCTCTAATTCTTGGTTTAATTCATCCTCATCAATTTCAGCGCCTATTCCAGTTGGTCTTGAGATGGCGTCTCCAATTTCATTAGCGACTTCGTGCTGTTCAGCAACTTCATCCATAAGATCGTGTACTTTGTCAACATCCATGCTTTTGTGGACTCCCTTAAGTGCTTTAGCTGCTACAGACATAACGTTCATGACTGCAGTGTTTGTAGACGCATTCTCTAAGGCCTCTCGTTGAAATTCAATTGTGGAAAGAGTTCCATCTACTTGCTGAAGTTGCTTTTCAATTCGTTTCTTTCTTTTTAGTGCTTGCATAGCAGCTACAAAATATATTTTATTAATAGAATAAGACCGAACAGTAATACAAATATTACCTCTTTTGTTCTTTTGGGCATTTTGTTTCGCGACCTTAAGCTCTTCTTCCATCTTTTTTTCTAAAAAATCTGATTTTTTTTGTAATGTTTCTTCTACATCGCGAAGCCTCTGAATAGCCTCTTGAGGTGAGGGAGCCTTGTCGTTGGGTTTACCACCAAATAATTTACCGAACAAAGACATTTTTTCTTATAATAGATGATTCTTCAATATTATATCGCGAAAACAATATTTTATTAGTGTTAATTAAAATCAGGTACAGTTTATGAGGCTGATACTTCTAGTTTTCTTCTGTCGGAGCACAACTAATATCCGTCTGTGTGTGATTCATCAACTCCAGACCGCACTTAATTTTAAAAAAAAAATATTTTTCTTTAATGTTTTTTCTAGACTATTTAAATTATTTTTTAATAAAAATTTTAATATAAATTTTTTTAATTTTTGTCACCAATACGTCTGCTATAATCGTATATTAGTATTCTTTTAATTGTTCTCAAAGTACTTTTAAATTTCGAATTATTCGTTATAATATATGTAGAAATTAATTACGGTAAAACAATATTCAGCATTAGATATTATAGTTTTCATACACTAAGCTTAATAGTTGTTGGATTGCTAATATATTCCTTAACTGTGTAATCCACCTGAGCGATAATACGGGTATTTTAAAAAATTAACTCAGTCATCTAATTTATGCTAAAGCAAGGCCCCTTTTTTAAAATCTCCTGCAGTTACACTTTGCATGTTACGTATTTCGACTTACGTGATACAAAGATTGCCTATTAGAGTCAGAGGAAGGATGGATGTATAATTTTTTCTTTTCTTTCCAGATGTATAACAGGGGCAGATCGAAAGGCTTCTCTATTAGATTTCAGCCCAGTTCGGGGAGTTCTAGTTGTGTTCCCCCGCCAAAGGAATTAAGGGGCGATGAGCCAGTCAAAAAGAAAGGTAAGAGCATAATAAAATAAACTTAAATCTCTAATATGAACTTTGTAAAATATAGGTAAAGGTATTGAAACTCAGCTCATGGAAATGGGCTACGGAACTGGCAAAGTAAGGAGTAGAACATTTGGTGGAGGTTCTCATATAGGTAAAAGGAAGTATAGTGATGAAGAAAGGTGCGCTGTAAATGATATTGTGAGTTAGAGTTTGCAGTACTTATATTGAGCTTTTATAGTTACTTTGAGCACGATGATGAAAATCAAGATTTATATCAACCCGCTCCTGGAAGTCCTGGAGGCAAGAAAACCGGAGATGACTCTGACTCTGACGATGCCTTGGATGCATTTATGCAAACCATTGAGGTTTTTATGATTCTGCTCAATAAGCTGCACATACGTAGACCAGAACGTTAGAACTAAACATCTCTTACACAGAAAGAAGTAAAATCTCAATCTAATACCAGCACAGAAACGTCAGATGCCAAAAAAGACAAGTGCGTACTTGTTAATATGATATTTTACGAATCAATCTTAAAATTGTAATTGTAGAGGAGTAAGAGACGATATTGATAAGGAAGACGATATGGAAACTTACTTTCGATATATGGAGGAAAATCCTTTAGCTGGTCTTCCGGAAGACGATGATAGAGCTGATATTGAATACGATCACGAAGGCAACGCTATTATACCTGAAAAATATAAGGTAAAGTTTAGCGTAAGTTTAAAAACAGAAAAATTAAAATATCGATTACAATAGATTATTGATCCTTTACCACCTGTTAATCACGATGAAATACATTATGAACCATTCACGAAGAACTTTTACGAGGAGCATAATGAAATAACCACTTTATCCAAAGCTGAAGTTAATAAATTGAGGGGAACCCTTGGACTAAAGGTAATAGATACGCTTAAGCCTTTAAAAATTCATTCCCCTAAGCTTTTGATTATCTTATAGGCAACTGGTATACAAGTGCCGAATCCGGTCTGCAGTTTTGCTCATTTTGGATTTGATGAGCAATTATTAAAAATAATTAGGAAGTCAGAATTCACTAAACCGACACCTATACAAGCACAAGCTATTCCTGCTGCACTTTCCGGTCGTGATGTTATAGGTATAGCAAAAACTGGATCAGGAAAAACTGCTGCATTTTTATGGCCCCTATTTGTTCATATAATGGATCAACCAGAATTGAAACCAGGTGATGGCCCGATTGGCTTGATAATTGCGCCAACAAGAGAATTATCGCAGCAAATTTATTTGGAATGTAAGAAATTTGGAAAAGCCTATAACATTCATACTGTTTGCGCATATGGTGGTGGATCTATGTGGGAGCAACAACAAGCTTGTCAAGAAGGTGCTGAAATTATAGTAGCAACTCCAGGACGTCTTATTGATCTCGTAAAAAAGAAATCAACCAACTTAACAAGGGTAACTTTTGTGGTATTTGATGAAGCTGATAGAATGTTTGACATGGGTTTCGGTAAGCATTTATTTAAACCAAAACTTTTTAGCAATACATATAATATTTCGAATAACCTTCTAGAACCTCAAGTAAGATCTATCGCCAATCACGTTCGTCCTGGCCGTCAAAGTAAGGTTTTTCTATTGAAATGTGAATTATTTATTATTAATTGTAGTGTCTGTTCTTCCCTTACAGCATTGCTATTTAGTGCAACATTTAAGAAAAAAGTTGAAAGACTTGCCCGTGACATATTAAGCGATCCTGTTAGAATTATTCAAGGAGCAATCGGAGAGGTAATGAACTCTCTTTTATTTTTGTTATATTAAATGTATTTTGTAAAATTTTAGGCAAATCAAGATATTACTCAACATGTTCAAGTTTTTCAAAATCCTGCCTCGAAATGGACATGGCTTTGTTCTCGCTTGGTTCAATTCACATCGATTGGTAGTGTCCTTATTTTTGTTACAAAAAAGCTAAATAGTGAAGAATTGGCTAAGAATTTAAAATTAAATGATCATAAAGGTTTGCCTGGTAGATTTTACAAGCTTTTCACATATTCTTAACCGTTTTGATTAAATTTTTCAGTTGCTCTTATTCACGGTGATTTAGAACAAACCGAAAGGAACAAAGTTATAACTTCTTTCAAACGAAAAGATGTTCCTATTTTAGTTGCTACTGATGTAGCAGCTCGAGGATTGGATATACCATCCATTAAAACAGTAGTTAATTATGATGTTGCTAGAGATATCGATACCCATACACACCGTATCGGAAGAACTGGTAGAGCAGGAGAGAAGGGAACAGCTTTTACATTACTTACACCAAAAGATAAAGATTTTGCCGGTCATTTAGTGCGAAATTTAGAATCTGTGGACCAAGAAGTACCAAATGATTTGCTGGAAATAGCTATGCAAAACCCTTGGTTTAAAAAGAATAGATTTAAACAAGGAAAGGCCAAGAAACTAGGATTTGGGGGTTCTGGTCTGGGATATAGAGCTAGACCTGGGCTAGGATGCCCTAAATCTTCCGGTAGTGGTTTGAATAGTGGAGCTGTCGGTGGTGTTGGTGCCAACATACCACCTCCTATTAGTTATAGTAAGAGTTTGGCGACAGCTGGAGAGAAAACAAACAGAATATCCTCGTTAAAGAGTGCTTTTTCAGTAAGTAGTTTTTATTTGTTGTTTTGTGTATTAAAAAATTTTTTACACTTTTTAAAATAGTCTCAATATAAGACGAATTTTGTTGCTGCAACTAATTCCGAAATGTCGAAAACTTATGAAAGTCCAGAGGAAAGGATGCCTCCACCTCCACCAGCAGCAGCTCCAAAGGAGGAGGGACGGAAAAGAAAGTCCCGTTGGAATTAGACTATTTTCATTAACTAAGAGAAAAACTTTGTAGATGTTTCTCCATATTTGTATATTCTTTTTTTTGAACAGTTAGTTATTCAATTTTCATTGCTGCATTATTATTAATTATGGAACCTCTCCTCTTATTTTTTATACTTATAGTGTTTTTCTATATCATAAACAACAATAATATAAGAATATTTATGACTTATATACTGTATTTACATTTAAAAATATTTTCATTATGTTTGTGACGTCATAATTTATTATAAAAAAAAAGAGATTGAGAGATAACACCAAAAAATCATATATGTATAAAAAAAAAACAATGCTGAAAAATGATAAACAAGTACCAAAAATAGTCTTAAAGATTAAAGATAGAGATGCAATACCATCGGATTACGAACGATTGATTATTGAATATCGTAATGGTAGACTTGAAAACTGCTTTTTCAATAAAAGTTCTTTGTATGGTGAAGATGGAAGTTTAGGGAATAAAAATAACAATTATAGGCCTAACCATAAAACAAGTCTTAATCCTAAAGCATTAAAAACTATTTTAGACAGTGTACTCGAGAAGAAAATTAAGGAGAATAGTAATAGATCTACATTAATGGATAATTGTTCAAGTAATTATAGAGGGGAGATTCGTAGTTTAATTAACGAATATTTCAATAGAAATAATATTGATTTACAAGATAAATCAAAAAATTTTCACTTATTAACGAGTTCTCCTAATTATGTCGATTATGGTAATAAAGTACGGACTAAATTAACTAGAAATAAAACATTACAAACCAATAGAAAGCATCGCCGTATTCGACCTTGGAATAATCTAATTTATAACTGTAGGTGTAAAAAAAAGGATGATAGTCTGACAGGTATTAAAGATATTCCATCTTTTGAGGAAAATAATTTACTAAGTAAAGATTACGAACCGCCTATAAAACGAATTAGGTACGATTATAACAGTCAAAATGATATATCGAAGAACAGGAAATACCATCCACAAACGATCAATAGACGGAGGTTGTATATATGTTAAATTATCATTATTTATTAATTCAAATGGATATTTCTCACTAGGAGTAGTACTCCAGAAGTTTCTTCTAATTACGTTAATTCCCGGAATTTTAATAAAAATTCAGCGGTTCAAGGAATTTATCAACCTCCTAAAACTAGTACGAATGTGACATCTACTAACCGTCTAAATCCTGTTGAAGGAGAAGTGAGATCGTTAGAGAACAGAGATGACTTATCTCCAAATTGTCCAAATACGATACGAGTTATCAAATGGCTTTATCAGGGTGCTAAGAGAGCAACTGGAAGTTGTACTGGAAATCCAACAGATGGAAAGGATCAAATATCGAAAACTTTCATAGGTGGATCCTATTCAGCTCATAAAAAGTATAATAAATGTTCAATTGGTAGTAAAAGGTATAGGAATTTAGGAACGAATGAAACCGGCTCATTTGATACTGACGACTCCAAAAAGTCAACATCCTTCAGCTCAATGGGAAAGCAGCGGAAACGGAAGAATAAGAAAGAAAAGCATTCTAAGAAAATAAGGCCAGTCAGAAGAGCTGAGAGAATCTTACAAAAAATAAAAAATGCTACCTTTAAACGGAAGAAGAAGAGGAAAAAGAAGAGGAGTAAGAATAAGAAAGAACAAAGGGTAAAGAAAACCCAAATAAAGAAATGTAAAGATGATAAAAAAGAGAAGGAAGAATATGATCAAATTCAGGAAATGAAGGAAAAAGGTACGCGTTAGTTTCGTCACACTTTCATTCACAATTTAAAGAAATGCCTACAGAAAAAGAAGACAAAAAGAAGAGCAAGAAAAATCACCAGACATCAGAAGAGGAAAGGGAAGAAAATGAAAAAAGAGGAAAGAGGAAAAATGATAAATCATTATCAGATATTTTTCAAAGTTCACAAGATGATGTAAAAAACTTTGATTTTCATACAGAAAACTCAAATAGGCTGAAATCTGTTGAATTTCGAAAAACTCAACAAACACCAAACTTTCAAGTTATTTCAACAAGCTGCTCAACAACAGAATCTTTTAATAAGAAAAGTAATGTTGGTCATAGGAGAACGTTTCATCTAAAAAGTATGAAGGAGATCAACTCTTCCCCAAGGAACTTGGGGCGGAAGAAAAGCTCTCGTATAATTAATTTAAAGGTCAATAAAAACTCAAAATATCTTGAACCATTCCTTAGAGATGATTGGCTGGGCGAAAGAATATCTAATTCTTCGCTGCAATTGAGATACACAAAATCTTATGAATGTTCAACTAATTACCCAAAAAGAGGAGATTATCCCATTAAGAAACTACAAAAATCTTCATCATGCTATATGCTAGCGAATAATAAATATAAAAAGACGATTTCCTATTGTTCTACAACTGCTGAAACATCAGATAAATTTCAATTAACGCCATCTAGTGGTTATACGTACAATACTAGTCTGATGGAACAATTCTATACGAAGCGTCTAAATAAATTAGTCGAAGATGAATGTTTAACAGTTATAGCGAAATTAATATGCGCCGAAAGGTTAAATTTAACATTACCAATTGAAAGTAGAAGAAAAACTAAAGATAATAGAATATTATCTATAAGTAACGCTACGAATTCATATAATTTGGCGTCAACTTTGTCAACGCTTTCTAACGTGTCGACAAATACAATATTATCTGATCCAAACTCATTAGATTTACCTTTAAAGATTAGATTTTATAAAAGAAATCTTACACGGCAAGGTCTCGTAGATAATTGTGATAAATGGAAACAATATAACTTAGGAGAAAATAAAGGAGATGAAGTCAACCATCATTATTACAAGATTAATGGACGTTACTTTTATAAGGAAGATGTATTATCACCGATAAATAGAAATAGGAAGGAAAGTATATATTCCTATCCCGAATCTGATCATTATGCGGATAGACAATATCGTAATAAACGTAATTCAACTGTAAAGTTAGATAAGTTCGGTAGGGAAGCAGTTAATCCTAAATATCACTCTAACTCAAAGAGGCGTAGGCGTTTGTCAAAGAATTTAAATACGAATGCTGTCCGTTCGAAAGATAAATCAAAGCAGAACTTAGTAAAAGATCAAAATTTATCAGGTAAATGTTTCTCTTATCATCAAATTAGCGTAGAATGAATCATTTTCTTTCATTTTACAAACAGATTTACAAACAACTATAAAAAATTTATCTAATAATAATCCCGATTCTAAGAAAAAACCTAAAAGAGAACCAAGAGTTAAAGATGAAAGTAATGCTAATAAGGGTTGGAGGGAGAAGTTCTTAGATCGTATCTCGTCCGTTTTTCGAAATCGATTACCTGAAGGATCAAGGTCGTGTTGTCAGTCGAAAGTTGAAACCTTAAAAGATCAACATATACCGCCTCAAGTCAGCTTAGGAGAAACGGTTGTTAATGAGGCAAACAAATCTAAAATACTCCTACCGTTACGGACAATTATTCATACCTTAAAAAAAAAGGATGCTTATAGGGATAAAACGAACATGACATCGTCGGAAAGTGATTCAGAATTAATAAACAAACTTAATGAGTTATTAATTAAAACAGACTGTTAAGCTTCATTTAATTAGCAAAAAGACTGATTCGTTTTCTTTGCTACTATCCTCATAGTTAACGGTTGTTATTATTCTGAATCGCATGACTTTATATAGGTAGTAATCGACGATAAAAATTACGTAAATCTTCCAGGTATTGATAATCTCCTTAGACGTCATCATATTAAAGTTGACCTTTTAAATGATAGCCAATTGAAATTAAAGAAGGCTTCTCGTCCTAATCACGAGTTCCAATTGGAAAAGGGCTCGAATTCTGATGTAGAAGATTCCGACAATCATAGTATAAATATACATTTGCCAAATCATGAAATTCTTCACGAAATTAATTTAAAGAATGATAAGAGGGCGGCTATTCTTGTTAGGAAAAAATGGCATAAGCAAGAAAAAAACCTAGATAAATCGTATCTTGTTGACGATAATCATACATGCTCCAATTCCATTTTAAAGAGGCTACAAGATGTAGACTATTATCCTAAAACTAGATCTAGTCGGGAAAAATCAGTTAAGAGTTTGTCTAAGGAAGATTCAGACAAACAGCAGGAATTTAGACCAGCAAAAATAATAAATTCAGAATATATTCTTTTAAATTCTGACAATAGACTCTCCTTTCGAGATTGTGATGGGGAGAAGGCCAACTCCATTCAGAGCTGTTTTGAGTTAGATACTAACAATAACAAGAAGAAAAGCGAGAAAGATGGTGATAAATCTAAGAGTAAAAGCAAAAAGAAGGAAAAGAATGAGAAAAGGAGGCTAAAGAGTAAAAAAGACGAAAAGAAAGATAAAAAAAAAAGTAAGAGTGATAAAAATAGACGAAAAGAAAGTAAAAGTGTTGCTATTGATGCTACTTCGATGTCTACTGATGATCCTACTCTTATTTCAAAGGGAGATGATGTTACCATACCAATTACATCAAATCTTAAAAAATCTTCAGGCTTATCCATGGATACAATTGATAGAACGATTCGACCTCAAAATCAGGTCTACTTTAGTCAATCACAAATCCCATCAGCTCAAATTGGTCAAGTTCCTGAAAAGCCTATAAGTTTACTAATGAATAACGATATAACCACCTATCCAAGACAATCAAATCAGGGGATTAATTACCAATCAACCTCCTATTTACCGGGAATGGCTACAGTTCATAACATCTGTGAAGAGGTTAATCAAATCATCTCAAATATGTCTAGAGGTCATTGTATTGACCCTACGAGAGATTCTCATATGAACAACGAAACCACATCCAGACATATTACGAGGGAAGGTGATCGTCCTTGTCTTACCGAATTAACAAGTTCACTAAGAAGAACATCCCTAATGGGTCAAATATCTTCCCATAACATCCAGCATACAATTCATCCTAATCAATCGCTTTCAAAGTGTCAATTGGAGTTAACAGATGAAATTGTTGATAGACCGAAGGTGAGATACGAAGAGAAAGATATTCAAGATATTATCAAAGGTATTCAAAAGGAAATTAGAAAACAATCGAGAAGTAGATCGAAATCAAGACAATTGAAGGAAAGGTGTAAACTTAATGAAGCAGAAAACTCAATGTACGAAGATTATTCTGCAACAGAATTAGAAGAGAACTATGATTATTGTATGAGAAATATCATGAAGAAATTGGAAAATCTAGAAGATATTAAAGGACTTGTTGCCAAAAGGAAGGTCAGCGTCGAGAAAAAGTTGAATAGATGTAGAAAAGAAACGTATTGTTTGAACTCTTATCAGTCGCCCAAAAAATGCTTTAGGGCTACAGCGTCCTTTCGGAATGATGTTGATTCAGAAAAGAGAAGGTTGGAGAAGGCTTTGTTCGCTTTGAATTGCCATCAAGATAAACAGTGTAGGCCTAATGAAGTTCGTTGTAATGACGCTTGTTGCGAAAATCAACCAAATCAGCATTCTATTTGTAGAGATGATTTTACAGAATATCAAAATAATCATTATTGCGAAAATAATACGCTTGAGGATGTTAACTTTAAACATATTATGGATTATCAAGATGGGCGTCTCTTAACTAGAACGGAGTCTAGCAGGAGAATTAAAGATAGAGATGGCCGCGGGTTTTGTAATAGTAAATTGTATCCTAATAGAGGTTTATCGCCTGTTCAAGTACACGTTCATGTTAATGACTATCAAGGCAGACGTCGCCATTCTGACATCCCTCGGTTTACCGATAACAAACTTGCTTCAGTAAACAACGTAAACAGCGGTGTCGCATTACATAATGGAAATAAGTCCTATTATAAGCCTAATGTGTATTCTGAAAAGGAAGTCCGAAAAGTAGACAGTAGGTTACAAATGAAAATCGATCATTATAGGCCGCGTCGTAGATCTCCGATGTCTCGACAAAAGGATAAAATCTATATCTCATCGACGAGAGGACTTAATGATTGTATTACTAATAGAAACCATACAAGACGATCAGTGTCAAGGACAGATAAAAAGAAAATTCCAAAATTAAATATTCGTGTTGATAGTAGGTCTAAGGATAAAAGAATTGGAAATATACCCAATCGCGAAAGATATAGAATATCTAAATTATCCCAAGAAGAGAGCGTTGAGAGTTTTATTAAAGATAATCAAAATGTTTACTCCTATAGAGAAAGAGATTTTATAACCTATTCACCGAAAATAGTTCCCATTAACGATAGTTCAACGCCTGCAACAAGCTTTGATTCTAGATACGAAGAGGAGCGAGAACCGTCGAAAATTCGGTTAAGACGCAATAGATCTTCTTCCCCTACCCAATTTAATATACACATAAAGGAAGCGAGGAAAAGGTACCTCTTATTAGATATGATTAATATAACCTTCTATACTTTTAAATTCCAGGGGATTAAGGAACAAAACTCTTAAATTTGCCGACGAATCGTATAATCAGAATAGTAATCATAATTACGTACAATTAAACGCCTGGGAAAACCGCTCCTCTTCCATTCAAATTGAAGATAATGTGAATAGGGACAATAATTATAAAGAGGGAGAAAAGATTGAGATAGAGGAAAGTGGGGAGGAGGAAGACACAAAGGAAATAAAAAATGAAAAGGAGAAATCATCTAAGAAGATAATGACAAGAGAGAATCCCAATTATTCCCTCAATTTCGAAAAGCCTCTAATTCAATTAGTAGAGTTGGCTAAACAATTTCCATCGAATGAGCAATCAACTATCAAGGTAATGAAATATAACAAAAAAACACTGGCCTTCACCTCTAGTATAGCATTGCCTAATGATATAAATAGAATTGTCCAGGTACCGATTAAATGATTTAATTTTCATAGCAAAAAATAATTGAGAGGGTACGAATTAAACATGTTCTAGATAAATACCAACTTGAAGTCGATAGGAAAAGAGGTTAAGAAAGAAATATGCGAGGTCACTGAAAGAGATAACATAGTAAATATAGGAAAATTTGAAACAGACACGAATATACATTCGGAGAGTAGACTTACAATTACGAAAAATCAAGATGCATCACACAGCAAAAGGGATAGTAAAGAATTTGTTAATATAGAATTGAGAAAGAATTCTAGGTTAAAGAAAAAAAGCGATTGTTGCGCGGTTGTTAGAGCAATGGAAAAGCCTTTGATGGAAGGAGTTGAAAAGGATATAGTGACAGAATATATTGAATAGAATAGTTAAATGTGAAAAAGTTACAGATGTGCCTATAGGTAATAAAAGATCAAAGAGCTGTCTGTTGAAGGGACTAAATATCTCTAACGAACGAATAATAAACGGTTTTAACGCGCGGAAAAGAACTCTATCAGGCACAATAAGATTATCGACCTCTCACCTTTCAAACTGATAAACTTGCAGAATACATCGACTAATTAAAAATAAATTCCGTATTGTAAATAACTACGCTCCTTCCAGGTTCATTGACCGATTTGTTATCGTTCATTTTCTATTGTTGTGTATCGGAAAAAGCTTACTTGAGAATAATAAACAAAATATCCTTAAGTCTTATCTTATCTTTCCCCTTTCCAACGTCTAGATTTACTAAGCTAATATTATGCTTTTTGTTTGCGCAGTAATCGATAATTGCCCCTCAGAAACACTGATAGTGGTCATTGTATTTGTCATCATCCATCCAATTAGCACTTTGCATGTTCACGTTTTTAATAAAGATTGCAGGTGTAAACTTACTTTTTAAAATATAGCTTGCTCTCAAATTGTTTACAATGTTTGTTATTGTCATATTGTATATACCAATCGAAGGGTCAATGACTTTGTCTCCCCTGGTGTTTCACCGAACATTGAACCGTATAACCCACCACCGCCCCTACCCGCTCCTCTCTTTTACATAAAACCAGACTTTTTTTGTCCGTTTCATGAATTAATATAATTATCATCGTATTATCATAAAAAAATTCGAATCTAAAAGTTTCTATTCAAATTCCCCTTTTTCTATGAAGTTGAAAATGCTTGCTAATTACAGATGCGTGTACATTTTTGCAAGAAAGCTTTCTAAGCATAAAACGTGAGCAATTGGCTGAAAAAAAGACATTTTGATCTAATTCTTAAAGCCAATTAATCGCTAAAATTTAAAGAAAAATGAACAATGTACAATTTTAACAATCAAGCATCTCTTAATTTTAGATTATGATATTCATTTACACTGAAACAGTAGGTTATTCGATAATGAAAATGCATAAGTAAATATAGAGTAATCGCGCTTCTCAACCTGACTAAATCTAAAGACAGACAAAATGGCACGAAGTGATTAAAGAAAGCTAAATGAGAACTGAAAACGTTCACAAAGATTCACGATAAAGTAAATTTATGTGTGCGTCTTAAAATTATTGAAAATATGCACAAAGTTTAAAATGTGCACACTTACAAGAGTTAAACATTTATGGCATTATAAAAAGTTAGTAGTCGTATCTTTATGTACAGTAGTAACTTTAAAAGCATCGATCAGGATTTAAACTTCCGCGGCTTCCGTGAAAGCTGAACGATTCAAAGTATGGAATATCCGATTCCTCAGCTATTGCATTCAAGTCGTGGTGAGATGAAGGTGGAGTTAACTCAACACTTTCTCCCTCAGTAAATTGCTGATCAAAATATCGTGTATCAGTATCAGAATCTACCTCCGGCTTAAATGGAGGCTTAATATTCTTTGCAACAAGATCATCCCAATTAAGGCCATCAAAAAATTTATGATGCTTAACTTCCTCAGCATCACTTTCGCCTCCACCCAGACGCTTAGAAGGGTTTTTCACAAGGAGGCCAGACAATAAAGACTTTGCGTCCTCATTCATGTTTCGAGGAAAGCAGATATCTTCCAACAGAATCAGTTCGAAAAGTACTTCATGATCGCGATTATAGAACGGCAGACGCCCACACATCATTTCATACATAACTACTCCAGTTCCCCACCAGTCGACAGCTCGACCGTAATCATTGTCCTCTAAAACTTCGGGTGCTAAATATTCGGGAGTCCCACAAAACGTTTTAGTGGAGGCACCATAGTTCATTTCTTCCTTGCATAAACCAAAATCGGCTATTTTAATATGACCGTCTTTGTCCAGGAGTAAATTTTCCAGTTTTAAATCCCTGTATATTATATCATTTTTATGCAGGTATTCTAACGCTGAAATGATTTCCGCGCCATAGAATCGTGTTCGGTCAACGTCAAAATACCGGTCCTTGGACAAATGGAAAAATAATTCCCCACCGTTAACATATTCCATGACAAAGCAAAGACGATCTTGGGTTTGAAATGAATATTTCAATTGCTGTCAAAATTGAAACAGAAAAAATAGGAAATTAGACATTTTGGATGGATCAATTATACTTGTTACGACAGTCTAAAAAAAGCTACTTCCTATCTCATTAATATGGCAATTTCTTTTGTTATAACAGGGAAAACAAGCATTTAATGAGCATTAACCCAATGCTAGTACATTGAAAATAAAGCGTCTTTTCTTAAAGAGAAATGCACCCGGAATGAAAAAAACAACTTGAGGCGTGCTTTTAACGGAGGAGTATATAATGTAGTTTTCTCTGCTTACCGTCAAAAACGGGTGATTTGATCTCTGTAAGACACGATTCTCTGTTAGAGTGTGTGTTACTTCATCTTTCTTAATAATGACACTCTTCTTCAAAATCTTGATAGCGTAAAATTGATTAGAATCTCTTTGTCTGCATAATATAACTTTTCCAAATGTTCCTTTACCAAGAACTTTTAAAAACTCAAAATCTTCCAATCCAATCTTTCGGGTCATTCTCGGTTCATCGACTTCCATTTTATCTTTCAAGCTTTCAGATACTTTACGTATATCTTCAATCCAGTCATCCTTTTCAGTCGATGTGTCAACGGCAAACAAACGTTCTACAATAACGGTTAATTGCAAACCTCTAATGCAAAAGGCGTTTGCACGCACTTTTTCTTGAGGCATAACTTGGCAATCTGGAAATCAACACAAGATAATAGAAATGCATCAAAATTAAACAACTCAGTCAGAAAACACGAACTGATGACTGTAAAGTTATTTAGAGGCTCTCTTATTGTCAAAGGATCCGGTCTTGACTTGTAGCCAAGAAAAGTTCCATCAGAACGTAAAATAAAATACCTCTTCCTCCAATTTTTTATATGTTCCCCTAGAAATTAAAAGGAATGTAATAAAGCATAATTTGATTAATTAATTTAAAAAATCCAACCTCTTTTCCAAAGCCAACCTTCTCTAACTATGCGATTGTCCAAGTTCGACGTCATGCCGCCGTCAACTGAAGAAAACAACACATCAAAAACAGTAAATCTACTCGACGTAATTAGTTGCTAAGGCAACCAAATTATTACAGTACACTTGGCTTCTCATCAACTCTCTAAACTACCTTTATTGAGCATATTGGCTTACAAGGATACCTTTAGCAACACGATATACTTTGCGGCGCCCACGTTGGTAAGAAACGCCGCTGGAATACTCTCTCTGACGATGTTGATATCATAAACATGGAAAGCAGACTGGTGCATAACTAAAAAGTTGCTTGATTGATCTAGTCATCAGACGGGGGCCTTTTAATCGTTTTAAGTATAGCATCCGTCAATACGAAAGACAGTGGTCGATAAGAATGAGAGTAAACAACAGATAATCGAGATATATTCCCCGCAAAGTTCTCATTAACAATTTGCACATAAATATGAATGGAAAACTCTATGCTTACTTCTTTTGATCAAATACGGTTGATAAATTAGCAAAAACACGTCGTAAAATACTTTAACATCATCCGACAGTTTTCCTCGTAGTTCTAGACGGACGGAAACGTCTGCAAAATGGCCGCAGTCTTGTGAAGAAGTTAGAGTGGTTGGTATCCGAGTTCAGAAATAACAAGACTGGTTAGACACGGAGTCCTCAACCCCACTGGATGAATACTAGCGGCTTTTATTTAAATTTATTAGGAAAGAAGATACTATTTGCATTTTATCCCCTAGGGACAAATATCTTGATCTACTATTGTAAACAATAGCGTTTATTCAATTGATAGTTTATCCCTCTCGATTTCTTTCCCCTTTTAGCTAAGGTGTAAACAATTTTTAACCGGATTTACTCGTCTGAAGTAAATAGAACTCTTCGAAATTGTTTACTCGATTATATTCAAGCCTATGTCACCCGATATATAAAATATATATAATATATATATATATATATATATATATATATATAGTTTTATGAAGAAAAATTTTCCCCTAACCAAACAAGAAGTAGTCTGCACAATTTCCTATTTCTCTTTTATGTCATATGTATCTATTCAAAATCCAAAGCAGACATCAAACAGTTCTTCAAAAGTCTTCCTATTTTACTTCACATTCCTTATACTCAAAAGGGTTGAAGAGGAGTTTAGAATGAAATAAACAAAAAATAGAATATTCCATACAAAAAAATATACATTTTCACAAAGAAAGCTGATTTGATTTATGGATTTGTGATGTTTTTTTTTATACAGATGTTGATAAAAGATTTCAATATTCACTACCAAGTGTCCAATAATCAAGACACCATGTTCCAATTCTTAAGAAATATATATATATATATGTAATATGGAACAATATATAACAATCTCTTGAGCATAAGGAGACGACAGGCTATTTTTATACTTTCCATATTCGTCAAGTAATAGAATATAAGAAAAACAATAACTAAGCTTCACTTGCTATTTATCGGTTCAATATACTGAATTATTTTGTCATTTCTTTGAAGAAATAGGGGGGAAAGGTAAGCTATCGATTTAAGTATATGAGAAAAGTAATGGCATAGGTTTTTTTTTAAATCCTATAATGTATTTATACGCACTCAAACAGACTAGATTTTAACACTCGTACTTCTAAAGTATATGATAAACTCATAAGGGCTCTTTACGACTAGAGTATTACACTCGGAAAATAAAAACAATCAACAAAATAGACAAATAGTAACATATTCATTACATAAATTCTTTAATGATAAATTAATCTTATATCATATTCAGCACAAGAAAAATCAGCGTTCAACATTCTGTTTAGTAGCGCCCTCTTTTGTCAATAGAACATTTTAAAATATTTTGTTCTATTCGATACGTTCTTTTTTTCCCTTTCTATATACAAGTTATTCTATGTTTTGTTAAAAGAGACATTCTGGAAAAACTTTTTGAGCAGGTTTGGCATGAGTATTTCTTTACGCATTCGTGAGTTTGTAAATGCGCTCGTAAATTGGAACGATCGGCAAATGCCCTTGAACATTGGTTACAACTGAATGGTTTTTCTCCTGTGTGAGTCCTAATATGACCTTGTAAAAGCCACGGTCGTGAGAACGCCTTGCCACAAAAGGAACATTTGCAGGGTAATGTATGAGTTCGTATATGCATTTTTAAAGCGCCAATGGAAGTGTAGGTTTTATCGCAGAATTTGCAATTAATCTCCTCCCTTGAACATTTTGATGAATGCTTCTTTAAATTCGTTTCGCTAGAAAAACTCTTTTTACATCTTGAACAATTAAGATTTGAAGTATGCGTTAAAAGGCTCAAGTTTAAAGCAGCTTTTCGAGGACTCATTTCACTTTTCTGAACTGGAACGTTTTCTCTATCTTCCCAAAATCTCCATGGAACGTAGTTGTCATTCTTAAGCGGCTTTTTCCTTAAATCCAATGGTTGTGTATAATTATCTGAATGGAAATTAAGTAAATTATTAGCTACTTTTATTTAAGCTTAAAATTGACCAATTATATTTAATAGACTTATATCTTTCGTAATATTAAAAATGGAACAACTTACAGTGTTTTTCAAATTCCATTTCCAGGTTTCTCCTTGTCGCACCGATCAGAAACGAACGAGGCATCGTGCCAAAATGCACCTGCAAAAATTCCGTTACAAAGAAAAAACGGCAATTGGAACATTTGCATACACGTGCCGAATTAACCAATCAACGTTTCGTAAAGGGTATATTACCTAGAAATTTTGCAGCAGAAGGCGTCAAGCGTCTTTGTGAACCAACTAAGTTGGCTCTCAGAGAAAGAGGGAGCTATCCACGACGTGTGTGAGCATTTTGAAGTTAAGGAGCATTGTTCTTCCTTATTTTGGCAGGTGGTTAACCGTACCCGAACAGAATGGTCTAAACGCTTTTGAACGCTGTCAGAAATATACACCTAAACGCCTCTCATTCCTAGAAGACGGCAGGTGCTCGACGGCACAAAGACTGTCTGCACATTTGAAACGTTACGCTCCCTTGAATTTACCAGTACATGAAAAATCAAATGCAGCGAACTGTTCTACTTTGTAATATCCTCAAACTTTCCATATATAAGCACGTAGTAGCACGCGCAATTGCACATCAAAATGACAATTATTTTAGCAGAGATTTTTGTTCACAGATTTTAACAATACATTTTTTCGGTGAGATTAGATCTGCTTATGATAAAACAGCTTTAAACAAAACATTGCAGATTTTTAGGTGATTGTTTAAATGAAATATAAATTCCTTTACATGAAGAAGGTACAAAGGAGAACAAAGAGAAATTGAAAGTTTCATTCAACACGTGTCTCCCGACACTGAACACCTGTTGTTATCACCTGTTTATTCTAGGTATTAGGGCGGTTTTCAGAGTACATCAATGAATATATTGAAGTTAATTTATATAGCTAAATCCGTTTTTATTGCCGTAAATTCTTACCTATTGATAAAACCCTTCTACAATTCCTATTTATATAAATTTAATACTGACTCAACAGCATCTACGTAAAAAGCTTAAATCTTATTAAAAGTCATAGATGCGTTTAATTAAAAAGGAAGAAGTAAAAGATAAAAAAAATACGGATTTCCTTTATTTTCTAGAACTAAATTTCTTTTTACATCTTTTGTTCCAATTTTACTAATTTTTTTTGTATTGTCAACAAGATCGTCAGTCTGATTTTTATCAAGTATACCATTATATACTATTGTACATGTCTCACCTATATATATATATATATATATATATTAGTAGATATATAGTCATATATTAGTATTTATATTCTAATACCACTTTTTCCTAATGTCATAAGTACGTCTTGACTTGTCGTTCTTTTGAAATAATTTTACAATAGGATTAGACTTTATGTTTAGTATTATGACTATAAGAAGTCTTTTTATTTGTAAAACTGTTCGTCTAGAAACTATTAGGTTGATTAGTTTTCTTATATATAGATGGCGCTATACACTGCTTGAAAATTTTTGAATCAAATTTTTATTTGAAGCGCCACCTATTCATTTTTGTATGCATAAGTGAATGGTTTACTTTACAAGTAAATAGCAAACACCGATCTGTTTAATTAATCCAAAAATGAATGTATGTTTAAAAAAGACATATCGTGTTTCTTTACTTATATATGATAGTTTCGCTAAAGTATGATAATTTTTAGAATTATTACATTTATAACGATAATTTTTAAAAATGGCGCCAAAAAAAGCGCGGTAGGAAGTAGTTTATTGACAAGTGGCGCTTCGTTCGCACAACTTCCTGTAACTGGTAGTCTCAAACTTGTCTGTACGTGCTTTAAACAGATACAACATACAAAGACTTTATGAGTATTTTACACTTAGGTGTATTCCAGGCTTCTGTTTATACGTCATGCAATTAATGCAGGTTAGATATTTTTATTGTTTTAATACTTTTCTAATCTTTTTAATTGACGAAGATGATATGTCTCATTTAAATTTTACTGATCTGTTTTTTTCATACTTGTAACCGAGTAACCAAGTAAATCAGCTGTATATTGCTGGTTGTTCTGTAACAGCTATTTTTAATATCAAATTTACTTATATGATATTACATAAGCTAACCAAAACATTTTACGACCAAAATTATTCCCCTCTGACTAATCAAAACTATCCTTGCGACTGTCCAATCTCTTCAACTATTTCTCCCCCTTATTTCTTTCTCTCTCTTTTTCTTAATAGGCCTATATAACCCTACAATCTCTTTTATTAACAGCACTTGAAGAGCGTAATCCTTGATAAAAATAAAGTAAATCTTACTTTTTATACATAAACAAGAGGCCTATTTGAAAGTTAAAAGGTATTCAGGAATATTAATTCGAACAATGTGGTGTCCGCATAATGCATTTGTTCCCTAATTAAAGGAATATTTTTCAAATATACTTATTCTTAATTGTAAGATTAGAAATTTGGAATTATAAAAGTAGGATAAGCAAACTTCATATACTATCACCTGTAGTGTTATTGTGGTCTGTTCTTCTATTCAAATTCAAATGAATACTCTTATTACGTACAGATTTATCGATCATATATCCTTCCGCCGTTAGAATGCTGACGATAGCGGCCAACGAAAGAGGGATTGTAGATGCCAGCAGGAAGAATATTACTAGATGCAATCAAATAAGGCCCTCGGCAGGGGAGAGTGGAACATGGCCTGCTTCTTTGGTGGTAGACTTCAATTCCCTAACAAATCTTGTTGGCTTGGATGCGTTCGAGGACGTAACTCACTTGTCAGCAGCGCACAATGAAATTAATAATATGGGAGGCGTCGTTCGCCTCTGCAAACTATCGTTCCTTAATTTATGCCATAACCGTTTAACGGCTTTTGAGGGAATTCGAAGTATATCCAGCACTTTGACTTGGTTGAATGTTTCCAACAATCTAATTGTGACTTTTGGTCACTTATCCTACTGCACTTCCTTAAACTACTTGGATCTTTCATACAATCGTGTTGAAGTTCTCTCAGACATTAGCTGTTTAAAATCTCTTCAGAGATTACTATTGCATAATAATCAAATTTCGAATTTGAAAAATGCGCCTAAATGCTTGCCTAGGTCTCTAGCTACTCTTTCTTTGGATGACAATTCAATAGCAGACTTGAACAATATTATGTTTTTATGCCATTTTACGAACTTGGAAAGGCTTTCGATTATGAACAACGAATGTGTTCAAATCGCCAATGCGTATCCTTTTTATCGCTTATTAAAACTTTTTTTTCTTTTAAAATACTTTTGGAAATTAGTCTTATTTAATCATATCGTAGATTTAGTAATGTACATTCTGGCTTTTGGCCAAAGACGCAATATTTACCTTGACTCATTTGACAACAGCAGACCGTTTGATTATCGGCCATTTGTTATTAATTGGTGTTTGAACGTTCGCGTCTTGGACGGAAAGAGTGTGAGCGAGAAGGAAAGCTTACTAGCCGAATGGTTATATAGTCAGGGTAAAGGTCGCTACTTCCGTTGTGGTCAACAAGAACAACTTGTTCACTATCTGACCACTGCTTGTCCAATATCTCCGAGAGCTTCGATCGAAGATCAAGTTCGACTTTCTAGGGTATTATTACAGCAAAGACGACATCAGAGAGAGTTGGAAGAGCCCGGATCTGATCTTACTAGACAAGAAGAGGTTGGAGAAGAAGAAGACGCACAATCAAGTAATCTAGTCTTAGAACCCCCCGATCCGCAAGTAAGCTCCGTTCAAGCGCCACCTTGGGCAAGAGTCCCTGGTAAAATTGATTTTCTTTCAGTTTTTTCTTAAATCACTTTTGGCTTTCAGCCAAGAGATGATAAATATTTTATTCTTATTTTACAATTTTTATCTTTCATTAAGCCTGCCGCCCAGCCTTGAACGAAAATACTCATAGACTGTCAGACGATATGAAATTGCAAGACGTTAGTGGAGGTAAGATTGTTCAATAATTTTTCGTATTGAAATAGTAATCCGCTGCCAACTAACAACCCACGCACAGACGAGGCGGTTTCAAGTAATTCTACGAAATTATTGGAAGGGGAGTCACGGTACATTCCACTGAGTACTGATTTGGAATGCTCACCTCTAAAACCATTAAATTTGGAGTCGCTAATGCTATCGTCTACTGGGTCTGACAACACGGCAAGACATATAGATTTAGAGAAATCAGTTGAAGAAGAATCTTCAAACTTAAAAAAGAAAATTTTTGCTAAAATGGCTGGTGATATTCAAGTAAATGTTGTTCATGGTGTCACTACCAGGACAGGAACTAGCAGATCAAGATCTGAGAGTAGTTCTGCTTCAACTCCGTCCACAACACCGACAAATAGTCCACAAAGACATACTAGACGGAAAAGAAGATCTAGAGAAACGGACGAACTTCGTAAAAAGGCAGCCACAAAGATTCAATCGGCGTTCAGAGGATATTTAACAAGGCACAAAAACCCATTTGCTTTAGAAATACGTCAAGAGATTCGAGCTAGGCGATCCGAATCTCATATAAGAGCGTTAAACCAAAGTCACCAAGCAAACCAGGAGACAAAAATACAATTGCAGAAGTTAGCCAAGGATGTGAACGAATTAAAGCATTGGAAAGCAAAAGTAGCCCAGAGTATTGACGCTACAACTCTAGCCGATACTTTAGACTCCGTAGCTGGTTCTGACTCTCAGGCCTCTAGTGTATTGACTTGTCGATTAGACGAAATGGCAAAACAAATGGAAAATATGAGGCAAGAAATGGACAGGCTAAGGAGTATTGTTAAAAAGCAAGATCCAAATGAAAATGAAGAACCAACACAAGTAACGTCAGTTAGGACTAGTGTTTGTTTATCTCTAGACATAGCCAGTCTACCGCCTGAACCGTCCAACCCTACAAATTTGAAGGTGCTAGCTGAGAGTGCTACTACAGCAACCATCTCATGGGATGGAGTATCAATCAGTGGTGATGAATTTTTCGGTTACAGAATCTATATTAATGACAAAATTCTCTTTGCTAAAGTACCAGAAGCCGAAATAACCTGCCTCGAACCGCAAGTTACTTACAGAGTCTGCGTAAGAGCATTAACAGCTTGCGGTGAATCGGCTCCCTCCAATTTTGTTTTCATTCATAAGAGGGAAGATAAACCAAAACGACAACGATCACTATCTGAAAAGGATACAAGCGGCAATTCAGGCGGATCAAATCGACCCGGTAATAGGACTATTCCATTAGTAAATTCGGGACGCTTATCAGAAGGTTCTAAACCTTCTGAAGGCCAACAACATTCGATTGGTAATATAGAAAAGATACAGTCGAGTGAAAAAACAGTAAAGGAGGATAGTGGAATTTTTACTATGCCAGTAGAATCTTCAAAGAGGCGTCAAATGCCTACTGAACCAAATGTTCCTCCCGCTAAAGCAAAATTACCTGTGGCCATAAATATAACTGGAAGAAGTTCTCGATCATCAAATAGTAATGTTCCCTTTAAAACTTATGAGAAACCAGATGGCGGCTCTTCATTGTCTGTTCCAGGAATGGCCAATAATCAATCAAGCCCAATTCAGCAATTACATGCTTTAAGTCAGCAAATGGAAAAAAAGAAAATTGTCAGTAATGTTTCACCTAAACCTTCTGAAGCGGGTCCGAAGGGTTCTAAGAGTAGGCGGGGCGATGATTCGCCGTCAAGAAAACCTATTTCCAGTAAAGACGATTGGAAGAAAGCTAAAAAACCAGATCTTGGTGAAACTTATACAATAGATCAATCTATAGAATCGAAAACCGGCAAGAAACGTCCAACATCTGCTCGACCTACAAATGATGCCCAGGCTCCTACACCACCGTCCAACTCACCACCTAAAGTCAGATCCAGATCGGTTAGCGTCGAATCGAAGTTGTCAAAAGAAGGAAGAAGTTCTAGCTTAGATAGAAATTCGAACGAAAGGCGTTCGATGAAGGACAGATCTCGGTCAAAATCAAGGTCAAATAGTGTATCACGTATTGTTAATTCAGGTAAATGGAAAAGCGAAATTATGCAAGAGGTCGAGAAAAGGATAAATAAGAAGTCAAATTGTGCTGAATATGATCCAGAGCGTAAACTACCACCGTCTGCACCAAAAGTGAGGGTTCGTTCTACATCGTCCACGTCTAACTCCTCGCACTACTAAAAAAATTATTAACTCTTCCCCTTTTTTCAAGATTCATATTGACATGAAAGTCTTTTTTTTCCCACCTTCCTTGCTTTATTATTTTTTCATCAATTCTTTACTGATCCCCCACCAAAAAATACCTCTGATCTATGTATCATTCCGCCCCACTGCTTTTCTATTTCAGGAGGAGAATAGTCCGGAAGTATCTTGCCCCCTAAAGAGAACCGGAAGCTTGAATGAAAGTCTTCTTAGGAAACTCCGAAGAAGAGTTGAAGAAACTGCTCAAATGCCAACCAATTATTATCCTCTTATTGTCGAAAACAAAAAGACACTGACAAGCAGAAGTATGGCTGTTACACAAAATAAGCTGCGACTTAGCGCTGTAGGTCTTAAAGTTTGGTCGAGCATCAATAAAACAATGTCACCGAACTAAGAAAAGAAATCAAAGACCATTTTCTTCCTTTAATATCTGTATTGTTTAATTGTTTTTTTTTGTTTGCTTTTTTGCCTATTTCCGGTACAATTATTCAATATATGTACATATTTAAATATAACCCAAAAAAAATTGCATTACTGATGTACGCTGGAATACAAAAAAGCAATAATAAAAATTTATGGTACAGTCAATACAGCAATGAGGTAGTGGTAGTGACTGATAAAACCAAAAAAGAAATAGATATTGAGAAAAAATACATCTTTAACATTTAGCATTTCAAGCGAGAAAGTGTCATTTTGCTTTATTTGTTTCTTTTTCTTTCATAAACAATTCTTGCAGACTTGATTTCACAAAAAGCTTCTTATGTTCTTTTGTTTTTTTTTTATTTATTTTCTTTTTTTTTTTTTTTACAATAAACTTTCAGATCTCGGAAACAAAATATTTAAATAATTAAAAAAAAACAATAATCGTGCAGTGTATAAAAAACGAAAAATAAATAAAAAAAAAGCCTTTAAAAAAGTAAGGAGGGAGAGAAGTGGAGAAATATATGTATAAGTACCAGTTTTCTTTGTATACGATACATTGGTTCATTTGTTTTTTAGGCTAATCCTTAATTTTTTAAAAAAAAATTAATCAGATTTTTTTAAGATCCGAGACTCTAAATTTGGTATTATCTGGTATTTAAGTTCTTTTCTCCTAAATACTTCCCATGATTGGACTTCTGGGACTTCCTGGAGAGAATTTATTTCCCATGGCATATTCGTCAAAATTTTCGTGTAAATCTCGTTCATGTAGGCCTAAGTGAAAACCCCGGAAAGGATTATTTGGCGAAGTTGCCGGTGAAGCTCTTTGTCTGGCAAAACTTTATAAAGAAAGAAAATAGTAGTAAGTGCAAGCAAATTAAGTAGCAAATAAAACGATCGAACTCACTCAGAAAACGTATTATCGACATCAAATTCAGTTCCATTAACGTTATTCTTTAATATTTCCTGATTTTGTTGTTTATTTGAGCCTGCAGATGGAGTAATTGGTATGGCACTGCTAGCTTGCCTTCTCTTGTTTATTTCATCATTTTCCTGATATAAATAAATATTATGATATTATAAAAAGAAGCCGTATTTTTTTCAAGTGCACATAGTGCGTAGTCCGCTAAACCAGACTGAATTATTTTCGTGTAGGCCTACTAATGTTTTCCCGACACACTTTAACAGAATTGGGTCATCGACTATTTTCGGGCATGTTTCAACAATCACCACCAAGGCATGATTCGTAACAGAGGTAAAAATAGAAAAATAACAATAAATTATATAGTGCTAAACGTTTCAAATGATAGGAGAATAACTAAAGCTCTCTTTTTTTTTAAAGATAACATATTTTTTAAATCAATATTAATAAGATTTAAGTAAATAAAATACTCCTGATACCTTTCGTAGTTGTTCGGCTTTTCTTGTTGCTCTCTCTTCCTCGTATTGACTTTTAGCAATTTCGAAGGCTTGCGCAACTGTCAAAGTAACAGCTTGCGCCTGTAAAATAAATACAATATGACGTCAGTTTTGTTTAGAATCAGAATAATTGTAAACTTGTATTATTTGTTTATCATACCAATTTCCTGTTATTACACAAAAAGGCACGACATTCCATAGTTTCATTCTCTTTATTTCTTGCTATATACGCAAATACTTTTTCGTGTTTTTGATCAGCTGTACAAAAGCTTATTCGATCTATTTCTGTAAAAGTTTGCAGCTCTTCCGACCCATGTTTAACCGTAATTCCGTTTGGAGTAATATTTAATTTCACTTTTTCCGGTTTTTTTGCTTTATTCTAAATTTAATAAGGAAATATATTTAGCTAATGCAACAAATGCACTTGATATCTTTGCTTAGTATTTTATAGGCATACCATATTGACAATTGTAGAAACAGTTTCGGCTGAAACTGATTCGCCGTAACTTACACCATCTTCTAATTCTTCTACTAACATACTACCAAGAGATTTTAAACAAAAAGTAACACCTTCTTTTTGTGCTAAAGCATTAGTCCATGTCTCTGAAATTTCTATTGCAAAGAAAACAAATAAACTGACATCGTATAAAATGAATGTCATTTAAAATTACTTGGTTGAGATGATTCGGTCCTAGAATGAAGTCTCTGGAACGGTTTTAAAAGCTTATCCATTTCGTTTTATAAGATCATTAGCTTCACAGCATAAAAGAGTAAACAATGACGAAAGAGTATACCACTTCTTCCACGAACGTTCCTATTTCCGTTTCCTCTAGCAAAAGCGACATCTCCCGTTTCACATTGAAATTAGAAATAATTTCATTTTCTCTATTTATAATTTTCAATTCATATAATATTCAATCCATCTTATTAACTTCTTATAAGTCTTTTCCAACAAGATATTCATATTCAAAACATTAACCATTTAATACCCAACATTAGCTCACTTTATTAATACCAGGAAATATGAATAAATGAAGTAATCAATTATGCAACTTTCTTGTTAATCCTATACATATTTCAAAGTCTTTTAGCAGAGCGCTTATAGCATTGTGCTTGAGTATTCTGGCAGCTATATTCCAAACTAATATCATTTGGACTTAACATATACGCCTAAAGCAAAACAAAAATTAACTTATGCTTTCTTATATGCATAAAAGCTTTGAAAGAATTTTTGTATATTCTTGTACTTTGTATGAAAAAATACAGAAGAAAGATTTCTTACTTGGATAACGTTTTTATTTTAGATGTTCCTCTCATTTATTATCAAATAGCACTTGAAATTTTCAATCTAATAGGCTTATCGTAAGGAGAATATAATTTGGTTGAAAGCCATTGCCCAATTTTGGTTTGGTGCTTCTTCATGTTTCTTCGAACAAGCTCTCAGAAGCCAACAATTGGTGCAATACAAAAATTCTATGGCAATTGTTGTTTAGCCTATGAAAAATGATTTGTTGGGAAATCGCATACTCAACAGAGGGCGTTGTTCATAATTTTCTGCGGTACTACGTCTTTACGGCTCATTCGATATTCGAACGAGTTCTTCTATTCGTGCAATAAAGTATTTTTCGAGTCTTATCACTTAAATCTTATTTCAGAAGATGCTTATAAAAGTCAAGGTATGTAAAATTATCGCCTGAGCATACTCTTCAGATAATAACCGTTATTTTCGATTTTCAGACACTAACAGGCAAAGAGGTCAGTTTCAAAGTTTTGTAGTCTTATGAAATATAATTATTTCTCATATACAGATTGAAATAGATATTGAACCGACGGATAAGGTTAAATTTTCTTTAAATATGTTTTTTGTCTTTAAGCAGTTCTAATTTTAGGTGGAGAGAATTAAGGAGAGAGTTGAAGAGAAAGAGGGTATACCACCCCCGCAACAGCGTCTAATTTTTAGTGGAAAACAAATGAATGATGATAAAACAGCGGCTGACTATAAAGTTATCGGTGGATCCGTCTTGCATTTAGTTTTGGCGTTAAGAGGAGGAAGCACTGCTTTATTTTAGGAAAGAATTTAAGTTCAGAAATGAAGTACGTCATCTTGTTAAAAATATCGTTTTCAGACTTAAAACATGCACTAAAAAATGGTATTAAATTCTGAATAAATCATTTATATATTTTACACTACTACTTACTTTATCTTGTTATATAACTAACGATAAAACACAGTACGATCTACTAACTTAAAGTTTATATTACATTGGAAAATACACCCTTACTAGGAAATATAGATAGGAGTGTGACATTTAATAGGACAAATTTTAGAAAATTGAAACAAAGGTAGTCTTCGCTTTTATTTTAACTCTATAAACGGGTAGTTTCCAATGTTACAGCCTTTTTAGCATACATTCATGGTCTGAAATTTCAAACATCGCAGATTTCTGATCTCCTTTTTCATTTTTTTAATAGACGAACTATCTGGAAGTCAATGGTTTTTCATAGAGAACTGATATTTCTTAGTCACTTTTCATATGACTAATTTCGCTTTTATCTTTCATCATAGTTTGGATATGAGATTTAATAAAGGAAGTTTTATTTTGTTTACAAAAATCTAAAAAGATCAGCATTGTGTCTAGCTTTTTTAGGTCTCCGAAAAGAAGACCTAGAGACGATAACAATCCAAGTTTTTGCAACTTTCAAAACAAGTAGTACGATTACGAAAATAACTTTGAAGGGAAGGACTAACTAAATTGCACTTGTACAATACTTATGAAAGGCTATTAAGTGAATTATTCATTTTAATATGGTTAATTGGTTTCATCTTCCTCAAATTTTTAATAAATAGTAACTTTCTGCAAGCTCGTTATAAAGAGAAATTTAACCAAATGAACTAACATTGTTTTCTTCTTATAACCAACGAATTTACATGCCCTTTAGCGAACACATAGAACGGAGTTTAGTTATACCCGATTTTCTGCAATTTACAAAACAAACCGGCAACCTTAAGTTATAAGAGATATTGTTAAATTTGACTGATAATAAACTTAAAACATGTCGTCTAATTGCTTAAGAATAGCTGTAGTTTGCTCTAGTAATCAAAATCGGAGTATGGAGGCTCACAATTTCCTGGCAAAGAAAGGCTTCAGGGTAAAATCATTTGGTTCAGGAAATCATGTAAAGCTACCCGGCCAAGCAGCCGATAAACCTAATATATACGATTTTAACGTATCTTACGACGAAATGTATAGAGACCTGCAACAAAAAGATGAATCTTTGTATCCTTTTATATTTTTTTAACAAGTAAATTGTTAATGGAAATTCGACTCGTAGTTATATTATTTATTAACATTTTTACATTTAAAATATGATCTTTCCTGAATGTTTCTATCATTCAGTTATACCCAAAATGGTCTATTGCACATGTTAGATAGGAATAGAAGAATCAAAGAGGCTCCTGAAAGATTCCAAGATTATCATGAAAAATTCGATGTCATAATCACATGTGAGGAGAGAGTATATGACCAAGTCGTGGAAGGTTTGACAGCAGTTAATCTCCTTAGTATTATGTATAAAATACATTTATGATTCAGATCTGGAACTTCGCAAAGAGAGAACAACCACAGAAGACTGCGTTCACATACTAAACCTCGATATTCAAGATAATCAAGACGAAGCAACAATTGGTGCATTTATCATATGTGATCTTGTAGCTATGGTAAGCTAACTGACTCTATATATATATATATATATATATATGTATATTTCTTATTATCATATGACTTACTTGTATTAAACAGTTGGCAGAATCAGATGACCTAGATAATGATATAGATGAAATTGTACACGAAATAGAACAGAAATGCCAAAGAATGTTCCTACATACAGTCGTTTTTTATTAAATAAGCGAAAAATAAATATAAATTAGAAAAAGAAAAGAACACCAAATACTAAAGAAAACGAAGAAGATAGAGTTATCGTTCATTGGATTATCTCTCTTTTATAGATACAAAAATATTATAAAAAATATTGTTTGTTAATATTTTTTACGACTGAAAATTAAAAAGATTCCTTTTGTTTGTTTATTAAAAATTAATCTTATTTATTTATTTACTATTTCTTTATTGTTTTATTTATCTTTATTGCATTAGTTTCTATACCGTTTCTTCGTTTCTTTCTATTGATGGACTGTTAATATTTGTATCTAAGCCAACTTCTTCGTAATCCTTTTCAAGTGCTGCTAGATCTTCTCGAGCTTCCCAAAATTCACCTTCATCCATACCTTCGCCAACGTACCAATGCACAAATGCCCTCTTTCTATACATAAGATCAAATTTTGTATTTAGTCTTCCCCACGCTGAAGCCATTGCCGTTGTATTTGACAACATGCAGACAGCTCTCATAACTTTTGCCAAGTCTCCTCCTGGCACAACAGCAGGCGGTTGATAATTTAGGCCTACTTTTATTCCAGTTGGTACAAAATCTACAAACTTGACATTTCTACTTTGTTTGATACTGTTAATTGATGTCATATATTCATTGGCGTTAACGTCACCTCGATAGAGTAACGTGCAAGCTAAGGAAAAGGAGGGAAAAGAGATAAAAAATGGAAAAATTAGCTGAAAATAATTAGCTAATTGTTTAAATTTTAAAGAGTACCCATATACTTTCCAATTCTGGGATCGCATTTAACCATCTGATGGAGAGGATCAAAAACAGACTTAGTCAGTTCTGAAGTAGTAAGTCGCTCATGATATGCCTTTTCAACTGGTCTTATTGGAGCGTATGCAGTCAATGGAAAATGGATTCGGGGATAAGGAACAAGATTAGTTTGAAATTCTGTCAGATCAACATTAATTGAACCTTCGAATCTTAGAGAGGTGGTAATGCTGGAGACTACTTGAGATATTAAACGATTCAAATTAGTGTAAGTAGGTCTTGTGACATTTAAGAACCTATCGCATATTTCATAAATTGCTTGATTGTCAAACAAAAATTCACAATCAATTAGTTCAAGTGCTGGATGAGTACATAAAACAGCATTATAAGGTTCAACGATTGCTGTTGAAATTTGAGGGGCTGGATAAATTGAAAATGCAAATTTATTCTTTTTAGCAAAAGTTTCACTTAACGATTGACATATTCTGTTGTTAAAGCCACTTCCGGTACCACCCCCGAAAGAGTGAAATATGAAGAAACCTTCTAATCCTGCACAAGCTTCAGTTTGCCTTCTAATCGCATCTTCAAACTCGTCTAATGTATTATTATAGTCAATATTATAAGCCCCTCTCGCATAATTATTAGCAGCATCTTCCCTCCCAGTTATCATAAAATCAGGATGAAAAAGAGTTTTGTAAACACCAGTTTTAACTTCATCAATAACAGTTGGTTCTAAATCTAAAAATATAGATCTAGGAACAAATTTTCCTGATCCGGTTTCTCTAAAAAATGATTGAAAACTGTTATCGACAGACGATTCCCATTCAGGACTCATAGATCCATTTGCTTGAATGCCGTGCTCTAAACAATACAATTCCCAACAAGCATTTCCAATTTGGCAACCAGCCTGACCTACATGGATACTAATGACTTCCTTCTAAATAACGATTACGGGATAATAAGGATTAACTGTTATTAATCAAAGCTTTGGTTTAAATTTGCTATTTCTCACCATTTTCCTTAAACCCTATTTATTTCCCCCCCAGACCCTGAACTTCTTTATTTTTTTAAATTTAAAACCCTTTTTTTCAAATATTTTCAAAGTATTGTCATTTTTATTAAATAACATAAAATTCTACAAGGAATTCTCCATCTAGAGTTATTTTATAAAGAAGGCAAATCGTTTCCGACTGTAATTACTTGTTTATATGGCTTTGGTCTTATTGTTTTGAAAGGTTTCTAGTTTTGCCTCAATTTTGGACAAAAATTCTTAGTTGTCTATCATTTTCATTCTTCTTTTAGACTTGTTGGTAATCGAGAAATAGGATCTTATTAAGCTGTAAGTCGTCTTGCAATAGGATTAAAAAGATACGATATTAACTTTTTTCTTTGTTGTTGTCTGATTGCTTACCTTTGAGAAATTATTAAAGGAATAAAATGAGGCTAATTAAATGTTTGCAGTTGTTTTTTTTTATAAAGGAGGCTGTATTCATTCACATGATTATAAAAATTATTATAATTTAACGAACGAAAATGGATTCAACTTTGATTTTAATTAACGATTTCGACCTCTTCTTGATGCTCTACCGCCCCGAGAAGGCGGTCGTCTACCCCTCGATCCACCCCGACCTTTTCTTCTTGGATTTTGTTCACCTTTATGGAAGTATATATGTTTTTATAAATTAAAGAAATACTAAGAGTAGTATCTTACTTTCCCTTCGATCTAATATATCGTTCCTCATTCTCTCCCCCATTCTTATTCTTTCTTCTACCCTTATTCGATCTTCAACGATCATTCGCTCCTCTTCTTCGTCACGAGGACCATAGCTATTTATCATCATATTCGAAGACGATGGACCGTCTCGCCAATCATTCATCCAGTCGCCAGGGGCTGGAGGTAAATCTGGTCTTGGTAACAGTGCTGGCTTAGAACTGACATGATCTTGATAATTATTCATCGGGATATGAGGCATTCCTCCATTGTAACTGCCATTGTCCATTCCCCAAGAATGTTCAATATGAGAAAGGAGGCCAACTTGATTCATAGCAGGTCCATTATCCATCCATGATCGTTGAAAGTCTTTGGGAATAGGCTTGACGTATGGTTGTTTACGTTTTTGCAACATATTAGCATTAGCTGCTTCCGTATTGTCTGAATTAATATCGTCAAAATCGAGACCTGGTATAGCTACTCCAGGATTTGTAGCCTCTTTCATAACATTATCGTCTATTTATTATGAGAAAAGAGATTAATTAATTAACTCCTAATTGAATAATTATGGCTCTAAAACCTTCTTCTATGCCTTGATTTATTTGGTCAACTGTCGATTGATCTAATCCCAGACCTGGTACAACTTGATAACTTGCTTCTAAATCTAATTTAAATTATATAAATAATTTAAGGAAATTTTGTAGAATGTCGGTCTTTAATGTAAATACAAACCATCAGTATCTTCCGAAACACCAATTGGTAAAGTATTCAAATTGTACTTGTCCCTCATTAAATCACCCGGCCGATTTCTGGACCAAAATTTCCTGTAGGATAGTATCAACATGTTAAAAGAAAAATCCAATAATGAAGAGGTTGAATCTTTTAAATTTAAAAAGAAAATGAGAGCGTACGTTGAATGATCGTTTGATCCTGAAGCCAGTATATGACCTAAAGGATGCCAGGAGAGCGTCCAAATCATTCCTTCGTGCGCTTCTGCCATTGAGCCAACTTCTCTTTCTTGTCTAAAAGAAAAGTCAGATTTAGTTGAAAGGGCTTTTTGGCGAGCAATATTACCCGGCCATCCAATAAAAAATTGATCCATCAGAACCAGCACTAGCAAAAAGATTTTCATGTATTGGATTCCAAGAGCATGCTAAGAAATGATTAAAGTCATCAGAATATAATTTCTAATAGGTTTTCAATTAGAAAGTGTTGAGCTGAAATGAAAGATTTGTTCTTTACCCGTAGCTTCTTTCTTATGTCCTTTAAACACTTGAAGTTCTTGTTTCATGTTGCGCAAATCATAAATTTTTAATAAGTGATCTTTCGATGCGGTTAGAAGCCAATTTCCGTTTTTGTTCCATTGTAATTGCATAACAGTATTCTTATGGGCATGTCTAAATTTGTTTATAATAAAATATTTATAAGAGTAGCAAAGATAAGGGATAAAATACTTATTACACTGTTGCTAGGGCGTTTCCATTTCTTGGATCCCATAGTTTGATTGGTTGTTGAGCATCTTTTGAGCCGGAAGCTATTAGACTCTTTTGAGGATGCCAATCTACACACTTCACATCAGCACCATGACCTAAAATTAATTTGACGCGTAAATTTAATTATTTAAATCTAGAAAGGGGAAACCTCTTAAAATACGTTCTTCATGACACCTGACAAAGTCATAGATTCTAACAGTACCGTCATCAGAAGCTGTGGCAAATTTTGCGTTTGATGGGCAAAATCTGTTGAATATATTTTACAAAGTTAAATGTTTCTTTCCTTTTTTTCTCCACTTATTTTACGAAACTTACGATAAGCCGCGAACAGATTCCTTATGAGCTTGGTAAACTTTAATATTATTCATATTACTTTGCCAATATTTAATAAATCCATTGTGGTCAGCTGTAACCATCCATTGATCGTTATGACTCCATATCATTGCTCTGACAGCGGAATCGTGAGCCTAAATATAATTTTAATATGAAATATACTCTCTAGATTTTGTAACAATAGTTCAAACTTGTAATATAGTTTCAAAGTTGAATGTAAGACCGTTCCAGAGTGTAAATTCCCCACTGGATCCACCTGTAATTAATCTTCTCCCTTCGGGTGTCCACTATATGATAATATTAAGCTTAGATTATCAATTACATTAGTAGAATATTTACAAACCACAACGCGAAAAATTGGACATTTGCTTTTATTTGTAGACTGTCGTATAAACTTTGTACAGACTGCATTCATAGGCTTATGGGGCATATCTATTGCTGGGGTTAGCTATATTTTAAGGATAAGGAAATCAACTTTATTCTTCAACAATAGCAAGAAAAAAATTACGCTTGGAGAGTATAATTTGTCAGGTTGAATAATATGACAATCTCTTTTATCTCTTTGCCAGATTCGATTTTCCAAATACACAGCCATAGAAGCATTGTAATCAATTGTTTTCCTGTGTGATAAGAGATATGAAAAATTAAATGATATCTTATAAAATATAACAACACGAAACGTTTAGAAGAATTGTCTATTTTGCAAGCTATCATCATTCTCGTCTAAAGTATTCAACTTTTTTTACAGTTTATAGGCCTATATGGGAAATTGTGAATTGCACGATTTCTTTCAACCAACTACCATAACAATGCATATGGCACCTTTTTTGTACGGAAAAGAACCAAAGTGTGTGGAGAAACTATCTTTTTCTGTTCAAGACAATAATAATAATATTATACCTGTAAATAGATCTTTTCTTGCCGTTTGTATTTCTTTCATGTTGTCTATATGGGGAATGATGAAAAGGAATTCTAGGCGGCCAGGAAATTCTAGGGAACGCTCTACCTAAATTTTCAGGTTTCTGGTCACCAGAAATTTCCATAGTATAATTAGAGTTCAATTTCCAATGTAACCATCTACAATTAAGGCCAGAAAGAATTTTAGAAAATTGAAAAATTAAAGTAGCGCACAGAATTTCACTATATTTCTATTAGTTATTTTCGTATTTCAGGTTATAAAGTTATACAATGATTTAACGAAAAGAATATAATTATTTTGTATTTGGAAGAAATATTTTTCCTTTATAAAAGAATATTTATACGAAACTATCGATTGCAGACACTTCCGCCGAGGATATGGCATATTTGCAAACAAAAGCTATTTCTCAGGCTGCTAGAGTCAGACGATTGTACAAGGAGAGTTTAAGAAATTTACAAGCATATTATATAGAGAGGTGAGCTTTATTTCTTCGGCAAAATTGATTAGATTCGAGTTTTTTCGCATTCAAACCTGAAGGTCATTTGTTTGATTTCAGGCACCTTTACCGCTATCATGCTGTGCTGTTGAGGCAACGATTTGATGAGAACAAGGATATAAATGATGTTCGAAAGGCTAAGGAAGTTTTGCAAGCCGGAGAACATGAATTATTTTTGAAAGCGCATCCTCAACCAATAAAATGTATTATCTTTTCCATTATTTACTATAGCGTTCTATTAATAAAACACCAATTCCTACAGATCCCGACTCTCCAGGAGGCGTAGCTTACGGAAGGGAACCATGGGTGCCCGATTGGGTACGTAAATGCTTTATAATTACTGCTAATCAAAGAACTATAAAAATTCCCCTTTTTTCAGTTAATTGATCATTGGCATCCATCAGAACGGAAGCAATATCCTGATTATTTTGCAAAGAGAGAAAAAGCAAAATTAGAATATATTGATCGCTGGAATAAAAAGTATGGAGTAACAGAAACTCCAGACACTAAAACTTCGGCATAGAGAATAATAGACTATACAGAAAATCTGTAATTTTGTTAGTAAACAAATGTATTACAAGAATGAAAAAAAAATACAGCTTAATGTAAATAATATAAAACTTGTTAATATTTTCCTCTGTTAGCAACTCTATTTGATAAGAGAGAAGCCTTGAATCTGGATAATTTTGCGAAGGGACAACGTATTTCTTTGAGCAGTCTCTTTTTGGCCTCCTTTAAAAGAAGAAGGACGTGTTGAATATGAATTTTACGCCTTTTCTGTAAATTGATATCACTAATCAGTAAAAATATTATATTTATTAGAATTATGGACCTTTTTCTGTGATTTTATTGTTTCGTAAGCTAACTCCTCTGTTGGGTTATAAAGTTCCTTGCAGTACAGTAAAATAAGTACAATCGATCCCGCGAGAGATAATACACAGAAGTAATATAATAGGAGAATTATACCAACAGCAAATGACCTTTTTCGATCACTTTTACTATATCGACAAACAGGCATGTTAAACTGACTGTCCGACTCTTTTCGGAATACAAGGCAATCGCTAGGGATGGACGAACAGGATTGATTGTAGAGACCTATTAAGGCTGTTTGATCGGTTAACAAATCGAATTCTTCATTCCAACTTTTAGCTGAATTAGTACAATAAGAGCAGGGCCAATTGTCTATCGATATAAACTTGTCAATTCTTTCCGACAATTCTGTTCCCAAGTCGATTTCTTTATTTCTAGATAAAGCAGAATAAGCGAAAACAACGAAGTTTCCGAAAAAAAAGAGGCGAATGAAAACACAAAAAAAAGCGTAAATCAATAACAAGAATCTGGATATAATAGCCAAATTCAAAAAAGGCATGTGTTTCGAGAATAGAATTAACAAACAACAAATCAAGCCAACTGACAATTTTCCCAAATTAATTCTTCTATCCTCACTATTTTTATCTTTGTTGAAAAGATAAATGAGCACTGTCTTTAACAAAGTAAATCCAATTATAAAGCACCAAACTTTGAAGGAAAATGGATTAAATGATATTTTTGACCTTTTTATTACGATAATTTGATTTTGGACAGTTTGAAGATGCGGTTTCTTCATTATTAATGATAAAAAATTGATGGTTTTTATTTTACCCGTTTCTGTGTTAAATTCGAATTTTGCTAGATGGCTTTTTTGCGTGTTATCTGTTGAAAGAAACAGGAAAAGATGTTAAGTGGTTTTATACCCTTTTCTCAAATGGATTAACCGCTAAATCTGTCGATTGATTCGTGAAAAAATCCTTCCATTTCATTTTGTGAGGCTTTTGAAGAAACCTTATGACTTTCAACAAATATAAATTTTATATTCTTCTTTCTTCTTATGTCATTCAGTCTATTATTACAGAAAGTCTTGTTTTTTATTGAGAATTTTAATTCTTCCTTGCAATCAGAGGGATCTCTCAGTAGAGGTTCCTGTAGAGGAAATTAATATCAACTTAACTTTACTTCTCTTCCTTCATTTATTTAATTAGGCTTTTCGTTAAGGTTCTTTTTTTTTAATAAAAATATAAGTTAACCTCATGAAAGACCAGGAGATAATGATTTTTTGACATCTTTGATTGCAAATTATATATGGCTAATCTGTCTGTTGGAGTTATGATAATAGAATTTTCTATTCTCTTCAAAATAGGCGACAAAGGTTGATTCAATAGTGTTATAATAACACAAAGACGGCTTCTTGAAAGGTCGCTAACAAATTCTGCAGTAACGTCAGAGATTTTAACAATATCTAACCTCTTTTCTAATAACAAATCGTTAACATCTAGAAAAAATATGGCGTTCTTTCTCTCATTCACAGAAAATATTTGAAAGCAGATTAATTTTACCAAATTCGATAAAGCTGTCGTTGATTATAAAGATTGGCCTAATTTCCAAGATATTCAGCATTTCAAATAGGAATCTTAGTATATCTCTTGATTTTAGAGGAAGGTCTGGCTTCAAGTTAAGAATTACATTTTCACCACACAATCTTAAATTAATTGGATATTAAAAATGTATGAAAAATATTAAATCAAAAAGAGTGACTAGAAAAAATATAGGACTATTTATTACTTGTGCGTTTTTATCCATAAAGAAGAGTTCTTTAATTTACAAAAATGTCTTAGAAACGGTAGATTAAAAACTAACAGCTCAGTGCTTTCCTTTAAATGTGATAATATTAGTTTAAAATCTGAATTTCTTAGAATATTTTTTAAATTGCGAGATAATCTTTCGTAATGCGTTAAATTCCATATTGGCAATTCTGATATATGAATTAATTTCTTCTGCACTGACATTTCAAGAGAATAAGCAATTTGTAAAAGAATAGTCGCTAAAAATAAAACTTTGAGATTACAATATAGCATGCTACTTTAATAAAAAAAAAAAGGGAGGAAGAGAGCAAAACAAAATAACGCAATAAATTTGTTGCGTATGTTTTCTTTCGTGCTTTCAAAATTAATGACAACATTTAAATTTATCCACCCAGAAGCTTATTTAATACATTTTATCAACTATTAAGTTTGTTAGACCAACTTGTACTTGTGGTTTGTACATGGAAATATCGTTGCAGATTGTACAAGGTCGTCTAAAGCATATAGTAGAGCTTGTTTAGTAATGTAGAAATTGTAATTTTTTATTTTTGCCATTATAGATTTCCAATGAATCCCCTCCTTACTATTACCTAATTTAGAGAAAAATAGATCAGTTTTATCGGAAATTTACAATCGATTGGTAGAAAAAAAACCAAAATACACTTACTAGCAGGTAGACAGTCGATTATTTGCTTATAAAGGACTTTATCGTTTTTAGTAGTCTGAAAGAAGAAATTTACAAGATTTATAAATAGAATTACACCATAAAAACTTACAAGAAATTCCGAATCGGAAATTTTATACAATTTTCCTTCCTCCAGCAGATGTTTTAAAGCATCTTGAATGATTTCTTTAAATAGCTCTGTAACTCTATCATTATCATCTTTATTATTGTTTCCAGAGTTATAAACACGAAATGATTGTCTTTCGGATTGAATGTATTCTACAGCACGATTTTTTGTATCCTTACAAAGTAAATTTCCAATAATTAGTTCATCATCAAATGTCTTAAAGGACGTAATCTCTTCTTCAATGAATTTTAATATTTTCGATCCAAAGTGAAATTTAAATAGCCCCTCTAAATTATTAAACGCATCAAGTTCTTCTCTTAAAATAAAATCCTTATCATAAACATCTATTTTTAGTTTCTCTGCAATTCTTAAATGTTGCTCTACCTCCTTTTCAGATATTTTACCTGAAAACTTTATTCGTATTAAATGTATTTCATTTATAATTTAATACGCTTACGGATATTCTTAGCGCAAACTAAAGCGGTCTTACTATCCATTTTAAACAGTGATCCTTGAATTTTAATAAACTCTCCAATAGTAAAATCATCGTTAAATTTAGGTAGAAATTGAGAATATTCCATTTTACACTTTTCTTTAGCTAAATTATCAATTAAACATTAAAAGAAAAACTGATATTAAAAAAAGTTATGGTTGGAGAAGAGAAAAAAAAGAGAACCTTCGATAAAAGAATCATCTTGTAAAGGTGCTTTTTGCCTACAAAGAATTTGGCCATCACTACCATCTTCAACTTGAAAAAAAAGGGTTTTCTAAATTTAGAAGGCTATTGTTGTAATCTTACTATGGTAATATCTCGGGAATGATTCTTTCCTATTTATGTTTATAATGCGACCAGCTACTTCTATACGGTGACTGACTAAATTTCGTAAAAGTGATAATTAGCCGCTATTTACATTTTTCAATATGAAGTATTATTAGAACTAAAATCCTGACCTTTATAATCGCCACTAATTTCTTGTAATGATTGTGCTATTGACACTTTGATGTAAGTACCAGTTCTAGTATCAAAGCCCGGAAGGGCATTCAACTTTCGTATCATAAGTAAACCTGTGAGAGAGTCGTTTGTCTCGTTTCTTTAATCAACAATGTGATATTTCTGTCGGTAAAGTTGCGGAAGAAAATGCTGGAATAGTTAATTTCTAATAATTTATTCAATTCTTAGATTTGCAATAGGTACCGTTTACTTCACAGGAAGTAAGATAGTAAAAATCTTTTCATTATCTTTTTTGAATTCCCTGTCGTGTAATTTGGACAGAGTTTAATAAAGCTTAGGGAGCAGATCGGTAGGAATAATAAATAAAGTATCGTTACGTTCAATTAATTTTAGAATATTCATAGAATTAGACAAATTTTCCCTTTGCGTCTCTTCTAAAATTTAAAATAATTGTAATGCTGTCCTTCCAACGATGGAATTTAGTACTGTTAGTGTGGTTCGGTATTCTAATATTTACTTTGATACTCACTGTTGCATACAAAGACTTGGTCCAGACTATGCAAAAAAAAAGTTGTTTGGCAATTGGCATATCATTTCCGGCATGTGTCAGTAACAGACGACGGGATTCTCCGCTCAAGTTTTCTTCCTCATTACCTTTGAATGATAATAGAAGGATGGGTAATTGTTGTGACAGATGCTTGGGGAGATTCGACCGAAGGTACCTTTCTTAATTTTCGTAGAAATCAAGAATATGTGCTTGTGCAATATCAACTTTACTTTTCGCAATTGGTTACCGCCCCTATGGCTTTGTTTTTATTAAATTCCTCTTTAACGAATATTCTTTTCCATCTATCTACCTTATAAGATAAAATTTTAAAGGACTAACTTTGTGCAAATAGGAAATACTTGCGAACAAGATACAATATTGAAAAAGATTTCTCCATTGAATTCGACCAGCTGATTGACAATGTAAGTAACATAAATACAATTTCCAAGGGCTAGTATCAAAAAAGCTAAATCAAAAAATCAAAAATATACAGGAACAACACGCTGACGAACTTTGCAAGTAAGTACCAAAACCTCGCAATTTCCCCCGTTTTTACTGAAGAGCAACGACCGGTTTAAGTAAACACTTTCTTGTTTGCAATCCGAAAATCGAAAGTCTTGTATAGAGAATTAGGCTACGTGACATTTAAAGCTATAACAGATGACGGTCTTTTTTCTTTTCTATCAATATGGCGAAATTAGCTCGTTAAGCAATGACCAACTCGGATTGAAAACGATAGGCCGTCGATTCGACTGTGATTACTGCTATTATTCAGGCGGGTGATCGTTCTTAACCTCATATAGTTTACAATTTCTTAAATAAGATTTTGCACGAAACGAGCTATTGCTTAAGTCTTAGGGTAATAATTTTCTATTTTGCTACTTTTTCTACTTTTCCATGCTTACTATGATGAATGGATTTTATAAAATTTTACGACATATAGAAATGTTTTCATAGACATTAGTTTCTATAGAAACGTCTCTTATAATTAGTCATAACTGTTTCAGTTTATGGATAATTTTGTGGGCTTACTAGCGACTTTACCATTTCCCGATAGAATATTTCAAATTAACTGAAGTTCCTAGTCGTCGCAGTTTTCTATCTAAATAATAAATAAATCGTTGGTGAATAAATATTGATTTCGTAACATATACGAAAGCATCTTTATTGATTTATTTTCTAAGAGGGAAATATAGTTTTTTTTTCTTTCGGTCTTCTATTTATTTTTAGGTAGTTTAGAGTTCTGTTGATAATATCCTTAAGGCTTATCTGCTCTGTACAGTGACATTTTTCAACGCCCCATGCTAGGCCTGATTGGCAGACTAAAGTTAATCGTTATATATGGTATGCCTGATTTTTTTTTTGCAGAGGTCATTTGCAGTTCAATCCTGCGCCCTTTACAGTCTCTTCTTACATGAAATGGGTACGGTTTTAGATAGTCTGTTAATCAATGTTACTTAAGCATGTTTAGATCTCTATATGTACATTTTAAGCCGTATACTTATACTACAATCTGCAAGAATTCCTCACTGATGTTATTTTTCTTTGAACTCTTTTATTATTATTATTTTTTTAATTAAAACACTTTATAAGAGAATTTTTTGCACGTAAAAAAAAAATTTTGTTGTTGTTTGTTCCTCCTTTATAGCGTAGTCACGGATGAAGAAAAAGCATTAGTAAAAGCCAAACGGTTCAACGACCTCGTCGCTCATCAGAAATTATTAGATAGAGAAATTGAAAGAAACGTAAGTGATAATTAACAAAAAAAAAAGAAAGAGAAAAAAGGGTATTCTTGACAACCAAGGAAGAGTATTATTATTTTAGACGAGAAAATGGGCGAAAAAGTGGAACGGTTGCGAAATATTTTAGTTTATGCATGAAGCGAAAAATGATTTTTTTCCCTCCGTTCTTCACTAGTCTCCTTTCCCTCCCTCTTTTTTTTCTCACTTTTTTTTGCTTCCTCCTTCACGGATATTTTATCACTAGTCGAACCGTAAAAATTCTTAAATTAACCGGATTATTTATTCTTTATTTGTCTTTAAATAATTTTAATATATTCTACTATTCTCTATTTTGCACCTAATGTAGCTTGTCAAACAAGAAGAAGAATTAAGAATGGAGGAAGAGGCCTTCTACGAAGCGAAAAGAGAGGCTGCCAGAGTGGCTAAAGCTCAGAAAATGAAGGAACAAAAAGTGAAAAATACTTCCAATTGGCTCGGGGACGAAAAAGAAGACTGGGACGTGTAAGTTTCCCTTTACTTTGCCCTAGGAGTAACGCCTTTCGCAATCTGCATTTAGCCGTCAGGCCCGAAACACGATTTAGTCGCATTAGCGTTGGTGAGGGGGGCTGAACGTTTATTTAGTTTTAGCCTTTCGTTTTTTCGTACTGCCCCCTTATTTTCCATTTTCTTTTCCCTATCTTATTTTACTCGTTGACTTTATTGTTATCAAATGAAACGATCGACTGGCGGTTAGACTTCGTGACTTTAACGATATTAACGATTTTTTCCTTTCGTAAACGATCGATAAGAATCAAGATTGTTCTCTCCCTCCTTGCTATAAAACGAGTAGCGTCTCAGAAAATAATTATGGGTAACGCCGCCTACTCCTTGCGTTGGTTTTTTTTCTTTTTTGTATCCAGTCTCTTTTTTCCTTCCAGCTAACTCTCTTTGGTATTAGTTGATAAGGTAGAATAAATATATATATTAGTATATATATATATATTTAACTCTATATAAATATATAAAATTATTGTATAGGCATACAATTAATAAAAAACTGGATAAATATTAAATTTATTTTATATAGCCCACATGTATAATATTAATATGATATTACTGTATATATTCAGTATATATGTTAACTCCCCTGAGGACTTGTTTTTGCGGCAGAAAGCAAAAGGAGGGGAAGGGTAAAAGATATAATTCAGCGGAAGCGAATGAAGAGTAACGTTGTCGATTTATCATGCGCTTTCACATTATATCCATTGCCGTGGGATTAATAACTAGTTGTACGGATAAAACGTGCTATATGCGGCGATGGTAGGGCATATTATGGGCGTTAATAAATAATTAAAGGAGAAACATAATGTAGATTAATAATAATGATAATAATCATTTTTATACTTTATTTGTATAACAATATATCTACTTTAGTACCATTTGCCAAACTTTAACTTTTTTCTATTATTAAATAATTTAGAGCTGGTGAAGAAGATTTTGAAACGTTTATGGAAAGTGTAAAAGCTCGCTCATTGGCCGCAAGAACGAGAGCTATTGCCTCCCAAGGTATGAATTTTTGTCAAGTATAAAATATATCTTTGGTCTTTTCTTGTAATGTTTCTATTTTCCCCTTCGTCATCGCTCAATTCTTTGTTTTATATAGTTATTAAGCGAATAACTGTTTTTTCTATTTATGTCTATAGTGCCTGTCGACACGCAAAGCACAACTAGTAGTTTGACTAAGGAGCGAGTACTCTCAGAATCGAGCTCAATCGATTTGGAGTGGGAACACGAAGAAGGTAAGATATTATGTAATTTTTTTTCTTTATTTATCTGTCATTTATTATAAATCCTGAGGTAATTAAATGTCATTTTTATAAATAACTGAAGATGAAATAGAAAAAAAATTTTTTATATATCTTTAAGTAGGCAGAAGAAAAAACATGAACGAAAAACTGAAATTACAGGAGAATGATGTATATCATAGAAACAGGTGTTAATTTAAGCTACTGCGGTGTAGGGGATTACAGGCTTATTAATTTTACGTTTTATTTACAAAAGGCCTTAATGCTTTAGTTTGTTTTTTTTATTGTTATTTTTTTTGTTTCGCTTTTTCGAAATTAACCGTTATTCTGTTTTTGCTGCTTTACATAGAGTATTTCCATTTGGAGTTTATAACAGCCTACTAACGAAAGCATTTCATAGCCCCGACAATATAATCTATATGCTAATAGATGAAAATTTTTTATTATCGGTTTTTAATATGAGGTTAACTTGCCTTAGGTATGGAGCAATTAGCCCAAAGTCGGGCAGGGAAGAAGAAGAATAATGACTTAAATGCTGACTTGGCGGAACTTTCTGTTAAAGTACTCAAAGCCAAAGTCGATTCGTCCGGTGGTCAGACTTTTTTAAATAATTTTACGACAACCCCTGATACCGATGAAGATGCCGCAGAAACTAGGACGCTACTAGCCAGAAGCAATTCAGCCGATGAGGAAGTCGACCGATAGCCTGGACACCGGTAGTGGCAGCGTCTGTTTACTTGATTAGCATTTGTAATGTTTCTAATAAGGTTCGTTGTCGTAATATAATAGACAATACTTGTTTTTCATTAATATGATGAACAGTGAATGTAAAAAAAAAAATATTGTTATTTAAAAAGAAAAAACCTTAATCGGACCAATTTTTTTTTCAATGTTATATCTTGTAAAATGTTTTTTCTATGTACATTCCAAAACTCTTATATTTATCCAAAATGCATATTTGAAATAATGAAAAAATTAAAGAAGAAAAGCGAGGTGACTGAGAAAATTTGTCATTATTTTTTTAAATTGGTTCCTCTTAGTCAATGTTTATTTGTTTCTACCGCCATAAAACCCTTGTATTTAAAAAAAAAGATACTATTAACATGTTATACTGATTTTGGAATACAAATCTCGTTGTTGCCGTGAGGAATCTCTTAACAATTGATTTTGAATTTTCTCATTACATAAATTAATTAATTACTACGACGCCCTCTACTCTGTTGTGGAAATGATGTATATTTCTTTTGGAAGAGGATTGTAATTAATCATTTCTCGTAACCACTATAGAGAACTTCCTTTCAACTTTTAGCTGCACGCATTAATCTTAACTGGTTTTCTCTGCAGCAAACTATATAGGTCTATATATGGTGAGGATTGATAAAAAACCCAAACGTGTCTTATATAATATTAAGTAGTAGTTGGGTGTTGTCGATTAAGCCGTTGATCTAATCTAATTTGGTTCGCGAAATTTTTACAATCTACAGTAAAAAAAATAGATTTTACCCTGAGAAAATTAGAGTGAATTAAATTACATGTAAAAGTAATTTGCAAGTAGTACTCTCTATTAATGCCACGCCAAGCGATTCTAAAATAGACGCAGGGACCGTCTCGGCTAAGTTTTAAATAATATTATATAGAATAGTTGTCGTTTATTTGTTTTTTTCTCTCTCTTTCCAATGTTCTTTTGAGTAACATGAGAGGAGAATGTCTCTTCTCATCAACTATATTCTCTTCCCTTTAATTTAAAGCCTTTCCTTAGTTGACTGATTTATAAAGAATTCAAATTAAAAATTTGTTTTAAAAGCTTGTTTAATACTCCTAAATATATTTCCGCATTCCCAAAAGATTTTAGCCAAATTAAATACAAAGTCTTCAATCAATAAATGTACATTTTACCATGGATAAGGGTTGTCGTCATATAAAATTTTCAATAAACAACAAACTATTGAATATTTATGATTATAGTCAAGCTCCCCTGACATTTTATAATTTAACGAGACGCTTTGAAGTAACTTTTTCTCTTATTTTTTCTCTCCCTCACTTCTATTAAATATTTAAAATATTACTAAAATATGTATAAGAGGTTTTTGACGCCTGTACCAAGAGTAATTTTCATTTTGTAAGACAATATAAAACAACGTGCTTGTATTGATAAATACAACCAATACTATCTAGTATTAGTATTATATGCAGTATAATCTTTTCTTTTATATTGACTAATATATTTATTAATCTATTTTTTCTTATACCTTTGTAAATATTATTGCAGCGTTAATTAAGAAACGTCTTGTTTTCAAGCGTCTCTTGCTGTTTTTGTAAGAAATTAGAATTGTTGTTATTATATAGAGACGACTCTCTCTTTTTGTTAATGCTAAACAAAGCCATATATCTTTAATTATTCCTACCCTTTCAATTGATCTTGAAATAATTAAATGAAAATAGCGAACACATATTAAAAAAATTTATTATTACATTATTACTACTGTAATACTATTAACCCTTTTAGGCTTATTATCTTCTAAAGAGCACAAAGGAGGACGTCTAAAATTTTTTGGAAAATATGATATTTATTCAACAAACCTAAGTATGTGCTTACAATACCTTTACAAATTTTTGTGAGAATGGTATGCTTCCTATAAAACATCTCTCATTACACTAACTATTGTTGACTTCCGATCTAATTTTTGGACTAGTCAGGGTTAAGCGAACTTACTATAAAAAGAGAAAGACGAGTCTTCCATGACAAAAAATTTCTTTTCAAAGAGCGAATCCTTACGAACAATCGTTTTTTTTTGGGAGCAGATGTAAAAATATATCTACTATATATATATATGCGACATTTCCCTTATGTTTAATCAGGATGGAATATTTTTCCCCAGTCTTCCTCTTTTCTAATGTTCCCTTTTCTCTACAAATGAAATATTGTTCATATATTTTAAATTCTCGTCAATAATATATTATTACTTCTTCCCCAAAGATTGCTAATTGATTTATAACGTCGGTTATCAAGGTCAAAAGTTTTATTTTCTAAATTCAATCATCCTATAATAAGTAAATATTCTTTAATAATGTTTATAACAACATAGGTATAATTGTTGTTAGCAAGTATTCTTTTTTTTGATATAGGTGTTAAATATAATAAAGTAAAAGAGAAACGTATAGAATTCTATTTTACTTGTAGTTGAATCTTTGAGTTTTCAAAGTCTTACTACTATTAAAAAATATCTAAAAAGATGCCAAAATTAAAGAATAGAGAAACAATGGATTATGATACAAAATTTCAATATTATGTATCTCAGCTTACTATATTAAAGGTTTGTAGATGAATTTTAATATAAAATATTAGTGTCTATATATTATTTCAATATTACAGGACTATTCACACTTTTTAAAGAAAGATTGGAAAGTATTGAAAAAGAAGTTTGATTTGGAATTTGAAAAGATTGGTATATTTTCATTTAATTTATACTAAACTGTTAATAATCTTCTTTTAATGTTTAAACAGATAAATTTTCAGTGAATATTAGCTCTGTTATTGGAGAAATTGTTTATGGGAGGAAACAAGTTCTAGTCTTGCATCGTTTTCAAGTAATATATATATATTTGTTTCTAAACCTATTTTAACTCTATTAATTTCATTGTTTTTTCTTTTAGTTATTAAGAAGAATATGTATATTTTGTGGAAAAAATCATTACGATGTTATGTTAACAACTCTAGATCGTTTATTGAACTTTTTCGAAGATACAAAAGTTGATAAATTAAATGTTAATTTTTATATCACTTCTAATAACGTTTTACATTTTAGCTTCATGCTCAAGTAATAATAGATGTGGTGAAGCATATAGGATGCATTCTCCATAGAATAGGAGAATTATTATGTTAATTAACCTATTAAATTTACTGTAATAACAATTAACATATTTATATTTTTAGATGGTATTGAAGATAATCAATCAAAATTAATGCAAAGTATCATAATAACTCGACAATACCATTTTAAATTAAAGAAATTTATGGTATTTTCGTATCAAATAGCATAAGATATATCCTAAAATTTTTGTTAATGATGTATATCATTTATTTAGAGTGGTTCAAAGAATTTAGAAGTCTACGCCAGCCATACAACATTAAATGATTATGATAACAAAAATGAAATGCTTAATATAACGAAAGCTGGTGAAGGTTTGAAAGAAATTCCAAATCGCTTGAATCAATTAGAGGTGAATAAATGTATACTCGACAAAATATTCCAATACATTTCTCTTATTCTTCAGGTTCAAATTAATGAAATTGAAAGACTATTTTGTAATTTACAATCCATATCTAAAAGATACGGTAATATAGGTAATAAACGTGGTAATAATTAAATTCTTATTATAATGTGAATACTGTGTCTTATGTTCAGATCTACTTTCATCAAATATGAAAGCAACTTGTATAGACGAAGAGATAATTTCATTTTCAAGTAGTTCTTTTTTTCATAAACATAATTAAAAATATCTATAAACATTCCATTCTTTTTACAGGTGCATTTGATCAATTTCAAACTAATTATAGTATTTTTAAAACAAAAGATATCAATAATATTAATTTAGTGAAGAAGTTTAGAAAAGTTCTGAACGAAATTGATAATAAATTAACTGTAATTAATAATATAAATTCTCTATTAAATATATATTACAGTATCGTTTATCATATGCTCTTCTTTATATATATATAGACATTACCGCATTCATTCCTTTTATGGAGAGAAAACGAACTAAGAAAACTTAATTCACAAAGAAAAATAATTGGTATTTTTTTTTATACAAACATTCTTTAATTACTTCCATTTCGTTTCTTTTTCCTTTTGTAAAAAAGTCAATTTTCTATCAACAATGGAGAATATGAGAATAAGTGAAATAATTAATAGAGAAAACTTTAAAAGTTTGACCAATTACATTTAAATAAATAACGAATTATAAATAAGAATCCTTGTATTATTTCCTTATAAAGAATGTATAGAATATGATACTCATTTCGCTACTGCTTGGAAAAAAGGTATTTAATAAACTATATATATATTGTATATACTTATATCATAGTTTACTTTACTAATTATTCTTAATTGTTAAATCATAGTATCAAATTCGCAATCAAATTCAACAAATGTAGCAATAAATGAGGAAGACAGGTAAGGCAGAATGAAAAGGAATAATAAAAAAAAAAGAACATTATTGAGTACATTCCATTTCTTTTCACTGCTTCTTCTATTCGTAATTTCTATTAATTCCATATTTATTCACTTGCGTTTGATTTAAATTTGTATACAGAATAATAACGGAAAGTGAAATAGTTCTTTCATTAGTTAATAGTATACGAGAATCACCAACTCATCAATCTAAACAAGATCATTATATGGTTAGGAATAATTTATTATTCATTATTTTTATAAAAAATAAAATGTATATGATATGTAAATAATAGAATTATTGAAATTAATAAATATTTCTATTCTTGTTTCTCATTTTATCTATCAATCTATCTCTCTCTCTCTTGCATTCATTCTTCACTGACTCGTCGTTTGAAATTTTTTCTAAAAAGGACAAATTGGCATTTGGTATAATAGAATTAATTGCTGAAGTGAATAGTGACAATAGAACTGAAAAAGTTTTTGAAAAGAGACTTAGCGAATTGGAATCATTCGGACGTTCGTTTAGTTATTGATCTATCTAGGTTAGTTTTATTCTTTAATTGCTCTTTCAAGTGATTTTCTTTTGTTCTTCTGACAGAGAATGAACATTAATCTAAAAAGTAAGACATCTTTCTCTCCCAATTATAGTCTTCGATAATTTAGAAGTAATTTTTAATTTTGGTGAAGGTTTACATTTTTCTGTTACGTTCATTTTAATAGAAATTTCAATTTTGTAACAAATCTTACAGTCATTTATCCTTCAATAAAAAATATGACAAGTATAAGCTAATATTCTTTTCTATCTATTTTCGTCAAATTAGAAAAAGAAATGGGTTGAGCGGGAAGGTAGATAGAAGGATACGGATTGAATAGAAAGAATATTTATAAAAAATGTCCTCTACAGTAGATTAGTTAATAAAGGATCGGAGAAACTTCGATCAATCATCAGACATTTTTTTGGCACTAAAAATAGAGATAGTTTATACGAATTGAGCATATCTTACGCTTGCCAAATTTTGTCTGTCAGCAATGGCCTCGTTCGTGGACATGATTTAATCATTAATCTTCGGTTGGAAAGTAAATATTTGACTTTTTTTAAGTTAACTAGGTCAAAAGGACATTGAAAGTAACAAGGTCAGACAATTAAAGCAGAAAGGAGAGAATTAAGAGGGGGCCAGAGTGTAAAATTTAAATTAAATTCTTATAGGACAAGTCAAAAACTATGTCAAATTTCAATTGAAACTGTCGATTCGCCCTTACTTTTCAATTTGCCAGACTAATAACTACTCAATTATCTAATATTGTTAATTAAAATCGGTTTTTAATGGGTTTAGAATCGTCATTTGCGAGTGTTGTTCGACGACGAATAGACCCTGTTAACATATTTACTTGGAAATTTTCCATTATCTCTACCTGAATATCTAACGTATAGCCTGTCCAACTATCATTCTCTTGATAAATATCTACTCTAAATACTACGAGTGAAATTTTTTTTTGGCAAAACGAACATTTGTAATTTCCGACTAATTGAACAATATTAGAATATTAGATGAATATATCATTAATAAAGATGGAAGATACAATGAAAACAGTAAAACCTGTAAAATCAGTAAGACCAGTACGACCAGTATCCAGGAAACTTATGTTTATGCAATGGCTGAATGATGCAAGTTATTTGAAAGTAAGTTATTGAATTACATCTATAAAAGGCAATTATACACGAGAAATTTAAACAACTTCAATGTATTTTTCTCAGAAACTACTAAGTAGATTGAAGAAGTTCGTTATTGGTTTGAATAAAGTACTTTGCTGGAAAAAAAGATTATCTGGTAAGTTTTAAATGCTGGTTAAGAATGAAATAGAACAAGAGTACATTATTTTGTTTTTTTTACATGAATATATAGAAATATACGTTATGAAAAAGACTACATCATTTTATAAGGCACGAAAGGACTGTGGCAAAATTGAAGAATCATTGGCAAAATGTAAATTGGATCAGGTAAAGAAACTATAAAAGACAATTAATTTGTCATTATCATTTATTAATAATTATTTAACCAAATTGTCTATCATTCAACCTATATAATCATTCTTTGTTTTCTTTTACAGACCTGGTTGATAAACTATTATTTGATCTTTGTCAGGTCCTTGAAAAAACTTCCTCGGAAGGATTTTGGAAATATATTAGAAAATTACGACGAGATTCTCGGAGCCTTACAACTTTCAGCAGATGATTCTAAGGTATATACAAAAAGATCTTAAAACTAAGATAGATAACTAATTAATAGATTTTTTAAAATAGGTACAGTCTTTTGGGGAAATGGCTTTAAAATTTTACGAATGGTCCAGTCTATTCGAACCAGTTGAATTATCTATAGGTTGGTTAGACAATTAAAAAAATATGTGATCAATAATTATTATTTTCCACTGCTTATAATATCAGATAAACTAATTAAGTCTATTGGTCGGATCATTAGGAAAATTGATGATAATCTCAGCTATTGTCTTTGCGTAATATAAAATATATAATAGATTTATATACATCTAAGACTAATCTATCATTTTTCCCTTTACTTTAATATTCTAGATGGAATTTCGGCATTGCATTACTTTGGAAGAGAATGAAATATATTTAAATAACGAAGATCAGATTAATATGGTTCTAGAATATAAGTATAAGGATTGCGAACAAGATTGGACCAATATTCTAGTAGGAGATTTTTCTTTCTCTTTTCCTTTTTACCAACATTATTCTATTCGAATAGTAAAGCGAATTGATTTTTTTTATAAAATTATAGGATAATTTCGTTATGTTGAAGCTAGTTCTAAATCGAATAGCATCATTAATATTAGAAAATAAGGATATGTTAAGTAAGTTATACGTTAAATAACAATCCAAGTATCTATATTAATTAATGGCGCGGGCTTATTTTCATTTTTTTAAAAGCCTATTTAAATAATGACAACATCTTGAAGATCTAATTGAAAATATTCTACACGTTCAATACTAGAGGAAATTATTATTGTAATTTGGTAAGGTCTATAATAGTTATACTTATTAAACCATAACTATATATTTTATATATTTTGCAGTTTTCTACTATGGGAAAACTTCTACGTTATTTATACTACATTGAAAAATTATACAAAATTGAATGAAAATTTGAATAATATGATAATATGTAACCTTATTATGAATTTTGAAAAACAACGATAGAAATAAAAGGAGATAATTCTATTTCATTTTTGTCAATTACCCCATCTATAGGTGTTATAAGATTATAATGCACTCTTGCAACAAATATATAAAAAAGGAAAGAAACACAAACTAAGTAATGTAATGATAAATTTGCCAATCTTTTCTATACGTATATGTATCTGTATATAGTTATTTATATCAATGTATATTTTCTTTGCTTCCAAATACACTTAAAATAACACTTTGACTCAAATATGAATTCACACAATAACATAATAGTTCTACTTTCTTTATGAGTAATGAACTCGATACGCTCGTAGTTATTGGTGAAATCTAATTAAATTGAGCAATCGTCCCTGGTGTTTATGCGCTTTTGGCCTAAATCTTTGTATTATATTAAAAAAGATTGGAAGCGAGTTCTTTTCTCCAGCTGATTTAAGAACCCCCCAAAATTATGGTGCCACCTAGAATAATGGGCGGGGTCGTTTTCGTATTTTAATAAAAAATATTCTGAATGTCTTTAATAGTTAAGAATATAAAAATATTTGTCTGACAAAAAGTACGAAAATAAACTCTTCAATATTCATGACGTCATCATGTGACTGGAAGTCACAATCTGACTCACAAATATCTGGTATAATTTGACCCAGCCGTTGGTTAAACCACTTAAAATCTACTAATTCTTCTTACTACGCGTTACGAACAAGGTCTAACTAGTAAAGCTAGCAATTGAGGTATGATAATACATTTTCATTATGAGAGGCTTGGAAAAAAAAATCAACATTTTTTCTCTCATTCAAATTATCAATCTTTTCAGATTGTTGCTTGTTGTGGTTGCAATAAGGAATCGAAACAGAAATAAGAAATAATGAACTACGGAGAGGGTTCGTATCAAGGAGGCGTTGGTGCAGGTCCTGTCTAATCTCTACCTTTTATGTGAATCGCTTTGATAAAACAATATTTTTAAGTCATTGTTTATTTACAGGTCGAGATGAATATCATAGATTGATCAATAAGGTAGAAAACAATATTCGAACAATAAATAAGAATGGTATATATAGATAAATATAAATATGCATTATTTATAGTATTAAATCTCAACAAACTAATTGCAATTTCGTTTTTATCCTATGTTTAGTTGTTGATATAGAAAGATCCGTCGATTTCATTAGCACAGAAAGGGATACTCAAGAACTAAGGAATAAAATGTAAGTAAAATTACGCATTTAACTTTATTTACATTCAGTTAACATTTAACAACTGTGAAAAAATTTCACGGTCTATAAAGATATAGTTACTTATTTAGAACTATTCTAATTGGAATTGTTTTCTCTGTTTATTATTTTTTCCCATTTTTACGTAGTCATAAACTGCAACATGGAACGAATCACCAGGCAAAAGAGACTTCCGAATGGGTTAAACAGCTTAAAATGTTACCAAAATCATCTATCGAGTCAGAGGCTGTAGGTTTATTCTTTTTAATTTTTAATTAAATATTTATAATTTGTAATGCTTTTCTAATAGAAATCAAGAAGAATACAAATGAATCGGATAACCGATGAATTTTCGTCAGCATTGGATAAATTTCAAAGAGTTCAAAGAAAACTCTCAGATAAAGAAAAAGAGAGCTTTCGAAGAGCAAGAGTCAGTTCCGGATTCGATAATAACCCATTTTCAGGAGAGAATGACAAACCACTCGTCGATGTAGGAACTGAGCAAGTGAATATACAAATTGAACAAAATGTTGATTTAGATTTATTGAAAGAAAGAGAAAATGAAATAAAGAAACTAGAGGTATAGTTTTAAATTACATTTTAGAACGTGCACAATCTTTTTGTATTTCAATTTCTTTTTAGAGTGATATAGTTGGAGTGAACGAAATTTTTAAAGAACTTGGAATGATGATACATGAACAGGGCACTGTAATAGGTTAATAATACTTGTTTTTTTTTACCTTATTAAATTCATCTTTTATTTTTAATCTTTTTTCCCTATACCAATTAACAGATAGTATTGAGCATCATGTTGATAATACTGTGAATCGGGTTGATCAGGCTAGAGAGCAACTATCTAAAGCGCAAGATTACCAAACGAGTAGTCGAAAGAAGAAATGCATAATAGCTATAATTGGAGTAGTTTTACTGGCAATTATTATTCTAATCATCGTTCTTACTACAAGAAAATAATATCACTTTGCTCTTTTCTCTTTAAATAAAGGAGAGTGCAATGTTTTAGATTATTTCATCATTCCGATATATTTGCTTTGTAAACTAAACAAAAAAAGAAGATTGAGAGAAAAAAATAACACAAACAATCTAACTTTTAATATATATACAGTATATATATATATATATATATATATTAAAATTATGATTAAAGTATAATAACTACGTATATATGTATAATTTAGAAAAGAAAAAGCACTTATAAGTTTGATTCGCTTCAATTCTTTCTGTACAGATATTTTTTCTTTGTTTTTTTATACAATTTATCTTTTTCAATGCATTTTGCCTTTTTTTTTTATTTCCTTGTCATTTGAATATTTTTTTTATTTGCGAAGAGAAAGAAAGAAGGAGAGAGAGAAGAACAAGGGAAAAATATACAAATTTGATTGAAAGCAATATGTTCTATTCGTTTATTAATATATTTATATACAGTGTATATCAATTATTTGAATTTCTATTCTCAACCGAGAACAAGTTATTTATATCTTCGTCATTTCATAACTTTTTTAAAAATTGAATATATATTTATAAAATATCTTATTTTTTTTTTTAAAAAAAATGCAGACTCGTAAAGTAAGAAAAGAGGTAAAACTGATTATTTCGATTAGGAGATTCTTGTTAATAATACAAACAATATTGTTAGGAGGAATTGTCAAAATCTAGCTCAGGCAATCTTATTAAGCGTCTCTTCCAAGTATTAACCTGGCATAAATCTAGCACAGGAATTTCCCAAGACAAATGTAGTATTGGTAAAAAAGATAAAACTGTTTTAGAAATTCTAGGTTTCCATCGAAATGATGTTGAAATCGGACGTGGTAGCACAGCAATTGTTCTATCTGGATATTCTATAAAAACTGGTAAAGAAGTAGCTATAAAAATATATGATAAAGCTAGGTTAATTAAGAAAGGAAGAACTGTCCATTTTGATAAATTTATCAAGAGAGAGCTACGAATAACCTCTAAAGTATCTCATACGAACATCGTTAAATGTGTGGCCGGGGCTGAGACCGCTAATCGGGTATATATTATCATGGAGAGATTATCTGGCAGAACCGTTAGAGATGAAGTTACTCGCCACTTTCGTCTACCAGAGCCGGTTGTCGGAGTATGGATTGCACAATTAGCTAAAGCCATAGATTATTTACACAATAAGGTTTTTATAATAACTATAAAAGCCAATTAAGAATTAATTGCCAAATATTTGTACAACTCTTTAGGGAATAGCTCATAGAGATATTAAATGCTCAAATTTGCTTCTCGATAAGCACGATAGTTTGAAATTATCGGATTTTGGAGTAGCAACGGATAATCTAAATGATCCAAGAGCCTTGGGAATTATTTGGTCAACAACTTTTGTTGGTAACCTTCAATACGCCGCTCCCGAAGTTTTGCTGCAACGCGAATACGTCGCTACTAAAGCCGACTTATGGAGTATTGGAATAGTTCTTTACGTCTGCTTACGAGGTCACTTTCCTTTTCCAGGAACAACCCCCAAGCAAGTTTACTATAATATCAAAAGAGGACTACCAAAATTAGAAAGGATTGTACTCACCGATTCGTGCGAAAGACTGATACAAAGCCTCCTAAGAACAAATATATCAGAACGGTTCGACAGTTCGAGGTTAGTAGAAGACGAATTTTGTAAAAGATTCGAAGGACTTGAAATTGATGACGTTAGAGGTTTAGATTCGAATGTAGATAACTCATTTTGTGATGAGGTTATCAGGCAGATTGAAAAATTCGATATTCATCCTAAAACTGGTCAAAAATTCCTCCATAGTTCTGTCGATAAACCCGATGAGAAGGGCATTAGGAGAGTCAAGGCAACTGTTGAAAATCTTGTCAAAGAAAAGTCAGAATTTAGCAAAACAGATTCTCATACTGAATCGAGAGCATCGTTTATATTCTGTAGCATTTCTGAAATGACTCTCCCATCTCAAACATTCGAAAGTACCGATAAATCAGCTAAAGAATTTGATAAAGACCAAGGAGAGTTGATAGAAGCTCGAGAAGACTGTGGAAGATTGACACCGAATACCATGGAGGATTCTCAAAGATTAAATACAGACGAGTGTAGGGAACTATACGAAAATAATACGTCTAGCGAAGTTATTCAAGCTTCTGAGAATTCTCAATTAAACACTGAGGTTACAGTTCAAAATGATAAAGGAAAAGAGGTGAAAATCGAAAGTTCCAGTCCTAAATCACCCGAATTAAAGGATTACGGAATGAGATTAAGAGGGGAAGTAGATAGATTACCAAATGATACATTCAAAACTGAGGAGAATAATCAACAAGAAATACATCAAATTCCACCTGAAAACGCTAGCTGCAAAAGTGATACGAAGGACAGACGCGATAGTGATATTACTAATGAGGGTCATTCATTGAATTTCGAAGATTTACGGCATAACTCTGGAACCTCGTTAGAAAGGGATAGAGAGAAGGCCGTTGCAAGCCAATTGCATATTGATTCGATAAGTTATTCAAACTCTAAAAAAGATACACAAACAGCAGATTGTTCCGACCACAAAGAGGAAAGTATCCAAATAATAAAAAGTACAGTACTTTCGGAATTTGAAGAAAAATCTGATAGAACAGATTTAAAGGATGAACTATCGGATACATCAAGTAGAATTACTAAACAGCAAATAAATTTAAATAATGAATATATATTCAAAGGAGATAGAAAAGAAGATTAATAGATGATTCGTGTTTGTTTCTTTTTTAAAAAACAAAAGTCGTTAGTATAAAGATAAATGTTAGGCACTAATCTAATAAATTTCATTCTTATCTGTATCACCTTTTTCTCTCTCAGTATCTTTAATATTTTACTCCTTTTTCGATTTGTCTCATAATATTCAAGCAAGTTTCCTCTCTAAATGGTGGAGTTATGACTTGAATACCAACTGGTAGACCGACACCTCCTCGGGATCCCTCCTACAAAAATAGATACAGCAATATTAGAGCAAACTCTATAACATTCGATTTAGAAATTTGTCCTTACACAAGTTAATTTAGCGAGTGGATTGCTTTTGTTAGATTCCAGATATTGATCAAGATCTTTTTCATCCTTTTCGTTAACAGTTGTTACTGGAACAACACCTGCCACGTAGTTTGTAATATTCCAAGCAGAGGCATAAGTTGTAGCGGCTAAAAATCAAAGCAGGAGTAAAAAACTTTATACTCTTTTTATTCAATCTAGAAAAGATAAGCTAGATTGTTTTTTAAGAATACGTACGTCCAACAGCATTCATATACTTTTTTGGGGGAGGTGCGTAAACACCGCAAGGTGGACATATAATAGCGTCTAAGTTTTCACTTTCCCATAAAGAACGAATCTTCTCTTTATATTCCTTTATATGGAAGAGAATATGATCGATATTAATGAGAAGGCAAAAAAAAAAGCTTTATACTTGTTTAATTCGACCATGTTCAAATAATTTAGTAACTGAGGCGTCTCTATTTATCATCTTAGCCAAAATCCTTCCAGTACTCTGATCCTTAAAGGGTTGTATTTATTATTAAAAGATTAAAATTGGTAAGAAAAGAAACATACTGAGAGAGAAACCATGTGAGCAATTAGACGCTGGATAAATTTAGGCATCCTCAGGAATCCTATAAATTGTTGGAACGAAGCATCTAGTTCCTCATTATCAAGTGCCGCCATCATTTCTTTACATCCGTCTATCAATGTATGATCAGTAATCAGCTCAACTCCAACTTGAAATTGAATTTGCTCATGCCAACTACTACAATTTACCATTTCATAGCCCTTGTTTGATAATATGTTCTTCGTGTGCTCTACTGCTCGTTTTACAGCGGGAACAGCTGGAAAAACCCCATTAAAGTCGAAATAACCAATGCGGAAATTTTTCTTTGATTCGTATAGGTCGTTGTTGAAAGGCAGCGGTGGAATTGTTTCGTCTAGTTCATACATTATATTCGAAGCTAAAGCCTTCATAAGGGAAACAACTGATTGAACATCTTTTCCTTGTGGTCCATATGCCGGTGGATTTATTTCTCTACCGGGAAAGAGTGGTTTACAACCTTTCGAACTTACTCTACCAACGGAAGGTTTAAGAGCGACAATGCCATTAAAATGTGCAGGTAGTCTCAGGGAACCACCCATATCAGAGCCGATTCCTATAGGACTTCCCCCGCTTCCGATTAATGCTCCATTACCACTGCTAGAACCGCCGGGACTTCGATCATTTTGGACAGCATTGAGAGTTTCACCATAAATTGGATTGGAGCTTTCGTACGTCAATGTCATTTGGCAAAGATTTGTTCTAACAAATGGAATAGCTCCATGATGCTTAAGCACTTTAACTATAACGGAATCTTCGATTAGGGGTTGTTCTAACCACTTAGCACAACCAAAACATGTGGTATAACCCTTAAGGCCAATATCTTCCTTCAAACATACTGGAATGCCGTATAGTAGTTGTCCTTCATATTAGAAGAATTTGTATGAGTTATATATGTTTATTAAAAATTTAGAGAACGTCTTTAGTGTTACCTTGTTGTATTGGACTATTACAGAGTTCTTTGCTTTCGTTAATAATTTCTACAAGACAGTTTGTTTGATCGTGAGAAGCTAACGCGGCTTTCTAAATTGAATAATTATCGATTATCGAATAATAATGATTATAGATATAATTTAATAAAAATTAGTATAATGTTTTTAGAGTTGCTAACCTGGTAGGTTGAAACAACCTGCAGTGATGTTAATTCTCCTTTGATTAACTTTTCTAGAAGTTCAGGAACAGTTAGATTAAGTATTTCTTCTGATTTTTCGAAAGAAAATTGCTTTAATTCGGCTTTTAGGTTATTTAACTGTTCGGCTCTTTTACTCTGAGCTTTTAGTTTCTTTTGCTCGTTTTTTGCTTTCTTTTGACGTTTTATTATCGAATGTGCTAACCATCGAAGTATTAGTACGCTTGTAAGCCCGGAGCATATTAGTAGGGTTTTTCTTGCCATTGTCATTGTCGGTAACCTCTGGATATGCAACTAGAAATTTTAAATATTATTTCTCAATATATCTATATATATATAAATTGTTAATAAAAACTGGTATAAATAATATTTCTTCTACCTTATTTGGAATTAATTTGACGTAGTCATATTGCGGATGAACTTCATTTAGCACTATAGATGGCGTTACAAAGCTCGACAGATGTTAGGGCTGATTTTGTAACGAAAGAATAATTTTTTTCCTAGGTAGCAGCTATGTCAAGTGAATTAAAATGTTTAGCTTCTCTTAGGGACGTTGATCTTATAAAAAAGTATCTCTTTATTGAAGATCAACACTCTCTAAAGAAAGAAGATGGTAAAGTATTTCACTTTCGTTTCTGTCTTTAAATTCGATATGCAATTTTATGACCTATTAGACGCAAACGTTGGGGATTGGAATGACGCAGACTGGGGTTGGGACAACGAAGATGTTAAGATGACGACTGAGAAAGAGACAGAAAACTTAATTAAGGACAAAGATGATAATTGGCTCGATCAATGCTTGTTTACAACAGCACCTAACGCGCAGATGATAGCTTTTGCGAAGAAAAAGCAATTAGTACTTCTATCACGTAATCAATATTTATGAATAATAGATAAATTTCCCTAACAAAATATCACTTGATTCAATTTCAGAAAAATACAACGCAGAAGATAGAAAGGGAACCGAAGCAAAATATTCATTAGTGTTTGAAGGATGCGTAACAGAAGAAGAAGGGTTTGTTTTGTAATATAATACAGAAAGAAACTGCTATTGAATTACTCAATGATAATTGTAATAGCGAGGAAATAACATGTCTATTCTGTCTGCCCTTTGCATCGTTAAAGAGAAGCACATACGTAGGACCTGATTGGACTTGCGTAATTGTTGGTTTTAGTACAGGATACGTTCGATTCTATACAGAAGTATGTCAAAATTTATTAATATTAATAGAATATCATTATGAATGAAATTATTATCTTTCCTGTCTAATTTAGACTGGAATTATTCTTTTATCCCAAATATTTTGCGATGTTGCTGTAAGGCGTATAAAATGTAGGACTTTCGAGCCACGTTTTCATGAATTTGATACAGAAAAGGTTTGCTTATACTAAAATCTTTATAGATCTTTATACATCTTTTCTCGTTTCCTGTCCAGCACGAAGAACTTACTATTTTATATAGGAAAAACCTCATTTCAATAGACGGATTCAGTCTTTATCAATCGTTAAGAGCCTGCAGAAGTAGTGCTGCACGATCTGAAAATGTCTCACCTCCACCATTATCATATAAGAAGTGGAACTTTACGGATCAAGCCGTTATCACAGATTATGTTGCCTGCGGATTATATTCCCCTTCAGCCTATTCACAAATGTCGCTCGCTTCACTGATAGGAGGTTTTAACGTATCTATCCAACCAACACCTCCTTCTTCATACAAATACATATGTACGGGTTCTATGCCTTACGCGGCCTTTTACTATGCAATTGAGGGCAGTACTCCACCGCTATTATCTGACGTCGTTCACGCTGTTGGTAGTAAATTAAAAAGTGCCTTTTATAGTCAAATATCGGCAGCTAGTGGCTGGTTGGGTTTTTCGTCGAAGCAGGACTCATCTAAAGAAAGAAAGAAACCTAAAATCGAGCCAGCCGTTTCTCTAGCCGCCAGATTTGGTTTACCAGACAAACGTCGAATTGGCGAAAGTATCGTTTTGTCACCTGACGGTCGATTAGCCGCTACAACGGATTGCTTCGGTAGAGTGATGATTATTGATGCAAATCAGGGCTATGCATTAAGGATTTGGAAGGGCTACAGAGATGCTCAAATTGCATGGATATGTGTTAAGCAGGACGTTTCGTCTAATGAAGATAAATCATTAAAGCGTACTCTCTTCTTGACAATATTAGCGCCCAGGAGAGGAATCCTTGAAGTAATGGCTTCTTTTCAAAAAGAATATCTTATTACATTCTGGCGCTCCAAAAAAGCGTCTAATTCTAAAAATAAATAAACAATTTTTCTCCTTTCCCTTATAGATATGGTCAGCTGTTCATGGACCTCGCGTTGCGGCGTTCAACGTATCAAAAACCTGCAAATTAGTGTCAATTGACTATGATATGTTGGGAATGAATAATACAACTTATGTAGATATGAATTGGCCTAAAGCTTTCTTAATAGACGTTGACGGCACGGTGAAAACTCTAATCGTTCCATTCCATTTATCATTAAGTGGAGGAAACAGCAGAAGGGTTAAAGATTTACACTTGTTAAAGAAATTGAAATTTACACTCAAGGATAACGTCTCATCAACGGGTAACTAAGATTTAAATTATCGTATTAATATTCATAATTTAAATAATATTTGTTCCTTTTTCATCAATGGCAGACGAACTTATTAATAGCGTAAGCGAGATGCTAAAAGACATTAAAACTGCAAATATTAAACAGCAAGCATTGGAGAGAATTATGTTAACTGGCTATTTATCATCCGAATTTATTAAACTTTGTTTGAAAAATTGCAAAGATGAATTAGAAGCTATGGAAGAGAATTTGGAAGGAAATGATAAATCGGAAGATGACGACAGGCATTTATTAGATTATGAGAATCAATTATTGCAACAATTCTGCATATTAAGTACACAATTGGTTGAAACTTATGAAGATATGTCAAACACATCTTCAATTAGATCGGAAATGATAGTGGAAACAAAAGAAGATTACGAAGTATTATCATTTAATATACAGTATATTATAAAAAAAAACATGTGTTATTTTAATAGGAAATTGCAAAGTTGTTATATTTAACAAAAGAAGAATTTAAAAGACTTCAAGATGATCTTAAATTAATTGATCAATCCCACGGAGCTAATAGAGTGCAATTTTCAGAGAAGAGTTTATTTAAGTCAACAGTTGACTTTCTTAAGTGCTTTCATGTCTGTTGATAGTCTTTTTTAAGAGATATTTCTAATATAGAATATATATATTTATAGTGTGTTCTAAAAAGCGAAGGAGAAGATAGAACTAAATCCGAATTGGCAATAGCTTTACACGAAAGCATAACGGATGACAGGAAATATAATCTAAGTCGTTTTCTATTTGGTCAATTTCTAAAAGGACCTGTGCCGTCCAATTATAATGTTCTACTTATGCAGAGTGGTATACCATCCGATATTCTACTTGTAAGTAAATGAAATTGAACATATACAGTATATAATATATCAATATAATATATGTTTTTACAGAATCTATTATTAGAAACTTGGTTACACGACAATAATTTAAACTTAATGAATTCTAAAAATTTATTTATACTTTTAAAATGTGTTACAAACTTAACAGGTTTGTCAATATATTCAATTAATAATAATAGTCAATATTGATTAATATATTTCTCCCTTATTTTCTATTGTAGATAAAAATTATTTAAAAACTAAAGAAAATGGTGAAATAGACTTTTGGAAAAAAGTACGAAGTCTTCTTAGCTCTTCTTCAAATTGTCCTTCGGCTCTCGTTGCTACAATTGTATCTAGAGCAGTTGCTTTTGAATATCTAGCACGTGAAGCGGTAATAATTATTTTCGTATATTTTAAAATAGTTATTATTTTGTAAAAACAATTTATTAAAAATAAAAGAAAGGAGATAATACTACAGAAGACGACTATAGGCTGGAAGGAGATTGGGAAGCCGTTACTGTTGAACAGGCAAGATGGGGTACAATAACGAAACAATTAGAAGATTTACTGGCTGTTCAACAGCTATTCGCATCGAAACTCCAGAGTGAAGTATCCATATCCGTTGATAAAGTTTTAGAAGGTGGTAAAGGTAACTATAGAAACGAATAGAGAATAATAAAAAATTGTAAAATTTGTTATTTATTCTTATTAGGAAGTCTTGCCGAAATTGTATCAAAGTGGATTTGTTATAATGATATATCTGTTTCAACACTCTCTAAACCTATAAAACAAGAGGAAAACGAAGATAACGAAAATAAGGAAGAAAGTGTAGAAGCTAATGATTTTGAGGAAAAATTCAATCAAATTCTAAGAGGTTTAAGCTTATTAAAATAATTTTTATTTATAATATTTATTAGTTTTTTTTAAAAAAAAAAAAAAGATCGTCTAGATGAAGCGAAAAGACGATTGGGTACAAGCTTAGACGACGATATATTGTTCGCAAATTGCGCTTGGGAATACGCAACACAATGGTCGAAGGATACCGAAGTTGTTGATCGTATACAAAAATCGATTGAATTTTTAGAGAAAGTAGAGAATATCGACTTACAACACGGCGTAGCCGTTCTTATGTGGGATATGTTCTTTGTTAAGAAATTATCAGCTGCATGCTATCTTGTTGAGAAAGTTGGTAAAGCACCAAAAGAAAGATTATGTAGAAAAGATATTGGTATGAGTAACGGAGCTGTATGCGAATACTTGAAATCAGTTCTTTCATTATTAAAATTGCTCAGTAATGTATGTACTTTATATTTATACTAATATACATACAATATATATAATATGTATTATATTTTAATAGACAAAGAGAGTTGGAGAAACGGGAGCATCTGTTTCGATATTACGATCGTTGTCCTGCGATGAAAATGTCTGGAATTCGCAAAGGGAAAATAAATCTTCATTAGTCGAATTATCATTAAAGCTAAGAGATGTCACATCGGCTATATTGAAACACCATTGCCAATTGGTTCTTCTACTCTCAGCTGTTTTTGAACTTTCTTTAAAATCTGTGCAACCCTTGAGTTTATTTGATAATAAGGGAAGAGCAGCATTCTTTAAACCTCTTAACTCAACTGCATCACTGCCTACCGATATTGAAGAGACTATTCAAGCTAGCAGAAGACAATTTATATCAAAGATTGTTACTCATAGCGTACTAAAGCTGGGTCTAAGAGATGATACACCAACCGAAGAGGATGAAGATACTTATAAAAAATGGACTTTGATTGCTCTTGACCTAACTGAAGAATTGTTAGGTTCGAGTGACTCAATCGTCAGGCATCATATTGTACAAATGTTATCTTCCGGTTTCGATGAAAAAGCTATAGAGATGCTAGAAACTTTGGAAGATTATTCGGTTATCGGGTCCCAAATTATATTAATAGCTGGTCAAAGACTTGCCCACTATATCTATAATTGCGATAGTTCCCTTAGCGTACAAAGAATAGCCAATTGTTCACCCTACGTATCCACATGGTTAAAAACATTGGATATAAACCAAATAAGATTCCCTTCTATTGAAGTTATTCATACATTTCAACTTTTAAAAGAATTGATTAAAAATCTACCAGAGAATCATGCTGAATTCAAAATGGCTCTCGCATTACAAGAATTAGCAGAAACTTTCATTTAAATATATTTTAAAAGAGGAAAAATTATTAAAAAAAACAGAAAAACTAAGTGTTCTTCTTTCTATTTATTTTTTTCTTCATCATCCTCTTTTTCTTCTTCTTCTTCTTCTTCTATTTCTTCTTTAATCTTTTACTATTAAAGAAAGGAATAATGAATTTCTTTTTATTCAATTCAAAAAAAATACTTACGCAAATTCAATAAAAGCTTGTTTTTGAATATTTACGAATATATGAATAAATTAATTAACTTGACTAAATAGTCTGGTTTGCGTCATCATTTTTTAAATTTCTCTTTAGTAAAAAGTATTTTTAGGTTTGTAAATTTTTAATACTAGAGAAGTGTCAGTTGGAAAAGAAAGAGATGAATAATAAAAGTCAAAAGACGATGACAAAGGAAACAAACCAGAATAAGAGGAGAAGACGTCAAGTTAGTATGGGAAATTAATAAACTATTTTTTATCTATCTATCTATGTATCTATCTATCTATCCATCTTCTTCTTCATCTAAAAATCTTTAGGAGAGTTATGAGCCAAAGGCTAGGAAACAACCAAGAAGATTGACAAATGAAAGACGAGAGCTCGAACGTTCAAGGGCTAGACGAACTCCTAGAAGTGTTCGTAGTGAAGCTGGGCATTCTAGCAGTAAGCTTACTTATTACAACTTTTACAATTCTCTAATATAAGGAGAAATCTATATATATTAATATAAAAAATTAGGTGATGGAGATATAGAAATAATTGAACAACCGCAAAACTCTCAAACTAGTGAAATACCTCAAGCCAACACTCAAACAAATACGCCTATAATAATAGATGATGAGATCTTGGAAGAAAATCCTTCAAATAACTTATATAATTATCATCGGGAGAATGCAACAACTTCAAACTCTAACTATATGCAAAATTACGCTTTGTTATCGCAAAATCAAATGAACGGTCTACAATCTGTTGCTGAAAATTATACAAGAAGATTATTAGCTATTGATGATGATAGTGATGATGATGATACTGATGAAGATAATATTGTTAGCGATAATAGAGTAACGGAATTAGTACCATTGGTAAGAACATATGTAAATTATTTATTGAAAAATTTGCATAATTTCATTATTTTCAGCCGCCTTCAGATTTTTTTTCATAATATAAAAGCTGATTTAGGTGAATAAATACAAATTACAAATAAAAATAATCTCCATTTCCCTTCCGTTTACGTCTTATCTAAAGCTTTTTGTTCGCTTAGTAACTGATTTTTTCTATATAATTGTTGAAGTTGTTGGTTTCTGTCGTTATGACAACCCAAAAATGAATTTGGAGTTTGCGATAAATTTCCCGTTGCGTCATAGGTAACATCATCCGCGTAAACAACACCATCGTCATGAATTAAATCGAATCCTCCTACTCTTTTCTCTTTACCAGTTAACCTTTTAAATAATAATAATAAGAAGGTGAAATAATAATCAATTTGCATTTGCGAACCTTCCTTCAAGATCAATGATATTCAAGACATCTTGTAATAAGCCTACTTTTAGATCGTAGTCTTCTTTACTACTAGCCGTTAACGATGGAGACGCGTTAACTTCCAGTAACCACCTAAATAATCACAATAGATTTCCTTTAAAAGTAGTTTAAACATATTAATTAAAGTAACACGTACGGTTTTAAAACATCATCTAAAAGGATGTCGTAACCATACAATTCAAAGCAATGTTTATCATTAATCATCACTTTTTGAACAGCCATAAGACTTCTTATGAACACTTGATCCATTCTTGCAAAAGTTTCTTTTGTTTTCTCAGCTCCATGCTTAGCTAACAGATACTGTCTTAGACGTTGCATAGACCATTTACAACCTTTTTCAGGATCATAATCGGGAGCAGTTTTTTGTATAGCAACATTTGTAAGATGAACATCTTAAATGGAGGTATTATTTCCATAATTTAGTCAATGAATATATATTAATAACGATATACAAACAATTATTTTCAATTGCATCCAATGAATATCTTGTATTCGAGAATCTGGCAAAACCACTTCTATATAACCATGCCTTCAATGGAACATACTGAAAAAAGGAAGAATTCATTAATTAACGTACATCTAATAATAGAGGAAGAAATGTTAAAAGATAAAAGAATTAATGATTAATTAGGCTTACTTACCGACATTACTAAAACGTAAACTCGAATATCGAATTTCCTTCCACTAATTAAATATGGATTATTTATGTATCGTTGGACAACATAAGTTTCCGGACCTTCTCTTGCAGAATCACCAGTTTGAGGTTGATATTCACCCTTCTTCCAATCTGTAATATCTTTCAATTTACGAAAAAGAAATATCCCTTTTCCTTGAGATTTAGCGACTGGTTTCATTATCCATATTTGGCCTGGACTCTTTTTAAATTCTTCAACGAATATATGATATTCCGATGGTAATTCAAATGTCATTGGATAAAAATCACATCTGCAAAAAACACACAAACAATTAGAGAATAAGAAAATGATAAAAATGCTTGATTGTTGTACTGTATTGCTTCTTGTTTTCCAAATTCTTTATCTAATGTTTTTCTATATCTTTTAAGATTTTTCACCATAAGATTCTTTCTAGTAAGTTCGTAATGATTTCTAAAATGACAAACTCTCATCTGTTCCCCTAGATAGTAATGATCAAAAAATTCTTTTATCCACATAACGTCGCACCAATAGAAGTCCCAATCGCCTTCTCTATATGTATTAAAAAATGGAAAAAAGTATATTATACGTCCCTCTTATCAAAATGTCAATTATCCATCTATTGAATTGTTATATAAATAGTATGCTATTTTTTTTACCCTCCTTCCTGCCATCCACTTCGACTTTTTAGAACATCTAGAATTGTATTTTGTAAACAACATCTGAATTTAATACTTCTGTCGCTAATAAATGAATGGAATTTTACTATTTAATTTGTTAATTATCAATAAAAACTAGAATAACTTACGCTATAAAAACTCTTCGTTGTGGTTGTTTTGCAGGAGGCATTATTTTATCGTTCAGTAATTTATAAAATATTTCTTTTCTTAATAATATTTTTTAAATGACATAAACAAAATTAAAGAAGGTTTAAAAGGAAAATATCGTTTAAACTAAAAAATTATATGATTATCTTCGTTCAAAACGTTATTTTCTATTTGTTATTATACAAGTTTTCATCGTTAGGCACTAAATAACATGGTATTGAAGCTAACAATGAATATTCATGATTGATTCTCGCGAATAACTTAAATAACCAATCAGTGTTGTTCTTTCCCAATTATCGCTAATACTTTAAGGAAAACAAAAGCAGTGTCCTATAGGTATTAGTAATTATTCCTTCTTATTTATTAACCTAAACGAAAAGAAAAGGGAAAAACAAACGAAAAGATAAATCTGTTATAATTAACTTGTCGATGTTTATTTCCTAAAAAAAAAATTCTGAAGTTTTTAAGAAGTAACAACTTTTTCTGGTAAACATTGTCCGCTAAACTTTTAGATTTAACAAACTAAACAACTAAGGGAACAGCAGTAACGCAAATTTCAGGATTTTCGATATCTCTTTTACTCTGAATCAACTGCAGTTCTATTTGAGCTGGAATAGGCTTATTTCCTGGTCCTGATAAGTCTGATAAAGAATAAACAGAGACTATATATAATTTAAGAAAAATTATCATTTTTATACAACCTCTTGCATGTTTCAGTGTTCTTTTAAGCACAGCTTGCATAGTTGATATGGCTTTCTCTAAAGCTAACTGCAACAAGAAAACAAATATATGTGAAATAGCGTAAGATATGAAGATCGCTTATAACTTTTAATGGATCCTTAACAAGCCAAGCTAACATAAGGGCAGCAAATAAATCGCCTGTACCAATAAAATGTTCGTCAAGAATGGGAATCTTGACCTTGTATCTTTCTTTCTTTCCATCTGTTAAAGGAGATCGAATATAGTATTTATAGTAGGTCTAGCTCTTTATTCTATTTATATCGTCTATAATTGATTATATATCACATGTCGCGGATTTTCTATCTGTCCCAAAAGCTCTTGAAGAAGCATTAAGAAACTCAATTTGCTACTATAAAGAGTGTTTTATAATAGAAGAAATATAAATATAAAATTTTTTACAAGTATGACACTTTGATTTAGATTCCCTTTTAAGCCAACTTTCTCCCACTACACTATAATATTACTTTTTAAAGCTTACCGATAACTCTGCTTACATAACTGTACATCACATCAGAATTCTCAGGAACAGCACTACTAATTATAGCAATCTTCACACCAAGTCCTAAAATTTCATCTAAAGCTTTTATTGCATCTGCGTCGTTTCGTACTTTTATTCCGGTTAACAGTCTTTAATAGAAAAAAGCGTATAAAAATTTTAAAACATTCATAGGAATTTAAATTTTTTTAATACAAACTCGACTTCAAAGTCATTCGGAGTGAGGACATCCGCTTCCGGAATTATTTCTTCTCGATAAATGGGAACTAATTCTTTTGGAACGTACTGTTAGAGAACAAAAAAAACATCGATTATGCCTAAGAAACTATATAATATACATTGTACTGACCAACTTTCCTTGATCACCAAGTACCGGATCACAAACTGTCCAAGTTAAATTAAATTGAAAAGATGTATAAAATTAGAAATGTATCTCTGTACCGTAAATTAGCCCTGGATTAGTCTTTTTTAAGTCTTTTATTAATTCAGATATCTTTTTTAAAAAAGATACCGAACCCACGTATCCTAATAAATGGAGAAAAACAATTTAATATGTCTTATCAATATTATATATAACCGTTTACAAACCAGTTAACAGATGTGAATAATTGTTAATATTATTAGATGCTAATCCAAGATAGAGATCGTTCAACTCATCAGAATTTAAAACTTGACCTTTTATATTTTTGTAGCCTGTAAAGACAAAAGAACATTTGATATATTCAAAACAATTAGAAATTTATTATGCAAAATATTAGAAATTTCGTTAAAATCAATACATCAAAATGAAAAGAGATAAGTAATAATATTTTATAAAATATTAATTGCATATTACCCGTATGATTGGAAAACTGGACTGAATTGATAGTGTCCACTTCAAATCCAAGAACCTTCAAAACGAAAGAAAACATAAGTAAAATAATGGTAAAATGTGATAGATAGACAATTGATCCTAAAAGTAGATTGGACTTATCAATTATCTACAGGTTTCACCTATTGTAAGATAAATATAGGTTTTTTATAGACATATTAACTTATTTTTCCGATAACATATCCTATAAATAAAATCTTTAAGTTTGAAGTAATTAGAAAAGAGAGATTTTACTTCAAGTTTCATTTTCTTCCCTTTATCATTCAACAAACAGAATTTTTTTAACAGTTGAAAAATCTCGAACAAACCTGAAGTGGAAAGCAGGCACTTTTATTGCCAACGTATCCAGACACGACATGACTTTGTATCGATAACACCCTATGGAAATCCATATTACAACTTTAGTATTTGATTGTCAGCTGTCGAATAACGAAATGCTTATGCAGCTGCTTTATCTCGACACTGTTTATTAATTTCACTTGAAGCCAGTGCTACATCCGTTTCGCTGCAGATTTTTAGGGAGTATTTTCTACTATAATAATGGCTTAATCGAAAAGTAATCCAGTTAGACTGTCCATAAAAAACGAGGCTTTTTGATAATAAGTTAATATTAGATATCTACTTATATATATATATATATTTATAATTATTTCTTTCTTAATATTTGTCTTTAACTTTTACATTTTTTATTAAATTTATAAACTTTTGTATATTTATTTAGTTTTTGAATATTTTTATAAAAATGCAATAAAAGTACACAGTATTTATAAGTTCTTTCCCGCTTTTTATTTATATACATTAAATTATTGTATAAAAACTTGAATAAATTCAATTTTTTTTTAAATTTGTTTATACAGAATTTATAACAGCCTTTTTTTTTACAAAAAAAAATAAATAAACGTTTTTACATATTTTACAACTTTATAAACAAAAGTGAGGAGCTATCACTTTCCGCCATATTTTTAAACATTCGAAATTCTTAAAGAACTAGAATTAGACCAAGGTTTCCTAATTTCTAATAGAAAAGAAGTTCAGTTTTAAAAGACGTCGAACTTTTTAGCAAATTTAATAAAGTTAAGAATTGTTTTTGAGCTAACCTAAGAAATTTCATATTTTTACATCTAAAGATGTCAGATATTTTGAAAACATTAGTACGAGTCATAAAAACAAATGTAAATGCCTTTCAAGGGGCTATAAGTCAAGTAATCGATTATATCATGCCCGTCTCCAAAAATATAAATACAGGTAACCTTTATTCAACTATTATATATTTGCTTGATTAATTTAATTTTTCTGAAAACACGAATAATCCTTTTTTTTTTAAGGAAAATATATAAATTATATTGAGAGAACATCAAAGATGTCGCTACAAGTGCCTTCTTCTATTATTGAAACATTTGGAATAAAAAAAGAGGAAATATCTATTCGAGAGATTACTGTAGCTAGCGCATCAGTTTTTTTAATATATTGCTTTTACAATGGTTTGTATTTGATTGAAGTTAAGCGCTACGAATGCTATTTATGATAAATTATACTGATTGTTTTAAGAGAAGTTTCATATGAAAGTGTATCCTTCTATTTAGGCGGAGATTAAAGACATTGAAGCTCCATGCTTTCTATTAATATTTTCTCTAGTATAAAAGTAATCGTTGATGTAATGTAGAATTTCTATTTTATGAAAAAACAGTGTCGTTTTTGATGATTCGTAATCTGGGAAGAAAATTTAGATGCCGTAAGTTAGAGAATGCGCGCGGAATACTTATTGATATGATTAAGGTTTTTTTTACTTTTTTAATTATATATTAGGAAATTAGACTTAATCAGAGGAATTTTTATAGAAAGCAGATAGCTCTTGCTCTAAAGCAATTGAAAACATGATTGAATCAAAGGAAATTGATGTGAACGAAAAGTGCACTGAAAGAGAAGGTTTATCAATATTCCTGGCGGCATGTCTCAGCGGAAACAAGGAGTTGATTCGATATACTTTACACAAAAGTAATTTGGTTGAATCTAATATCACTACAGAGTGTTAATAGCTTACTAAAACAGTTAAGTTAGTGAACTTTTAATTATTTTTTGTTAGAAGGAGACATCTGGTCGACGACGAACAGTGGAGATCCTCCGTTTTATCTAGCTACTCATGGAATTCTTACGTCCTCCGTGCTTGATTTATCTGTTCTAAATGAACTATTGGAGGCTGGCTGCCATATAAATTCATGCAATGCTTTTGGCTATACGGCTCTACATCGAGCTGCTGCTGTTGGAAACATGCAGGTTATAGATTGGTTATTGGAACACAATGCTAATCCATCTATAATGAACGCAAGAGGTATCTTGCCTTGTGATTCTGCTTTCATCAATTCTCATTTTGAAGCTTCTGAGAAGCTTCGCCTATCTGCAAAAAACTATGACCGCTGGATCACTGCAAAAAATATAAAATCTAGTAAAAAGAATACTTTGGAAAGATTTCCAATAGATATCAAGATGGATGAAAATATCCTAATGGAAAGAAACGCATCGGGAGATAATAATGAGTCCATGGCTTATTGAAAAATGTAATCTGATTTGAATATCATTCATATGTTATTTGTATGCTATACATACGAATAGTTTTTATAACTTTCTAGAGAAGTGTGACTATGCATGACAAGTAAATTTATTTCTTTGGAAGCGTTTCCTACTGTAATGAAATATGATTTTTCTTTATATCGCCTTTTTATGTCTGGTACTTTTAATGTCCAATATACTTGATTATTCGTGTTGATACTAATAAGTCATTAAAAAAATAGTACCATCTATTTTTAATAATGCAAATATGCCATCTTTAGACGCGTCAATCGTCAAAAATATTGGGATATAGAGAAGTATCTTTTTATGAATATCGTTCCTATGTTGTTTACTACTGTTGACTGTTTTTTTTAAAGGAAAAGTTCTATACAACTTATTGTAGTTTCTATGTAAAGATATTATGCAATTGTATTTTTTTTATTACAAGACGTAAAAGTTGCTAATTCAATTACAATTGGAACTCTCGCTGTAATATTATTATAAGTCTCTTGTGTCGTTTCAAAAGTTATGACTTTTTTCTTAAATTAAAATCATCCAAGATTCTAAAAGCAGTGAAAATGAGAATTGCCCTAGGGTTGACTCTTTCTCAACGAAAATCTCCTCGTATAAAGGCCAAAATGTCTGTAAAGTAGGTCGTATTATCGAAAATTTGGTCGCTTTTTTTGGGCGAATCATTCGTTAACCTTTTTATTCCGAATGTAATAGGTAAGATTCTGAGAGAGATTCTAAAGTAAACAGAAGTAAACAATACCCTACTTTGGCGTTGGAAACGATTCACTTAACCCCACTTAATTCAATACAATCTTTTTCTGAGTATACTAAATTTTGTCCAATATGGATGAAATATAGTGTATAAATATTTCTACAATGATATATAATGAACCATGTGACCAACCTACACCTAAAACGACAAATAATGTATATTTTTATTAAATTTTACGTTAATTTTTATAGAGATCAAACAAAAATCGTTGATCTATTGTAACATCAAATTTGTTTACTTTTACAGCCTACAATATGAATATTTATATCTTTATTATTTAAAGGTAATATATATGTACATACTGTATACATACTGTATATTAGCTTTTCATCATTCTTAGTGAATTCCTCAATAAGAAAATAATCAGAGTGCAAATTCTATTTATATAACAAATGATTAAATATGACGAGGTGAGAGAAAAAAAATTCAGCAATTTGTCAGAAATGATTTTTTCTTATTTTTCAAAAAAATCTTTTCCGACAACGTTTTCTTTATGGTTTTCCTTTTTAGTAATAAAAATAGTAATATAGTAATAATATGGAAAAGAAACGACGAGGAGAAGAGTATTTATTATATCAGAAGGATTGATTATATATTGTAGAAAAATCTTTCTTTCTCCTAAATCATTTTCAAAAAATAAAATCCTTTAAGTCTAAATGTGAACTTTTAAACAATATTGCAGCTATTAGATTAATGATGTAGTGATTTGTCACTTCCAACTCTCTCCTCTCAATTTTCTTCAAGTAAGAAGATTACGGAGAATAATTAACTAATCTTCTTTATTAAATAACAAAGAAGAAGTATAATCATCTTTGAAACATCCTTAGAATCCGATTGCAAACATTTTTATTAATATTATTTTATATTGTTATTGAGATAGAGATTATTACAGAGAGATGGATATATATATATATAAATTTATATATATATATATAAGGAAAGAGAGGAGGTGGGCGAGGGGTGGGCGGCAGATGAAGGGGAAGGTGAAAGAAGAAAGGTATATAACGAGAGAGACAGTTATATATATAGAGAAAGAAGAAAAACGATACTAACACTTCTTTTGAATAGTATGAAGAGAGGAGACTTTGCTTTTAAATAAAAATAAATTTTACTAGCCAATTGTTTACAGGAAATTAGTTAGCTTGTTCTATTAATATCAAAATCTGTTTTTATTTCTCTTTAAGTTTCTTTAATCTAAAATCAAAATCAAAATAATAATAGAACTGTTTTTTTTTTCTTCTTCAAAACGAAAAATCAATTTAAAAGGCCAAAAAAAAAAAATAAAAGAAAATCTTAAACTTATGAAAGTCAAGTAGTATTTCATTTTTACAGTAAACATGATAAATTTGTTAAAAAAGTACTTGTTTTTTTTTTCTCTCTCTGTGATCTGTAAAAATATGATAAAATTTTTGGAAAAAAAAGAAAAACCTTCCCTCCCGCCCCTTCTCTACTAAAATATGAATTACACAAAACATTTAAGAAAGCACTGCTTAAATACAAGGAGTTTCTTACATAATAAAAATCGACTCTTAATAAGGTATGTAATAGTAAGCAACGAACGAGGGGTAAGAGTCTAAGCAATTGTAAGGATTATAATCGCTGGTATTGCTTAGGGGTAAGATACCGAAGCACGTAATTGCTCTATACATTTGTCAATGCTTCGTTTTCTTTTTAAAAAAAAGAATATATACTGTATATATATATATATATATACTGTATATACTGTTTAATTAAAATTGGAAAATGAATTAATTATATAATAAATGAAAAAATAAAGGATTATTGTAAATTTTAAATTATCTAAAAATTAAAAATTATCAAAGTTAATAAATTCTAAAGCCTGTCTTATTAGTGTGTGACACAAAAGGGGAAATACTAAAAGAAAGTTGTTGGGAAAACAAATCAGTCAACGGTTTGAGGAGGAATGGGAGGAATTCGTCGAGGAACGGAAGGAGGTGGGGTAAGCGTTGATTTAAATCTTCTGTCATCTAATCTAGACAAACCAGCCTCATTTGCTTTATATTGAACGTTATGGTATTCTCGGCCGGCTTCTTTTGCGGCCTTATGAGCTTGATCTTTGACTGAAATTACGTCTATATGATGTTCCAAAGCCTTGTAGACGAATTTATATTGGGCTTCCGTCTGAACCATGCCAGACCTTTGAGCTCGCAAGGCCAGAATAGTTTTTTGTATGTCTATAGCTTCCGCTCCATCCTCTATTTGCTTGATTAGGATATGAATAGCTATAAACGTTCCCGTTCGACCAATGCCCGCACTACAATGAACAATAATGGGACCGGTACGAGGATATCTTGCCTTAGCCTCGTCAACTTTAGTCAACAAATCTAAAACACGACCGGGATCTTGCGGTGTCCCGTGATCCGGCCAAGCTTTAAATTGAAATTGATGAATGAAACGAGCTTCAGTCTGTTAGAGCAGAAAAACATATAAAAATTATAAAATATATCAATTTACCTATTTTTAATTATATTTATTTTTTTCGTAGAATACTTACAAATCCACATTTAGTTATTCTCATAAGTCGAGTAATATAAAAGTCATTTTCCTCAACTTGTATGAGTTCTATTATTATATTGCCACTTTTAGCTTCCCTTTCCATTTTCTCATTGACGTTTTTTGGCCAATATATAGCACATTTTTTCTAGAATTAGAAATATATTTCAAGAAATGTAAATATCAATTGAAAAGTTAAATTTGGCAATAAAACAAACAACTTACCTTTCCTCTTTCTGAATCTTTGGTTGTCATTATAATAACTCGTGAATTTTCATTCCAAACCATTCTCCAAAAATCTGTAATCGTATTTGTTAAACAACCCTGGGTGGCTATATAGGCAGGTTCCTCCTCCGCATAGGTTGTTGATAACCTATCGGGGTCGTTACTACTATCGTTAGGAAGCCATATATCTCCAGCAGTTGCCAAACAAGCAGAAGCCTTTTAGAAAAATATCAAATTCACTATCTTGTCAACTTAAATACTTGTTTATTTTAATATTATATCAATTGAAAGATTACCCTGATATAATTGGCATTTATATAGTCGTCTCCATCTTCTCCAGTTCCATCAGTTAAGATTACACTTGTTCTATTATATGGTAGAATGTTTTTATATCTATTTTTTGATTTGTTACAAGATTTTTTGCCGTCTTCACGAGATATTTCCTTAAATTCTTGTTGACCTAATTGCTGTAAGTGTAAAATATAGATATTATACACCATATATACAAATATATATATTAAATATAAACCTCAAATTCTTCTAAGAATCCCTTTTTACCATTTTTATCTTCCTGATTCCCAGCTTGATTCAACTCTTTAATGCGTTCGCTAAGTAGAGAACGACTTATTCTTGTAGTATTGTAAGGCTATAAATATTTATCATAGTACTGATTATAAAGACTTCAAAAGGATAAAATTTCAAATGTATATCTAACCGTTTTTAGGAATATGACTTTCCCCCCAGTTTCAACCATGGGAGACAAACGATAATATTCGACTAATTCGCATAGAGAATTAAACATTTCTCCACCACCTATATCAAATTTTGCTTCTTTCTATTCAATGAATTACTTGTTAAAAGCATTCGTTTTGATTTAATAAATTTATTCTTACTGATATTCGAATTTTGATGTGAATTACTTCTCTATCCTCAACTCTAACTGATAAGACAAAATCACCAGATGTTTGACTTTCTCGGACAAGAAAACTACCGACAGAGGCATTCTTTTCTAATAGTAAACTTTCAGCGTCTTTGCCGGTCAATGACTCGTGAAACCAGCTAAAAACACAAATTTTTAATTAGATTTAAGACAATAAAAGAGAAAGAGAAGCTCGTAAAAATGCATAACTCAAAAATAACTTTTCATATAAAATATATTATTTAGAGATAAAGATAAGAGATTTTTTTTAATATTAATTAAATAAAACAGAATATAATATGTTTTTTTATTGACAAACAAAATACCTATAATCGGCTTATTGTCTTTCTATAATAAAGTTGCCTTCAGAGAGATGAAAAAAATTACTTTTACGTTGTTATCGCCTAATATTAATTGTTAATTTGTTTGCTTTGTTTTTTTTGTAGAGTGAAGGCGAATGAGTATATATATATAAATATATTTACCGTTCTGTTGTTGGATCTATACAATGTAAAGGACTTTTAAGTTCAATAATTTCGCCTGTTTTTTCTCTAAGAGTTTCGCTTTTTTCCAAATAATGTTGAATTAATTCTGTTAGAGAAGCGAATTTTTCTCCTCCGTAGAGATCGTAACATTCTCCAGAATTATGAATTTTAATATGCGTTACTTTGTCTCCTCGCCTTTAAAAAAAAATGACGTAGATTTAATATCTTTAACAGAGGATCTACTATTTATAGGCTTACCGTACAGACAGGGAAAAATCACCGGCAATACTTTCACTTGGTCGACACAGGAAAGATCCATCTACTCCTTTTGTTAACAGTAAATGTTCCGCCTCTCTTCCAGTAATGTTAGGGTGGAACCATCTAAAGAAGAAATTGTTTAAGAAAAGAGTAAAACTAGAAACTCTATATTCTCTCTGCGGTTTAAGATATTTTATAGTCTAGTTTATATATTTGACTACAGGCAAAGAATTGAAATTCAGATAAAAATAGATCCATTAAAGATAGGTCGCTAATTGAAAGCAAACGAAAGTTCCAAAGGAGATTTATTTAATACTTGATTCTTACATAATAATTAGATAAAAATCACTTTTCCTTCTTACTATGTCATTGCCTAAATATGATCATTACTAAATTCTCACAATACATATATTCATCTATCAAATGAGTACAACGATAATAAATTATTGATATCTTTTCATTTAGATGTATATGAAACAGATAGATCTGACATATTATACATCAGAAAAAGTCAAAGAAGATAAGATGCTTTTAACAATTGCCTAAAGAAATTTAAGAGTGCTAACATATACCAGTTATCTTTTGCTGAATAAAATATTATATCTACTCACCTTCTGTTGTTCATACTGCTCAAAAGAAAAGAACAAGTGATTTTCAACTATCAATCATAGAAATTAGTCAATATCGTCCGCAATAGAGCCTTGTTTTCGTAACTAATTCCTATACCCAATTCTAGTGATTTGAATATTCAAATTTCGGAAAAGAAAACAACCTTTATATCTCAAATTAAATATTCGATATGTTGATTGACACACAAGACTAATATTACGTTGTTTTATTAAGCATAGTGATAATTTACGAAAACAAAATTTCTAGCAGACGATACCATTTTATGAATGAAGGTGGCAGTTGGTTTGATTTTGCCCCGCCCACAGTATCTCAGATAAATTAACTAGAAAGAGCTTATAAGCAAAACATTGGCCTTGTTTTCAAAAAATAATTTTGATTTTCTAATATATTAAATTAATTGAATATGTAGAAAAAGCTATAAATGAATATCTATAAAACAATACAATATTACTAGCCAAATGAGAACTCTGATAGTTCTATTACAAAATATGTACATGCTTGTGTATACAGTGTATATAGTAGATAAAAGGTCATGGAAGAATTAAGCCATATATATAATTCAATGATTATTAAAGAAATTATAAAGTAAGAAGTACTGCAACCATTTAATTTTCTTCCACAGAAGAAAGTAAAAGTAGGATAAAGAGATTTTCTATTTATAAAATTTTGATTAGCAAATGGAAATTGTAGAAGAAGGTACTTTGAAGAGCATGTAAACTTAAATGAAAATAGATCAGTATCATTACAATTTAGTAAAAGTATATAAGATAGGAAATTCTTTTGAAATTGTTAAAAGACTGATTTTTATTGTTTTTGTCGTATTAGTAATTCTAAAGGTTAGAATGTTTAAAAGTAAGCAATTGTATTAGTCAACCAAAGTATTAAGAAAAAACTGTTCAGCGGCAAATTTGACATACTAAAATGTTTAATATCTTTTTGTACTTTAATTTAAATTATAGATAGTCTATATATTTTCAATTATTATCTCTATGTTTTCTTTTCCAATAAATAAATGAATAAAATATAATAAAAAAAAAGACCATCCCAAAAAAATAAGAGAAAACAAACAAACAAACAAACAAACAAACAAGTAAATAAATAAATAAATTAGCAATTTTTCATATTTAATACTGTGCAAATCTTGTGAGTGTTGCATTCTTCTGCAGTTTTAAAACTTGAACTCCACAGTGGAAAGTAGAGGCGCACAAACTTCAAAATAACAAAATAGAATTAATATACACTGAATAAACTGCAATATAAAAATATATATAAAAAAAAAACGACCAATAACATCATGAATAGATGAATAAAATTCCCATCAACTGTCTTCGTATGTCTAGTAATAGGTCTTCTAGACGACTAAAGATAGTTATTACCATTGGGTTTAGGAGGAAATAGTAGTGATTATACTGACGTTGTCTTAACGTTTCAGTTACACATTATCGCCGCAATTAAATTATTTGTCGATAAATAATTCGTAAAGAACGAAAAGGAATTAAAAAAAACGAGATAAAATTGTTACCTTGCATCAGGAAATAAGGCAAGACTAGTTACAGGACCAGATGCGGGAAGAGGCATAGTTGATAGGCATTCTAAGGGGAAAGAAATCACAAATAGTAAAAAAATCTAGCATATATTACTTCGAAATAGCTTAAATTTAGCATATTGCAGATAAAGAAAGATGATTTTGTAAAGGGAATATCACGCAGTTGCTTTTAAGTATACCACATCATATTTATGTTGCTATATCATGCAACAGCAGTGAATATTTAAAATATTTTATACATGTTGGATAGATTATACAATTCCTCTTTTATAATATAAATAATTCACTGTATATTGACATTATAAAGATAGAAAGAGGCTTTTTCGTTCTCTTTCTTCAGAGAAAACACGAAAAACTCTCCACTTGCTAGCCTCATATTTTGATCATTTATGAACTAATAATTTTAGTCATTTTTTTATTATATAATTATGATTTTACTTAGGAAGTAGCTGATATATGCTTCCTAAAAACCTATTTTAACAGGATTGGTTTTAATAGTGAATACTGAGAATCAATTTTCTTGGTTTTGTCGTTAAGAATAGTAAAATATTTACCTGAAGTGACATAATCCCAAACTTTAATTGTGCTGTCATTACTTGACGTCAGAATACATGGCCTATCACACATGCTACTCTGCGCAAAAATTGCAGAACAACAACTCTCCTGATGACCTTTAAATTCTGATACTGGCTTCGCATTTCTTAAATCCCATAACTGTAAAGCATATTGTCATTTTCTTAAACTATAATTTTGAAAAAAGTAACAACGAACTGTAGCCTCGCATCCATTTCCACCAAAGCCATTACTGCAAGTTAAACAAGAGTTTTGATCTTCGGACCAATCACACCACATTTGTATATGCTGCTTCTTAGGAAAGGTTACGGTAACGCTAAGAGTTCTTGCGTCCCAGATTCTGGATAAACAATGCACGTTGTTAGGATTAAAATAACACGTATTCGTCTGTGAAGACAACTTTCTTTTAAGTATTCCCTGGTGATGTACAATGTTAACAGGTTTAGAACGTAAATAGATGAATCTCACTAGTAATCCTTATTGAATATATTACGAATTTTTTCAAGTAGAACAACTTCGTTTAACATTAGAGAGATTACACGTGATCAAACCCTATAAAAGCGTGCCAACCGGAAGCTTAATATGCATCATTCTATATAGGAAAAATTCCCTTTGTAATTAAAACTAAAATTTCTCATAGTTGAAGTCATTTATATTATAGGTGCTCATTAAAAATAATTGGAAATCTAATATGTTCCTATAATGTGCTATCTATGGTTTGGTGTATAGTGTCGCTAGATTAGATAGCGCATATTAAGTTTTGGTCTCACTATTAAGACTAGTGCTAAATTTCTAGGAAAAACCTTTGTTCCTATGAAAACTCGACAGTCTATATGAATAATCCTTTTTTTTAACAGGTAACTGAAATTTATAATAATAGATATATATCGTAAAAACGCTCCTCTGAAGAATGGAATTTGATACAATAGGGTTAAGTGAATTTGTTTTTTTTTTATACTAAAAGTCATCTCTGTTTCTATTGCTTAGAATTCAAATTGGGATTTTTTTCCTTCCCTTTTGAGTGGACACACTCTTAAATATCTCTTTCCCCCTTTTATTTTAATATTCTAAAACAATCCTCAGAAGATTAGTTGAAAAACATACAAATCTAATATGTACCGAATTATTATGCATACAAATAAACAAAGCAAATTGAACTACCTTAATTCTTTATCTTCGCCTGTCTGCGCAACTAAATGAGAATCTTTAGCCCATTTAATATGAGTTACCAAATTTCTTGATATACAATTCTGATTAATGCATTGTGCTGTTTTAGTATCCCAAATTCTTAGACTGTTATCTCTTGAACCACTGCATAGCCTTTCACCATCTATTTGAAAAGAAATAACAAGAAGCGTTTTGAAATAAAATACAAAAACAGAATATAAAAGTAAGTAATATTAGAAACATATTATCTATATTTTCCTTTCATTTCATCTACTTTCAGTATTTACAAAAACAAAGACATTAGAAAAAGATTACATCTATATTCTCTTTATTTTTTTTTAAAAAAAAAAATTCATTATCTTTACATAAAGTTTGTAGATAGCAAACTAAAAAACCCCTTTAAGATCTAAAGCTAGTCTTAGTTAGTCTATTGTACTATATATATTTAAATGAGTGTTCCAGTAACACAAAAGCCTTACTATACATTTTCAGATCATGTTAATTACCTTCTGTGTTTTTTTGTTTTTTATCATCACCATTTTAATATTAAAAATACAATTTAAAATATACAGCAAAAAGAGACATTCGCTGCATGTATACAATAAGTAATGTATGAATAACAGTCTATATTTCTGTCTAATTCACAGGAATTAAATTTAATTAAATAGAATTGCTGAATTACACAAGATATTTATCAAAATGATGAATATATTTTCTCTATTTGATATTAAATGAAAATGAGCTAATTTATATAAATATATAATATACTGTATATACAGATATATAATAATATTAGCTGTCCTGTATATTTATTAGTTATATAAATATACATTATTATGATAATGTAGTTGTATACTGTAACTTTAACTGAACATTTGGACGCATTGATGATATTGGAATAACCCTTTATTATTATAAAAAAAACATTGCACCAGAGTGTAGATTATACTTGATTACGAACCTGAATTAACAGCAATGCCAGTGACCACCATAAAATGCCCATTGTAGGTATTAACAGGGTTTTTATTATTACGTGACCATTGCTTAATAGTAGTATCACGTGAACAAGAATAGAATGTATCAGACTTTGGATCGTAGGTTGTCTGCAATAAATATAACAACGTAAACGACGCTCTCACACGATTTATTTCAGATAATTCTGTTTATACAAAACGTCCGTCCTTTCAATCCAGCAAAACCGCTTTTACCTTTCAACGTTGTAAGTACTTTTGCAAAATACTTAAAATCGTATAAAATCTTGCCGTGGGTTATAATAAATCAAGTCAAAAATAATTATTTCCCAAATGTAAAAGAGGGAAAAATTCCCCTCTCCAAACCCGTAATCATCCGTTTTTAAGCGGAAAAAAATCTCATCTCCTTAGAATAAATATGAAGACTCTTAGGAGAGTGATACACTTATATATTGAATTATACGTATTTTTATGATAATAAATGATACGACGTAACACAAGATATCAATAAAGATAATAATAATAGCAAAACGGAAAAGAAAACGAAAATGTTTACATTAAACAGTTGAATAAACTTCATCAGATGACAATGTTTGATGTGAAATCATTAGTCAGTGGGATTTTCTTTTATTTTAATTAAAGAAATTAAAATCGACTTTTCGGTCATGCTTTTGCATAAAATTGGAATTTTCTTCTTAAATATGGAGTTTTCTTATAATTGACTGGTAAATTACAATTAATTACAATTATATGTCGACGCTTAACTGACCTGACCGTGAACATTCGGTATTCATAGTTAGATAGGCCAAGCGTTAGGGGAATAAATTTACATAAAGAAAAGTACTTGAAATTAGTTTACTGTTTCTCATCTCTTAGGGAATAATCCTTAAAGGGCTACTAATAGAGTAATATTGATTTTTACCCATTTACTGCTGTTCAATTATTCAAACCTCTATTCACACATCACTTTACAAACGATCAATATTAGCAAACAAGATAAATAAGAATATAAACCTTTGTTACTTCTTTATCGTGTTTCCACTTTTCTACAGTGCTTCCGATATGAAAATCGAATAAGATGACGCTTTTATCTTTAGAACCTGACAAACATAATCCGTTTTGAATGGAAGATACCGTTGAAATAGCGTCCGAGTGAACTGGTGGAAATCTTCTTATGTCATATTTAATTGTGTAATCTCCATCCATACATTCGTACCTAATAGAGATGAGTGATATTTGATGAATATTGCAAAAATTACAACTAATCATTAAAAAAAAGCATTTAGCAAGCAACGTTATAATGATCATACTTTGCATTCTTCTTTTCATCTTTTTTCTTCTTCATTCCGAAAAGAGACCCAACAGATGGGAACTTTTTCGAAGAAAACATTGCAAAGTATTCTCTGTTTCTAACGTTCTTTTTTATTTACGTTCTCAATCAAAACCGGAATGTCGGAAATACGAAGAGCGGGACAAGCTAAAAATCCAAATGAAGCATAAAAGTAAATCTAGTCAATCAGAAACTAATTATTAGAAAGAAAATTAGTTTAATTGCAATAAAATGATAAAATTAAACTTAAACATAATTTCGAACACAAATTCTCCATCCTACCGTCTTAAAAGCCGACGTTGTTAAGCGATTCAGGACCGCTTGAATGTTTTGCCAACTATTTCACTGAGCAGTGCCATCTACTGCAATATAAAATAATTGATTTTTTTCTCCTCTAAAATGAATAGCTCTAGTAATTTTTTGGTTGTTGTTTTAGATTTAAACCCCATATGGTGGGAACGTAAAATAACAGAGTATAGAAATGGTGTAAGTAATTATACTATATCAATTTTTAGGTATTTTTCGTTTAAAACTTTAAATTCGTCTACTTTTAGGATGTACTTGGAGCATGTATAGATGGTGTAATTTCCTATTGCAATGCCCACCTGTTGATGAAAACTAATAATGAGTTATCTTTGATAGCAGTCTGTGGTAAAGACATTAAAGTTTTGTGGCCTCAAAAAAAAATACCTGGTCTCAAAGAATTGAGGTAGAACTAGTAGCATAAATCAATTTTGTGAACTAATCTTTTCATATTTTAATATTTTAATAAAAAAATTGTATAAATAATCTAAAAATTTTGTCAAGTTTTTCAGAAATTTTTTATTAAAGTTATTAATTCTTTGTAATGTTCTTTTGTAGTGAGCCGTCAACGTCATGTGATGGAAAATTAGAACAATTAGTTAAAATGAATAACATCATAAAGACCGAGATCCAACAACTAGCAGGTGAATGTGAAAAGAGTGAATGTAACTTGGCTCCAGCTCTTTCGACTGCACTATGCTGTATTAATAAGCGATCCTTAAAGAGCAGAATAACAGTGCTGAAAGCTGCTGATGACAGCCCAGCACAATATATGCACCTAATGAACATAGCCTTTACAGCTCAAAAACTTGGTGTCACTATAGATGGTATTGTCATTAATAAGGTAATTTAATTTATATTTCAAAGTTTTTCTCAAAAGTTATAAATAACCTTATTATAGGATTCGCAAGCTTCCCTACTATCTCAATTATGCCATGTGACTGGAGGAGTTCTTCTTAATGTACAAACTGTTGAAGCTTTACTCCAACACCTACTGTGCTCACCGCTGGTCGAAACCTCCCTGAGAAGCACTTTGAGACAGCCAGCTGCCCCAAAAGTTCAATCTCAAGTGGCCTGTGCATGTCATAGACGACTCGTGCATGTCGGTTTCGTATGTTCCGTTTGTTTATCAGTATTTTGTGCATTTCGACCCTTGTGTTCAACATGCGGTACAGTATTCCAAATACCTTCAGCTACAAGAGCACCGGTTTCTGGGAAATAAGTGAAATACTTGATGCAAAGACATGTCAACATATACTTTATTTCTGAGTTACTATTTGCAAACTTGACGTTTGCACTAATTTCTTCCGATGATGAATTTATTTATTCAGTGTTTTAATGCAAACTCCAGATATATAAATCTTTGAATACATTTTGCCTGGACTTTTATATGTCTATTTCGTTATTTAAAATAATATTTAAAAGATTACTTTCTAAAACCAGGCGACACGTGCGCCCCCTATTTAGTTATTAGTATTTACATTGTTGCTATAGCAAAATATGTAAACTGCAGCAGAATATTCTTTTTTCTATAAATTTAATAGATAAAAGTCAAGAATTCGAGTAAAAATGAATGACAGCGATAAAAATAGGATATTAAGGGGAAAGTTGGAAAATATTCCACAGGATCGCTCACGATCTATAAGAATTTTTATATCATCAACTTTTACCGGTTGCTAATCTAATATTCTTTACGATATCTTAAGTATATAAATTCTAATCACACACTATATTTTCCAAATAGATATGGCTGCCGAAAGAAATATCTTAATGATGGATGTTTATCCAAAGTTAAGCGATTATTGTAGAAAACAATACGGTTGCGATTTTCAAGTAAAAAATAACACAAAAATTACTAAACAATCATATTAGATTATCTTAGGATCTTATCTCAATAGTTAGTCGATTTGAGGTGGGGAATACAAGATCAGGCTGTGGAAGATCACGAAACGGAATTATTATGTATAGAAGAGATAAAAAAATGCCAAAAGCTTTCTATAGGACCTAGTTTTGTTGTATGTATCTCCAGTTTTCGAATATAAACCAAGACAGAGACTTTATTGAATAGTTTTATAGGTTTTTTTGGGTCAGAAACACGGATATTGTCCCCTTCCCCGAAAAATACCTGAGAAGCATTTTATTGCTTTTGAGAAGGTAGCAACAATCTTAAATTCAGAAGAAGATTTACAAGCCCTTAAGGAATGGTATAAATTGGACGAAAATGCCTTTGAATCAGAGTATGTTGCTTGTTCAGTTAGTGAAAAATATCCCAACTTCTTATCAGAGGTAAAAGATAATTAACCTTTTAAAAGATTTTCTTTGACGAGTATAACGTTATATACACTTTCTTTTAAGGATAAGACGGAGAGATCTCGTAGTATTGGTGAATGGAGAACGAAAGAAAAACAGTTAACTAACGCTATAAAAGTTATGGGTAGCTATTGCGTCAAAGAAGGTTTCCTGTTAGAAGAAGACTGTAAAATGTATTTTATGTCCAGTAAGGGAGACCTTTAAAATTCTTGTTTATCGTTAAATTATAGCTTTGTAATATACAGAGGCTTTTCATTGTGTATTTTAAGTTTTTATCTTATTGTTTTAGTGACTGAAAAAGAAGTTATGGAAGGTCTAAAAAATTCTCAAAATCTTGATGGATGTGTTTGCTTTATCAGACATATTGAAGATCTCCAAGAGCATTTAGAGCATCCTGCTGATAGAGTTTGGCGCTATATCGATATTCGAGATGACCAAATAGATACAAACGCTCAGAGTTCCTTATCTGCATTAAGAGATAATATTACTCAAAAGATGCCAGATTCATTAATCTTCAAGTGGGTAGTTACACTCCCTTTCTCATTAGGATAAGACATGAAAGCTCTTTACTTTTCCAGGTCGAATATTAAATGGAATTGCGGTGGTAAAGGAGTTAATGAAGTGAAACATAGAGAATATTTGAGCAGAGTGTCCAATCAATTTTATGAAGTTATTTCACGTTTAATAGACGATGCCATGACAAAACAAAATGTTCTAGATTCTGGAAAAGAAAGCCAATTGCTCTTCAACGAGATAATTCAACATTTACATTCTGCTCTTAACCGAATAAATATGTTCCAGGGACGAGAACAGTTCTTAACAAACATACTAAATCAAGTTAAAGAGTCTAATACACCTATAATCGTTCATTCGCCATCTGGTTGTGGTAAAACCAGTGTTATGGCAATGTTATCTAAATTAGTGAGTTCATTTACCTTGTATTTTAAAAAACTAATTAACCTTTTATAATTATATTAATAGATTCCAACCTGTTTTCCCAACGTGGAACCAATTGTTATTGTTCGATTTCTGGGAACGACTCCATTCAGTTCAAATATTCGCTCTCTTTTAAGATCGATATGCGAACAAATTAGTAAAATTTTCAATTTAACTTACACAGAAACGTCTGATTTTTCTGAATTAATTAAACAATTTTATCAACTTTTAAATGAAAGTACAGAGAAAAGCCCTTTAATCTTATTACTTGATTCCATTGATCAACTATCTGTGGAAGATGGTGCTCATAAACTTAGCTGGTTACCTTTAATACTACCCAAAAATACTTACATCTTAGTATCAACGCTATCGAAAGAATATGGAATATTAGATAACTTAAAGGAAAGATTACCGAATGCTCATTACAATCCGTTAAAGATATTGGGTGGTCAATTATCAATTGATATTATAAAAGTATGGTTGACAAAGTATAAACGTAAAATAACACAGGAGCAAGAGAGTTATCTAGTTAAAATGTTTTCGCATTGTAGTTTACCAATTTTTGTAAAATTGGCATTCGACAGTGCTCTAACATGGAAATCCTTTCAAAAAGTAAAGCCCCCGGAGAGAACAAAATTTCTCTTAAAAAAATCATTCGGCAATACTAAACAAAAGGAAAATGAAAATACTTTTGGAATTGAAAATTCTGTACAAGGAACAATTCATCAGTTATTTAAACAGCTTGAGAAAAAATATGGAAGATTATTCGTTTGCAGGGCACTTGGTTATTTGACTTGTAACCCGCAAGGCCTTAGCGAAATGGAGATGCAAGATGTCTTATCTTTGGATGATGAAGTTTTGGGGGAAGTTTTTCAATACCATATACCTCCAGTTAGACGTATACCATCATTCCTCTGGGCTAGATTGAGGCATAGTATATCTCCCTATCTCACTGAGAGAGAATCTCATGGTACAACAGTTCATTTCTGGTATCATCGTCAATTTATAGAGGTTGCAACAAGTATGTACGTTGAACATCAGAGAAAGATTCTCCATACAACTCTAAGTGAGTTCTATTCTGGAACCTGGTATAATAAGCCGAAACCTTTTCAATTTACAAAGCAGCAAGTAAAGCATTTTAACTTGAAATCAAATAATAGCTCTGCTCACAGAAACGTACCTAATCAACCAATCATTAACCTTCGAAATGGTACAAATATCAATTATAACCTAAGAAAATTATACTTTTTACCTTATCATTATACCTTATCTAAGCAGTTTGATCTTCTATTTAGTGAATGCTTATTTAATTACGAATGGATAAAGATAAAATTAGTGGCGACTGGTATAAATAACTTAATCGAAGATTTTAGACAAGTCTCAGACGATGAAGAGTGTTCCCTTGTTTATCAGAGTTTGAGCTCGGTTCGAAACATTCTACTTACTCAGCCAGACACCTTGAGCGTTGAATTGATTGGAAGATTATACGAACTGGCTGACGACAAAAGACCTAAATTAAAAGACTTAATTAAGCAATGCCTAAATACTAAAGATTGCATAATTAAACCCCTACATCAATGTTATCCTGGACCAGGAGGAGCTAGGATATTTTCCTTGCAGCATAACAATATAAGACCGGGTGAAAATATTATATTCAGCTCTTTAAATAAAAGTAGAATATCAACAATAACTGATAACAATGACCTAGTAGTATGGGATCTTGAAACAGGAGTAATTGACAAAGAGATACCTCTACCTTCTTTAACTGATGATGGGTTTTCTGCAAAGCTTAAAGTCTATTATTTAGACAAGACTGAGAAACGAGTTACATTGGCCGCGCCTTTTCACGAAGACATAAATAGAGTGTATCAATTACATCTGGAATCTTGCGAATTATTAAGAACAACTGTACTAGCTAAGTCTTTCCCATCAGTAGGCTTTGTAACGAATATGCAATTATGGAGCAAAGCGAATGATTTACTTATCTTTATAAAAAATAAGATAATATCAAAGTTTGATTGGAGTAGCGGTAACCTTTTGGCCGAGACCAACACAAACTCCCATCATTTTCATATAGATGATAAAAATTCGTTTATAATTCTAACATCAGTTGATCAAATAGAATTATTAAACTTGAAAGATTTTACTACAGTTAAAACTATACAAACAGATACTCCAATTTTCAAATCAATCTATCACGATCTAACAGATTCTCTTTATAGAGTGAGGAATGACAAAGTCGTTGATATATTATCATGCGATAAAGATGATTATGGAGGAGTAATGAGTAAAATTGATTTAAGAAAATATGTCAAATCCGAAGAAGTTCGAGATTGTTTCCTACACGAAAAATGGCTTTTTGTCGTTTTTAAATTTACAATTATATGCTGGGATTTGAAAATGAACAAGTTCGTTTCAAAATTAACAATACCTGACGTTGTATTAAAATCTTACAGTCACAATTTAAAACATTCTCTCAATTGTTATTCAATTTACGATGATGATAAGATTATCATTGGATTTGATTATCATTTGTTAGCTCTGAATATTATTAATGGTAAGGTATTACACAACTCCATCATATCAAAATTAACAATAGATGGCGTATTCTCTACATCAATGAAAAATTTAATTGGTATTAGCAGTGTAAGAAGCAAAAGTATTGATATATGGAGTTTTCCTAAATTATTAGAAAGAAAAGTCGAAGTGGGGCCTTTGAATTTGAAGTGGTTCTGTAGGTTTGTTTCGTGTTCGAAAAATTTTCCTCCAGTGGTCGTAACAAGGGGAAAATCCACCGAGACTAGGGTATGGGATCCAGAAAATTGTTGCATTCTATCAAAGCCAGCAGCTGTTTACGAAGATGCTCAGAATTATTTCACTACACCTCCAATAATATCCTATGATGGGAAGACAGTCGTAACGAGGGATTGGATACTTGGTCAGAAAGCTTTGTTGAATATATGGGATTCGCTTTCTGGGCGCCACCTATGGAGTATTCCAATTGATGTTGCTAGATTGAAACGCTATACATTACAAATGAATTCTTCAAATTCAAGAGTTTTATTAACGCATTTAGAAACTGCCCCTGATCAGGATGTTTCCACAATGGCTTGGGACATCAAGAAACGCTGCAAGATACTTGAATTTCCAAATAAAGTTGGAGGATTTTCTGCTGTGGAGACAACATTAAATGATTATGTAATACTCTTACAGCAATATCCTCAGACTGCTGAAGGTCGATCTTGCACTATTACCGTCTATAATCTCAAACGGGAACTAATTTTAACAAAGAAAAACATTTTAAAGGATTCCCTAACGGTAGTTCAAGATGCTGATATATTTTATGTAGTTGAAACTGATCCCCATGATCGATTAGTGAAAATAAGCATAGATTTAAACGGTCCGAAAGAGACGCCCTTGAATATTGTTCCCCATAGGAATTTAAACGTTTGTAAAGACGGTTCCAAGGGTATTGATGCAGACTGTTCTGTTTATGATATTAATATGTCAAAGATTATAGCCAAATTTGAATCAGGAAATGGTGTAAAAGATTCTCTTGGGCCTTATACTTATCCACGACTTAGCTTTGATGGAAGGAAAGCCGCCTGGCTATCTCTTTCTAGTGAACAACTAACTGTAGCGTGTACTGCAACTAGCTCAATTCTCGGTCGTTTTAGTACTCATAGTACACCTCTAGCTTTCGACCTTACCGCGAGCGATATTGTGGTGATTGGTTGTCAAGATGGAAAGGTTTCCTTTTTAAAGATTGCAGATGAAAAATCCACTGTTCAACTTCGAGGTAAATCTTCGAAAATATGCGCAATATTATAGTCAAAGCATAATAAAAGGTATGATTTTTAAATGAAGACTTTTTAATAAAAATTTGACTGACACTGACATGTATTTAAAAACACTAACAATCCAGGAAATTGGCAGCCATAAGCAATTCAAGAGCTATCTCTGGTTGAATTGGAAACTCAGGAATTTCAGTTGAACTATTAGTGAAGCGCACTTTATATGTAAAGTACATGCAGACTTTCTCCAACACATGAGAAGGAATTTCGCGAAAATTGATCATATTTGTTTCATGTTCAGAGAAAGTACCTGTGTTTTTAAAAAAACGTTTTAGTAGTCCGGGAGACGTGCCAATAATCGATATTATTACCTGGGCCGGATAACATAGCTTTAATCGTGCCAGAAGTTAAAGCGTGATCCCTTTTTACAATGAATTCGTGATTATCAGATGATATAAGTTTCACGTACATAGCATTGGGTCCTTCACAAGTCCCTATATCAAGTTGATTTTCTTCAGCCATGGTAACTATTGTGCAACAGAACTAGACGGTTTTTAGTTTCATTTAAACAAAATAAATATTAGTTCAATAATTCTTTTAAAATACTACCTTTATTTTTGTTCAAAATCCTTCCTTCAAATCAAAAATAGGCTTTGAGCACAAACCTTCCTGTTTCAAAGACTGCTATCTGAGCTATTGGACATGTCAACCGGAAATATTACTTTCGAAATGCACTTTTGTTAGGTTCCCTGATGTAATCTGCTTTTCTTATGAAACTAATCGAAGACAGATGCCGAACCTGTCATAAACTGAGTTCGAATGCTTATTTCTGCCGATTTAACAAGACTCTTGAGTAATTACAGTGGTCCTATAAAAAAATATTACTTAGATAACTGATAAGATCATTTTTAAATCGATAAATATCAGTGAATAATTCGATGAAAAAAACCGTAATCCATGGTTATGGGAACTTATTTTCTACGATCATAACTTTTCAAAGTATGGCATATCTCTTTTAAGTAGGTTATACAATGGTTTTTAAGATAAAAATATGTTTGCAAAGATAACTTTACTAGTTTTTCAATTAACTGTTTTCTTTCAATATATATAAAGCAATTTTGAATTCTATTAGACGATGTATCAGTTCTACCACAAAACATTCCAAAAAGTTCCAGTTGCTCTTCCAAATTTTCTTTTATCAGATGTCTCACTTGCTGGCAGATCAGCAGAGTCGGGTAATTCTGGAACAGGATCTGGTAACGGCAGATTGCGTTGAGGACGCGGCCTGCTCGAATCAAGAACTTTCGTTTTGCTATAATAACATTTTATGAAATTAATTAGTTGTTATGTAATGTATTAAAATTCCATCAGCATACCTTAAGTAACCAAGTTTGGGCCTTTCAAAGTTTAATTTTTCTTTCATACACTGATCAAAAATAGCTTGCGTCGCCTGACACCTAAATTTTATGAAGCAAAAAAGTCTTATTTTGTGGAATATGAATTTGAAAGTCTTACAAACCAGGATAAATTCATATTAACATCTGCATGATCAATGCACTGCCAATATTTTGTAAACTCTTCAGCGCAATTTTCTCGAATTTGGGTGTATAAATTGATAGCACAACGAGTTACCCTCTTTCCATATTTTAGACATTTTCGAGGATCTTTTTCTTCGGAGCTGCATAGCATATACTCCTAAAGGTTGAGAAACAGAATTAGGTACCGATCGAACGTACAGCCTTTATTTATTATCACTCAACAAACCTTGCAATCCTTTTCACAATACTTGCCAAAATAATGAGCTCCTGCCTTCAAAGGGGCAGAGCTCATATTAATTTCATCAACTTCTAATTCATCTAAAGTTGGCAACCATTCCTCCTCTGTGAAGGGCATTTTGCTTTTGATAATTTGACCTATAACATAAATATAGGAAAGCAAATGGCGGTTCCTATGGGTATAACTAAATACCATTGACGTTGAGATCTTAATACATCACCCGACGCAACAAATTAACAACTCTTATATTGACCATTCAATTAACTACCGGGGCATTTTTTATTGTTTAAAACCTTTTTTCAACGAATACTAGACAAGCTGAAAAAAAAGCAAGAGTCTTGTGACGCTCCCATCTTAGTATTAACATTCATATGTTGACAGACTTATAGTGCTTAATACTTTTCGATAAAAAACATTAATATTCTTAAAAATATAAGCCTGTCAGAATTCATCTGTTCAGTAATTTAATTGCGTTACACACTATACTGAACCCTACTTTTTAATCATCTTAGTTTTGTACTATTCGACTAATTGACTGGCTGTTCGTGAACGATAATATACTTAGTGTAAATTTACAAACGATGGATCCTGAATTAGTGAAGCAACGGACTGCTTTCTTGAAAAGAGCGAAAGCTAATCCTGGGATTGAAAGGAAGAAGAGGCCAAGGCAAGATGAAGCAGACGATGAACTTGATCGTTTAGATAAATTAGACAAAAAAGCAAAAAGTGAAAGAGGTGTGTTATTTTTTGCGGTAGTTTTTTTTATTAATAATTATGAAATTTATATCCACAGTATCGCAAATGTTTGATTACAAGTCAACTTCTGGAACATCTCAGTACAAATTCAGTATTTTATCTAAAATTGTTCGATATATGAAAGTAGGTAGAATATTTCGGCAAACAATACTGTCACTGAACTTTTCAAAATAATTGAAATATAGGATAGGCATTTACAAGGCGACACACATTCTTTGAACATTCAAGAAATTCTAGAAGAAACTGGACAGACTGACGCTGGACCTAAAATTAGACATTGGCTTGCAAATGAGGCTCTGCCAAACAATCCAAAAATAGAAACAGAACCTGGTCAATTCTTTAAATTTAGACCAAAATATCAAGCTAAAGATAGAAAATCATTAAGGAGACTTTTAGAGAAATACGATCAAGAAAGTTTAGGAGGTATCCTTGAAGTAGATATAAAAGAAAGCGTTCCAAATGCTGAAAAGCATCTTAAAGTAATTTATAAATAGATCATTGTTTTTTTATTCTAAATCTGTCTCTTTTTCTGTTTTTCTTAGAATCTAAATGATCAAATCATATATGTTAGAAGGCCGCAAGATAAGCAAAGAGTGATATTCTACAATGACAAAACGTTTGAATTTAAAGTAGATGAAAGTTTACAAAAATTATGGAGATCCATTCCTCTGGAGGGAACGGATGAAAAGAAAATTGATGAATATCTTGAAAAGCAAGGTATTCACGCAATGACAACCATGGGAGAAGCTACGGTAAGAATAACCAATAAATATATATTTCTATTCTTTTTTAAAGATATCTAAGACAATCTATATTATATTTTTAGCGGCCGGTTATCAAAAGAAAACCGAAGAAAGGGGGTAATAAAAAGAAGAATAATTTCAAATCCCATAATGAGCATATGGGTGATACATTAGTAGACTATTCTAACAAAAAATAGCTATTTGTTAGTATTATCAAATTTGTTTTTGTTTCTCAGCCAACTAAATAATCAAATTTTTTTGTTTTTGAGCCCGATAAATGATGTATATTAGTCTCGATTAATAATACACGGAAAGAGTTATTTTTGATACTCAATTGATTTATAATTTATTCTATTATTTGTGCTAAGTAAAGAATTATATTAAAAGTTAATATAAGAATTATCTGAATCTTGTAAAATGAATATAATATATATAATAATAATTTATAAAATAAGCGCCAAACGATTACTATGAAAATGGCTGTTTACTTCCTGTCTCGTGTAGTGTGCCTGACTTCAGTGCGGTATAAATATGGCGGCTCTAGGACGAAGAGGTCTAATTTTCAACTTTATAAACCACTATCGTAAGGTTTGTTGAATAGCAATTTATTATTCGACAAAATTATATAGCTTTATTTTTTATCTTTGCGTAGGGAAGAAATAATATCTTTGTTTTCTTTAATGATAATTACATATTAAAATTTTTTTTTGTTTTGTTAATTCTATCTACAGATAAATCGAAACCATCAGCTTTCAACATATATAAGACATGTCCTAGCTCCCCGCCAAAATTTTGTCAAGAATAGATATTTTCATACTACTTCTTACTGCGCCGAGATCGTTCCATTTAAACTAGCTGATATTGGTGAAGGTATTAGGGAAGTAACTATAACAGAATGGCACGTGAAAGAAGGTGATACAGTGGCCCAATTTGATGCATTATGTGACGTACAGAGTGATAAGGCTACGACTCAAATATCTAGTAGATATGATGGAATTGTTAGGAAATTATATTGTGGGATTGATGATGTTGTTCTTGTGGGAAATCCCTTAGTTGATATTGAAGTTGAGGATGAAGAATCCTCTCAAAGTCAAATTGATTTTGACGATCAAGTTATATCTAAATCATCTCAAGAGCCAGCTGAAGTATCATCAGTGGAACAATTTACATCCGGTGGTAAAATCTTAGCAACACCCGCAGTTAGAAGATTAGCTGTTGAAAACTCCCTGGAGTTGTCTGAAATTGCTGGAACAGGTAAACAGGGAAGAGTATTAAAGGAAGATGTTCTGAGATATTTAAACAACTTCACGGCGAAACCAAAAGAAGTCGCTTCACCAACACCTGCAGTACCGAAATCAGTTGAAACGATGAAACCAAGTACTTTTGTCCCTTCAACTCCAGCAGCACCTTTAACTGTTAAGTTTTATTTTTTATAGCTTATTGAATATAAAGTTTTGTTTATAATGTTACATAACAACTAAATGTCTATTATCATGAACAGGCAGATAAAAAGGAACCAATAAAGGGAATGAAAAAAGCAATGGTGAAGTCAATGACTAATGCACTAAAGATTCCACATTTTGGGTATAAAGACGAATTGGAATTAAGCAGATTGATCGAAACTAGAAATGAATTGAAATCACTTGCATCGAAGTATGACGTAAAGTTATCATTTATGCCATTCTTTATCAAAGCTGCGTCCTTGGCTTTATTGGAATATCCACAAATGAATGCTTCAGTTGATGAAAAATGTGAAAATATTCTTTATTACTCTAATCATAATATATCTTTAGCATTGGATAGCCCTCAAGGCCTTATAGTACCTAACATTAAAAATGTTCAAAATTTAAGTCTTCTGCAAGTTGCCGTCGAATTGAACAGGTTAATTAGTTTAGGTGGCGAAGGAAAACTAGGACAAGACGATCTGTCGGGTGGAACATTTACTCTTTCAAATATTGGAACAATTGGTGGAACTTATGCTTTTCCAATTTTAATGCCTGATCAAGTAATATTTGAAATAACAAATAATCAATTCATAACTTACTGTTCTTTCTTTGTTATATAGGTTGTTATCGGTGCATTAGGAAAGTTAAGAAAAATACCAGTTTTTGATGAAAATGAAAATGTTAAAGTTGGAAATGTTATGAATGTTTCTTGGTCGGCTGATCATAGAGTTGTTGACGGAGCATCAATTGCCAGATTTTCTAATGTATGGAAAAATTATCTCGAAAATCCTGAGAGTATGTTGTTAAACATGAAATAAATTATCTGATAAATCAAATGCGAAAGTTTAGAAAAATATTAATTACTTGCAAATATATTCTTTATTAGAAAATTTCGTTTTTCTTTGTATTCGAGCGTATAGAATTGTAAGGTTTAAGAAATAAAAGAGATAACTCTTAGTGGTTGTCAATAAATCTATAAAATAAGTTTATAGGAGTTCTATAAGGCGCGCAAACAGATGAATAAACTTTTTCGAGTTCAATCCACCGATTATGAGAAATATTCTCTCTACCAGGTAACTCAAACTCGAATTTCGTGGAGGTTTTTTTAACTGTGCCCATGCTCTTTAGATTGCACAATAGGAAATAACAAGTTCTCAACAGTGTTGTGAAAGATTGATAGTCTTTCATATATGATACTTGGTCGAGGACGAAAATTGTTTAGTCAACTCTATCGTCTGAAATACAATATGTCTCTTAGCACTGTTTACGTTAGAAACGTTGACGATGAGGAAAGAATTCATATTAATTTTACTTATAAATTAAATGATAAAACTAGGGAATTTAATATGAACCGGAGTAAAACCGAAAATCTCTCAGAAACAATCAATAGGTTATCTCAAAATCTTATTAAATGGATTGAAAAGTAAGTTTTTGATTGGTTAAATGAATAATTTGGATAAAAAATCTCAATTCAACAGATCATCAAAAAAGAAAAATAAACAGGATATTCAATCACCGACTGAGATTGATATATCTCTGTTAGAAGGTGATCAAGTTATAGACCTATCAACAAAAACTGGAGACGCTTGGAAACAAGACGGAATTATGAAGATCGCTGATGAAAAGTTTAAGATTGAAGTTAACATACCAACTATTCAAAGTATTAATTTATCAAGTAGTATCCTTGCTGGATTTCCTATACTTTTTCGAGTTGAAAGTGACTTTACGGACCTTCAAATATCAAAGTTTACTTGGTCAAAAGAAGTGAAGAAGGAAGTAGAATTACAAAATGGTAAAAGGGTTGTAACCACAAGTTGGGTTGAATTATCTAACGAAAGAGAATTTAGACCATCCGTTAACGATATTGGTTGTAGAATAAAATGTACAATTTTACCAAGGAATAAGGATAAAAATGGTCAGGAAAAGAGTGGAGAGTCTAAATGTACAATTAGCGCTGGACCAGGCGTATGTCCTTTCGAAGAACGTCATTTATACACGACTGAGCCTTGTGATAAAGATAGGTTCATTTAAATATTTGATTTATTTTCTTGTTTTTATCACAAATACCTATTTATTACAGTATTCGAGTTGTTACCTATAACGTACTGGCTGGTTTATACGCTGATACAGACTATAGTAAAGCAGTTTTATATCCATATTGCCCTGCGTACGCCCTTTCAACTGACTATAGGAAACAATTATACATAAAAGAATTAATTGGTAATTAAAATAATAACAATATTAATAATTCAACTATCTAACAAAATTTCCTTATTTGAAGGTTTCAATGCTGATATTATTAGCCTACAAGAATTAGATAAGAAAATCTTTTATAACGATTTACAACCAAAGTTCGATATATTAGGATTTGAATGTTTCTTTAGGCAAAAAAAAGAAAGTACGGGAGAAGGATGCTCTATTTTAATAAATAGAAACAAATTCGAGTATTAATAAATTAGTGAATTTAAGTATTAATAACTCTTTGTTTATTTATTTATTTATTTATTTCAGATTTGTAGCTGACTATAGCATTCATCTGGCTGATTGTATTGAAAAAGATTACAATTCGGATGTTAAAGATAAAATACTTTCTAAAGATCTATTAAAAGAGAAAATTATGCCCAGAAAGAACACCTTACAACTCATACATGTAAAATGCAAAGGAGGTAATAGAGATGATATCTTAATCGGCAATACACATTCATACTTTCATCCTACCGCGGATCATATAAGGGTTATTCAAGCTTATTTAAGCCTTAAACATATGGAAATGGTTTTGAAGAATTTAAAAGTAAACAAAATTTGAATTTATTGATAATTATTTTTTGTTTGAAATATACTATATTTATCTTGTTTTAATCCTTTTAGGACGTTAAACCTAAGATAATTTTCTGCGGTGATTTCAATTCGGATCCACTATCTGGTGCTGTTCAATTGTTACAGGATGGAAAAATTAATAATAATCATAAAGCGTTCTTTTCGGATGGTGAAGCTCAGTACGTTCCAAATTGGAATTTTGAATCGCTGTTCAAGTTCAAAAGTGCCACTGGTTACCCCGATTACACAAATTATATAGCATCTTTTCATGGATGTCTTGATTATGTTTTCGTCGAAAGCGATAAATTTGAAGTACTTAGAACCATACCAATGCCGGCACATGAACATGTGACACAGATGACCGCTCTACCAAACGCGGTCTTTCCGTCTGACCATTTGTCACTTGTATGTGAAGTGAGACCCATTTGAATAAATAAACAATATAATAATATGAACCGAAGTCAAGACGATTTAATTCAAGTACAAAGAAAGGTTTTTCTTTCTATTTAAGTTCTGTAGGAAACCTTTTATAGGAAAGTTTAAACTAGAAAATTGATTTTCTTTCAAATGATCAAACAAACTCGTTTTATTTTTGTGGAGGTTTATCACATAAAAAGTGACAAATTCCTTAATTTAAGCTAAATTTAATAAAATAGCTAAAAGCACATTAACATTATTTCTTTTAAATTTGCAAAAATAAAAATAAATAACCTAAATTGAAGAAAAAATTTAAAAATATTATCTATCTTGTGTGCAAAAGAGGAAAAAAGCGGAAGTTGCAAAAATATGTGGATTTTTTTTATTTAAGTAAAAGATATGTTTGAATTGTAAAGAGAAAATAAAAGAGATAATAGTTGCTGATAGAAGAGCAAAAGAAAAAAGATAAGGAATAGAGAAACATGTGATCACAGCTTTGTAAACGTAATTGTTCAGTCGAGTTGTTGGAATAGAAATTTAACTTCTTTTAATTTGGAGGCAGATTTAATCAAGTGTTTAGGTGGTTGGGGGGAATCGATAACGTGACGAACTTTACACAAAAGATCATAGCATTCTTTACACTTAGCATGACGCTCTTCTCTTGATATGTCGACGCCTGGAGCACCAGGTGGAGCGGATACGTTAGCCTTTACTACTGATCCAAAACACTTTAAGATGGTTTTTACCGAGTGTAGACCAACAATGGCATAACTGTAAGATTATTTTCATGATATTAACCTTTTGTTTTAAAGATATCGTTTTAAAATTATGCTTACTTTTCGTATTTGCTTTGGAGAAGCTGCAATAAATGGGGCAAGAGAATAACAGCTAAATCCAGAGTCCACAAGGAGCTATGGATTAAAATGATTAGTATGCAAATAATTGAGGAAAATAGTTTTATTATTTACTTTTTCTTTATAATAACGTCCAATATATCAACGAGTATGGATTGATCCTTCATTCCTACAGCCGTTTCGATAGAAGTTCGGATATTTCCCGTCGTCCATAATGCTCGTACAATCTGTAGGTTTTTAGCTCTTGCTTGTAGGACACCAATCATTGAATTGTGCCCCTTATTTAATGTTATTGGTATCTCAGATCTAGCCAGTTCAGTAGACTGTACCTTTTTCGGTAGAAAATCATCTGGATTCACGCCCCCTTGAGTCAGTGGTCTTCTTTCCTCCTTTTTAGGTTGGAACATTGCCCTATATTCGTTAAGATTTTTAATGTCAGCTTTGTCTGAATCTTGTGATTCCGTTCTAAAATCTTCTTTTTCAAATTTATCCTCCTTTGGTGTGTTACTTCTTTGAAATGCTTCATCTTTTGCAAATGACCTACGCTTGTCTGAACTTCCCTTTTCTGTACGATCAGTATCCCTTCCAGAAGCTCCAAATGGTCGCAAAGTATTCTGATCAACAATATAAGTAGATACGTTTGATCCCAGCATCGATACACCAACAATACGATCCTGACAAAAAGCCATATCGCTAATGGCACCCCAACCTGTTTTCAAGGAGTCTAAATATTCTGTCGGCTCCCAACTATGAACTTTTAAATAATCATTAGTTGCAGCATATACACACTTTTCGGCCGGATGAAATTTTAAACAACGATAATCAGTTGTAGTATCAGATGGTTGACTGCTACCAATTGATTTAAAGACATCTATGTCCCAGAATGTTAGTGTTTTATCCGTAGATACTAAACATAACAAAAACTCATTTGGATGGAATTCTACTGCTTTCACCGGAGCCGAAGTGGCTAACTGTGCTATTTGTTTACCAGAGGAAATATCGTATATTTTTGCTGACGAATCGTCAGATCCAGAACAAAACCATTTTCCATCAGGACTAAACCGAACGCAATTAATCCCGTTGGTGTGGCCTCTATAAGTGAATATACAACCCTTTCTTTCGACATCCCATAATTTTATATTACTATCGGTACTTCCACTCAGAACAAAACGCTCACATGGGTGGAATTCGATACTTTTTATGCTAGATTTATGCCCATTCAGAGTTCTCACAATTTTGCACTGTTCCAAATTCCACAATTTCAAACAACCAGACGCAGAACCGGCTGCGACAAGTTCTTCAGTTTTGTTGAATTGTACGCAGTCCACGCCGCTTGTATGGCCCGAGAGAGTCTGTATAGTTTGTTCTAGTTCAATTCCATTCAATGCACAATGCATTCTTTATGAATAGAAAGCGATAAAGAGATTGAAAGACATTCAAATAAATTTAAAACTGTCAAGAGCCGTTATAGCCTTTCTTAGGTTGAATCCATCCTCTATGGATTCTTATTTCTTGTCAAAAGATATTGAAAATTACTTATTAAAATGTTACAAAATTACTTTTCTCTTCGTTATCGCCCTCAAAAACAAATAAATTTAATAATTACCATAATACAATTAGGCTTATCAGTGGTCCATAAATTAACTTTTTTATCTTCACCACCAGTAGCCATGACTCTCCCAGAGTTTTGGCCAAGTGCAACACAGTTAACTTTGGAAGAGTGGGCTACAATCTCTTCTATTAAAGAAAGATTGAATACAAATTGTAAAAATGAACTATTAGTTTACAAAACAAAATTTTTTATTAAAACTTACGGATATGATGGTATTTCTTAGCTGATGAAGCCATATTCACTTTTATACTATCACAGTCAAACTAAATATTTTTGGACAGCTTTGGTCTATTATATTTGGGAGAATTACAACAGGTCTTTAACCTCTTTAATTCATACCAAAAAATTAAGTTAATAAATAATCCCTTTCCATTAATTTAATGGCAAAATTAGACGATTTTTCCTTAGTGATTAATTTGAGCGATTTTGCAAGAAATACTTATCACATTGGAAACAGGAAGTTGTCACACGATAAACGCATTTTCGTAAATATTTTTTTTCGAACCAATTTTCATAATTATTCTATTATTACTCAATTATAACAAGCAATTACGATATTTACGATAAAATCAGTCATTTTTTTAAAAATTCAGAACATAAATGAAAAACGATAAAAGAAAGAGTTAAGAAGTTTATACTGGAAATAAAATATGATTAAAGAAACAATAGCTAGTCTAAATATATTCGATAAACTTAAATTTTAATAATAGTACACATAGATATATGTTTAAAATTTTTAAGTTTCTCTTTGTTATTAAAATTAGTATATTCATTCAAAGAATGAGTCGAGTTAATCCTAATGTTATTGAGTTAGGTAGTAATATGAATAGAAAGAAAAATATATAGAAAAATATAGAGAACAATAGAATATTTTATAATCTGTTCAAAAAAGCTTGGCCTATGTTTTCTTATAAATTTGCTGTTTTTACTTTGAAAAATGTCATAGTTATTTTAAAATCAGTTTAGAAAAGTCTATAATAAAGAATGAAAAATCATAAAGAGATCAATACTAATAAAAGTAGCAGAAGTATTAATAATAACAATAATAATAATACATCAGATTTTAAACGCTGCCAATCCTATAATGAACGCTTACAAAAGTGTAATCAAACGATAAATTGCTATTGTGAAGCCTATTGTAATTTCCAGAAAAGTCCCGAAAACAAATCTATTGATAAGGATAAAAATAATTCTCCTAATAGATTTAATTCTGATATCGACGATCTCTTATCGAAGAACAGTGACGATGACAAAGAAAAAAGTAAAGAACCTATAGAAGGATTTATGAAAAAACTGGATAAACGTACAGGAAAAGTTATAATTTGGAAAGCAGAAGTTACAAACGACGTAAAATTTCCCGGCATAAGTGGGTGTTAACTTAAAAAAGCTTTATGACGAGAATAAATATGGCTAATCTAATTACATAATTAATAAAGTACTTCAATCAACCTCTACATTAGACGATATACTTAAATGATTGACAATATTTTGTTTTATTTAAATTTATTTCAAAAAAGGAACAATTAAGGACAATATCCGTATCCAATAAAAATAATCACATAATGATTAGTATTTGTTTGTATTGAATTTAATGAAATTACGTTACGATAAAGTATTATGAGCGAATATTTTACATTTCTGAATGTACCTAAAAGAAGAAGAGAGTGTTCCATATACAATATCCTCATTTCTTGTCTAGTCAATGTACACATTCCTGAATAACAAATGAATATCTATCGAAATAAAAATGCTGGTGAGTTAAAAGAAAAAAGGAGAAAAGCTTAAGTTTTTTAAACATTTAAGCACATCTTAAAAAACTTTACAAGTTTTAAAATAACATTGACAAATTATTGAATATTATCAATCAAAACAAAAATCTTGGAATGTAGCAGAGAAATTATACACACACACACATATATATATATATATATGTATATATATATATAATTGAAATCACATAATGCAGCTGTTATTTTACAACCTTAAAATTCTTTTTGTAAAGCCTTTCTTGCTGCTGTAATGTTTCGTTCCAATTGCTTAAGTTGTTCGTCGCTAGCATTTTTAATAATGAATGGATGTCTCAATAGCTCTGCCGCCGATGACCTTGCATCCTCTTCTACCTTTAGGCAACAATCCAAAAAGTCCTGAAAAAGTTAAAAATGCATTATTCATAAATGTTCTCTCAAATTGTAATTTCTCAGTCAAATTACTTGTAAATCGTAGGAAATATCCTTCTTCTTAATTTCTGGCTTTCCATGGGAAGCAATCAAGTACAAAGCTCTAATTGGTTGTTCATTTAAATATGGAGGTTCGCCATCCAACATTTCAATAACCATAATCCCCAGAGACCATATATCCACCTTATTACCATATTTAGCTCGTTGAACCAATTCAGGAGCCATCCAATAAGGTGTTCCCACCATAGTATTTCTCTTTTCAGCAGCTTGAGAAATTTGAGCACAAAATCCAAAATCAGTTAACTTTACCTGTGTAAATGATAAAGAGAAGTAATTTTATGAATATTTTAATGGCATTGTACTGTGCTATATCACTAACCTCGCCATTCATTCCTAATAGAACATTATCAGATTTTATATCTCTATGTATAACGCATAATGAATGTAAATATTCAAGGGCTTCAAGGCATTTCTTGCATACACTTGCAATTTGTTGTTCACTTAATATAGTTTCAGTAACAACATCGGTTAAAGCTCCTCCAGCTAAAAACTCCATAACGACCCATAATTCTTTGCCAACTAGAAAGCAGTCAACAAAATTTACAATAGCATCATGGTGATATTCCTTCATCACTCTAATTTCTGTAATAATTAATTCTTTCTTAGGTTGATTATTCAAGTCCATTTTCTTTATTGCTACCAATTGCTTATTTTTTTTATCCAAAGCTTCACAGACAGTTCCGGATGCACTAAAAATAGACATACATTGAAATGTTAACTATATCTGTAAAAGAAAATCTACTTAGAATAAATTCAAAGGTTCCTATTGTTAAATTTTAAATAGTTCACACGGAAGAAGAGTGAAAAAAAAGAATTAAAAACGTAGAGGATATACTTTACCCTGAGCCTACTTTCTTTTTTATTTCGTATCTTGTTAACGGGTCTACAGTTTTATTAACCAGTTCGTCTGCAAAGAAAACAAAAAGTTAAACTATACAGTTGTCAAACTTTTTAATTAACTTACCTAATTCCTGCATAATCTGTTCATCAGTCTTCTTGATCTTTTTTATCGATTTGTGACGTGTCAAATCATTAGCTTCATTTTTCTTGTAACCTTCTATGCTAATTTTCTCAACCTTTTCGTTAATCGCTTTTACAGGCTATTAGAATTATTTAGAACAATTTAATAAGACATTTAAAACAATGTTTACATGTAAAAATTTTCATTATAAAAGCTTTTGTTATAAATAAAAAAGAAATCAATCATTTCAACTTCTATTGTATATGTGTTAACATATTTAGAAAGAGAGAACTCGCAGATCGGTAAAACAAGGTTAAGCTATTTCGTTTGATATAAATGTTATTCAATGAGCTTAAAAAAGAGGTAAAGTTAGAAAAATGAATACTTTAAGGATTACATTCTATTCTATTTGAATTCTGTTCGTAAGGATATAAAATAATATTTAAGCATATGAAGCTTAAGAAGATGTAGGAATTGTTAATTAAAAATAATATATTAGACGTTATTAGTACTCAGCAGTAGCTTGTTAGGTTAAGCCTGTAAAGAAATATATTTTAATTAACCTGATTTATCGTTGATATTGGATGTGTAATTTCGGTAAGTTCCTAATTCATTTGACAAAAATTAATACAAATATTTTACCGATAGCCCAATTATTTAAAAGTATAGTATATATATATATATATATATTAGTAGATACTTGCATATTTCTACATATATAGGTTATATAGTATATAAAAGTATGAAATCTATTTATATTTATATTACCCTAAACAATAAATTTTATAGTCAATAAATAAAAGTTGACTTACAGGTGCTTTAGCGACGAAACCAGAAATCTCACCTTCACTATATTGAAGAAGATTTTAAGAATATAGGATATATTAAGATATAAGCAAATAATCACTAACATATCTCCTTCAAATGAACTATCATTTGACTGGCATTCTTCATTCATAAATTTAGTAGGTTTATGTTGATTACTTTCAAAAGTGTGAATGGCATCAATAACTGCCTGAGGATTTTCATTTTGTTCCTCCTTGCTGTAAAAGTTGAAAACATGCAGGAAATAAAGTTTCAAATTATTCCCTCCTTTAAATACATGTAATATATATGTAGTATGTATATAAAGTAAAAATTAAATCGATACAAAAAGTAACTATTCAATAATGAAGCTAAAGCACATACGTAATTTTATGATCTTTCAGAATTTGCTCCCAATTATCAGGTAGACCCGTAAACTGTTGTTTCTCTTTGTCAAAAGCCACATGAATATGTCTTTTAAAATTTGATGGACCACTTATTTCTTTGATAGACGTTGGACTTGTGGGTGTAATGTAGTGCTTCCCTTTTTTACTACTTTTAAATAATGATGATAATGCCATGGCTGTGAATATATAAAGCAAAAGCGAAAAATTATCGTTTAAGCATAAATCACCAGCAAACAATAAATTATTGTAACCAAATACAATGACTGAAAAACTCTCTTTAGATAAAACCAAGGGAAGTAGTATTTATTCTAATAATAAAAATAAAAACATGCGTAAAAACAACTAAGAAGTATGATGGAACATTTTACCGAAAGTTAACAGGATTTAAAAGGGAGGGGGGAGGTACATTTAAAGAAAAGTCAGCTATGGAAGAGTATTCACTTCCTTGTTTCTTTTCTCATTCTTGTGGATGTATCCAAAACGCTCCAATTCAGGAAAATATTAGATAAAAGTATGGAATGTAATGTGAACAAAAATTCTAATTACCACTTACATGCCTTTTACTATTAGAAAAGCAAATGAACTAATAGATTAATGTCAACTGATTGAATAATTTTAATTGGCAATCAGGTGAGCTTTCTATTGTTCCAAATGCCACATTAAAATCGCTAAATTTTTACTCTAAAAGCTTTGAATCCATTAAGGTAGTGGGTAAATGTTTTTGTTACATAAAATCAACAAAAAAATGATGATATGTAGCGTTGCAAAAAATAATAAATCATAAATAACGGCGACCAAATCACAGACTATTCCGTACCTAATTTGATTCAAACCGAGCGTTTGCCATTCGGTTGGTAGATTATAAAAGGTTTTTGTCCCTTCGTCATATGTTACATGATGTTTATGCGTGACTGCCGTTGGAGACGATATTTCAACTATTGAATTACTTCCTGAATTTTTTTTCGGCTCTTTGGTTGAGAAGAACTCTTTAATTCTTCTCATTTTCCTGTATTTTCTTAAATATGTTTGAAAAATTTTTATTAACAGAAGCTACTGTAGAGTTAATTGAAAGTTGAAAAAGATTCTTCTCCATTCAATCTATGTAGACTGTTTAAAGCGATAACATATAACGGTACATATTGCACTTTTCAATATAAGTTTCTTTTGTTTTATTTTGTCCAATATTTGTTGCCCTTCTATAATAAATTATGTTTTTTTTTCAGTATCTTCTTAATGCTTATATATTGATCCAGCTATTTTAATACTTTTAAACAATATAGATAGTACTTGAGATACTTTTAACGCCATGAATAAATTCTTTGAGGCGCTCATTTTACTTTGATCATTACCTAGTTATATAATAAATAAATAATCATCAGCAGCCTATTTTCTATTTATGATTATTTTTTAAATTTTATTCAATACATTTTAATTAATACCACCCTAAACAAGTACATTAATTAACCGTCAGGGTGTGACTAAGACGATAAAACTCCGCTATTCTAAAGACTGCAATATCTTAGCTGTCCTTATAAAAAGTTGTACTTAATTAATTAGCTAATCATTATTTATATTCTTTATCAGCTTTAGATGACATAACATAACGAAACAAATAAACTATTCACCTTTTCACAACTTTTTCGTCGTATATTTCCAACAGGAAGTAAAGCTCAGCAATCAATCCGCAGTAAATGTGAGTGATAATGAAACAAATTATACACAATAAATAATTTTGTACTATACTTAAGAAAAAAATAGGGTTTTTAATAAATAGTAAATAATATAAATTTTGCTTTATATGAATATTTTTTTTATAAACGAAAATAACGGCAGCCATTTTAGGGCACTATTGTCGTATTTATAAACATGTCGGATGATTATGAAAACGTTTCTAAAGGATCTCTTAAACTAAAGAATGATCATGGTATAAAAAAGAAAAAAAAGAAGAAAAAGAGTAAAGAGCTAAAAGAAGAAATTAAACGAACCAAAGAGTTGGACTATACGGAAAGTGACTATGTAGAAACTAAGACTAAAGCTGAATTAGCTTATGAAAGAATTCAAAAGCAAAAGGTTCATTTTTAAACTAAACTCTTATTGTTAAATATTCTTACAAAATCCTATTTTTAGGCTGATGAAAAAATTTTGAAACGAGCGGCTTTGACTCATAAAGAAAAAATTATTGTAAGTATCTACAAAGCAACAAAGACTAGACTGTTCTAAATCGTTGACTATTTTCAGAAATTTAATAAACATCTAGATGGAATGACAGAACATTTCGACATGCCAAAATTGAGTTGGACCAAGTAAAATAAGATTATCATAAATGATTTGATAACACCAAACTATTTGATGGACAACAACTACATCGTTTAAAATAACCATTTTAAAATGTACCTCTTGTAAGATATGTTAGAGTATGTCAAGTGAAAATTATTGTAAATAATACTCTATAGTCAAAAACATAATTTATCATTTTTTAATAAACATAAACAAATAGTGTTTCTTTTTTTTTGCAGCTTAGTTGAGTTTGCAGTCAGTTGTACTATTCTACTTCTTTTTAACACACTTTTGCCATCCTAAGCCTCCGCATGCTATCGATACTATAATATAGAGAATTACCTGGAAAAAAGAAACAGAAACTTTTAGACAATAAGTAAAGTCAAAGACTACAACTGAAGTAATTTACCACTGAAATAACGACAATAATTATTGTTAACTTAACATTCTTCCACCAAAGCGATCTTGCAAGATTTCTGCTCTTTGTTTTGAACGTCATTGACTAATTAAAAAAGATAGATGTTTAGGTTAATATGTAAGATCTGCAAAAAAGGGAGAAAAATTAGCTTACACTTGTGTTTAATTCCTCTGTTCTATCGATGAGTAATTCTAGTTTTTCACCTCTTTGAGCCAAATCATCTAAAAATATACAGACATATTTATTTGCTTCTTTTAAAAAAAAAACACTGACCTATGTTTCGAACGAGACTTCCCTTAAGTTCGTCCACTTCACTCCGAGCCTTAATCAATTTTTCACTGTAATCATTTCTAGGAGAACCACCGGCGGAAACATGTCGCTAGAGAGAGGAAAAAAGGAATAAAAATTTTCACCAATTTTCTTCAATATCTTATAAAATATTTACCATTTGAGATTTTAAAGTTTGAGAGAAATCTGTATTCATGGCAAATGGTAATGCAGTCTTTGCCCTGTCACCATATTGTACTTCGAATTTCTTTTTAATATATTGCAGGAAATTAAAAGCTTTTGACCTCTCAAATGCCTAGATAAAAACAAAGATGTATTTTGATCAATAAAAATTACTATTTGAGTACAATGTCTTTTATAAAATATCTTAAAACAGAAGAGGAATTATTCTTTCTTTTAAATATCTTAATGATCAAAACTTCAACTTGAATAAAAGATTATCTGATTAATCTAAGATACTTACGTTATCTGTTATGCACAAATACACGATACCTTTGTCGCATACGTAATGAAATAAATATCTATGATTGAATACTTGAGTTAAGTTCGCATTAGATTTAGAATGTTTCTCACACTTACTCTCCGTGTGAATAGGTCATCCTGTCGCTGTCAGGTGAGATTCTTGTTAACACTTGCTGAGTAACATCTGTAAAATTTCCGCTGTATCCAGCATACTGTGCAAGAATTGTTGATCCGCGTGAAATTACGGAGTACAAAATAGGCATGTTCAAGCTGTGGGAGGAAGTACAGGAAAATTATTAAACTCTTAAAGGAATTTCGCTAACTTATCATTTAAAACTATATTTAGCTCAATGCTTAGATTTGTATATAATCAATGGGCAATTCTTCGAAATTGATACGTACCGTTAAACATCCACTTATTATATTTACAAGAACAACAAGCTTATCACTGTCATGTGATTGATAAAGTTTTGGCAAAATCTTTACCAGTTTTTATTGGTTACATATTTCCTAACATTAACGACATCTGGTGCATGAAAGAATTATTAAAAGAAAAGTGTAGGCTTTTAGATGAACACGAATTTTTGAGAGCTGGTAAAGCGATATTCTGGCCTTTATGCTTAAAATTAATACCCAATATGTTAAGAATACAGTTTTCATTTGTATCGATATTTAATTACCTTACAAATATCGTTATTAATCATTTCTACATGCTCAAAATAGCTTGAAATTAAAGTTTAAAAAAGGCCTGTGTCATCGAGTCCATTCCATAAATGGAACAAATCATGTCATTCTAAAAAATAAACCTTATTATATTATAATCTCCAGTTTGTTTTCATTTTAGTTTTTAATAAAAATCTGGAATAAAGTTTATTCTGTTTTTTTTTTTAAAATAAATTAAAGCTATTGATATTTAAGATGATAAATAACTTTTTAAGACCAGAATATTTATAATAATAGTGTAAACGAAGGAACAAAGTCACATAATTACAATACTATGCTTATGCTAATATTCTTGAGTGTTCGTAATTAGGGTTTTACCACATTCCTGATGTCTAAACAGAAGAAATTAAGTTTAATTTAAAGACAAAGGGCCTTAATTGTTTAGGGCTGAATATCGATTATTTTTTAGCTGGATACAACATCTTCTTTTTCATTTGTTAAGTATTCACTTAACGTTTTCCTTTCAATACTCGGCGACAATAGTTGATCAAACCACCATTGTGTTTTTACTGCTGAAACATCAATTTTTTGCTCATTTATGGATCTTGCTTTGTCGGCTAATCTATCTAATGTATGATTAAATTGTCTTAAACTCTTAGAGGATTTGTATCGTGTAAGAGTTTCCTCCGTTTGAACTGCTACTGATGAAAGTATAACGAAAGACTCAAATTCAGCACTATTGTCCTCACCATTTTGCCAGTTATGAGCCGTTTGGGTTCCTATACATAATTTATGAACCTTGTTCGTTTGTACCTCTTTACATTCATTGGAAGGCATCACTGTTTGTGTAGACTTGTCCATAACAATACAGAATTGATCGTCTTCCTCAAAATATGGTGTTGGTCTCATTATAATTGGAGAAATTCTTCCATCATCCTCTTGGATTGCAACATCCTGAGTAAACATTATTAGATTTGTTTCTATTTTGCCTTCTGGGTCTGCAGAGTTGGTAGAGGTAAAAGCAGATCGTCTCTCTGCTATATTCTCTTTTTGATTAGTGATTTGACTTGTTATTGTATAAATTAATTCCTCTTCGCTTATGGCCGATAATTCCCCAGGTTGTTCTGTGTCATTTATATTGTCCAACTGGTCCATTTCAATGACTGTAACCGGTGACAAGGCATTTGGTGACAAACCGTAAGCGGACGGAGAAGGAGGGCATAGTCGGTCTTCATTACTTCTTATTGATAAACGTCTAGACGGGGGTTGTTTGTCGTCTGAACGAAAAATTTCGGCAACCTCCAGTGATGAACTTGATTGTTGAACAATTGTAGGTTTCTCATTGACAACAATTGATGGAAGAGATACTAATTTTTTACCATCATCAACTTTGGTTTCCACTTCTTTTTCTTCTAAAATTTTCTCGATTTTCGAGACTTTTGGAATAGTTTCCAGTTCCTTTTTTTCATCCTCTTCTTCGTGAACTGGCAAAGATTTTTGTTTCTGGTTAGCGTACTGACCTCTTCGCCTTTTGGCTTCCTCTAACTTCCTCATACGGGTTTTCATCATCTTTTCATACCATTCTTTCGCGAATCTTTCGGGTAAAATATTAGGCGTTGACCCGAAACCCAAATTCATCAGGACATCCTCTGCTGGAATGGCAAAATTTGATGTCGACGATAAACTTGATTCGAAACTTGATTTCTCTTCAAAACATTCCCTTCTTCTTGAATAAGCATTGTCAAATTGTTCAGTGCTTGACAGACTGCTTGAAGAGACTGATGATGATGATTCCTTTCTTGGTGGTCTATTTGACATGGGAAAATTAATAGGCTCTTCTGGTAAATCGTAGTAATTATGTTGAGCCCAAGCTCCAAAAGCTGCACCATCGTCAGTCGTGATTGAACTTTGCTTGGAGAAAATTGAACTTAGAGATGATCTAGAGTGTTGTTGACTTGAAGTAGATGACATATTATTTTCCTGTTTACCCTTGTCTAGCAGCAGAGTCTTTTCTTTTTATCACCACGCCTAAAGCGTCACGAGAGTTATCGATTAGCAGTTAGTCTGTAGGCATTTCTTTGTAAAATAAATACCATTTTTTCCGATTATCTCTAGTCGCTTATCTTCCTAACTGTTAGTCGTCCTCTACTGCCATTAATCAATTATAATATGCAAAACAACACTTTATATACGTTTGTGTATAAATTGCACACGCATGAATGAAGGTATATTTCTAACAATCTAATATTAGCCCGCAGATGGCGATAGCGTTGAAAGCTTTTAATAATAGACGTTTTTAATCATAAGGTATTTATTCTTCCTCTAGGTGTAATCATAAGTTATCTTTTTTTGGGTGGAAAAAATTAGTGCACTCTTCTCTACGTATTTATTTTTCATTCAGTAGTTCAAATGTTGTTTTTGCTGCGAAAAAGATGATGGAAAGAGAGAGAGAGAGAGAGAGAGAGAGATTATCTGTTAGGTTGATCAATTTCAACTTCCTTTTTCGACTCTTCTTATTTGATATATTAGCTATATTTGAGAAGGGAGTTTAATTTCAGCCGTAATCCTACAATCTCTTCATTAGCCGGCATACAATATCGATTTCGGAAGTAAAAATAACTTGTGAATCATCAAATTTTATTTACCCTCTTTTTAATTCCATAAGAAGCTTTTTTTTATCCCTTGGCTTCACAATTGTCAATTTTCATCTTCTTTTACAATTTAAATGAGAATTCCTCTAACAGATTATAATAAATTTGAATTGAATAATTTATTTATTGCCTTTATAATATCAGCTTACCCACCTATGGATATTCAGAAAAGTTATGTAATATATGTTGAAATGATAGATATTCTACATTTATTTTAAAAAATTTGATTACTTTCCGATGATTGATGAATAATTAGTTAACATTAACAGATTATGAATAATACTAAATGTAAACCTCAAACTGTATAAAAGGTGAAAAGAAATTATAAATAATAGTCAACTCGTAAATTAACTTATTTATTTATGTGTAAGAAGAAAAATAGTACAACTGTACAAATATAATTAACTAAATGGAAATTTAAAGAGTTATTCTAGAGAATTTAGCTCTATCGAGTTGATTCGTAAATGAGTCATGGCTTCTTGTCGGACTGAGAATAATATGAAATAAAAATTTATATTAGAAAAGAAAGAGTTAGTTAAGAATTTAAAAAATATTACTTCTCATTCTATTGTGACTTTTTCGGCGTATATAATTAAAAAATATTTTTTCGTGTCCTAGCGTTTTCTCAATGACTGTTGCTTCAACCTTGGCCATGTTTTCTCTGTTAATTGTAGAATTTAATTAAAGATATGATCTTCTTAGTGTCAGAATGAATAACACTCACTTTAAGACTGGTCTACCAACAAGGCTAAAATCCGAGCTTCCAATTAGTAAAATCTGTAAAAGACAATAGTAGAAATTAAGTCTGATTGCTTATAAAATGAAAACACAATAGTTAATTAGAATTTACCTTATTTAAACGAATTTTCTCTCCAATATCAGCTTCGAGATGATATTTTCCGAGAACTATAATATCCCCTTCGGTTACTTTATATTGGGATCCTTTAATATGGACGACGGCGAATAAACGTCCGGCTGTTCCTTGGCTTATTTGATTTTCAACCTCGGTCTGTATGTTTTTTCTCACTTGAAGTGATGAAGGGACTATGGCCGAAGAGTGAACTGAAAACAGTACAAATATTCATCTAACACCTAATTTTGTGCAAAAGATAATTAAATCTGTCGTCACAGAAGAGATATATTATTTATTAAGGGAAATAGAGATAATTAGTAAACCTATAATTTGCGTTTTCGTTTATTGTTGATATTTGTGGACTTTTTTTTAAATGCAATAATTCATTTGTATTAGGAATTTCTTAAGAATTATCTATTTTTATATAGCAAGAACTACAGGGAGTTTTCATCTAATTTCCGCTAAATTACAATAAATGTAAAGGAAATTTTTTTGTCTGATTTTGACAAGTAAATTAATACTATCCATTTTTTTTTGCAATAAACGTGCCACTTGAGAATTTTTACAAAACTTTAAATCAATTATTCCAATTTAGGGCTTCCTTGGACCTCATGAGATTTGATTTGATACCTAATTGACCTCCAAAGAGTATATTTAGATTTTCTTACTGTTCAGCACGAAGCATGGGACAAAAAGTTTGTTAAGGCCACTATTAGGTATAAATACTCTATATAATTGAATAAAATCAACTAAGAGATTTTAAAGAGATTAGATTTCAAGAGTTTCAGCACAAGCGAAGTTCTTACAAGACAATGTGATGCCTATAGTATTTCGACAGAAATTTATGCTCACTTATTTAAATATTAATTCGCTTGGTAAACTCTACTCACCTCTCGATATTCCCATTAGTCGTGTCGCGACATTCGCACAATTTTTAAGAAACATGCTTGCCGAATTTTTATAAACAATTTAAGAACGTTTCGCCACAAGGCTAAGAGTTACCGGTTTAAATTAACTTGGCTTGACTCTGTTCAATTTTTCGGAGAGTTTTTTTTTAACGGGAACACCTAACCAGTTTACATACATGTAAATTGTAATAAAGAAACTTTTATTATCAACTCTCTAGGGAAAATAATGTTATTTTTTTCGTTTTTACATGAGAAAAGAATTGTGATAATAACAATTTTTTGTTTAGAATAAGTCGTTGAAAGTAGTATAAGTACTTTTTTTTTCATTCGTAAAGCTTTCTACTTTTAGTTCTTATTGTCATTCGTTATTCTGAAGAACTTGGCATAACATACTTCATAAAGAACGTTCTTTTAACCTAAGGACTGCAAAGAAAATAAAAAGGATAATGTTGTTTTTTTATAAAAAAAAATATTCTATATTTGACAAGATAAATTTTAATTAAAATAAAGAAAAACATCCTTTTTTTTAATTTAAAGCAATTATCCAGTATTGTTATATTTAGGCCTAAAATGATGGTGTTAATTTACCAGTTATTCAACATGCATCCTGATGCAGGACTAATAAATAGACGAATCTATTAATAGATAGATTAAAGGGAAAAAAACTCTAAAATTGGTTTGCGGTTGGTAAAAACATATCCTAATTTAAAGTAATTTATAGCAAATTTTATTAATATTAGATAGACAACAGTTTATTATAAGAAGCATTTTATTTGATTTTTAAATTCATGATACTTTAGGCGTATACCAAATGTATAAGAATATAACAGATATATTACTCACATAAGCATACAATCACTCTTTAAATCAGTATTATACGATAATATCATATTGGCATAAAAAAAAAATTAGAATAAAGTTAAACTTCACTTCTAGCGTATTCTTCTTGATCTGGGCTAATATTTCTTTCTTCATATTTTTTCCATAGAGCAGTTGTTATATCATTCGTTGTTATAAAATTACAATTATGGCCGATCAATCTTATTAAAAAGACTCCATCTTGACCTAGGTAATCATCGAGGAATCTATTGAAAATCCGACCATTTTTGTCAACGTTAAAAGTTATATGATTCAGTACATATTTAACTTTATCGCATCTCAGTAGGGACCTCACGAGCCAGAATAGTAGATTCAGAACAGTAAGAATAGAAACTGCCATAAACCAAAACCATAGGAAGAGATAAATTACTTCATTATACATGTTTATTGGCAAAACACATTGAACGGTATATTGTTGAACATTTCCGACGCGTCGTATTCTAAAATCGCACATGGTCTCTTTGGGGAAAGCATTAGACAAGGAGTGACGCCAATGAGCTCTCCTTCCTTCAGTTAACAATCCAATACCAAAGTTGCCATAGTTAATACCTAATACGCCATTTAGAGCTAGGATTTGGGAAAAGACATTAACAACGTATAAGATCTTCGAAATGAGGAAGACAGTGAGGAGGTATGCACTAAATCGTCCAGAGAAAATATTACCAGCAAACTTCAAAAGACAGTCGAAAGTTCCAGGATGTTGATTACGGCTCTGTTGGCTGACCGACGAAATATCAGAGGTGGATATATGATGCCTCCTATTGAGAAGGAGAGTACCATCATTAGGAGGCGGTTTTCTTTTTCCTTTAACCAAAAAGAGATCAATTTGTGATGTTAAATGGTCCACCATCTTTTGTCTGTCTCCTGGATTCTTAGAATAAGAAATCTTATTGGCAGCCCTAAGTATATCGTCTGAGTCGACTCCAGCCTTTTGGTTCAAGCTATGCCAGAAGAGTGAGGGTAAATAAAAAAAAAAAGCTTGCCCCAGTAAAATAAACGGAATCCACTGATAGTAAGGTATAGTCTTTTTCTCCTTACTATGATCGATAAGCATGTCCTTTGGTAAATAGTAAGTGTTATTCACCCAGCATATTGCGTTCATAAATTTCCGATGACTTCCAGTAAAATGTTTTGGTTCCCAACAATTGAGAGGTTTACCTATAAAGTACTGTTGACTGGTAACAATCATCGCAAAAGCAACAATTATAATAACAGTATAACGCGAATTTAATCTATCTATAAGATCATCATCCTGCTTGGTATTAACACCAGAAGCCTTTATGGTTTTTACAAGTTTGTCCATATCTGAAAATATTTATATTTATATGAATAATTTACAAATTAACTTTAAATAAAAATACAAAAATTCTATTCCCTTTTCAAATAGTGTAACTAAGCGAATGTAATTTATGACAATTATAATTTTAATGTTATCCTTTTGTTATACATATAAATAATTAAGAAGAAATAGAAGAATCGTCGTATAGACAGTTAAATAATTCATTTAGTGTCTAATAGAACTAAAAATTTCGTAGTTAATATCTTTGAATAGAAACAGAAAAAAAAGTCTGAGTATAATGTCTAGAAGGGGGAAAAACGTTCTTTAATTCACTTTTTGTTAAGGTGCTGCTAGTATACCGCTAATTATTGGTTATTATTAGTATTAGTAAAATATAATTGATATAAATTACTTCAAATATCGTAATAAACTTGCAGATTCTTCGATAATCTGTAAACCTGAAGAAGCTAAGAAGTGGTAGACCAAAGAAGCAATGGCACGCTTTTTTGAAACAAAAAAAAACTTATTTGGGCTAATTTGGGTTGCGGAGACCATTTCAGTATATCGCCTTTGTTTATATGACAAATTGCCATAATTAGTGTAACCCAAATATACCTTAAAGACCTAATATGGCGGATAGAATAAAGAAAAAAAAAGCTATACATAAATTTTTAGTAGAATTTATCAAATTTCAGTAATTTATTCTTTTTATTCTTTTTTTTTATTAAATTAATAAAAAGTCATTTTTTTAAAAATCATAATTTTAAACGAATTTTTTTCGTTTATAAAAAGCTTCGAAACTGTTCGGGAGAAAAGTTAATGAGAAATAACATATTTTTCATATTAATATTGTATATACTTAAACAATAAATGCTTATGATTTAAAGAAAAATTAATTAAATATGACTGCTGAAGCTGTTTTTCCCTCCTGCCGCTTAAAGTTTTATAATAGATGGCGCTTGATGGAACATAAAAAAGGTTGTAGAACAATTGTCGAAATTTGTGAATTGGTTAAATATCTCGCAAGAGAACGATCGAATAATCATATTCTCTTTCAATAGTTTGAATAGAATTTAAAATTTTCATCCTTGAGATTATAATGCTGTATAAATATTTTACCCGATAGATCATAAAAAAAATCCCTAAGTTATAAGGTTACTTCCATAAACGAAAAGTGAGAGATAGAGACTTAGGAAAGGGTGTTTGGTTAAGTTGTCTCCATTCTCTTCCTTTCTTTATTTTCTAATATATAAAAATGCACGCAAAGACCTATTCCTCTTAACATTCGACATTTCTCTATTCTCATTCTACTAATGGCCTATACAAAGCTCATAGACTAAACATAAATGTTATATAACACGATTTTCGTGTGCTTTAAAAGCTTGGCGTACATTTAATGCGGTACTGAACTAAACCAAATTTTTACTGTTGCTTATTCCATATTTATTTACGTTCCGTGTTAAAAAAGTCAATAGAATACAAATTAAGAGAATTCTATTTGGTATTTACCTTGAAATTCTGTATAGAAGTCAAAATTTCGATCCAATTTAATGCATTTTTTCTATATAAAAAAAAAAGAGAACAAAAAAATTCTAAATCGATAATAGAGGATTATAATTGATAAATCATTTTCTTGAAAAAAGAACTTTTATGAGGAGGAGGAGGAGAATGCTGGAAGAAGACCAGACGAAAAAGAGAAGGGGAATAAGAAGAATCGACAACAGTAAATTTTCTATAGATATTGTTGTTATCTTTAATTAAAGAAATGAAAATGGTGGCTCCATACTGGGGAAGGCAATCATTGATTGTTAATCTCTAGACAAAGGGAGAAAATGATGAAGAGAGTATAAAGTGAGGACAAAATCTAAGCTTACATGATATTTGGAGAGAGTGAAAAATATGGGAAACTTAGTCAGAACAATCCATTTTCCATTTTCCTTTCTTTATTTCAAAGGCCTGAACCGTTAAATAAAAAAGATTTAATGACAGAATTATTTACAGTTGAAATAGTTGGTATTGGCCTTTCTCTCTCTCTCTTAATGGTCTCCTATGGTGTATTGCTCTATCTATTGTCTATTTTCTTGCTAGCCTTCTTTCCTCATTAGTATGAACACTTGAATAATAAAAGAAAAGTAGACGAACTACCATTTACTAATTAACAAGTTAACGTAATGATTCCCTTGTATAATATACAATATATATTATATTTATATTCGATGAACTATGTAGAGGACTATTGAATCTAGACAAAGCGACAACAAATAACAAAAAAGAATTATATCTACTATTAATTCTATTATCACGTGAATAATTGTTAAAAAATACGAAAGAAAAGTTAATGTATGGTTTAATAGCAGTAGGAGGAATAAGGAGAGGGAAATAAAGGAATCAGCGACAGAGAAAAGCAGCTAGACGGGTTAGTCTTCTTTAAAGCGCATCAACAGGAACCTCTCGATGCTCGTAAATTTCACCCTATTACCCTGAAATTTGGACGGAACATAGCATTAATAACACCCCCCTGTATTTATATAATCGATTGAGAATTCTTACCCATTCTTCAACTACTTCGCAACCGTCTGGTAGATCAAAAAAGTCTTCAACTCCTTTAATGCCATATTTTGTATTAGTATATCTGAGATTCGCTAACTGTCCAGCTTTATTTTATAAGATAAGATTAAGAAATTTTAATTAAAAATTTTCATTTATATGGTTGATAATTTACTTAGTGTTGATCCAAAAATGGATCTTTGCTTCTTGAAATGGCTTTTCCAACAATCCCCAGTTTTAGCCCTTGTAGGATATTCCCAAGGTATACAAGGACTTTCACCCTCGTAAATCAGATAGTCTGTAAATTTTTCAATAGTTCAAAGAGATTCATATAGTTAATCTTAATTAAATGAAAACAAAAATATACAAACTATTAGGAACGGTCCCGAAAGATGTATCTTGCATGAAACTACTATCCATAGCATTAACCTTAAACAGAAATCTGACTGGGAATCCCATAAGATCGTAAGAATAATAGTCAAAGTTAATTTTATGTTCTCCAGTTGCGTACGAATAAGGTCCGTGATTAGTGGCATTATCTATGTTACAGTTAATTAATTGATTAAAATGGTTAGGAAATGCAGAAAGTCTCTAATAAAAGAAATTAAAACAATTCAATACGTCTCATACCGGGAAGACAGGCTGGATACATTTTAACATCGCCAACGGGACTAACGACGCAATACGTTTCAGTTTTAACGAACATTCTATCTTTACCATGATCGACGACTATTCGAAGGTTATTAGACGCGTTCCTAATGTCGAATCTATCGAACGCCCAACGTTTTTCTAGGTAATCGTAAACTAATTTTCCTCTATACGAAAAAATGGCCTGGTCAGCTCCTTCTTGTGCATTTCCAGCAAAATACATATCTGCAACATCCGAATTAAATTTCGCAGGACTACAAATCCTTCCATAACTTAACGATATAAACTGAATAAAAATTAGTAATATAACTAAAGACTCCATTTTTCTTTCCAGATATTTTCCCAATTTTTTCTCCTTTATTACACACAGTCTAAACGGTCTTGAAAGAAAAAGAAAAACAAGAATTTGCTGTCTTCTTCAACTTCTTTCCAGTTATAATTTTTCTTACGTGTTACTAAAAGAAAAAAAAACACCCGTCAATTCCCATCCTATCATTTATTTCGTTTCTCTTCCTTCGCGATAAGACGTATAATTGGTGTTTCAGTATTTTTTTTTTTGCTTTTTTTTTATTAAATTCTATTTATGTAGGCCTATCGAAAGATAAGAAGAGAGAATATGTGAATTTTTAAAATATTTATCAGTTATTTGAATTGTGTTTTTTGTCTTTTTGTATTTCATTAATGAACAAATATCGTATTTATATATATATATCTGGTTCATGCTTCTTCTTAGTTTATCTGTTATATTAAATAGCAATGTTGGGAAGGAGTATGTGAGAAGGAAGACGCGTAAAATTCATCTTAAAGTTCTTTCTCTCTCTCTCTCTCTCTCTCTCTCTCTCTTTCTTTCTTTCTCTCTTTCTTTCTCTCTTTCTCTCTTTCTTTTCTGGGGAGGTAAGGGGAAATTTCTTTTTTTCTCCTTTGAAAAAAAAATAGAAAAAAGAGAAAAAACAAAAAACCGAAAAACAAGTTAAAAAATATGGAAAGAAGTTTGTTCGAATATCGTCTGATTTTGTTAATATCTCTTTTTCATAGTAAGGAATCGTTTTCGCTTCCATTGTCTTCCCCAGTTGATAATTCTCCGTTGAAATCTGAATCTTCGAATTCTGCGAAAACAAAAGACAGAATGACTTATAGAATGGATCGTCATTATTCTCTTTCTCTCTCTTTTTCTGATATTAATCGTTTTAACTATCTAATTTCAATGGTTGCTCTTACCCGCTTCCGAATCGGATATGGTAAAGCTGCCATCACTGTCATCATCATCATCGTCGTCGTCGTCGTTGTCGTCGTCATCTTCATTTTCATTATCATCACCTGCGTCTTCCTTTTCATCGTCTTTCGGTACACGATGATATCCCTTGGGCGCCGCACCCTTATACTGTTTAGCTACAATGAAATGGAACTTTTGTAAAAATAACCCTGAGGGTTAAGAATGGTTCAGCTAGGTGCGCGAACTGACATATTTGATGGAGACTATTAGGCAAATCGATTAGGGACGTTAAACGAGCGCTTCCTATTGATTAGTCATCGAATAATCGTATAATTATTTATCAACAACCTCGCTCAATCGCTCCGTATAAACATTATAGCGTTTATTTCAACCGATCGATTTCAACGTCAGCCGACGCGTAATTGAACGATAATTTATTACTCTCTACGGATTACAGATTATCTATACCTCGAAAAAAAAACCTTTTCTAAATGACCTACTGTCGCCTAACAGGTCGTGAATTTGCAATTGGCGGGAAGGGAAGCGTTGAGTATCAAAAAAAAAAAAAAACTGAAGGCGTCAAAATATTAAGAGGAGTGGGAGAAGGAAGGGGAAGAGGTAGTTGTCTGTAGGGTAAGGGGCAAGCTAAAAGGGGGACTAGCTATTTCCCCTCTTCGTTGACAATAGGGCTTAATTCTTTTTCCTTTAAACAGGTATTAATAGAATTTCCAAGCGAGCGTCTACTCGAAAAAAGTTGACGACGTCTTTTTAATAGAGATACTTGACCATAATTCTATTTCATTTTTTATATAAAAAGCTTACTTGTCGGTAGACTAGGGAAAAAAATTACTAACGCTTTGATATTAGCGTCTCCCCAGTTGGTGGATTCATCAAACTTAGTAGTGGAGTAGGAACATCAGAACAACGGATAATATCGACCTTGACTTTGGCCAAATAACCTCTCTCCTCCAAAGTTCTGCACAAGTCTAAAGTCGAATTATTCAAGGTATATAATAAGCCACCTTTCTCAACCACTTGAACTTTAAGGTTATCACTTTTAGTGGAGAACGCCTCGATAACATCCCTTTCGTATGAGGATGGTGATAATAATCCAGGTTCTTTTGAAGCGTCCATAAAATGTATGGAAGAAGGAGGAAGGCGAGTCATTACTTATATTCGCCCAACATATCGTTGTTGTCTGACTGCGGTAGCATCGGCCGTCTAGGTGGCGTTCCCGCGGATTTGTTAATTTTACTAGAAAGAAGAGAAAAAAAAACATATTTATGAAATATGATAATATTACAAATAGCATGTTGCTTATTAAATGATGCATTAAATGACAAAGTCTTTATGAGGAAAATGATTTTTCTTCTCAACGAATATTCAGTGATTCAATGCATTTCTTTTCTTTATTTCTCTTTGATGGAACAATTACAGTGGATAGGAAACGTTGGAATAGAGTAATAAATTTTCGTTTAATTACGCTTAACAAATTACGAAGCGTAAGGCGAGAAATCTGCCTTGGCCTATTTTATTTCCTCTTCTCTCTTAGAATAGTTTTGGATTAACCCTAATTCTAAGGGGTTTTAAACTCGGCTTTTTAATTAATATACAGTTTCTTTTGTAGTTATCAATAGGAATTGGGCGGAAAATTTCTTCATTATTTGCCCCTTAGCCGTCGGGCGTCTAATGCGTCTGTAACGCGTTTCGCTTGGTCTCAGCTGAATTCTAAACCAATCGTTGAAATGTGGAATAATACAGGCCTAGAAGTATAATATTGTTATCCTAGTTCTTAGTGAAGGAGACGACTAAGAGGAAAATAAAATAAATTTGTGTCAAGCTATAACTAGCGACATCTGGTTGAAAGCACTTTGACCTCTTAAAGTGCTTTCAGGACAATATGCTTGAATTAGATGAAATAAAACGATGCTATCAAAGAACTATCACAGAGGGGTTCGTCAGACGAACTCCCCTCTTCAAACATATTCAGCAGCTTGTTCCAGGGCTATCGAACACGGTTCACTGTAAAATGGAGAGTCTACAGTATGAAGGGTCTTATAAATTACGAGGAGTATCCAATCAAATGATGGATTGCGACCCCAACTTAACTTATACATCCATGTCAGCCGGCAACTATGGAAGAGCATTTGCTAGAATGCTTGAGCTGAAGAAAGGAAAGGGCATTTTATTTATGCCAGAAACGGCCCCGAAGGAACGCATGGAGTATATCAGGTCAAAAGGCGTTCCAGTTGAAACGCGTAAAACATCAGAACTTGAAGGAGCCGTTCAAGACCTTGTTCACACGTCGAATGCAGTTTATTTGCCATCCTATGATGATAGACGACTATTAGCTGGATACGGTGGAATAGCCCTGGAAATAATGGAAGATTACCCCGAGGTCGACGTCGTAATAGTACCCTGTGGCGGAGGCGGGGCTCTTGCAGGAGTTGCAGCTACATTTCAATTAATTAAACCTTCCGTTAGAGTATTCGGGGTCGAGCCAGTCAATGCATCAACAATGTACGAATCTCTGCGAAAAGGTGAACCCCAAACTTTAAATAGGAACAATCCACCTACCATTGCTGCCGGACTAATGCCGCCAAATGCTGGACTAATACCATTTCAGATCATCTCCAAAGCCGTAGAAGAGATTGTTCTCGTCAACGAGGACGAGATACGTAAAGCGGTTTTAGACTTGTTTAAGAGTGGATTAAAGGTTGAAGCATCTGGATCTGTAGGCATTGCAGCTCTTCAAAGTAATAAAATTCCTAATTTAACGAAGGATAGTAATGTAGTTGTTGTATGTTCAGGAAGTAATGTAACAATTCGCGAATTGTCTAAATACGAAAATGATGCTAATATTTCATTATAAAACTTTAAATATTGCTTTGTATTCTTTCTAAAATCATTCTGCAAAGGGTATAGAATAAACTGTATCAGTATCAAAATATCCATTGATCTAATGTGACCTTTTTGACAAATAGCAATATTTTACAGTTAACAAATTAACAAATTTTTACAACGTAAAATATACAACAAACACTTTAAAACGAAACAAACGAATTGAAAGGAAGAAGAGGAGAAGAAGAAAGAGTAGAAGGAGAGAAGACAAGGTCAAAGAATACAATATATAGTTGAAAACTTATTGATCTTTATCTAACAATACTTTTTTATTGTTCTTTTTATCCCATTGAAGATGATTCACTTAGAGTTTTCGCTTGGCCTAATTGTCTTGAACAGGTTTTACAAACTGGTACTGCAATCGGTCGTATGTGACCTGGAAGTGAATGAGCTCTGCCAATGCAACGCTCACAGAATAAACTACCGCATCGCCAGCAATGATTCTAAAAAGATGTAAAGAACGTTTTCTACATATTGAGAAATAAATTAGTATATCTATCTAACCTTTTTATTATTATGATAAAGAGGAGCCGTACAGCTGAAACATTGAGTACTTCTTAATGACCTCCAATCGACAGCAACAGATCGCAATTCGTTAATTAAGTTCCCTACCTTTAAAGATGTAAATCATTAGATATACCATGGATAGTTATATATATATATATGCTGTATATGTAATAATTACTTGTAAGCATTCTAAAGACGATGAATGGATGAAAGAAGATTCTTCAAAACCGGATTCACTTTCATCTGGACTAGTTAAGGAAGGGGTAGCTGGACCAGATATAGACTCGTCCAATATCTATTAAAGAAAATTATTATTTGTTTTCGAAACAAAAGAATCAATACATCATCTTAGACTGATAAATCGAACCTGTAAGGTACTAAAATCCATAGACTCCGACGAGGAAATCATTGATATTGAATCCTTTATCTTCTCTTCCTCTTTATTTAATAAATTACATAGAGTTCCTATTCTAGTTTCCAATAGCTTTGTATGCTCCTATAGAAATCAGGATAAATCCATTTTATAGATTACACAATACGAAATTAGAAAGTCAATAACCTTTAAAGAGAATATATGTTCCTTCAGAGCATTAACAGTATCAGCGACATTTTCTCTAGGTTGAATACCAAAATCCCATCTTTGGTACATGCTTCTCCAAAACCTTTTAATAGAAATGTATCATCTTTCTGATTGGTATCATGACAGTAAAAAAATATGTTTTCCATTTGCCTACTGACCTGATTAGAGAAGGTGATGTATCAGGTTTCAATATTCTCAGATCCGTATGACTTTCTTCGTCTCTCTCATAAAAGGGATTTAGAAAATCGTTAAACTTTCCACGTAATTCACTCCATAAAGAATATGTGTTCTCTCTTAATCTTAGATCTAATCGATCTTTTTCACAATTTCCGATAAAATTCCCAAATTGACATGAGTAAATATGATCATGCAATTCGAACAATAAACGCTCGTTAAACTAGTAGGAAATCATTTAAATTATTATATACAATTTTTAAATATGGAGAAATAATCATCTCTTCTCCTTTCACTTACTTGAAAAGCTTTTGGAAATTGGTGTGTTAATTGCCAAACGCAATCCAAGAACTGGGAAAACACTGGCGAAACCTCATTGCTGTCTGTTGTTGATAAATGCCCGCACCTTTCAGAGAATTTATGACCAAAGGAGAGCCACTCTTTTAGAATGAGTATCTATCATTAATAATATAAATTGTCTATTTATATAATGAGTTGATCTAAGAAAGAATATTTACTTGAAATCCTTCTATTGTTCTATAATATGGATCAAGCATAATACTAGCTAAAGACGTTGTTTGAGAAGTTCTGTCCCAGCCATCTGAACAATGCACTAAAACGCTGGTTCCAGATTTTATAGCATCGACAACAAAGATAGCAGCATCCAAGATATCTTTTATGTGCTTAAGCCACCCGCTATCTTTCAAGGCTTTAATCCAACTAGTCATCGACAAGTCTCTTTTTTCGCAAGCTAAAGGGTATTTAAGGATGTTACTTTGTAAATTAATTCAATATTTTTGAAACAAACCTTCCCTTAGGTTATTCAATGAGTTTCTCATTACGTGTATATTTTCAATTCCAGCAAAATGAAATTTAATATTCTGATAATTGCTTTCGTTCTCGTAACCTTTCCCCTTGGCGCGGTTGGCCAACGCATTAATCTTTAAAAAAATTTATCATTATATTTAATAAAAACAAAATTCAAATGGCGTCTTTCTTACCATAGGCCTATTGTCTACTACAAACATGTAACTGGAGTTTTTATTTGAGGAAATAATACATTGGAGAAATTCTTCATCTTCGTTACAACGAGCTGTTAGACCGGATAATGGTTGTGCGCATCTACAGATAGCTGCCGAACTTTTTTCGTGTAGGTAGGAGAGTACAGGAAGTCTTCCTTTACTTCTGAATTTTGATGTTCCAGTTATTAGAGTTTTTGATACTCCTTTTGGCATGTATATAAATCTTGGATAAGTGTCGCATAATGCATAGTTGATTGTTTGCTGTATAACGAGAAAATAATAAGTAAATGGAGAATGGGAAATGACTTTCTCTTCGTTAAGTATCTTTCCTTATCGGAAACCGGAATAGATAGGATTAATGCTTGACTAAATGTTAAATTATGTAAGATTGCTAAGAAATTGAAATGGTGGAGAAAGGGAAGAGAAAAATCTCATTTCTTTTGTATTTTTCTAATTATAAATACTTACGTCATATCTAAACCAATTTGAGTCTTTAATACCCATACGATCGTAATCTTTCTCCAAATCGAACACTTCCCAACTTGACTCTTTACTCTCGTTAGCCAAGTCGTTAGAAGGTGTAAAATGAAAAGCAAAAAGTTGAGAATATTCCGCTGTATAAACAAAAAAAAACAAGTCATACAATCACAAGTTATAGACCTTTATATGATATGCAAATAGAATAATAGACTAAAATCCTCTTCAGGATCTTCTATGCTTTTTTTTATTTTGTTATAATTTTCTTGAAAGTAAAAGACAAAAGGAATAATCTTAATTAATTAAACAAGAATAAGTTGACTACTAATAACTTCTATTAAAGAAAGCAAACAAAACGAGACAAACAGGTAAAACTATATTAATACAGCTATTTCTTTATTATTATGTTTTTTACTATTAGCTCGATCTTTGGTCTATTAGCGCCACGATGAAATAAATAGCAAAATAATTAAATTGATTAGAAGTAGGCTGGAGAGAATTAGAAAGAAAGAAGAGAAAAGAAGGAGAGAAAAAGCGAGGGTGGAGTAATTTGAATAATAGCAACGAAAACAGGATAAACAAATTTTACATAATCATAAAAGGAAAAAGCCATTTCTAATCAAAGCAATTAATACACTACACGTAGACAGGTATAATGTGAGAATTTTCTGCTTTCTTCTCTTTCGACTTACAGAATAAAGTTGAAAGGTAAAGGCATAGTTTTGATGTTTTAATCAATACTTAATACTATAATCTATATATATATCTAGATATACATACATACACATAATAGTTTAGCATTATGTGGAAAGAGGGAAAACGTAGATAATACAGTTTGTATAAATGGGAATTAAAGGTATGAATAATAAAACTAGATGAAAAAGGCGAGCAAAAAAAATCGAATTTTGCTGTTATTTTCAAGATTCGAAAGATTTATAGACGTTAATTTAATTGATTTTAACTTAATTATTTTCCGTAAAAGCTTACCGGGTTGAGAAAGTTTAAGAAGAGAAGAGTATACATCGTGACAATCCCTTTCCTTGGGTATTATGAAAGTAACCACTTGAAAAGTTTTACATCGTATAACTAGAGGACATCCATTAGGACTTAAGGGCTGCTTACATATACTTCCAATATGCATATGCAAAATCTGTGAGGTAAAAATAGCAAATAAACGTTAGTTAGTTCAATGATATTACGTAATTATGATAAAAAAGATATTCTCTATCTATAAAAACTTACTATACAGATTTATAACTGGAAACAATATAAATAAAACCTGATATACACTTAAAAGGAAAAGCCGCAAAGTATATTTGCAAAATACTGGGGAAGGTATTAATTATCAGTAATATATATACAAAAAAACATTACATTCTTTTTTTACTTGGTTTGTCAATGTTTACAAAGATTTCCTATTATCTGCTACATTAAGAGGAGTGAAAGAGTGAAACATGTATAGATACCCATATTTCTTTTTTCGCCGAAGAGTCCACAAAAATAAGATGTGTAGCTGTCAGGTAAAGAGTACCTTTGGCGGATACAGTTGCCTGTTGCTTCTTATTCTTGACACCGTCAATTAATTTTACATTATCCACCTGTCAATAATGAAGGAATGTTTATGTAAATATTTTCAATATAAATGAAATATCGATTAAGACAATTCTATTTCCTTTATTGTTTTTCTTTGTCTTCTCTCAACGTTCTCTCCCCATTTACAATTTTGTCTTTATTTATATTTATAAGAATTGTTAGTTTAACTTAAATAAAATATGAAATACATAAGAAAAACTAGGAATCAGCAAAAGTAAATTAAACTGAGTGCGCAGTTTTTTAATATTAGATTGTTTCTAGTATGTTCCCATCTTGCTAAAAACAATACAGTTCTCTAAAGAATATAGGCAACTTTCCATTTATTTGGAAAGTTATACGCTATCTATACTTTGAAAATGTTGCAAACTAACGACAAAATATAGTTTTCAACCTTAAGCGTTCCATCTTCGAATATCCAAATATCTTGAAATGGTATAATGTCTTGTAAAGAACCATGCTTTATTGCATTAAAGGCTCTTTGAAAGTGGGCATTATTCATAAGTTCACTCAAAGCAGATTTCGGATTACTACTCATCGAATGACTCTTGTCGTTGCGACTGCAAGTAATCTGCAATGGCGTTAAACTGCCATCTGTTGTCAGTCGTCTCGTCAAGTAGTTATACTAATTAGGGGGCGTTTTTAACACAAATTATCTTATTACCGAGATTGATCATTGCTCGACTTTACATCTTAATAATACTATTCGCATTATTAACCCCATTCTTTATTAACTATATAAATTAGTGGTAAATTTCATTCCAGATGTGTAATCTAGACGTCTAACCTTACCTTCGGTGTTCTGATATGTTCCATTTTATTGAGCGATGGAATGAGTTGAGACAAAACGTATTTCAAATTGTAAGCCAGTTTAGCTCATATTTTTTTTTAATTTCCCCGTAAACTCGAATTTTGGTACTTCCGGTATTTCAGTTTGCTTATGGAAGAATATACTGTACATTTTATCGAACTGGCAACACTTAGCGACATCTCCTGGCTGATTAAGTCATTGATTGTACGATCAACTTAAAGCGTCTCTTTATTAAATCTCTAACGAAAAAGAGAAAAAAATACATTAACTAAAAAATCTTTTTTCAAATGATAGAATTTATGTTCGCAAGAAGGTCCCAAGCTAATGCATCATCATTTTTGGCTTTTTTCCCGGAGGCGGCATTGATGAATTAGATAATATGGGCTTAGAATCCTCTGCAACTGTTTTAAATAAATTTGTTTGTATCATTTTCGTTTATAAACAGTAGTAATGAAAAAAAATACACAGGAATCACTATATAAAATGTTCTATGAACCTGAATGGCTCTTCTTTTCCGTTTGATTATTTTCCACTAATTGCATATTTTCAGCTTGTGGAGGTTGTGATATTTTAGGTGGATATTTTTTCGCTTGTTCTCTCAATAATAAGTCTATTCTATTCCTTTGAAAAGACGATCCATAATCTTCATTTTTTGGAACAGTTTCTGCTTTACTTTCTGAGAGATCATTCTTAAACTGCCACCAATATCCAACAGAAGGATGATAACGGAAATATGATCTTACTATATGAATACATTAATAATCTTATTATATCTATATTTATAGTAATTTTCTTTTTTGTTTACCCTCAGCAAATGCAGATGATAGATTATGAGTTGCGTTTAGCTGCAGTATTTAGAAAAATGTGTTGAAAACAAATACAAATGAATTTATTTATATCAATTTACCAATCTCGAGTTGAGCACAGAAGACAAATCCGGAGCCTGATAAATGGAACCATCTATTATGTAGTAATCACAGATAGTAGATGCTGTTCCGAAAGATAACTTTATAAATAAGTTAGAGGTTATATATGTATTTTCCTTTCTTTTTTGTTTTTATACTAACTCTGAGTTGGTGAATTTCTATGAATTTTACGTATTACGTAGAAAATTGGTTCTTGGGTATGTATTAAAAAATATTCGATTCCAGTCATATTCTGTAATTGGTTAACTTTCAACCTTTGCATTTTTATAATTTCGTTATTGCACGTTCTGTCATAGAAAGGACTTTGCGAAAAATATTCTAATATGTTTGAGGGATTCAGCATTGGAGTCCAAGCACTGTCTCTCCACATAATATGAAGGTGGTTATCTGAACCTAAAAAACAAATCATTTTAATTGGGCGATATTATATCTAATTATGAAATATTCCTGTTATTTACTAATCTTATCAAATATTAACTATTCTCTATCATTTCTTTAAAATAACTATAAATAGTTAAATCTATGAATATCAGAAATTAATTACCTGTCGAATTTTTAGCCATGTTTATTTCCTAATTTCAAGAACTTTCAACATCCGGAAATCGGCTGAAAAGTGTTCTGTTCCAGGATATTTCGCGCCTGAAACCTTAGAGTTTGATTACCGCTTTGAATTACCTCTAGAAAAGCTCGAGGTTAAGCATCAACACATATGTCGTTTTTTAATTGTCATATCATCTTGTGCATATTGACTAAGTAAACTACCCTTTTGTAACAATATATAAGTAAATAGTGATTTATAGGAAGTCTAACTTAAATATTGCATAATAATAGAAACATTCATAAAACACAATATTGAAATAGTTTTGCTTTTATCCTATATACCCTAACAATAAGTTTTTTCGAAAATAACAGTTGGAAATACTGCTGTAATTTATTCAAATCGATTTGAAGATAAACCACAGCAGAATAATCTATCTAGTTTATTGATAAGATAATATTATTTCACCTTTATTTCATTCATATAATCATTTCTTTCAAACTATATAATTCATTGAAAAACTAAACAAAACAATTTTATTAATTGCTATTGATTAAATAGAGAATAAACTCAATTCTTAGAAATTATGCAAGCTACTCTTATAGAGTAATTGTATTGAAAAAAAAACTATTCGAGTTTCGTATGTTTTCCATAAGGCTAACCAGTTTTTATTTTAATAGGCTGCATAACAACGGGATAAACAATCTTAGATCTGTTCGTTTTATATAGTTAAATAGAAAATTATATGTTGATAACGGCATTATGGTATAATATTTTCAAATATTTATTTTAATTAACGATTAAATCAGCCAATGTTGTTTGAATAGATAGATAACAACATCTAGCTTATCATTTACCAATTTGACAATTACTTAATTGTTCTATATATGGTACAAGTTTTCCATTTTATTTCGTACTATTAATACATATATATTTAAATTTAATGTACATTTGCCCAAGCATAGTTATATTGTTCTTATTCTATTAAAGACGAATCTCTTTTTAGGGAGCAGAAGATGGAGGTAATGGTGATAAATATGTTCCTCATAATTGGAAAAAACTAAGTCCACAAGAAATAAAGAAATTGCATCCAACTTTAAGAAGTCGCTATTTAGCTGTAATTTTGTTATATTTACTCTTATAAATTAGCTGATATACATACAAATCCTAATAAACAGTACGAAGAACCATCAAAGAGGGTTACTGACCTTCAAAGTTCCATTAAAAAGCGTTTGTATGAACAAAAACAAAGGGAAGAAAAGTTTGTATTTGTTTTTTTTAAATGATCAAAAAAAACGGAACATCTTTCTCTTTATTTCAGGCAAAAGTATATACCTCCGGAAGAGATAGATGAAAATGAGAAGCATGAAAAACTATATGGACAATTGAAAGCTGCCGAAGCTAGAAATAGGTAATAATTGCGAAAATATCTCTATTAATAATTATATACAATTTCAACAATTCCTCTTTTAGACTACGATTAATGAGATTAAGATTTCAAGCTAATAGATCGGAAGAATCTAATCATTTGATAGGGTGCCAACAAACAGCACGAAAGGCCGTTAGATTAGAAGCTTTTCTTACTCCTTATATTCCTCATAAACAATCAAGAGGAAATCTTAAAAATCCTCTAAGCAAAATAGATGTAAGATTTTTTATTCTTAACCTTAACAATTTGCTATTTTTACATTACTTTATATTACGCAGAAAGCCAGACTTGAGGGGTTGATGGATGATCCGGACGGGAGAATGATTAAAAGAACATAAAACAATTACAAAAGAGTTGTCTTAGCTTTACTTAACTATAATCGCTTATGATACAACCAGTTATCTGGATTTCTTATCAATGCATTTTTAGCTACCCAATATAATTTTCGAAATAAAAGTTAGGTTTATTTAGCAAATCACTGCAAGTTAAATCTGAGAATATATTGTCATATATGTGTTAAACATAGTTAGCGGGTATTTGAGGAAAAGCAATAAGTCGAATTATTCTCTTTATCGCGTATTCAATCTCATTCCTAACTTTCTCTTTCTGCCAACTTTGCTTTTGTCCATCGACTTTAGAACTCTTGGTCTCGATGATGTTCTTGACGTTTTAGAAGCCTTACTAATCCTTGATACGTTTGAGATCTGAAAGTACAAAGCTTAAGTCTTGGCCACACCTGATATAATAGCTTACTTGAGAAGCTGCTCTTGAAGATTGTCGGCTGGTATCTAATCGTTGCCTTTTTGGGGATGTTGGAACATCATTTTCTTGTTCTTCATCTTGAGAGGCCACCACTTCGTCTGATTCTTCTCCTTGTGGTTCTATAACTTCTTCGTCATCCGAACTTGATTCCGGATCGCTCTATACTTATAAAATTTAGTTGAGTTTGTAACTGATTAGTCCTTACCTGAGCTTCAATAGCATTTGTTAAGAGTTCTGGATCAATTTGGAAATCTCTTGCTGTGCTAATTTTAAAATTTGACATCAAATCTCTCTTTGTAATTTTATCCAATTTTATTAGTCGACTTTCAAACTGCTCCATCTCGAGTATAAGTCGAGGAATAAATTTGTTTTGTCTTGTTGTACGAGCGTCCACGTTTTTCTTTTCAACAGCTTTTTCATGGTGAGATTTCTGTAGGGCAAATAAAAATTTATTAATTATATAAAAACTATAAATGGAAAAACAAAATACTTTTATGTAATTAATAAAGTCGTAACAAGCTTTCTTAAAATCTTTGCCCAGGTATCTATTCAATCTTTCAAACTTGTTCGGGAAAACGTATTTGAGACTTGTATGAGCGTCGATAAACTGTAGTTTTTATAGAATTATTAACGTAAGAAAAAGTAGAGTTGAAATACAAACATATTTCGTAAAGGATTTCAGGGTGTTATAAATTTCCGTCGAAATTTTAATCATACTGTCGATACAACTCAATGGCAGAGCACTTTGCATACAATCTTGTAAAGAGTTCGCCATCCTAAACAATTTTCCACAAATACTCTTTTCAATAGATTCTTGTGACTTTTCTCCACAATCCTCCTCCATTTTTAGCTGATGATTAAGCATAGCAATCAACAGCTTCATATCTTCCATCTCCTTCTCCAATTCGGACAAAATGTTGTTTAAAATTGGCCCTCCCGATCTAATATTAAGACACGAATACAAATCCTCCTGAGAGTCTTCATCAATTGTTGCATTTTCTTGGTTAGTACCAAAAATTATTTGTAGTTTACTGCACATTACTTCCAATAGAGGATCCAAGTTTGAATTTCTTCTTTTGATCATAAATGTCATAGAAAATAAGGACTTTAAAAATACAATTTCACTAGCTGAAAGACGAAATTTTAGTACATGCAAAATAATATACTAAATTACTTCTTACAAAGATTAATGTCTCTGCATGTTTCATCTAACCACTTTTCGAACTCAGTCATAGTTTCACATCCGACCTGAAGGTGGTAGCTAAGAGTATTCATGATACTAAGAATGTGAACCGCATCTTTATCCATATTGGTCAATTTTAAAAGTATTCCTTGAAGCCGTCCTATGAAGGCACTGATGGCTGCATCCTTATAAGAGGATCTTTGAGACAAAGCTTTGTCTGGAATGAATGAATTTTAAACTAAAGAAACAACATCAAAATTGCATTTTGCTAACCTATATCAGTTAAAACTGGATTCAAACTTTCCGGATAGAATTTACTGAAAGCTTGAAAGAGGTAGTCCAAACCTTCTATAGCGAAACCCCCTATCTTTTTGATATCAATATATTCCATCTGATTGTCATCAGCATAATTCAAAGCTATCTTATATAAAAACCTATTTTATAAGAAATATTAGTTCATTTGCACGATAATGGTAAAATGATGACAAGTTACTTTGAAGTTTTATACAAAAATTTTACAATGAAGTTTTCAAATTTTCCATCAGGTCCATCACAAGTTCCCTTAGAAGCTAGAGTAGATAATTTTTGAACCAGACATGATACGATATATAAGACGAATTCTTCATTAGTTCGAAGTAGTTTCAAGCCATCTTGATGATCAGGATCATTATCGCTAAATATGTTTAATTTTACTAGACACTATACTATTCATTTAAATACTTACCAGAATAAAGTCTTTGTTACTAATACAATAAATCTGAATGATAAAACCGAAGTTATCGGACACTTGGTTGCAGAATTCCCCTTTTTTTTTGCAGATTTTTCCATAAATGATCTCAATTTGCAGTATAGAGCAAATAATTTACATGTTTCTTCAGAAGCATTAATACTGTTGAACGTAACTTATTATACTAAGTTTTTGTTTAGCTTAGCCTACCTGTAGCCCTGAAAACTAATATTGTACTCCAGACAAGCTTCAATAGTATTCAGAACCAAAAACACGGTTATTTGATTTCTCTTTCCCACTTGAGTGTTATCAGTAAAATCCATTTCAGAAGTCTAAATTAAGAGACGATTAAAACTATTAAAATCTCGAATAGAAATTTATGTTACCAAATCAAAATCTTCAACTGTCATGGACGCCAGTTTTTTACAAAATATAACTAAAAAATCTTCAGCTTTTTGAGACATTTTCTGTTCGTCTTCATCCTCATCTAGTATAAAGTCGTCAGCAGTTACATCTTTTTCTATTTTTATGCAGGAGTGGACGAGTGCCGCAATTAATTGGCCCTGGAAATTTTAACACATTTTATCTTATGATGAAGTGAGTCTCAGAGTGAAACGTACGAATGGTTCTTGAACATAGGCAATACTCTCTTTTGTTGATATGCATTTGTCAAAATTAATTGCAGCAATTTCGTCTTCATCCATTAAACAGTATTTTTTCACCTGAGGGAATCATTGTAATATTAATTTGTACTTAAAGTTCAGATATAATAGATACAACCTGATTTAACAGAACTGATACAATATTATTTGATAGAGAGGGATTTTTCTTTATCAAATCATGAGTTCCCTAGGGAAATATGAAAAAAATAGATGCATATGGGATGTCTAAAATGTGAAACAAAGCCATACTTCATATAGCTTCAGCCGAACTGCTGGTTGTTGATCAAGTACCCTTCTCAAATTTGCAAGAGCTTCCAAGCAAATATTCTCATTTGCTGATTGATTGAAAGGAGTTTGCGAATTCTGATCAATCTATTGATTTGATTTCATATTAAAGAGTCAATTGTAATATTTAAAGTATGAAAACCTGGCTTAGAGAGAACGGCTGAGAACATTGACTTAAACTGACATCTCCTAGAATCTTGAAAGATCTGACAACGGTTAGTAAACCATGAACACCAATTTGACGACATTCTGGGGATCTGATGAGTAAGATAAAATAATTTATGATTTTCTCTAAAATTCTGAAAATTTACTTGTTAAAGAGTAATTTTTTTAGCACGATAAATACGCTGTCTCTCAATGTAAAATCCAATGTCATTAATGGGGCAATTGTTGTCACAACTTCAATGGAAGTTGAAAATGGCAACTGACTCAAATGATCAAGTACTTCATTGATATGAGATAGAGCCCCCAAGATACTCTGTGGACCACATGCTACCATAGAATTTAAAACATCTGAAACAATACTTTCTTATAAGAGACATGTGATGTACAATATCTATCTACCTAAATATGGAGTAGCTGAGGTGGAACTTTTTGTAATAATTTTATCTAATATTTTCACAAAAACTTCGGTTCTTGTCATAGGTTGAATCTGAAAAGAAAGAGACTTAATGGTGCACATTTGTCATCAACAAGTGACAAACCTTGAAAAATTGCTTTAATAAGTTTTGACCAACTAAGCAGCTCTTTTGACGATCAGAAAAATAAAATGAATTAAGTCCTAAGCATTTCACAGCAAGACCTCTTGGACCGTAGGCATCCAATAGAGAAAAAGCAAATTTTACTAATTCTTCCCAAACTTGATCCCAATCTTTGCTGTCAGTTAAAAGGGTTACTTAACTGTTTTTTATTATGGGAGGTAACAAACCAATTTTCTACAAAGTCCGACATGGTTTGATCAATATCTATATGTTCAGAAACTTCTTTTCTGAACCAGTTACTATGTACAGATCTGATAGATTCCCTATTTACCGTAAGTACCGCATTCTTCAATAGATCATATATCTGGGAAAAAACGATGCAAATCACTAATATCAAAATATGATATTTGCTAAATTTTGTATCTCATACTTGATCACTATATCTGGGAATCTTTGCCGCAACAAGAGCCGACGAAAGAGTGAATGGTGACAGCAAAAATGACAGTTTACATGTCTGTTACAGTTATGGAATTAAATAAGACCATTCGACTATTTCACATCAATACAAACTTTCAAAAATTTTATTAGTGTTTTACCAAACTCAGAGTCTTGATTAAGTATTGTAGACCAATGTAGTAAAAGGGTCCCGCACGTTTCTCGTATGTCACTCTTCTTGCGGCTATTACCTTCTATTGTTGAGGAATCCACTCTATTAATAAGAAAAGAAATAAAATCTATACTATCAAAAGCTAAAGCAAAACTGACTCAGTGTCATTTTCACTCAAGATGTATAATTCATAGATAAATTTTAGCACTCCTTCAATGGCATACTTTCTATGTCCCTATTTAGATTTATAATACATTAATCCTTTTTTTAACGATAAAATGGAAAAACTAACTTCCGAAGAAAGAGCCAAAACATTATACACAAGTGGTGGCAAATCCATTAGAGACAACGTTGGAAAAATTTTTATAAACTTCAATAGTAGCATCTTTAATTCTTCAGGACTGAAAGAAACTTCTCGGAATATTAATCCCAATTTTAATGCTACACTATTATCCCATTTACAACCACATATAGAATTTAGGCAATAAGATTTATATTCTTTTCCGGTAAATGAATTTTCACCACTTTCAACTGCATTTCTTTTAGATACAATCGACAAAACTGTCGGTAAAATTTCTAAACTTTTAGATGATACAGTATTCTGTTTGATAGTAGACATAAACAAAGACGAAAGGCTAACTAGGTCGTTTGTTGATGCTTTCTCCAGCTATAATCGAATTGTACTTGGTTTTATTCTATCAAATGCAGTTATATTTGTTACCTGAATTTGAACAATTCCGCATAGTTCAGACGAACTTTTCGGATCTAGAGAATCCTCGTCAAGCAAGGACAAACAAGATTTATATATCCATAATGTTTTGTGTTTGTTATCATCACTTTCTTCCTCATTTATTGCTATAAAGTAACATGTTTAAAAATTCGCAATTTATAGTATATTTACATTTCAAACCGTTAAATAAAGCTGTTAGTAAAGTTGTCACAGAACCTTTTGAGCAAGCTAGCTCTATCAGAGAACGAATCTAGCAATGGTAAGATATTACATTTATGTAATCAAACTGGAATCAAAGCTGATAAAAATGGATAAGCAATATTACCTCATCTTTTGTTAATTTGTCTATAGCTTGGTTGGGTAGTCTATTATTTTTTTTATGACTTCTAATAAAGGTAGCTAGAGTGTCTTCCATATTTATTTTTCTTTTATTATCGCTCGCCGAAAGCCTTCAATTTGATCAAATTAAGTATTCTGGAGAACTTATTCCAAATCAACTTCCTAATAGTTAATAACTAATTTAGTAGAGATAAAGTTTGGGTAATAAATCCGATTTAAGCAGCCAAAATAATCTATAGATTCTAATGCTGGCGGGAAAACTGGGAACAACATTCGACAATGCAAAAACTTCCAAAAATTTGAAAAAAAATTTTTAAATCAATAAGATAAATAATGCTTGAAAATTGTATATAAATTATTTATTCTAATTTATCTAGACATCATAAGTAGTATCTGAGTTCTTCAGACGAGTTTGGCTCTCTATTATTAATTTGGTAGAAAGATTCCCAAGCGTCCGCAAAACTACTGAACTGACATCCACCTCTTTCAAGATCTCGGTATATCCCACTGTCGTAACATCTCCAAGATCCTAAAGGTTTAATTCCATAAGCTTCACAAAAATGCCTTGGTGTGTCTTCTGGAGGCGGATCCCCCACACTATTATAATCGCGTATTAGCTTCGATATTGAAGTCCATGCACGGCCATTATTAATAGATTGCAGAACAAGGTTTTTCGTGGTCTTTGGTTTAATGATAATTTCTTTGACACTATTATTACTATTATAGTTGTTTAGATTATTCAAGAGAAAACAGTTTGGGTACCATTTTTGATGATCTTCAAGTGGGCATTTTGAATTAAGAGTCCTAAAAATCTTTCCGCAGTGATGACACTTAAAGAAGTCCTCCTCTATAATACGAATACTGTTATTACAGCAAGTACCACCTTTAAAAGTTAAGCCTACCGTCATAAAAAAATCCTGCACAGGCCAACAGTGAATAAGTCTTTTTGTTATTGTATCGCAAATTATCTGGAAATGACCTTAGTCTTTTACAGAATAGCCTAAAAGTCGGACAATATGGCTTATGACGCGTTTTAAATACTATGGAACTATTTTCTACAGAAAATTCTTTCCAATATCCTCCTTTAAGAATAAATGAGCAGTTTTCATAATGTCTAGACAAGGCGTCTGGATAATTACTAAATACATAGGATTGTGATTTACATAATGGACAAAAGAAAACTCCGTCCGTATTAATAAAAAATCCAGCCGAAATTATAGCCAGGATTTGATCATCGACATTGGGCTCCATTCTCATTAAATTCTTAACTTTTAAATATGCATCTTTAACTATGTAACTTGGATCTTCCGACATATTTTTGGAGTGATTCTAAAGAAAAATTCATTTTAAAACATTAAAAAAGTAAATTAGAAAAATAGAGAAATTAACCTTACCGCACTGCGTTTATAAATACACTTAAAGCACTAATGGAATTTTCAAATTTTTTGTTTATCTCTGCAAAAATTATATAGTGAAAGTATAAATACAAATTTCCATATTCAGTTTATTTGAATACATAAACAAATTTACCATTATAAGGTTATATCATTTATATCAAAGTTAAAATAATTCATAAATAGGAAAATACAACGATTGTAAGATGTTATATAGCTTTTCACTATAAAGTAAAAAATCTCTATGAAACATTTATATTAAAATCAATCTCAGCCTATTTATTTCGTATAAATATTATTTCTCGAAAACTAAATCAATTCTTTGTACAGTATTTTTATTGATCATAATTATTCAGGAGGCTGGTTGTTTATTATATATTATGTATAAAATAGTACTTTTAGGAGCGGATACCTTTCACCATAGATCGTATGATTTGATGACATCTTGGGCAATAGAAAATATTGTCAGCGCATTCTTCGCATGAAGTTATACAACCACAAGGCAAAGAAAGTATCTTTGCTTGATTTAAACATCTTTTTTTAATGTTTTGACACTTCCCGCTTTGTTCAATGACTTCATTCAATTTTTTCAGTTCCTCGTAAGATTTAGGTATTTCTGTAGGTAGATTATTAATTTCATTTGAAGACTTGTAACCGGGAATCAATAAATCCTCCTCTCGTTGTATTTCAGTTAATCTTTCGACGTTTTTAAGAACGTTTTGAAGTGATAGACAATCTTTTTCTTGTCTTTGACATATTTCGATTGATCTTAAAACCTTATTCCATTCAAAACCGTGAACAATTAATAAATTTACCTCTTGAGTATCAATCAATGCTCTTGTTGCTCTTTGATCAACGTTTCTAAAGCCATCGCTTAAGTGATATTCTTCTGTAAGTTTACTTTCGTTTTCGCAATAATTGCTGTTTTGATAAGTTATAATAAATTTTCTGCCCAGCAACAATATTAGATATAAACAAGTTGGGAAATGTTTAGAATGTTCTATAAAAGGATTTGAATTATTTAACCAATTTCTAAATTCTGTTGCGCAATAATAGCAAACGGTAGTATTTCTCTTGTCTGTAAAAAACGAAAATAGTTAATTTTTAAGTATTTAATTATATTGAATTTCATTTTAAACTGACTACAGAAAAAGATTCCACAAGCAGCTAACAACTGTTTTGATCGAGTGTTTAAATTATTATAATTAGTGAAAGATTCGTATCTTTTATTATAGGAAACGTAGGATTTTTCCTTAGAATACCAATTAACTTGATATTTATCAATATACGAATATTTATGTTTATTCTCAAAGAAATATTTGGAATTTATATTTTCTTTTATTATAGTTACTTCTTTCAAAATTTCATCTGGAACATCTTTAAGGATATTACTCTCCATTTGTATGATAAATTTACAGTTTGGTGATTCATGGGCGTGTCTGGTTAGCGGTTGTGAATTTATTTTCCAACGATCAAAAGTACGATGACAACTGACGCAATATGTAATGTCTGCGACATTTAAATATATCAAATTACTTTCAATTAATTTTGGAACAAGCTCCTTCATCTCTGAAGGCCAATTTTTAAAACCATATTCCAAGGATATTTCAATCTGAAAATTGTCTTTTATTCTAAATATAAAGAAAGAAAAAAGATAAAAACTGACCGTAGATCGTAAATTTTCTTCATTTAACATATTATCCTTTATATCAGACTTCATTTTAAAATTATTAAATATTCGCTCAACAGTTTCCTTCTTATATTTATTAACACGACGATTTCTACTAAAACTACATGATTGTTCATGAATAGATTGAACGTCTAAATCTTGATCATAACTTGAAATGTATTGATTACATTCTTTACAAATCAACAAACCATTTTCAAACAAAAAATTATTTCTTGCCAAATTGATTCTTCTAACTTTTTTATCGTTTACAGCAACGAAGCTTTCTAGTCGGTGCAACATAAATATAAAAGCGAAACTATAAAAGATTCACAATATATGTAACAAAAAGTGTGGTTTCAGTTTAACCATGCGCAGTTTGACAAATGAGATAAAACCTTGTGTGCAAAACAAACATTGCTTGGTACACTATGACATGTTTAGTACTCGCAAAGTAGACTTTATTAGTTTTCCACAGTACGCGCAAAATATAATAGAGTTTGCGCATTCGTTACAAGTATATAAACAGCCACATGGGATAATCACTGTGTTTGCAAAATTTGAACAGAATTTCTTCCTATTTTTGCAACGTCTTGCTTCAGTTATCAATCCATTGACATGTTTATAATCCTGTAAGGTTCTGGGTTGTTTTGGGGGAAAATCAGTACTTGCTGGAGATAAATCTAACGGAATATTTAATTTGTTAGCTACATCATTAGTTTTTAAAATTACAAGATTATCCACAATACTCTTTAACTGTAGTAAATTTTCAAAATCATAATAACGTTTCATTGCTATTTCAATACTTCTTATTAATAAATCCCACTCATAACCATAATCTACAAGTATCTGTAAAAGTGCAGTATCTAATCTAGCTCGAGTTTCCCTAGGGTCGACATTGAATATTTCTGACACTTTTGCAGGTTCTCTACTTAAATTGAAAGTACCATCTCTGGAAATAAATTTATCATTTCGAAAATATGTTGAAACTTCATCTTTTAAGTTGAAATTTCTCCCACATTTCTTAACCATATGGCTGCAGTTAGGGAATAATTTTTCATGTAAAAATTTTGCGTTAAAATTCTTCCTTTGCCAAAACAAAGGATTCTTTGTTTCTTTAGATGAATTAATGAATATTATGGTTAATCCACAAAAGAAACAGTTTATAAAATCTTTCTTTTGATCAGATTTTTCAAAAAAGTATCCAAAAGTTGCCCATTCTTCAATCAAACTCTCCTCAAACCATTTTAACTGATAAAATGATTTTTTTCTTGAACTAAACAATCTCATTGAAGGATATTTTGGTTCTTCTTCATATAAATATAGTTGATTTGAATTATTTTCTTCATGGGAGCTGGAAATACTTTGCATGCTGTTATCACTACCAAATTTCTCCTTAAGATGATCACAATCGGCATTAAACTTATAATGTATCTTATAAGGATTATCATCCTTTTCTATCCAATTATATAAAACTATCTCACATTTATAACATTTTACCTTATCTTCATCTTGCATATAATAAAATCCGCAAGCTGCAAGTGACTCAGACATATTTTTTAATTGTTTTGTCGCATTTAAGAAAGATAATTTTCTAGTTTCAATTTCGTTATACTTTATTGGATTTTTCTTATACTTTTCAAAATTTTTCTCAATTTCTTCAATAAATAGCAGTATAAATCTACACGAACTGCTATGAGAATCTACACAACCTTTTAAAGTATTGTATTCCGAATGACATGAGTTGCAAATTGGTTTCTGAAGATTATTGTTATAATAAAAATTTGCCCTGGCGAGTTTAAACTTGTTGTAATTATTAACCTTCTCAAATGATTTATAATTCTTTCGAAATCTCGATGAGAAACGATTCTCTTGCAATTCTCTTACCAGTAGTTCCACCATATTAAACAGACATATTATGTAAATACATCCGAGTTTAAGTCTGTAATAACCATGGTTAAACTCAGCATCTTTATATACTGTATAATTGTAGTATTTTTTTTTGCATTATTAAATACCTAATCTATAGAAATTAAAAATTTACGACATAATAAAAGTTCAAAAAGCAACTCGCATGTATTAATATAATTCATCCTAACACAAGTATAAATCAAGCGAAAGAGATATCTTAATCTTCGTCCCAATCTTTTTTCTCAGGTGGTGGTTTAGGACCCCCAGCTTGCTTAGCCATAATGATCTATACGAAAAAAACAAATTGGAATTATGAGAAGTAATAACAAAATAAATAAATAAATAATATGTATATACCTGATCAACATTGAGAATAGTATTGCAAGCAGATGTAGCGAATTTAATACCCCAGTATTTGGTGATGAAAAGATCCATAATACCTTTCTCAACCACATTGCATGTCGATGCTTGATTACTTTCGATATCAAAGCCAGCATATTTTTCTCCGGCTTGATGTTCAGCATACATTTTCGAGATGACTTCGGTGGATTTCACTCCAGAATTATCGGCGAGAGCTCTTGGAACTATTTCCAATGCGGATGCGAACTTGTGTAAAGCGTATTGTTCTAAACCTGAGCAGGTATCGGCATATTCAGCCATTTGTCTTGCTAACTCTATTTCTGTGGCGCCAGCTCCGGCAACAAGTTGGTTGTCTTTAGTGAGGGCTTTGATAGTATTAACGCCATCGTCAACGGCTCTTTCTAGATCATCCAAAATATTATCAGTAGCACCGCGAAGTAATATCGTTGAGACAGCGCTCTCTTCCTTCTCTTGCTCAAATACAACAACAGGGGTGTCACCAATTTCGTCAACTCGAACGATATCGCAGTGGCCGCATTCTTCAGCAGAAGGAGCACCAATTCTTGGTAGAGGTGTGGCTCCCAAAGCTCTACACAACCTTCTCACATCAAATTTAGACAAGAGACGTACGACCAGTAGGCCATATTTATTAGCATAATGTAAAGCTAAATCTCCAACTTTTCCTCCTGTTACGACAACTTTAACTCCAGTAGCAGCGATAGCCTTTATCTGAGCTTCGACAACATTTTCTTCTCCTGCACTGAAATTTAAAAGTTCCTTTGCTGTTTTAATCAAAACCGTTCCCTTAGTTTCAGTTTGCATAATGTCCAAAGGACAAGAATAGACAACCACTCTGCATTTTTCGGCTTTGGTTATGCTACCCTCGACTCCTCTTTTGAATACCATACCACGGACAACTTTTGATGAATATAAACCACCTCCAACGATTTTACAAACACGCACGTTGTCAACATTAAATCTTTGTTTTTCGTAAATTATACTTAGAGAAGCGTCGGTGATCAAGCCAGCAAGAAAATCTTCATTTCCGTATTGTTTGCTCATGAGAGCACTTCTAACGGCTTTCAAGACTTCAGCTTTATTATGGAGATCTTCTACTTTGCCACAAACTAGGGAGGGTAATAGTTCGTGAGCTTTTTTCAGACCCAAATCGAAGCCACGGATAACTTCCGTAACGGCCAAGCCCATCCTTAAAAGTTCTTCTGCTCCCTCTAGAAGAGCTCCTGCAAAAATTAGAATGAAATTTGTTCCATCACCACACTCTTGTTCTTGTTGTTGAGAAGCCAAAACAAGCATTTTGGCAGCAGGGTGTTGAACTTCCAACTCTCTCAAAATAGTGGCCGCGTCATTAGTAACGAAGAGTTTTTCGATGTGATTAATCACCATTTTATTTTGCCCATTAGGACCAAAGGCTGAACGAGTAGTTTGTGCCAACTCTTTACAGGCATCAATATTTCTGTAGACAGCTTCTTCCAAACCGTTATAGTGCTGAAATAGTGACAAATGAATATGATAATCGCTAAGCACGTGCTTTCAAATATAATCATACGACATTTAATTTTCTCTTCAATCCTAACTAATTATTAACTTAATATCTCGTTACGTATATTAATAATACTTACACGGGCACCATCTTTTAGCATTTGGGAAAAACCCGGCGCTTTCGGTACATGCATCGCCATTTTGAAGCAGAATGGAATGACAGGGTAGATTTCATAAATTCAATGTGAAGGTCGCTTTCATCAACGATCGAAGTATAATCATTTTTTCAACTTTTCTCAATGAAAAAACTCAAAAAGAATCGAGGACTTTGCTATTTCTTACAAAAGTAATTTTCCAAATAAAAAATAGCAGTTTCAATTATTAAAACAAATTTATTTTTAAAACTACTTTCAGATATTTATAATATATATATATATATAGAAAAAACTCGGAGTTAACATTATTATCGAATTGGGTTCCTCTTACTGGACACTGTGATGAGAGGGAGCGGTAAAAATTTTTTGAAGTTGAAATAAAAGTGCAGTGCATCTTAATTTAAAAGTCTAAAGCACTCTTCAAAATATTTTAGTAATCTGAAAACTATCTTCTCCTTTCGTTTATTTGCTTTTTCATTTGTTCAATATATTCAATTTCATAAATTTTCCCGAAGGGATTAATTGTAAACAATAAAGATATAAAAAATGTAGAAGCTAGTGTATATTTCTAACAACTTTTTTACGAATATTATTTATAATAATAAGATATTTTCTGGTAATGGTTAGATCATCCTAAACTTGTTTACGATTTAGAAAGCAAATGGATAATCTGTATGAAAGTGGGAAGTCAAGCTGACTATTGATTGATAATTTCTTTGGTAATTTGTTTCAACTATTTGAACGCTTCTTAAAAGAAGAAATACTTTCTATCGTATCGTTCTCTGACTTTTCAGTTCAAGTTGGTAACAGTGAAGGTGAAGGTCTAATACAATGGGATCATTTCCTGCCAATTGATGAACTTCGAACTACAGGCTATTTCAGTTCTTGGTGATCCATTAATTGACCTCGCGTGTCTGATAAATTTACTGGTGACATCATCGTTCTCAAAACTACCTATTATTTTATATAATCCTTCATATCTGTGACAAAATTATGAGATTTTTATGAGCGATAATTCAATAATTTTATAGAATGGCCGATAAGTTAGTAGTTGATGAAAAACAAAGCAACCTTCGGGACCATTTGGTAAGTATCTTTTCAAATAAAAAGCGTGTTTTTAGCAATTTATTATATAGGTTCAAAATGCTGTTAAATTTCTTCAAAACCCTCAAGTGACAGGCAGTCCAATGGAACACAAGAAGGCTTTCCTTCTGAAGAAGGGTTTGCAACATTGAATATGAATTTTGTAAATTATAAAAATCTTATTGGAACAGGTCTTACTAATGAAGAAATAGACGAAGCCGTTTCTCGAGCAAATGTACCACAACAGGCTGTAGCTCCAGTATATATCCAACCACCGCCTCAATCTTTTTGGCAAAAAGGTAAAGACTCACTTGCTGGATTCGTTATTTTTGGGGGAGTTGCTTTTGCTATCTATCAATTTTATAAGGTAAAGAAAACAACATATTACAGATTCTTATTTTTCTCTAGATGAGGATTATAGTTGATCAGTTAATCAATAATGATACTTTTGAATTTCTTAGGCTTTTCTAAAGAGAAAACTCTTTGGAAAAGACGAGCATGAAGTACGTTTAGAGCTTGTAGAAGCAAGTGTCAGTGAATTAAAGCGATCGATGGAGGAGACACTTGTAAAGTTACAAGGCACTTTATCGACCTTACAAACGAGTTTGGAAAATCAAGAAAGTTCTCTGAAGCAAATAGTCATAAATACATCGCAAAAAGTTGGTATAATGCTAGGAATGATATAAAGAACTTAATTTTTCTCTGTTATAGAGAGAGATGTCGTCAGATAACCTTGAGTTGATGAAATCGGATATAACATCAATTAAGGGTATTCTTTTAAGCAAGTACGTCATTTATTCAATCTGATATGTAGATAATTAACGAATAATTAAATAACGAATTGATTTGATTGCAGGGACAAGTTTGCAGCCGTGCCCAAAACAACACCCATTCTTCCTCAATGGCAATTGGCGGCTGATGAAAAATCTGAAAAACAGAGAGAAGAAGCTAAAGTATGTTTCCTTTTCAATAAATATTCAGTATTTTTTCTGGTATACTTCATTTCATAGTAAATTACTGATTTTAGGGCGAAGATGTACCAGATATAGAATCAAACGAAGAAACGCCTAAAGATCAAGAGGACTAATTCCTTGTTCAAACCTTACTTCCTTTTAACCTAAATATCATTTAAATATAAAAAAAAGTGACAATGGTAAGAGTTTTTTCAATAAAATGATCGAAAAATCTTTAATCGTCTTCATCAGATTGAAATAGAAATTAACGATTCTGATTGTTAATGGAAGGTAATTAGTCTTCCTTACTCTTCGATCGTTTTCTTACTGAATGGAAATCAGGACTAGGGAAAACTTGCTGTATTCAATAATTTGTTATAATTAACAAATGATTAAAGTCATGCATTTAATTATTTCTTAGTACATTTACAAGTAAACAAAAGAGTTTAATAACATAATTTAGTGATATAAACCTTCAACTATGTCCTCGTCTATATCCTTCAACAACTTCTTTACCATGCATGTCCCATGTCGCCCCCTCCCCTCCCAGTAGATTGCATATGTGGTCTAGTGCGGCTCCCTAGCATTTGTCTTTGAAGACCAAACGTTTGATTTGAAAAATCTCCTACTCCTGGAAATCCACTTGGACAGTGGCCCTGATGATTCGGTGGTACAGTTAAATTAGAAACATTAGTATCCTCACGTAAAGCCCAATTTAGCTCGTTCATCATCGTCTTAATAACACCACAGTATTGGCATCCATCCAGAACCTGATCCAACATTGGGACAATTTGCTGCACTAGTGAACGACAACGATCAAGTTTGTTATGACTAGCTTTACGGTCAACCGATAATTTGTTCGCTATCCTCACTCCCAGCGGACGACCCTTGAAAGAGAAACCGTCCATCTGTCGAACAGCCAAGTCAGCCTTTTCGACAAAAAGAAGTGCGCTAGCCCTATAAGATAAAATAGATATATAAAGAAAAAAGTCTTTTCTCAAAATAGTAGCTAATAAAAAGATTTCTTTCTAACGTTTTTCCAGCTTCCGTTGCATTAACTATATCGATCTTATGTATGCTGTAGTTATTGAACAGAGTCTTTAAATCCGCCTATAAAAATATACTTTTTCTGTTTCATATCCTGATAGAAAAATTAAAATAATTTACCTCAGTTGTTCCGTAAGGGAAATTCCCTACCCAGATCTTAGTTGCTTCTGGTTCATCAGTTGAAGGTAAATCAATATCTTTCGAAGCTGCAAGAATTTTAAATCATATTTATTTTGTAAAAATATATCATATAATAACTAATCAATTCCAGTCACTTGCCAATACATTATAAGGAGCACTCTGGTTATGAAGTACATTAACGTACTTAAACAAAATATCAGTTGCGCTTTATTTCAACTATTTACAATAAGATCTACGATAATACTTTAGATTAACCGTATACCGGATTCTCTCAAGCAAGAGCTTAAAGAGTTTCAGTTAGTCTCTTTCGTTGACAAGAGAATAATACGTTATGATAGTGATTGTAAACTTTCACGGTAGCTGAAAATTCGAACTTACCCATAATTATATTATAAAATAAGAGATAAGAAGTGAATAAGTGAAGTAAATGAAAAGATAAAAAAAAACACGATGTGTTCAAGTCACGTGGTACAATAATTTTATAGAATAATTCTTAGTATTCAAACTTTTTTAGAGGTTCATTACATTTTATTTTATTTTATTATTTCCTTGAATAAATTCAAAAAAAATTACTTGCTCTAAATTGGGTCAGTTGTTTAAATGCTACGATAAATTAATTAATACTGGTACCAACGTGAACGGTCACCGACCGGTTTATAATTTTCAATGGGCGTCTGCTAGTAAAATTTTCTTCTAAGCCCTTTCCAGTCCATCACACTATGGATAATGCAAAAAAAGGACGAGTACAAATAAAGAATAAACCTGTTGTGACAGGTATAAGTCCTGTTGAAGGTGGACCGGGATGTAAAATAAAAATTCGCGGAGAATACCTTGGACAAAATCAGGAAGATGTGATTAGCATCAAGATATGTGATATAGATTGCACTGCAAGTCTCGAATACTCTACCTCAAAATGTCTTGTTACAAGAATGGGAGTGGTAGAAAGAGGCCGACCTAGAAATATTGAAGGTAAAAAAAACTATTGCTAAATTACATAGTGCTTTTAACTCATACTCAACATTTGATAGAACTGAAAGTTTAAAACTACTTAATTAATTACGAGACATTAAACTCAAATCGATTTTTTATATCCTTTCAGGATCCGTAATTATTACAACACAATCTGGCGGGCAAGGAACTTCTATGGTAACTTTTGTGTGCAAAATAAGCATAGTTGGACTGCAAACTGAAACTCACCATTGGGTAGACGAAACAAATATGTGGACTGCTTATTTACAAGTTAGAAAATTGTTCTTACCTGTTATAAATATCAATTGTTATATTAATAATTATTTGTCTATTTACCGTTAGCGTTCAAAAATGGCTGCTGATGGTATGGAATATGACGATCCTTTAAGAATTGCCGACGAATCGAGCGAAGAACAAAAGTTCGAAATTTCAACACTCGAAGCTTACTTTCCTGGTAAAAGTGGAGATACTGATAGGGAAAATTTTGATCCTGTCAGATATTTATTAGAAAAATATGCCTTTGGTTGTACGATGGAAGATTTAAAAGCTGGTGTCAATCAGCTCAGAGCTTCTACAACTTCCAAAAGCTTTAAGCCTTTAATGTCATTTAAAACTCACATTAAAACTTTAATTGATTGTGAAAATGCTCTAAACGAACTAAAACTTCAATTAGATAAGGATCAAATGGAAAATTCTATTATTAAACATCTTGAAGAAGCTGTTGTAAAGGCAAATTTAACGGCGATGGCGGCATTCGAAGGTGTTTTGTGTAGAAGAGAAAGAGCGGAAAATATCACAACTGGACTTGGGGCCTTAAATAGGTTAAGATTACTCTTTGAGCTACCAAAAGCTATTGAAAGGGAGGCGAGAAGAGGAAGATATGAGGCAGTTATTACTGATTATTCTAGAGCTCGCACTCAATTGGCCAGGGACGGTGAAAGAGTGCCGGAAGTGTTACAAAAAGTATTTAAAGAAGTTGAAACACGGATGGCACTCTTTCGGGAATCTCTTTTAAATAAACTTAAAAGTAGTCCGAATACTCCATTTGAAGTGCAGAAGAGATATTTGAATATCTTAGAAGCTGCGGGAGATAATAAAGCCTCGATTTGTGTTATAAATAATTTGGCAGAATGGATTATGAAAGAATTAGATAATACGGGAACTTCATCAAGCTTAAAGAAAATTGAAAGTTTAAGTTCAACACTAGTACTGTATGTTTTGCGACTTTGGAGATTGGCGTCTATTAAGTCAAGTGAAGAGCACGCAAAAAATCTGATTCTTGATATACTGAGAAAGTACTCAGAAACAATTAGACAAGTCGTAGCTTCGACAGAAAAGACGTCTGAGGGGAAATCCTCTCCAGCCGCTGTTCGAATATTACAAAGTGTTAGAAGCAACATAGATTGCCTGCCAAAAGAATGCTTAACTATAATTGAGCATCTCAGCCTAAATGTCAGAATCACATGTACTAAATCTCTATTGGAAAATGCTCTGAGAGACGTTGCTATTCTCAAAGAAAGAGAAGATTGGAATGTTGAAGATGACGGTAAAGGAAGTCATTTACCCAGATTATTTGAAACTCTAGTCACTGATGTTCTTCAACAAATCAGAGAAATAGTCACACAAGAACCACAGATATTTAAAGTTCAACCTAAAGAGGGGGAAAATATAAGGAAATTACTAGTAGATTTGTCAAAATCCTTTTCAAGTGTTTTGGAGGAGCTTTCCAACGATAAAGAACATTTGGTTATACTATTAGCTAACTGCGATTATACTTGCAATAGGGTGATACCAAACTTGAAAGATACAATGGAAGCATGCTTAAAAATTGAATGCTCTAACATCGATATTGAAGCTTCGAAAGTTTATAAAAAACAAAGAATGCATTTCCTAAAAGATTACATCGATTTAAAGACTAAACCCATCTTAAGTGAACTATTTGAACAGCTACAATATAGCGGCTTTGATTCAATTCAAAATGTTACGTCTACAAGACCTTATGTAACCTATTTTATTGTGTCCGTCTGTCAGATATTGTCTGAAATATGCCTTGTTGGAGAGCAGCTCGTTCAAGATGTTTTAACCCCAATTTGTTCAGTAATTCTAGGAGAGTATGCAAAGAAATTGGGAAAGATAAAAAATTGGGGAATATCTGGTGCTCTACAATGTCAAGTTGATGTTCAATGTTTAAAGGCTGCTTTTCAGGCTTACGTTGCCCAAAAAGTTCTAACAAGATTAAACGAAGTTGCACCAAAAATCAGCGTTAGTGAAGCTAAACACGCCCAAAAGATTGTTGCTGACGCTAAAAGTTCTATGAGTTTACAAATTGACTGCTTAACCAGAGTGAAAGGCTAAATAGGAAGCTTGAACTCTATTATTTTGATCATTTATCTCTCATTCTCTGCAATTATTAATATATTTACTAATTCATGAATATTTATTTACACGGAATCTTTTTCTAAAAAATACAAATTTCCTATTCTTTTATTGATTAAATATTTTCTTAATTATCTTGAATTAGTTTGGCGCCAAAAATTATGTCGACCAATCAGCGATCTAAGTTGAGTCATGTTGTATTTAATCGTCTGCTAGACAGTAGGAGGTGTTTAAATATTTTTTAGCTTTAAACTTTGTATTTTTAGCCTAATGAAATACTGTTCAATTAGCTTAAATATTCTACAGTAAGCCGCTATAGCTTGCAGCCTTTGCTTTTAATTTGGAGCGAAAGATCTCTCATGAAAATATTTTTTGATTGCCTTAAAAAGAATTGTTTCACCTAGCCATGATCAAATTGACGTTAATGCGTAAATATTACAAAAGGTTAATCATCATGTGGATTATCATCTTGCTGACTTTCTTCATATACTTTATAAGTTACTCACCGTTGAAGGGAAGTAGTGTTCATACTTTTACGAATGGCAATAGGCCCAGAGCTCCTAATCCTTATTGGGTAGACGAAGATTTAAATTTAAAAAGCCATAGATTATCTGATAAACTATCAGGACCAAAATTACAAGAGCATGTAGAAAGGATAAATGAAGAGGCAGAAAAAGCAAGACAATTGTTACAAAAACATGTGGACTATCAGATGGGAATGCGTCTTATTAAAAAAACAAAGATTCTAGGACCAATTGGAAGAGAACCTATAGTTTGGTGGAAATACCAAACTTTTCCAACATCATCTCCTAATTCTTCAACTATTCCAAGGAAACTGAAATCGAAAACAAACCTGTTCAGATTTGTTCCAGCCATAGGAAAAGCTAGAGTTTATTATAGGACCACTTTCGTTGATATTAAGCCCTTAAAACCTTTAAAACATGAAAAAGATAATTACATTTTTGCAAGAAGATAGTAAGTGTTTGGATACTAATAGAGTTTTAATTTCTTTGAAAAATAATAAACCTGTTTTAAATTATAAACAGCTTGCCTAAAGAACAGCGAGAATGGCCATCTATTGCCAATGGCCAACTTGGAACTGTTGTAAACTCACCAAATGTCTTTGTAAATGGTTTATACAATGGTTTGGCAAAGGAAGGAGATACTCATAGAGCTATTATTCCAACAACATGTGCTTTTAATATCACTGGTGTTAAACCAAATCATGGTGCGTTCGTGAGACAATACGTCTTAGATGCCTATGAAGGTCAGTACAATATAAAGCTAATATTTTTCCTACGGTACCTTAATCTTTACCTTTGTGTAGGTACTTTTATTCAGCATATTATGAACAGAAATTTCCAAATAAGGCATAAACTCTACGCTCATAGGGATATAACTGAATTGTTGGTTGTTGAAATCGAATTACATAGATATCAAGAAATTGATCTTGAATTAGAGTTTGATATTATCAAATGGCACGGAGGAGACGATATAACTTTTCAGAGAACAACTATTAATGTCCCTGATGATGTTATTTATAAATTTGGTCATGTGAATACAATAGAGGTAGAAGGTGTTCCTCCATCAGAAGTTCATATTCTCTATGACAAATCTAGAAAAATGAAAGTATCAGCTGACGAGCCTTTAAATACTAAATGGTTCTTTATAACGTCAATCTCGAATAACAAAGTAGACACTTTCAGGGCTTACAAGAAAGGTTTATTCTTATCTCTTTGCTTTTAGTCAAAGCTTAAAAGTTATTTATCAATATCTTATATGAATACAGCCCAAAAATTGATTAAGAAAGATCGTCTCTATCAAATTCATAGAGATGCCTGGAGAAAGGTTTGGAATGAGGGAAGAATTGAAATCGACGGTGATGATGAACTAAGCAGAGCTGTTATCGGCTCTCAATACTATCTCTACAGTTCAATACCAGTTAGACGTAATCCCAAGAGCCCTTTTATTGGATTATCACCTTCAGGTCTTCCTTTTGGACGAGAAGCACAAGTAAGAAATGAATGTCATATTGTTTATAATTAAATATTTTATATAAATTTTTTAGGATTATCTGGGTCATGTCTTCTGGGATCAAGAAACGTGGATGTATCCGTCTATTTTAATGTTACACGAAAACTGGGGAAAGATGATTGTAGAAACGAGAAATAGAACGAAACTCTTCGCTGCCAAAAATGCAAAATTATCAGGCTTTAAAGGTTTAAGATACCCTTGGGAATCTGCTTTTACAGGAATAGAAGCATGTCCAATTACTGCTGATGGACCGAGAAATCGAGAAATTCATATCACTGGAGATGTTGCTTTCGCGATTTTACAGTACTTGTACGCGTCAGGAAACTACTCTGAAGTTTCCAATGGACCATATCAGGAGATACTTACAGGCATATGCGATTTTTGGGTTTCAAGGAGTAATTATAGCAAAAGTAGAGGACTATATGAAATATTAGATGTTCTTGGACCCGATGAATATAATGATCACGTTAATAATTCCATTTATACTAATGAAATCGCTGATCTGTCAATTCGAGGAACTTTGTCAGCTTTGGCTAAAGCCGGTGTTAATATTACTGATAGATGGAGTCACGTTAGCAACAAACTATTTAAACCTTACGATCAAGTGCGAGATTATCATCCAGAATATGAAGGTTATACAATAGGAAGAAAAGTAAAGCAAGCTGATGTTGTATTACTAAAATATCCATTGATGGTTCAAATGAAGCGTAGTACTCAAATTAACGATTTAAAAATATACGAAAATGTAAATGAACTAATTAATCTTCATCATAATGCATATAGTAATAAGCTTTTCATGAATAATTCATAGGTAACCGATCCAAATGGTCCAGCAATGACATGGTCTATGCACAGTATCGGTCATCTTGAGTTAAATGAAACAAAGGCAGCCGATAAATTCTTCAGGAAAAATTTGGACTACATTGTTAATGAGTATCAGGTATGGATATTTTAATTAAAATTAATGAAGCCTATACTGTTTTATATTTTCTATAAGGTTTGGTCAGAGACGGTTCAAGGCGTTTCCAAATCGGCGGCAAACTTCTTAACAGGTAAGCGATAATATTTGGCTATAAAAGGACTATATTACTTTAATCATACTGCTTTTAAAATAGGAATGGGAGGATTCTTACAAAATATATTATTCGGTTATGGCGGTTTTCGATTATATCCGGATCGTCTGACTTTTAAGTGTATCTTACCAGAAAATACTGCTCAATTACGTTTAATTGGAATTGACTATCGTCAGTCATCCTTTAATTTCTTTTTCAATCGATCAACCACTGTAATTACTATGACTCGACAAGGAAAAATATCTTTAACTCTTAAAAGTGGACAATACGTTCAAAGTTTTAAATTAAATGATGCTGTATTATTGAAATCTTTGACCGGAAGTATAAAGGAGCCTATCTAGTGTTTTAATGAAGAGAAATTATTTTATTCTTCATCATAATATCTTATATGATCAATATTAATTTACAACCAGCTAGAAGTGATTGATCCTTTGTAAATACCAAACTTATATTAGTTTACAGAACGATTTTTACAAATAAATATTCGATAAATTCATGCAACTTGTTCAACTTTCTTCTGTTTGATCAACTAAAAGAGAACTCTTTTCTGCTTCAATTGTATATGTTTTATCTTTATCTATCTGTTGGGAATCGTTTTGACTTTCCACTTTATTTTTAATGATAAATCGATGAGGAAGGGACTGACTACGTTGAACACATTCGAAATATTTAAAGATTGACCCCAGAGTATTTTTTGGTACATCTGCTTCGCATAAAGTACCTAAAGGAGTGTTAAACTTACATATTTTAATTTCTTTAGGATTTATAGTTTGTCTAGTTCTTACCGGCAGAAAAACGGTCAATGGATATGTGAGTACCATCGACAATTAGAGGTAAATCCTCGATTCTTTCATTAAGAGGTAAATCTGAAGTTGACCAGGATCTGATATTTAGCTTTAAAAGTAGAATCGTACTGGATAGATTACTTATATTATATTTTGTATTTTTTTTACCATTTTAAGAAGCTGCTTAAAATAGTCGTTAGATTTAAAAATGCTAGAAATTAGAGGATCAATAAGGGCTAATCCTTTAGCATATTTTTCAAAGATGGAAGGTTGATTAAAAGCCTGTTTTGTTTATAATTCATAGATAATAAAATTAGTATTATCAATCTAATACTTGCGTGCTTTAAAGCTAATTCGCAACCTGATTTATGAGCAATTATAAATATTTTTCCTCTTGCATATTCACTAATTCGAGACCAGAAAGTTTTAACATGATTCAAAGGATTTTCTGAGCCTAAAAGGGGCTTGTTATTACTACCAACGTTGAAGTAGGGTATAAGAAGAAGACACCCATAACCATCAGCATGACCTCTTACTATAAATGGTATTACAGAGGCTTTTTCCAAAGACACTCCATCTTCTAATAACCAGCTAATAACAATTTTAATTAAAATTTAATAGTTATAAAGCTATATAGATAGAAACCTTCTATTCCAAAATCCAGGAATACCTGGTGGAGATGGATAAAAGATTATTAAATTCTTCGCGAAATGCCAATTTTTTGTTGCATAGATAAAATGACTCTTCGGTTCATAATTCTAAAAAAAAAAAGTAAAAAAACTTACTTTATAAGATAATATTCAAATTAATAATTTTAAAAATTATTTATTAACTTTTAATCTACAACAAGATTGTATATCTTGCAAATCTTCTCTTAGAACATCTGGTACATATAACCTACCCATATTTTCTTCTGATAATTGTTCATAAATGTAGAAATTAATATTCTACATTGAAAGAAGTAAAGAAGATTATAATTACTCTGTAATACGATATTCTTGATGGAGATAAATTTGCAATACTTTCCGAATGGATTCCTGAAGTTTCTTTTTAAATTTCTCAAATTTAATAGGTTCGTTTGTTCTATTGTTTATGAGGACGCCATCTTTGTTTTTATATTTTGAGGAAATGAAATTTACAATTCTAATTAACTTTTTAGTGTTTAAATTAGTTTTAATAATGAAAATAATTATAGAAACCTTCATTAAATAAAAAGCGAAGTTTATTGAGTTTGTTGGCTCCGTAATGCTTAGATTCAAGGCGCTTGATTAAAACCTCGTAAGCTAAAGTTCATTATTTATAATAAGAAATTAAAGATTTCTTCTTTATTTCGTATACTTACGCTTTGTTGAAAAAGGATTTGTTTCTCTAAAATCGTCAAACTTTTGATAGAGATCATCGTCTGTTAGAAGTTTGAATATTCTTTTACCTTTGTTAATCTTATAACTTTCTAATGGGCTACTTAATTCAGCTGTAGACGATTTAGTAAAAGAGACAAATTGTGTTTCGACTCTCTTTTTACTAGGTTTAAGATTTAATTCCCTATACATGAATGCAAGAAATATTAAATCTTTCAAAATGACTAAGTGACGTATTTTTCTAAACAGTTTGCAAAGAATAATTTGTTGATATAATACGTCATAAAGTATTGAATGTACAGATCGAAATGTTTTATATTGAGCATTAAATTTGGAATTTTTATGCTTATCTTTACAATTGTTTCAAATTGGCTTGAAATTCAAATAGTGGAAGGTTATTCGTCAAGTGTTATCTTACTGCGCATGCGCGTTCTGACTCCCCGGAAACGGAATATCCCTAAAATGTCGTCTTTTAGATATTGAGGTAATATCGCTTTGTAGACGCCGATACATATTTATTGTAATTGAATACTTTGTTATTGATAAAAAATGGTAAAATTGACTGTTGATTTAATTGAACAAGCCGAGCAGTTCACTAACCCCGTGAGGGACCGTGAATTGCAACTGCGTGGATATAAATTTCCAATGATTGAAAATCTTGGAGCAACTCTGGTTAGTATCTCGTTATTTGATTTTAAATGCTTAGAATTTTAGTACAATATAGGACCAGTTCGATACTATTGATATGACTGACAATGAGGTTCGAAAACTTGACGGATTTCCACTTTTAAGACGATTGAAAAACTTACTTCTGGGCAATAATAGAATACAGTAAGTAGTGTGGAATTTAAATGTACACATGATTTCTTATAATACATTTTAAACTTATTAGGCGAATTGCTTCTGGTCTTGAAGAATGCTTACCAAATTTGGAAACTCTCATATTGACAAATAATAACCTTCAGGAGTTAGGAGATATCGATTCTTTACAAGAATTAAAAAAATTAACAACTGTCAGGTATGTTTGCTCTACATAAAAACTTTTTTAATATAATATTTTTGCCTAATTATTCATTATTTTTATTTATAGTTTCATGAGAAATCCTATAGCCAACAAGAAAGATTACAGATTATATATAATTCATAAGTTGCCCCAAGTGCGCATTTTGGACTTTCAAAGAGTTCGAAAGATTGTAAGTTTATAATATAAAATATTGACAAGTGATGACCGTGTTACTTTTTGCTTGTAAGGAGAGAGATACAGCAACTAAAATGTTCAAAGGCAAGAAAGGTCAAGCTCTTGCGGAAGATCTCGGAAAGAAGTCCAATACTTTTGTACCTGGCGAACCAGTAAAAGTACCTCAAAGAACGGCCGCAGAGAAAGAGGAAAGAGATCTCATCAAAGTAATACTACCATAATTTGCTACCTTTTTTAGCTTATTTATTTTTTTTTGTCTTCTTAGAAAGCAATTGAGAATGCTGATTCGATGGAGAGTGTAGAAAAACTTCAAGCTATGCTAAAATCAGGACAAGTTCCTGGCCGAGATGATGTGCATATGGGTAAGTGTTGTTTCATTCAAAAGTCGAGATTTCTTCTTACGCTTTGTCTACAGATATAGCAAAGGCCGCAAACGGAGATAGAGAGGACGAAGATATGGACACTTAATTTCAAATAGACTATTCTTAAGTCAATTTTTGTATTTGTCGATGTTTTGTTATAAAATAAAAGTATCTTTATAAAAACCCGAAACAATTCTTCGATTGCATTATTCGTCTATTTCAAAGAAATGCCAATGCTGTTGAAATTTTCAAATTAATTTTTGAATGTTCATTTATCTTTGTCATTCGATTTCTTATCTTTGTACGACTGTACAACTGTTAATACGATGAAGGCATTAACAAGTTGGAAAAAAAGTCCGGACATCCATATTCCACGAAACGTATTTCTTCCTAAAAACTCAAGATAGTAGGCATTTTGTAACCATAAACCCTGTATAGATGGATGTGAATAGAGAATAGAATGATGAAAATTGATTCTTACTTGTGAAACTATCCATGCCAATACTAGAAAAACAGCTTTAAAAACAGATATTTTCATATAAGGTATAATTAATGGTAAAAGACTTAAATACCATAAAAAGTACTGAAACAAGGAAGTTAATCTTATTTTAAATAATTTAAATAGTGTTTCTTACCTGAGAAGTGCAAACTTTATTAAATGCTACAAAAGTAAAAGTATGAACAAAACACACTAATTCTATTTTCTTAGCAAATTTAAACGCTGAAGCAATCCAAATAGTTAATTGAGGTATAAAAACAACGAGAGATAATAGTTTTGACCAATTAGTGTTGGTATATAAATAATACATATAGAAATATGGGGAAAAATTGTGTTTAATATCCTTCCTGGTAAGGTGATAAAGATATGTTTCTTCAATGAATATCCAACCATACCTAAAGTACGATAATATACGTTCATTAATAATATATCAATATGCTAATACATACGCGTAATAGCCAATAAAAGTTAAAAGTATGAAAGTTGATGCTGAACAGAATATAAAGTTGATTCTTCTCCAATCAGGTAGGATTGGATAACCAAAGAGACACCATTTCTTATTTAAATCACTGCATATAACAAGATAAAACGGAAGTGCGTAAGTTATTGGATAAATTTTAAAGTGAACTGATATTCCGTAATAAAAACCAGTCAAGCACAAATTTTTCATACTTTCTTTACATTTCATAAGGTATTTTAAAGTTAAAAGAACAAGAACAGCCATTAAACTTTCAGCATTCCCTCTGCTTGATACTGTAGCAGTTATTGGATTATATAGCCAAACCATGGAACTCATAATCCCTGTTTTATGGTTAAATCCTTTACAATAACACACAATATCGTATATTAAGTAAGAGGCGATGATGTCAAAAATCATGAAGAGAATTTTTCCGAAATGTGGTGAGATGTAATAGTTGGGTAAAAGGATCCATGCTAGAAGAGGGGTATATCGATATGTAGCTCTATCGTATGGTGAACCTCCCTATGATTGAAACAATAACGGAAATAGAAGAGATATAGATCATATATATAGAAGTATACTGAACCTCGGCGACAGAGTTCACAGCATCAGAAAACACGTAATAATCCACATCAGTATAAGGCGGACGGATATGTTTATCATGCCATAAACCATATCTGAATAGAATCAATCTGACTATAAATGAAAATGATAGATGTTTGTACAGAGGTTGCGAGCTTATTCGATGAAGAATTAATCTTATATGTCCCAACATCTTGTATTTTTTGTATTATCGCTCATATAAATATTAAAAAAATTGAATTTCTTTTTGTCTAAACTTTATATGAAATTTTTCTTTCAGGAAATTAGACAAAATCCCAAATAAGCCTTTCAAAACATACAATGATTTGGCAGCAACAGCCTCAACAATAATAACAACAAGCTTATGAAAAGACTTCACGCAATTTTGGTGGATGATAATTAGGATAAAACTGAATAGTTGTTGAAAAATGTGGTATAGAATCCGGTAACTGTGAACTTGTCATTGTTGAGTGAATTTTTATTATCGAGAGATCGTTCACCTTCACATATTAAAATGTTTTACGTCACAGATTCAAATTTTAATTGAATAAAACATATCTTTTCACATATTTAGTTCAAAAGTAATAAAAGCCTAAAGAATACAATTTTTTAACAATTCGCTTATTAATATGAATAATCTTTGAATGTGGGTATATAAGAACTTTCTTGTTATACTTAGTCTATATATATAGCTTCTCAGCAAAATTCCATTTCAGTTGGGACTGAATATAAAAATCAAAATTTTTTCGACAAAAAAAACAATTACATAATGGAATCAGTAGAGTTTTTGGAAAGGGGAAAACAATTGATGAATTACATTATTGATTATTTTGACACAGTTGATCAAAGAAAAACTTTACCCGATGTTGAACCCGGCTATATGAAATCATTGATACCTGAGGAGGCTCCGCAAAAGGCTGACGAATGGAAAAATGTTTTTGGAGACCTTGAAAAGATTATCATGCCTGGGATAACCCATTGGCAATCACCTCATTTTCACGCATTTTATCCAAGTGGTACTTGTTACGCTTCAATTTTGGCAGAGATGTTATCAAACTCGTTAAGTTGTGTAGGTTTTTCTTGGGCGTCCAGTCCTGCCTGCACCGAATTGGAATTTGCTATGATGGATTGGTTGGCAAAGATGCTTCAGTTACCTGAAGAGTTTTTATCAACTGGAGAAGGAGGTTCTTTTACTCATTTATTATGTTCTATAAATTTAATATAAAAGAATTCTTTTTAATCTAAATAGGTGGAGTCATTCAAGGAACTGCCAGTGAATCAACATTCTTAATGTTGCTGGCTGCAAGAAGTAAAGCCTTAAGCAAACATATTAATTCTTCGAAATCTATAAAAAAACTTGTGGTTTACACATCTGATCAAGCTCATTCATCAGTTGAAAGAGCTTGTTTATTGGCCGCCGTTGAATATCGAAGTGTTCCAAGTAATGAAAACGAAGAGATGACTGGAGAAGCATTGGAAGAAATGATTCAAAAAGATATTGACAATGGTTTAATTCCATTCTACGTTGTAGCTACTTTGGGGACAACACCAAGTTGTGCCTTTGATAGACTACTAGAAGTTGGACCTGTTTGTAAATATCTTTACTATTTTGTGTACTATATACATAATATATATTATATATATACGCGTGATTTTTTAGGTAAGAAGCATGATATTTGGCTTCATATCGACGCCGCGTATGCTGGATCATCTTTCATTTGTCCTGAATTTCGACCACTTCTTGATGGTGTAGAGGTAACTATTCACAAGTCTTGATTTATTTATAGCATATCCATATCATTAGTTCGCCGACTCGTTCAACTTTAACCCTCATAAATGGCTTTTAGTAACATTCGACTGTTCCACATTGTGGTTGAAGAATAAGAAATATTTGGTTGAAAGTTTTAATGTAGATCGAATATATCTCGAAAGTAAAGAAAAGGAAAAGTTGTTGGATTATCGGGTACAGTAATAGTTTTTTTTAAACATTAAAAGCACAAGAAATTTACAAATGTATTGAAATTCAGAATTGGCAAATACCTCTAGGAAGACGATTTCGATCGCTTAAGATATGGTTCGTACTGCGCTTAATGGGGATCAACAACCTACAAAGTTATATAAGAAAAGTAAGCTGTTATCTGTCAATTACAACACAAAGTTAGAATATAATTTTCTTTTATTTAGCACGTTGAATTGGCCAAAGAGTTTGAAAACCTCGTTCGTTCTAGTGAAAAGTTTGAAATAACTCATCCAGTAACAATGGGAATTGTATGCTTCCGTTTGAAGGTAAAATAGAAGCAAAATAATGATGGAGTATAAGAACTGTTACTTACTAAAACGGAATTTTTACAGGGCGATGATCAACTTACAAAGAATTTACACGATGCTTTATATAAGGACAAAAGAATATATCTAATAGCAGGAGCTTCAAAATCAAGATACTATTTGAGATTTGTCGTGTGCTCGCAACGTACAACGTCAGATGATATCAATTATGCTTGGAAAGTGATAAACGAGCTATCAATGACATCACTTAGAGAAAGGCTATGAATCCTGAGACTTCATTTAAATTCAAAGATATTATGTAGAATCTTATATATTTTTTTTGAATGGCGTTTTGAATTCTTGTACTACATATTTATACTATCTCTTGAAAATTAGAATTTAACTCAAGTTCAAATGAATGTCGAGTTTGTGTCTGTAAAACAGGACTTGAAAAAGAATATTATTAAATTCAAGCTATATGTTAAATGATAAAAGATATTCATATTTCTTTATGATAGTATTTTGTGGATGGCTATTATTTGAATAGTAAAGAAATATTTGAAAAAGTGGGACTATTTGAGAAAAGTAAATATTTCTATAGGTTTTAATTGTTAAAATTTATAAGATTGAAGCGTTTTCGTGGAAAATGATAGGTCTTGTATTCTATAAAGTCTTTTAAATAGGGAAAATTATGCATTTGAATAGGGAGGGTACCATCTAGAGGAAATAATTGGTTCAAGTTATTGTTAAGAAATTCTACAGTATCTATACAATTGTCTAGTCGTTTTAAGGGTACTGTACTTTTGACGAGCAATTTGTTTGTACTGATCTTTACACGTGTACTTTATTATTTCTAGAGCTGTTATCCTGAAATTGTGATACTGAAACATGTGTTAAAAGAAGAGATGAATATATGTCATTAGGTCGATCATATTAAGTTACTAATCAAAATAGCGCATTCACCTCCTCTTTTTCCATATTGGAAGGGAACTTGACAGAGCTTCTGACAATAATTCATTAAAGTTAAACTTTGTTTTTTAATTAAGAATAGATTCTCTTAGAATAAGTAAGTACAACTTTTTGTAGGTTATATAAGTTCTCTCTTTCCAAACCTAAGGATAAAAACGCTTTGACGATACACCTCCAACAAAAAAATTACTTTCGGAATAGCGAGTACGCGAATTCAAAAGATATTTTATTATCGCTCATTACGTAATATAAAAACTATTAATTATTATTATGAGTAAAAAGTTTTACAGGTTAGAAATATTTTTTAAATAGAATAAAAGAATAAAAAATTCTTTAGTATAGAATTTCCATAGAATTAAAGAAGAAGAAGAAAAAAAAGAAGAAACATATGTTGGATAATATTCTAAAAAAAAGCAATACAAAGGTTATTTGCTATTTAGATAATAATTTTTTTATATTATTATCGTTACTTAATTAGATATTTTTAGAAAATTATGACTTTTATTTATCTAGTTGATGTCGCGCCGTCTTAGCTTTCTTACAATATCGAAATCGATAGAAATTATGCAAAACATAGAAAAAAAGAGGTAATTTACAATAAGCCTTTTTGCATTTTGATTGCAATGTATCGATTGGGGAAATAGTGCGATACAGCAATCGGAATTTGCTACTCACCAACTGCAATACGATCCACCGACCTCATGTAAAAAATTTTTGTAAGTAGAGAAACACTATTGAATGATGCAATAACTTAATAAACTTATTTGTATTAATTAATGCTTTTTGGTTAAAATTCAGTAATATTTGATAATTAAGGTCCTAAATGCCTCTATCAACCTTATCCATCTCTCTTTTCCTATCCGATTAATGAGAGATTTTGTATTAGATTTTATGGTTACAAATACGACAGTTTAGCGTTTCTCTATGCTATTTGATATTGTATATTGTATAGACTTTATATAGAAGAAGACATTAATATTATCCTATTCTTAAATAAAACAGTATTTAATCAGGTTTAAAGACTAGAAAAGAGAGATTTAATGCGCAGTTAAGAGTCAAGTTTTTATATCTATCTTCTTTTAAATTCCTCAAAGAAAAGAAAGTATTTATTAGTATTGTGTTTATATATTTTATCTATTGGAAAAATATATTCAATATACAGTCATTTCATTCTATAAAAGCTTTTAACGTAAATTGTGGGTGGAAAAAAGGCGTCTATATATAGAAACAATCGCCACTCTGGTCGATATTTTGATGTTTTGTTTATATAATCTATTGAAATGAATATTAATATATTTTAATGTGTGGAGTAGAAGAAAGAGGGAGGGAGGGAGCGAGAGAGAGAGAAATATAGAGAATAAATGTAACTTTTTGGTTATAATGGAAGGATTAATGACTAAAACTAGTGAAATTATTTACCAGGAGAGGGAATCAATGGGGAGAAAAATCATGCAATATAATTACTTTCTCATAACATATAATTAGTAATTTAGAACGTCAATGCCACCAAATCCGTACTACAAAAAGTCATTAGCATCGACCACTGAGCGTTGAATTAGCACCGTCACTCTTAAATATTTCTTTCTATAGCAACCTTAAATATGGACCCAGAGCAGTTTCGTAAGCGTGGACGGCAAATGATCGATTATATTGCTGACTATTTGGAGAATATAGAGAATCGAAGACCACTTTCCAATGTTGAACCTGGATATTTAAAGTTATTAATTCCTGACGACGCTCCCAAAAAGCCAGAAGACTGGAATACAGTTTTTCAAGATATCGAGAGAGTCATCATGCCAGGAGTTACACATTGGCATTCCCCACAGTTTCATGCTTATTATCCGACGGCAAATTCATATCCATCTATTTTGGCTGACATGTTGTCCGATGCGATCGGTTGTATTGGATTTTCTTGGGTGTCTAGTCCTGCCTGCACCGAATTGGAAGGCGTTATGATGGATTGGTTGGCAAAGATGCTTCAGTTACCTGAAGAGTTTTTATCAACTGGAGAAGGAGGTTCTTTTGCTCATTTATTATGTTCTATAAATTTAATATAAAAGAATTCTTTTTAATCTAAATAGGTGGAGTCATTCAAGGAACAGCAAGCGAGGCGACTTTTGTTACTCTTTTAGCAGCGAGAAGTAAAGCCTTAAGCAAACATATTAATTCTTCGAAATCTATAACAAAATTTGTGGTTTACGCATCTGATCAAGCCCACTCATCCGTTGAAAGAGCTTGTTTATTGGCCGCCGTTGAATTTCGAAGTGTTCCAAGTAATGAAAACGAAGAGATGACTGGAGAAGCATTGGAAGAAATGATTCAAAAAGATATTGACAATGGTTTAATTCCATTCTACGTTGTAGCTACTTTGGGGACAACACCAAGTTGTGCCTTTGATAGACTACTAGAAGTTGGACCTGTTTGTAAATATCTTTACTATTTTGTGTACTATATACATAATATATATTATATATATACGCGTGATTTTTTAGGTAAGAAGCATGATATTTGGCTTCATATCGACGCCGCGTATGCTGGATCATCTTTCATTTGTCCTGAATTTCGACCACTTCTTGATGGTGTAGAGGTAACTATTCACATGTCTTAATTTATTTATAGCATATCCATATCATTAGTTCGCCGACTCATTCAACTTTAACCCTCATAAATGGCTTTTAGTAACATTCGACTGTTCTACATTGTGGTTGAAGAACAACAAGTATTTGGTTGAAACTTTCAATGTTGATCCTCTCTATCTGAAACATAAAGAACAAGGAAATGTACCAGATTATAGAGTAAGTTGATTATTCGGTATATTCAAGACTAAGATGAGAATATAAGCATGTTTTGATTTAAAGCATTGGCAAATACCTCTAGGAAGACGATTCCGGTCGCTTAAAATTTGGTTTGTGCTACGTTTATTGGGAAGTGAATTTTTACAAAGCTATATTAGAAGAGTAATTTTCTTTTCTTATATATGATATATAATTAAAATAGAATTTTTCTTTATAGCACGTGCAATTAGCAAAGGAGTTTGAAGCTCTTGTTCGTTCTAATGACAAATTTGAAGTAACTCACCCAGTAATTCTAGGATTGGTATGCTTTCGTTTAAAGGTAAAATACAAATAATACTGATAAAATAGAGGATAAAAGATTAAACCTTTAGAATCTTATAATAAATTTTTGCATAGGGTGATAATGAAATGAATAGAAAATTGCATGATGCAATTAACAATGATGGAAGAATATTTTTGGTTCCGTCGTCATCAAAATCAGTATATTTTTTAAGATTTGCCGTTTGCGCATACAAAACTTGTTTGAATGATGTGAAATTTGCATGGAAAACTATTCTCCAAATATCGGAAAGCCTTTGATGATATTTTACCAGAAAATGATTGATTAAATAATATAATTTTTATAGTAGATAATAGAGTTTATTCTCTTTTTTTTCTTAGAATTTCAATATTACTTTCTGTAGTAAAATTTAGAAATACAGCATTTGAGAAAAACTTAACAATCAGTTAAAATCATCTTAAAGCTAAAATAGCGTAATAGAGTAAAAGTTTTGCATCAGCTCTTCTTGTGAAAACTTAAATATCGATTATGCGACACATTTGAATTAAGCTGCAAATTCATATTATTACGTTAAGTAAGCTTTTAAAGTTTTCTGGAGGAGTATGATTTATATAAAGGTAAAGATTTTCTTCTCTATTCTTCAGAGTAAAAATTTTCTTCTCCAACTCGCAAACCTTAAAAAAATGATGCTAAGATATTCTTTATCCCTTTTCCTTCTACTAACGATATCTTATGGTCAATCAAGATTTTTAAATCGCTTTATAGATAAGGTAAGTTCTTATCTACGAATCAATCTATATATATATATATATATATATATATTGTATATACTCTGATCTAATTATCCATAAAAATTCTTCTATTTATGTCAGTCTAATCTTTACGTTGATAAGGAAAGACTTTGCGAACTATTTTTAAATCATCCATACGGATGTCTGGGAATAAAAGAAGGATTTACCTTTTCTACTCCGTGTAAGAACGTTGGTGTTTATGGATGTTTGAAAAATTATGGCCCTTCTAAACGTTCGCCATTCGGACCGAATATATCATGGAGTAGCTTTTGTCGTCTTTTCCCAAATCATAGTGCTTGCTCGATCTATCAAAATAGTTTTAATTGAGTTTCTAAATAAGAAAAAGACCCTCTTTTTTGCTGTTGTTGTATTGTCAACAACTATGTCAATTCAATTTGTAAACATTGTATAGTAGTTTTCAATAAATTTATATCCTAAGACAATGATGTAATTCTATCCTTCTGTCTCTCTTTGTCGTCTATAAGCCTATTGCGCAAAATACGAAGAAAAAGAGACAGCTATCTATTGTTATCATGAAAATACATCATATTCATATTTGCTATAGTCGAATATTTATATATAAATATATATTGAATTATTTATATAAATTTAAGTCATCTTTATTGTTCTGTCTATTCGAAAATGATATTTTAGACTCTTCCATATTGACAGCATTTCTTACATAGGACGGCTTAGCCAGTTTCATTTTGCAGTAGGCAATTCCAGTTAATATTCCAGCAATATGCCCTAGGAAACTTGAATCAGGGACAAGAATATAAATTAGTAATAGTTCTACCCAAACTCCGTACTTCCTTTTCATAAATAAAATTCCTAAAAAGCTTATTTTGCGGTTGGAATTTACGTGATTTATAATAACTTTTAGGGCAAATAAAACGCTAGAAGAGCCAACAACGCATTGAAAGAGATAGTCTATATCTCCAGTCGTTAATTTAGTAATGTACTGCAAAATAATTGTTAATATAGAAGTTGAAGGTATAAGAATGAGTAAGAGAACAGCAAAGTTTAACGACCTAAATTCTCTTTCTAACACTCTTCCTTTCATAAGGAAACTTATACAATTAAAAAATAGATGCCAATAATCAATATGAACAAAAAAGTTTAATATTAAACGCTCAAATTGACGTTTAATTAAAACTTTATGCTATTTTAAAGTAAAATTAATTAAGTAGGACTATTAATAAAATTCTTATATATACATTTATATATATATATATATATATATTTATATATACATACAACACTTATACAAGATGTATAAATATCTAAAAAATGGACGTTAACATTGGAAGAAAAGAGAAAAAGTCCAATTGTAACTAAAGTAATTACTAGTGGCATAGTTTATAATCTGATATAAAAGGAGGTAATCTACAGAGATATATATAGATATAAGGTTTGAATATTTCGTTATACTTGCCTGATTTTTTAATGTAGATATTATTCCTTTTAATCAAATACGTTTAATGAAGATTAATCAATTAAAAGAATTTGTTATTGTTTGTTGTTTTGAAATAAAAATGATTTTATTTGAAAAAATCGAGCTCATTTTACAACGTTATATATTTATACATATATTCATATTTATTTATACATATGCCACTTTGATTAATGCAGAGATATTCGTTTAATTAGTTTATGACTTTATTGCTTCCGATTCAATCAACGTCTCTCTTAACCTATTGTCCTCATGCATTCTTCTGATAACTTCCAAGTCTCCAATATGATTTCCGTCTATGAAAAGTCTTGGTACATTACGCCTATCGGTAAGGCATAAAACTTGAAAGTAGTCCTCAATCTTTGAACAATCCTGTCTGGAGTCAATATTTAATACTTCAAATGTATCTGGAGGCATTTTATATTCATTAAGAATCTTTATGGCTTGTTTACATTCGCTACACCATGCTTTGGCGAACATTAACACTTTCCTTTGCTTGATTTTTTGATCAACAAATTTCCTAGAAGCTGCCATCCTGTATGGCGTCTTTGTTGCCAAGTAACATTGCATAGTCCATAAAATCGGAATAGTTTTTTTTATGAAAGATTATATAAAGGTCATGGTCGTTTACATTTCACAAGTGATATAAAAAATTGTGGAAAATTTTAGTAAAGGTGAGCAATTTAATATAATTCAAACGCAATCGTAATAATTTTCATATTATATTTGTGTAAGGAACTGATATAAGAAGTTTAAAATAACGATCCATCGATTTTTATCCAATATTTGTGCGTTTTTTGAATGTCACTCGAACGAATATTCTTTAATACTACTCCGTAGTTTCCTTTTTGATGAGTATATTCTAAGCGAAAGAGTTGTAAAACAAGTAAACAATGAATATATATCAAATTCCTAGTCATTTTATTAAAGAAAGCTTCTTGATCACTCATGACAAACGAAAGGTGTACTCTATATTACTAGATTATGTAGCGAATCGCAAACCAGGATCCTTTTTAAAATAATAAATTCTTATCTAATCTTATCAATTCTCTAGTAAGATTCGTAGTCTTCAATTTGATTGAGGGGAGATGATATCCTAACAACGAAAGTATAATGAACTTCTTCTTGAACTTTCAGATGGCAGGGACATTAACCTCTACGGACATGAGCACCCTGGCCGGGCAGAGTTTACTCAAGCATATTCACGAAAGGAATTTACCTGCAGTAGTAAATTTATTGGATAATGAGCACGTATTTTTGGATGAAAGAGATGAGGTTATATTTAATTATATTACACATTGGTAAACATCTTTATTATACATAATCTATATTTAGGAAGGACAAACATTTCTAATGATAGCAAGTCAAGATGGTTCATGCGAAATTATTGAGGCTTTAATACGGAAAGGAATTGAAGTTAACGCTGTTGACAACGTAATTAAATCTGCTATAAACCAATTGAATTTATTCATTCCATTCATTCATTCATAGATAATATTTAAATTTATTTCCACCCTATTAGGATAATTGGACTGCTTTATTAAATGCTGCTAAAAATGGCTATCTAAATGTAGTTCAAAAACTTATTGATCACGGTGCTGACGTACATCACAAAGATATAGTGAGTTCCCTTTTCTTTTTATCATTATTATCTTATCTTTCCATCAAATTGTTCGTCTAAAGAGACCAACATTTATAGAAAATCAAAAAGGAAAAGCTATCAAATTACTTTGGAATGTTTCCTTTTTAAATAAAACAACATAATTGAAAACAGATTTATTAACATTTGCTATGTTTCTTTCAGGGAGGATGGACAGCTTTAACATGGGCTAGTTATAGGGGTCATACGGATGTTGTTCGCCATTTACTAAATCACGAAGCGAGTCCAAATGTTTTTGGAGATGTAAATAATTTACATAATATTTAAATTAGCTAATTAATAATTCTATATTTAAATCGTTTTTTATCGACAGTATCATATGTCACCTTTGAGTTGGGCAGCCGGTCGTGGTTATACAGAAATTGTTAATTATTTAATAGCTGCAAAAGCCAAAGTAAACAGTCCTGATAAATATGGTAATACTCCACTAGTTTGGGCCTCGCGAAAGGGACACGTTGAAATAGTTAAACTATTATTGGACAATGGTGCTAGCGTTGATAATGTCGGAATGGTAAAATTTGAAGAAAATACTTAAAAAATTGCAGATTCTCTATATATAAACATCTTTTCTTCCATTTCTCCAATAGAATTCATACACTGCGCTGATGATGTCAGCCAAAGGTGGTTTTGTTGAATGTGTTCAACACATATTAGATCATAATCCAAATATAAATGCAGTCGATAAAGTGAGCTTATCCTAATTGAGTTTTGCATACATTTTTCAATTGATTATCATTCTCTCAGGACGGATTTTCAGCTTTAACTTTAGCATCAAAAGCTGGTCATACGGATATCGTTCAATTATTAATTCAATATCCAAGCGTTTATATTAATTTTCCCGATAAGGTTGCTATATTGTTATAATCAATTAATGCTTAACTTAATCCTTTCCCTTCTTATTTTTAGTATGGCGATTCAACACTAATTCATGCGGTCAAAAGTGGACATCAGGAAGTTGTTAATCTGCTTTTGTCTAGGCATCCAGATATAGATATTCAAGGAGTTGATAATAAAACAGCTCTCTATTGGAGTGTTGAAAAGAGCCATAATACTATAACAAAAATTTTGTTAGCCTGGAACCCTAATTTAGAATTACAAACTAGAGATGGAGATACTGCTCTATTGAAGGCTGTAAGATATAGGAACGCGGAACTAGTCGAGGCTTTACTAGATAAGGGTTTGTTATTGTTTAAAGATGTAAAAATTCTACTATTCTATTTCAGGAGCGAGAGTATCGGCTGTTGATAGGCGAGGAGATACATCTCTTCACGTTGCAGTCCGCAGTCGGAGTAAACGTATCGCTGAATTATTGCTAAGAAATCCCAAAGATAGTAGGCTATTGTATAGACCGAATAAATCGGGAGAGACTCCTTATCAAATCGATGCAACTCATCAGAAAAGCATTATAACACAAATATTCGGCGCGAGACATTTGAATGCCGAAGAATCAATACAGGGTTACGACTTATACAGTAGTACAATAGCCGATGTTTTAAGTGAACCAACTTTAAATACACCAATAACCGTTGGATTATACGCCAAATGGGGTAGTGGCAAATCATTCCTGATTGACAAACTACAAAGTAATCTTGAATATTTCTATTATTTTATCAATTTTTACACGCAATATTCTATTATTTCATATTAAAAGAGGAAATGAGAGCTTTTACGCAACACTCCGAGTTGAAATTATTCGAATTTACTATCATTCAGTTGGTTTGTTGCCTATGTTTTTGCCTAATTATTGGAAATATTTTGGGATTTGGACTTAATTGGAAGGTAGGATTAGGAGTCGGCAGCGGATTATTAGTTATAATCTATGGGAGTTTATTCTATATTTGGTATGGCAGTCATAAGAAAAATTGGAATCTTGCATTTAATATAAGTACATATTTGGCTTCAAAATTGGATTCTCTACAACTTCTCGCCCAAATATTATTCTGTCATGAACCTTCAAGAAGGAGCAGGGAGACGGCAAACGTTAAATTTCTCTTTACAAACAATGCGAGAATGGCTGGAGTTGTAGGCGAGAAAAGCATCTCGTCAATGATAACAACTCTATGTAAATCACTTGAGCAAGAGTATGGTCTTCTCTGTACGAGATTATATAGAGTATTCAAACCTAAAAGTGCTCACGAGAATGGAACTTTCAAGAAATTATGCTGCGTTCCTTATTTTGTGATCGTTGGTGTGCTCATTGTTTGCCTCGTGGTTTGCCTTTCCCTCTTACTAGTTTTCATTAAACAGGAAGATGGTCTTAAAAAGTTAAGGGAGGATAAAGCATCCATAGTTGTCATATCCGTTTTGGCCGGAATCCTTGGAGTTGCAGTATTAACCCATCTATTTACATGGTCAAGGATGATAGTTGAAATCTTTGTCTCTCCAAGAAGGAGATTAAATCAAATATCGAATGATAGGAATTCGATACGATTAGAGGGTTTTATTGAAAATATGAAAAAGGAAGTTGAAATGGTAAGCAGTATGACAAAATGTATGGACAGTTTCAGGAACAAACATACGAGATTAGTTGTAATCATTGACGGTTTAGATAGTTGTGAACAAGACAAACTGTTACAAGTAAGCATCTCTTTTATCTTTTATTTTACCATCATTCAACCTCATTTGAATACTAATTCTCCCAAATTAGGTTTTAGATACAGTCCATATGTTATTTAGCGATACTCATTATCCATTTATTACAATTTTGGCCGTTGATCCTCACGTTATAATCAAGGGAATTGAATCTAATTTATCTGGATTGTTCAGAGATTCTTCTATAACTGGTCACGATTATTTAAGAACATTGGTTCATTTGCCATTCTTCCTTCAAGGTCAGGCACCTGGCCGTTTGATGGCTAATAGAAAAAGAGAAGCTTCGGAGAGTGGTCTGGCGGGTAGCAGTACTCCACGAAGAAGAGATAGCTTTTCTAAATCTCGAATGGGCAAGGATTCAAATAATTTTATGAGTAGTTTTCAACTACAAAATCGACAAACTTCAAACTTAGATTTGACCAAAAGTTTGTCAAAAAATTCATATTTTTCTGACGTCAATCCAAGAAATATGAGACGTCTAATGAATATTGTGGCCGTTACTGGACGTCTTTTACGAGCCTACGACGTTGATTTTAGCTGGTTTCGTTTAGCAGCTTGGATAAATGTTATTGAACAATGGCCTTACAGAATGTCCTGGGTTATTCTCGAAATCGACGATGACGAAACAATAGAGGATTGCGTAACGTTGAAAGCTGTTCTAGATAGGGTTATACAAAAAATGCCTCAATCCAAGGAAGTGGAACCATTGTTAGAGATTGATAGAAATCCCCGAAAACTAGAGGTTTTCCTACAGAATCACTCGCCTCAGTTAACTGTTGCAGATTTGAAGAAATTCTTGCCATGTGCTATTAATATTGATCCATTTTTAAGGAAATTAATATTAGGTAATGAACGCCTCTTCAATTAGTTGAACTCAATGTTTAATGATCTAATTTATATGTTTCCTAGAAATGCAAAATCAACAAGAACAAACCGAAGATTTCTATAATTCTCACCCTCCTATGATTCACGCTATTCCTCCCCCCGAACCTTGGCCTATAACTGGCAGAAGAAGAAATTACAGTGGGGAAACTAATAGATCTGCTCAACAAAACATACAGCCAAGAAATACACCGAAATTTCATTATCAACCTCCATTATATAATTTTACGTCATATGTTCCTCCATCCTTTCCTGGAAGTACTCATGGAATTAGGGAAGACGAAGGTCTATTGACACCAATCGAAAAAGAATATTTTGGATTTGAGGTTCGTTTTGTTACAACTAATATTGATATTGAAGCAATAAGTTTCTTCCTTAATTCTTTTACAGAATCTTCTCACAGCAAAACCTCTCTATAAGTATTCAGCCAGAGATATTGGTAAACTTTTGTATAAGATTGAACAATTCAATAAAGATAAAGTAAAAGAATATGAAAAGACTATCATTGATCAAAATATAACCGGAAGTGTTTTGAGTACATGCAACTTAATGGAATTAAAAAAATCCTTAAAAATGGTATTTGGCGATTGGGAAATATTGAAAAATCTTGTAAGTTAATTAATTTTTAACTATTTGAATAATAACATAATCGTTTTTTTACCAAAATAGATTCAAACTATGAGAAATCAGGCGAAAGCGTCACCTCCTACTCCAATTATGGAATCAACTTCGTCTGTAGATGGGAGAAGATCGAGAGATTCTCCTCATAAAGAGACTCTTGCAAGACAACAATCGCTAACTAAGAGAGATCGAAAGAATAGTTTCGTAAATGAAATTTTATTGGAGAATCGTTTTATAAATGACGCAATTGAAGATGAAATTATAGCTGAACACGACGGCAACGACGGAGATGAGATAACTTTTTCCGTTCAACCTCAGAGAGAACGACGAAATACACTAGAATCAATGGAGAAAGTTAAAAGTATTTTAAAGAAGAAGAAAACTCCGGATGAAGAGGAAATTGAAAGTATTGCAAATTCAACACCTCAATTTTTAACTCCTCAAGGAACACCTGGAAAATCTCATACTAAATTTACAGGTGGCGAAACCGATGATAGGCCATCAACAAGCGCAGAAGATATGGAACTTCAACAACTTTTACCATCATCTTCCAAAGATAATAGCAATTGTATAGTTTAAAATAATTCTTCACTCGCCGCTCTTCCCCTTTTGAAGATTGTTCAGAAAAATTCAAATATAGGCTGAAAATCTTTATAGAAAAGAATGACGCAGTAAAAGATAGATAGATAGGCTTTAGTTTGTAAAAAAAAATGCTATGTATTTTTTGAATTTTGATTTAAAATGTAATTGAAAATCTTTTGAAGATTTTCTAATTCAGTTTTACTGAATAAACGTTGTTTTTGAACAAATTTCAATAAACTATTCATTTTTAAACGTAAAATTTCTTTACATATTTTATGATTTAATGATAGAAAAACATTCTCAATTAACATTAAATCTGCAGTTTCTAGTAAAAGTTCGAGTAAAGATTTACCTATTGTTTGGTCAATAAATTGAAGATTTAATTGAAATTCGCTAAAAAGAAATAGTATTGTTTTCCCACAATTTTTAAATTCCATATGAGCTTTGATTGCTTGAATTAGAATTTGCTCGGGAAGATATTTAACATCTTTGAGAATTATCCTTAACATATCTAATTTCTTGTCACCAGTATTTATTATTTCATTTATTCTAAAATGGCCGCCAGATTCTTGTATCCATTGAAATATTTGAACGTTGTTTTTTGAGAAAGCAATATCAGAGGGAGTTTGACCTGATCTGTTTTCGTGCCATACAAAGTATGGATGACTTTTAATTATTTCCAATAAGACGTAGAGAAATTTATGAAGAACGTTATTTTCCTTTTCGTTTGCAGCAGCTAACAAATGCAATAAATTCTCTTCTTGTTTTGTAACTGTTGCCAATTCTTTCACACCAATATACTTTGAGACTTGGCTCTTTTGTAGCCAATTAATATATTGAGGATTTTGAGACGCTTTAAAAATTGACATAGTATTTAGACTAGGTATTTCGTACTTTTCAAACTGTCTTTCATATGAGAAATTCCCTGGATAATCGTCAAAAGAATCAGTTTGCGTAGAAGCTGAACAGCTAATCAAAGGATCAGTCTGCACTGCTAAAGTCGTAGTAGAAAAGATTTTCTTAATTGAAGTATTTGACGAAGAGGAAAAAGAAGAAGAAGAAGAAGAAGAAGAATTCTTTTTGAAGTCTTGAAAATCTATTGTTGTAGAGTATTCTTTCAGACTTTTTCTATTGTTAATTTGGTTATTCCTTCTTTCATTTCTAACATAGGCTGTAGTAAAAAGTAATTTACTTCCTTAATTTAGATATTTCATTTAGGAAGAAATATTTTGTTTATCTTTCTGCACTTTCAAGGCATTAAATATTAGTTTTATTAGTAAATTCGTGATACGTTATACGTGATATGGCAGATAAACAATAAATTTTGAGATTATAACCAATAACAGTATTAGTTTGTACTAATCATGTTTTTAATGTTGGATTCTTGTATAACTATATACAGTGTCTTAGGTTAAGCAAAGCATATATTACTTACGATATTCCTCGCCATATTTGATTCTTACGCTTGATGTATTGCATGTGCAAAATCGTCTTCTCAATCTTTCGTGTTCTTTAATATTGAAGTAAATAATGCATGCGTTATTTATCATTAGGAAAATATGAATTAATCTTCTAGCACTTACCTGGTGCCCTGGGGATACTAAAGATACTATTTAAAAAGTCATTCTCTTCATCCGATATTAAATTAGTAGTAAATGCATTTATATCCTCATCATTTTTCTCTAATGATAATACAGGAATACTAAAATCACGCAGTGTTCCATCATCTACCCATTCTTCTCTTTTCCTACTCATTTTCTACTCTGTAATGATCGTAGGAAAGTTTCAATACTTTTATATATACTGTATATATATTTGTTTTTTTTTCTTCCTTTTTCTATTAATAGGCCTATAGAAGTGATAAAGATTAATATTGACAAAAAGTTATTCTTTTACAGATAATAGAAATTAAATTAATGAATATTAATAATGCCTATCTTAATTAGATGATTGTAATTAATTAATAATTTAAAACATTAGATTATTAACTAATATTATATAGTTTACATTATATATATTTATTTGTTAGTTTAAGAAATATTCAATTCCCTATTCGATGGAAAGTCGACTCCTCTTGGATAGAAACAATAGCTTTTGATAATTCTTTTGTTAAAGCTGTTATACCATTTTAATATAAATAAACAAGATATTTTTTACGTAATTTATCTATAAATATAGATTTTCCTTCTTTTAGTTAGTAAATCCGTTCTAACTCCTATTCACCTTGGAGTTTTTATCATTTTTCATATTGACCTTAGGAAAGACACAGGAAGAATATTAATTCAATAGATACTTAAGTTGACAAACCAGTTCATTTGTCATTCAATATATTGCAGTCAAACGGATAATATGTATAGTTTCAACTACTTTCAATTAATAATCCTTATTGGTAATTTTTTTATTGCAAAAATTTAATTTCAACACTTTTAAATACCAATAACTGCCTTATAGATTGTTTAATAATCATGAAAATTGAGTGTTTAATTGGTAAAAATGTATTAACGTTTCCAAATTACAAAATGGATGATATTACAATACCTTCACTAGAAAATGATAACTCTTTCTATGGTATTAATATATTTAAGAAACCTGACAATTCATTTAATGAAAGAGGATTTATTGTTGAATGGAAGTTTATCAGAGCAAATAATGAACAATGTTACTTCGGTAACAGCTTTTCATTTTTCACTTTAAGCCTTTTCTTTGTATTCTATTATTATTACTAATCATAATAAAAACTAAACCTAAATATTGCTAACTGTATAGGTGTTTGGACTCGCCTCATTTCCGGAAAATATCAAATAAACAGCGCTTACGAAGTGCCTATGGCTAAAAATTATGTCATTAGTACCTTGAAACTAGTGAATCCTATACTTATACAAGCTAATGACGTCTTCGGTTTACATGGGAGCGATTGTATTGGTTCTATTAAAAATATACAAGCAAGTATTCCTTTGTCGGAGAGATTGACAAACAGAGACGTAAATAGTACACTACTTCCCGGTTTCATTGTACAAGTAAAAGAGGAAGCTGACAATTATCTATATATGATTCAGGCCAGTATAATAAAAGATTATAAAACAATAGGTAATTATTAAACAAATATTTAACTCTATTATTATCATTAAGATATAAGATTCCTTTCATTCATTATCTCTGCCCTACTTAAAGATATTCAACTTCCCAAAAGTATACACAGAACGTCTTTCGACGCTTTCCAATCTCCCTCCTACTTAGCAGTTTTCCTGAACGCAATCTACAATGTTTATAGTATAGAACTATTCGTTCTTAAAGAGGACGGTTATTATAACTATTAGAATAATTTTGCGTAAAATTTTAATAGAAAATATTTCGATTAGCGAGATTTTTTATGAGGCACGAAGGATACGAAGTTCTTAAACCGTACGCAACTGGATCGGCGTCGACAAGCCAAGGAAGTATAAGCCATTGCGTTTATGTTCATACTTCAATATGGAAATCAAGATTTTGGACATTTGATGTGGACATTAAACCATCGGGTACAACGACAAAAAGCTTACATTATAAGCCAACTTTGGAAGAATTAAATAATCCAATTAATTATAAATATGATCCAAAGTTTCAATTCTACAGTAATTTTACACTTGGAACAACGTATTTTAATACGTCAATGTGTCAAACTTCATCAAAAAGTATTTATATCTTTTATTAAATAACACTATTTCCATTATTTTTGACCATCTTAAATAGGCTACAAAAACTCAACAACAAATCTATATGATTACTATATCTATTCCTCATTGAAAAAGTCAGAAAGTGATATATTTACTATCAATGAAACGAATTACTGCGGTAAAACAAATAAAGAGCAAGACTATCAAATATTTTGCGATGATTTAACAATCAAATCAAATACTGTACTTATAAAAAAAGAAAGAAATAATAATCCAAGTGAAGATAGCGAAAGAATTTGCGAAGTTAACGTCTATGGCTTTTATGTAGAAGATGATCGTTTGTATCATAAACTTATAAGCTATCACTGTCGTGAAAAAAGTACGTTTTCTTCCTGTAGATTATCCAAATATTGCAAAAAATAAGCCTAGTTGGTCTTCATCCGTCTATCAGTATTTAAATAGGGGAGGATATTCCGGCTATTCGGTAGATAATAATAGTAGAGATTCTTTTTGGGTTGACGGATGTTCTGTAACCGAAATTGGCGAAAGAGAATGGTTAATTATTGATTTATTACAATTATATATAATACAAAAAATTGGTTTTGTCGCTAGAAATGGATATGGTAAAAACTAATTATATATAACACAAGGATGTTTTAAAATTTTGTGATGTGTTTTTTTTTTATTTTATCTTTTTATAGCCCAGCTTGTTCAACCTAGATCATTCGAGTACACAATTAATTTTTTAATAGACTTTCAACAACTATCCGATGATTCATTATTCTATAAAAAGTTTTGTATTAATGATAACATCAAACTTGATATATTAAAGCATGTTGGAGCTTCCTTCTTCTTCGTTTGTAATGATAATGAACAAGCAAGATTTGTTAGATTTAGTACGATAAACGGAAGTATTGAAATATGTGAATTATTAATATTTGGCAAACAGGAGGTAAATAACGAAGGTAGTTATTAATAGAAAAAAAAAAGACTAGCAAGTTTTCACTTTAAAACTATTTATATTTTTAGAAATTATCGATGCTAGCTTAGTTGACGTTTCCGATTATGATGAATTCAATCAAAACTTATCTCTAACTATAGACAAAAATGCTTTAAACATTTATGACTTTTATTCACGTGACATTTGCTTTCAATTTGAAAATGCCAAAAGTTCCTGGATTGCCTTTTACTTCCTCAACTATAGTCATATAAAATTTCAAGAAATTATATTAAACGTTCAAACTCCGATAGGTCATGCTGCGTTTATTATACTATATATATTTTTTATATTGAAATATAAATATGCTATTGAAATTAATATTTGTATTATTTATTTATTCGCAGGCATTATTGACAAGTTACATACTTATATACTTCAAAATTGGCCAGGTCAAAACGATTTCAATTCCAATAGAAAGTGTACATTTACTAATTATACTGAGGGTGTTAATTGGCCGCTATTTTTTAAATGTAATAATACTGGAAGAATTTCATTCATAACAGGAATTAATTCTATTGAATTAACAATATGCGAAGTTATCATATACGGTAACAAAATTCCAGAAACACCGATTGACGGCATTATTTATCCAGTTGGTAGGTCATTTCTTTTTCTGCCTATTATGTAATATTGTTATATTAAACGAAAACAAACAGCTTTATATATATATATATATATATATATATATATATATATGTACTGTATATACTCTCTGTAGCTTTTGGAGAAATGGTCGGTAACCAAGTCTATGAAAAAATCCCTGTATTGCAAAATTTCTCTGTGAATGGCTATAGGAATTTCTCTCTAAAATTGGAAAGTTGCGGAAATATAACATCAATAGTTTTTAAAACAACGCAACCATTAACGAATAATATTAATATAGATATTTCACCTCAAGGATCAAGACTAAATGCAACTGAATGCAATTATTATATTCCAAGAAGGTGGTTACAAGTCCCAAATGCTGATAACGTATATACTTACGTAATCAAATGTTATAAGCCTACTTTTGGCATGTACTTGCATTTGACGTCTAATGGGAGTTTACCAAAGCTTGATATACAAATCTTTGGTCAAAAATTAGGTTCTATCTATTATAACTTATTGCAAACAACCAAGTATGAAATGAAAGGTATAAACTGTGATACCTTAAAGTCGTGTTCAGATATTTGTTCAATTCACTCAAATTGTACTGGATTTACTTTTCCAAACGGCTCATTGCAGTTTGGCTATACTTTAAAGAGCTTGAACAGCAATAGTGACAGAAAGTATTACGAGAAAGAGTGCACAACACGAACAGCAAGACCGACTTGCTAAGAGTTTATTCTGTTCATAAGAAATATTTGTGTACTTTCAGTAATTTCCTTTCACATAAAAGACGCCTATTGGATATTAATATCTAGGGAAATTTACCCTATTGTATTCCCTGACACACCCATTAAAATTGTTAGTTGCTCTTTTAAGTGTCTTTGAAAATCGTCTAAATATATCCAAGAGTATTTGTATCACTTTCAATGTCTTAATATTGATCATCTCTATTTTAATAAATTAGAGTGAATTCTATCCTCTATAGTAAAAAACACCAATAAACATTTCGATAATTCAATTTTCACAACTTATGTGACATTGAGATACTAATTTCGTTTGTTCAAGTAATTTCACCGTAAGTACGCCTTTAGTATATCATGTAAGTTAACTCCTCTAGAAGTAAAATTGATTAGCTCTAAAAAAAAGCTTGTACAAGTGCTAGAAGTATTCATTCACCAAACTGTATTCTCAAAAAATTTATCTGTTAATTTAACTTTCTTGGGCCTTAGATGGTCTGGTGTAGATTTGCTGCCTATGGTGTCTCGAAACAACTTTGATAACACCTTTTTCATGCAACTCCCGGAGGGCCATTCTGGCCAAGGATCCACGAATCTTTAAACGTTCGGAAACAACCGAGGGGGTTATCAATTTATAGCTCGGTACCTGTTATACAAGAAAGATAATTATGTAGGATGAAAAAAATTAGGATGCTTTACTATAGTAACATAATAAACGTGCTGATATTTTGAAAACAGCATGGTTAAGGACATTAGTTCAAGATCAATGTCAAAATAAATTTTTTAAGTTGATTACTTGATTTGCAAAAGAAGGTGTTACATTATTGAAAATATTCGCCTAATTTAAAAATGATGCTATTACGTTTTCGCTCAATGTTTTACACTTACTTCTTTGTACAGTTTGTCGTACGTTCCCTTGTCAAAGAGAACCAAGTTATCGAGTTTGTCACGGACTTTTCCCTTCGACCACTTCTGTAAACGTTAATAAAATATTACATAAGAGAACAACCGCTAAAACAGTCAGTCGAAATGATCACCTTCTTCTTAGCCTTTCCACCAGAGGATCCTTCCTTCTTCTTAGCTGGGGCGGCTTTTCCTTTTCCTTTCGGGTCGGCTTTTTTGGGAGGCTGTAGTTACAAATGATTCTTTATTATATAATTAAGGTATGAGAGAGGGGAAATTTCCAAATATCAAGGAAAACTATGAAAATTTTGGAATTTTTGTCTGATATACCGACCATGCTTGCAGTTAGCGAAAAAGAGGCTGTTTCCGGCTACGATTTCAAGGACCGCACTTATTTTATTATTTTTGATTCGGCAAAATATGATTTAAAATAATCCTTAATATTAATAATATTTTACAAATCATTGTTTTATGATAATTTAATAAAATTTCAATAAAAATTATTTTGGCAAATTTACCAGATTAATCCCGCCAAAATTTTAAAGTGCGAACCTTACCGCAGTATTGGTCTTTCTACCTAAATAAAACTAATTCACTTTAATATTTTAGAATAGCTGATTACTTCTGTATATTGTTATTAGAAGGCAATAAACTGTATGTTTAAAAGTATAAGGTATAAATTATTATTTATTGATATACCATTCCTTTTCTCCTATGTACTCGCTCTTTAGCATTGTCAGTTTGCACCATTAGATCTTCATTTATGAAATATGTACTTAGCAAAAGCAGGACGTTCTATTTAAATAATTTCTACAGGTCCAGATTGAAAACTTAAAGAACAAATTACTATGTCTGGGGAAAATGACTCTGATTCTGAAGTAGACGTTATCAAGAAGGTTGGTATTTGCTTTATTATAAATCAATTAATTTTGATCGGCAAACTTTGATTACAGAGACTAAAGGCAGCTATTCATTTTGCGGTAGGATCGACTTGCCAAGAAGTTGCGGACAGACAACAAATATCCTTTCAAAAAAAAGTGCTTGCTGTAATGACAGAAGCTGCGTGGAAGTATAGTGAAATGATGGCAAGAGATCTTGAACTCTTTGCTCAACATGCTAAAAGAAATACCGTATCAGTTGAAGATGTTAAAATGATTGCTCGAAAAAGTCCCAAATTGGTAGCTTTTTGTAAAATAAAATTTTTCTGTATATTTAGATAGTTTATGTTCATTTTTTTGCAGCACGAATTGATGACAAATAGAGCAAATGAAATGGGCCAAAAGAAACAAAAGTGAAAATCTGAATATTAGTTTTTTCAAAACGCTCCAATACGATTCTGAAACTAAGCTTCTAATAAATTTGAATAAATGTTTCACTAACTTGCGTTCAAAATGAATAAACGTTTTAGATATTTTTCAATAATAAAGTAAATGTGTTTCTTTTTAACTAATTCAATCAAACTTTTGACATGGATATTTTTCTTTTAACACTTTGTAAAATTGGCCACTTCCATCGCCTTGAGAGTCAAATACAAAAAAATTATTGTACAGTGGATCTTTCTTTGAAATGGCTTTAATTATTTCCTGAGCGACAATTCCACCGATAACAGCGCAAGCAACACCGAATTCCATTAATATAGGCTTTTTTACACCTGTAATAAAATCCAAGGCTTTAATGAGTAATGTAGACGGATTTCTAGTCTCGAGCACATCTGAGAATTTAGGAAATTCCTGAACATCTTCCGAATATGTAGTTTCTTGATTCTTAATAGTTTTTTTAGTGTACTCATGACTTCCTGCATCAATAAAATAATAAGCGAAGGTTCCTTGAACGCATCCAAAGAAGAGGACGGTCCCGTTTTCTCGACAGGTTTCATCCAATCTCGTTATATCCTCCTGAGAACCAGTCGTAGCACAGATGACATCAAATTTTTTAAGATAATCATTAGAAAGATTCTTTATGGTTTCCGCTATAAAGGAGACCTTTACATTTGGATTAAGTAATTTTGTTCTTGAGACTGAACATTCCGCCCTCTAGAGTTGCAAATTTAAATGTTTTCAAGAAATTCAATTGTGAATTTGTAATTATATAAATCTTACGTTTCTTCCGATATCTTTAGTAATATCAATAAGAAATTGACAACTACCATCAACCATCGTCACCTTTTTTACGAGAAATTCAAGATTCATTATATAATCGATATTTAGTTGGTAGAATTCTATAAACTTACATTTTTATCATCCATTAGAACAATGGAGTTAATTCCTGCAAGAACAATGTTTTTTGTAACTTCAGCTCCAAATCCCCCCATGCCGATTATTAATACATTTGCATTCCGAAGTCTACAACAGAACACGATATAAAAGTGGGCGATATAATAGTTTTGTAGTGGCTTACCGATTCTGTGCTTCTATTCCCCACAGACGAATCTGTCTGTCATATTGGTCAACCTCCTCTTTAGATATTTCGTTGTTAGACATATCAAGTTTAGTTTTGTTATCAGGAAATATCTACAAGTCTTTAAGACAGACGCCGGTTGATTTCACAACTTTTCCAAAATCAAAAGTGTTCTAGACGTTAGTGATGTCCATCTTCAAACTTAATACTTCGAAGAATATTTACCACCATTGAAAGTTCGTCTGTTTGTTATAAATATCAATAAAAGTGATTTGATCAAAATGTAAATTGATCTATTAAACGTCAATTTAGAGTTAAAAATTTTTTTTTTCATTTCAGAGTATAGATTGTTAGAAAGCGACCATATAAAAGTTTTTTACTGATATTCCAATTTTTTTATACAAAACTGATTTATTGTTATTTTAATATCGAGGAAAGTTCTGAATAATCTTTCTTTGTAATTTATGTCGAAAAGAGCTCAAAAATTGATTATTTAAACTCTACGAGAACTGGTTAACATGCTGTCGTTAGATGGCGCACTTAAATTTTGAAATTTTTTCCTGAGTAATCAAAATGGCGTCTGGTGCACTTTTCGGCTCAACCCGGTCTCAAAGCAAAAATTTGCTGGAGTTCCGGGCTGGCAAGATGACTCTCAATTCAAGTGACAAGATAGTGTATCCGGATAAGCGTAAAGGTTAGTAAGATTAGGTGAAACGTGTGCCTCTTGCGATGCTGTATCATTTTAGGATGACTTGTGAAAAGTGATTCATAAGTTTTAAGTTATAAATTTACTTTTAAAGCTTAAGAAGCTTACTTTTTTTTTAATTAGATGAAATATATGCAACTTATTGCTATTTGTGTACTCTATAGGCTTAATCTACATCTTTCAATCCGAAGATGGTTTGATGCATTTTTGCTGGAAGGACCGCACATCGAATAAACCTGAAGATGTAAGCACCACCAATCATAAATTTAATTCAAAGTTTTTAATTGATCTGTAATATAGGATTTGATCATATTTCCTGATGATACGGTATTCCGAAGAGTTCCTCAGTGTAAGACTGGTAGAGTATTTTTACTGAAGTTTAAAAGTTCAACTCGGAAATTATTTTTTTGGGTCCAGGTAATATCATTTTATGGGATCTAAAGCTTTTATTATATAGATATCATACATTCAGGAACCAAAGACAGACAAAGATGAAGACAACTGTAAAAAAGTTAACGAGCTTCTCAACCATCCTCCACCCCAAATGGGTAGCAGAGGAGGAACTGGGAATGGTGGATTACCCAGTGATGTTGCTGACCCTGAGCTATCGAATATTTTAGGTGGCATGAACCAACAACAACTAATTCAACTTTTAGGAATGGGTGGAGGGCCTAATTCTAGCAACCTAAATGCAATAATTGGAAGGCCTGGCTCTGGTCAAACGACGTCCGAGTCAACAACCCCGTCACGTGTCCAATCTTCTCCTGGACCCCGAAGCGGAACAGCTGATTCAGCGCAAGTTGGGGCACGACCAGCAACTGCAGCTACCGCTCCATCCAATGAGGGAAGCGAACAGAGGGCTCAGAGGATTCAATTATCTGACTTGCAGAGCATGCTTACTGACATGGCACCTGCTGGTCAAAGTGTCGATATTTCATCAGCATTGACACCAGAGGCATTGATTCCTCTTTTATCGAATCCTGCTCACCGGGAAGCCTTATTGCCTCATCTTCCTGAAGCGGAGAGCTTACCTCGAACAACTGACGAATTAAGAGCGACAGTTAGTTCCCCCCATTTTCAACAGGCCTTACAGACTTTTGCCTCCGCTCTAGCCACTGGACAATTAGGACCAGTAATAGCTCAGTTCGAATTAGGTGAAGCTGCCCAACAGGCTGCACAGAACGGAGACGTTGAAGGATTTGTCAAAGCTCTACAAGATTCGGAGAAAAGTAGCAAATAGACCTAACGGTATATTCCAAGTATGTCCTAGATGAATTTACATTAATTTTATTTAACAGCCCAAATATAATTTAAATAAACAGTGAATTCATTTATATTCGAAAGCGTTTGTTTATTTTACTTCACAGCAAATGTACTTATATATCGAGTCTATTTTCGTATTTTACGGATTTTTTTTAGAGTCTTCTTTCAAAGTGACAGTAAGGTTGAAGATTAGCTATATGAAAAAGTTATCGTTAATTATGAAATAATAGAATTATGGTATAAAACCCACCTTTCCATCTGCAGAATCGGTGTCAACGCTGAAATAACCTAATCGTTCAAATTGGAACTTATCGTAGACTTTAGCACTCTTGACAGATTTATCGATATAAGCGTTTGGAATGATCTTAAGGGAGTCAAGGTTACAATCAGTTACAAATCCACCGGGAACTTCTCTAGGGTCTTCAGGATTCTTATGTTTAAATAGTCTTTCATAAATTCGTACTTGGCATATTTCAGGATCAGAAACCCACTGAATAAAGGCTTTAGGTTTCGCCGTTTCGCTAACCGGAGTAATTCGAACATCAAGTTCGCAAATTTTTCCATCTTTTCCTTTCTTAACTTTTTCAACGTTCATCACGAAATTGCAGTGTCTCAGTCCAACAGGCTGGTTCGGAGTGAGCCTTTTAAAATTCTTATCATCTTTCTGGAGACATTAAAATATTAATTCAAATTACTTTCCGACATCTGTCACAAACCTCTTGAAAGTCTTCTTCCTCAATATAAAGGACTTCAGTTATGGAAATATTATGATATCCTTTGGATTCATCGGCTGGGAAATTTGGTACTTTAACTGTTCGGGGATGGTTTGCAGGGAAGTTCAAAATGTTGACCTTCAGTGGATTTAAGGTAGCCATGGCACGAGGTGCAGTAACATTTAGAATATTTCTTGTACAGACATCAAGCATTATAGGGTCAAAAGAAACTTGAGCAACAGTTACCCCAACTTTAGCACAGAATAAATTTATAGCTTCAGGGGGTATACCTCTGCGCCTGAGAGCAGTAAGTGTAAATAATCTAGGATCATCCCAGTCGCGTACAATTCCATGTTCAATTAATTTTCCAATTTTTCTCTTTGATACTACGGTATAATTAACGTTTAACCTTCCATATTCCCATTGTACAGGGCAATAAACATCTACGGCGTTACAGAGCCAATAGTAAGAAGGTCTGCGTGCTTCGAATTCCTTAGTGCATAATGAATGAGTTATATCTTCTATCGAATCACAGAGACAGTGGGTGTAATCATATGTTGGATATATACACCTATTAGCATGAAATTTGAATAAAATACATGATTTTTGCTTTCATATATTTATAAATATACCATTTATCTCCTGTTCGATGGTGAGGACTGAACTTAATTCGATAAGCAACAGGGTCCTGTTTACTATCCAACATTATCATTTTCATACGCAACGTTGCTTTTCCTTCATCAATCTTACCATTTTTCATATCTTCAAATAGGGCTAACGATTCCTCTATAGGTCGCTCTCGCCAGGGAGATGGTGGTGGATTGTGACCTTTCAATTCGTCCGCCGTTTGGTGGCAAATATATGCAAGACCTTTCTTAATTAGTACCTTCGCTAAATTATATAATTCGTCGAAGTAGTCAGATGAATGTGTAATCTTGTAAGGTTTGTATCCTGCAAAACATGGAAAGTTTTCGTTATTTACAATAAACACATCAAATTGTTTATTTTTTTGGAAAATTAACGAAAATTGGATGATTTCGCACATATCCTTTAACAACGAATTAAAATAAAACAATTCGCAGTTTCGTTTACAGTGCAATTTTTCTTCAACATATCCAAAATTTGACTCACCTAACCATTCAACCATTTCCCTAATGCCGACAAAAAACCTTTCCTCCTCTTTTTCTGGATTGGTGTCGTCGTATCGCAAAAATGTTATACCATTATGGGCTTTTGCATAACCAAAGTTGAAGTTTATAGCTTTAGCATGACCAATGTGAAGGATTCCATTAGGTTCAGGAGGAAATCGTGTTCTGACCTGAAGTAGTTTGCTTGAATAAAATTATTTTTTGATAGAGATTGATTGTTTACCTGTCCATTAATTCTTTTAAAATGTTCTTTTAGACGTTGCATGATTTCAGGAGTTACAGTATAACCATCAGTTTTATAGTTTTCGCCTACTTTATGGAAATGTAAAGCAGCCCCTGCCATTTCCGAGAAACTTTTGACATTTCCCTTGGAATCTACTCCAGTGTCATTTTCTTCCGAAGCAGGTTTAGAAATTGGTTTTTTATCCTTTTCGGTGCCAACAACCTTAGCCTTCACCTTTCAAATTGATTATTAGTTTGACTAAATGGTTTTGAAAATTCTTACTTTCGTTTTTCCTTTTTTAAGATCTTCCTCTGTCTTGGGACCAAGTAAGTGCAAAAGTTGAATTTCAATTTCACTTTTGACAATTTTTGCGTCAGCCCATTTAAGACGATCGCGAACCTTTGAAAAGTTTAATCATTGAATTCAAATAAATAATGAGTTTGGCTTGAAATGAACCTCTCTAATCAGCATTCCAGTATTAAATTGATATCTCTTTTCTAAGAGTTCATCGTGGTTCTTCTTCAAAACGTCTTCTACTACTTCTTCAATTTCTTCGCCTGTTACTTGAACACCAACACCAGTTGCTTCTTCGAATTGTTTAATGTCGAAGGTACCTGCCACGTTGTCCATTAAAAAGTCAAGAGCGGCTGGTATTTCAAACATGAGTTAGTTACGATAGTCTAAAGCAATGAATTTATGCTTTACAAGTAAATTGTAAATCGCTAGCTATTTTGTCCTCCACGACATACTTAACAAGCATGGACCGGTGTTTAGTTATTTGTTCCTTCATTCTGGTCCCAATGGCGTACAAAATATTTCCTTGTTGTTTACTAAAGCCATCCTTGCCGGATAAGTTTTTTGCCTGATAAAATAAGACAACAAATGATACAATTTCAGATAAGATATTCACAAAGGAAAAATTACAAGAAATAGTTCTTGTACTTTAAAATAATTACCTCTGTTATAATGGATATTAGATTAGAGGTTACAGTTTCATTTTGAAGAGTTTCTTTGGCTTTAGTTTCAGTTAAGCCAATACTTTTAAGAAGAGAAATTCGTTCTTCAACCATGCTGGATACTTTGCAAAATTACCAGTTTTCCGGTAAAGACGTGGTAATCTGAATGACTATTGGTCAATCAAATTCTTTTATATTTTTCTGTTAAAATTAAGCCTACAATCAAAACTTCCCCTAATGATGAAATAATTTAATTCTATTTCTCAATTATCACTTGTGACTTATCGTAAGATGGTATTAACCACAAATTAAAACTTCTATAAAGCCTATAAGAGATTTTGACTATTCTACGATAATTCCGGTTATTTATAATGCCACCTTTTGGAGGAAATTCTTTATTGTTTTTTTTTATTTATTTTGTTTTGACATTAAAATATTTTTAACGATTATACTGTATATTAATATTATCAAATTTTTAAAATAATATTTATAAAATAAACTCTCGATAGATGTCACTATGTATAATACCTTCCATTCGATAGCTTCCGGTTAAGATTATATTATACTATACTGTCTAATTCTCCAAATATCCTCATTAACTAATTAAATACCCTGAAGTTTTTTTTTGAATTATGTATTGATTTGTTCGATTACTTGAAGACTGGTTAGCATTTGGCATTTGTAAAGACAATGGAATGGGAAAGTCCAGACCAAAATTCTGGGGAGAAGAATAATAATTCCGAGAACGACGAGCGCAAGACATGGAGATCAAGTAGTAAATGTTAGTCTATAGTTTGATTATTTTTTCTTTTTGAACCTGATGTAGGATATTATACGACTGGAAGTAGAGCCAAATAGCAGCAAGTAATTCCTAGCTTTTCTCAGCTCATTTTCTTATCTGCTTTTATGGTCTTGCCCAATTACAGCGTGAAGACGAGCATATTGCTGTTAAGAGTGACATAAAATTATTTAAAAAGATGTAATATACAGTAGCCTCTCTATTTATGCTTCAAAATTATAAATATTTAAATTATACATTACAAATATTGTCTATATTTAAAGAGATACAAAAAGAAATATTCCAGTAAATACAACGACCTTTCCTTTATACCTTAAATATATTTCGAAGAAGAAAGTTTAATTGTAGAATATATTTTCTGTTTCAGTAATGAGTTGCCTGACTGACGAAGGATATACTAATGAAGTCTGGCCGAGACTAAAAACCTCTATAAATGAATTGCTTGTTTCACAAGATCGACGTTACGTTAATATAAGCTATGAGCAAATGTATACCTGCGTTTATAAATGCGTTTGCTCCCATAAGTCTGAAAAACTATATACGGATTTGATGGAAATACTAACAAATTACTTAATAACTAATTCCAATGAAATTGGGAATTTTTCTAAGGTTGTATAGCATAGTATATTTCTATTCTACAAATTTCATTAATTGCTGTATTTTCACTTAGGTTTCAACTTCAGCTAAATTCGTCGAGAAATTTCATCAATTTTTATGCCAATATTTAAGTGCTTTGAACGGAATCGTGCCCATATTTAATTACATGGTTTGTGTACTATTTCTTTTAATTTTTTCTTCGTTCTCTTTTTTGGAAAACCTAACTATTTACGACTGTAGAGAATGAATAATAGTATTCTCTAAAGAGTAAGCCGATACTTGTTGAGAACTTTAGTAAAAGATGCTTAATATCTTACAGAACAAATTCTACATTGAACTTCAGTTGCGAACAGATTTGAATAACGAGCTGTATGCATTGTTTGTTAAGCATGTTGCAGACAGACACGAGCAGCATTTGTTTGGTAAGTTTTAATTGTCCAGAGTTGAATTAATGCAGTTTAAGTGGTTTTATCCGCGTGCTGTATTCGAAAATATTTACTTTTTTACAAAAATATTTACATTTTTATCATTTCAATGAATATTGTAAACATATTAAATAGACACAAGTTTACATTTAAACTGCTAAAAACTTCCCTGTGTAATTACAATCCGCGACGTTATCTGATAGCTACATATAGTCGTAAATAAGTGTTATCATGAAATGTCTTGCATCAGAATGCCTCTTTATTTACAAAATTATAAAATAAAAAGGGAGCGGGGATAAATAAAAAATCATGAATATAATTAAATTTTTTTCTAGCTTGTATACAAGAAGTTATGAACCGTCCTTTCGAAACTACGCCTTTAATTCTCCATCAAATAGTTAAGAACCTACATAATCTGAAGCCTGAATATGCTCTAAGTCGACCCCAGATCTTCTCAAAGTACATTCCCAATTGTCTTCCACCAGCTCAGGTAGAAGAATTGGATCAATATATAGAAGAAACAAAAAGAATGCAACGGGATCTTCACTCTCACCCTCATTTTACTTCAGGTGATCAAAGTCGAAAGAGACAAGTTGATTGTATGGACTGATTTATAACTTTTAATAGAAAAAAGTTTCTTTTTTTTTCATAGCCTTTTCTGTAAATTGTATTCCATACTTTTCAATAATAAAAATAAATTAGGCGGTATATGAATAATCATGACAAAAAACCAACTCAACAAACATACACGAAACACATGTATAATTAGAAAATATGCAGCTAAGATGTTTTGATTGGCAATCTGTTATATACTTTGAACAGTATTATATTTGTTACAAATTTTCGTTATTATTATAAATCGTAAAATAAATTATGAGAATTATTTAAGGATATACCACGCGACATGTATCAGTCTTTTAGTCTACCATATTGTAAAAAAATACTGTTATTTTTTATGTTCTCAGCCTGAAATTTCGTTAGGTCGCGATGTCAATTAGACTATCATTTCTGCTGTCGTAAGATTATTATATTATATATATATTCATATATATTATATAATATAGAAAAATTTCATAACAATATATCTATTAATCTAATTTGATATCATCTTTTCTTTGCTAATCGTTAGTCATTTTATCTTGCGGAAAAAACTTTTCCTAATCGATTCTATTCTTTCAAATAATTATTTTTGGTATATAATTATCTATATTATCGCTCTTGGTTTTGTTTTATAAAAAAATTGTAAGAAGTTGTAAAAGGTTTCAAAATTGAATGAAAATTTTAAAATAAATTATGAATTATTTTAGATCGATTTATAAAATTATAAAATTTTAGAAAAAAATTCCAAGTTCCACATCCCTATTTGAAAGTTTCAAGGTAAGAGAGCGACGATAGCGCCATCTAATGAGGAATATCTGCACAGTTCCTTATTGATTTTTTTATTTGTGCATTGTTAACATTTTGCACGATTTAAACGAGTCGATAAAGTCACACAAGGATCTTCAACGGTTTTTTTGAAACTCAACTGTATTAGGACGTAAGTAGCCGTCGTAGAATACTATAATAATCTTGTATTTAATCCCTAAGTAAGCGTACTTGTTCTAAATTAAGTAAATTTATGTTGATAAATTACCGGTCGGTCGAATCGCCTGTAAATTTATTGTCTAGTCCTTTTCAAACGATATATATTAATACGTATTGCTAAAAATTTCTATTTTTGCAAGTGAATGTAGCATATTTTGCAAGTAAATCATTCCAAAATGAATGCTAAACTCAACCTATATAACCTAAATAGAAATATATAGCAGAGAGGAAACGGTGAATAGCTACTGGATGACCGAGTTATGCTAATGGTACCCGAAAAAACATCGTGTAGGCCTAGATAGTTCACGTGATTCATACGTAGGAATATATCTTTCTATATCCCCCACCCTTGATTCTTTTCCAATACCTTTTATACTACTAATGTATGCATAACGGTTGAATAGGTACGAAATTTTCGGTACACCTGTTAGGGATGGCGGCTATCCGAAAGAAGCTAGTAATTGTGGGCGACGGTGCATGCGGTAAAACTTGCTTGTTGATCGTCTTTTCTAAGGATCAATTCCCGGAAGTATATGTACCAACTGTATTCGAGAATTACGTGGCTGATATTGAAGTGGATGGTAAACAAGTAAGTACAATTTATTTTTTTTTATTATATTGTCTTCATTCTCTTTTTCAATCTCTCCTTATCGTTCGTTAAATCTCTTGTCAAATCATTACTATTACGAATAGCCTATAATGGCTTGGAAAAACATTTCTGCATATACGTTCGATGTTACGTCTTTATACGTGCTTATAAAAAGGATCTTTTATTTGTTTTTTTTTGGCGTTCTTTAAAGAATATTTCGTTCCTTTCGCGTTTACGCGCTTTCTCTTTGTTCCTTCGAGTTCTTTTTATTGTGGTAAACAAAGCCTTAAAAGGAGGAAGGGAAGAAAGGGGGTTTTGTGAGCTATTCGCTCATCGTTTAGATTTATGGAGAATAATTTGAAGAAGGAAAGAAAACAATTGACGGTAAGTGAAAGAACAGAATGTAGCGATATAATAAAACTTAATGGCATGGAGCATGATGATGATAATTTTGTTTGGACTGGAGAAGAACGAACTAAAATAGAAAAGAAATAATAAAAATTCCTTAGTCATAGCTAATTTAGAATAGTTGCGGTTTTTTAGACTAACATCCAGAATCTTGCCTTTCCCCCCTTAACTTTTGGTTTTTATTCTAATTTATACTCCCCCTATTTCTTGTTATATTATTTCATTTGCTTGTTTTTTACAGGTCGAATTAGCCTTATGGGACACAGCCGGACAGGAAGACTACGATCGCCTCCGCCCTCTATCCTATCCTGATACGGATGTGATCCTAATGTGCTTTAGTATAGATAGTCCAGATTCTCTGGAAAATATTCCAGAGAAATGGACCCCGGAAGTTAAGCATTTTTGCCCAAATGTTCCTATCATACTTGTTGGTAATAAGAAGGATTTGAGGAACGACGAGGCAACGAAAAGAGAGTTGCAAAAGATGAAACAAGAGCCAGTTAAGAATGAGGAGGGCAAAACGATGGCGGATAGAATCAACGCTTTTGGCTATCTGGAATGTTCGGCCAAGACTAAGGATGGTGTGAGGGAGGTGTTTGAGACGGCTACTAGGGCCGCTTTGCAAGTAAAGAGAAAGAAGAGGGGAAAATGCCTTATTATTTAAAGGGACAGCTAGTCAAGTTATACAGCGTTCTATATGTGTCGTTTTCCAAATATATCATGCAGCTTAACATTGTATGCCCATTACTTAAGCTTTAAGAAAATACGTAAAATATAAGAAATTCTTTGTTCATGTTAATGTCCTTGTGGTCGGAACACAATTCTCTCCTCTGTATTTTACAAAAACAAAATACAACATGTTTTTCTTTTTTACGTGATAATAACAGGTCGAGTTGGCTTTATGGGATACGGCCGGTCAGGAAGATTACGACCGTCTGCGTCCCTTATCCTATCCAGATACGGACGTGATTCTCATGTGCTTTAGTATCGATAGTCCTGATTCATTGGAAAATATTCCTGAAAAATGGACTCCGGAAGTAAAGCACTTTTGTCCCAATGTACCCATTATACTCGTTGGCAATAAGAAGGACTTGCGCAACGACGATCAGACTAAAAGGGAACTAATGAAGATGAAACAAGAACCAGTAAGGCCCGAAGAGGGGCGAGCCATGGCTGATAGAATTAACGCCTACGCCTATTTGGAATGTTCTGCCAAGTCGAAGGACGGTGTTCGGGAAGTGTTCGAAACAGCAACTAGAGCGGCTCTACAGGTGAAAAAGAAGAAGAAAGGAGCCTGTACGGTTCTGTGATTATCACGATCTTTACATGTTTTTGCGTGCTTGTAAACTATGAAGAAAAATATAAATAATACTTCTGATTGTTTTAATACACGTTTCGGAGGCCCAATTGCTAATGAAAAAAAAAATAACGATTGATAACGATTTATGCCGTATTCCTTTCTCTTTTACTTTCGTGCAAACTTAATCATGATGATAACTCTGACTTGTTAAGATGGATTGAGGTTTAGATTATGATTATTCAGCGTTAAACATTGATAACGATCTATAAATATATATATATATATAAATTGTAAAAGTAACTTGTAACTTGTGGACTATTTATACAATTTTCCATACGACATATAGTTATATAGTCAGTCATTAAATACATACTTTAGTGAAGCAGATATTTGTCTTAGTCTCATTCTATTTTGAATATTGTTTTTCTTATTTTCATCGTATTCAATTTGATTTTAAATCGATTCAAGATAATTGAATGCCTTTTGAAAAAATAAACAAAAAAGCCTCTGTTCAAGTATTCTTGTTCTTTTTTCTTTTTCTATATATTCTTTATATAGCTAATTGCTTTACTTTTAGAATCAAATTTCACTTGAACGATTTTTTTTCAATATTTTTTTATAAGATAAACTAAGTGATCTTTAATTGGTGTAAATTCATTGATTTCTTAGTGTAACGCCATCTGCTTATAAGGGATATTTAGCAATGGCGTCTACTGCAACCAGAAGAAGTTCTTCAGGGCCTGGAACAGGATGGCCCCAATCTCTTGATAAGCAAAAATTGCATAGTTCCAATTCTATAACTATAGAACGGGCGATAAATCTGTAGGTTTATATTTTAGCACTCTACTTTTTATAGAATTCTTAGACGGGTGTCATATATTCGGAGAGTTCTTTTAAACCGTGTTCTGTTTTTAGTTATCCATTAACCAATTACACATTTGGTACGAAAGATCCTATATACGAGAAAGATACATCGGTTCAAGCTAGATTTACACGTATGAGAGAAGAATATGAAAAAGATGGAATGCGACGATGCGTCGACGGCGTTTTAATTGTTCATGAACACGGTCTGCCCCATGTTCTGCTTCTTCAACTAGGACAGTCTTTCTTTAAATTACCGGGTGGTGAACTTAAGCCGGGAGAAGATCAAGTAGATGGCCTCAAAAGATTTTTAACAGATCTTTTAGGAAGGCAAGATAATGTTCCAGTAGAATGGGTAATAGAAGATACTATTGGAAATTGGTGGAGGCCAAATTTTGAACCACCCCAAGTTTGTTTATCAAAATATATTCTATCGCGTAAATAATAATTTTTCTGTTTACATTATAGTATCCCTACTTACCGGCTCATATTACTAAACCGAAGGAACATAAGAGATTGTTTCTAGTTCAGCTTCCGGAAAAAGGTCAGAATTGAAATTTAAGCGATATACATAATATCAATAATGATGAAATTCTAAACGACACAGCACTATTTGCCGTCCCTAGAAACTATAAGCTTGTTGCAGCTCCACTTTTCGAGCTGTATGATAATTCTCAGGGGTATGGCCCAATAATAGCCGGTTTGCCTCAGTCACTATCACGGTAATGATTTCAAACGTTTATTTTTCATTGTTTTTTTTATTAATTTTGCATTAAATCCTCTTAGATTCAAGTTTGTATACAACTAAATACTTAATTGTGGAATAGGAATATGAAAAATCATTTGAACTTTTTATTCCCTACATCCTGTGTTCGATTTAACGTACTTTGTTAAAGGTTAGGATAAATTGCCAGCCAAATACAGCATAGATATTCATTTAATCGATCAAATAATGTTATAAAATTAATTTTTTTTAACTTAATAGCAATAAAAAACTTTGGAATCAATTCAAAGTCAAAATATGGTTATATTTGTAATTTTATAGATTATTCTTTTTATGTTATAGGTTAAGTATTGCTCTTGAAAGATAACTGTTATTTATACATTATATATATGTATATTTTATGAGGGTATCATGCAGCCTTGATGTTGGTAAGTTTAAAAACTGAATTGTATTTTAGACCAAAAGAGGAAAAAGACATTTTTTCTAAATTTTAAAACGAAATTATTTAACGTTAGAATTAAAAGAAAAAAAATTAAAATCTGCTTTTTCTTAAGTTAAGAAATGGCACATTGGGATTGAGATGTTAAAACTTCTCCATTTAGTAATTGAGAAATAACGGCTCTGGCAATGTAGCCTGTTGTTCCTCTTTTCACGTTAGGTGGGGTATTGTAAAAATCTTTCATATTTTCCATTTCTTCTTTATTCTCCGCTCCTTTCTCTTTGGCAAATAACAGTATTGCTTCTTGAAGTATTCTATCAAGGTTAACAATCTCTTGAAATGATAATTCACTATTTCTCTGTAGAATTGTCGCTACAATCATAAATTCTTCCACTATCATTTGCCTATACGCTGGTTCAACTATTTTACTTAACATCTGCTCTACAAGTAATGAAAAATTCCATTCATATCTCGTCATATCCGATAACGTAGGCTGTTGGGGTAAGTGATATCCAGCAACCTTTATTCCCCCAGGTGTTTTTTCCAGTAGAAACCAAACTTTGTCATAAAAATCTTTTGGCACGCGATTCAAAGCTCCGTCCAATTGTCTATTCCATATTACACTACGATAATCGTCTTCGGGCGACAATTTTTTAACAACACCATATAATAAAGATTTTATTTCGCTAGGGGGCAGAGAATTCACAGATATCCTTTTTCCCTCTGCCGACGAATAATTTAATTCCAGCTGCATAGCCTTTATTATCCAACCAATCCTTAACTTAAGCATTCCTTCAAATAGAACCGCCTCGGAGGATAGTAACTGAGCAATATATATTATTAACTCTTGCTGTAGAACTGTTTGCGTTAAATCATAGGGATAGCACTTTGAATAGAGAATATTTTTTATCTCTGCAGGTATTAATGGTTTATCTATCACCTCCTCTTCTTTATTAAATAATCCGACAGTTATTTGCTTGCCTCTTACCAATATTGCTGTTATTGAAGGAGCTAAACTATCCACCATTTTTTGAAGCATCGCTGAACATAATCTAACAACTGCCCAGATTTGATGTGTTCCAGCTTTGTGACAAACATTTTGTAACCATTCTTCAACGGTAAACGAATCAAGTTTATAATATAAGCCTTCTCTTTTTAGAAGAATATGAAGGATTTGAGATTGAACAAATAGATTATCGAGTTCTTGGAGCATTTTCATTAAGTCCCACGAAGGGCGTGATTGTAATTCCTATATCAATAAATAAATGTATTTTGCTTTTGTCAAGAATGGCATAAATACTAATTAAAGACTCATGCTTACACTTTCTTCAACCCAGGCTTCAGCCTCATCAAATTTAGAAAATCTTGGTATATTTGTAAGACTCTTGAGACTTTGTCCATAGTCTTTTTCTTGAAAATGTTTAAACACGCTTTTATCATTGGCATCAATAGTCAAGAAGTCAAGATGTTCAATACAAGATGAGGATATAAATTCTTGTAGTCTTCCTATTCTAATTTTTAAATTATCAATATCTCCTCTTTTGAAGTTTGCCAATAAATCGAATATTCTTTTAGAATCTGGGCTTCTGTTATTGAATGTTAAGAAAAATTAATATTTTCTTTGAATATGAAATTAAAGTAATGCAGAAAAAAAAGAATACAAACTTCATATTATCCTCACGAATAATCATACAGAAAGTAGGCCTACCAGCTAACTTCCAACATTTACTTAAGAAAGTTAGGTCAGTCTATATTGGAATAAATGCGAATGAAAACTATTAAATATTTTTTCTTGGAAAAATAACTAATTACTACTATTTACCTTTACGTCATCAATAAGAACCTGCATATCTTGAGATAGGTAAAAGTCAGATATTTCAAAGATCAAAGGATAACAGAGGAAAGTTCTTCCACTCGCTCTATAGATTTTAGCACTACCTAAACCTCCAAATGGCCTAGGTGGTCTTCCAGATAAACCTAATTTTGAATTAACTCCCAATTGCTCGTAAGCTTTCACCAATTGACCAGGAGGCCAAATTTGATAAGGTTCAATTTGATGCGGTGTTTGAGATTGAATTCCGTAAGTGGCTAACATCTGCTGGAGTCGTACACTCTCGGAAATCAAAGCACATTGTATAACGAGATCAGTCGGTGAACTCTGTTATATTTGGATGAAAAAAAAGTTCTTTGAGAATTAAATACGACATATAAGGATTATTGACGAGATATCACTCTAAAATTTAATATAGTATATAAATAGACGACAGACGAATGTGCTGCAAGTGACTATTCTTGAATTAACTTTTGGATAGTTATTTTTTTTTTCTATAGGATTTTTGATAAATTTAGGTTTCTAAAAATTGAATACAAACAGCACCTTTTAAACTGATTTACATGCGTAATCAGTTTAAAAAGAAACACAATAAAGGTGAATTAGACGAAAAAGAGCTTCTTTTTTTACCTGTTCAACGGAACCTCTCTGAAGAAGATAACACGCAAATTTTGTTGTAAAATTTAAAAGTAATAATATAAGAAAATAGAAAAAAAATAATGTTTAGAAAGTGCAAATGGTAAAAAAAAAAAGCAAGGCAACACAGAGATACGTTCACACACCTGAAAACTTGAATATCTGCTACTGTTCCTGGGCCTTTCGGCTGCAGGTAGATATCGTCTTATCGTATCTAGCTCGTTTATATTTAGCAAACCATCAACTGAAAGGGAAAAATAACACAAAAACTAGATAGGGTGAAAGGTTACTAAAAATAAATGAAAACAAATTGAAGTTGTAATAATAATTATAACAAGTGAAAAAAAAATCATAGTTAGACGGCTAAAGAGCAATTAGGGAGGGGAACCATCCAAAACACGAAAACCAGGTGGGTACCTGGAAAGAAGAATATCTGGCGTTTGTTCTAGGTCTCTTATGAGCTGGTAAATGCCGTCCAATAAGATCTAATTCTCGCGGACTCAGTAAGCCGTTTGCTATGATTGAATGGGTAACGTAACGCTGTTTATAAATTTATTAAGACAAATACAAACCTAGTAGCTGTGATATAATGTATACAGATTGTCCCCAAAGGAATAAATTTTCATTTCTTCCTTCACTACTGGCAATTTTTGTCTGACTTCCGGGGCAAGCCTTTTCTTCATCAATACAATCGCTAGGTATATAATAATACTTTGGAACCACTATATCTCCTGTAACATCATATATATACATAGATATAAATATACATTGTAGTATATACATGAATTTATTACCATTCTTTGTCTCTTTTAATAACGGTTGTAGTTGTTCTTGATATTCTTTAACTTTTTCTTGATCACCTCTAAAAATACCTGAAAGAGCAAGGTAATTTATGTAAATAAAATTGAAATTTAACTAATTAAAGTCAATTTATAAATTAGTTTACTTACTATCAATTAAAAGATAAATAATGAAAATTGGCCATTCGCATTCAACTCCATCAAAAGTCTGTTGTTATTATAAAATATAAGATAATTTATGTTTTAAAAAAATACTAGTACAAATTCTATTTAAAATATTTACCTTAATTTCCGCAGATTTATAATATTTTCTACTAGTGTCTTCCAAAACAGTACCGTGTCCATCTCTTAAGAATCTTTTTAATCCATATTTTCCTTTTAACTTTCTTAATATCTTTTCGTGAGTTTTCTTAACTAAAGCTTCCTCGTGTATGGCAAAAGCAGGCCAGCTTATTGTTGGTAAAAGTGACGCATCGGTATTCTGGAAGAGTTCAATGTTGAAAAAAAGAAAATTATATAATAAATATAAGCAATAATAAGTCAATTGTACAGATATGTGTTACGTGTTAAAGAATAAAACATAAAAACAATAGGATTTATACAAATACATAAACGAAAACAAACATTACAGTAATAAACAAGGAGGAACAAGCAAATAAATAAAATAATTCTTTTTTCTTTTGAATTTTATACGAAAATAATAATAATATTAATTATTAATAGTGATATCTTTTTTAATCCTCTTGAACTAGCGGAATAAAATTAAAATATGAAAGAAAAACAATCAAACAAACAATAAGGAGAGATATAGACAGAATTAGAAGATAAGTGATAAAATTTTGTTTTTAGCATGCACAAAAGAAGCGAACCTTCGAAGCGGATTCGCGTGGTAAAATAGTATCGAAAATCGTTCTATTCCGATTATGAGCGTCTATATCCACAAATATTACCGACCACCTAGCTCCATTTACTCCAAACAAATTATCACCGTTAATCGATTCAAGAGCAGCTTTAGCATGTCCAATCGAACTGTTAAAGCAAATTAATGGATTCCTTTACAAAATTAAAAAGAAAATAAAATTGTTCTTAAATTGACGTCAAAACACCTTTGAAAAGCATATGAAATAGTAAAATATAATTAATAATAATAATAATGAAGGATAAATAAATAACGCTATCGAATCATTTCACTTTGAGGAAATATAACATATACATAAAGAGATTTCTCTCTTTTTTTGATTGCAGAATGACATAAACATTTGGGACGATTGGTTAGTCCTTCTTAATAATACTCTCGATGAACAATATGTACCTTTGAAGACGATTCACGGGGAAGAAGCGTAAAAAATATCGTCCTATTCCGGTAATGCGCATCGATGTCTATTAAAACTACGCTTGACCTCAGGGCAACGCCTCCATACAAACTTATTCCATTTATAGCTTCAAGAGCTGCTTTTGCAAAACCAAGCGAACTGTGACAAGATTTTGTTTCATGCAAGACGATCTTAGTTATCTATGTAGAACGTAAAATTTTCTCTTTTTTACATTAAATAAAAAAGATGATTTTTACGAGCTCAAAGTAACGTATTAAAGGAAATTGATATGATTTTTTTAAGACGAAAAGAAAGTAAAACAATTGTAAATGATGCAAGTCCATCATTTTTTCATTGTTTTTTTAAAAAAAAAAAAAAGAAACAATTATTTCTTTACTGCAATCCGGCATTAAAAAGTTACCTTGCGTGCAGTTCACTCGATCCATTATTATATTTCGTTCCTAAATAAGAAAAGAGAACAAATTAAATAATAAAACAAGCATTATTATCGTATTAATAAAGATGTTTAATACCTCTTTCCCACATTCCATAGTCGGGTGTTCTATACGCTCGTTCAACGTAAAATACTAGATTTTGAATAAAATTTACTTCGTCCGTTGTAAAAATTATTTGTAATCCGGATTGAATCATTTGAATGAGAAAAAGTATGTATAAAGCTATACAATCAATCTGCAGGTGCTCGTATTCTTCGTTGTCATATAGTGAATCTCCAGTATCTAAATGAAATTTTGAATGCAGTGCATTTTTCGGAATTTGATGATGTTTGAACTTTTCTAGCTGTTCAAGTTAGAATGGATATATACAATTGTGATTGATACAAATATATGTATTTATTATTTACAAACTTTATCAGATTGTCGTATCCAACAAGAGAGGATTCCTCTCATACATTTTACAGCTGATTGACTTAGTTCATATGTTCTCCCCTTATCGTCATCAATTCTCCTATTGATATGAATATTCAACAATAGACATTTTCAAAGATTTTCAACTACTTTCCTACCTATAAGCTTGAGATAATGCCCACAGGCATGCTGCACAATAAACGCTGTCTCTAACATGAGCCTCTTTTGAACTAGCATCGGCTAAGTTACATGGAAATAATCCTGTTGTTGGACTCTGATGTCTGAGAATTTGTCGTTTGACTAAGAAAACAGACTCAATTTTACAATTTTACGTATTCATTATATTTCATAACAAACCTGTTCCATAATAATTGTTCAATTTGATAACAGTTTCTTCATAATTAAAATGAAGCTTTTCGTCTGTGAATTTTTGTGTCATTCTTGAATCAGCGAATCTAGTTGTTGTGGCAAATTGTCGACGTAAAGGTTTTTTAGATAGAATTGGACCTTTTTTTAACATTGTGCATCCTTAACCTCGTGTTTATTGATTTAAAAACGATCATGAAAAATGTTTCAGTTCAAGGTCAAAGGGTTCTAATATTGAACCTGGAACCAGTTTCTTTTTCTACATTGCAAAATAAAGCAAAAATATATTCAACTGGTTTGTATTCCATTGTAAGAGAAAAGAACAACAAAACTGGTTGGTGGTATAAATGTCTGCCGTTGTCAATATGAAATAGACAACGTCATCCTTTTGGTCAATATTTTATATTCGTGCCATTGATTTCTAATTTTCTTCGGTTAAGAAAAGTTGTTATGTTTTGAAGATTAAGAGAAAAAAATTTCAGGTTTAGAATACTTTTGAAACAAAAATTAAAGCTGCTAAATAACAAGCTGAATCACTGTGTATAAATAATTAGTTATAACTGAAACACACTTTTCTTATTTTTTTAGCATGAGTGTCATTCCGCTAACGATAGAAGTTTCTCTAGTATTCTGTGTAGCTGCTCTCATGCTACACAGATATGGAGATTACAGAAAACAGCATATTTTGGTTACTGTAGCTTGTTTCATAGCTTGGTACTTCTCTTTCATGATAATATTCGTTCTACCTTTGGATGTTTCATCGGTATAGAATTACAATAATTTTTTTTGTTACCCTAGGCCTTAATTTACTCTATTAAACAATTAACAGACGTTTTATCGACAATGTTTAAAAGATAACTCACCATTGCCTGATACAACATCGAATCCGAATTTAACAACAACAATAATTAACGAGCCAACTTTATCAACATCTCAAATAATTTCTCCTGAACAAGTATGTGAGAAACCTTGGAGTTGGTTTCCACCAACAGTATTACCTGTACTCTGGAGAGTTGTTTATTGGACATCGCAATTCTTAACATGGTATACTGCTGATAAATAACACATTTTCAGACGTTTACAAAAAAAATTAAAAAAAAAAAAACAGGATCCTCCTTCCTATGATGCAATCGTTTTCAAATGCTGGCGATTTTACTGTTTGGAGGAAAATAAAGTCTGCTCTATTCGAAAATGCCATCTATTATGGAACTTATTTACTCATATTTGGTATATGCTTGGTATACGTTGCTATTAAACCCGGACTAAATATAAATGGGTTTGCGTTAATTAGTGTTTTATTATTAAATTCACTATAAAAGTGTTTTATTCATTAACCAGGTCACAATTAAAAGTCATTGGTATTACTGCAAGTAACACATGGGGACTTTTTCTCCTCGTTTTACTACTTGGTTATGGATTAGTCGATATTCCAAGATCCTATTGGTATGCAAGCAAACAGGGCTATCAATTAGCCCACGCTTATTTTAAAATGGCTAAACTGAGTACAGAAAAGACCGAAGCGGAAGAGAATGTAGAAGATATTTTGGATGTAAATTACATATTAATTCATTTATTAAAATATTAATTTAAATGTTTAAAAATTTCATAAAAAAAAGGATATTAAAAAAATAGCCGAAACTGTAAAATATACAAATCCAATGAGAAAATACGTTGATGTTATTTTGGAAAAGGTATATTATTTTATAAGAAAAATGAAATTGATTCTTTATGATAATTATTGTACAGTGTCCGGAGTCGATGACCAAAAATTTAAAGAGGAGTACAGACGATTTCGAAGAATATTCAGCTTCCGAAGTTGTTACGGAAAAGTCTCTTGTTAGAATACATAAAAATATTAAAAAAGGTAAGATTTACTATATAAAAGGAGATCAATTATGTATAATTTCTTCTTTATCCTAAAAATTAGCAACTCATAACGTTGAAAGAGCAAGGTGTCAGTGGAATGAAACGTTGCAAAGAGCCTTTGAATTAGAAGATTTAGAGGCTAATGAGAAAAGTAGTACCAGAAAATTTGTTCATTCAGTCGGAGTTGATTATCAACCTGTTTCCTTTCTAAGGCGTCTTATTACACCTCAAATCGGTAATTAGTACATATTGTTATATATTAAAAAGAAAAATGCTTTCTTTATTCTATATTCAAATTATTAGAATGGTATTGGAAATGCTTAATACGACCTATTTTGATGAAAATACTAGCAGTATGCTTGTGTATTTTATCATTTATGGTCGTTTGGTCCGAATGCTTATTCTTTATTAAGAAGCCAGTTTTATCATTTTTTGCACTATTCGTTCAGGCTGCTGCCAAGAATTCTGGTTATTTCTATGTAGAAGTATGTATATTAGAATTCATTATATAACTATTTAATGCAATTAAATATTTTTAAATAGTTGTCGTCCTGTTTGACTATAACATTTTTGTGTTTCTGCGCCTATTCAACTCTATTTAAAGTTAGAATATTCAATTATTATTATTTGGTTCCCGATCATCAAACAAATGCTAACAGCCTTATTTTTGCCGGAATGTATGTATTTTATTATTATTATCTCTTTATTTGATGACTTATTCGAGAAAAATCTCTCTTCGAACAGGATGTTATGTCGACTTACTCCTCCAATGTGTTTAAATTTCTTGGGACTGATTCATCTAGATACTCATATAACGAAAGACGAAAGAAAAGAGGAGACAGCTTATACGAATATCATGGGACATATGGATGTTATTCCTTTTATATCAGATGGATTTAATATATACTTTCCAATATTAATTGTTCTACTTTGCGTTGCAACATACTTTAACTTGTGTTCAAAAGCTTTGCATTTCTTTGGATTTGAACAATTCGTTGAGGATGATCACTTAACTCAAGAATTGGTCGACGAAGGCAAAGATCTCGTAAGAAGAGGTAAACAGATCAATTTATTTATTCTATTTTATACAGTATTATGAATGAAATTGAAATGAAATATTTTTCGTTTGTTTATTAGAACGAAGAAGGTTACAAAGGAGAGAAGATTGGGAGACAAGGAGAAAAGAGTGGAATCAAAGATTTGGTGATTCATCCCCACCAAATCAGTCAGAACCTTCAGAAAGTGCTAAGGAAGGAAACTGGAAAAGTAATTTATTATATACTTTTTAATTTTCTATCTAAAAAAAATAATAACAATATCAATAAATTAACTAGATCGTTTAGCAAGTAAAAGATCTTCGAAGAACGATCGGACAGAGTTGTTAAGAGAAGCCGAACCTATTGATTATAACAACTACCAGCTAGAAGATCCAACTTCTAGTTATAGTAACCCCGACGGTGCTCCAATTGGACTGGGAGGTTATCAATCTGATTCAGGTAGATTGAGTACATCGAATTACACAAAATATGGTGGACCCCCACGAGGAATATTTGATGATGTTTAAAAAAAAAGATATTAATAATGTATACGTTTAAAATAACTGAACAGAACTTTTTGAAAATGATTATAGCCCCAAAATTTTCAATGTTTACTTCTATATAATTCCTCTCTCTCTCTCTCTCTCTTATATTTTGAAATGAGTTGGTTACCAAATTATATATATTCCACCAAATTACGTTTGTTTTGTTAATTGTTCTTTCTCTAACGAAAGTATGGAAGTGAAATGGAACAACATATTCTTACTCAAGAATTTTTTTGTGCATAATATTCTTGATTGTGTAACTTTCTAGTCTTAAAAACATTAAGTCATACTCTATACTATCTATACATATGTATAACATATATATATATATATATATATATATAGAAAGTGTATATAGCTTCTCATCCGTCAGCATTCCTTGTTATATTATCGCTCAAATTTAGTTTAGCTTGTCCTTATTTTTTTTTTATGAATTCATAATAAATAATTTATTTTGTTTTTCAAATGAATGTAAAACAAACAAACAAACGAAATAAATAAATATAAAATGTTATTCTAATTTCTTTTTAGACTTTTTTCTTTTAAGTTTTCTTCTTACAAGTTTAGAGTGATTTTTTTTTAAAGTTATTATTTTAGGTCTTTGAAATGGAGAATGATTAAAAATATAATCAAATATTGATTTTCCTTTATCAATTGATGATTTATTTGTAATTAAATCATTACGTTTCAACTGAACGAATGTACTAAATTCTATCCAATGTTTTTCATCACTTTTCAGAGCAATCTTTTTTTATTATTATAGGAAAATGGATTAATTGTATGAGATTAATGATTTTAATTAATTACCTTTAATAATGAAAGTTTACATTTACCGATAGCTTGACTTTCTAATCGTACGCAATAAGCATTCCTCGGTAAACAATCGTTGGAAAATAAACAAGGAGAACCAATCCATCTCTAAATTAAAGAAAGCCAAAAATCACCATTTCCAATATAATAACTACTCAATAATTAATATTTCTAACCTTTCTTCTTATTAATGGATACTGATATAAAACATCAAACGATAAAGAAAACATTATCATTGAATAAATTTGCATAATTTATTACAATAATAAACTTTTTTCCCTTTCTTTATTATTTATTTTGTTTCGAATTTTGAAAAGATAAAAGATATGAATTTATGATAATAGCTAGGTTTTTTCTTTTTTTAAATACGTTAGATAAAGTTTATCATGAATGACTTTTAATTACTTATTTAATTATGTTTATATTTACTATGATTAATTATTGTCAATTAGTTTGCAATTACCTACGCGTCATACCAAATGCACAGAGTAAGGAATCTTATATTCTTTTTTTTTTCCAGTACAAAAACACAGTTTAATCACATTTTAAAATGTGGAATTTTTTAATATTGTTCTTACCATTATTAATGAATTATTCAACTATTATTAATAGCTACAATCTTACTAGAAATCTTAATAAAGGAATCGAAGAAACTGGTAAGTTATTAATAAAGTTGATAATTAATTATTATTGTTATTTATCATTTTTAATTGGTCAGAAAACGAAATAGCTCTTGAACTTTTAAGTAAAAGTTTCAACGATCGTACTAGTTCATTTTCAATATTAAAGAAAACAAATAATTTAATAGGGAAATCTAATATATCCACAAAAGTTTTGTCTATTATCGATGAAACCTTTCGCAAGACTGAGACGTTCTGTACGAACCATAAATGTTTAGACGAAATGGTCTACATTGTCGATAACTTGAACAGTAACGCCGATAACGATGAAAATGTACAAAATATATATTTTAATATTGCCGATACAATGGAAAATGTTTCTAAAACTATTCCATTATCAAAGAATAAATTCATTGTTAGTAAAAGTATTACCATGGCAATAGAGATGAATATTTTACTATCATCAATTAATTTAATTTATGATAGAAAATTGAATTATTTTCCTCGAAATCGAACAAAAATAATTATGAATTCAGTTAAAAAAGAAAATATTGGAGATTATTTAAAAATTCACCAAACTAAGATTCAAGCAAATCAACGTGTTAGCATCTTTGCGTATAGAACCTCCAAGTTTCTAAATTTGGGTAATAATGTTAAAATTATTAGCAATATTTTGAAACCATATTTCGAGAAATCTACTACGATTAAAGATATTGAAGTTGAATTTAGTTTAAATGATGAATATATTGAAGAAAAATCGAAATTAATGACAATTTGTTATTGTGGACAATTTATTAATGGAAAATGGATGAAAAGTAGAGTAAAAGAACTCGGTGAAACTAGAGTTAAATGTAATTTTAATTCGTCTGCTCATCTAGCCGTTTTAATGGTAAAGTTTAAAGAAATCAACAAACAGAATCTCTATTTATTCTATATGAAATGATCTTTTATTTTAGATTACAAGTTCATATGTTAAAGAAGATATCATTCTGGAAAAGATTCTATTCACAGGACTATGTTTGTCAATTCCATGCTTAGTTTGCATAATTATATCTTACGCTTTTTGCAGGTTAAACAATAGTTCTTTAATTTTTTCTTTAGAGTAACAAAATAGTCTTTATATTTTAAACTTTCAATCAGATCTGCTAGAAAGACTACAATACAACATTCAAAATTTAATTTGGCTCTTTCGTTAGGCCTTTTGGGTATTTCGTATATTATAGGAATAAGTAGAAGCGAAACTGATATTGGATGCGCAATTGCGTCCGCTATTATACTTTATTTCTTGTTAGCTTCTATTTCTTGGATGGCAGAATTGGGAATTTTATTCTACCTGTTTACGCTTTATCCTTTAAACTTCGTTCATAAGAATACAGCAAGGATATTGCATTTTAAATACAAATGTGTTTTACCATGCTGGAGTTTGTTTTATTTTTTTTTTGTTACCTTAAACTGGAGCTATATTTAATAATTTCGATTATCTCCTTCGAACAGCGATGCCATCTATCGTCGTTGGAGTTATTGCTGCTGTTGATTACAAAATGCTATTTGAAAAGGGAGTTTTGTAAGTGATTTATATTCTATTAGCTAAGTATTGAATGTTAGCCATCTCTATAAATAGATGTTGGTTGGATAAAAAAGCTTATTACATAGGATTTCTACCATTCTTATTACTGATGCTCTTAATTAATTACTTGATTCTCTTTCGAATTACTTGTGTAGTGATAAAGAAAATTAAGCACAGGACAACATTGTCGGATAAGGAGAAGAATATGAAGATATTTTGTAGTCTAGTTTCATTTTTTACATCAATGGGCCTTACATGGATCTTTAAAATTATTGAAATTGAAAGAGTTCGCTTTGTTTTTCAAATTCTATTCTGCTTATGTACTGGATTACAGGGTCTAATTTTCTTCGTTATATATTTTTATACGGAAGAGGATGTTCGTAGGAAATGTCTAAGAATTATTTGCAGTAGAGTATTAAAGAAAAAAGTGAAGTTTAATGGCGTAATTCACACCAAAACTACAGATGTATAAAGAAAACAATGGAAAAAAATTTAGTTACTAAATGTAAGGAAGAAAATACATCTTTTTTTTATAGTTTTATGCATCTATAAATAAGATGGGGAAGGGGAAAGTAACAATTTCGTATAACGATGAATTTATTAAAAATAACCTATTAAGATTAGATAATTCAACATGTATTTTACATAATAAAAATTCTACTAATTTCTTTTTTCATTGTTTTTTTTTGAGATAATCGCTCATTTGTCATTTTGATAAGACTTAAATGAAAGAGAGAGAGAGAGAGAGTAATACATAAGATAGCCAATATTAACACCAAAAGGATTTTTTTCTCAATAAATAAAAAGACATTATTGCCAAATGAAAGAATTAACTTTTCTCTATTTTTTCAACCTTCCTCTTTTGTTTTCCGTAAGCGGAATCGAGACCAAGACCAATAAATACGCATATTGTTCCTATCCATTGTCTTATGATCATCGGATGTCCGTAAATGAAAACTGAGAACAATATCGTAAAGAATTTCCTAGTAGTTGTAATAATTGAACAAGGTAATGGTCCAAAATTGGTGACTGTCATAAAGATGAAAAACTAAAGAAGGATAAAAGTTAATTAATTAATTAATTAATAATTCAATGATAATTTAATAAAAACTATATTTTAACCTGTCCAACTGCGCTAGCGAGCGAAAATATAAATATATGGAGTAGAACAGAAGGGTATTTAAATGAAAATACAGGAAATGAAAAAGCTTCACCAGTTAAAAGTAAACCTACAAAATAGATATTATTTTAAATTGATAATCAAAGGATAATCGAAATATTTAATTAAAGAGATAATTCACTTACCAATTCCCAAATATAAAACAGACCAGACATTCATAAAAAGCATCATTCCAAAAGTTTTTACCGTATAATTTGAACGAATTTTATCTTGAATTGAGCCAGTGCCGCCATCTAACAGTAGAGATGTAATCTAAAATCGAATAAAAGGAAGTAAAAATGTCCAGTGAACATACGAATAGTAAATGATATTTAAACATTTAATCAAGCAGACGGTCAAGGTCAAATAGTCGTTATAAATGAAAATCGATAATAGACTATTCTGTACTTTCCAACTTGTCTAGAAAATAAATATAATATATTTGTAAGCATTTTATAGGCTAAATGTTGAATATGACTATTATGCTAAAATGGTTGGTTGGTTATTTTATCAGAAATATTGCGTAAGATTTTTTTTAGTGTTTAAAGGTTCACAATAATATTGTCCATTCAAGAGATCATACTTACTAATAGTATTTCTCCAAAACCAAATCCGACGGTCGTCGCTGCTCCTTTCTTTTCTTTATACATGAACAATGCTACCCCGGCTACTATCAAAACAATAAATAAATATTTCCTTAAAGGGTATCTCTTTCCAGCCAATAAAACACCCAGTATCATAACTGGTATCGGTTTAACAGATTTTCCCAAAACTTGGGTGGGATAGGGAACAAATTGTAGAGCGTGATTGCTAGCCAACATCGCTCCAAGATATGTTACAGACATTGCAGCATAGTATTTTTGGGGTATCGGGGTATTCTCCTCCTTCCATTCCTTTGAATACAATCGTCCTATTTAAAGGAATTTGTTTATATAATTTGGTTGATTTTCTAAAATATAATTTAAAATCAATAAGATTTTCAACTAAAATAGATTTTAAATGATAAGATAGAGACACGGTTAATCCTGATCTTCCTATAACCATATTAATAAAACAATCATTCTCTTAAAATAAAATAAATTTGTATAAAAGCGTATAACAACTGATGATCGGTGAAACTGAGTCATTCTATGACTATTGATTTCTTTTTCTAAAGAAATTATTTGATAAAGAGAGAAAGAGAGAAAAAAAAAAGGGGGCTGTTTTGAAACACTGATGTAATACAATTAATAGAGCGACAAGGAAAGATAAAACAAGAAAACAGTTTATATTTTCTTATAAAGTTTCTAACTGCGTAATTTTTACCATGTTTTTTATTTATTTTAGGCCTAAGAATTTTGCGGTTATGTCTTGAGAAAGTTTAAAAACAAAAACAACAATACAATTGTGTCAATGCTCGAAATACTAAATTAATAACGACAACGAAGGAATAAAATATAAAGAATAGAATTTTATCGTTTAGCCTTAAATAAAAGAGCTCTAGTAAAAGCCATTATAAAATGACCTTGGGGTTTTTACTAGTATTGAAGAGAGTTTTTGTCATTAACGAACAAACCAGCCAAATACGGTATACTAAATGAATCAATGTAATATATTTAAATTAAGTGGGGATAACAAAATTTCATAATATTGATTTTAATTTATTTTACAAAGAGAAAAATATAGTTAAATAGTGTTTAAAAACATAACCATGCAAACATATGTGACGACTAGTACTCCTGTTCTATAATTATATATATATATATACAGTATATATATTTAAGAACAAAGGAGTTTTTTTTTAAATAAATTTATGGAATATTACATAATTTACCCACGAATTTTAACGTATTATACCCAGTGAAAGAATTTGGTTATTTTCCTATCTAACTTCTATCAGCCAATCACATTGCTGCATTTATCGCTTATAAGTAAAATTCCACCGCAAAGCCGCTCAGAAATTGCTACGACATCATTAAGTAAAGGTATAGATAATATAAATATACTGTATATTCTTTTTTAATATTATATTTTAGCAATTCGAAAGATGAAATGATAGAATTAGGATGGACTATTGAGATACAACGTATTTATTAGTCTTTGTAACTCAATCAGCTCATTCTGATTTTGTTTTTTTGTTACACTCGACGAACCTTTACATTCTTTAGGATTTTCTATTCTACTTTCATTTTCTTCTTGCTGATTCGCTTTTATTTTTTGTTTTATATTTTTGTTTTTCAATTGAATCAAAGTTGTACCGTTGAGCGGGTCTCTTGGTTGAGTTATTACGTTGAGACATTAACAACTCAGTCACAGAGGGCCAGCTTAAATGGACGCATAGACCAACAAACAAACGAAAAGACGTTCAACGATCATTAATTCAGTTCTAAAGATATTTTTTTATAGGTAAAGGATTTAACTATGAAATACATATGTATAAATATAAATGAATACGTGTCGTAAAATATGAATTGGACGAATAAATAGTAACGCCCTTGGCACGTTAGCATGTCTGTTTATCAAGGATATTGAACACGTTTAAACGGACTTCACCTAACCTATGACAACATTTCTCGAAACAATATTGATGAGTTGATATGTTGATTTCATTGTATATTGAAAAAAAGTTGAAAGACTATTTGTAATAGCTATAATATATTTTTATATTTATTTTATAATGGTAATATACTATATAATCTTCAGTTTCTACTTGTTTACCTGTGATTAATATATCTATTTAAGATATTGTACCGTATTAATATCTTTTGAAAAATTCGACCTAGTCTATTGTTCAATTAGTTGTTATTTATTATACATTACACGTATATATCATTAAATTATGGAATTAAAGCACTTACCCATGTAAGCAATTAACGAATTCACTATACATTGAATAAAAACCATTGATAAGGTGTAACGAAAATTTTCTTTTTTATCGCCATATTTCCCTTTTGTTCTGTAATATTTATAGCATACAATTAATTAATAATGTAATAAAATATATATAGACAAGTAATAGTCGCTCCTTGTTAAATAAAAAAATACTTAGTAGTTCTATCTTAAAGACTTTGCCCTAATCTCAAGCTGTTCCATGTCCGATATAGAAGAGTATGCGTTAAATGTTCTAAATAGTTTTCCCAAGTTTTTTTATTCTATATAGGCTGCATTATTATATTTTAATTTTTTAAACTATAGATAGAACATTTTTATACTTCTGGGTTATTGAGAACAGAACAAAAAATACCAAGAAAATTCCTATCCTAAGTTTGCCATATTATAAAAATTTAGAATACTATGTAAGCATTTATATTCTTAATATACTATATTTCCGTTTTAAAGAGGCAATATAATCATTTAATTAAAAGAAAATGTAACTTAGATTCAGCAGAACAAACTGTATAAAAACATATTTAGATATATCAATCTATTACTATAAATAATTTATTCAGAGAATTCATTATTATGCATTTGTCAATTATTCGTTTTTCCCCTTTTTTTTCTAGACCTAAAGGAGAAGGCGGGAAGGGGGTTAACGCACCTAAAGTATATAAAAGCGCCATCTATGTATTCTTTTTACTTTTTACGTATTAAAAATATAATATCTATACAAAGGCCTTTTGAAACTCGTAATATGCTAATTTCACAGAAGGGGAAGATTCATTCTACTTTAGAGGAACAAAATTATATCTATTAAATAGTATATTTAAAAACAGCTGACGCTTTAACTGATAACATCAGATGATCAATAAAGAAATATTATAACAATTATATTTTGATAAAACTTACAAGCATTGATAAATAGTTTTTTATTATTCGTAGTAAGAATATTAATAATATCACAAAATTGTAAAAAAAAAAATCAGTACTTTTATCTCTATTCATAAAGAGTTGCTCATGTTTTTAAAGCGAAAAAAGTCTTTTTTATTTATACTGATAGAACAAATGGGTGAATATATTGTTATCAGCTCATAAAATCCCCTATATCTGCTTTGTTGCAATTGTTAAAAATGTGATAAACAATGTTTTAAATGGCTACAATATTTTCCCGTTTATTACTTGAAATGCTTTTTATTTTCTCTTGACGAATTGTAGAAACGAAGGTATAATTGATATGTAATTAAAATAGACCTACATTTTTTCTTGGAGAATTCCGTAATAGAGATAGGAGAAGAAGATGCCGGTAAAGCAGATAAAAAATTTGAATACACTGGGTCCCTTATTTTCTTTAGAATTTGTCATCTTGCTCGACTATCTATTAATTATCTATAGTAAAGAATTTTAAATAACTAATTACACTCTAACTAGCTGTCTATAATTATATCACTGGTACAAACTCCAAAAACCACATGCAGCTTGACCGGATGTTGATTTCTCAATTTGGCTGTTTTCTATTGGCCAACAGAACCGGATAGGGAATTATTTTGCAACGTCAATGACTGGAACCGTATTTCTCTTCGCTTTTATAATCTTTTCTCATGGTATTACCAAGTATTCATCCTATTACGGTCTAAGTTTGAAAACTTGAAAGAAACGACACAGTATACTTGTCTTTATCTTGTATTATTTATTTTAGATTGTAAAAGTTCCTACCTAAAGAAATATTATAAAGACATTTTCAAATATGCTTGTGACTGTACATTTTCACTCCATCAACTTGACTTGATCTGGTATACTTATTTAGAATTGATATTAATTTAGATTCATCGTCATCTAAATCACGAATATATGGTAAAATTTCATCAAACTTCCACTTTTCTTTCATTTGGAATAATGCAGAAAATCTTTCGTCAACTTTCTCAGGTAGTTTGCTTATAGGAAAATAACAAATACTTGGAATACCCTGATCTCTTACTAAAGCTATCCCATTCAGTAAACTAGCTTTTGCCATATCTGCTATTCCTTCAGGAAGTAACTGCTTCCAAACAGTCAAAAATTCTTTTAGATTAAACTCAGCAGCATTAGTTAATAAGTATATAGCGATAAACTTTACAAATTCCTCAGATCGCAATGTATATCGATTTGTTTCATCTTCTCTTTTTAAATATGATTTAATAATATGTTCAATTATCGTCGATGGGTAAATTTCACCTAGAACAGAGCTACACTCATTAAAGTCAATTTCATCAATTTCCCAAGAATTTTCTTCTTTAAAGTTGATTATGGCATCCAATATCGTCTTAATGTAGTCAATGTTAATTAATCTCCAATATCCTTCGATTTCGCAGGCTTTTATATCTTCAAGTCCTTTCAAAATTTCTCGTTCGCTGGCTTGTATCTCTTTCTTAAGATCTTCTGTTGTATATTTAGTCATATTTTTTTCAGAGCTTTTACCAATATATGGATTATCCTTGAGAATTTGTTCAATTCTTCTCTTGTTAGCAACCGTCTTTTTTAATTCATAATAATTAAAATTTAAACTGTTTAACGAAACATAGTTTACATCCTTCGAATTATTAAATCCATCCGGAAACGTTAAATTGTCTGATAATAGCATTGAATTTGATACTTCAGCTTCCTTTACAGTATAAGTATTGGATTTGGTGCATAGTATTGCATTGTCGTCTTTTCTCCCTCGTATACAAACTTCATCTTGATTTTTTAAAGCCAGAACTACATCTGGCGGCAGTTCAACTAAAGAATATTCTGAGGACGAAAACTCTTTGGAAAAGTAAAGAGTTTGGCTGAATGATTTTAAATCGGATTCTTCTATTTTCGCTAGCTTTAAAGTTTCTTTTATTTCATTAGATGTTCTTGATGCCATAGCTTAGGCTGTAATAATCAGAAATTGCAAATGCCGATTTGCGCCAAAAAGTATTGATTTGTGACGTCACATGTGTAAAATCACCTGGTATCACTTAAGAGAATATTTTACACTGGAGAGAAATTCAACTGGTAACTGGTTTCGTTTTAGAGTATTTTGCTAATTTAGTATATAGACTTGGGAGTAATCCTCTTTCCTTTTCAATACTTGATATCATTGAATCGGCTATGGCGAACTGTAAATTGTCCGCCGTAGAATTCATCCAAGATTCTTTTTCACCAACAATAGCCGTTTCATGCAGCAACGATGCCGCTGAAGTATGTGCAAAAAATAATCTTTCTTTTGCTGATATGGTTGAACCTTTTTGTAAACTCTCCACTGACGGTTTGTTAAATTTAATTATAAATTAAAAATTAATAAACTGAGCCTTTTTTATCTTATAAGTCGAAATAAGAGACACTCATGCAGTACCTCATAACATTTCAAATTTGCGATTAATTTTACGTGACATCAATCATTCTGCCCCTCAACCCTCGATGACAAGAAAATTATTAAACGATACTGTGACTCTTTCAAGTAGATCGTATTTCAATAGTACTGGGTTGGAGTTCCGCCCTTCTCGTGAGTGAATAAAAATAATTAATCAATTATCAATAGAGCTAATTAATCTATATTTTGTAGATGAAACCCCTTGGTTCGAAGCATTCAGAGAAACGTTCATGAATTGCTGTCCTAATTATGATCATGAATTTATAAAGAATTATTTAGCTTGTATTTTTGTTGTATCGTCTGCCACGGATAATGCAATAGAACAATTTAATGCACTAACTCATAGTCAACAGCAAAATCAGTATCAAAGTAAGCAATCTAAATGGTTCTCAACTCATATTCTGCGCTACTATGTTCTGTTACACGATGCATCATCACCTCATCAAGCAAAGTAAGTGGATTGTTATTAATAAAGATAGACAGTTTATTACATATATCCTTAAAACAAACAGGGCCGAAAAAACAATCGAGTCTATGCGAAGTGTTTATGGAAATAATCTATGTCATATGCTAGTTATTAATTCAAGAAATCCAATTGATGAGAAGTCGGCACCAATTAATTACTGGAATTGCTCAGTAACACCAAAAATTCCTGATCCTCCTGGTGACCAACGAGATTCTCCAGTTGGTAGTCATCCTTTGGAATTGAGAGGCGAATCTCCAGAACATGAAATCAGTATACCATCGTCTGTATCGGTAACGAGTCTAAGAAGCCTCAATATGGTTGAGACTAAAGATGAAAGTTATGGATGTTGCCTATCAACTGAGGATCACGATAGAATAAAAGCTTTTATCTTTGAATTTGCTTCAAAATCTCTAATTGTTTGGGCCGAAAAATCTATTCAAACTCTAAAGTATGCATATTTTAAATATGTAATTTTTTCAACATGCTAATCAATTTTTTATTATTATTAAATTAGTGATCAAGTAGCAAGCAAAAAGAGAGGATTTTGGAAATTATTTGGTTCGCAGAATAAACCTGCTTCTTCGAGTTCGAATTCTGGAGAATCGAATGCTGCAAATGTTGTCTACACAACAGAAGCTCCGGAAATGCAAGTTAGACGACTTGCCGATTTGGCTTTTGCTTTTCATATGTACGAACTAGCGGGAAATATGTACCATACGGCGAAGAGAAATTTCAATTCAGATCATGCATGGTTATATTACGCTGGTGCTTTGGAAATGGGCGAGCTTGCTGCTTTCATGCAAGGGAAAATTCCCTCTAGCAATATAGAAACTGCTATTAATACTTACGCATATACATGCAGACAAATGACCTTAGCTATTAGATCGACTTTACTCTTGACTGAAGTATTAAAATTTAAAAAAATGTATACGGAAGCGGCTAGTCAATTGATAAAAATGACAAGTGAAGACTCTGATTTATGCAGTGCCCTCTTACTTGAACAGGCTGCTCATTGCTATCTGAATCACTACGGGGTTTCTTGTCGCAACCAAACAAGAAAATACGCATTCCATATGATACTTTCTGGACATAGATATAGTAAAGCTGGTCAACGGTTACACGCTCTCAGAGCTTACTGCCAAACACTTTTAATTTACAAAGGAAAACATTGGAATTTAGCCGAAGACCATATAAACTTCACTATTGGACGTCAATGCTCAAATCTTAAATATCTCGACAAATCATGTGATGCTTTCGAACAACTTATCTCTTATTCAAAGCAAAATCCTGCTCAACAAGCTGCCTATTTCAGAGAGTATTTGTACGTTTTGAGTTTAGCGACTAAAGATTCACCTCCTCCATCGCTATCTATACCTGAAATTGATTGGTCGCGGGCTCATCTTTATCTACCCTCCTCAACTGGACAGATAACCAAGTTGGATAGTGTTCATCACACTCTCCGTTATCAAAAAAAGTTTGAAAGCTTGGAAAAATTACTTGGGATCCCTTCACAAAAAGCTTCCATTTTCTGTCACTCGGCAGTATCTGGCAAAATAAAAAGGCCGATTACAGCATTTGTTGGAGGTTTGCTAACAATATTTATAATATAATTTAAATTAATTTAAATAATTAACATCGACAGAGGATCTGGCCTTTGAGCTAACCTTTAAAAAACGTCTAAAGCTTCATCTAGTCATGACAAATATTGTATTACTATGGAAATTTGATGACAAATCAGATGAGGATGCTGTAAACATAGAGCCTATATCCAATTTTACAATGCTTCTTCAGGAAAATGAAAAAACTCTTATTCTTAAAGTGAAACCCAATAAAATTGGTAAATTGGTAATAACCGGTTTGATTTACGAGCTATCGTGTACCAGCGCAAATCAACAACAGCCAGTTACGGTCCGCGGTATACAATCAGTCAAATTAGGTATGCTAGCAATCATATTTCCTTCAATATAATTCTATATAATATTTTTTTTCCATTTAATATTTCAATGCAGACTCCATTCCGAGGAATATATTTGAGATAAAAATTACAGAAGATCTACCAAGGGTAGAGCTAACTATGAGTGATCTACCTGAAAGTTTAGTTTGTGGACAAATTGTTAATTTTAACTTAAGCATAAAGAATATTGGAAATAAGACGGTTAACGCTATTAAATTGGCGACTTCTACATCGCACCTATTAATTGTATTGGATAGTGAAGAGTTGGAAAATAATACTTTACTGTTGCACAATGAAATAAAACCAGGGGAAGAAATTGTGAAAAAGGCTTTTGTAAGGGCTTCGGATCAAGTTGGAGAATGTATAATACATTTAATATTTATGTTCTTAGGAGATGATAATCAGTACGTCTATAATATGATACTTTTTTTACTATTTTCAGTTGTTTTTTTTATATATTTAATTATTGTTTTCTTAGATATAGAACATTAAGGAAAAATGTAATATTCAATACTGTATCGGGTTTGTTGATTTCGGCGATGATTATCGATAGCGATAGGAAAGAAATTCCTCAGGTTGTTCAATGTTGTATCGAAAATGATGGGAATAAGGTTTGTTAATTAGATATACAATCTAATACCAAGAATATCTTATTATTTTTTTTTTTTGCTTGAACAGACTGTGCAATTAAAGGAGATTCGATGTGTTCAAAATTATACTATAGAAGCCAAAGGATTGGATAAAGAAATAAAAGATATTTGCTTGAGAAAGGGAGAAAATGAAATGATATATTTAACTTTGAATGGCGCTGAAAAAGAAGATTCCAAAACAGATACTGACTCTTTTTGTTGGTTTAAAAGATCAGAAGAAAAGGAATCATTGAAAGATGTTGTTATACTTTCAGCGTTTTGGGAAATTGATAACAATATTTTAGGTCAAAATAATGTATCAATTGATTTGAAACCATCTATTTCCTCAACACAACACTCTTTGGTTGACGTTCAATTAATTTATTCTCAAAAGGTTGCACACGAATTTAACTCTAAGCCAAGGTAATTTATTAACATTATTAAAATATAAATATGTATATATTAGTACATATATACTCCCTACAGACGCCTTTGTCATGTTCCTGTTATCCTTCGATTGCATAATAACTATGAAACAGATATTGAAACTATCATCGATGCTAATCATAACAAGTAAGTTTTAATTATAATATATAATGAAATAGCATTTAATCTCTTTTATATATTTCTTCTAGCGTTGAAATAATTAAAGATTATAAGGCGGATAGTCAACGAAGATTTATTTGGAGTAAACAAGTTTACTTTTGCGAAAAGATAAAATCAAAAAGTTATCTCGATTGTAAATTAATTGCAACATTCTCATGCGCTGGTCTTTATGATTTATCTAAGCTGAAAATTACTTTTAGACCTAGTAGTGAAAAGAATTTTCAATATCAGAAAATAACAACACCGTATCTTATTTCTGTTGGAAACGTTAGTTTGCTTGAATAGGAAATCTGTTAATTTATCTCAAAGATGAAAGACATTGATAATTTTAAAAATTACAAAATTAACAATGAATACAAATAATTTCAATTACAGTTATATACAGTATAAATATATATGTATTTTTCACTTTGCAGTAGATTTGCTAAGTATAACTTGGAAGTATTGAATAACTTAAAATCTTACATTCCCTGTTACATCTTAAAGAACTTTTAAAGTCTTCCTTTTGTAAAGAAGGAAGATGCTGTTGAATATTAAATAATATAACTAGAGCTTTATTATGGTCTTCTGTCGACGTTATATGATATTTTGAATCAAAATTTTTCGATAGAGATATTAATCTTTTAGCATCTACGCATTTGCTTTTTTCACCAATCACCTGTATTATATAATTCTCGTGCTCTCTTAAGATGTCATTAAGAATAGGTTTTTGGAATACCCTGTCAAAATTATTAAACCAATCCCCATTTTCCACGTGTACAATAGCTTCATAGAAGTTTGAAAATGTTGAATTGTCAGGATTCCATATTGATCCATTGAGTATTAGATAGCATTTCCAAAGGTTTGTGCATCCCGCTTTCACTTTCCATAATTGAAGATTTTTATCAATATCTGTAAATTCAATTAGTCTTTTGACACGAATCGACAAAGGATCCAAAGTGTCGGTATTTTTAGGTAGATCTTGAATATTTGATTTAATCGGTTTTAAATCTTCTTTAGTCACTTCATCTTCCTTGCTTACATCTGATGAAGATTGTATCGAAGATTGCGCTTTTTTTTCAATCGCTCCCGCCCGTTCAATAATTCGTTCAGATTTGACTTTTAAAGATAACAACTTGGAAACCAGTTCATCAATATCCTTAATCATTTCATAGCTATCGTTTTTAATTAGATCTCGCAATTCGCTATCCCTGTAAAGAGTTTTCAATAAAGATATTGAATGGATAAATAACTTCAACTAACATTTGATATTTTATTAGCAATTTAAAGAAATTTCAATAGAAGTTCTCTTTCTTCTTAAACAAAAGAAATTAGTCCAATATTTATTAAAAATACAGAGGAAGGAAGAAAAGTAGGCGTTGAGATAATAGATAATACTGCTAAGAATATAGAGCTATATTACAAAATAGGCCTTTTTTATTGTTTTCTATTCAATATCTTATAATTAACGATGGAAACATTATTCAATTTTATAGTAACTAAAGTATTAATAAAGTTTTTATGCATAAAAAAAAAATAAGAACAAAACTCATCAAGTTCTTATTGAGATCTTATAATGAATACATATTAGACAGTGTAATTATATATATATATATGTTTATATATATATATACATATATATCAGTCAGAAGCATCCTTGTACATACATGTATACGACTGTACGGGTCTACAGTTAAAGTCCAAATAAAATGGCTAATGGTACATACTACTTTGCTATTGTAAATAAAACAGATTCTCCTATATTTGAAGTTGAAATTAAACCATTTTCAAGAGCAAGCTATAAGGTATAAAGTATATTTGTATGACCTTAAAAAGGGGAGAAAATATTTATCTAATATTCTCTAGAAAGATGATAATGGCCATCTTATTCAATTTATCATGCATGCTTCATTGGATATAATTGATGAGCACATGTGGTATACGAATTCCATGTACTTTAAGAATATTGATAAATTTAACGAATGGATGATTTCAGCTTTTGTAACAGCTAGTAGTGAGTTTTCAAAAAAGATTATTATTGTCAGCCTATATGCTTTTATCAATTTTTTAAGGAATAAGATTTATAATGTTACATGATGTGAAAAATGACGATGGCATAAAGAACTTCTTCCAAGATATTTACGAACATTATGTTAAAGTATCCTTTTATTTAAATATTTTGACGTAATTAAAGAGAATTTAATAAATTATTTCCGTTATAGATTTCTATGAATCCATTTTACGATATTGGAACGCCAATTAGGAGCGTCGCTTTTGAGAATAAAGTCAAGCTTTACGGTAAAAAGTACTTAACAATATAAAGAGATTAATATGTATACAATACATTTCTGAATAAACTGGATACTGTTCACTTATTCAGTTAATATTATAGTTGTCCAATGACGTGCAAATATGTTAATAATTTTTAGTTCTTCTTCTCTAAAGAATATCAATTCAGTCGGTTTATCTACAAAATCTGATTCTGCATTAAATCCTAATTGTCCGTATTTATTCAAACCCCAACCGTAGATTCTTCCAGATCCTTGAGAAAGAATTAAAAGATAATTGAATAATTATTTAGATTGTTCCTCCTACCGGTTAATGCAATTGTATGTTGAGAACCGCAACAAATGTTGTTTATATATTCCTCTTCAGGTATATCTAACCAATGAGGTGTACATAATATATTAACAACTTCTTCCTCTTTGTGGTTATGTTTATTTTTTTTTGACGGAAATCCCAACTGGCCTTTATCATTCCATCCCCACGTGTATAAGTCATCAGTGGCTTAATGAAAAATTTAAAATGAACAATTTCCTAAACTAAAATATAGTCCGCTTTACATGTGATAACTGCCGAATGCCAACTTCCTGCTGAAATTGCTTTTATATCTATACCCATTAAAGCAGGGATCTTGTCAGGATTTGTTGACGTTTCTGTCGTTCCGTTACCCAATTGACCTCGACTATAGAATATATTCGTTATTTGTTTTTCGACACGGAATTGAATTAATACCTTCCATCTCCAAACGAGTAAACAACACCATCTTCATCGAGGAGAAGGGTATGTGCTGCACCGCAACTAACTGACTTAATAGATGAGATATTCAACTGACATATTTCAGGATTATTCTCCAATACATTAATTATTTCATAACAATGACCTATTTAATAACAAATAATAGACTATATTATCCATTCTAAATATTTAATTCTAACCTTTTGAATCTTTAACATAAATTTGAAAGTCAGTCATGTGAATTGATATTAAATTTGTTTGTTTTTTATCAGTTTTAACTTGAACAGTAGTATTTGATACCAAGTCAGTGATGTTCAGATTATCTTTTGATATATTAAGCGAATGAGTAAGATTAGAATTCCAATCTTGTACTGGATAATCAAAATTTACATCAGGTGTTGATTTTGTAGAATAAACTGGAGAAGTTTTTCTAGTTGTATTTGAACTATACACTAATATTAGTATACTTACCATATCCATTGAATATACAAGCTATTTTTGAGAATGTTATACAGATAATTGGTAAAGTTTGATTACTGTCTTCATCGGAATTTCCTTGTTCACATTCACAACAACATTGAATTCTTTGTTTTTTCATCAGAAAGCGATGTGGGCTAGTTATTTTACTTTCTGTAGATTTTGAGCATACTTGATTACCTATATTATTGCCAAATGCAAAAAATTTCATTTTCATTCATTAAAGGACTGTTCAATAAGTAAAAATTCTTTAAGTCTTTATTATTTAACTGCAATTCTGTTCAAGTGTTTAGTGAGCGATAATTGGTATTGTTTATGATATTTTTCCCGGCGTTTCGTTTTGCTGAAGAAAATTTTCTTTTGATTTTTGTTTTATTGTTTTTTTTGTTTTATTTTGTTAAACATTAAAATTTATGTTTATATGGTTCTCTTAAACCTTAAATAAATGGAATATATTATCGAATAAATTTACATTTTGCAGTACTTTATTAATTACTGTCTTACAAAGTTTTCAATATTTTGCTCTCTTGTAATTGAATACTACATTAAAGTACAATATTTTTATTGCACTAATGAAAGCTAACTAGGCAAAAAAAAAAGTTTGAATTTTATTAAAAAGAGCGATATCGATTACGATAATGCATCGCTACTTTCGATATTAGCCGATACGATATTTGTATGTTCTAAGTTTTCTCAAAATGGCGGCAAAGGTTATTAACAAAGTCGCGCAAAATGCCAGCCTTCTGTTAACCCCACTTCGTTTTGCCACTCCAGTCGTAGCATCAAAACGCCATGGATCTAGCTGGTATCCTGATGCAGAATATTACAAAAAATTCGAATCCCCAGTCTTATACCCGGCTAATGAAGAGATGGCCAAGTGGAAAACCCTTCCAAAAAACTTAAAGAGACTCGAGGTAAACAATCGACATTCAAAATTATGTATTATATTACATAGCATATCTTCGATTGCAAACAGAGAACTGACAAGAAAGTACAAAATATAACTCTCAATTTTGGACCCCAACATCCGGCGGCTCATGGAGTACTGCGTTTAGTATTAACTCTGGACGGAGAAACAGTAGTGAGAGCTGATCCTCATATTGGACTACTTCATAGAGCCACTGAGAAATTGATAGAGCATAAAACTTACCTGCAAGCTCTACCGTATTTTGATAGACTCGATTACTGTTCTATGATGTGCAATGAGCAGGCTTACTCTTTGGCTGTTGAGAAATTACTTAATATAGAAATTCCTGAAAGAGCTAAATGGATTAGAACACTCTTTGGCGAAATAACAAGACTAATGAATCATACTATGGGTATTGGTACTCATATTTTGGATGTAGGTGCCATTACTCCATTCTTTTGGTTCTTTGAAGAGAGAGAAAAACTATGTGAATTTTATGAAAGAGTTTCGGGAGCCCGTATGCATGCTGCTTACGTTCGTCCAGGAGGAGTCGATAGAGATATACCTCTAGGTTTGATGGATGATATATACGAGTGGATGACTAAGTTTGGTCAACGTTTGGACGAAATCGACGATCTTTTAACAAATAATAGAATTTGGAGGCAACGTTTAGAGGGTATTGGTGTTATTTCGGCTGAAGACGCTCTCAATTGGGGATTTAGCGGTGTTATGCTTAGAGGATCGGGCATAAAGTGGGATATAAGAAAAGTTCAACCCTACGATGCTTACGACAAAGTTGAATTCGACGTTCCAATAGGAGTCAATGGCGATTGTTTTGATCGTTACGTAATTAGAATGGAGGAAATGAGGCAATCAATGAATATTATCATGCAATGTTTAAATAAGATGCCACAAGGTGAAATAAAAGTAGATGATAACAAGGTTGCTCCTCCTAAACGACGAGAAATGAAGGATAGCATGGAAGCACTAATCCATCACTTCAAATTATATTCGGAGGGTTATTTGGTACCACCAGGTTCCACGTATACAGCTATCGAAGCACCAAAAGGAGAATTCGGTGTCTATTTAGTCTCTGATGGTAGCAATAAACCATACAGGTGTAAAATCAAGGCGCCAGGATTTGCTCACTTAGCCGCCCTTCACAAACTGACAAAGGGTTTCATGTTAGCCGATGTTGTGGCTGTCATCGGAACCCTGGATATCGTTTTTGGTGAAGTTGACCGTTAAGTCATGATTGCTTATTGAAAATATGTATTTAAATTCCCTTCAAAAAAAATAAGAGACAAAAAAAAACACGCAAAAATTACTAAATTGCCATTTTTTGAACGGGGCTTTTATGTACTTAATGTTATTCGCGAAAAATCGAAATAAAAGACGTTCCTTTAGAATCGGTTTATGATTTTATTACCAAATATTCTAAATTCACAAAGTTTTGCCGAAGTTGATTGTATAGTAGCGCCACCTGCCTTATGCAAATGAAATGTATTTGACAAAAAAAAATTCGACCGCGACGAGACTCGAACTCGCAATCTTCTGATTCGAAGTCAGACGCCTTATCCATTAGGCCACGCGGCCCTCACATTTTGTATCATGGTTACGCTAGTATTTAATAAAGTACTGTTCAACAGCTCTGACGTAATTGGAGCATATTCTAGGCCTTATAGATATCTTTTTTTTTATACATAAGAATAGCACTGTTACCAAATATTACATAAATGAAACAATTGAAATTAATTATATATTAATTATGTGATGATTTTTAATTAGTTTAAAGCAATATTTTGTTGTATTTGGTTGAAAATTATTACTAATAAACAGGTTTTTCAATTTCTTTCAAATTTTTAGGTTATTGAAGTTATAAAAACGATTAAACAGGTAAGTGCCATACAATTTAGAGCGTAATAGTTCATTTGTAGGGAAAGAGAGAGTTATAAGCTGGGGGTTTTATGATATTTTCATAGTTTAGATTGGCTTCATCATAGTCAAATGTTTTGTCAGCTGAACTTATAAACGGTGTTGTGACTCCGCCAAATTGTTGTTGAACCTGATAATATATATTATATATTAGAGTATTACATATTAAACACATTTTACAAACCAGTCTATGAGATTTCTTTTTAAAGCAACAAAGGCAGAATATTATTGATATTCCAATGAGAAATAATATAAATATTGAAATTAGAACTGAAAATTGAATTGGATCCAAAATTAGGTTGAAAAAACAATTTGCCGAAGACCAAGTCTCATCCCTGCTATCACCGCAATTATTATACCCATCGCATTGGAGATTAGAATTTATACAATTTTTAATACCATTATGTATACATTGAAATTGATTTGGTTGACAAACATCTTGTTTATTTTGAGATTGATATGTTGTAAGGATTAATTTGAATCCAAAATCATTATCCTTTAATTTTACTTTTATTAATTGGTTTGGTAAAGAAATAATTCCCATTTTTCTTAAATCTTTCTTACATGTGGAAGCTTTTTGAGAAGAGTTTATGTTTTAAAATATATCTTATATGAATGTGAACACTACAGGGAATTCGAATAAACTTACAAGAATTCCTAGTTTCAATAAGTAGAGCATTTTTATCTTTATTTTTACACAATTCTAATCCTTTATTCATATCAACAATAGTTATTATTAGTCCTCTATTCAAGGGAGGCTGAATTGTTGCTATACATGTTCGTTTTTTATCAAATTCATTTGATGACCATGCAGAATGTAGCTTGACCACTTCAAATCCAGATTCCTCCATTTTAAAACTATTATTACATAAGCTCTCTTTAACGTAGAGTTTACCTGTATGAAATATTTTGATATTATTAAGATGATTTAAGATAGATGAACGTTAGAAAAATAAGAAAAAGGTATACCATAGCTAACGGATGGTGTCAAGTTGAGCCCATAACAAACATGTAATATTGTTAAAATCACAATTATGTTCATGTCGAAAGAGAAAAACGTACAGAAATGAATGTTTCTTAACTGATAAGCTTATGCTAATTAGTTTTTTATGACAATAATATATATATATATACAGTATATATACAGTTAAAAAATACATATATATAAATTTATATATATATAAAAGACTATATAAAAAATGAATATTTTATAACGGAAATACGTAATTACACAAAGTTTCTATCTATTTATTAGATTATTGAATATTCATATATGAATGGAAATAAGTTAATAATATCCAAACTAAATTTTCTTGTCTGTAAGAAACAAAGGTGAAGAACACTTTAGAAGATTAACAAAATATTACAAAATATTTTGAAAATATCGTATTATCGATAATACTAATCTTGATCATCACTTTTTAAACTATTCCATTAATTGCATAATTAATTCAAAAGAGTATTAATAATAATTTCTTTTAAATGATTAATAATTTTTATATTGTTATATTCGTCTTAAAAATTTAAGATAATCCCAATGTTCCTAATAGATAAGGATTATCGGACTTGTAATTTAGGGAATTCAGTTAGCTCGTACTGTTTTTATGTCAAGTTGAAATTTATCTCAATACGAACTTAAATATAGGATTACATTTTTGAGTATAATACACAAAAGAATATACTAGTTCAAGACACCTATTATATATTTGTTGGGTGAGACCTGTTCAAAACGAGTTCGGGTCACTCAACCTCAAAACTGTATTAACGAAAATATATGAAATTTGTTACATATAATAACATAGGAAAAATGTAATAAATCATCCTTTTTCTATGATCTTTAACAAGTTATTGTTTAATTTGGAAAGGCTTTAGAATTTTAGCAAATCGATAGATAATTTTCTCTAAATACTATAGAGAAGATACTTTTGATGCTTTTTAATAGAAAACTTAATATAACGCCATTGTAATGCTCATTGTTAGTAGATAGTACAAGTTTTCAAAAAGTTGTATAGAAACTGAGGTACTATTATTGATTTCATATGTAAATCGTATACTATATATTGCGTCGACCGTCTCTTATATCAGAAGTTGAATTGTGCTAGAATGGAAGAGAACAAGAAAGAAACTATTAAAGATAGAATAAACTGTTGTAGGAATGGACCGAAAGTTTGGTGTATTAAATACTTTTTTGAAGGTTTGTTGACATTGTTGACTATATATTGATAATTTCAAAGAGATATAAATAATATTTTGTGCCATTGCACAATAGGACAAATGAAAAGAGATGATGAAGATAATGAGGAATTTATTAGAGGTGAACATTTCGGAGGACGAAGTAAATTTTTGAAGAAATATAGAAGAATTATAGCAGTTTTAATACCATTTTTAATTGTTGAATTTTTGTGGTTTTCCTACGCTATCCAGCATTCGATTTGGGAAAAATTTACGACTGGATATACTATGACTCTAACTATGATTTTTGGTTCGATTATTGCTGGAATGACATCCGAGGGAGGAGGAGCAGTTGCATTTCCAGTGATGACTCTTCTTTTAAAAATAGATCCTGTAAAGGCCAAGGATTTTTCATTATTAATTCAATCATGCGGAATGTCTTGCGCCTCTTTCAGCATTTTTTTCATGAAAGTTCAAGTCGAGTACAATTCTATAATATTCTGTTCCATAGGAGCAATAGGTGGTGGTATTTTTGGCTATGAATTCGTTGATAAAAAACTAACAGCAGCGCAGAAAAAGATGTTGTTTGTCTGCATTTGGTTTACATTTGCTTTTTCCCTCTTCTTATTAAATTTTAGAAAAAAAAGGAAAACTTTTAGGCAAATAGTAAATCTGCAATGGTGGACCTATCCTATACTATTGTTAACTGGTTTTGTCGGTGGGATATTTACATCATTTACAGGCAGTGGTGTAGATATATGCTCTTTTAGCATACTAACACTACTCTTTAGAGTTTCTGAGAAAGTTGCTACACCAACATCTGTAGTTCTTATGGCATTTAATTCATTTTTTGGAGTTTTTTGGAGAAATTTTATACACGAGGGAATTTCAACAGTTACTTGGGATTATTTTTTGGTTTGCGCACCAATTGTAGTCGTAGGAGCTCCAATAGGTTCACTCTTTGGTACCCATTTTCACAGATTAGTTTTAGCCGCTCTTGTTTACATAGTAGATGTAGCATCAATAGTTACAGCATTCATAATTATTAAACCAACGGGTTCACTGTTAGGATTATCTCTGGGAGCTATAGGAGCTGGTTTTATATTCTTTCTAGCAATAACAAAAATAGGAGATAAACTTTTAAAGAGTTTAGAAAGTAATTTCATTAATGTCGAAAAGAATACAACAGAATTAAATAACGTTGAAAATTCAAACCAGCTCCAGGTTGTTACTAATTCAGATATTTGAATAAAGGAAAACATTGAAAATATTCATGTATTTTAAATATATTAATATATACGTATATATTAATACTGATATATATATATATATATATATATATATATATTTATACAGTTTCACTATTTTTATTTACTTGTTTTTTGGAAATTACTATTGAAATAAAAAAAATAAAAAGCATGTTTAAAAGATAATAAAAATATATTTTTTTTATAAAAAAAAAACAGTATGTTTCATTGATTGTAAGTTTGTTACTTTTCATCGCCAACTTGAGTTTTAAAGGGAACCATACAATAAACCTAGAGGCGGGAGATAAGAATGGAATTTATTAATATAATAACAGTATGTAAGTATACAAACCAAATCTGTATTTTGAAGAAGTATATAACCAGGTGGATTTGTTATGACAAACCTTTCATATGAACCAGACTGTTCAGCCGTTTCCAATTGGCGGTATAAGCCGAGGCATATAATACCATAGTCTTTCAGCAAAGATAGAAACATTTCACTATACGTCTTGTCAATATACTCTTTGAAAAATGTATCCATTGATAATTGATGAATACTGCACTGTTTCTTGCTTAATTGATCTTTAGTGCTTTCTGAACCTTTTAGTATACCCACACCTTCCGCCATCATTTGATCTAATTCTGGTCGAACGGCTCCAGTTAAAAGAATTCTAATTATATTGATACTTTCCGGATTGAAATACGTCTTTTTCATATAAATCAAAGATATGAAAATTAAAGAGAAATTATAGACAGAATAATAAGATTGTTGCTCTTACATTGCATAATAGCGAGTCTAATAGAGATGATGTAAATACACTACCGCATGCGAATGGTAATGACATTCTAAAAGGTAGTTTAGGGTCGTGGAAATTATCAACATCAAGAAATCGAACGTTGGAATTACATTCTATACAAAAAAAAGAAACAAGTTATTATTACCATAAAATACATAGAATAGAGAAATCTAGCAGCTGACCTACATCCGTTATCAATGGTACCTTTGAACTACTTATCTCCATCTTATAGGAAGAACCTAGACAATAACGTTCGTTTATCGGAAGTAACAATTATAAAAGATAGATATTACTTTTTCTCTTTTTATCGATTTCTTCATTGATACTTGCTGTTGTTTTCATAACCATTTTACCTGTCATTGTTATATTATCATTCTGTGAACATTCCTCAGATTCTTGAGACGCTTCAAAGTAAATAGAAAAGAATCCATTATCTTATTAATTAACACAAAAAATGTAAATACTTACGACAACAAAAACTGTCTCCTTCCAAATCAACTAATTTATAAAATTTCATAGATTTTATTCCAAGTGTGCATATGATAGATTCTTTATCGGCTAAGATACGATCTTCCATTGTCTGATAGCTTTTAATAATGACGCACATTCGACAATGATCCAATTGAACTGATCTTAAATTTGCTCTATTTAATGGTGAACCCTTTTAGAAAATTACATAATATCCCATATATTACATGTTTGTCATAGAAAAAATAGATAAATATAAAATTACAAACTGGTTTAATATAAACATTCGGGAAGTTTTTAAGAGTTTGCCATTCGGTTTTAAGGTAATCTTTATCGCCAACGAATACTATACTTTTTAACTCGTCTTTTTTAAATGAACTACTTCTTAGTGGCATGACAAAATTACATAGGCCTATTGAAGTAGATTCTTTATGAGCAAATATACAAACAACGATATGATCTTTCATATTTTTGAATGTTTGTAGATTTTCTTTCTAAATATAAGCAACAACAATAATAATTGTTTGAATGAATTGCCTGTGATTTGATTACATACCCATATTGCTTTTTCAAGTGGAACGTCTGGACACCAATGAAATAAACCGGTGAAATCGAAAATATCATCACGATTTGAATAATTATCAGAAATTCTATAGATAATAGAATAAATTATAAAATATAATATGCAAATGAGCTATTTAAACGTGATGAATTACAAGATATTGAAATCTTTATTAATTCTCTTTCTGACATTTCGATGTTCATATTGAAAGTTTGAATTGATATTTCCGTCACATCCGGATCCAATATCAACAAATAATCTAACTGTTTATCGAAATCATGCATTAATACATAAATATTAGAGAAATAACTATACAAACGTTTCGATTGTCTACATTTACATTTTTGCAACGGTGTCATCTTATTATCAATGTGACATAATTTGCATAAATGATTAAGTTTCCTAAGCGAATCCTTAGATCTACATATAAAAAATCCAACAGAATCCTGACCAATAGTATGTTTCGAATAGGTATTCATAATAATTCGCTTTTTCCCACAGAAATTTGTTGATTTTATACCAATTAGTAATAAATCGCACATAGTATAGCAAATTCTAGAATAATAATATTATAATTCATTATATTCTTAGTAATTAATCATTTTTTTCTATTGAAAATAGAATTAACTATTAATTACTTACTCGGCAGCTTCAACAAAAGTATATTCATAAAACGATTCAGAGAATTTACAAGTATATAATTCCATATCGGAACCCGTTACATAATTTGAATGCCATCTGTAATATCCATGTCGACAATTCTTTTCGTAGTTTTTAGCGTTCTTCAATACGAATAGATTGGATATTAAAGTTGAAAAACCAGGTGCAACACAACTTTGCGCTAGAAAACCTAATTTAATTTCATCTTCGCATATGATTTTATCATCTTCGCTCCAAGGTGATAAATTTAATAAATGACCTTTGTTTTGATAGCTTAACAACTGTACAATAATTCTTATTTTTGGGTGATAATTCTTAGCGGCTATCACTCTTAGTACGTTTGAAGCGTCTTCCTCGTCTCTATTACCGGTATAAGGATTAGCCATCACGATAAAAGCTTCTGCCTCCTTTAGCTAATTCAATTTTTATTCAATATTATAAAATTATCAATAGCAAAAAATATAAATGAATAGACGCATACCTTAACTCTTCCAAGGTCGTAGGCGTTCATAGGCGTTCCCATAAAGAATTTTACGTTTGTAAAGTTTTTTTTAAAGATTGTATATGTCCTCAAATCAGGTTTCTGTCTATTTTTGTTTGTTTATTTGTTTATATATAAAAAGGAGAGATTAAATAATTTTTAATAGATATACTTACTTATTTAGAAAGATGAGTGTAAGATTTTTCTGTTGCCAATCAACGTGAAGGAACTCATCTACAAAATTCTTTACCGAATAGTACGTTATCGAACCGACGATTACCAAATGCCTATAATTATTGTTATTTTTAATCTATTAGACGTCATTCATAAACAATTTTACACCCAACTTACTTTACTCCAGCTGGTTTCTTGTAAGAGCAATTATTATTACCGGCTTTACCGATAATTTGAACAATAACATCAATATTTCTAGCGAATAGATACATTGAACCAATTATGAATATGATAATAAATGACTTTCCGATAACGGTCACACAGGTCACATCACCATATCCAACGGTTGACATTGTAATAACCAAAAAATATAAGCACTCCCAATAGCTTAAGTACTGATTGTTTTCCCAATTATTAAATGGATCACCAGAAGTTTCTACCAAATGAACAAAACCGGCAGAAGATAGCCAAAATCCAACTAAATAAGCCAGTAATTGAGCCATATGAATGGCATTACTTGTCTGTAACACGTTCAAATATTTTAATATTTTCGGAACTGTCATAATCCACAAAGCCCTCATAAATCTTAATCCTAATAAATATATTGCGAAATCATTTATGAATAAATTATAATGAATTAAAAGATATTTACCTAACCATTGTCTGTCAAGGTAAATTGATAAGAAAATCGGTGGTATCGTGCATAAATCAATTAAAGAATGTAATTTAATCCAGAATGTAAGTTTATTTTCGGCTGCTATTAACTTTAAATGTATAGGAAAAAGTGTAAAATTAAATCACTGGATATGATTGTTGAATATTTAAATTTATTCATACTCTTATTAGAAAATATAATAGAAATAGAATATGGAAGATAAAGTCTATCTGTTGCCGAGTATTGTTAGCAAATTTGATACAAGTTTCAGGAGCATTTTCCGATCTATTACAACAGAAAAAGAATTAGAACTTATAGGTCAATATGGGAACTATAAAGCCAATATATTTTGGCTTTTATTCTTTCTGTAGAAAGTTCGCTTACTTTGTTTCATCTATTAAGTAAATGATGAAGGATGCAATACTTAGCGTACATGACAAAGTTATCTAAAATTCAAGATATTAAGTTTTATAGATATATACAAAGAGATCAATATTTACCAATATTCTACCATTCAATGTCTGTCCAGATATAAACAGCTGAGTTCGTATTTTAATAAGAGTACCTAATCGTATCTGTTCACTTGATCTTCCGTATCTACTTGAATCAGTACTATTATCTTTTTCTTTCTTCTTTCGTCCAGCAAAAATGATCTTCTTCGATAAAAAGTATAAACATTTGAACGTCAATGTTAAAACAATTCCAAAGATAAGCGTTGTTGCGGAAGATAAAAGGAAGAGATACCACTTTCTATTTTGTAGACATTTATTCGATAAGGTACTGTTTCTCATCCGATTGCTTTCAAGTTCGTGAAGCATGTGTATAAACTCAGGCCAGCTCAACATGATCTATTTCCTTTGATATAATAAATCTTCTAATAATTTATTGGTCAATATTTTCTCTATTCCAATGGAAATCTTCAGTCATCTTCCTACTCTATAAATCAAGTAATTCCTAATCCCTTTGAATTCTTCTTTTTCTATTCCTATTCAGAAGTTAGGTATGCGCAAAGGAAAAGCAAGCCATAAAAAAAAATACTGTCAAAGTGTTTTTAGCCGCTTGTGTGTTCAATTTTCTTTTGTACAATACTAAGAGTTGTTGTATGGAGTAGATGTATATATCCTCCTCTTTCAATTTCTTATACAAAAAAAAGACTTAACTAATAGGCCTAAGAAAAAGCATTACCTAATATTTAAAATAGAGAAACGTATTGCTAATGTGCCCCCGCCCTCACTCCTTTCTTTTTAAATACAATTAGTTTTATTCAAGTTGAAAAGTTTCTCTTTTGTAACAATAAACCTAAAGTTGAATAAATAGGTCAGGGACAAAGAAAATCAAAAAGTCACGTAATTAAGTATATTTAACGGGTTGGGAAAGAGAAAAAAAATGCAAGCTGACATTCAGTAACGTTTTCTATTGCTAAAGGTTTACGGAAAAGGATGAATTTTTTTAAAATATATTAAAACGGATGCGTTTATCCAATTTTTAAATCTATCTATTTCTCTCCATCTCTCACGTTATCATAATTATATCATTTTCACATTTTCATATGTAATATATATTTGAATAGGGGACTTTTCCTCAACAATACAAGAGAAACCGTTTCAGGATGAGTGGGCTATTCTTATCTACTTTCCATTTGATTCTTCTTCTACAAGTCTACGGTGATGAGTATGCTATCTATTCTATTTATTCTCTTCCTTCTCTTGCGTTATTTTCTACATTTATTTAAAACATAACAATAGGGATAGACTCTTCAATGATTTATTAAAAAGCTATAACAAATTCGTAAAGCCTACTGGACTTGTTAGTGCTTCTATTGGATTATCTATAAATGATATTATAGAGTTTGAGGATGACATCATTACTTTTAATGTTTGGGAAGAAAGAGTATTTTTATTTTCTTTCCACTGTCATAGAGATAATAAAACAGGTAAATTAACGTACAGTTGATTTATGACAGGTATGGAATGATAGTAGACTATCGTGGTCACCGGAAGAATATAATATAGACACTATAAATATTCCTCTTAAAGAGATTTGGAGTCCTGATATTACCATATACAATAAGTAAATAACTGTTTAACAATTAAAAAGGTTCTTATATACTATATTTTCCTTAATAGGGCACGTAAAGAGATTGATCTTGTTGATGCTCTAGTAATGATTAACAACGATGGAAGTCTCATGTATGTTCCAGCAAAACTGATAACGGTAAGTTAAACTAGTTACACTCTGAATTATTGTTTATCTATTTCATAACGACAAATAGGTCAGATGCACACTCGATGGAAAAGTATATACTTGCAATTTCAAATATGGATCATGGACCTATGATGGATTCAAAATGGACCTAGACATTAAGGGTGATAAGAAAGTAGATTTAAGCCATTACTCAGGCAAATATAAAATTATCGAATCTGGTGCATTTCGTCATGAACAACACTATAGTTGTTGTCCAGAACCTTACATAGATGTTACATTTAAAGTAACTATTGCAAAAAATTAAACTATCGAGTTTGTTATTATTAATATTGATTATATTAATATCAGAATAAAATAATATTATGGCATCCGAAAGAGTATTTTGTCAATTGAGGCGTTACAAGTCAAAAGTTGTTTTGATGTAGGAAATAGGCTTACATAAATCCATTATTGTAATTAGATAATCACAAAAATAGCGGTCAAATAGAATGAAATAATTGTCTATGTCTTGGTATTGTAGTAAAAGAATTTCAAACTATTCTTATCGTTATCAGAATTATTATTTTCCTAATCTTGATTCCATTCCATATCTCCTCTTTCATTCTTTCTCTTTCAGGTCTCTTTTAAAATAATGTAAAAACTATCTTCTATACTATATTCGTTTCACAATAACCTTGGTCAATATGAAACAAACTTTTATTAACTTTAAACAAGAATTCTTAGAATATTAATAAAAAGTTTTTGATTGACTATTGAAAGATTCTATTTATTCAGCTTCAGCCTCTCTTCATGATCATTTTAAAACTAATCCATTAAAAAGGATAAACATGACAAATATACAGTAACTTTTATCATTAATAGCATTAATAGTTAAAAAAAAATATAGACTTTTTAATAAGATTGGAACTTTACATATCGAAAATAGATTTCAATTAAAATGTTTGAAAGTAATGAATCTTTGAAATATAAATAATTCATTATATATTAAATTTACACTTGTATAGTTAATATAAATCAATTAATTCGCAAACACAAGTTAAACTATTCAATTTTCTAAAGATAAAGAATTGATCTGTTTTTGAATGATAGTACCAGATTGAACAATTATTTAAATATGATTAATTATCTTAATAGACTGTCATTTCTAAAAATAGCTTTAAAGATAGGGATATATTAACAAAATTGCTAATATCCTCATTATTATATTAACTGCATATATACAGTAAATTGAATATTAAAAATTGGACATGTATTCCTTTTTCTTCTTGTTTGCCATTAGATCAAGGTTATGAATGAATTATAATAAATTCATATTCCAGGAATTTTTGATTTAGTAGTGTAAAGAAAAGGGAAAAAAGTAGAACCTCAACTTGAAAAGGAGTTTAAATACAGATATTTAATGTATATAACTAGAGCTCGTGTCCTTGATAACAACTTTACATTAAGATTTACTTAGACATGTATGCTGTATATATAAACTTTATGAAAGTACTTATATAATGAGATTATATAATAGAGAGTATTATTTTCGGTTCTTTTAAGGTTAATTAAGAAAATTCTTTAAATAGTTGGGTTTTCTTACGGCTTCCTCTGTGCACATTAAATATTAATTTAACATAACTATAAGCGAGGTTTCCTAGAAACGTTTCTCATTTCCGTAACCTTAACACCAAAAAGAGAAAGAAAAGGAAAAGGAAACAGCCGAACTGAACTACAATTGTACATTATTGTGCTAAAATGATAACGTAATTTCAATATGATATAATACTTCATAAGAGAAACTTTTCCTTCTTTTAGGAGCAATTATTAAAGACAAACAAAACAAACCATTAAAGTTCTATAGACTTCAAAATGAAATCATTAATAATATTTACTGTGTTTAGTTGTTACTTTGTGGGTCTTTAATGAGAGGGATTAGCCTCAATATTGTACTTGCCAACTACTGCTGAAAAGTTAATTAATTGTACAAATCAACAGTAAAACGTTAATTAAGGAAACAATATAAATATTGTATATACTGCATATATACTAATATATACATATATATTAAATTTATATGAGTATAAGGCCACTATAAGAACACTTTGGTCTTCTTCGCTGTCCTTCTCGTCTATAGTGCTGTTTTAGCAAAATCTAAAATTTTCCTGCATATCCTTACGCAATCCTTATGATAAATTTATTATAAGAAATATTTTCATATAGAAACTCAAGGGAAGATGTAATGGAATCAATTTTAAAGAAGACTCATCCAAAAGTTGGCCTAATCCTCTTATATTTATACTTAGTCTTGTGAATGTCCTATCGAAAAATGAATGATATTCATTTTATGAGAGACTTTAATCATTTGTATAAACTAATATTTAGAACTGGACCGATCCAAGACTCTCTTGGTCCTCGGAGAATCATTGACAAAGTGCGATTAATATTAATAATATTTGGAAGGATAAGGTCGGATAAGGAAAATCATATAATCGAACCGCTGGCAGACATATTATAAAAAGTATTTAATCGTAAATGTTGATTATATTCAATTTTTAACATTTTATTACAAACATATTATATGTTAAAAAACAGGATTCATTGTAAAGATAATTTCAATGGTACCCATACGTGCCCAATAATATTTGGTTCCTGGATTCACACAGGAAAAGATATGAGTATTACGTTCCAAGATTATTCTAAGCGTCTCGAATTGCAACAATATGATAATTCAAACTTTGAGATTGTAAAACAAAACGCAATTCGAATAGTTTCGGAATATGAATGTTGTACCGAAGTTTATCCCAACATGGGATTATAATATTATCTTAAAACAGAGATATTTATAATACTGATATTTAATATTTTAATTCAAAAGGAACATGGAATGTTTCTTCTATCCAAGAAGAAGAAATTAATTTATATAATTAGCTAAAGGATGAAATGTAAGGTAATAGAAATTGGAGGTAGTAAAGGGGAATATGGTAGATTAGAAATCTTCATATTAAACTCATATTACTCAACCTTGATTCTTAAATTAATCTTTTGCTGTAAAGAAACAAAAATGATAATAAAATTGACTAGAAATTATTATAATAATTTTTATAGTTATATTATCATAACCTTGAAAGTAAATAAAGGTCATCACAACTTACGGAAGTCTTAATAAATATTTTTGAATTATCTTTATAATTAGTTTTAAAGTTATTTGGTAATTGATGATTAATAAATAGAAGAATTAATAGGTATATTTATTAGTCATTAATAATATACTTATATGTTAAGAAAAGAAATTCAAAGCGTCTCATTAATTATTAGAAATTTTAATTACAACATTAACTAGATAGACATTTGAGGATATTAGATGAATATTGATATAATTAAGATTATTAGGTCTATATAGGTTAGTAAAACTAAAAAAAAAGAAAGTTCATTGCCCTTTAACATACTTATACATGTTTTTTTTGAAAATATGCTGTACATATGTTATTCGTTTGTCTTTTTAAATATTAACATTGATATTTAATATATGTATGTAGGTTTCCTTGAAACATTACTTATTTCTGGCATAGTAACACCTGAAAAATAAGGAAACGAAGTCGAAACGGCCGGATTGTAAAGAGATTGAAGATTATTTGCAGATTGTAAGCAACTTGACAAATTGATAGCTCTGCAATGTGAAAAAAAGATATATACATATGTATAAATTCAAGTTATCATCTACCTGATATGTTGGTCAACTTGAGCCTTTTCGATTCGTTTGTCCTTGGCCCTCCTATTTTGAAACCATATTTTTATTTGGGTCTCACTTAAATGTAAAAGCTCGGCGAGTTCAAATCTTCTTGGCCTTGTAATATATTCTATTATGAAAAATGCTAATAATAGAAAAATAATAGAAGAAAGCGAGAAAAAGGGAAAGAAAACGGAAAGGAAAGATTATTTTAATTATTTATTGAATAATAATTAAGAAATGATACTTACCGGTCCTTTGGTATTCGAGCTCTAATTTGAGTGTCTGTTGCGATGTGAACGTTGTTCTTTGTCGTCTTGAGTGTGTTTCTCGTCGGCGTCTCTTAGCGGGCACTGTGTTTATAGAAAAGAATTGTACATTATATCAAAAGACACTTACATAAGAGATTTTTATATTAGGATCTTTTAAGCATATCGCAATCTTTACACTTTCATTATTTAATTAAGCTCTTAAGAGAATTAATATACCTAGAAAAAAAAAGTTCAGGTTTCTCTAATGAAATGAATCTTTATTAATATTGTACTAAGAATGTCCTTTTTAATACTACATTAATATAATTTGCATAATGATCCATTTAAGAGAATAGCATCTTTAGAAAGGAAAAAAAAAGTCCAAAGCCATAAATAGAGAGCGAATAAATTACTTAATTTAATTAAAATCTAATTTAGACATGCAAATATCGCTTTCCCTTAATTTTTTAGTAACAAGAATTATTTCCTGATTATTCAAGAAATTCAATAAATAAGAAATCATTAATTATAATATTTAAATTAGCTTAAAGAGAAAAGAATTCATTTTTAATTGCTAGTAGAAATTATTGGTGAAAATGAGACATTTTATCCTATGACAGCTACATATATATACAGTATATATATATATATATATATATATATATGTAATATCATTTATTATTTTATAATAGGTTCTTTAAACGGAAGTTTAAAAAAAACTTATTAAAGTTGACAGTTTCCGTCCTTGTCAATCTAAAAGCATTTGCAGATGTATGATTAAAATATAAGAAAAGCCATTTTTTCTGTTGATCCCCTTTTTTTTTGTTACACTCTTTACCCTAAATAAAATAACAATATTTGTTTATCATTCCTCTTTTTACTAACCCATTGAAAACATTTCGTTATTGCTTCTCAAGAATTCTGGATAGCTATTTCCTTGAAAATCCTTCATGTTATTGAAGTAAAGTTCCTTATTCAAACTTTGTTCCTCTAGAGCTGCTATATGCTTTTGAGCGATTCCGAGAAAACTTGTTTGAGATATAGTAGACCGATTTTCACTTGGAGTTGGTGATATAAGCATCGAAATTGAACAAAAAGCCGATTTACCAGGTAATTTACTTCCCACGTCCATTGCGATATAATTCGCCGGATAATTTGTAAACTCCTTCTTATATAGACTAATAAACGGGAGCCTCATTTACATACTAGACGCTGATTGGTCAGCGCTAAATTCTTTGTTTCCTAAAGATTTTATTATGTTCAATCAAGTGTGCGAGAACGCATGAACACATCACCTGTTCGGATCGCACGTTTCCGACCACCTACGATTATATTATTCGAATCAAAGACGCGATAATTACTCATCGTTATTGTTATCATTATGATTGAAAGATCAAAGTCGGTTGTGTTTCTGATTATACCCTTCTTTTTCTTACTTTTTCTCTTATATTCATTCGAAACTCTTTAGGCAGATGTTTTTATAAATTGCTATTAACCAAACTGCGCAAGAAACGTTGCAATTTCCTTTTTTCCGAATAGCAGGTGCATTTGTCGTCCAAGTTTCGAGTTAGAACGAATTAAGTTTAATAACAACTACCCAATTACCTACTTCGTTATCACTATTGGGCTAATTTAAAACCAAAGGGAATTAGATGGTTAGTTTAACGAATAGAAACTTAGACGCCTTTGTATTGTAATTGAAAGAATAGAAGGAGAATCCTTCAGATCCAAATAGAGGGATATTTATTATAAAATATTGTGTGATGGATATATTTCTGTTTCTAAAGGCATTATGCCTTGAAATTTTGATGGAAATCACTGGTAGATATTTTTATGTGTCTGGATCCGGAGTCCGGTAATTACAACTGCTTCATTAATTCGACTGCTTTTCGTATGCTAATTAACAAACGAAAGTGTAACCTACGTGAAGTTGGGAGTGTAACAGGTGGTAAGAAATAACATAATGGGGTCACGTTCTTTTAGGAAACTAGGTTAATTGTAATGCAATTTAATCTCAAAAGGGTAATGCTTTTACAGCCTAATTGTAGAAGCTCCTTCACCATTGTATGAACGAATAAAAAAGTCACGTATGTAATTATCTACTTGTTGCTATATGACTTCGGCATTATCTTATTATTATGATGATGTGTATATTATGATTCAATTCATTAAAATAATATAAATAACGCTTTATTAATTAATATTCATATTTATTTAATTACTTTTCATTTATAATTTGCAATTAAACATTCGTAATTTTTACTTATACAAAAGTTTCTATTCAAATTAATTACCTTTAAATTATTATTACGTTGTTTTAACTGATGAGAAATATATTTTGCCGTTAATTCATTAATACCGCAAAATTCGAGATGAACTTCTTCAACTTTTCCTCCGAGATTTTCAAATAGATTGGCAGCTGATTCTTCTATATCGTTTTCGCTAAGATCAATTTTCTTTAATTCTTCCATACTTTGAAAGAGTTTTACAGCACACAATAAATCTCCTTTTGTTATATCGTTGCTTCGAATAGTTAATTCGTTTACCAAATTAATTGATTGTAATAGACTTTTAAGACTTTTAGATATAAAATTATAAGATAATTGTAGCCTTTTTATATTGCTATTTCTGAAGAAATAATTATTTAAATAATAAATACTATCGTCTGATATACCGCACATATCCATATTTAATCTTTGTAACTGTAAACATTGTATTTCAGAGTTGAGATTGTTCGATACAATTCCATCCAAATTATTACGGCAAACATTTAAATATTTTAAAGTCTTTAAATCTACCAGATACCTTTTTAAATCGATTAATAAGTAGAGATTAATACCGCAATCTTCCAAGTACAATTCGGTAATTTCTTTATTATTTAATGATTTAACAACTGCAGGTATAGCTGTTGCAATATTTCTAAAAGATATAGAAAATTTGGTTAAACTATCAACAAAGTTCAAATTAGAGCAAATTTCTATAGCTCTCTTGTAATTATTCTCGAAATTACGGGACGAAACATTTGTTGAATTCTGTACATCAATACTCTTTATATTCGAATGTATACTTTCAATAATTAATGAATTCAATTTGATTCTCTCCTTTAAGGGAAGAATTGGAACAATGTTATTACTATTATAAATAACAATAAATTGTAGCCTATTCTGTCTAATATTTCCCAAAATATTAGAATATTCATTACATTTGATTAAACATAGTAGATAAACGTTATGGTTCGAAATTAAGTACTGATTGATTGAATGATAAAAGTCTTCATTCAAATTCCAGAGTATTACAGCTAAATCATTGTGTTCTTTTTCTTTATAATTGTTGATATTCTGTAAAATCTTTTCTTCATTAGGAACGTGACCAATTTTAAAGCATAGTTCCCTTAATTTTATATTATTAGATGTAAAGTTAGTTAATATCCCATTAACAAACTCAACAAGTCTTTTATTCCAAAAACCATTTAAATCCTTATCAGATTTAAAAGTCAACTTGAAATTATCTTTTCTATTTAATTTGGAAATGAAAAATTTAATATTTCTAATAAGTCTGTCAAGGTAATATGTCGAATACTTTTCCAAGTTTATTACCATTTCTCGACAGTTAAATAATTCAAATTTCCTATCAAAATTTTCAACAGTATGCATAATTATCACTAATTGATTTTCGAACGGTTCAATGGTTATTAATTCATCTAAACCCTTAGGAGCGTTCTTTACTGTCAAAAGAATATAAAAGATCACGTCAAAGATTAGTGTGTCGTCTTCGCTTCGTATTAACTCATGATTTTTAATGAATAATTGTAAATCTGTTTCATTTCTTATTAAGTGTTCGGCAATTAATAAATTTCTTATCTTATTACTTTTAAATTGCTGATTACCTTCTTCGTTAGTTGTTAATATACAGTTGATAGCAGAATATTTCGATTGGTAGCCGTTGTTCTCCTTATTTTCCAAATTAATTATATAATTGAATGATACTAACAATAAATCAGTAAGAACTTTTGCCTTGATGCCAAAACAACTTTTTAGTAGGCTTAAAAAGAAATTATTAACTGGTAATCTCTTCTGCCATAATTTTACGATAATAAACCAATATTTTGGAAATAATAAGAAGAAATTGAGGCCGAAGAACGTTAATTCTTTAATTAGATTATCGGCGTCTATCGAATATTCTCTATTTATAACTTTTTTAAAGCTCTGCTCTAGAAATTCCTCTTCAATTTCTACTACTTTAAAATCTTGTACTTTGTCCGCCTCTAATTGGTTAATAGAGCTAGTGGCAATAACAACAAAATTAGATAAATAAGGATAGCAGTGAGAAGAATCTCGTCGATTATCAGCTGAGAATGAGTCATCCAACAGCAGTATTATGTTCTCAGGTAAATTCTCCAATAATTTTTCAACATGAAAATACAGTTCACGATCAAGGTCAATCAATAGTTCGCTGCATATAATTTTAACAAGAGATTGAAAATCATGAACTCTGTAGGCCTGCGGTATAAAAAGAACTAATTTTGAAGTAACTTCCGTTTTCCTTGCCCAACTTGCTGCAATTTTCTTCAGAATAAGAGATTTTCCTATTCCTTTTGCACCTTTTATTACCAATTTCCTCCAATTAATTTTCAAGATAGTCTCAATTATTTGATTATCTTGAGTATTGTTATAATCGGCTATTAATTTATCATTATCGATAACGTAATTAGGAAAATCTTTTAATAGCGTCTTTTTCGGTAAAAAACCTGTTTGATTACCAATTAGCCATTTAACTTTATTATAAAAATGTTCTTTTTTAAGAATGTTCTTTTCTTGGAAGTGCGTGCTTGAATAGAGTTCCTTTAATTGTGAAGTTAGCTTTGTCCAATAGTAATTACCCCATATATTAATTGATTCGTCTTTCAACGGCGAAAATTTTCTACCTTTTTTATTTAAGGAAAGAGAAAATAGAAAAAATATAAGATTAAATGTGTTTTATGCATCTCTCATTTGTTGTTGCCACTAGATGGCGTATAATCATTTACGTTAGAATCATTAGCGATTATGTCTACTTACAAAGGTTAATATTTAAAATATAGGATTTTTGAGCGATCTCTCTCTGCTTCATTGTCCCATTTAATTTAAAAATTTCTAAGAATTCATCTAACGAATAAAAACGAAGGGCTTCCAATAAGAACATTCTGCAATTAGTAAGACACATTTCTCTTCCTAATTGAACATTCTCCTGATAAAGATCTTCTCTCTTCATTGAATTTTTAATACGAGGAAATTGAGAGTATATGTGATCAAAAGATTCATTCGTTGAGAGAGCTTGTGCAAATTCCTTATCGAAAATACTAATACAAAATGGAACATATTCTAGAGGTGAAGGATTAAAATACAATAACAATAACATTTCATAAAATTATAAATATAAAGAACATACCACTGAATTCGTTAAAATGTATCGTGTTATAATCCATTCTTAGAAGAGATATAATTTTAGAAATAGTTATTCGTAAACACATCCATAGAAGATATATACATAAATTTCATACATTCCTTTATACGTTCACCGAAGCCATAGCTGTATAATTTCATATTTTAACTGATGAATTATAGGGACGAGTAGAAAACAAATTAAGTAGGCAATAAATTATTAATAATGCTAAAAAAAAAATCAAATAGGTATTGTAAACTTTGGTTTCTAGACTAGACAATGAAAAATTCATACCAAATTTGTATTTAACAGTGATTATTGATTTATTTTTGTTTTCTTTCCCTACTCTACAAGAGTTAAGCCTATACTACATATTGTATATTTATTTATTTTCTATATTTATCCTGTCCTGTAGGTAGGTATATTTATATTTGTTCGATAAGTTTTAAGACATCTGTACAGGCTTAATTAATCATTTATGCAAGTCATAGCGTCATTGTACCTCCCCTATTTTAATGAATGTATATATATATATTATTTTTTTGACATAGCCTCCATAAATCCTGCATATTTAGAATTTTAAGCCTATACTTATGTAAATTTGTAAAAAAAATATAAATTGTTACTAAATTATCTCTAAAAGAAGGCTTTAATAGCTAATTTATATTATTAAAACTTTAAAACTTATATCAACAGAGAGGCACTCGGCAGCCACCCTCATATAAAAATAATTATTTTGATATTATACTGAAAAGAGTTGATCGCATCCTCTCTATTCTAATTTTTTAATTATTTTTTACAGTGTTAATGATATTTTTAACACGTTAATTCAAAACTAAAGAATTGGAAATGATTGAATATATTATATTATTTAAAAAAATGAAAGTTTTGTAATATCAGTAAAAACAAAGTTTTTATCAATTTTTGAAGAATGTATTTTAAACAGTTGAAGAGATAAGTTATTATATTTGCGGTATATATTTAGATCATTCATCATTCAATGATTGAACAAAATTATTGTTAAAGATGGCGGCACTGGCGATGCCTCGTGTATGGGATGTAGGAAGAAAAAGTGAATTTAACTCCATAGAAATCGATTTGTAACTGCTGTTGTCGACTATACATCGGTGTGTACATATTATTTAAGTGTTTCCGCTCATTTGTTGTTATTAATAGGCTAGTTTCATCAAGAACAAGAGTACAAATATGCTTTTATTCATTTATTCTTCCATTAAAATAGCTTAAAATGATGACGGAAGTAGAAGAGGAAAGGATTCATTTAACAACTGGACTGGACGACTGCTACGATAGTCTCGATGAGCAAGAATTGGATAATCCTTGTGAAAAATGGACTCCTATTAAAAAGTCTATCGACCTATCTGACGATGATGACAACAACGATGATATTAAGTCTTTTGATGAGAAAGAGTTGTACAGAATGGAACAAGAACAAGAAGAATTGAATAATTCCCTTTTGGCAGTCACCTCTCATTTTGCTCAAGTTCAATTTAGATTAAAGCAAATTGTTTCTGCTCCCAGTGACGAAAAAGAAATTCTGTTAAAAGATCTTGAACAATTTGCGTTCATGGGAATTCCTGACGTTAGAGTCGTTGCAAATCACGAAAATACGCCTCACGAACATACGGTATGACTGTGTAAACAGAAGTTTACATTGAGAATTGATTAAAACTCTTATCCTAAAATTGTTATTTTATCAAGGATGAGAAAGAGTTTCAAGCTAAATTCATAGAACAAAGAGAAAAACAACAAGAATTAATAAACCAACTGAAATCTCAACTAGAAGACTTAGAAACATACGCTTACGAAGTAATACTAAAGAAAAACTTAAATTTATGAATATTAAAGTAAATTATACGATTATTAATGAGATTTTTTTTATCTAATTCTCAGACAGGAGATGCTGATCTTCCGACGAGTAAAGTATTGGAGAAACAGAAAATATTAATCGACCAATTAACTAAAAAACTTAATTTTCAATTAGAAGATATGAGTAAATTAGGGTGAGATTATCCTTTTTCCGGTTATGGCTATAACTATATAATATAGATATACAATTACTTTTTTCAGGGATGATGACCTCAAGAAAATTGTTGACACAGCTGTGGGAAAAATAGTCAACCCAGCCAAAGTAAAAGAAAAACTGGTTGATCAATTAAAAACGCAAGTTACTGATTTAGAGAGGTTCATTTCATTCTTACAAGGCGATGCCCAAACTCCAGGACCTCTTGGTCACAAATGTACTTGTCCAATGCATGGCTCCAAGTTCAATTTTGATGATAATCATGCACAAGTTCATAAAAATAATGAAATGAAAAATCATTCAAGTGTTAGCATTCAATAAACATTATATATATCCTATTAAGTCATTGACATCCTATTATTTCAGACGATGAAAGAGGCAACATTGTCAATTATGAAACAGGCCTTAACAGTTTTACAATTATTTACGTTTAGCCAATTCGGATGTGGACATAAAGAATTTAAGCGAAATTTACTTAAAAGAACAACGAAAAATAATCATTGGGGGTTAGTTATTATATTATTCTCTTTGTATTAATAAACTACATCATTTACCATATAAATAGGGATTTGAGAGCTCGATTGGAAATTTCTATAAGTAAAGTTCTTGAAGCTGTTGCCATTGACGAAAAAGTTGACATTGTTGACAGCGATTATACAAGTGATATGGAAGATTCACCGATTATGCAATGTAATAAAGAATTAGCCTTATCCGTCAGGAAAGAATTGGCGCCCGCTCTGCGAGATTTACTTCAACACGGTCTTATGGAAATTGGTCAAAGTTCAAGTTTAATGGTATTTGGATGTTTATCGACGCGTTCAAAGAAGCAGACGAAGATGATGCATGCCTGGGATCTCTTTCTGAAATATTACGAAATGAAGCACGGAAAAGAATATAACGATTCACCTGCAAGGAAACTATCGCAATCCTTTCATCTCGATATCGTTGGTGGTAAAGCAATAACTAATAAGCAAAATTTATTAAGCGCTATAGATAGTGTCCTAACATCACACCGTCCTTTAAAGAGATCTGATGATATGCAATTCAAAGCCTTTATATGCTACGCCTTAAAGTAGGTCGATTAAATAATAATTAAGCCTAAATTTTAATAATTCTTACCTAAAAGCGAAGGCAGTCTTGTTAAATGGCTGCGTCTTGTCTTAAAAAGTCATTCGTTAATCGAGTATTATTATCAACCTTGGAGTTACGTTGTAAAAACTGGTAAGAAGCGTTTCTAAATATTTTTCTTTTTGTTAAAATGTTGTTATTTTTTTTTTACAAGGATTCGACGATGCACTCAGGTCATTAGAAAGCTTAACATCTGTTGAATTTCGATTACCTGTTGACCTTGCTGTTCGGCCTTTTAAGAATATTAAAGACGCATTTTAATTTGAAAAATTCGCCTTTTGAAGAGAATGATAAGTTAAAAAACAAAATAAATGGTGTAAGGATAACAGACTTATCTAGATGGGGTTTGGTTTGATTAGTTTAAACAACTAATAGTTATTTATATACTGTTTTTTTAAATGTTACTACTTCCTATACTTAACATAACGCTCTTCCATCCAAAAGCATAAACATAAACAATGCAAACACTATTAATTATTATTTTTCTATTAATATTCAATATCAAATATTATTTTTTTGTTTTTTAAAGGTTTATAGGCTAAATTTAGTTTTATAAAAACTCTTAGATATATATATATTTTTATATATCATATGTATACATAAAAATACACCACATGTAAGATATTGATTGTGTAGTATTCTTTCTCTTTAACAATTTATTATTCAATTTAAAATCATTATTCAAAAAGTTACAAGTTATTTAGTTATTTTATCTTAATTCATCACTCGCATTTTGATTGTTAATTTTAAAATTTATCTTCTTATTCTTCTTTATTTTTAAGATCAAAAGCCGATTGTTTAATTTTTGATGCTGCATCTACAACTAGATAGAATTGAAGTATGACAAAAGCATCTTGAATTATTGAAGGAAGATATGATACGATCAAATCCAATCCAACTTCGACGCTATAACGCTTCTTTGGCCATTTTGAGAAGAGCGCATGTTCATAAGCTCTTACAACTAATCCAGGCCTTTTAGATGCAAATTTATCAACTACAGTTAATATCTTTCCAACTATGTAAACATAGAATAAAGAATTAAAGTATTCCCTTTATCACATAGCAAATTTTAGCACTCACATTCCTCAAAAACCTCATTCTCTTTCTCTAGTTCGCTTTTTGTCCATCTATACTTACCTCTCTCGAAGCTAGACCTCATTCTATCAGGATTTAGAATATCTGTTTTAATAAATCCAGGCTCAATAATATGAACGCTCACTGGAATACCATACGCCTTGAATAAAATTCTGTTTTTGGGTTTTAAAATTCCGAGTAAATTAATGAGATATCTTATATCTAGAATTATACCTATAACTATCGGATATAGCTTCGGAAGCGGCTTTACTCGTTGTATAAGGAATATTGGTAAGAGTAGGATCAATTATTCGCCCATTAATTGAAGTCATGTTTACTATTCGACCTTTTCCTTTCTCCAATAGAGTCAAAAACTTATTAACCATTGTAACAATTGCAAAAGTATTAACTTCGTATAGTTCTCTGAGATCTTTAGCCATCAAATGACGGCAGTCCGCTCCCTCACTAGGTTCTCCAATTCCTGCATTATTAACTAGACCATGAAGTCCAATCTCACCTAAATCATAATTTAAGAATTCTGCCAAGTCAGATACGGCTTCTTCATCAGTAATATCTAACGTAACAGCTTTCAATCGACTCGAACATTCATCCTCAAGCTTTGTCGTACCTTTTTCGGTAAGACAAGTAGCAACAACATGAACTCCCTGCTTATCTAGTTTCTTGGCTAATAAATATCCAAAACCTATTGAGGAAAAGTAAATGAAATAAATCAAAAGTTCTTAAAAGTGTAAAATTAAGTATTTAGAACCGGAATCACATCCTGTAATAAGAACATGCTTCTTATCAATATTCTTAATTCGAAAAGATCTAAGAAATATTTCTAAGCATCGTAATAGAAAAACAGCGACAACTATTATTAAAATAGCATATACAATTGTTAAAAAAGTCATTATTCCAGAACGCGAACTAAATTCAATCCACCAAATGAAAGTTTGCAAATGAGTTATAAAAATTTACATTAAAAATCCTCCCAAAAAAAATAAAACACAGGTGTTTTCCTAACAATGAAAGTGATATGATATATATCTGAAACAATTCTTTATTCTTACTACATGACTGCTACCTCCACGCATCATATGGTTAATATAGTCGATATTACATATAAATTTATATATATATTGTAATGATAGCCTTAACATATTTTATCACAAAAGATATCCTGTACGATCATTTCATATCTCTATAATTAGTCAAATGTTGTTGTACAATTAAATCAGGGTTGTTTAGATCTAAATCTAATTTTATGAACTTTGACTGATTTATATCATTAGTTAATTACAAAAAATAGTTTTTATTAAGTAATTTAAAAGTTATAACTTGGAAAACTTTCAAAACTTGAAAAAAAAATGCTCTTATATAGGCCTATTGAGGTGTGGAGAAGAATAGATAGGAACTACTTTCGATTTTGTCTTAGCGTCAAAACATTACATACAAGAATTGTAAGTAGAGTATATTCATTTAGCTTAATAAAACGCCTCTCTGCATTTTGTCTTCTCATCGCTGATTGGTCTATTAATTTTTTCCACCAATGACCAATCAGGTTAGAGACAATGACATGTAGGACTATGAAAAAAATCTATGCTTTGCCTGAAACCAAAATGTCCTAGATCCCTTGTGACAAAAATGGCTCAAGTTGTTCGCTTGCGCAAATTTAGAGATAATATAGATATATCCAACATTTCGTATGCTAGTTTGAATAGAAATAAAGCAATTTTATTGGTACTCTTTAAAGATGACTCTCTAGCTTATATACACAATACGCTGCAAAAAATCGAAGGAAAATATTATCGGTCTGTACAACATCATTTGATCTTTCCAATAAAACTTGTAAATAAAAGTACTATCAATTACAATATTCTAGATTTTCTTGGATAAAAGACAATCCAGAAATCGCAGAATTCGTTTGCCTTTCAAAAGATTACCGCATTCGAATTTATTCTATCGATTCCAATTTGATTGCATCCTGCATACTACATATAAACAGTATTCAAGTTAAAGACGTTTTGAACAGTATACAAGAAGGTTAATTGAAAATATTTAAATATTGTTAATATCTTTTAAAATAATTTCCTTCAGATTGGGAAGAGTATGATTTACAAATTTGGGATAATAAAAAGAATTCAATCTATATTAGAACGTCAAGAAATATATCCTGTTTACAATTATTCGATGGGCAAAAACCTTATATAAGAAGTCAATTAGAATTGAACGATGGATCAAAGATTACATCCATATATGGACATTGTTTTATTTCGTTATCTGATAAATTTATCTGTATCCTTTTTTAGAGAAAATCTAAAATTAGATATCTTTTTTCTAATAATTCGAAACAATGAAATAATTATCTTCTTCCTTAGCAGGTTTATTTTTAAAGACTTTTATAATTTAAGCACAGGGGAAAAGATCGCCGAAATAAGCTTAGATAGTATTAATTATCAATTAAAGGATGTCAAAAATGTTCAAATGACAACGGACTATTCATATTTAATTTTATATGAAACTAGAAAATGTTTTATACTGGATTTAAGGAAATATTTTCTAAAATACAAATGGAATTTATTCATACCAGCTAGTATAAATGTTCAAGAACAATCTTCATGGTTCAGTACTGTTGGACTCGAATGCATGGCCAAGACGGAACTTATTAGAACAGTTGATGAGAAAAGAGTAGTTAACGGCTTTAAAAAATCAAAAAATTCAACAGATAACGACTTGTTTTCCAATTATTTTACGCTTTTGGATGGTACATACGAAATAGAAGATTCTTCAGTTATGAATTCTAAAATTATAGCATTTCTCTTAAAAACTCCCAATAACGATTATTGTTTATACGAATATGATATCAATAGTAAAACTGGCCGTTTTTCCTATTCACATTTTAATTTTGGAAAGATGATTTTAACGGAGACTATTACGTTTCCGCATTTAATTTATTCAAATAATGATATTCAAGGAATATTTATGGATTTAAGGCAAGAAGACTTAGTTAATAGAGTAAGCAGAACAACTTTTATCTCTTAATTTTGAATAATCTTTAATGATAAAATTTCTCAGCTTATCATACATTCATCTGCCTCAACTGCTGATGTTTTATGCAATATGAACGATTGGGATACCTATACAATTCCAATTCAAGCGTTAAAGGACGGAATAAAGCATAAACAACTTGATACTGTTGCATTTTATCTGAGAAGCAAAGAAAATAGTTAGTGTAGTCAAATGATTGTCTATCCAATAAGTAATTGTTGTCTCTCTTCTAGTGTTTTCCATTGAAAAAAAGCTGACTGACTTAAGATCTGTTGATGAAACCAGGGCAATTTGTGGATTATCTCTGTTAGAAAATGCTGTTATTGAACACATTGATAACTTACAAACAAGACAGTTTGGCGAAAGTCTGCTCAAATTATGCTTAGAGCATTTATATAAAATGAATAAGAATGCTGTTAATTCATTAAAAATGTTAAAGCAAATTGAAGAACCTACTGATTTATTGGAATCAAAAATTATCATTTGTCTAGATTCATTAATGAATTTTATAATTAAATTTCGAAATCTCTTAACGAAGGATATAAAATTTTCTCGCCATTATTCAATGCAAGTATTAGGAGATTGTCCATTAAATACTAAACAAATAACATTATTGAATGAATGGTCAATGCTATCTAAAGAGGTTTTTTAAAATTGTTTAATTTTTATTAAATAATAACAATAAATAATAAATATTACAGCAAACTATACTACAAGGATTAAAAATACAAGATGTTGGATTTCTTCAATTGTATTTAGACAAGATTTGTAATGATACTGATCCTCATAAATCAATTGTTGAATTGGGATTAAATGAAGTTTATAATAACCTATGTCAAAGAAAACTTGACGATGCTTGCTCGCTTTTATTAACTTTGGTGAGTTAGTTAGTATTTACTATTAGAATTGATTATTAAATGTTCTTTTACCCCTTTAATCTACTAGGGTTTTGATTGGATAAAAGAAATAAGAAAAATTTGCAAATTTACACCAGATAAAAAACTAAGGAGATATCTTACAAATGTTTTAACAGAGAAAGATTTATTTGATGAAGTTCAAAGTGATCTTATTAATTATATCTACAAATTAGAAGATTTATATCCATGTCCATCACTCAGTATTTCAAAACAACATTTGCAGAATTCAGCTAAAAAGTAACAGTTTATTATTATTATTATTAAAATTTCTTAGATTTAGCCTTTTCCATTTATTTAATTAGTTCTTCAAGTCATCTACGATTAAGTCTAATTACAAAATATGAGAGTATTGCCGAGAAAATCAATGTAAATTGTTCAGATATTAGTAAACAAACCACTTCGAATGTTATTTCTGGTAATTACTCTAATACTTTAATTGATTGGGTTGAAAATTGGACTGAAGAGACTCGTCTATTCGTTCTATTAGACGTTATATTGAGGAAAAACGGTAATACTTTTATAAATAAATTAGTGAGTATTGTTTTATTTATAACTAATTTTTTAACCTTGTAGACACCCCATTCCAAAGTAACCAAATTACAAAAGCAGCTTGGAAATACTTTGTATTATATTCAAAGGAAACAGAATTGAAATTATGGATAGATAATTATTTTTTTAAAAGAAACACAGTGAACCGTTGGCCATTTAACACTCAAATATTTCCTGATGCTCTATCAGACTTGAAACTTGGTACGCTATCATTAAGGGAAGAGATACTTAATTATCTATATAGGTTAATATTCTTTTGTTAAAACATTTCTATATTAATAAATTAAAACTTCATTATATTACAAATAAAAGGGGAGGTATATTTGCAAGAGAAGAGGAAGATAAGAATGAGGGGACTGGCTTGAAATTCTTGCAAAGATTATCGAAAAGTCAAGAAACGCTTATGAATTTGGGCACTTTAAACATTCCATTCGATTTTGGAGCATTAACAATTGATGAAGCGTATAGATATTTCGTGAAATACTGCATTGATCTAGATTTACCTGATCTATTTTATAAATTTCTCTGTATTAAGTTAGTCTTTTATACCATATACTTATTTCCCATTGTTATTACTATCATACTGATTTAATTTTGTTTCAGTCAATCGGACAAATTCACTGAAATACTAGAGGAATTCAATATTAACTGGATTAAATTAGCTTTAAATATGTTACATAATACCGATAAACAATTGTACAATATAGCGTCAGCTAATCAGTTATACTTAAATCAAGAGATAAAAACCTGGAAAGCAATGATTGAAAACAATAAAATTGATAGAGGAGTTTGTCTGTTATCTTTATCTGATGAAGACGTAATTTTTTTTTATTAAATTAATATCTGTATACTAATTATGTTACAACATTCATACAATATTAGTTTACCTACATTGATGGAAGAGATGAGACTAATTACAACTGGTATCAAAGGTTTCTAAATAATGAAAAATCTTTCCATAGTAAACATATTACGTTGAATGATGCAATTAAAGTATTATTAATATTATTCTCATATAGTATATACATTAATTCTTTAATTATTCTTTTCTATAGACAAAGTATTCATCACTAGACGAAATAGGTCTATCAAAAGATGAAGGTAAAAATGAAGCATGCATGCAGTAATGCTATATCTTATATAGTTTTGTTTATAGATTTTAAGAAAGGTCCACATTTTTCGCAAGAAATTTACGCAAAACGATTTGGAGTTGTATTTAATTTGAATTATGTTCATTATCTCAAACATAGCAGACCTTGTTTTGCATTTTTTAACTTTTTACAAAGTTCAAATATTAAAGATGGAGATAGCATTAATAAAAGGTTTTTTATTATATTTTATCCATTACATGATGTTTTTATAATATGTATATTACAGATTATTGAAAGAAACTTATAGAACTACTTGTAGAATAGCTCTACAAAATTTTACGAAGCTCGATATATCCGCTTCTTGTGTAGCATTTTTAGAAATGCTAGGTAATAGTATGCTAATTTAATTAATTATTATGATTGTTTATTCATATTAATATTTTCATTTCTTCCACAGATCTTGAAAGTTTTTCACTAAGACTTCACCTACAGATAGCTAAAGTAATTTATGATTACAGAAGAGCTATACTCAATTGTACTATTGAAGAAAAACGACCACTAGAATTAAAATTACAACAAAATATAAGTTAGTTAAAAATTCATTCATATTTTTTCTAATTTATGAATATATTATGCAAATTGTTTTAAAGCTTTAAATTTTATTAAACAGCATCATCTCTACTGAAATGTATGGAGAAGCAAAATGCAGATTTGTCGAATATTTTAGAAGATTTTGAAGAAGCCGCTGTCAATACTTTAAATAATGATTCACTTGATCCGTAAGTAATTAAGACTGTCGTATGATAATTAATTAATTATTTAATATTTAATAATTATAGATCGGATAGTAAAACCTTTAGACATTGGAATTTGATTTCTCTTTTCTGTAAATCATACTCAGTTGAAGTCTCAAATAAATTTCTTTTAAATGCAAGCCGTAATAATAATTGGTTATCATTTATTCTTTATTCTCATCTTTATCAGTATCCATCAAGAGAAGTATGATATAACACATTATATAACATTGTACTTACAACTCTATTCACTTTTATAGCTTTACGAATATCTCAAGTTCTTTACAAATAAAGCTCTTCAAGAGCACTTACATTATGTAATAACTACTGCTGAAAACGTTCAAAAGGCTTCACTAACTGGTGATAGTACTCCAAAAGTTACGAGAAAAACTAAACAAAAGATATTCGGAGGTGTTTTCAAGAAGGAAATTAATAAGATAATCCCTAATCACCTATATCATTTCAGATGACGAGACTGACGAAAGTCGTATTGAAATTACTCCGAAAAAAGGTTGTAATGTGGGAAAGAGAGGAATTTTAGTACATCTTTTTCATTAATTATCCTTTATTTCAGTTGCTAAAATGCTATCAGAAGTTGAATCGGAAGATTTGCTTGGTTTAGTTTTAGCATGCGAAAGACACCAAGACACTTTTAAAATGTTATCAAATATAGCAATAGAATATAAAAATCCAGTATTAGCTTGCATAGCGAGCTGTTATGAGGTAAGCTTACGTCTTAAGCATTCGTATTTCTAAACAAATATCCCTATTTCAGAATGTCGAGCTACTAACTGCAATGACTTCATATCTATTAAGTCAAAGTGAATCGAAAAGTCTTGACTTGAACAATCAATTGAGCATTGAGAAATTCTCCGACTTTTCGCTAACACTCATACATGACGGTTATCTTACAATCGTGCTGAATTGTTTCAAGATATTTACACCAGTAGATTAATTATTACGTTACGTCAATTTGACAATAATCTAATCTAATCTAAATTATTTTCAGGCATTAGCAATTATTCATTTTCTAACATTTTGTAAACAATGTTCTTCTGGATGCTACTTGGAAGAATCTATAGAACATTTGCAACGTTATAAATCAGCATTAGACGTAAGTAGATCAACCTTAACGAAATTGCGTAACAAAAAGAGCTTATATTTAATCTTCATTTTGTTTCTTTAATCTTATCCTCTTTAAATCAAGTCCATAACTTTACAGTCAGAAACTGAATTTCTTATTCCATGGGATTTTTACGTTAGTACAAACAGGAAAAATACAATCAAAAATCAATAGCATTTCTTTTATCAGGCTTCTTTTTTTCCATTTATTCTCTATTAATTTCTAATTTTAATGATTTTCGTTCATTAACTTGCACGGGAACTAACACACTTAACTAATAATTTCTGCGTAAAACTTAAACATGAAAGCCAAAGCCTTCTTGATTAGTGTAGAGACATTTTCATATAATAAATAATATCCAATAATACTACTAATTATCTATGTCTCTTTATAGATACCAAGATCAGAAGTGCACACAAATTGCTCTGTCTTTGATCAAGAATGGACCATAAACTTTGCATCAAACGTTTCCGGTAGATTAGCCGATATTCTACCTTTAGCCTCTTCAATTGATGTTATGCGCATTTTCAACAAATATGAAATATTTCCAAAAGGTTAATTACTTTTTAATAATACTTTTAAGAAACAAAATTTAAAAAGAAAATACTTTACTTTCAAATCTATTTTGTCGCAGATTGCAACATAGAAAATATAATTGAAAGTTTAATTCTATGCCAAGAGTATAAAATGAAAGTTTTACCGAGTAAACTATTAGAGAAAGATAAAAGAGAAACTGAAGAGATTACCGAAAAATTCTTAAAAATTAATGAATACGAAAATGCAAAGACATTCGCATCGTTAAATTCATTAAGTCTCGATTCAATATGTCTTAAAAAGGTAATAAAAAAAAAACACTAAAAACAAAGAGATAGAAGACAAAAACAAACATTTAATTATAAAATATTCTTTATATAGATAAGATACGAGAAAATTAAATCTAGAAATCTGGAAAATAGACAAAATTCTAGCGTTATTCGTCGATTTTGGTTTTGGGCTAATGATCTTTTAACGACTAATCGTTGTTCAATTGAAAAAGCTATACAATTTTATCAGGAAGAGTTACTAGAGTCAGTAACTGCTGAAGAAGAATTACTACTGACAAAATTCTTGTTAAATTGGCTAAGTTTAGATGAAAAATCTAAAGATATTATTACTAGTTTTACAAAGAAATACTGGCAATGTAAAATTGAATTATTGAAAAAGGTGATTTTATATATATATACTGTATATTATATAACAAATTATATTAATTAACTATTGTTCTACTGTATTCCAGACTGGTCAAATATGTAAAATTGACGAAGAAACTAAGCTCTTTCGTAAGATTGTTGAATTTTTACCACAGAATCTCAACCTAAAAGAATTTCATTACGAACATGAAAGTTTAATTGATAAAGATGTTTGTTATTTTTGTTTAAAAGCAATTCTATATTTCTTTTATAATTTTCTTTCTATTTATTTCTTTTAGACAAAAAATGCAGTATCGAAAATTGTTTGCTTCCTTCTGGAGGAAGGGGATGTTTTAAGAGCTATAGAACTTTGTCAAACGCTAAACTGTCCTGAGAATAATTTAACTATTGTTCTCGTAAGTATTTAGTTTGCTAATCGTTAATAGAGTGTATAGATTTCTATTATAAATGTATAGAATTGTATGGGTCTTGCTCAATCCTTAATTACGCCAAATACGATAGATGAGAATTTAAAAACTATTCTTTGTTGCCAAAGGCAACAAGAAATACCTCCTAAACGGCATTCTTCTGTTAGTGTGTTCGCTTTGCCAAGGAGTACCAGTGGTAAAAAAAATCTAATTTAGCATTTCCCTTTCAATGAAATTCTTTTCAATTAATAGTTATTAGTTGGATTGAAGATGACGAAGAGCTATTAAATGACGAAGTAACATCTGCCATTGAATTATTATGTTCAGTTGTAAATCCTGAATTTAGCGGTTATTGCGAAAGAATATTGGTCACCTATAAAATATCGAAATTAGTCAATTTAACCTACGATAGCGTAGTTAAAGAAGACGCTCTTTCTGTTGTTAAACTTTTACTTAATCAGAGATTAAAGTCAAAATATACTTTAACTAAAGATTTTATGAAATTTAGCTATTTAAGCTATGAGAAAATTGCTCACTTTCTATCTGATATGATACTATCAACATTCGAAAATGGACGTAAGTTAAATAAATAACAGACTCTAGCACATATAATTAATTATTTATTCTTTTTTTGTCTAATTAAAGATATAACAGATAAAGAAGTCAGCGTTAGTCAATTAATACAAATATGTCCAGCTCCGTCATTATTAGGGAATGATCTGACGAGTTTTGTCTCACATTTCAATCTTGAAAATGCAGATTCAAAGCATCTAACGCTAAATGTTGAACTATTGATAAAAGCTCACGATTGTCACACAATCTCCTGTAATACGGAAGGAATATGTAATGTATTATTAGCAGTCAGAAAATTAACTGCTGCATTGGCGAGTAGACAGGAATTTTCGTTGCTGGTAATATAGTTATCTTAATTAATATCTTGGCAAATTAAACTCTTTTTGCTATTAAAACAATACTACAGATTCAACTAATTCTTGGAATTAGACGCTATAATGAAATGTACGAAGCACTAGATGTATTAAAGTCCAATGGGAAGCTTGGCATGTTAATGCAAAAAGCAGAAAGAGACGATGCAAGCTTAAGAACGGCTTTGCTAGATTATTTGAAACCTAATGAGGCGGGAGATGGTGAAATTTACGATCTACTTATGAGAAATTTTAGTATGCATATAGAAATGGCCGAAGCAAACGAAAAATTAGCTAAAGTATGCCTACAATCACTGCCTGAAAAAGTTGGTAAAGGTTTTGAAGAATTACTAAAGAATTCAATAGAGTATTATCAAAGAGCCTCTTGCGAATATTTAAAAAATGATTGCGTAAAATTGGCTGAAAATTGTCTAAGAAGAGCGAAATTATCAGCCTTACAAATCTTTCTGTTGTCATCGAAACCCACGAGATACATTGTTAATTGCAACAAAGAGGAAGCATTAAACTTTGCTATGACTCATAAGAATTGCCATCACGTTCATATTGTATTAGAGGCTTATGAAATGCAAAGGGAATGGGCAAATATTCTATTCCATAGAATTATCTTAAATTCAGATTTTCAATTTATAGAAGATTTTAAAGTACGCTATAAACTTACCGATGAGCTGATCACAAAAATTTGTGAAAGGTATATTTAAACATTTGATTATAGACTAAAAAATCAATATTTTTGTTTTTTACTTTCATAGAAAAGAGATATTGCGTAGTCATACAACAAAATCCAACTTAATGAAATTCCTCATTTCGTATTGTAAAGAAAATGCGGAATGCGTGTTAAAACAAGCTGCTAGAATAGGCTTACATGAAGTTGTAAATGAGTTGCCTAATTCAACTGTGAGCGCCGGGTTGAAAGATTTATACCCTTACGCCAGCACCCAATCAACTTTTCAGTGAATTATTGTTCTTTTCCTTCCTATTCTCAATAAACGAGAAATAAATATATAGTATATACAGTAATATGTACAGTTTAATCAATTAAAGTTCTTTTTGTTCTTTTAAGCGAATTTATTCAATATTCCTACATTCATAAATTTATAAAAACACTTGCGATCTGTTCAATTATTTCCATATACTAATTATCCAATACGTCAGATAATAGAAAATTGACCTATTATTTCGTTTTAAATAAACACCATAGATGGCACTTTATTTCGAAAATATTAAATGCCCAGAGAAATACTCTGTTGGAGGTATAAAGTGCCTTTTTTTACCAGCGCCATCTTTAATTTCCCCTTTTTCATTCAGTCAGTCCCCGTTCTAGCATTCACGAGGAAGTTAATCATGGCAAAATGGACTCCAAGCCTACCGATCGGAATTTTTAGCTTTATACTCATTGTTTCTTCTATCACAACGCCTAATCATGGTAAGAAGTCAACATTTAATATTTTTAGTATTATGTTACTTCAGTGAATCTATCTAACATTCGCTCAGAAGTGATTATTTAGGTCTATTACCATCTCTACAAAATAAGACACGTAGGCCTATAGACAGGTATCTTCATTTTCAACTCTTCTTACCTGGTGTATTATTTATGTATCTGTGAAAAAAGCGTACTTAATTGTAAATCACCGATATTTATTTCAAGCATATTTCAGCTGTTGAATATCGATTGGAGAATATTAATAGGCAATATTCAGTAGAAACGTTTAAATTGAATGATAATAAGAGGGTTAAAAGATCAGTCAGCAACGAGGTACAGTTTATTTATATTTTTGTTAAAATAGTTATATTTAATAAGAAATATAATAATTTACTGAATAAAATCTTAATTCTCTTGGTTTTTATTATTTTTATTAGACTACTACCCAAATCAATGATATTCCAACAACTCGTGGGGAAGGTGTCACTACAGAAGACCCATTTGCTGAGGAGGTATATCTTTTACTGTTCAATAATGAATGTATACGCAAACAAAAATATCAATTTGTTGTTCAATATTAATGTTTTATGCTTTATTTGAGTATACATTCAACTATGATGAAAATATTAATCATCAAGATTGAATTGAACATATCATTTTATCATTCATAGGAGAAGAGGATATATTACGAATATACTATAAAGACTGGGAAAGATTTCGATGATAAATGGATTGATTTAGATAAGTCCAATAAGGGATTAGAAACAGTCAAACATGTATCTCTATCAGACGCTCATAGGCTTGGAGCTGTAAATATACATATTTTATAGTTTGATTTCTACTTTTTTATTTTTAATGCATAGACGATCGAGTTAAAGTATAATTTTATCTTCTATGGACACTTTATTAGTAAAGTTACCATAACAACTGGAGGTAATACTTATAAATTATCAAAATATTTATGAAATTTTAATGTAAATTTTCAATTTTCGCTCCCTAATTAAATAGGTTTCCTGTATTTAAGCGATTTTGTACATCAGCATATAACCCGCTGTCAATACATGGCACCTCTGATGGCCAATATTGATACGTCTATTGGTGAACATTCTACTGTTTACTATGCATATAATAGGACCGTTTTTGTGGCCGAATGGAGGAAAGTACACATTAAAGATCATAAAAACTCTGGAACATTCCATTTTCAAGTAGTATGGTTTAACGATGGTCTTATATATTTTAATTATAAGGATTTACCATTAAAAATTGCAAAAATATCGGATTTGAAACATCCAGTTACAGTTGGATTATCTGATGCATATTATATAGATCAAATTCTGGGCAGTAAGTAATTTTTTAAATTATATCTATAAATTTTATACACTATATATATATATATATATATATATATATATATATATATATTTACTTCTTATTCTAATATGATAAATTTTTATTAGACATCATTAGAAGACGAATATTCGAATATCATTCGCTAAATGTACGCTTTGATGACATCGGAAATCGGACAACCGTAGAAATAAAACTATTACCTAGTAAGAGATAGAAGAAGGAAAATTGTAGTTGCTCTATTTTCTCATTTAATTTTCTTTTTTTATAGCTTGCATACAAATTAGAGATTGTTGGAAATGTGTCACAGCTAAAATTGGCTTTGACTGCAACTGGTGTCCCGAAACTGGCTATTGTTCAGATGGTACCGATCGATTCCGTCAATCTTACTACAGTAATGGTTGCCATATGAGAGTAAGTAGTTGAATCAAAAAACTTGTTTTCCTTTAATTTATGTCCTAAATTTATATAACTAATATAAAATTGTGAGGAGAATAGCTAGTTGTTTAGAGACTTTAACGAAAAACAAGGAACAAAAAAATATACCTTTACAGTTTTATTACGAAAATAATAGATAGATTATATTTGCAAATAGAATATATACTTTCTTTCTCTCCTTTCCTCTCTTAGTTTATAGAGTTTTCATTTACTCTTAGCCGATAATTATTAATTAACATTTGTCCTAAATAGAAAATAACATTTTGTCCTCATCAAAAAAAAACAAAGAAAAAACATAAGAAAGCAATTAAAACTACCACTCTTGAATTTTTAAGTGCATTAACTTCCTCAATTGAAAGAGAAAGTACAATAACCTCCATAACTGAAAGAGAAAGTACAATAGATATTAGCACACAAACTAACATTCAAACTAAGACAATTCAAAGGGAAAAATTCTCTACAATTATGAAAACTTCTCCAAAATTAATAAATACCGATGAAACAACGCATAAATCAACATTGAAAACTACTGATAATAACAAACGTGAAGAAACTACAACTTCAATTGTAAGTGAAAACTGTTTCACTTCCACAAATACAAAAGAAATTCTTTAAAAAAGCAACAACAACTTGTACTTTTTGTTTTCATTCATCTCTGTTTTTCTCCAGTTTTGTAATTGAAGTTTTCTTTTTTAAAAAAACAAACTTAAATCACCTCTATTAAATTTTTATTTCCATTTTTCTTGTTAAATTATTAAAGTTTCATTTCTTTCTTTATATTATAAACATTACAGAAAATGAGCTTGAATAATTGTAAAAGTGACACGACAAATACTATAGACAATTCTCGAGTGAGTTTAACAAAAGAAACGGATAGTTTACTATAAAAAAGATAAGAATAAGGCTAAGGAAGAAGCTACTATAAACTGATAATAAAATTAAAAATAACATAAAAGAGATAAGATATAATACCATCACCTTGAGAAATAGACAAAAAACACACGAATTTAATATAGTAGTCTTATTTTCTTGAATACCTAATTAACTTTGAAAGTGCTAAATTAAAGTATTAATGATATAATTTAATGTGTTTGTTCCTCTTTTTCTACGATTTAGAGGAATATTTTATATTTGCCTTTTTTTTCAGTTTTTTAACATTCCACTGAACGTTTTTCCCTTCTTTTTGTTTGAGTTCTTCCTCTTAAATTGATCTCTCTCGATCTCTCTCTCTCTCTCTCTCTCTATATATATATATATATATATATATATTATATTAATAAGTCTTCAACTTCCTTTTAGGATATAAATACAACAAGTTGTGATCAGGAAGGATGGACTCCCAAACCAACGCCACTACCTCACGGAAAGAAGGATAAGAGCAAGTCCTCTAGTAACAACAGTGGAGCTGTTGTTGCTATTGTAATTGTTGTTTTAGTTCTACTAGGATTAATATTTGGTGTAGTTGGCTGGGTTATCTACGCTTACAGGAATCCATCGACAAGCTCAGGTCGATGGTTAATTGAACACAGACCTCAAAATTTAAAAGCAAGCTTATCGAATTTAAACATATTCAAAAGGTTTAAGAGGAATGGCACTGCTGGTGATAAATATGAAGTAAGAATTGGATCTGCTGGATCTCAAAGCAACGCGTAACAATGAAATTGATCATTTTTACACCTATATACACGCACATATTATTTTCGCCTATTTATGTTTTACAAATATTGTACATCATTTTTATTTTGTTTTTAAAATACTGCAAACAATCCTCTTGTATTGTTTTAATGTTTCTTTCCGTAATAAGTAATGTGATGTCCATCAATAAGCAATTAGTACTTATTTTATGTTTTTAAAGTGTATAATACCACCAAAACAACAACATAATCACATGAAATCGATCAACTTTTATTATATGTTTTACACATATATTTTTTGTTCTGTGGCTTTTAATTCTTTGCCAAATTCCTTAAATGTTTTTATTTTTTAATAATTTCTACAATGATTCAACTCTCTTTGTGCATCGTCTGTGATACTTTAAGGATAGTGATAGAGAAAGAGGTTGTGACTTCTATATATGAAATCAACAAAACTTTTATAGAAACGTAACGTGATAAGCATTTTTAAAAAGAAAATTGTATATTTTTTAATCAATGTTATTAACAAGTGAATCTCATTTGTTGTCTTGAAATATAATAATTATTATTAAAGAAAAACGCAACAACAGCGTAAAAGAACAATCTCTTAATAATATTCATTAAATTCATAGAATTTTTAAATATTTGCCAATCAATAGATGGCAATGATACAATTCCCATTGATAATACTGTTTTGCTTAAGATATGCAGTAGCTAAGAGATGCTTGTGGAAAGTATCAATGTTTATTTTAGATCAACAGTTCGCTGGGCAGAATATTTCTGCCTCTTCTTGTCCTGTTAACGTTACTGGAAAATTAAAGGATTTTCAAAGGTTTTCACCATTCAAAGGAACTGGAATGTTTACCTACTGCCCTTTATACGTTAAAGTAATAACATCTATAAATAAATAGAGGCTAATTAAACGCTACAAAAAAAAAAGTACTTTATAAATCCAGCCATATTTAATCAATTTGTTATTACTTTAAAGCATGATTTGACTTGTTTAGAGCGTGGCATTTATGTAAATTTATATCAATAGAATTTGAAATTACCTAATTATTCATGCTTGATAAAGTTGTATATAATTAATAAAATCTCACAGGTAGAAAGATGGCAAGATAGGATTAATGAATTAAATCCAATTGTTGAGATGAAACCAATGTGTCGCTCCCATGAGAATTTTAATAAGAGAGTATCTCACTTTACAATAATTCTACAATCCTCATTAGTTTCTTTGGATAATTCGTTAAAAAATTCATTATGGATAACGCCTGTACCATTCATAGCTTCTACACAGTAAGCTTTTTCTTCTCTTTAGAAAGTATAAAAATAGATTTTAACTTAATAATATTAACTGTTTTTTATTGTCGTAAATAAGTAATATCGCAAAAATTAGCAAACATTATCTATATACTCTATGTAAATACAGTATATGAAACTCTTTCAGGTGCATTGCCATAGCTGTTAAAATGAAAAGTTTAACTACTACAATTAAAGAAGATTCATCCTATCATCTATTATCTTTATATCACTATAAAATATCTGGTAGAGTTTTACCCAGTTGGCTAAGCAGTACGGATTTATCTAAAGATGACTTTACATCTCCTAAAAGAATCAATTATATTTGGGGAAGAGGCGGAGTTGAACTTATTCTCTCTCAAGAGGGAAAACTTATAGTTTCTATTGACCACTTTAGAACTTTTCAAGTTGTCCTTTTCAATTGGGCATCCCTTAAGAAATTCCATTATAACACTTCTAAAATAGAGCTATTTGACGCTCTATCTTTAGGCGATAGTTTACTTTTAGCAACAAACGCTGGCCTATATAAATTGTATATGTACAAGCTTCCATACGACGAAAACATTGATAAAACAATATCAGATAAAAGCTATTTAAGGGATATATCTCCAAAGCATCTTAGAGCTACACCACTGCATGTGCCATCCGTCAATAAAATCAATGTTGTTGGCTTTACATCTGAAAAAATTTGGTTAAAAGAAAATAAGAGATGGCTAGAACTGAAGAGAGTCTGCAATGAATCGTGTCATATTATAGATGTTCGTATTTTACCATCAAATAGCTTAGAGATGCTTTTATTAACAAGAACTAAACAAAAATATAGGGTAGTGAAACGTAGCTTAGAAACAGAAAATTACATAAGAGAGATTAGATCACAAGGTGATTTTAAAGGTATCGCACATTCACCTTTCGTATCATTTAATCCGCCTTGTTATTATCTTCTCGGATCCAAGGTCATCTCTATAGAAGGTATCAATGGTGACGAGAAAATTCTAACGAATGAAGCGGTAATTGATGTAATTTTAGATCGATTTAGTCGTGTTTATCTTGTAACAAAGGACGGTAGACTACTGTTTAAAGAGATTACAGGAAATTTAGTTCAATTTTATCCATCGATATATTGGAATAAGGCGTTCGATAATCAAGATCCTATAAAAGGATATACAATTCTCGGTGGTCTTCTTGACGAAGATGGTGAGCTTATGCTTATCGTCAAGGGTAAAGAAATCATGAGAGTAAAAGTTGAATTTGAGCGTATCTCTTCATTCATTTATGATAATCCATATCCTATTCAGTTCCTATATTATTTCGAAAGCTTACGAAAGTATACAAGAGAAGTTCGTTTGATAATTGATAATATGAACTATTTCGACAATCAGACTAATTCAAAAAGTTCCCTAAAATCAATATCTTCAGTTCAAGCTTTAAATATACTTATTCGCCATATCATTCGAGATTACGACTCGTCTTTCTACGGTTCCTATTTAAATCGAAATAGTCTTAATTTGATCGATGAATGGCAAGAGAATATGAAGGATGCCCTGACCCATTCTAGCCCGTGGTCAGATTCGGTCAGGCTAGAAAACCTGGATTTATCTAAAACATGGTCATCAGAAATTCCCACCGACATTCACATTGATTACGGTGAAACATTTTCATTCTCTATAGTAGTAGAGCCCCTGCTAGACGCTTGGGCATTTGAATCAGCTCATTTGTCAGTAAGAACGCTTGAAAGAAGCAGCTCTTTAGAAATTACAGTAAATAGAAATGTAAACTGGTACAACTCTTCAATAACCTTTCAAATATCACTTATTAATAAGAGGCTTATGAAAAGTTCAAGCGATACTTGGGATAAAAATTTTATTCCAGTAGAGTTAAAGCTATTGTGTCCTTTTAAAACATGTCAGAAAAACTGGATAAAAACGAGGCCAATGCATATATTAACTGTTTACTTAGGCTGTCCAAATTCGCTATCAATATATTTTGATCCAGAAATGAGTAGAAAAGAGCTATGGAGAAGACTGCAGAAAAAGGCTAAAGGATGCTGGTGGAGTAATGATGGAATACCGTGTTTCTACAAAAATGATAGATTCTATCCCATGTTCACAATTTACGATTGGATTACTGATAATAAGACAATATATCAGGGTAACTATACTCTGGAATTGATAGGTGGTGGTGCCAATTACTTAGAGAATATTCGCCACTTCGATAATGTAACTTTAGAAAGGATAAATGGAAAGAATGAGAACAAGATATTAAGAATATACGCTGAAAAAGATAGTATAGTATATAATAATAGGAATAACGACTTTTTGTGGTTTTGTAACGAGAATTCTCCATGTTTTAATCTTCTCCCTGACAAAATTTTAAGACCTCCAACCTATTATTTCTTAATTAGATTTTCTAATGAAATTGATACCAATAAGAAGTGTTTATTTAAAACTGAATTTGTATTAAGATTACACGGATTCGGTATTGAAATAATACCAACAGCTTTCAACATAATACTAATTACATTTACTCTTCTCCTACTGTTTTTACCTTTATATTTGTTTTTGCAAACTAAATCTATTATGAGTTTTTATTTTAAGAATAAACATGGAAACTAATAGAGAAATTTTATGTACGGTCTTTCCAACTAAACTCATTTACTCGTGATTTCCTAAGGGCGTAAACAGATAGTAACCATATGTACACTGTTTTGTTTATTCGCAGACAGGGAAATTTTTAACGGAAGCTTAACGCCATCTACCGTTGTCGAGTCATATGACTTTCTTATTTAAAAATATCCACCAATAGATTTCGATAGTTTTACCGCCGCAGAACAGTCAGCCAATCACTATTGGGTTATCCCACGTTCTTGTGTTTAGTCATGTGACAGCGTCTAAATGATGAATTTGTTTAAAAAATTACGGTCAAATTTGAACCATCAAATAAATCGGACTAATAATAATGAATATCCTACTCAATTGTAAGTTTAAGGATCAGTTTAACTTGTAAAAATTCGTAAAAAATTGATATATAACAATAAATAGAATCAATTCTTAAAAATTCAATAGGGCATGTGAATGTGAATAATATTTACGTAATTTTTTGTTACAGGGAAATGCCCAATATTCGATTGGTTTGTATGAGAAATGATAGAAAACTAATCTTTGATTCATCTTGCTCATCAGTAAGTACAAGTTTCTTTGTTTTCCTATGAGAAATGGATTTTTTCATTATTCCTCATTTTTTTTGTTATTCATCAGAACGTTCTACCTTATGGAACGTTGGGTAACATGATGTTTGGAACATTAGAAATGGCAAAAGAACCAATGCTAAAAATTAATAAAATTAATTTTGAGTATGTATTGTAATTATACAATTAATTGATACAAATGCTGATAAATTATCTCTCAATAGCTCAAATCATCAGTTAATGATGACAAAATTGTTCTATTTGCCTGATAAGTACAAATCTCGTCTATATCCTAAGCTTTGTACTGAAAATGACGATGGAGATGATATAGACTTTGGAAGATTATCGAAAAGTATGTTCTTAAATATATATTTTATAATACTGTATATAAATTTTATGAATCTATTATTTATTATCAGCGAGAAGCTTGCCACGTGATTTACCAAAGAATTCTCGTGACGATGACGATGATTCTGAAACTGATAGCGTTCACTCAGGAAGTTATCATCAAAGAAATTCTCTCATTAAAAGATATGAGAAATCAATGAAAACCAGCCTTGAACAAGAGTGTTTTCTCCAAAACAGTTCACAATTTTGTGAAGGAAGTCGGAAGAATTTAATCGGTCTAGCTTTGCTCTTCACGTTATCATCAGACGAAAGAGAAGCGGATGAATTTCAAAAATTCTTCTTTAACCACATAACCATCCTTGAAAATCATACATGGAAAATTGTTCAAAGCTTTGAAAAATCCTTCCAGTGCGATCCTAAAAGCCTACAAACAGCTTTATTAACATCTTTTTCGAATTTCAAAGAAGGTTTTAGGGACTTATTACGAGCACCGAGAATTAAAAAACCGCTCTGGCTTAGTATGGCATCAGAGAATGATTTGCAGTCATATGAAAATTTTATGGATTCACTCGCGTTCTTAACAAAAACCTGTGATACGAAACATAATGGATTGTTAGTATACATTTGTGTCAATTATTCCTCTTTATACTTGATAATAATTATGTTTACTTTTTTCTCTAAAACATAAAACAGTTTTACCAGTTGCCTATTGACGGCTGTTTTGACCAGGCATTTATCATGGGTTCCAACCGTTGCTCCTGCTGATGCAGGTTTATCCGAAACCTATCTGAATAAACATAGTGCTAAATGGCTGACCACACTTGCAAAATCCCATCCGTATAACCCTCTTTGGGCTCAGTTAAGGTAGAGAAATAATTTAAATAAAATTGACAATATAAACTTAACTATCTTTTTCCTTTAGTGATGTCTACGGTGCTGTCGGCGATCCACCATTATTAACTAGAGTTATAGTGGTTGGAAAACGTCAATCATTAGTCCAAAAACTTATAACTGTTCTTTCTTACTTTATACGATGTTCAACTGTTAGAGAGCAAACTCCATCTCGACCACCAGTTAACGAATCAGATACAAATCCAAAAATGTCAGCTACATCAAAATTATATCCTGATTTAAGTGAATTTTCTTCAAGTGCCACTAACTACTCAAAAAATGAACCTGTTGCAAATATTCAGAAGAAATCACCCCCTACAACTAGGTTGTATCCAAATCCTAAGGAAATAATGAAAAGAGAATGCTTAGATACTCCTCATTCAATTGAAAATCGTGCCAGACGTGTTGAAGCAATATCTGTGGGACGTATGAACGAGAAGAAACCTGTACAAGATGAATTGTCTATCTTTGACGAATATTTTGACGGCTCAACAGAATGCGATCTCAGTCATGTACCAATTCGCCCTCGTAGTTTAGAGTTCAGAAATCCGAAAAGAGATGATAAAATAAGGCCCCCTTCAACTGCATCAATTACTGATCATTTAGAAGAGATATCACTACCAAAAAAACCATCACATTCTCCTCCATCCGTCGAAGCTGGTATTGCTTCTAATCTATTCGCCGGTTATACAAATCGATACATGTCAGATTTCGTCATTCAAGGGACAAGTGAGACAAATTTTACACCTAGAATGATAGATGACTTAATCGCTTATGTTAAGGAGAACATACTCGACGAACCCGTTTCCGAGGCATGTTGCATTGTAGCGGATACTGACAATTTTACTATAAAAGTGCACACTTGCCTCTCCTCTATGCCCGATCGTGTTTGTGCCCACGAAATCTCCACGCCTTCTACTCTTGTGTCAGATCTTCTCTATTCCGTCCTTCAATTATACAAACTAAAAATGTCATCGGAATTTTGTGCCATGCACGTTGAAGACTGCCTTCAACAAATTTACTTTAAATCCAAAATTTTGGCTCAAGTTGTAAAGTGTTCTGGTGGAAGACAACTGAGTAGACCTGAGTTGTCCAAGCAAATTGATGCGGATGAGAGCGATATACCACTCTTATGCAAAGTTGCCTCGACTCATATGTCAAGGCACATTGAAACATGACTGTTAAATTGATTCATACCAATTGTTATTCATTTATATGAACATTTTTAATCTTTTTACCTTTTCTAAAGGAAAATAATGCATATGAATTTATTAAATAAATAAAAAAAATACTGGGAAAGGAATAGGCCTGTTGTTGATATGGACATTGCACCTATTCTTTCGAACTAATTTCTATCATAGTATAAAGTTCAATAGATAGACCTCAATTTACGATTGCAACAGGTTTAAGTCCGGCAATTGCTCTGTCAGATCTAGTGACAACACATCAGTCAGCACATAACAGACAAAATAGTAAATATTGCAAGTCATATCTGACAAAAAGTTTTTAATTAGCTACAATTAATTGTTTTATTAAATTTTTAAAACAGAATATTCAAATTGTTTCCTACTGAAAAAAGTTTGAATTACTTTGTAAATCATTATGGCACTTGCCGGTAAGATTTGTTTAGTTACTGGAGCCAGTCGTGGAATTGGAAGAGGTATCGCAGTACAGCTTGGAGAAGCTGGAGCTAAGGTTTATATCACTGGTAGAACTTTGAAGCCGAAGCCAGATTCGAAAGGTGTTAGTCTCGAGGAAGTCGCGGAAGAAGTTCAAAATCGAGGCGGTATCTGTGTTCCAGTTGTTTGCGATCATAGTAAAGATTCAGACATCGATGACCTCTTCAGACAAATATCGGTAGAAAATGATGGAAAGTTAGATGTTCTCGTCAATAATGCCTATGCTGCTGTCACTGTAAATATCTTTACAATTTATGTCCTAATTAAAGTTCAATAATTTTTATATGTCCTCTGTAGACATTGTTAGATACAGTTGAAAAGAAGAAATTTTGGCAAAAGGAACCAGCTAATGAACATTGGGATATTGTAAACAATGTTGGCTTACGAAATCATTATATTTGTACAGTTAAAGCCGCAAATATGATGGTTCCAAGAAAGACTGGCTTAATTATTAACATTTCATCATCTGGAGGACTTAGTTATCTCTTTGACGTTGCTTATGGTGTTGGAAAAGCTGCATTAGATAGAATGTCTGTTGATTGTGGTATAGAGTTGAAAAAGCATAATGTAACTTGTGTATCCCTTTGGCCAGGAGCAGTTAAAACTGAGTTAATCTCTGCCGTATCAGGAGAGATGGATGATCGTTTAAAAACTGTTTGTAATTTTGTCATTCTTTTCTTCCTCTTTCTTTATAATTAAATTATTTCTATTTCCTTTTTTTTTTAAATTCAACAGATGTTCTTTGACTATGGTGAATCCACTGAATTTTCCGGTAAAGCTATAGTTTGCTTAGCATCTGGTAAATATAAATAGATGGATGATATGTGAACACATTTTATGAGATAATTTATTTTTATTTGTGTTTTTTAGACCCAAATGTTCATAAGAAAACTTCTAGGATTCTTATCACAGCAGAATTAGCTTCAGAATACGGTTTTAAAGATATCGATGGTAAAACGGCACCCAGTTTAAGATGGGTTGGCATGGCTCTAGTCGACACAAAATACGTATGGTTGGCGAATTGGGTACCCTACTGGATGAAATTACCATTTTCCTTACTCCATTATTTCTCCTACAAATTCTAAATATGCAAATTGAGCAAATTGTTTAGGATTACAATTGAAAAATGAACAACTAATAATAAAAATATATTCAAATTGAGATAATTATCTTTTTTATTATGTTCAATCTGTACATTAAAAGACGAAACGGAAACTATTTCAACTAATGTTTCCATTGAAATTTGGAATTTTTTCCCTTTAAGTACTACATTTTTTAATTTAAAAAACCTAAAAACAAATCCTTTCACTGAAACACGAAAAGAGTCGTGTTATCTTTATTTCGACATAGCAAGATATGTATACTATAGTATTTAGGTTAATACGTATTAATTGATAAAACGAAACTACTAGAAATGGTGTTAGTCTGTCTCATCTTCATGGACAACGCACTGTTATCTTAGAACTAGATTTACTTTTAAAAACATAACATAAGCCGTATACGTCACACCGATTGCAGACGGTTTTAATTTTGCTGTCAATTCCAGTCAGAAATAGCGACAATACATGTGTCAGCCAATAGCAGACAAATATTAAATATTACAAGTCTTGATAGAACTGATTTTTTATTTTAATAAAATTAGACATTACTCTAATTTGCACAGAGAATAGTTAGGTTAGGTTCTACCGAAAAAAAATTGAATTATATTGTAAATCAATATGGCACTTGCAGGTAAGATTTGTTTAGTTACTGGAGCTAGTCGTGGAATTGGAAGAGGTATCGCAGTACAGCTTGGAGAAGCTGGAGCTAAGGTTTATATCACTGGTAGAACTTTGAAACCGAAGCCAGATTCGAAAGGTGTTAGCCTTGAGGAAGTCGCGGAAGAAGTTCAAAATCGAGGCGGTATCTGTGTTCCAGTTGTTTGCGATCATAGTAAAGATTCAGACATCGATGACCTCTTCAGACAAATATCGGTAGAAAATGATGGAAAGTTAGATGTTCTCGTCAATAATGCCTATGCTGCTGTCACTGTAAATATCTTTACAATTTATGTCCTAATTAAAGTTCAATAATTTTTATATGTCCTCTATAGACATTGTTAGATACAGTTGAAAAGAAGAAATTTTGGCAAAAGGAACCAGCTAATGAACATTGGGATACTGTAAACAATGTTGGCTTACGAAATCACTATATTTGTACAGTTAAAGCCGCAAATATGATGGTTCCGAGAAAGACTGGCTTAATTATTAACATTTCTTCATCTGGAGGACTTAGTTATCTCTTTGACGTTGCTTATGGTGTTGGAAAAGCTGCATTAGATAGAATGTCTGTTGATTGTGGTATAGAGTTGAAAAAGCATAATGTAACTTGTGTATCCCTTTGGCCAGGAGCAGTTAAAACTGAGTTACTCACTTCTGCAGAAAATATGAACGACCGTTTTAAAAGTGTTTGTACTTTTTCCATCCTTCATATCTTGTTACACTAAATCTCTCTTTTTTTCATCAGATATTGAATAAATACAGTGAATCCACCGAATTTTCCGGTAAAGCCATAGTTGCCTTGGCATCTGGTAAATACAAACATATGAATGGAATGTGAGCATATTTATATAATAATATTTTATGCTTTTCAGACCCAAATGTTTATAAGAAAACTTCTAGGATTCTTATTACAGCAGAATTAGCTTCAGAATACGGTTTCAAAGATATCGATGGAAAAATGCCGCCTAGTGTGAGATGGATTGGCATGGGGTTAGTTATTACAAATAAATGCGCATGGTTGGCCGACTGGATACCATACTGGATGAAATTTCCAAGCACTGTGCTTCATTATGTAGCTTATAAATTCTAATAAAATTATTGAACAAGTTTTTGAGATACTAATACAAGAATCAAAAATTGAATTGTTTTTTTATTTAAAGTCGTATAATTTCAATCAAACAATTTCTTCTTATTTGTATTATAGTCATTGAAAAATGAAAAAAAACTTTCTAGGATATTCATTTTTAAGGCGCGAAATAGAAACTGGTAAACATTTTGTAACATTTCATGAGGGGTCTTGCTATTTTCTATTAGGTTCAAATTTTATGTCGTTATTTATGTCATTTATTGCTAAGTTGTTCAGCAGAACGATGTCTTCCAACGGATGTAAGTTTTTTCTTTCAAATATTTATTTTTTCTATTGAATTCATTATAATATTTCAATACGCAATTCTAATTAAGCCTATTTTATGTCTCTCTTATTAAATCCAAAATAAGATATTTTAAAAGCAATTCTCTTAATTAAATTAATGCTAATTAATATATTTACAGTGGAATCTGCAATGCATAAAGTCTTAAAAACTCCCTTAAATGAGCCATTTCCCTCAAATATGCAAATGGTTTTGTTCGGAATGGGATGCTATTGGGGTGCAGAAAGGCTGTTTTGGAAACAGAAAGGGGTATACTCAACTCAAGTAGGATTTGCAGGTGGAAGAGATGATATTGAAGTTTCTTATAGAAAAGTCTGTTCAGGTAATAATAGCAATATAATCATTTATACAATTCAACTTTTGTGCATAGTCATGATTGCTAAATGAATAGTGATCATAGCGTTGTATCTTGCTCTAGATTTTCAACTCGGTGACAATTGTCATTTAACTATACTATTGTTTTTATTTAGGACAAACGAATCATGCTGAAGTTGTGAGAGTTGTGTATGATCCTGAAAAAGTCACATTTGAGAAACTGTTATCACTGTTTTGGGAAAATCATGATCCAACCCAAGGAAACAGACAGGGAAACGATCATGGCAGTCAATATCGCAGTGCTATCTATACGCTAACTGATGATCAACAAGAACAAGCTTTAAATAGTAGAAATGCTTATCAGAAATCACTTGAAAACAGTGCGAAGAAAGGTTGTAAAATAACTACGGAAATTCGTAGAGCTGGTAAATTCTATATGGCTCAATTGGATCATCAGCAATATTTGGAAAAGAATCCTGGAGGTTATTGTGGTTTAAAAGGCACAGGAGTTGTTTGCCAACTACAAAGATTAAAATAATTTAAGTTGAAAATAAATTAATATACGTTGTGTTTCAACATAGATATAATCTTTAATCAATTTACTATATAACAGATACACTTAGATAAATTATTAACATATCATTAATAAAATTGTATTGTCACATAAGTGAAAAAGATAAAGATAAAGAAAAGTGTTCATTTTTGTTATAATTAATAATAATTTAGCGATTTATTGCTGGAAATTAAATGATGGTGTTGAAGTTGCTCCAGCCCAACTTCCAATAAATTTCAGAACGTCTTGACAAGATGCTGAGTGTGATACTTTCGTTGCCATTAAGAATTTATTCCATTCATCTTTGTTGGCATAAAACCCTTCGCGTTTAAATTCCATAGGATTTTTATAGACGGGATAACCTGAAATGAGGCACGGTGGATATTTCTTACCATTGACTGAAATAAGAGACCCTTCATATGTATCTCTTTCGTCGCAAGGTAATTCGTGAGTGACTCGTTGATCTAGAGAAATTGCTAGAACCCATTCTTTTATCTCTTCGTGTTCAGATTCGCCGACAAATAATCTTTCGGGCAGAGGGATTTCATAAGGTATATCTGTATTTTGGAAATCACTATGATCCAGAGTATCGAGGGAACCATCTTCTATTGCTTCCACCAAGTCCAGATAACGATTAAGGAATACAAAACCCATCGCTTCCCAACCAATTTGTCTACATGCTTGACCGGCCTCCCAGAATGCTTTATCAGCGGGAACGAGATCCGTGTGTCTTAGAAGGGAGATTGAGAGTTTAGCGGCTAAAGTATCCAAAGATTTATGACCTAATGCTGCTGAACGAGTTGCGTAATAGTGGGCAATCTTTAAGAGAGAACTAAGATTAGCTGAATCTTCACCGCCCATATTTTCTAGAGCTTCAACAATATCTTTTAGAACATTACGTAAGTCGGCCCAAATTTGATAGGCGTCAGCCGTATTCATATCTCTGGCTTGGAATAAATCAAGGGCGATCTTTTTGTAAATATTAAAATTTTGTTGAGCAGGCGGGGCACCATGCTCAACATAAAGATTCAGAGCTTTGGCAGCTTGTCCACCTTTAAGAAGTTTAGCAGCGTATTGGGCAACGTATTTATGCAGAAGTTTATTGTTTCCATTCTGAGCAGCTGTAGCAATGCATCTATCCCATTCACCTTTTTCAACATACATATCAAGAGCTGCCACAACGTCGACTCCAGCCAAAGCATCCGCTTTACCAGATGATTTTAAGAATTGCTTATATCTTTGATCAACCAACTCTTCCATTTTTGGCTCGTGCTCTTTTGCGATATGTTTTGCCTTATTCCAGTGTTCTCCTTCCATTAGTACCTCAACCGCATCTTTGCCTTTATCTGCAGCAACGTATAATTCTGCTGCCGCTAAATGTTTATCAATTTTAGCTAAGCGAGGTCCAACAATGTTAACCACCTCAGAGGATTTTGCAGCTTTTAGAAATTTTAAGGCCAAAGTTGCAGCTCTAGTCCAGGCTTTTTCAAGAATGTTTAAATCTGGTGTGATGCTCTGATCAAACTTCAAATAACATTCAACTGCTCTTTCATACTCTCCACTAGATTCCCATTGTTTAGCTTGTTTGCTTAAAGTTTCCATACCTTTCGTTGATTGCTCCATAACTGTTCTGTCGTATTCGTCCTGCAAAGCTTGCAATTTATGCGGTATGTATTCTTTGCATACCCTAAGTGCATCTTGCCACATTCCGACGTCTTTATAATATCGAATGGCTAATTCAGGTCTTTGTGCTCTTAATAAGAAACCTTCTGCCTTCTGATAGTCTTTTTGGTCAAAGCTGTGTCTAGCCTGACCAACGAAGACATCAGAAACGGAATCTGGATCGTGTTCTTCAGCAACTCTTTGAGCAGAATCCCAATCTTGATTGTGTACATACATAAGAACAGCTTCTTTAGCTTTCGAAGCAGTTATAAACGCCTTTTCAGCTTCAGCAAATTTACCCTCGTCCTCTAAAAACATGGCGTGCTTCAAGTAGATTTCGGGCAACTTCTGCTTCATTGCAGACTTTGCTAACTCGAAAGCAAAATCAAAAGCGCAGTTTTCAGTTGCGTAATCTATCGCAGCCTCTAGCAAGCCGAATCTTGTTAAAAGTTTTACAGCTGCATCTCCACCAACTGATTTCGCCCACAAGTAAGCTACTTGTTTAGCAGCAGTTGGCCCACCGTGAGATCGTGCAACTCTATGAGCTTCGTCCCAAGATTCTTTTACTCTATACATATTTATTGCCGACTTCCACTCTCCAGCGGCCACATAGTGTTGTTCGGCTTGACGTAGTTGCCCTTCTTCCTCGAATTGCTTACCAAGATGGGTGTGAGTCATTGGAAGTAATTCAGGTCTATGAGCTTTGACTAAGCGTATCATGTCGTTAAACATTCTCAATTTTTTGTACATTGTGATAGCCAAATCAGGCTCATCAACGGTTATATATAGACGTTCTGCATCTCTGTATTTATCCTGACTCTCCAATACCTTAGCTTGATTGATATAGAGTGTGCTAACTTCTTCTGGTTTCATAAACGTAGATGCCAAACGATGAGCCGCCTCCCACTTACCGGCAGCGTTGTACATGGAAATCGCATCTTCTGTGGCTGCTGCTTTCACAAAGTACTCTTCAGCATGCTCATGCTCTCCAATCTTAGCGTAATGTTCTGCAATTTGTTTATAGAATGGCTGAGCGACGCTTTCATCTTGTAGTTCTAATATTTGGACAGCTTTCTTCCACTGACGAGACGCAATAGCTGCTTCGGCTGCCTTTAAAATTTCTCCAGCTTCTATATAGTGGTTAATAGCAGCATCAAGTTGTTTCAGTTGACACAAATGATCTCCCCAAGATTTCTCTAGAGAAACGACACTATCAGGAAAGGCATGACGTGCTAATTCAACAGCCCTGTTCCAAGATTCTCCTTTTTTATAGCATTCCATAGCTTGTTTATATTCTCTTGTCCTTTCAAACAAATCTCCAGCTCTTTCGTAACATTCTGCTCTTGTTAAGGCACCTGCAACTCTTGACACCAGTTCGGACGAACCCAGTAAATCGTCATTTGATACCACAACTCTTGCAGCTCGGGCGGGCATTCCTGCTTTCAGATATAGATTTACAGCCGCACCAGGGTCATTTTCCTTTTCTTTTAACTGGCCTGCGCGACCTTCTTGAGACGTATCCAGTAACCACTGATAATAGTTTTTCTTCAAACTTTCTAATTCAGGATGATTTTTAGCCCTTGCAATGGCTAGGGCATCCTCCCATTTGTGAAGTTCTTGGTACATTTCCAAAGCTTCATCTACTTGATTCTGTTCTAGATAGGCGGCTTGAGCTGCTGCTAAGTTCTTTTCTAATACTGCTAGTCTGGCCTTTACTTTGTAGTGATCTGTTCCTGTACCACCAAGTGTTTCGGCAGCTTTGTTAGCATATTGTCTAGTAGTTTTCAAATAACGAGCTTTTGAAACATCACCCAAAGCAGCGTAGCAACGCTCAGCAATGTGGAGAGCTTCATGCTCTAGCGCTAATTTACTTAGAGTTTTCCACATTGCTTCAGTTTCTGGTGACATTTCAAGAGTTTCCAAAAAGGCTACTGCTCTTGCATAGTCTCCATCATCAATAGCCGTACCGAATTCTATTAATCCTTCGTCCAGAGCGTATGCCACAGATGTTACTCCTTCATGAACTAGAACTTCAGTCTTCCCGTCTGTTCTTTCAATATCTGTGACATCTCCTTTGATGGGCCAGTTTGTAACTCTCTCTGGAGCATCTACATTATACCAAACGCATAACGTATTTCTTCCCTGAGCGACGATTACATCACTTCCTGCTACCCATTGAACATAAACACAGTAATCGAGTATTGTGGTGGTTGTACCATTATCAATGTCAAACATATGTAATTTTAAACGTTTATCCCTAAATAATAAGATTCTTCCTGTTTCATTTAGCTCAAGCCAATCAATTTTGGAGTCATGAGGAACTTCAGCTATGTTCACTGCTGAGCAAAGGTCCATTATTGCAACTGTTTTCAAATCTATTAAATAAGCCATCTTCTTATTATCGTCAACTCCTCTTTGTTTTCTTTCATTTATCCGTACAGATATCAAATGAGGATTCATAAATTCAGTTCTAACACAACCTAGTATTTCATTTGATCCATATTCTATCAGAGAGAGCTCGCCAGCATTGAAAACAAGACACACATTGTCATTTTCAAAATAGAATTTTTCGTTGGCACTACCGGAATGCCACGGAACTTCAGATAATTTTGCAGTTGACATATCTCCAAGCATTAATGTTTCAGTTGTATGGGCAACCAAATATCTATCATTTCCAAGAATTTTAACTTCGTCTATCTCATAACCATAGAAGGATTTTAGAACGACTCTTGCAGTGGAAGATATGTTTTTGACTATTACTTGTGATACTCCAACATAAGTGATTTCAAACTTATTTTTATAGATTGCTCTTCTCAAGCAACAATCAAAAAGTTCAACTCCACCGCAAAGTGTTCCTGCGTTAACTTTTGAACCATCTTTTTTCCATGCTAATGCGGTTATAGTGTAGAGATTTGGAATTTCTTTCGCCTTGGCTTCATCCCACATTGAGCGCCTTGGAGACCAATTCAATACTCTTAGCCTGTCAAAACTACCAACAACCACAGATTGACCGCTGGGTGAACAAACTGCACAAGTAAATTCATGTTCGTCATCGTCTTTAGAATAATCGAATTGCTGCAGAACTCTTCCTCCTTTTTCATACGCAACTATTCTTTTGTCACACCCGGCCGCTATAATAGAGTTAGTGGACCAGGCTAAAGCGTAAGGAGGGCAAGCGTGTTTACAAACTTTTCCTTGGGGTTCTCCTGAATCATCATTTTCTGTAAAGAATCTTACTATTGATCCATCCGCATGGCCTGATAGTATCCCTTTACCACTAATGTTAGTAGTTAAAGATACAACGTAAGAATCAGTATTATAGAGAGTATTCGACTTGTTTGTCTTTGTATTACCCATTCTAACCTTACCATCAGAGCAGCCAAACACAATATTTTGTGAATCAACTGGCCAAACTAGGCAAGTGACAGCGCATTGTTGAATGAATTTATTACAGATTACCTTCTTCTCTCCCCAGTCTTCACCGATTTTATAAACAAAAATGATGTTGTCAGTTTGGGCAACGGCTATCTTTGTTGAATCTGGCGAAAACGCCAGACCTTTGACTGTATAGCTCTTTTTACCATATTTCGCGTCAACCGGCTTTGTAGCAAATTTATCTCTCTTTTCTCCATTTTCATCAAATAAGATGACAACTCTATCAGATGTACAAACGGCGAATTTAGCATTATTAGGCGACCAGGCCACAGCAGATATCTTTGCTGCTCCCTCCTATTTCAAAAATATTTCGTATAGATACAACAATACACTTATAAACAAATGTACATATTTTAAACAAAAACATAACATCTACGTACTTGAGGGACTTGTAATGTTTTCAGATGCTTTAATTGCATCTTGATATCGGTATATTATAAGTTTTTGTCAATAAATAGTTAATTCTTTCAAGAGAAATGAAATTGTTTCGAAAAATTTTCCAACGATCGAGCGCGCTGAAATGGAATGTTGTGAAGTCCTTCGAAACGTGCGAAATATTTCATAAAAACTGGTATCTTCTATTTCAAGATGTTTCGTCTGCACAAATTTTATCGTCCAGCAATTTTAAAGCAGTTAAAAATTGCTAAAACAAAAGATTCGTTATATTATGGAGCTAGTAGTTATCACAGCAACAGCGGGGTGTATGGATATCGACCAACGCTTGAAACCAACAAGGTGGAATTGAAAAGTGAGCTTAATTTTGTTCTTTTCTTTATATTCGCGCTCACGAGAAACCTTACACATCGATTTATTGCAAAAGTACACTTTAAAAAATCTAAACAGTAAAATGAACATTTTAAACTTATTTTTATATTTACTTTAGTCATTTTAGAATTCAGTGCCATTGAATAGTTTTCACATTTCTTGGAAATATGATATGATATTGTTCTACATCTTAAAACCCGATATTCTACTCTTAAATCTACTTGTATTTTGTAAAAACAGATGCAGAACTACAAAACCAAATTAATCACAGCAACATATATAGGCTTATACAAGCCTACCGGGCCCATGGGCATTATAAAGCGCCTGTTGATCCACTCGGATTGAAAACCCCAATGTAAGCCAGTCTCTTAACATAAACAATTTCACTGGAGAATTTTCTATTTAGTGATCGTGAAGAACTTATGCCAGAAAAATATGGCTTGGAGAATAGCACTGAATCCATTATGACAAATGGCCTCCTATATAGTGGTAAAGATCAGATGACTGTTCAAGAGATTATAAATCAATTAGAAGATATTTATTGCAATCGTAATGTTTCTATAGAATTGGAGCATTTATCAGTAAATATTTCATATACACACATATATATATATATATATTGTTATTCCCTATTTTTCAATTGTAGTTACTTAACATCTTTTTTCTCTAGTGTCCTACTGAAAGGGAATGGCTTGCAAAAAAATTTGAAGAATCAACCAACTTCCAGTTATCTCAAGAAGAGAAAGTAAAATTTGCCAAACTGATGTTAAAATCTGAAGCTTTTGATCATTTTTTGGCTACAAAATTTAATACTGTTAAAAGATACGGAGCAGAAGGTGGAGAAAGTGCCATATGTTTCTATGATGAATTGTTCAATTTAGCCGCTAATAGTAAGAAATTAACTTTTAATACATTATCTTTAGACCTTTACATTTTTCCTTAGATGGATTGGATGATGTTGTAATCTGCATGGCTCATAGAGGACGCTTGAATCTATTAGCTTGTTTACTAGAATATCCAGCAGTTTCTATGTTTAGAAAGGTTTGTTTAATTTGATTAAATTTCGAAGTAAACGTTAACATTTCTATTGTTTTTAGATGAATGGGATGAGAGAGTTTCCCGATGACGTGAACGGTGATGGAGACGTTTTATCCCATCTAAGTCTGTAGATTACTTAATAAGTTTCCTTCAAATTAAGAGAAATATATCCTCATTCACTTCTTTTCATTTAGCAAGCTCTATTGACTTGAAGTACGGTGATAGTTCTATCCATTGTTCAATGGTTCCTAATCCATCCCATTTGGAAGTAAATTACTTTTACACTCAACACCTCTTAATCCTTATATTTTTTTGTGTGCGTACTTTATTAGGCTGTTAATCCTGTTGCAATGGGAAAAACACGAGCAAAAGAACAATCGAACGCTGTCGGGGATTATAGCAATGATCCATCTAGTAGATTAGGTGACTCAGCATTATGTCTACAAATACACGGGGACGCCGCTTTTGTAGGTCAGGTAAGGGTATTTCTTTTTGAATTTTCCTAAGAATTATGGATTACCTAAAGCTTTTAAATGTCTTTTTTTAGGGTATTGTATTTGAGTCGTTGGCTTTATCGAATACGCCTCACTTTCGAATTGGCGGTAGCGTTCATTTTATCATAAACAATCAGATTGGTTTTACAACAGAACCAAACAGAGGAAGGTCACTGAATTAATTTTTTATGAAAAAAATTTCAAGGTCATATTTTTCAATAGGTCAAGTTCCTATAGCAGTTGTATTGCAAAAATGAATGGCTATCCTGTTCTTCATGTAAACTCTGATTCTCCATCAGAAGTAATAAGAGCATGTCGTCTAGCCTTTGAATATAGGTTAATTAGTTTATTTAGCTTTAATAATCATTACTTGATAGCTTATTGTTTCTTTACTTCATTTTAGACAAACATTTCGAAAAGACGTTTTTATTGACTTTGTTTGTTATCGAAAGTACGGACACAATGAACTAGATGAACCAAGTTTTACTCAGCCGATTATGTACAACAAAATAAGAAATCGAGAGAGTACAGCTAACTTATTCGCCACCGAAATCTGTGTAATGATTAAAAATAATTCATTTAAAAATATATTTATTTACGCGTCGACAAATCCTGAGTTTATTAAATTCATAATATTTCTTTCTGTTTTTTTATTAGTCACAAAATGTGTGCAGTAGAGACGAACTCGATAAAGAAGTTGCCGAATGGAATAAGACTTTGTCTGAGAATCACGATCAAATGGAGACTTACATTCCAAAAGCAAATCACTTGGAAAAAAAATGGGCAAATTTAGTTCAGCCATCTAATTCCTTGGACGTATGGGATACTGGCTTAGACCCTCAATTGTTGAAATTTATTGGAGCTAGATCTGTTGAATATCCAACGTCAATTGTAAATTATTATTCATTTATAAATACTGCAAAACAAGCTGCATAAGTTACCTTTCTTTTTAGCAAGTCCACCCGACTTTGACAAAGCAACACATAAGAAAAAGAATAGAAAAATTAACGGAAGGTAGAGGGCTTGATTGGGCAACAGCTGAAGCGTTGGCGATCGGTTCTATCCTATGTCAAGGATTTAATGTGAGAATTTGCGGTCAAGATGTCGGTCGAGGGACATTCAGTCATCGTCACGCGATGCTTGTTGATCAAGAAACGGATGAAATTTCTGTGCCATTAAATAATATAATTGAAAATCAGAAAGGATTTTTAGAAGTAAAAGCAAATTTTAGAAAATCTTAACTTTATTAAATTCCTATATTTCTTTTTTGTCAAGATTGCTAACAGTCTTTTGTCTGAGGAAGCTGTATTGGCATTTGAATATGGTATGAGTATTGAAAATCCCAATACTCTGCCTATATGGGAAGCTCAATTTGGTGATTTCTTTAATGGGGCTCAAATAATTATCGATACTTTCATTTCAAGTGGTGAAAGTTAGTTTCTTACATAACTTCTATAATTTAACTAGTTCTTTAATGTGCTATTTTTTTTATCAGCTAAATGGTTATTACAAAGTGGACTAACAATGCTTCTACCTCATGGTCTTGATGGTGCCGGACCGGAGCACTCATCCTGTAGATTAGAAAGATTCTTACAATTGTGCGATAGTTCTGATTCAAAAGTTGACGGTTCTAATATTAATATGCATATTGCAAATCCGACAACACCAGCGCAATATTTTCATTTATTACGACGACAGGTAAAATTAAATAGTGATTTTTTATTGACAAAATCTAACAAAGCTATAAAACAAAAAAATACAAGAGTAATTGAAAAGCAATAATTGTTATATCGATAGATGGTGAGAAATTATCGAAAACCATTAATTATGGCAAGTCCAAAAATATTGCTACGATATCCGGATGCTTCTTCATCTTTGGAAGAATTTGCTCCAGGAACGTCATTTCAACCAGTTTTAAAAGATACGCAGACAATCGATCCTAAAGCTATTAAGAAAATTGTGTTCGTTTGCGGTAAACACTTTTACGCTCTTGATGCTGAGAGGAGTAAGCGCGGAATTAAAGATCTAGCAATAATAAGACTAGAGGTAAATTTATTTGCAATAAAGAAAATTTTTATAAATGGGCGAAAATTAATGAATTTATTTACCCTGCTAAAAATAGGAGCTTTGTCCGTTTCCAGTTGAGTCGATCAGACAGGAACTAGATAAATACCAAAATGCTACAGGTCAGTGTAATAATTATTTAGATTACAGACTTTTAACAAAAAATATCATAATTGGATAATCTATCCAATCTATTATCACTTTCTTTGCTACATTCTATTTTTTTCCAATACAAATGAAACAATTAGATTTCGTATGGAGCCAAGAAGAACATAAGAATCAAGGCGCTTGGTCGTTCATTAACCCTAGATTTGAGAATATTGTTGGCAAAAAAGTAAGAGTCCATTATCCAACTCCGATTTCATTATATTAGTACTTAAATGTATTGTTTTCATTCTGGGAAAAATTGACCTTCGCATTTCTCTGAAACAGTTACGTTACGCTGGAAGAGACGTCTTGTGTATGCCAGCAGTTGGTGTAGGCCAAGTACATAAAAAACAAGTAGAAGCCATTTTAGACGACACGTTTTCCTAATCCACTTGATTGGAACTGCCTTGGTATCACCTCTTTAAGGAGTTTAACCCCCTACAAAGGTCTATTCTCAATCATGATCTAAAAGCGGGAATATATTGATATTTTATGGCAAAATGAAAAAAATGTCAATTTAAGCCGGTTAATCCGGAAATTATTGTAGACAATTAAAAAACCTTAAAATTAATAGATTATTTACTAGGAAAATTATCGAGAGAAAACTATTTACCATAGTATATCAAAATTCTTTCCATTACAAATCTATAGTATGAAAGTTTATGAGACTCTCATCCGATATATTTAAACATAAATATACCTTTCTTACTTTCTATACACATATATACCTAATTACAGTATATATGTATTTATATAAGTTCTATATTTTCGAAAAGTATAGCACAAAGATTATATTGACCAATGCGTTAGGATCGCATTCTATAGTATTTATTAAGCTGAATTAATTCTCGTGCCTTCCCGCCCCTTCCTTTGAATAACAATAATAATAAAACACAAGGAGGCCTATTTATTCCCCTTAATGACTGACTTAGTAAAAAAAAGGGAAAAAGTTGCAATATATGAGCCTATTACCTATTCATTTCACACCTATTGTTTCGTTCTTGTAAGCCACGCTCAATTAAACTCTATAATACCCTCAGTGTAAATTATATTGACCCTTATAAAATTAGTTAACTTTCTTTCTTTGTTTCTATTTCTAACTAAAAAATGATTTATTATCAACAAACGATCCTGTATAAATACATATATAAAACTGCTAGGGCATCAGCTTGTTGATGGCAACTAAGCAAATAACGACAACACTAATATTCACTTAGAATTTTCTTCACTTTATCCAGGCTCTTAAAGAGAAAACACAATGTTCTTTTCTTGTAAAAAATATGAGCCATTTTAAATAATATACTTTAAAATGAAAAAGAAAAGAAACTGTGGCATATTTCAATCTACGGATTAATAGGAATAGTGTTTAAATCGTGCTTTATTCAATCAAAAACGTCGTCCGAACTTATGACTCGTCCAATTTTTTTTCAACGCAATGTGGCGCTTGTAACAGTTCTATTTTATAATTGCGTTTTTATGCTCGAGGTGTGTACGCTGTAAAGAGAACATTTCTATTCAAGTTTTACTCCCTTAAAGCGAAACTACTCTCAATCAAGAGATATTTTTCAACAAAAATTCATTACTTTTCTTTGAAAGTCTTCCTTCATCAATCGGCAATTAATTTACTAAACTGCTAAAAAAAATAATAACAAGAGAGAAAACCTCATTATTCTATTAAATAATTCGTATAAAATACATATAAAACAGCCATATATCGTTATAAAAGAAAAAAAAACAAGTTTTTTTTATCTAATTGTATGAGGACACTGCATTTAAAATAAACCGTCAATTATTTATGGAAATGAAGCAGAAGAAGATTGGAATCTCCGTCTCTAAATTAATGGTTGGGGAGGAAAGATCGACTAACTCGAAACAGTTGGTTAAGAAGTTGAAAAACTCTCGTCTACCGGATAAAAGATCACCCTCTGGAACACCTAGAAGTAGCTTGAGAAGGCGACGGGATAATAAATTATCTATATCTTCAGAAGAAACAGAGGCCGAAATTTTTAGACCACCCCCACAGCCAATTAGAAAAGACGTTGTGGATAGACCAGACCGACCATCCTTGAGGCGAAAGAGTGTCTCTTTCCTTATTGACGATGATAAAAAAGACAAGCCTTCGGAAGCTCTGAGAACATTTCGATCAAAACGTCGAGGCAGTTTACCAGATGCGTCATGTGACTTTAATAAGGTCCTCGAAGAAATAGAAAGCGAGAAGAATTGTACCTAAAAAAGTTCATTGATGAGGTCAATCACCCACGTTACCTTCTTCTACCTGTCCACTCCTTTATGTACACCTTTGTGCTTAAAAATCTTTATGACGCAATAGTTGGATATTTTCCTCTCTTCTTGTAAAAACTATCTATCTTTCTGTATCTATTCTCTTTCGCTACCTCCCTAATTCAAGTAATTCAAATTGAATTGTTAAATAAAAATATGAACGAAAACAGAAATTAGAATAAAGAAAATTGACCAAAACCAAGACCACAAATTTAATCTTATACAATTTAATTCTTTGTATAAGAAAACACTTTTCCTTTGTCTAATAATTCCTACTTTCTTTCTGTCTCGTTTTTGATTCAATCTTGTATTTAATTGTATAATAAAAACTTTTACAAAAGGAATATTTATTGCTTTATTACCGTGATTAATTAACGAAGAATAATAAAGACTCAAATACCGAATATGACCTTTAATACTATAAGAGAAATAAATACAAAATCGCTTTTCATTGATTATGAAAACTCTGCCAATATTACCGATTGATAAGTAATTAATTAACTCCGCCCCATACCTTTCATAAACACACAGATTATTTCTCCCAACCGTATTACAATAACTTTCTTCGAAATAAAAAGTGAAAGGAATTCGTTGCCTTTGCCTTTTCTGCTTACCACCCCCCCACTATTTTTTTTCTCTCTTTTCTTTACTTTCTTTTTGATCAAATTGTACTAAACGAACCTTAATTGGCTTAGTAATATCCGCCATATTTTCCTCTATTAATTCTTTTTATTTTAACACGCAGGTTTAGTATTTTGAATATTTAAAATTTCTCTTTTTTCTATAATTATAAGAACATAAATAAAAGAATAAAAAAAGAAACGTTTCCTTTCTATATTTAAATAATTAATTATGTTTACGGTTAATCACCAAATCGCTTTGGTGAACGATTTAATGGGATTAAGGAACAAGATTTATTCCTTTCAATATCACATACCTATTTGGTTTAGGATAGCCACTAGATGGCCTCTAGATTACATAAATCCTCCTCCAGCTAATGCTGAACTACTGTTAAATTCTTATCTAAGTTACATTTGGCCTGATCATTTCCCAATTGAAAATTTTCGGAAGAATGAGAGGAAAGAACAGTGGAGAATTATTGTTCAAGATTGGGCATTCTTTTCAATAATATTCCTTTTAATTATCTTAATCGTCTCCTTAATGATGAAATCATTATGTTCTTTCTGTAACAGACTTTCTAAAATTTGCTTACACAGGCAATATATAAAAAAAATACAAGAAAAAATTCGCAATACAGCCAAAAGTTTAACAGAGGAGGAGTTACGTGAATTTATTGAAATTGCAAAGGAAGAGATGGACGAAAGAGAATCATCTTGTTCGTGTACAACTAAAACATCATTGACAGGAAACAAGAAAATATATTTCCTCTCTCTAGTAACCCTTTCTATCATTTTTATAAGCCTAATAGGATTTCTAAACGTCATCTTTCTTCTAGTAGCAGTTCAACAACCGAAATTATTTAGAAGTTTAAATAAAGACCTATCGCAATCGTTAATGAATTTTCTTGATAACTTTCAAATGGATAATAGTTCACTATCCCATAGAAACAATTCTATTCAAGGGTTTACAAATTTGTTGGAATCTGAAAGAAATTGGACATTTTTCAACAATAACAACAACATACAAAAGTCATTATTTTATACTAAAACTGTTTCACATTTTGTGGAAGCATTCGAAATGAAGTTTAATCATTTCTGGTATAACACAGATATAAGTTTAGGTATAGCCTTTGGACTACTTTATCTTATAACTATGATACTATTAATTCCATTTTCAACGAAATTCTATAAGCCTAAACGACAGCCAATAGATAGAACAGGGTTCTCCCATTATACTGGAATATCGTTTGCTATTTTAAGCGAAATCTATCGTATTTTTGCAGCTAAATTAATGATTCTATTATTAATTCCATTATTTTTAGCACACTTTCTAAACGGTATGGTGTGTCCAGTAATTTCAATGGATTATAGTAGCCTTGAAAATAGTTTCTATATTAATCAAAGTAGAAAAGAAAGGGTAATACCTTGTTACAAACATAATTGTTCAATTGAAAAGGATGGAATAAATTGCATTAGAGGAAAAAATCAATCATTTTTAGAATTTTCTAAAAACCCGTATGTAAACTGCTCCGATTTGAAAGGGCTGGCGTCGATTTTATCCAATAGCTCCTATTCAGATGTAGAACTTAACCCAAAGTGGTTCTTTTCAATTTGGTTTGGGTATATTGAAAAAGTGTTTTGTTACCATTTGGTTGACAGATTTGCTTTCCACGCTTCTACCTGGTTTATCATATCAATAATTATGATTCTATTATCATTTACTCTATCTTCTATATCTAAATTCCTTTTTAAACCAAGCTTTGAAAGGGGCATAAGAAAATTTTTGTTAGCTTATTCAAATGCAATGGAAACTAGAGAAACTACTAAAGAGTCATCAACAAGATATGCTGATAAAACAGAAAATCCATTTCAACATGGTGTTTTAATAATAAAGCAAAGAGAAAAAGAATCTCAAACAAACATATCAATGACGCCAGATGAGGAACCTCAAAAAAATCAATTTACTCAAATAACACCTGCATTACAAACAATAAAGGACGCCTCAAAACAAACTTCAAGGTATAATAATGAACGAAAAAGTTACAATAGTAATACTACAAGTTCAACTTCAAAAGTATCGAATGTAAGAAAGGGGAATGATAAAAATTTAATAACTTGGAAAGCTATTGCAGATAATAAAAGATCTAGAAAAAACTCCGACCAATCATCACAGTTTGAAATAAAAACTTCTAATACAATTAGTAATACTTTTCCTATATCTATGTATAAAGGTGTTGATTTCGATTTGATCATTGAGAGGGGCTAAAGTAAACATTACAAGCTTCTTTTTTATTAGTTATTGAATATTTCTTATCTTGAGTTGAAATCTAGAACAGTAAACAATAAGGGTATGCTAGATATAACAAACATTGAGGAATATAAAAAAAATCTTTCTGGCTCAAACACAAAAGATTTAGTGTAACAGTTTCTTAGTTGTAATTGTTATTTTTGTATATATTAATTTCACACATTTACTCGCAGTCCTTTATTGATCTTGTAGAATATTTACTGATTTAAATAATTAAACTATATATAGGTAGGCCGAATTTGGCGTAAATTTTGTAATATTTACAACTTTTTTATTTTTCAACTATGTTTTTACGGTATTTAGTGAGACCCTGTACAAATTTTCAAAATGGCGACCGAGGGAAATTTACGACATCGGCCCGGAAATTTAAAACAACAGAATAAAAAACATAATGCAGGAAAACATAGAACTAAGAGAGAGATAGAAAGGGTAGCTAAAGGTACGGAACGGCCTTGTCTTATTTATTTACTGTTTTATAATGATTTTATTACTTTTCTTAATTGTAAACTGAAACCACGTGCTTTTTGTACGCAGGTCGACAGAGTGTTCAAGTTATTAGCCGAAGATTAAAAAAAAATTTAGGAAAAGATGAAAGACGTCTTAAAGCTAAACAAAGCCGTCATAATAAACGTCAAGAGATTTTATCTAAGAAACGGGGTTTGGGAGGAGATAATGGACCACCTATATTAGTTACAGTTCTTATACTCAATCCAAAAATTAGGCCTGCTGAAATATTAAGTCAAATAGAGCAGTCAGCTGGATCTGACGAAGGAAAATGTTCGAAAACAGAAAGTGGACTACTACATCTTGTTATGCCTAGATTCAAAAAACGTTTAGAGTTTATATTCCCTGAAATGACTGTTATGAATGTATTAGACGTTACAAGAGTGTCTGATGTTTGTTTATTGATTACGGATGGAAGTGATTTTGGTGAAAGAGAAGGAAAAATATTGCATGCAGCATTTAGTCAAGGTTTACCAACTGTAGTACCAACAATTCGTACTGATGCTAATGCGAAAACTAAAAATGTGCTCAAAACAAGATATTCTGATAGATTTCCTGATCAAAAAGTATATGGATTTTCAACAGATAACGAATGTCTGCAAGTGCTACGTTTACTATGCAATCTAAAAGTACGAGAACGTTCTGTAACAGCAATGCGGCCTCATATGTTGGCTGAAAATGTTGAATTGGATGAAGGTGATATCCCTGGATTTGGTACGCTGAAAGTTACAGGTTATTTGAGGAGTCAAAATCTTACGGCTAACTCATTAGTACATGTGCCTGGTTATGGAGATTTCGGTATAAAAATGATTGAATCTATACCTGATCCTAACTGCATCAGAGAAGTTAGAGAAATGAGGAGTATTGAAGTCCTTCAGACATGCAATTATGATAAAAGACCATCGCTAGAAGCAGAAGCAGAAGTTGATCCTATGGCTGCTGAACAAACTTGGCCCACCCAAGAGGAACTAGAAGGTAGAATTTGCTTATATTGCACTTTTGTTCCAGAAATACCATTCCGAATTTTTTGCTTGCTTCCAAAGCTTAACAGTCGATTTAGGACCTCCAAACAAAGCTAAATATTTTTTTATTAAGTTGTTTACAACGTTATTCAATGAAATTTGTCGATTTTCACGATAGATTCAATGAGTATAACAGTGGATTATTTTTACACAATATATTGATAGCACTTTGAAAGTAACTGCATTATTCGGTTACAGATTTATAAACAATATTAATTATTGATTATTCAGAGACTTTTTATTAAAATTTTTAGAGGCAGACAAGAAAATAAAAACCAAGAAAAAAGTACCTAAAGGGACCTCAGGTTATCAAGCTGCTTGGATTGTAGAGGTTAACTTGATAAATATCAATGAGAAACTCAATCATTCAGATAAATGGCATTTTACAGTCAGATGAAGAAATAGATGATGAAGATGATGATGAAGATAGCGAAGAAGACGAGGAAGAAGACTACGAAATGGAAGCAGGCGACGAAGACGAAGAAGAATCTGATGAAGAAGGAATGGAAAATGCAGAAAAGGACTCGGAGAGCGAAGAAGAAATGGAAGAAGTTGCTGTTGAAGATAATGATAAAGCGTATGACGAGAAGATTGATCAGGGTAATATAAGATATCGATAAAAATAGTCTAATTTACTTATATCTGTCTTTCTAATATATTAGAGGAAGAAGATCAATTTGAAAAGCAATGGAGAGAAGCTAGAGAAGATGAAATGTTTCCAGATGAAATGGATACTCCTCATAATATTCCAGCAAGAGAACGGTAAGTTAAATATTTTTCGATTAGAAAATATAGAGAATTTTAACATATAACATATATATTATACACTCAACACTGCTGTAAGTGTAGGTTGATTAAATGGTTTGTTTGTTTATATGTTTATAAAAAAAAAGAGAATTTTACACTTTGCTGTACAAGAGGAAAAGTAATTACACTTCAGTAACATCTATTTCTAAATGTTAAAATGAAATAATTGCAAACATTTTTTCCAACAGCTTCCAGAGGTATCGTGGTTTAAAGAGTTTTCGCACGTCAACTTGGCACCCTAAGGAGAATCTTCCAGCAGATTACGCTAGAATATTTCAGCTAGCAAATTCTAAATCTGCAAAGAAAAGAGCCTTATCTACCTTAACAGAAAGTCTACAGGGAGCTCAACCTGGAGCGTATATTAGAATTCACATTGAAAAAGTTCCAATTGAAATCACTAAGAAACGGGGTACTCTAACAGTTTTCGGCATTTTAGCTCACGAACAGAAAATGAGTGTTGTAAATATTCTTTTGAAACGATCCTCCGAATCTGGAACGGACTCAATTAAAAATAAGACTCAGCTAATCTTTCAATTAGGTTTTCGACGTTTCTGGGCTGAGGCAATTTTCAGCCAACATACAAATGCAAACAAACATAAACTAGAAAGATATTTTCGCCCTGACCGAACTCTAGTCGCAACAGCCTACGCGCCAATAACTTTTGGACCTGCACCCGCTTTAGCCTTTCGAATGAGAGGAAATGGCGACTTACAAATGGTTGGCTGCGGATCATTGTTAAACACTGATCCAGACAGAATAGTTTGTAAACGCATAGTCTTAAGTGGCCACCCGTTTAGAATTCATCGAAAAGCAGCTGTTGTGCGATACATGTTTTTTAACCGGGAAGATATCGACTGGTTCAAACCGGTAGAACTTCGAACAAAGCACGGAAGACGAGGGCACATTAAAGAAGCCTTAGGTAGGGAATATTGTTTACATTACCTTTGGGTTTTCTGCAATAGTAGTTTGATTGACTTTTGTTTATCTAGTAATCTCTATTAGAATATGAAAACCAATTATCATACTAATTCGATGTACATTATATAGATTCTTAACAACAGGTACACACGGTCATATGAAATGTGTATTCGACGGACAAATTAAAAGTATGGATACAGTACTCTTGACACTTTACAAACGTGTATTTCCAAAATGGAAATATGATTCAAGAGTTGAAGACGAACCCATTGCTGAATTACATAATGATGCTTTCGAAAATGAGTCCAAAATGGCTTTGGACTGAGAAGTTTGCTTAATGTCACGTTTTTCCAAGTTTTTCCTATCTCGTTTAAAAATTAATAAAACAATAAAATTATAAACTACGTTCACATCAGTGGAAAACAGTCAGGATTGATACGCTTTTAAATTTACATATATTTTCGTTATGAATTTGAGTGAATATTTTCATAAATTGAGTCTCCTGAATTGAAAAGAAAAAAAAAACAGTTATGGGGACGTTTTACAGCTTTAATACTTTTGATTGCCAAAACATGTTCAACGAAGTAGTAAATGACTGGCATATTAAATTAATTTTCTCGAATTAATACGAAACTGACGTATTTAAAATCGAAAACAGCGTATTCCCATAAGTAATCCAATTAAGGTTGAACCTGAGCTGTTACTAGAATTTTCAAACGTAGATGGACTTCGGTATTGGTGGAGGGGTTGTTATGTATGGTATATCGGGATTATCTAAGAACGCTCTATTCCTACCCAATGCCGGGCTCGATTCATAAGTTTCTATATTTTGCTCATCCACTATCTCCTCGTGTTCTTCACTCTTTCTACTTATTTTCCATGCGTGAACGCGCCAACAGCAGATAGCAGCCAATATTAAGAATAAGAAAAAAGCGATAACGAGACATGCACTCAGGAGATTATCCCCTCGAATCAAAGGGATTGTTCTGAATTTTCCGCAACCATAATCTAGATGTTTAGTAACCGTCAAGTTGATTAAGCGATCCTCACTTGCAGTAACACAGACTTCGTATTCGATTTCTGAGTGAAGTTGATCTATCTTTACTGATTCGGTGGCGAAAGGCATAGACGGTAGGAAAGAAGTGACTTGGGAATCTACGGGCCGGTAGGAGAGAAGTACATAAGGAGAGCGTGGATGTGGAGCCGAACTATTAGCAGGGATTCTCCAATTTATTATTAAAAACGATGTCCCTTGCTCCGGCGACCCAACTTCTATCGTTTCATCCGCCAACGAGCAGGACAATACAACCGAAAAAAGTATGAGCCAATCCATATCGACCTATTTCATCTTCTGTTGTTGAATTAGTGTAGAACAGGTGCTCTGTTATATAGAATTGGTTTATTGCTGTTGCACAGCTGCTGTTCGAATTATGCAGTGCAGAGCAGGGAATGCTTTGTCGACAAGCAGGTTTTTTTTATCTAAAGAACTATAGCGTTTTAAGATAAGTTGTTCAATCGCCATCATTGACAACTGGTTTTCATCCAAGAAAAAAAAAAGCGAACAGGAAGATATATAGTATATATATATATATATAACTTTTCTAACTCTTTCCTATCAAGCAGTCCTATCATTTCAAAAGTGTTGGGTCATTTTATTATATAAAAAATTCTCTTATCCCTATGAAATGATAATCTCCTTAAGCGAAATTCCCTTAGAAATTTAATATAGATTCCGAAAGATAAAAGAAGAAATATATGTTATTTATACATCTTTTATAGGCGTAGCTGTATAAATACCTTTACTACCATCAAGTAAATTTAGAAGAACAACAACTCGGGATCAATTTAAAGAGGAAAAATGTATAAGGCTAGGTATGGATGCAGAGAAAATGAGGGAGGGAGAGAGAGAGAGAGAGAGAGGAGAGAGATTATGTGTGTGTATATGTGTGAAAATAAAAGTTAGACCAAGTAAGAAATAACAAAAGGAAAACAAATAAGAAACTCATATAGAGAGATCTTACTCTTTCATTACTAAAGATAAAATGTAACAGATATTATACAAAACAGCTACGCCCAGCTTTTTAATATCACTTGTTTCATTGAAATTAGAGAAGGTATTTTAGAACATGTAATATTTTAAAAAATAAAATACGGTTTACCTTTAACTAATCTCAAGCTTTATCTTTTTTAACCTTCTCTCTTCAGACTTTGGGTTAAACTTATTTCTTTTTCTCTTTCCTTTCTAAAATACTCAAAAAGACACAAAATTTTGAACAAAAAAACTAGAAAATACAAAGAAAAAAAATAACTACTAGTCCGTAAGGTATAAATAGAAAATTTACGATCGATTACACTTCCAGCGCGTCGTTTGAACAGATGTGGCTGTAGTGAACGCCTATAGGCTTACATCGTATCGATTATATACACAAGTAAGTTCAGTTTGTAATTGATTATTTAGAATAAAATATATTAAATAATTGTATATTTGTATATTATATTAGTATATAGTACCATTTTTCATATAGGTTTTTTTTTACTTACCAACTCACTGTAAGCTGTTTTGCAGACAACGAACTGCAATATTTAAAAAAAAGAAAGGAAAATTTGATGGATGGCGCTAGAGTCGGGTAGATAGATAAATACGGGTAGAGAAGGAATGGTTAAGAAATCGAAAGAGAGAGATAGAGAGAGAGAGAGAGAGAGAGAGAGTGAGTGAGAATAAAAAGCGTCCTGAAAGTAAGGTAACACCATAAAGGTCAAATACAAAATACTAAGGAAATTTATTTAACTACTTCATACGTGTTCAAATGAAAACTGCGCTCTCTATCTAAACTTGCGTTGGAGCTATCTCACACTTTGTCTCTTCCTCTCAATTTCCTCTTAAAGCGTTCTTTCATAAACATATGTAAGATTTAATTAAGTATTTTTTTTCCCTTAGAAAATAAACGGTTCTCAAGCTTTTTATTTCGTTTTTGATAAGAATATAAAGATGGTAGTTGAATATTTTTAATCGACTAAGGGCATTGATCCAGTTCTCTTCTTCAAACATCTGGAATTATATTTACATATCTAATAACTGTGTGAATCTCTGTTGTCTATTGTACTCTTTTTTTCTCTTTCAATTAAGTATACAGCTCGATCGTTGCATGTGTCACGTGTTTTACTTTAAAAGATGTTGCGCTTTTCGTGGTCGTAAAATATTAGCTATGCTTATAGGCCAACGAGTTTTTCAGTTTTTTAATTTATAAAGAATTCCGAATGGATAAATCAGATCAGCAAAAAAAAAAATATGGTTTATTGAAATTTTACTTTCTATAATATCAAGAGTTTTAATCTATAAATAGGATCTTGTTTATTGCATTAAGCATCATCCAACTTCTTATAATGTAGGTAATTAAACGACGATAGGTGGCGTTTAAGCCAAAGACTGATAATAAGGTTTATGTCTTGTCCTTTATTTAGATCCTAAGCTTGAGGAAGTCTACAAAAACAGTTTGGAAACATAGATATACGACATAACAATTTTAGCCTGAACTTTGATTATCTTAGAGCATTAAAAATAGACTTGATAACAAACTCATAAATTTTCTTGAAGGTTTATAAAATTGTTTCACATCTCTGATTCTTAAAGAATGAAAACAACTCTGTTATTCAACTTTCCCACCATGAAATTAATCCTAAACCAGGTTCGCATATACTTCCCTAAAAAACGAAATACAAGCATAATATTGAGTAAACTAAATAGATGGTATTAGTGCCAAATTTTGATGGTAAACTTACAGTAATTTCGTACGATTTTGTAAGATTAGGCTCTACCATTTCTTCAGCATTCTCATTCCTAGGTCCAGAAGGAGATAAATCAGTAAACTTCTCACCAATCACTCTAAAACTGTAAAATAAAGCACAAGTATTGATTTAAGTTGTAGTTATCGTTGCATTTAATAGCATAACTAATCATGTATAATTGACTTTTCTTACCGGATTTGCTGTCCAATATCCATAAACAAATCATGCGCTTCTCCCCCATCTTCATATTGCCATTTCCAAGTTTCTTCTTTGCTATCACTTTTTGTTGAATTAATTAAAGAGAATTTTTTTCAATAATTAAATATTAAATTATATATGTTAAACTATATATAAATAATCAATTAATTATCATATTAAGGATACAATGATGAGTTTTCTTGTAAGTATTCAGGTAGAATGAAAATATCATCGAAACATCCCACAGTGACTGTGCAATTTTTTTTTTATATATACATGAATATAAACGATATATTTATTGTTAACATTGTTCATGTTAATTATAAGGATAAAATTTCAGTGAATTTCATCATATACCTTGAATTCTCTCTTTAGTGCACGATTTAATTTTTCCAACAATAACTTCATCAATAAATGGACGATAAACAATAGCACGAAAAGTTACTGTTAAAAGTAAAGTGTATAATTGGTATTATTTTTTAAAGGGTTAAAAGGAAAATTTAATAGCTTATAAACCATTTGTATGAGTTGCGCCATCTCCAGGTAATATACAACTGTCTTCTACTTTTAATAAGTCCCAAACCGAAAGACATAGACCAACGTTATGTATTACCTAAAAAGAAGTTTTAAGAAACAGAGATACGATTTTATTAGGAATTTAAGGAAAATAACAGCTGATCTTTTACCTTGTTCGAGAATCTATTATTTAGTGTGTCTAGAATGACAGTAAATCTCTGTTTGTTGAAATTCCATGGGTTAATTATAACAGTATCTTTAAGTACTACTAAATTAAACATGTAAATACAGTCAATCAGTCAATTGAAAACGTAGAAAAATAAAGTTTTTAAGTGTATAACGATAATTGATGAATATCAAACACACGTGGGATTCGAGTTATCTGGTGGGATTAGAATTATGAAAACTGGTATTGATATTTCCTGAAATTATTAATTTATTATTAATAATTAAAAACTGGTACGAGTACTATTTAATATCATTAATTAAATAGTTTAAATAAATAAGTTCAAACAATGCAAAAGTATAAATAAACCAAGTAATCAAGTTCAAATTATGTTACTTTTTTCATTCTTTTTAGAGAAATTAAGCTAAACAAGTTACATTTACACATAAAATAATGTCTTCTTTTCTAAAATAAAAGTAACTTTTAACTAAGGAACAATAGAAACATAAAATAAATGATGTGGAGCAGATTTTCCATCTGCTTCAGAATACAAAAGTAATACAAGATTTTCATTCTATTCTGGTATGGTAGACAATTGACTATTGTGTTTTAGCGTTATTAATTGCTTGTCCGAAAAGTAAATAGCTTTCAGGGTTTTCACCTTTCTCTACGTAAAATCAACATATTATCGAATAAATGTTCATTAAAATATTTAGATCTAGCCTTTGTTTTATTTATTCTATTTATTTAAGATATTTTTGAATACATTAATATCGGTTAAAAGCAACTTTTACTACCAATTTCCCCCCTCCCCCCTCACACCTTCTTCTTCAAATTTCGACCTTTATTCTCCTATCTAAAAAGTATAAAAAGCAAAGTAGGCAGAGATATCTTATTTGAACAAGAAAGATGAAAGTATCAGTTAGAGTAAGAGGGGAATGGTTTGCAGTTCCCTGTGGAAATGGTTCCGAGAATATTGGTTGGCTTGCCGAAGTTGCTGTGAAAAAGTATTATAAGCTTAAACCACATTCTTTTATCGATAAAGTGGAAAAAGTTGAAGAAATTCGAAAAACTAAAGGAGGTGTTTTACTTGATAATGATGATCTTATTCGATCTGTTCTTGATGATAATGATTTTGTTTCAGTTGGTAAGTAACACATGTAATAGAGTTTTTTCTCAGTTTTATTTCTCTATTTGCCTTTATTTTGCAGTTTTGCAAAGCGATTGGTCCGATCCAAAATTGGCTACTCCCGAAATTACTTATGTACCTGAGCAAGTGTGAGTTTCTAGAATAAGCATTATCTAATGGGTCTAATGAAATTTTTTCTATCAGGAGAAAAGGCTACGAAGAACCTTCAGAGGTGATTATATCAGTTTTTTCCTCTCCGTTAAATAACTTGCAGAAATTCTCTTGTAATTAAATCTCTCTCGCTCTCTTTTAGTTCATTGTTCTTGATGGAAATAGTCTGTCATGCGAAGATTTAGTCCTTCTGGGTAAGGGGAAAATCAAGATTAAGGTTTGTTTGATCTGTTTTTTTTTCTTTATTTTTCGTAAATACAAATAGAAAAAGAAACATTCTTCATGATATTTTATACTATCTCTTTATAGCTTTCTAACGATTCTATTGGTAGAGTAAAAAAAGCCAGACAAATGCTGGAGGAGATCGTTCAAGAAAATAAAGGTATAGTTGTTTAAATTTGTACTTTTAATAAAAGATGGCGCTACCATTTCTTCATTTTTTTTAACAGTTGTTTATGGCATTACTACTGGGTTTGGAAAATTCGCTCGGGTCGTTATTCCAAAGGACGATTTAATGTAAGTAAATTAATGATTATTCATTAATAAGTTGTTATTATTTATTGTTAATTATAGAGAATTACAAGAAAACCTCATCAGATCTCATTCAGCTGGTAATACTTTTATCAATTTATATATCATAGAAATAACCATGAACTCCTTCAGGTGTTGGAGCTCCGTTATCACCCGAAAGAACCAGAACTCTTTTGGCTCTAAGAATTAATGTATTAGCCAAAGGCTTCTCTGGTATTTCGCTTAAGACTTTGAACCAATACATTGATGCATTTAACTGCAGCTGCCTTCCATGGGTACCTGAAAAAGGTACTGTTGGGGCTAGTGGGGATCTTGCACCCTTAGCACATTTAGCATTAGGAATGATGGGAGAAGGCAAAATGTGGAGTCCAGAATGCGGTTGGGGCGAGGCTAAATACGTTTTGGAGAGCCATGGATTATCCCCCATTAAGCTAGGTCCCAAGGAAGGATTATCACTTATCAACGGTACTCAGTTCATAACAGCACTTGGTGTTGAGGCTGTAGAAAGAGCCGACGCAATCGCCAGACAGGCTGACGTTGTAGCAGCTTTGACTTTGGAAGTTTTGAAGGGCACTTGCAAAGCTTTCAATTCAGGTAAGTCAGTTTGACAATTACTCAAAGCAATACAATGTAAAACGTTCACTGTTTAGATATTCACAATGCTCGACCTCATGAAGGGCAAATACTGGTTGCCGAAAGATTTAGATCTCTTTTGCATTCTGATACTTTTCCATCAGAGATTGCTGGTTAGGATTATAGCAAATTGTTCAAAATCTTGTATAACTTGAAATCTTTACAGAGAGTCATAGGTTTTGTGATAGAGTTCAAGATGCTTACACTATAAGATGCTGTCCTCAAGTCCATGGGGTAGTAAACGATACTATCAAATTTGTCAGAAGACTTTTGACCGTCGAAATGAATAGCGCAACCGATAATCCTGTAAGGTTTTAGGTAAATTGAAGAAGGTTTAATTTGAAAGTATTTCTTTTCAGATGGTAGTTGCCGACAAAGGAGAAATTATATCGGCTGGTAATTTCCATGGGGAATACCCAGCAAAGGTAACTAATTTAATAAGAATTAATTTTCAGACAGTTTTCCTATTACGTTCTTTCTAGGCCTTGGATTATTTGGCTATCGGTGTTCATGAATTGGCTAACATAAGCGAAAGGAGAATAGAAAGACTAATTAATCCTGGTAAATCATAAATTATATCATCAGACAAAGTTTGATAAGTTTTTTTTTCTATAATCATCAGCTTCGAGTGAATTACCAGCATTTTTAACCTCAAAGGGTGGTCTTAATTCTGGATTTATGATAGCTCATTGTACTGCAGCAGCGTTAGGTTAATTCCTTCTATTTTACATAACGATTATAGTTCAAATAATATTTTTTATGCTGATTTTACAGTTTCCGAAAACAAAGGGCTCTGCCATCCTTCATCTGTCGATACTCTTTCAACAAGTGCAGGTACAGAGGATCACGTCAGTATGGGTGGATGGTCTGCTAGGAAAGCATTAAAAATTGTTGAACACGTCGAATTTGTTGTTGCAATTGAATTATTAGCAGCCTGTCAGGCAATTGAATTTTTAAGACCATTAAAAACAACCAAACCTCTTGAAGCTGTTTATGATTTGGTCAGAGGAGTTGTAAAGTTAGCATAGCTTTGTTTTGCTTCGATTACGTAATAAATCTTTAAAATTTCGATTAGGCCTTGGACAAAAGATAGGTTTATGGCCCCAGACATAGAAGCCGCTAGAAAACTCCTTCAAGAAGAAAGGGTTTGTTTATATTACAATTAACATTGCATAATAACCTTAATTTGTTGTTATTTTTTCAATTTGCAAAATAAAAGCTTTGGAGAGTTGTCAAACCGTTCATGGAAATTTACAGAGAGCAGCAGCCATTTGAAACATACGTTCTCTCTCCAACTACATCCCTTCATAGTAGTGCTCCTGGTATTAAACGCAGAAAACGTAATAAACGCGCCTCTGAAGCATCCGTTTAAAAGAATGAAAAAAGAAAATTCTTCAAATTAGAAGTGTGAAAAACCGATCAAAATATCAAAGCTAGAACTAATCTTTTCTCTGATTGTAGATTAATTAATCTTGAAAATGATTAAGATTCATTATTCATTAATTACTTAATAAACTAACGAGGCAAGAAACGAATAAGTAAAAGGAAAAATTATAAAACTATCTATAGGCCTATTCGGGTTTTCTAATCTTTCGTATAGTAGTCGAAAAGTCCTTTAATATTCACTTTTATATAGGCTTAAAAATATATTCAAGACTTTTTATAAAATGATAAAAAAAAGGATTCAACTATATGAGAAAACATTAAAAAAAGTCGATTAAGACAACAGATGATGTAATCTTCTCTTAAACTTAGAATATTAAAAATAGTAGAATTAATATGCTCTTGTTTTTAAGTTTAAACAAATCTATATAATTCCATAGCTTAATCGTAAAATTAATGGCGGGAATCAATTATCGTAATATGATCATTATGCTATACCTTCATTCTCTCTTCTTTGTTTCTACTAAGTACTTTTCCAGCCTATATTGTAAAGTTTAACGAACTTATCATCGGATCCGATAAAATAAAATTCGCTCAAGTATCGTTATTCCATAAAAATAAGTGTAACAGGAGTAAAAATCGAGAGGAATAAAAAGATAAAATTGATTTTAACTCGTTCAACGATCTCTCTAGTATATGAGTTAAGGAAATTAGAATATCTTTGTCACTACTAATATCACTACAGACTCCTTAGCAAGTAATAAATATTCATAAAGACTATTCTAGGATGATTGTTAGATGAAAATAGCATTTTGAAGATTCTTTATCTTTCTATTCCAGTTGGATAAATAATCGACAAGAATTCTAGAGATATTTTTTATTCCTTTTGAAGGTTTGTAAAAAGTGATGGGTTAAAAACTCTTTTGAACAGATATATACATACATGTTTATCAAGTTAAAAATACGCGTCAATAGAGATTTTTTTGAAATTAATAATAATAAATAACATATTATGCTATAAAGATGATTTCGTGGAAATTAACTATGGCACGGAAAAAAGAGAAAAGTTCTAGTTTGCTAGTTGTTTTTCATGATGCAATCATAATAAAATGATTTCAAGAGGTTGCTTGTATAGTTAACAAAATTAATCAATTGCAAACTCTAACCGATCAAATCGTACAACGCACTCTAAATCACATATGTATTCAAAGAAGCACGCGTGAAGATCACTCATGATAGAGTTCTTTACTCTTCCTCCAAGTTTTTTAAGTTATTATATTAATGACGTAGTGTCATCTGGTGTGCTCTTTGCACAGGAATATATGAACATCATACTCTCAATTGGCTGGTTACTAAGCGTGTTTTAATTGTTTACGTAATCTAGAGAGTTATGATATGTCAAGGTCAAGGCTATAACACTCAGCTGTTATATACGCCTATATAAAAATAATCTCAGGCCAATCTGACAAAAGATGGTCTATATCACTTCTATCGGCGCTGTTATGCAGAATGAACAGTTTATTAATATTTTGGATTCCATTGTTTTTTCTAAGCAATGCTGTTCAAATTTCTTCGTATATGCAATTTAACAAGAATGATTGCCTAATTGGAAAGGGCCAATATGCAATAAATTTGCAGCGATTGGCAAAAACTAACGGTTTACCTAGGTAGATAATCTTTTATATTTCTCAATATTAATATTAATATATATCTAAAAGAGATTTTCTGCTACTTTTTGAAATTATTAAAGTAAACTTTAAATATACTTTTTATATAATTTTACCTTATAAATATTCATTTTAATTCATATTTAATAACTTATTAAATTGTTTAATAATAAAACATGTAATTAATATAATTCTTTATTAGTTATATCATTTATTAGTCTTCTTCATATTTCTTTCTTCTCTTCCCTTCTCTTCATTTTTTTACTTATATTTTCTTTAAAAACGTCTAAATTTTCTTTAAATATATAAAAAAAAGAAATGGACGATAATTTTTTATCATACTTTCCCTCTAAAATAGATATGTAACGACAAATGGTAATTGGACCTATTTTTTCAATCCGTGCAATCCGTTCAATCAACCTGTTCACCCTAATTGGGCTCTTGGTTCAGTGTGTTTCAATGCCATAGTAAGTATCTCTAATTTTTTATTATTACAATATTACTATTATTTGTTATCTTTTCTTTTTAATATAAAAAAAGTAACGGAACGCTTATACAGTATTTCTTCTCTCTCTTTCTATTTTTCTTCATTCTTTACAATTAATATTTTCTTTCTTTAGTTTTGCATTTTACTTCACCACTTCACCAACCTTCTCTTTTCTTTTTTCCTCTCCTCCTTCCTTTTCTCTCTTCTTTTGTTACGAATTGCAAAAAGAGAAAAAAAGTGTTGTAGTGTATTCAAAGTAGTTCTATGTTTGTATTTTCTCCTTTATTCTTTTATTATTTAAATAGTACGAAAAATATATGTCTAAAAAATTGATAGTACTAGGAAAGAGAGAGAGAGAGAGAGAGTGAGTGAATGAAAGAAATAGAACATATTGTACTCAGATAAGTTTATTTCTCCGAAGACATTAAATAAGCCTACTATGTTTCTATACAAATGAAAATAGTTAACCTCGATTTTTCTCTCTCTTTATTTATTATTTTAATGCATGTCGCCTTCATTGTAATGACCTCATCCGGTAAAATAATCTTTAAACATTTGGTTATACTTTGTAGTACACATGCAAACAAAAAAAAAAGAGAATCAATTGACTCAATTAGACCAAATATGTAATCGAAATAAGACAATCTAACGAATCTCTCCAGTTAAGTAATTACTAATTTAATTTTGAACACATGTGCAATAAAAGAGCGTATAAATGTTAACCATATCTTTTATGTCACTTTTGACCTGTTATATCAATTAACAATCTATAGGTAATTAAAATTTCTACTCAGATTTATAGGCCTAAAAATAATCTGGTTAGAATTGGTTAGAAAATATCACCAACAATATAATTTCTATTAAATATAGCACAAAAGTGTATACAATATAAGGAGAAGATAATAAATACCGTTCTCTATTTAAATTACTTGTGCATGATGTATATATTAATAGAATATACAGCAAACATACAGGAATTTTACATATTTTTAATAAACTATTATAACTAGTTAATGATAAGGATATTAACAAAGATTTGATGATAATAATTGAGAATAAGCATAATAATAAATGTTCGCATATCTACTACCTCTATTATTATTTTAGTATTAACTTAAAACTATGGTCTATAATTAGGTTAGTTAATTTTTATTTGTCTTTTAATATGGTCTGCCAGTTAAAAGTTTAAATGATAGAATAAAATCCCAACTCATTGACTCGATTGATAAAAGATATTGATAAGAATATTTGTTGATACAACGATAAATTAAAGACCACCGATATAAATGCATTATTCCTTAATAAAAAATCAATTTTTTTTCCTTTATTAGATATGTGCAACGAAAGAGATAAATCCGTTATCATTTAAAGATAGAGATACTATAGACATTGGAGAAAATGAAAATGAAAATGACGATGAAGAAGAAGAAGACGAAGAAGATGAAGATGAAGATGAAGATGAAGATGAAGATGAAGAGGAAGAAGAGGAAGAAGATGATGACAAAGATGATCTAGAAGATAGGGAGAGCGATAAAAAATCTAACAGTAAATATAAATCTACTATAGAAAAAAAAGGGGAAGAAAATGTCGAAGAAGAGAATGAATATCATATTAACTATACAACAATAGCCGTTAAACGTAAGAGATTATATATGAAGTATTCGAATAACTATTTAATACGTTATCGGACCGGAAGAAATTCAAATTCCATCAAATTTTCATTTATCTACCTAAAGTGTGATTATCGTTATAAATTACCAAAAAGTTATGGAAAATTTGTATTTTGGAAAGAAGTTGGCACAAGTTTGGTCAGTATTTGAAAGTTTAAAAGAGAATTCTTGTTTTTTTAATCGATACTTTTCTTCTTTTCCTCTTTTTCTTCGCAGTACTTTAATCTTAGTCATTCCTGTTTGTGTCCTGGTTATTGTATGAAAGATAATTTGAACAATTCCTCAACTGGTTTGTATAGAAAGTATAGCATATTTAATAGTAGCTTTAAAGACTAATATGAAGTTTTTTTTTCTTTTATCTTCCTATTTACTCATTTAATAGAAATTAACAAATCATTGAATAGTACAGGTTAGTTTAGGTATTCATTTTGTTATGAAAGAAATTATTTCTTTATCTTTTTAGCTACTGGACAAAAAAAAAATTATCCTAAATTCATGTGGTTATTGTTAGTTGTCAATGGTTCGTTGATAACTGTTGCAGTTTGCATTGGAGGCCTATGCTTCTGGAAAGGAGGTACAGCTTATAGACCGTATATGAGTACATTACCAGGTTACTTAATACAATATATCAATAAGTAGTTAATAAAATACATATGTTTCTTCTTCTTTTCTTCATTATAGGAATCCATACAAATCATTCAAGTAGACTTACCTTGAACAGTATGGATAGCTCGAAGAGTAAAACCTTATATATGCCGTTTAAAAGGAAACCTCCAGCGTTTTTTGATTATTCATCTGAAAAGTTCAAAGATTCAAAGTTACCGATTCTAGATAACGTTCTCATACACGAAAAAGAGGTGGATCTCGGTAAGAGACTAGGAGGCGGACTATTTGGAGATACTTACATTGCTGAATGGAAAGGAAGAAAGTTAGCTGCAAAAAGAATAATAATCTGCAGTTTCAAGGGTATGAGTGATAGAGATATGAAGAGAATAAAGGATAATATTACATTCTTTAGGTAAGCACTTGTTGATAGATAGACTGACGTATCTTTTACGTAATAATGTTGCATTACGTAATCATACAATACAACTTATCAAAATTAAATCGTATGATCTTCAGCCGACAAAGACACAAGAACGTTGAAAGCGTCCTTGGTATAATGCTAGACTTGAAGCAGCCATACGTTCTTAAAGAACATCTGGAAGGGCAGACACTCAAAGACTTATTACGAAATACCGATGTTCAATTGAGTTTTCAAAGTGTTCTCAAATTGGTAAGGAAATAAAAGAGTTCTCTTTTTTCAATTTTTCTAGTTTCTCAAACATGCCATCTATTACATGTGTTTAACGCCATCTGTCTGTTTGAAGCTTGTTCAAGCCGCCGAGGGTATGTCCTTCCTCCACAATTGCAAACCTGCTATTTTACATAGAGACTTAAAGTGTTCAAATATTTTTATTGAGGCAAACAACGAAAAAGTTAAGGCAAGTTTATTGATGATAAGAGTAAAATCCCTTTTGATACCTTAACAGTATTATTCCTCTCTTTATCATAGATTGTTGACTTTGGTGTTACGAAGCTGTCACAACAGTTTAGGAGAAATTGTAAAGAAAGTAAATGCTTCTGTCAAAACGAAACGTCCGCATTTCCACAATCTATTCGGTGGACTGCACCTGAAATTCTTGAAGATCCAAATATCTTGGACTCAGATATAACTGGTTATGCAGATGTCTACTCATTCGGAATGGTTTTATTCGAAGTAATTTCTTTAGAGAAACCTTTCTACGAAATAAGCAGTGAGGATGAAGTATGCGAATTAGTTCTTGCTGGTCGAAGACCCTCTCTAAACGTCTTTAAAGGAAATGTTCTACCACCTTATTTGGAAATGATGCAATGTTGCTGGTCCAAAAATGTGCAATCGCGACCTAACTTTAAGCAGGTAAATTATCTCTTTAATAAAAAAAATTGTTATTGTCTGATAACAAAAACAATAAGTTATAAATTAAAAACACTCTATTACATAACAGATTCAAGTGAAATTGAAATCAATAATTCAAGTTGGCAATAAGCTTGCAAGTGGAAGATCTCGTCCAAGAACCGATAGTGCTGCTTCAGTCCTAATATCCGCTTTAAATTTTTCCTCCTGAGAGAGTTTAAATCATATATGTATATAAAGAAAAACAACTAGGAATTTTAGAAATATAGACATATTTAACTTTAAATATTTTTTCCAATTTGCCACTTTGGATATTGTCATATTTATTTTAAAAAGATTGTTCGCTAGTGAGGAGAGGTTGATTTAAGCAAGTAAAAAACAAAAACCAACCTCAAATTGATTGGAAAACGGTGTTTATAAATGTATAATGCCATAGTCTGTAAAAGAAAATCTCTTTTTTCTTTTTTACAGTATATTTATAAAACTGTTTGTTTTTTTTCTTTTTAATATTTTAATTTTGTTTCATGTTATATTTTACAAGACTGTTGGAATTGCTTCTATTCAAAAAGATAGAAATATGAAAAAAAAACAAGCTTGCAATTATTAAATATTAATAAAAAAAACTTGTCTTTTTAAAAGTAGGCTTGTATTGCAAAAATTAAAGTGTAAATAAGCAATCTTATTACTTGTGCATCCACTTTCACATTAGTTGCATAACTAGATCTCAAAGAGTCGTTCAAAACTATAAAAAGAATTATAAAAAGTTGCAAAATACTGAACGAAACAAAGTAGAATTTCCAACGAAAGATTTAATCTTTAACGTCGAAAGAGATTGATGAGGAAAGATAGTTTTCTCTGCCAACTTTTCTTCCATTTACCAACAATATTAGCGGACAATCAACTCGGATATTTCTATAATTGTACTCCTGTCAAAAATAGTTCTCCTTTAAATTTACTGATAACAATTAATCAAGATATACCTTATCGTTTGTTTTTAAAGATATTTCTGAGACAAAAGGATCTGGAATGGCTACAGAATCACCAATTTTTGGTCCCCAAGACATTTTTCTATTATATATCGTAACGCATATACAATCTCCATTTTCGTCTATTAAACAGGCAGTACTGCAAAAATATAATCAATGAGAATATAAATTACTTATGTACAAGCATACTAAAACAACTCACAAGTTCAAAAAATTTTCGTTAGCTATTGTAGAAATAACTTTTCCCATAATTACTATATTTTCATTTCTTCCAACATTAAGTTCATTAAATTTTTGGTACTTAAGCTTAATAGTCTCTCCAGCCGGAGTTGTAATATTTTTGCTATATTCTCCTAAATCAGTTGATAATTTGAAAGACTTCATAATTTTGTCGATTTGCCTTTGCTTTAGTTTGCCCTAAAAAAGAGACCAATTTCAAAATTATTGACTAATAAGTTCTGTTTTTTTGGGATAACATAGTTCAATGATCCGATCAAAGTCGGACGAGATACCAAAGTTATTACTCTGTTAGACTTACTTTTTTCCCTAGGAATTCAGAGATGGTATCTACATAAGTGACAATGTTTTTGGCATTAACTTCTGCTTGCTGCCATGATGGCTCTAAACGTACAGCTTGATTAAAGCTATCGACAGCTTCTTGAAATCTTTCTTCATACATCAAAATCTGATAAAAACAATTGCAAAAAGAAATAAACAACACAAAATATCGAACAGTAGCTTTTTTTCAAAAGATAAAAATATATTCTTACAGATCCCTTATTATAATGTAAATCAGGACACATTACAGTGCGATCATCAGCAGCCTGCAAATACAAGTTTCCAATTAATTGCATTGGGAATAGATAACTATTGCGCAAACACTTACAGCTTTCTCGTAAGCAGTAAAAATTTGCTTTAAAATTTGATCATTGTCAAGTGTAGCAAAGAACATAGCAGTATAGGCGTTCGCTAGCGTAACTGTTAAAAAATATACATGTATTGAATCCATTATCGTAAACTATTCATTTACTAACGCCACGAAAAGCCATCTTTAACATCCCTAGCCACAGCTCTTTTAGCCCAATCAATGCTCTCTCTAATTGCTTTATCCTTGTCTTCGGGTTCTTTATATTTTACTTGTCGTAATAGCATAGAATAATGCCTCAAACTGGGTGTATGAGTGAGCTATTAAAAGAAACGATTATTACGGTTTTCCTGAAACATAAATATTATGATCTTTAAACAAGAGATAAGATCTAATTTGTTCAGTCTTATTATCTAAAGCAGTTGAACTATTCTATCAAATAAGCTGACAAATTTATCTCTTTAAGGATAAAATAATCATTAAAAATAATTATATGAATACAACGATAGCTAAGAGATTAAGATTAAGAAAAACTTGAAAATTCATACATCCTTTTCTACAGCTTTTTGGAAGCATGTCATCGAAACATCGAATTTGCGTAATTTAAACAGGCATTCTCCAAGTTCGGACCATCCTTCTACTATTTCTGGCCGTAATTTAACGACTTTAGTTAAAACTTTTTCACACTCATCAGAAATTTCTGGATGTTTGTTCAGCAATTTACCCTTTTCAAGCAGAAAAAGAGGATCATTGCCGAAGAGAGCTGTTAGATTAAACTATATGATTTGCAATTGAAGAATAATCAGAGACAACAAGCCTACTTTCGTATTCTTTTAGCTCGTCTAAAGTCTTCTCAACTAATGTTCTCACTCTTTCCTCTTTTAAATTAGCCTCTTCAATTGGGTGGTTCAACAGATAATCGTCTCGGAAAATTCCAACTTTGTTCACTTTTTCCTTGAAACACTTTGAGTTTTACCTTTAGAATGTTACTTCATGCTAACTTACTGTTATTAACTTCAACTGTTCTTCGGAAGCTTTGTCGCTATTTTCATTCATTGTCGATAAATTCCAATTAGAGCGATAAGAAGTAAATTTTTTAACAGTTTGTTTGAACCGTAAGTGATTCCCATTTTCACAATACGGTGTCCTTAAAAAAAAACTAAACAGAAAACAAGATATTCTTAAGCAACTGTCTTTATATAAATTTTCAAAACAAGACTAAACATTTTTTCAGTACGTTGCATTAATGTTGTTTGAAATTCAAAGTTTTAACAATATTATTTTTGTTATTTTTTAATATTTTTCTATAACTTCCGGTAACATCAGTACGTCACAGAGGTGACTCATAGCAATTGGGATTTCCATCTATATTATTTTTTTGTTCCAGTAAGCTATTCGGCTTCTAACGGCTAGCTTTACAAGATATCCCGTTAAAAATTTGAAATTAAATCTTTTAAAAAATTCATTTATCATAAAACAAAAGAGAAAACAATTAAATGGAACAGAGGCTACCGATTACCAAAATTGGTATAATAGAAGATAAGCAAAAATGTCCTCCCGACTACGATGTCGTGAGTAGCTTTTCTTCTTTTTCTTCAGATACATTTTCTATATAATGACCATATAAATAAATATATAATTGTATCTTATTATAATTAACAGTTGTTTTACTCGTCGGATCGAAATGAAGAATGCGATTTGATGCCTGATGGATTTTTTAAAAAGTCTAAGCGTCATCTATGTATCACTAAACAACAAGCAGGATTTGTAAATAAGACATTTTCATTGAAATTAATCATGTGAATAATTATTATTGAATTAAATAGGGTCAAATGAATATGGTCTTAGCTGACATTGCTGTTCAAAATGATAGGGAGAGGCCACCAAACGGATATTCTATTATAGAATATACAATGGATACAAGTATAATATATTATAATCTTTTTTAAATATAATTTCACCATTTATTTTATTGAAATTAGAGGAAAAAGCTACAAAAAAGAAACAAATATGTGTCAAAGTTATACCGAGAGAGGCTACATCAGCTGCAATCTGCGACATTTGCCTGTTAACCAAAAGTAAACGCGCTCCTGTAGGATATACATTAGCGGGGTAATTGAAAAATAAGTTAACTATATAAAGAGATAGCTTTTTTATAAAATGTTAACTATCTCCTCCAGAGAAATAAATAACGTTGCAATATGTTTCAAAATTTGTGAACTTCCTCCAATACAAGTCACTCAAACTCAATCGCCAACTCTTCCTGCTAGCTTGTAAGTTCTTGGATATTTCGTTTACGTTTCATTTGATTGTTTTACAAATCATATAAACAAGTTTTATTATCTTACATACTTACATACTGGTATTTTTTTTAATAATTTAATAATTTTTTTAATACTCATTTTAGGCCTACTACAAATGTGAAAGAAGAGTTACCTATGAGACAGAATGATTTACAACAAGCGAGCTCTTCTACGGCTGTTTATCATCGTTAGTATTATTTATACAAGTTATTTTATACTATATAGTATAATTTGAATATTTCTAGCACTATCGGGAGTTCAATTTGTCTTGAATGCTGCATTTTCATCTCCTTTAGGATTAAAAAGTGTAAGTAATAATAAAATAATCATACATATTCTATATATTATTTTATAATTTCCAGGTTTATCCGCCGGATATTCAATCAAGAACTCTTGTGGATATAAATAACGAAGTAATTTATTAAAAATTCCTTCTTTAAGATTCAAATTGTAAAATACATATATCTTTCTTTTTCTATTTTAGTATCAATATCCTTTTGCTGCTGAAAGGACAGCTTTACAAATATGAACGACCAATTGTCGAAGCCTGGAATATGTATTTTAACATAAAACGAAAAGAATTAAACCAGTCAAGTCTGATACTTCTGCAACTTGGAAGATGCTCAGAAACGATTGTATTTAAGTCTTGAAGTAATTGCAGAATACATATATACCGAATATGTGGAGTACTAATTTATATTTATATATGTGTATGTGCACCGTCTATATAATAGCTATGCGCTTTGGTATATGTAATAGAATAAACTATATATTTATACAACAAAACCAATTCTACTCTTTGGCTTATTCTATCTATCTCTCTCTTAATGAAAAATCGATATTTCCGTTAATAAATTACATTTCTTAAGATTATAATCACTTACAATAAACTACATAGGCCTATTGAATAAATAAGTATTCCCATTATTACTTCATCTCAAGAAGAAGACAAAAATTTTTGAGGAAAGGTTTAAAATTTATATGAAAAATAATTTTCATTAACATTTTTAACATAGAAATTGGAATGAATTGACAGGAAGGTAATCTTATATCTAAAGGACAAACCGACGGCAAAAACAGCGCCATCTATGTGCAGTTTGTCCCTACTGCAATTATCGAATCCAACATGGCTACAGAGGGACTTCGCGTCGAAAACCAGTCAGCAACGCTTGATTCTCTTCAACGCGAAGCCGAAAATCTAAAGAAGAAGTTGGAGGAGGAAAAGGATAAACTTAAAGATATTGACAGTGAGTTTTTTGATGATGTATAGTCCTCAGTGTGCTATACGTATCGACTCTTTCTGAAATACCGTTTTGTTGCAGTCAATGTAGTTGCGCAAAGGCTAGATCCGCTAGCTCCCATATCTTTAAAACCCAGAAAGGTTCTCAAAGGACATTTAGCGAAAGTACTATGCATGGATTGGTCCAATGATAAACGTCATGTGGTCAGCTCCTCTCAGGACGGAAAATTACTTGTTTGGGATGCTTTCAGTACTAATAAGGAGCATGCATTCTCAATGCAGACAACTTGGGTAATGGCCTGCTGCTATGCACCCTCTTCAACCTTAATAGCCTGTGGAGGCTTGGATAATAAGTGTACAATTTATCCTTTGACTATGGAAGAGGATCAAGCTAAGAAAAAAGTAGTTGGGACTCATGCCAGTTATCTATCTTGTTGCGAGTTTACCCATTCCGACCATCAGATAGTCACTGGAAGTGGTGACAGTACCTTAGCCCTATGGGACGTTGAATCCGGTACTCTTATGCACTCCTTTCATGGCCATACAGGTGATGTTACCAGTCTGCATTTATCCCCTACTGAATGCGGTTCAGTTTTGGCTTCCGGTAGCTGCGATAATACTCTAATGATCTGGGATATGAGAACTGGGCAATGTGCCCAAATGTTCGATTCACACGAAAGTGACGTTAATGCAGTAAGATTTTACCCAAGCGGTGATGCAGTAGCTTCGGCTTCAGACGACGCCACTTGTCGCCTCTTCGATTTAAGAGCAGATAGAGAAGTGTGCGCCTATAAAAAGCAAAGTGTTATCTTTGGGTGTAATTCTATCGATTTTTCGTTATCTGGTAGGATATTATTCGCTGGTTATAATGATTACGTGGTTAATCTATGGGATACTTTAAAATCTACGCGATTGTGCATGTTATACGGTCATGACAATAGGGTATCCTGTGTCCGAGTTTCTCCAGACGGTACAGCCCTTTGCACCTCTAGTTGGGACTATACTCTAAGGGTAAGTAGAGTTTATAATCTGTTATTGTTTATTAATTTATACTAAATAAATTATTTTCCCCAATTATAGATATGGGCTTAGATACACACAAAAAAAACACATGCATACATACAAACACACAAAAATAAAGAACAAACAAAACGAAGTAAACAAAATATTATTTTTAAACATGACGGAAGATGATTGATTCTTTGGTTCCTACAAAATTACCGGAAAAAGAACGACAAAAAACGATAGATTACAAAATAACTACATTATTGCAGATTATAAAGAAAAAACAAAAAAAAATCACATGCACGGTTACAAAGAAAATATAGTGTCACATATCGTACAGAGACTATCTCTCCTTCTCTCTCTCTCTCTCTCTCTCTCTCTCTCTCTCTCTCTATCTATCTAACTTTCTATCTATCTCTATCTCTGAAACCAAAAAGATTATTAAATGTATTATTTTTATTAAATTACAAACTTTTTCCTCTTTTTTGTTTAAAAAAAAAAGTTGATTGTTTTATTTATATAGTTGTGAAAAAACAAAAAAGAACTGAATTATATGAATATTATTAATTGATTATCTATATATATATACATTATATATATATATATATATATATAACATTTGAAATTTGAATTTCGTAAGCATGTACTGCATCGTTTAGAGTTGTGCAGTATAAACTTTGAAAGAATTGTTTAGAAGATGTATTCTTCTAGAAACTGGTTAAAAAATTTATTCTAATATATTGGAGATTTTTTTTTTTAAATATTGACAAAAAAAGGAATATACTATAAAAAGAAAGAAAGAATCTTTATTCTATCTATTCCTTTCGTTTCTCTCTTTCTACTTTGCTCTCGATTTTTCTCTTTCTACGTTACCTATTGTTTAAACCGGAATTTAAGAGAAACGTACAAATATATCGAGAAAAGGGAAACGAAATGATAAACGATTTAGATTTGTTTCTCTTCAGCATTGTTATCTCTTTATTTTTCTTTTTTGTTCCCTTCTATCATTTATCATTTCGAAAGGAATGATAATTATATTTCTATAATTAATTTTCGAATAAAGATGTAGATGACGCTCTTTTTGCAGAAAAATGCATTGATATATACAGTATTATATACAGTATATATACTAAATACACAATATATGTATATACATTACAAATTAATAACAAAGAATAAACCGAAATGGCTAATTCATAAATGTTAATAACGGCATATTGAAAAAAAGCTAGCTACTTTTTGTTTTATTAAATTCTTTTCCTATAACAATTAGTTCCTGTTAGAACAACTGTATTTGAACGAACGAAACTAATATCCGATAGATGGTGCTATTATCACTAGCAGACAAGAAAACGGAAAGCGGTACGTGGAAGACGACTATTATGCCAAATTCAGGATATATGATTAAATTACTAGTTTTAACATTTCTAGTCGCTTTAATATCGATTAAGGAATGTAATGGAGCAAAAGAGAACAAAAAAGTACCTGCAGACGAGGCTATAGAACCAATAGATATGTGTAATTAATAATTTTTTTTGTTGTTGTTGCTGTTCCATTAGAGCAAAAGGATTCTTTCTTTCTATAATATATTTTAAAAACTATTACAGATCGCGGTTTATTAAAAGCGAAACGTTCGGCTCATCATGAAGCTGTAAAGCATATTGTTGGAATATCAAAATCTGAAAAACAGTATGAAATGATACAAATTATATTTGACAAACTTTTTTCGGTGAAAAATTTGCATACTTTCATTTATTTAAACTAATATTTAAGTATACTGTAGACGTAACAGTATGTTAGCTTAATATCCTTTGAAGTAGATTTATCTATCTTGTTTAAATCGCCATCACGTTTTTAAGAGTAGCGTGAAATTAGAAATGAAATTAAATAAATACGAAATAATTAATTATAGGCCTATTAATAGAATATAGAATATTTTTATAAATAAAGCAGATACTTAGAAATGTATAATAATATAAATTATCTATTAGTTAAATAGATAATTTATATATAATTGAAATGTTTATATATTATAATATTTATTCTTTTTTATTGTTGTTATTTATAGGTAACTAAAGAAAGTCAAGTGCAATTAATGTCGAGTGGATTTATTCCCGGCGATGATATTCCACAGAATTTTACAGTTAGAGAATGTAAAATTTAGATTATTTATCATCTACCTTTTTTTCTGATTATCTTATCTAATTTTTACTTTAATTTCCAGTCTTATCAACTGTTTTAGAAAATACAGCATTCTTATCCGAAATAGTTTTAAGATTTCCAGATATTTGTGGAAGGTTATTAAATCAAAAAAATGAATGGCTTGTACTCACAAAATGGGCTGTTAATTTTTCTAATGCAACTGGAATTTATGATAAACCCGAATTAATGCTAATGGATTTAGTTAGTTTTCCTTTTCTTTTATTTAATAATGTTTATATTAATATTTTAATTAGGTGTCTCAAGAACTTCGTTTTGTGGAGCCCAGGGAAAATTATATCAATCCTTTTAAAGAAGATACAATCAAAGTAACTAAATTCTCTTCTCTTCCATTAGTTTTATATAATTTTTTATATATTATCAACAGTTAAAAGAAATGCAAAAGAAAATGGAAAAAGACAAAAAGAAGAAAGCTAGGGAAGAAAAGAAAAAGAAGAGAGGACCAAGATTAAGCAAAGTTGATTTGTAATAGTTGATAATGTTTTATTATTCAATCTTGATTTTTGGCTTTTTACAACTTTAAAGAAAAAAAAGTGCCAAACTTTTTTTTATCTTTTTTTTTTTAAAAAAACAAAAGTTTGGATTCAATGTTTTTTCTAATAAAGTTAATTTTAATAAATGAAATTTAAGTAGATTGTAAATTTTCTTTTAAAATTTGTTAAATACTTTCACTACTTGTCGTTCTCTTTTTATTGAAACATGTATGAACGTTAGTCAGTTATTTTGTAATCCTATTATTAGATATTGTATACAATTTCAATACTACAACGATCAGAGTGTCAGGATGGCCGAGTGGTCTAAGGCGCCAGACTCAAGTATTAACTTGCTATGCAATATGTTAGCACAGCAGGGGCGTTCTGGTCCGCGAATGCGGGCGTGGGTTCAAATCCCACTTCTGACAAATTTTTTTTATTTATTATTTTTTTTCAATGGACGCCATCTACAGTCTAGTAATTACACCAGAAAAAAATCTTCTACATAGACTATACAGTATAAATATATAGTATTTCTTCTTGTACACCACGTACCAGGTGTCAGCACCAATATGAAAATAGTTATTACAAACATGTATTTTTTTTGTTTTTTTATCTGACAAGTACAACAAACACCACGTGTCTAATGGAACAGTTGAAATTGTCTTACACTCTTGTTAGCACTCTTTCTATCCCATGTTTCTTTAGGAGATAAGCCGCAATTTAACAGCAAGTTAATTATAATACATCTCTCCTATACAAACATATTACAACTAGTAAGTAGTGTCCCCCCAAAACATAAAGCTTATATAAACCCTTCCAACAAAACAATTAATGAGGCTTCCATGAATAGCTCTGCACACTCTGAGAAGCCATAGAAGATGGAAAAAACAACATTGTAGAGGACATGCTCTAATCATAATCAGTTATTTTCCCCTATTTCTAAGTGCGTCAAATCCATTTGTGACCTAGAGAATCAAAACAATTAAAAGGTTTTTTTCTACTTTTCTTTCTTAAGGGGGAAAAATTATCTCTATATTTCAGGAATAGTAAACCGATATATCAATGAAGTTATTTTGCACTTGGAATCTGTTTAATAGCGTGTTTTCGGTTCTTCAATGGAGAACGTAAAAGAAGAAACGAATGCTAATAATACCTGTAGTTAATAGTCGACCGATAAATTTCCGAATAGCTGTTGCACAACAGTCGTTTTTAATTGGTTAAAGTCCATTGGGGATTTATAAAACGATCTTGTTAGGTAAAACTGCCCCCCACGAGTTTCTGATTTCTTTGAATCATTTATATTAAAACTTACAATACAGCATTGACTCTAACTCCTTCAGGACCTTTGCTCAGAGCCATACATTTTGTCCAAGTATTTAACTTGGCTTTCAAAACCAGATAATAGATTGGTCCAAAAATGACCGTTTAAACTCGAAATACCTATAGCCAACGAGAATACATTAGACTCTATTAAATGTTAATCATAATGCCAATAGCTTATATATTCCTATATCACAAGTTTACTGTTTGAATCAGCAAAAAGAAAAAAACACCAATTACCAATTACCAATTTTTTTAATTAATCACTTATATTCCCATTTATCTTACCTTTTTTCCACTATGTTCATAATTTCGTTTCTAATAAGGAATTATATTCAAATACTTTCAATCTTATTATCTACTACAATCATTATACTATTATAATTACCAACAACGGAACATTTTTGTATTAAGTAGATAATTTTTAATTATTCTAGTAGTGTTTACTAACAAATCAATCTTTTTTCAGATTTATCAATTGTTCCCGAAAAACTAAAATTTTCCAGCTGTTGTCTTATATCAAAAATCTACTCTTACTTAGTGAAATCGGCAAGGAAGGGTGGAGACCTTATTGAATAACGTAAGAATAAATTTACAATATACAATATAAAAGAAAGAGAGAGAAAAGTTTACATTATTCCATCCCTGTAAAAGACTCTCTTAACAATCTTTTTATCTTGTAGATAAGAGCACGAAATTGGATTATTGGTTTCCATTTTTAGGTCTATACATGAACCATTTCCTTTTTTATATTTTTTAAAATCAATATACACTATATATATATATATAGAACATCCTTATTTATATCATTACAATAGTAAAACTATTATTATATTATTTAAAAACACTCTTCGATCAGTGACCTCTCTCGCCCCCCTCCCCTCCTCCCCCACGCGCCTTCCTCCACCTCCGTACCTCATTCACCCAGAAATGATTATCAAGCATACGAATAAGCCTACAAACTAAATAAAAAAAATTGCGTATTTAAAGAGAACTATCTAATTACTGTACAACTTTTCTCCATTACTAATTTATGAATAAAATTTCATGGGAAAAGTTTTCTAATGAAGAAAAATATTTTTTTTAAAAAAAAAATACTTAAAAAATGTTTGTGAATTTATTATCGAAAGGCCAATATAGCGGTAGGACTGATCATAGATGGCGGCACACGCCTTAATGAGGTGAGGTGGAAACAACAATAAAAAGAAAAAAAAAATTTCTTAAAGAAAGGCCATAAATCCTAAACTGTAATAACTAACGTTAAGGGATTTTTTCTACTGAATAGATTTATAGCTAACTATTCTGTGGATATAAAAATAACCAGTTTTAATTAGACCCGTTTCCCAGACATATCTTTACAGTAATATACAGTATATACAGTATATACATATATATATATATATATATATAGTCACACGAGCCAACTGCAACATACATATGCCCATAAAAGAATACGTGTTAATTTGTTCAGGAATTACATTTTAGCGGTTAATAGAAGGAATAGAAGGAAAATAGTAAATTCTATTTAAAGAATTTGACGCAAACAAATACCTATAGTAGAAGAATTAATGATAATTGTGAATTAGAGCTAATTCAAAGTTAATAACAATCTATATGCGGTAACATGAAAGGAATTACCAATAGGGAGCATTCCTGAAAGGAGAGTATAATGGGCGAGGGTGCTAGATTTAAAGACAGTTGTAAAAATTAATAGCCATTAACGGGAGGTGATATGTCGAGTCTACACTACTCCATGCCTATTCTTATTTAAAGGGTTATAAATCTGTAAAAAGAGATGTTTAGCTGTTAAAGAGGCGAAAATGGGTCTAGTTAAGAATATGAATAGGGATAGGGGAAGAGAAGACAGTGAGAGAGAAATAAAAGAAGATAAAGTGAAAATGAAAACGTTCGCACGCTTATCTTAGTTTTCTTTTCCCACCAAGAATCTTCTTTATGCGTCTAAAAGAAAATTAGATGCGGTATCTACAAATTCTAAGATAAATAGTAAACAATACAAGAACCGACATTTTTTAAAACCTTAAATAAACTAGCAAAAAAGAAGTAAGAATATGCATATATACACCTGTGAAAAATCGAAAGAAAAAAAAATACAGGAATTATTTACATAAACTACAAAGCTAAGAATCGAATCAAAGAAAGCCAAAAAGGCATACGAAAAGACACAGGCATATACATACACAAGATATCTTATATAGTTTATATTGTTCTATTTATTAAATAATCCTTTAAAAGGTTACTTTTTAACTTCTTCTCATCCATCCTTCCCTCCTCCTCCTCCTTCCTTTCTCTCTCTCTCTCTCTCTCTCTCTTTCTATCTATCTTACTCTTTCGTGCTTTGAATAATTTTAACCTTCTTAAAAATCTTAAATATCTTATCTTCACTTCCATAAAATATTATATAAGCAGTTTCATTTAATTTATTCGTAATTTGTTTAGAATAAATAAAATAGTCCTACCTTTTATGGGTCTAAACTGTTGTAAAAAGAAAAAGGTAATAAAATACGAATTCTATTCAATCTTAAATAGAAATCAGAAGACATTCAAGGTTCCTTGAATACGTGAAAGTAATACCGAAAGGCACCTCCTCTGGTGACATATTAGTGTACCAGTGTTAAAATCATCATTAAGCCTTCTCAAAGCAAACGCTTTTAGTATACGTAAATGCCCCATTTTTCCATTCAACTTATGACCCGAACAAATTCTTATAGTATTATATAATAGTAATACTCTACTAAATATCTATATACATATGTTCAGGGTGGTCTACCGGTTTCCTGTCAAAATTTCATAATCTATTCAAGGTAAGAAAGTTACGCTATTCACATTTTGAATGGCAACCACCTCATTTTACTCTATGATTTCTTTTTTTTGTGTAGTATTATTAATAATATTCAAAATAGCTACATCCTAAACAGTTTTAGTTTATGAACAGCTAAAAAAAAGATACCGCTTATAACTGTCTAATATATATATATAAATGCAGTTTGTATACCGTAAATTTATACACATTAAATGGTTTGGAAACTCGTGACTCTTTTCAAGTATATAATTACCTAATTCAGATAGCTCTATTAATAAAATAAAATTGGGCCTACAAAATTCGTTCGATACTTGAGATATGATCAACAGAAATAAACAACGGTGAAAATTAGGGAAATCTTAATAGTTAAGTATGGAAGGTTTGAAGCGTTTAAACGGCCATATTTTTTGTCAAACGTATCTTTAAATCCAATCAAAAAAAATCTGTATTCGATTTAATGGAGCTATTGTTGAAAAAAAAGAGTGGGGGTGTAGGCCTAACTTGGCTAAAAAAATTATAATTTCGGGATTATTCTACAAAGGGGCAAGTAATAATTGGAATGAGATAAAAAAAATAGCTGAGATAGTGATTTAATATTTAAAAAAGAGGTAAAAGATTAAATAAGAGTGAAGATAAGTGGTAAAGTAACTATATGGTGAGAATTACTTAGCGGGGGTGTTGAATGCTAGGAGACAGTGGGGGGCAGAGAACCAGGACTAAAAGGTAGGAGGGATAAGGGAGCCTACGCTTAAATTTACAATACTCGTATAAGAAATAACTATTTATCTGTTTGCACACGCCGTTATATCCGTTAGAGAATAGTTAGATTGCGTAATTTACAAAACGTTCAAAAGTTTACAATAGAATAAGCCTATAAAACTGTCTAGTAACGTTTTCCGGTTACCTAACAGTAAATAGGGATGGGCTTTCCGTTTCTCATCGTAGAATTAAACTAGGTAGGCCCACGAAAAGAGTATCATTAGCAGGACTTTTTATGCCGAGAGAGGCAAGAGAAAATTGTAAATGTTTATTTAAATATATACACACGTGCAATCCATACAGATTAGAAACGCTTTAGGAATCAAACGAAAA